AATTTTTTTTTTCTATGGTTTAAATTTCAAATCTTACGGATGGCCATATACGATTGTTTTAATCTTATATGACTTTTATTAACTTATAAACTGACCCAATCGAAGCATTTCAGAATATATGATCCAACGTCGAATTCTAGAAGGTTTTGGAAATGATGCTGGTTGGCGATGTTGAAAGTAAAAAATTCGCTGTCTCCTCCCCTTTTTTTTAACTTTTATTTTTTCAACTCTGTAGAGATATAGAAATCACGTGATGATTTATATGCAGGATCGAAAATATAAAATATAAAATTAAATTAAAGTATGTAAAACTAAAAAGAAGAAAAGAAGAAAGAAAAGTGATGGAAAATAATTTCAAGTTTCGGGCAGATTGACCTCCTTTTATATTGTTCCAAGTTCGTGTACTTTCACATTATTGCTAATGGGAGAGGAGTGAATATGATCCTAGTGGACATAACCATGGATGAAAATGCCTCACGACTAAATAGTAATTATGAGCCTTTTGTCGTCTGGTCATTCCTCCAGAATTTCCCTAAACTCCAACACTCCCCCGATCTAAGTTGATGATTCAGATAGCTTAGATCTTCAAACCATCCATGAGTAAGTTCACTTCTTGTAGTAGATTCAATGTGACATCTTGATTAAACAATCTGGATCTTAGGTAATCATAAGTAGCCCTACTAAGGGCCTTGGTAAGAATATCGGCTGTGTTCCTCTCAGATTCAATCCATTGGATTTCCAACATCCCACGTCTGACTCTTTCTCGTATGTATTTAAGGCTTGTGTCCATTACAGAACGTTCATGCCCTATACCAATATGGTTGCAGTGTCTAACAACTACTGTATGGTCCTCATAAATCAATGGAGTAGCAACTTTGTAATGCAAGTCAGTTAATGTAGCTAGAATTCTTAATGTTTCTGCAACAACGCTTCGAAGTGCAATGAGTTCACTGTCAGCAGAACTAATAACTACCCAATGTTGAGTTTTGGACCACCAATTGATTAGCATACCGTTCATTGTTATTACTCCCCCGGAAATAGATTTCCTGTCAGGTGTGGGAGCAAAACTTGCGTCAGAATACGCGGTGATTTCGAACCTTGATTTACCCAGCCTATTATATACCAACCTTCTGTCCGGATGTTCCTTAAGATACCTAAGTAAATATACCATCTTGTTGTAATCGTTTACATCGGGATTAGCAGCCTTGGAACCTAGTCGGTTGATTGCAAATGAGATATCTGGCCTTGTATTTCTGGCCACCCATAATACCTGCCCAACCACTCTCTGATAAGTCTTCTTCGACGATTCGTCTAAGAGTGCAACATCATTATCTTCTGATATGAAATTATCATTAGCATTTCTTCCCCCGAAGTAGTCCGGTTTCTCCTTCACTATTGGGATGTGTTTCCCATAGGATTCAAGCATATCCATCTCAGTGAGTATATTCTTAACATATTTCTCTTGTGACATTTCGTACCCATCTTTAGTCTTGTGAAAATTAACTCCTAAGAACTCCGATACTTCTCCCAAATACCTATGGTCGAAGATGGATTTTAGTTGCTGGCAAAAGAAGTCAACTAGGCTTTGTTTGGAGGCGATTAAGAAAATGTCATCAACATAGATAGCCGCAATGATAATATGATTATGGCTAAATGTCTTATAGAATACACCGTCAATAGTCATGCTTTGAATGTAGTTGTGTTTCAAGAAAAACTCAGCAAATGTGTAATGCCATTCATACCCTGCCTGTTTCAATCCGTATAGAGCTCTCTTAAGTCTCCACACTTTAGTTGGATCGTCATTATAGCCTGGCGGTGGTACCACATAAATAACCTCGGGAAGTTTAGCGTTTAAGTAAGCACCCTTAATGTCAATATGATGAATGCCGAAGTCTAATTCAGCAGCTACTGCTGTCAACAATCTGATGGTTGTTAAGTTAACGACCGGGACTGACACCCTACTCTCTTGGTAGTTTATTCCCTCCTTCTGAAGGAAACCTTGAGCAACGCATCTAGCTTTTCGCTTAATCTTCTTTAGGTCGTCTTCTTTGTAAGTTAGCACCCACCTTGTTCTTACAACGAACATGCCTTTCTTCCTATTCACGACATCGAATACACCAAGTTCTTTGAACCGATTTATTTCGGCCTCTTTGGCTTCGTTCCAAATTGGATCGTATGGGTCTGGCTGTTCTGTAACACTGTCTAGAATGTAATCTAAATCATTTTGATGTGTGCTTCCTTCCATCATATAATTGAGTTGTTGTTGTGGAGATCTAGTATAAGATCCTGTTGGTAAGGTTTTGCCCTGCAATATAGCGAGGCTAGTCCCAAAGTCAGGTGAAGTCTTTTTCCTCCTACTCTTGTTCGGTTTCAGGGCTTGAGAGAGCCTGAATCTTAAAACGTGGTATGGCTTCTGTACTGGCTTCTTCCGCTTCATCTTCTTCTCCTTAGGGTTCGTTAGTGGGATCTGGTTTGTCGGTCCTGTCGCATCGTCACTCAGTATATCTGGAATATTACCTCCGTTTGTATTGCCTGTACTACTACTCTCCTGTGATTTGATGTTCTCTTTTCCTCCCCCAACATCAAGTTGTGGTTCGGGTCTATCAAAAAAGGTATCAGTAGTCGGGTCCCAATCTTGCGGGGCCAATCGCAGATTGATGTCCTCCCGAGCAGGGTTTAACAGGTTGGGCATTTGACCAGTGGGTGGTATTAGCGAGTCCGGGGAATCGGCAACGGATGATCTAACGAAAGATGAAGTTGGACTATATCTGAAGATCATTGGGTTTGTTGTTGTTGTGAGGTTGGGAACAGATAGGGATCTAAAGTATCGGTGGATGACTTCCATTGTGTTTGTAAACGTAAAATGGGCTGTGTTAATTAATTTAAAAGTGTCGTCTACCATGACTGTACAACTTGTTGTGTCACTTGTGAAACCCATAAATGCTCCCATGACAACTGGAGGTAGCGTCTTATCTCTTGGTATATCAAACCTCAATGCTTCAGTGCGATCCGCACACTTAACTATCATATCGATCCCGAACTGACAGTAATTAAATTTGTAGTCAGGACGATTATTATAGACCTGGTAAGGGGTCTTACCGTTTAACCTTACCTTCGGTGTGTTATTCAATATCTGGACCGCATAATTCACTATTTGCGGAAATAGTGTTAAAACATGTGCATGCCATCTACCAAAATTTAACATGCACTTTCGTACTCCCCCCAAAATAGTTCGATTGGTTCTCTCCGCAATACCATTGTGCTGTGGCGTTCGTGGTGGTATCGTTTCACGAGCAATGCCAAGTGTCCGCAATTGTAATTCACTCGGTAGCTCCGGAGCATTATCACTTCTAAATGATTTGATGTCGATTGAGGGGAAGCGTTTGTTTATCTCAACTAGCTTGTCAAGAACCAGCTGAGTCACCTGTTTGGTGTTAGTGATAGCTAGGTCAATATAACCACTAAACTCGTCGACAATTGTTGTAACATAGTACGTTTGGCCAACCGCCATGAATGGTCCCATAGTATCTGAGTGGACTCTTTCTAGTATCCGCGTTGCAGGTCTTTGAGTAGTGCCAGTGAATGAATGATGTAATGCATTAGTGGCTAAACATATTCTGCAAGCCTTAACTTTCATTTCAGCGTCAGCCGATGGTTCAACGTCAATGGCACCTTGTTTACTAAGATACTTGAGATTCTGTAGTGACATATGATTGGTCATTAAGTGATGATAATAATAATCATGTTTGCCGTACGTATTAGCTATCGCTTCAGGGGTAGTAGTAAATATACTTAAGATTGTAGAAGCTATCTTGGTATCAAGTGGGTTAATTTCAGCTTGTGATATCGTAGACTTTAGTTTTCCGATAAATAACCCTGAACTTCTGTCCTTTATTGCAGCAGGAATAACTTTCTTAGTGTAAACGTTAATCAATGTAAGTGTGTCGAGACCAAAGTCACAATGGTAACCTAAACGTCCCAACAGGTCAACAGCAATAAAGTTTCTCGCTACACTGGGAACGTAAAAAACGTCTGGTACTTTAAGGCGGTAGCCATTAGCTCTAATTAATACTGTACCACGCCCTTCGGCATAGACAATACTATTATCAGCCAATCTAAATGACTGGTTGGAACCAGGCTCATAGTGACTAAATAGTGACTTGTTTGAAATCACTGATGCGGATGCTCCAGAGTCATATACTAAATTATATTTATTAGCTATATAATCTAATTTTGGTAGAGCGTTTAAATAAATTGGCTCAGCGGCTGACTCAAGCCACATGCCTTGAAGTCAAGTAGACTTCGATTCACTCTTTACCAGGGACTTGGAGCTCAGATCAACGAAGGTCTTAAGTGTGTCAACTAATGATGGGTCATCCTTCATTTTCCCCTTCAACTTTGCGATGAGGTCAGATAATTTGTCGTCAGTTTCTTTATCCGCATTCCTTTTGTTCTTAGCACCTTTGCCTTTCTTACCACCACCTTGCTTGGCTCTCTTAGCCTTGTTTTCATTCATCTCGGCTTTGAGTTTTGGGTCAAGCTCCCGGACTTTCACCGGAGTGTAAAGCACATTAAGTGATTGGTCCTCACCAAACACCGGCTTAGCGTCAGGGTCGTTTTGTGCTGCCTGATCAAGGTCATAACAAGTCATAATCTTGATATTAGGGTTCCGTCTATATTCCCGGTAATGTTTGGCACAATGGCGAATAAAGATCTTACCATAGTGACACCATCTTGCCCAGAAATAAGTGACAGCTACTTCCGTGACGTCCAACAATTTTATAAAATCGTAAAGCGGATTGTCTGGCCTGGACTTGAAACTCTGTATAGCGAGAATAAAATCTCCAACAGTTTCGGATTTATAGATCTTATAACAGAGTTCTACCAAGATTTCCTCCATTATGGGTGCAAGGTCGGGAAAGGGAAACTTATATAAGTAGTCCCATATCTCCTTCAAAGTGAGTTCCGTTGCTTGCGTTGATATTCTTCCATGTGGCATATGTTGCTCTTGAAGTAATGAAGCGAGATCATCGCAGAGATATTCTGCGTAAGTCTCAGGGTTGGGTGCAAAAATCCTTTTGATCTTCTTATCACCCTCATTAAACTTAACCGGGTCTAGGACATAGTCCTTAATACCCTGATAGTGGTCGAAGAATTTATTCAATGCAACGATCCACTTCAAGATAGTTCTTCCGTCACGAGGGTTGAGGTCCCCGAACTGTTCTTCAATCAAGCCCTTAAGATAGGTGCTATGTTGATTAGTCAACCACTTCTGAAGTTCAGAGGCGGCACTAAGTTGGAGTTCAGGTGAGAGTGACCTTTCGGACTGGACATGAGTTGTACGGTCAGTAGTTGTTGAGGTTCCCTGGTCAGGAGATGGTTCTCTTGTCAGATCATGAGTGTTGTTGGTATCATTTGATGATCCGACATCCTCTTGGTTTGTTGTATCAACACCAGGGCGTGAACGTAAATTTCTGCCGACCGCGTCAGCATCAGTATGTTTTCTCTTGTGGGATCCAGCCATTATGTAACGGTTAACTATAACTGTCTTAAGTTTAGTGATGTAATATATATATTATAAGTGTCCTGTAGCTCGTAACCTTTTGACTTCTAATCTGTAGAGATATAGAAATCACGTGATGATTTATATGCAGGATCGAAAATATAAAATATAAAATTAAATTAAAGTATGTAAAACTAAAAAGAAGAAAAGAAGAAAGAAAAGTGATGGAAAATAATTTCAAGTTTCGGGCAGATTGACCTCCTTTTATATTGTTCCAAGTTCGTGTACTTTCACATTATTGCTAATGGGAGAGGAGTGAATATGATCCTAGTGGACATAACCATGGATTGAAAATGCCTCACGACTAAATAGTAATTATGAGCCTTTTGTCGTCTGGTCATTCCTCCAGAATTTCCCTAAACTCCAACATCGACTTAAGAACTTACCTAATTCAAACGGATATAGCCATTACAATAGTTCTATTATTTAGCATTTTAACCGTTTGTTTTAGATTTCAATTTAATGTTTGAGAAAAGTGGATGGATTGGATTGAAGTATATGTGTCATCCAAATTATATCTAAGCTGATTGTTCTCGCCCCTTGACGTACAGAAATACAAAGAACGCGTTGGTTTAATGACTGAACTTTGCGTAGTTCACTACTACCGTCCCAATAGAAATACAAAGTTCAATCTAATCTTCTGGTTAAGAAATCTCTTTAGAATATCATAAGTAATATATTTCCATTAAACTGATGTTTGTTGTTAAAGATAAATGTAGACTAAGAAAGATAAATCATTTAAAATGAGTGCATATTATACATGTGATTAATTGTGGTGATTCAATATAATGATAAATCAAGCTGGGCAAGGCAGGTACTTACCTAATAGGTAGTGACCTGTTGAAAAGTAAAGTAACCATTCTCTCTACAAATTGTACAATGCGTAGATGTATTAATTTTATTGGAGAGATGATTAGCTAGAACACCATTTTATTTTTTTTCCTCTATAACTTTCTCTGTTTGGATCCATGTAAATTATTGTGTATGAATCTTCTTCGAGTTTGACAAGTTTAGTACAGACAGATATAATTAATAAAATTGGAGTTCAAACTTATTTTATTGTATGACATGATATGACAGACACTACCACAAGTCAAAACTATGAACAAATCAAATAGATCCAAAAGAACTAGTCAATCAATCTTAGCTTTTCCAACTTCTAATAAAAGAACAACATGTAAAGTATGTGAGATGACCTACAATTTACATATCCCAAGTGATAAAGAAATTCATAATAAATATCATACAAATTTCGTTAATGGAATAATATGGCCAATTACATTAATTGAAAATGGTTTAGATAACTTTACATTATTATTCAAATCTCCTTCCAAATCAACCAAACGTGAAACAATTCGAGCGTCAATCTTTACAATTGATAAGAATAATAAAAAGCAAGTTCAAAAAGTAGATCAACTCCTAGGGATGGTCAATAAGGAATTAAATGCTGCTGATGATTCCAAACAATGGAAAAATATCGCCTTTGAATCAAGTAAAGCATTCGTAGCTGTCATATACAATAAAGCCGTTGGATTATGTACAACTGATTTAATTGATTCAGAAGAAAATAGTAAATGGATGATTCATAGTACGCAAACAATAGTACCTAATCAAACAAATCCTCGAGCCAAGATTGGTATTTCCAGAATTTGGATCGCACCTAAATGGAGGCAATATGGTATTGCCACACGATTATTGAATATAGTAATGGAAAATTCAATCTATGGAGTTCGATTAATGAAATCACAAATTGCATTTAGTCAGCCAAGTACAAATGGAGGATTGTTGGCGAAATCATTCAATGGAGTTGTTCATAAAAAATCAGGCGAGATATTAATACCAGTATATATAGAAAATTAACAAATGTTTTATTTACAGAGATGGTTCAGAAAAAGAAATACGTTCTGCTAGTAGCTTGTAGAAAACTAGTTATCGTTGAGGTACTATCTCTTCAACTTTTCCATAAATCGAAGCAGTTAACCCACCACTAAGTAATACTTTTAAACCTCTAGGCAAGGCCCCTTTGAATAAGACAGTGGGACCTTCTTGTAATACCAATCTATAAGCAGTACGTAAAGAATCATTAGAGTTAACAAAGGGTAAGAAGTCAACGTATACACTGAAATAGTGTAGGTTTCCAAGTGTGACTGCAATCACAGCAAGTGATGAAATCAAATGTAATCCAGTCAGTTGAATTGCGGTATGTTTGTGACCAAACCAACTTGGTTCTTTATTATGGGGATCAATTAATTGTCTAGTAGCATTATAAGTAGATAACCAAACCCAAGAGACTCCAATTTGTCTGGCGAATGTGATCAATGTCCCCGATGTGAATGCTCGTATTCCTTGTAATTGATGCATTTCTTTGATTGTTCCTAATAAAGTTAAAGATGGATGTTTATTGTAATGAACTTTTAACTTATCAATTGGGGTTGGTTTATAAGGTTTAAATTTTGATGGAGGTTCTCCTCCTTTATATTGATCAATTACATCACCCGTGAAATATTGATGGGGTGATACATATTGTTTATAAAATATATTCTTTGGTTTATTACTTTGATTACCAGATGGTACAATTGATACAAGTTCCTTATTTCTCTTGAATTCATTCACCAAACTTTGATTCTGTACCATTCTAATCTTAATATTCTCAAATGGAATCAACCACAAAGTTTCCGCAAATGCACTCATAACACCAGCAATTACCAATCGTGGAGCACTTGTCTTTTTGGTATTATCATGTGTATCAACAGCCATAAAATTACTCAGCCAATTATATGCAATAAGTCTAGTAGAATTCTTAAATACAGCTCCCAAGACTAATGCACTACAACCTTTGGACATTTGTCCGAGAGTTGACGGATAGTTTCCTTCTATTTTCCATTTCTTCATATATGTTAAATCATTCAATTGTTGTTGGGTCTTAATGAAGTCTAAGGGATATAATAATGTACCTGTTGCTGCTGCTGCTACACATCCACTCTGATCTCGTCAGTTATTTAACAGTGACGGTAACCTACGCCACAAACATCACCTGGGAGAATTGGATCTCAGCACCCTTTCTGACATCGTGTTGAGGGATTTGTTGTTTGGGTTTATCGAGGTCGAAACTTTACCAGGTCAGTTCATATCTATCCGTACTAAACTTAGTCAGAAAGATTTTTTTTTCTCGATTGTTTTCTGACTGAGATTTGAACTAAGGCCGTACAAAATTTATTGGTTCCCTGTGAAAAGAAAATAAACAAAACGATTCTACAACACAATTCATCAGCTATTACAACAACTAGAAAGAGATGAATGAAGACGATAAAGAGATCAGTCGATCAAGCATATCGACGCCAACAACACCACTAAGGCGTTCCAGTATTTCCGGAGACAATGACCAACATCAACTCATAACAACAAACTCCGAACCAAGATTTAGATCATTTGAATTCTTACGTTCGCGACTACGTCTTCCACCACCCAGATTTCCAGAATCAATAAAACGGAATAGTAGAAGACAAAGCTCATCATCACGTCCACAATCAAGAAGTCGATCAAGACCAACTACTCCTAAAGTAACTTCTCCCATGAGATCTCCAAATCGCAGAAGATCTAACTCCAGCAGACGCGTCTCAGTAACCCCTACGAGAATACGAAGTGAGAAGAAAAGACGGAGATCATCGATAGCATTTACTGAAAAAGGTGAGAAATTGTATGGTCCTGAGTATCAAGGTCCAATTACAATTGACTTTTTGAAGTTTTATTGTAAAGTTATAAAAGAGAATAAGAAACAGCGACTACAACAAACCCAACCACAACAAGAAATACTAGAACCATCCGTAGGATATATACTGCAAACACCGACATCTACCAAAGTTGACAATATCACGATAGGCAGTACCCAATTTGAAGGAATAAGTAGAACAACCATTCAAGATCCATTTTTGGATACCACAAGCACGATTGAGAAATCCAGACAGTTGGCATTATCAGACAATCTCACTATTAAAACTGTTACTCTGCCTTCGCAAGAGTTTAATGATTCATTACCTATACCGTCTGATACTGAAAATTTATTAAAATCACCTCAGACACTACCACCAGTCATTCAAGCCAGGACACCCGATAAATCCGAGCCTACCATGAAACCACCACCTAAAGCATTATCATATCTTCAAAAGATTTTAGCAAATAAAGCTAAACAGGTTCCAAACCAAGACACAAATGTAACTAAGGAGAAGACGATCCTTCCCAGTGAACGCCTGTTGGGAGAATTTGATAAGAGTCTAGAAGCAGCTCGTAAATTGTCTATGGGTAATATATCACTGGTTCAATCAGACCTCGAAACAACCACTGACATTAGTGAGAAATATCCACGTTTCGCTGTTTCAGATTTTGAAATTGATCTTCCACTGGATATGGGAGAGTTTGAACCAACTACTGATGTGCAAAGTGTGACTCGATTGGATATGGGAGATTTTGAACCGACAACCGACGCTCAAAGTGTGACTCGATTAGATATGGGAGATTTTGAACCAACGACTGACGCGCAAAGTGAGACCCGATTGGATATGGGTATTGAGACGGATATTGGATCCGATAGAGAAGTATTCGCCACGCCAGGACCCGCGACAACTGATATTGATGATATAACTGGGTTAGAACAATGGATGAAACCAACTGAAGTAGATTTGAATGAACCTGTTCAGGGCGAAAACTCGACCTTGGGATTTACTGATTTGAGAATTGATGAGAGGGATGATTTGCAAACACCCAAGCTTTACCTAATACACGACCTACTTTATGTACTGCTTCTTTCACTTCTCATAACAGGACAAGAACGAGGACATGATGAGAGGGAACAAGTGAGAGATAACTATTTCGAAGATCAATTATTCATGCCTAGCGCTACTCCTTCACCTCGACAGTTTATCACAGATGGTGATCTGTTTGGTAAGGAGTTATCATTCCTAGAATCAAACCTCCCCTTGCGTTCGCGACGTTCTACAAGCAACCTTCCAAGAATTAGAAACAATCAACCCAATCTCAGGCTTACTCGAGCTAGACCAACCAGAAATGTAGACTTCGGTTATAAACCTGTCAATGATCTCGTGAAAACCATTAGAGCACATCAGTTTAGTTCTAACCCCAAACAAAAACAATGGAAACCTTCAATAACTGTAGATTCCTCCTATGTGAAATTTATCCAACTGAAAGCTGACGATTTTTTAACAAGTATGATGACTGATTTGGATGCATATGCGAGACATCGCGTTGGTTCAAGTAGAAATCCTGAAATTGGGATTGAGGATGTGATGTTATATTTGAGACGAATTAAGTTTGCTGAAAAAGATGATCTGAAGGAAATGGAGATTGATAAGGTTATGAAGTTTGCTCATGATTTTTGGCCGCTTGAGTCGTTGATTCAATTGGATAATAGTTTACGTGATAAGCTTTTGAAACCATCTCGGGGTGACGAGTAGTGTTAAAGTTTGGAACGTGTTGTATTGCAAGTTTTATCAGAGTGAAACAAAATCTGTTTAATACATTGATTTATTATATATACATATATACAGGTATTAATAAATACTATAATAACAGTTTATCCCATAGTAGCTCTCTGTTCGGCGAACTCTTTTTGTCTTCCTCTGACTAACTTAAACAACTCAAAAATTGTAGACGGATTTATTCCTTGAATTCTCCTAGCTTGACCAATTGTTCTTGGCTGGACAGTATTCAAAATGGTACAGGCTTCATGCGAGATCTTTAAGGTCCCATCATATGAATATGTATAGTTCACAGGCAATAATAAATTCTCATCTGCAGCATATGCTCTCAAATGTATTTCTTCTTTTTTCATCCATGGACTATAATCACTCTCGATATCGATTTTATTTTCCAATCTACGAGAAATGTTCTCATACAATGAAGGCACGTTACCATCAGGAGTAAATTTTGCCATATTAGACACAATATCTCTCAAATGCATATCTTTATACGATAGCAATTTCCAACCATCCGTATACTCGTTAGTAGCAATATCCGATACATGTCCTTTAAGTGCCGGGGCCCAAGCTGCACCGGATAATCTCAAATTCATTAAATGTTCTTTAATTTGTTCAAATTGTTTCATCTCGTCGGAATAGTGTTTCCATCTCGCTTCTCCAACCACTCCAGCATTATATCCCAATTCGGTAAGTCTACTATCAGCATTATCTGATCTAATCGAGATTCGGAACTCCGAACGTGATGTAAACATCCTATATGGTTCTTCAACACCTTTAGTTATCAAATCATCAATCAATACCCCAAGATATCCATCTGATCTTCTTAATTCAATAGGTTGCTTACCGACATTGGTAAGACCGGCATTTATACCTGCAATACAACCCTGTGCTGCCGCTTCTTCATATCCTGTAGTACCATTGATTTGACCGGCAAGATAAAGTCCATCAACGAGCTTGGTTTCCAAAGTTATTCGCAATTCTCGTGGGTCTATATAGTCGTATTCAACCCCATATCCTGGCTGTACCATTTTGACATTCTCACAACCTGGCATCATTTTGACTAATTGTTCTTGAATTTCTGCAGGCATAGTACATGAAATACCATTAGGATATACTAGATCGGTGTCTAATCCTTCTGGTTCTAGCCAGACTACATGTGATGTCTTTTGTGGGAACTTTATAACTTTGGATTCTATAGAAGGACAATATCTAGGACCTTTTACTGTTTCTCGGATATGAATTGATTTATCCAAATTTTCTGCTACGAGTTTATGAAATTCTGGAGTTGTTCGGGTTTGATGACATGATACTAATTGATCCTCGAGGGCTACTTTATCATTCATATATGACATTGGTTGTGGGGGATAATCGGATGGTTGAGGGGTTAGGTGGGTGTAATCTATGGTTTTACCAGAAAGACGTGCAGGAGTACCGGTTTTCAATCTACCTAATCTGAATCCTGCTTCTTTGAAAGTTTTCGATAAGCCAAATGTAGCAGCTTCACCGAGACGTCCGGCAGGATAGGCACTTAAACCAATATGAATCTCGGCTCCGAGAAAGGTACCCGTTGTTACTACGATCTTATCACATTTAAATATTCTTCCATCACCTAATATCACCCCTCTTACAGTTCCGTAATTTCTTCCATCTGTGTCGAGATCTTGTTCACCTATTTTAGGTTCAATAATAATATCTTCAACTTGTGCCTCAACGACGGATAAATTCGGATAGTTTAATATTTCTCGTTGCATTTCATTAAGATAGATCTTCCTATCAATCTGAGCTCTTGGACCATGTACAGCTGGACCTCTGGATGCATTCAAAATCCGGAAATGAATACCAGCCTTATCGGTAATTCGTGCACTTACTCCATCTAATGCATCAACTTCTCTTAACAACGTACCTTTTCCAACTCCTCCCATGGATGGATTACAAGATGCGGTACCGATTTTGTCAATGTGGGGAGTGATTAAAGTTGTCGGGGAGCCTGATCTGGCTGACCCTGTGGCTGCTTCACATCCGGCATGTCCTCCTCCAATGATGATGACTGGATGATTGGGAGACTGGTTTAGTTTGGTTTGTAAGTCTGCTAACTCTTGTTATCTTGCAAAAACATAAACTTCGGCCAACCGCACACGATCATAATTCCTACTGGTTCTACTGAGCATTTCGATATGTCGACTTGTAAGCTAACAACAGAAAGATGGGAAAGATAGAAACCCAATTTGATATCTCGAATTAATAATTCGCATAGAAAAAATAATTTTCCAATTTAAATTTTCTTTTTCACAGTGAATCGCATCTCATCGCTTGCACAATCCAATAATTATAATCAACAATACGCCAAGATGAGCAGCAAAGTAGCACAACCAGCCGCCGATGACTTGGATGATGGATTAGAATATGACCTCCAATATTCAGAACCAGAGGAAAATTTTGAAGTTATAGAAAATGGATCCGATGCCGAAGAAATCTCGGACAACCAACAACCACAACCATCATTATCATCATCAAAAAGGAGAAAGAAGGATAACTCTGGTCTTCAAGAAAAGAAAAAGATGAAAATGGAAATGGATATCGAAGCTAAGAAGAATATTTCTCTCGAGGAATCTACTGAAATGATTTCTGAATTCATTAATTCAAAGATTCGTAGAAAGAATCAAAATTTATCAGCATTAGAATTGGCGGAATTATATTTCAATAAAAGTGAAATTAGATCTACTTCTGAATACAAAGAGACCAGGAATTTGGATAATTTGGCTGGGTTTATAACTCAAAAGTTTAAGAATATGTTGCCTACTAATAAGATAAAGAAAGACAAGAAAGATAAAAAGAAGAAACCGAAAAAGGAACAAAAAGAAGAACAACCAGCAGACCAAGATGCGGAAGAACGCAAATTCATAGCTATAGTTTCAATGTCTGCTATAAGGGCCTGTGACATCCATAGAGCCACCAAAGATATTTCCGGCTCGTCTCTTAAATTGATCAATAAGAATAAATTACATGTTGATTTAAAATTGGTAAAAACTACCAGATCAAGAGTGTTGTGTTGTACTCCAGGAAGATTAATAAAAGTATTAAATAGTGAAGATTCAGAACTCAAACCAGAAGAAATTAAGATTATAATTGTTGATAATTCATATTTGGATACTAAGAAACAAAACATATGGGATATACAAGAAACTTTTGAAGCACTTAAGAAATTAACCAAGGAAGGTTCTAAGCTTTATCTCTATTGATACACATTTATAGATTTCATTGGATATTAATAAAACAAGATACGTCCCATTAAATATCTCATAGCACAAATAATAGTGTGTGAGCTATCATTGTATGTGCGGGTAACCAGAGTGTGTTTGAGTTTAACTCAATGGAAGCAGGTTTTTCTGTATAAGTTTTTTATAATTGTATAGCTTTCCTAATTGATATGAGTAAAAAAAAAAAATTGAATCTCTTTTATTAGTACCGTATTACTTGTCCGGGTAATTTAAAATATAGTCTCGATCCTTGTAAATACACGACTCTAATTTAAAATCTCGTAAACCCCTGCCATTATGCAACTAAAATGGATTGCGGAGAATTATATCAAAAGCCGAGAGAAGTGAATCCTTTTTCGTCTATTCGAAAGACCTCTTAGGTCATGGAAGGGTTCTAGTCGGCGGAAGAGTTACCATAGAAATTGATATATGTCAGGTGATATTATGTAATTTTATTTAGCCAGTTCCTTATTATGTGCCCACGTTTTCGATGACTAAAGAAAAAAAGGGTTGCAAAATAAATTACTGACAATAGAAAAGCCAATTTGCAACAATAGAAAATGTAATTTATAATATTCTACTCCCAATAGGAAGAGGCTATACAATTAAGGGCAGCTATTAACTATTTACACAATACCAATCATTCTCACACGAGATTAAAAGAATCATATTTAAGTGGCGGCAGCGACCTTTTCTAATCCTTTTTTGACCTCCTTAATCGCAATACTAGTAGTATACCATTGATTGAAATCTGGATATTTTTCAGCAAAATTCTTTATTTCATATTCAGTTCCACGGACACGTTCAAGCATACGGAAATGACCACAAATAAAAGCAATATCAACAATAGTAAATTTTTCTCCGTTAATAAATTTATTTTTAGATAATTGATCTTCTAAAACCAGATAAACTTTTTCTAATGCGCTATAAGTTCTAGCCAAGGTATGTTCATCAGTTGTCTTGGTATGTTTGTTCAGTAATAACATCTTGGTAGCATTAGTGAATTGAGTACTTTGGAAAAATAACCATTGCACTTGTTTCCAATAAGCAGTAGGATCAATTGTTTTAATATAACTCACATTTCCATCGGTGTCATACTTATCAGCAAGATAAAGCAAGATGGCATTTGATTCATGCATGGTAATATCACCATCAACAATCAGAGGAACAAGTCCACTGGGGTTAATTTTCAAATACCAATCTTTTTTAATTTCTGGTGTTGGCCATGGGAATAAATGAAGGGTATGTTGGATGTTCAAGAAATTGAGAAGAATGGTTGGTTTACGACCATTGCCTGTTGGACCAGTGTATACAGTTAATGACATTATGATGAATACTTAGTTAGAATATAAAAGAATGAAAAAGAAGAATTCTTTAAAAAAATTCCAAGTTAATTATTGACTCTTCTTCTTCCTTTGCTATTAGAAAGGCGTGGCAAATAAAAATAAAATAAAACATGGGATTATAATTTTCCATGTGTATTATAAAAATGGCTTTAAATTTCGCATCTATCATTTTTCTTTTAAGATTTTTCATTTTCGTCTTATTATTGTACTTTATTGATTCTAAGCTATTTGATAACAACGATAACCAAGAGATGACAACTACCACTACACATCCCAAGTTTAAAGATGACTTCAAAGTGCTATTAAGTCAACTATCTCTTACTGATAAGTTGCTTCCTTTATTAATCATCCTTGCGATGATTTTAGGTATTCTCTTATCAGTATATGTTCCAAACAGTAGTAAAGCATTTGAAGGAGCTCAAATTATTGGTGTTTCAGTTCCCTTGGCTATTGGTTTAATCGTAATGATGATTCCACCATTATGTAAAGTTGAATGGGAAAACTTTTTCACTTTCTTTTCAAGAACTAAATATTTACGTCCTATTATTATCTCCCTTGTATTAAATTGGATAATATGTCCATTTTTAATGTTTGGATTAGCTTGGATGACCCTTTTTGCTCATGATGAATATAGAACTGGAATTATCATGATTGGTTTAGCTAGATGTATCGCTATGGTCTTGCTTTGGAATGATATCGCCCTTGGTGATAATACTTTATGTGCTGTTATTGTATTAATTAATAGTTTATTACAAGTGGTTCTTTATGCTCCATATCAATTATTCTTCTGTTACGTTATAACTGGTGATCATTCAAATATCGATGCTGGATTATCATACCCCTTAGTTGCTAAAAGTGTTGCATTCTTTTTGGGTGTTCCATTAGGTTTTGGGGTGGTTATTAGATTTATGTCCCTTTGGATCCTTGGTAGAAAGAAATATGAATCCAAATTATTACCTTGGATTGCCCCATGGGCATTAATTGGATTGTTATATACTATTGTGGTTATATTTATTGCCAAGGGGCACGAATTCATTAAAGAAATAAGATCAGCTTTATTATGTTTCATCCCATTGATTATTTATTTCACTGTAACTTGGTTCGGGACCTTCTTTTTATTAAGATGGATCTCAAAACCAACCACTCCACAATCTGATGAGACACACGCAACACCAAGAACAAGTGAAGATGAATCAAAACAATCATTGCTTTGTGGATGTGAAGAAAAAATTGAGAAAAATCCACATAAATGGCAAAAAGGTTGTTCAGCAAACTATGCCGAAACAATAACTCAAACTTTTACTGCTGCTTCTAATAATTTTGAATTGAGTTTGGCAGTAGCTATTTCGCTTTATGGATCAGGAAGTAAACAAGCCATTGCTGCTACTTTTGGTCCACTTTTGGAAGTGCCTATTTTGTTGATTCTTGCGTTTTTAGCTAGATATTTTAGAGTGAAGTTTATTTGGAGTGATGTCGACGATAATGAAGAAGAAGAAGAAGAAAGAGAGGTAATGGTGGATACCGAATAGAGTACTTGTAATGTGAATAGAATGATAAGCTAGTGTTTATAGAAATAGAAACGTAAATAAACATTTCCTATTTATTACTATACGTTTCCCACTGTATATTTATTCTGCTCCCTATTTAAACTATTCAGATATCAGTAATGGCAAATATATGTTTCTATGAGATCTATAAAATGTTTGAATACCCTTCACCACGATCTTAACCGCAGTCTCGTCAATTTCAGTTGAACCAACCAACTCTCCAATCAAACTAATAGCTCCATCGATTTGTTCTTGTTCAATCTTGGAATTACGGAAATGTAATAAAAACAAATAATTCGCAAGGTATGAAAGTGCACGAGATTTATCCGATGAAGTAGAAATCGTTGCTTCCGGCAGCGACTCGACTAAATCTATCTCCTTACCGTTTCTATTATCTACCGAATTCGTAGCAACAGGTATGTCTACTGCATCTCCAGCTTCATCTCGAATCGTTTCATTCTCTGTGGTTTCCAGTTCGTCATTGACCACCTCTGGATTCAAAGTAGATGCTTCCAATTCCTCTAATCCAGCATTATCAGACACTCTGTTCTCGGCTAAAACTTTTTTAAATCCGTTCTCAATCAATTCTAGAGCTTAGGTTAGTAAGAACTATAACTATTTTGATACAAATTGTCAGTAGTAGTGAAATATATTATAATTCGATAATTGTTCACTAATCCTCGAATACTCGTTCGCAAGTTCATACATTGCCAGAGTTAATTTCAAACTTGGTCTAATTGGAATATCTCCACTTTCATTATCCTCCTTTACCAACTCCCCAACGGAATCTTGAAATAATGATTTGAATTTCGGAGTTGGGGTGTTTTTGACCAATTTTTCAAACATTTGATTACATATATCATCAATTTGGATATTTGTATGTTCATATTCCGGTGGTGGCTTTAGGTTGGTTAATTTCTCTTTGAGTCGACTTATGATTCCAATCAAATAGAAATATTTCTCAACTTTTAAATCTTGGAACTTTTCCAAAGTCAGTCCCAAACTAGTTGAAAAGACATCAATCTCTTTCCATAGTGTAAGATTCATTTCAGATTTGAGTTGATCAAATTTCGATATTATAGAATCGATAGTAAAGTTCCCCCATTCGACTTTCTTAATTGCATTGTTAAATATTTGAATGATATGAGATAAACAATTCCGGAAATCCACTTTTGAGATTGTTGTATCTTTAGTGATGGAAACTAACAGGGCATACTTAACACATCCATCAAACCAAGAATGTAACAATGTACCGGCGTCTTCTTGAGATGATGAAACTGAAATATTGGTTTACTGTAATTATATGAGAAGCTACAGACATAGGTATTATAGTTGTTACAAGAACGTAAATAATAGATTTGCAGGTTTCTTTGCTTCATCACTCTCAGGAGAAGATAAGCTTTCTTGTATGATTTGGAAAATACCATCAGAGTCAGATTTGTTTAATTGGGAAACATGTTGTTGATAAGATAAATCTATAATGGAAGTTATTTGAGAAAGGAACTCGGTTAATAATTCTGTCTTTGATATTAACTTAATCAAATTTGATTCATAACCAGATAAATCCATTGAATCCTCTAGTTTTTTCAAACTTATTAAAAAGTTATGAAATATTACAATAGTCGTAGATAAGTTCTCTACACCCGCTCTGGCTTTCGGTGTATTTTCTTCAAGTAAATCCTTTACGAATTTGAATATTATTGCAGGGAAGCTTCCCATCGCAGTTTCGAGTTTTGTGGTATTCTCAATGACAATCTCCTCTGAAAATTGATCAAGGTTAAACTCAACCACTTTATCATCAAACCAAGATTTATGGCCAACTAATGAAGATGCTTTCCAAGGTTTAGTAGCGTTATTCAATACTCTAAAATAATCACCGGAATATATAGTAAAATAATTTGTAATGTATGAACAGGTATTTTCAAAGAATCTCAAGATTTTATTGAAATCGACTTTATCAGCTGATCTGAGTAAGATAATCTCTTCCATTAATTTCTGAATATAATCAAGTCTAAGCTGAGTGAATTTTTCAGTTAGTTTAACAAATGAATTAAGTTATGAATTATTTTTATTCAAGATGGTATAGGTTAATAAATAATTATTAATTGGAAGTGTGTTTCTATCATATGATTCAATCTTTGAATTGACAACTTCATCAATTTCAAATTTATCTAAACAAAAATCGACATCTTCTTCATTATCATCTTCATCTAAGGTATCCTCGTCATCTAAAAGTCCATAATCATCCTGAAGAAGTAAACTAACGTTATTGGTGACTAATTCTTCAAGTTTCAATCTTTGACTCCATATAAATCTATCTCTGTTTGCAGAATGGATAACCGAATCAACGAAATTGTAACTTGCTATTTCATATTCTAAGTAATTACTTAGGTTCTTCTTCAACTTATAAAATTCATCATGAATTGAAGAATTATTTTCAAGAATATCTGGAAATGTCTGTTCAATTGTATAAAATACTTTAGCATAATACATAAAATTCGAAGTATGAAATAAAGGAGATTTAGTTCTATCGGTAGTAATTTTATGATCCAATTTAGCCAATTTCTTATTAATGATATTTCTTACAATAGTTCCTCTTGAATTAGATCTCGCTTGTTGTGCTTGTTGATTTCTTAATTGAGAATCAAATTTCCCAAAATTATCATCATAAAATGACACGAATTTCGATTGTTCATAAGATAAATTGGAAATCTTAGTATCTGAACTTCTACTAACAGCATACATATGATCAATATCTTCAGCAATTTTGATTAAATCTCGATATTTACTTCCAACTAAACTATGAAGATCTGCTTTGGTTTGTTGAATCTTTTGTTGATATTCAGAATTCAATAGTTTGATTTGTGAGATGTTTAAATGAGTGAACATATCATCCACACTAGCAATTCCTTCAGCGTCAACATTCTGAAAACTGTGAGATTCAATGTCTTTGGCAAAATCAGTCATTGTTGATTGATTGACTGGTGATTTAGTTGACGTGGTTTAGCGTGGTTGTAAAAAAAATCAACCCTGAAAAAAACCCAATTGTATAGAGATAGTTATATGCAGTCCATTTGAATCAGCATTCTCAAAGAGACAGTTGGAACTAGTCACCCACTCTATTGCCGAGTTAAATCAAGGGTGACACCTTAACTTGGTCTCTACATTACATTGAATGCGTAACGCCCAGAAGACTGTCTACATTTTGAACCCAAAAGTGAAGATGTAGTAACAATATTCCTTATTTACACTAACTCCAAGAAATTGCATAGAAAATTGATTCAACTCCAAAGCTAGAGTCATTCAATATCATACTATTACTATTTTCTGTATTATCCAACTTAAATGATAGTGAAGTCTATACTCTTAAACCCTCATTGTTGTCTTCAAATGCCCAATCACAAGCTGAAATGAAAATAAAAAAGAGAAATAATGAGTATCGCGCCAATTAAAAAAAGGATAATGGGTTAAGCGTAGATGTTTAATTTATCGACCCAAATAACCACACATTCCACACTTCCAATAACGCCCTGACTTTACTTACTTTAGACAGCAATGACAGGAGACGCTTCTAGGAAGACTAGATCACGAACAGGATGTTTCACCTGTCGTAGGAGAAAGAAGAAATGTGATGAATTACTGTATCCCATTTGTCAAAACTGCCAAGTGAAAGGATTAGAATGTGCTTGGCCACCATTAAAACATGAAATACATAAGAAGGTAGAACAAGTGAGATACATAGATTATAGCGGTCCTATATCAGCAAAATCAGAAAAGCGTGTAAATGAAGACGTGGGAGAAGAAGAAGAAGAGGAGGAACATGAAGATGCTTACAAATCATTAGATGAAGAAACGGAATCATCACTCAGCAGTATTGATTTAATTAATTTGACAAGTGCTCCAACAAACAATACCTCCGTACGACGAACATCAATTGATAATAGCAAAATATATAAGTCCTGGCAAACAACAAATGTCCCATCTAATTCATTTTTGAAACCACAAATAAAACCAACATCATCTGCACGCATGCCTGACAACCACAAGAAATCCAAAAGGGAATATTATCTACAGAGAATAGCAATGCAGCAGGACTGTGTTGATATGGATGAAATAGGTTGATGCCTTCCAGACAGCGTTGTCGTTGTTGTTCAGCTCGGTTACTCAGTTGATCTTATATCATCAGGATTTCAACAAAACCTGAACATACCTGGCAGGCTGATTAGTTATGATGATTTCAAATCTATGAGCAACTCAGCTGAGTCGTTGAATTCATTACTTGCCGATCCTTTGTTAATGTCTTCAATAGATAGCCCTGTCGTTGATGACACATTTCTAGAACAAGCCATACGACAGGTTTTGCCCAGTGAAACACCTGAAACCACTCAAGTCAAACAGAAATCTAGAGAATAACATACGAGTGAGAGATGTTAGTATCATACGTATACATGTACATATATAGTTCATTAATAGAGTCCTGGTCTGTACTCCGATATTCGGGGGACATAAATGACCGGAATCGGTTTTTCTTTACTTTTCTTTGACCGGAAGTCAAAAAGAAACGACCTGCTAGTTTTTTTTCCTGTTTAAGGGGGTTAAAGGAATCTTCTTTTTTTTTTGCAGGTTAGACATTTTTTTTTTCAACAAAGAATTAATAAACCCTCTTTAACTTGGAGTTATTCGAACAACAGACAGACAGACAATCCAGTTACTAGATCCTATTTGATGAGATAACACCTAAAGAGCTTACCAACAACAAAGTCTAAACAGATACAGTGAAATAATCCTCGAAAGAAAACTTAAAATATTAACAAAAAGACTTTTTCAAATTTTCTGGTAATCCAAACATCGCAAGTATTGAAAAACATAATCTATTTAATCTATAATCAAATACCATGACATCATTACAAAACGCAGTTAGTGATTCTTATTATCAAGATGCTACAGTAACATATTATAGCAGTGGGCCAAACCCCGCAAATTCACATCCATCAGACGGTCAACTAGCATCACAATCCCTACAACCCCAACAGGAACAACAACAACAGCAGCCATTGATAGACCACCAAACAGGGTCTCCAACATCTTCGGTCTCTTCCCATTCCACAGCCTACTACGAATCAGTACCTCCAACTTCCATACCTGACCAATCTCCGCCCATGCAACATCAACAATACTATGACCCCGAAGAGGAAGTCGACGCATCGAGTCCTCCGGCAGGTGAACCCGCTGAACAACCATTCTACGTCAATGCAAAACAATATCATCGGATATTAAAAAGGCGAATTGCCAGGGCTAAACTAGAAGAAAACTTGAAGATTGCCAGAAGGAGGAAACCATATGATGTACTTAGGTCTGTATTTGTACGGTACTCTTCTGGATCTCCTGTTCCTCCTTGGTTTTTGACAGCGGCTGAGATTGCTGAGAAGGAGAGATTGGATAAATTGAAAGAATTGGAAAATCAAGGACAGAATACTGAAGGAGCTGCCAATAATAATAACAATAATAATAATAGTACGGATCCTGAGAGTACGAGTACTAATGATACTGTTGGAGGTAGTTTGGATAATTTGGCGGCTGATCAAACTGAAGGACAAGTCAAAGGTGAATCAACTCAAGAACAAAGACCGTTGAGTAATGGAGATAGTGTCTATCATGTCATAAATGGTACGGCTGAACATCCTCAGTCTGAACAGATATCTTCCGCTCAAGCAGAATCTAATTAGATACATTCCGCTTTCCTGACGTTTCCTTTCCATTCTCCATTTAGTTCATTATTTGTGTTTTTGTATTTATTCTCCACCAAAAAGATTGTTCTTCCCATTTAGATCTTTGTACTTTTATTAAATTAAAGAGAGCATTATAAAGTTATACTTTCGTTTCAGACATTACAAGAAAGAAAAATGTTTTATATGTAATTATGTTTTTATGTGTTCTAGATGATTTTATTATTTGATATTTCAGTTTGTCTTTTACAATTAGATTTGTTTAGTCTTTTATTGACAATTAATGTTAATTATGTATTATGATTATTATACAAATAACTTTCTAAACAAAATACAGAGGGAGGTACTTCTTTATGTATCTTATAATCCCAACTTCTTTAAAATAGATTGAGATTCCCGACTTAATTGGTTTAAATATTCAACGGGGATATGTTTGATATTTGTAAAAATTGCCAATTTGATCGATTCAAAATCATTACTCTTAATACTTGACACAGGATCAAATGAAACATTACTAATGGATACAATCTTGGAGAAATGGGATCCGAATGCAGATAAATCCAAATCTAATTCATTGATTGGAGCTGCCGGACCACCCGCATGTGGAACTGCTGCTCCGGCACTTGATCCAGTGAGTGCTTTATTTATTCCTTCATAAGAATCCAAGTTTTGGGCTAATTGCTCAATAGTAGGAACAATCAACATTTGATAATTTGAACTGAAAGATTGTGAAATAAGTAATTGGGATAATCCAACATTTACAATTTTCTTATCTTGTAAATTCGATAAAGTTCCTGAAATTGGTAATATAAAAGATTTATAAATCTGTTGGAAAACTCCTTGTTGAACAGAATCAATTAAATTAATTGGGAAATCTCCATTCAAAGATTCTGAATTTATAAATGTTTCTCCACTTGAATTTAATGAAATAGTAGCCAATGTATTCAAAAATACAACTAATCGTTTTACAAATTTATCCGTTCTTGAATCTTGTAATCTTCTCAATAATAATTGACCAATTGTTCTAATATGTGGTTGTAATGCAGTAAATGGAATATTCAACAAAATAGATTGTAATAAATCAAATCCATAGGCATCATTAACCTTAGATGCAATTAATTTTTGGAAAACTCCCAATAAAGGAGTCAAACTATCTTGACTAGCTATGAAAGTTGAAGGATCATGTTCCAAAATAGCAATCAATAATCTAGTAATCCCAGGAATATTCCCTCTAAATGCCCAAACTGAAGTTGAAAGTAATGGTGGAATCAAATTTCTATAAGTATCAGGTAATCCATTTGATCTTGGATAATTTTCCAATAAGAATGCCAAGATTTGGAAAGTATATGGAACGAATTCTTGAACATCCTCACCCAAAATTTCTAATAATGCTGGGATAATTAATTCAATATATTCTTTGATATTTGATAATCCGAATTTAATTAATAATCCTAATGATTCAAATACATAATGAGAAAATTTGGGGTTGGAAGGGTTTTTAGCAGTTACTCTTAAAATCTGTAATAATTGCTCAATAATTGGTAATCTTGTGATCAAAGAATCTTCAGCTGTATATAAAATCCTCATTAAACATTTAATTAAGAATTCATTTTCTGCCAATTTTTCTGGGGATGAATTATTAATTAAAATAAGATTGAATAAATTGGTTAATAACTCAGTAAGATATGGTTCAATATCATGCTTGTTGAAAAGACCTAATACTAGAACTGACTTTAATCAGTACCGGTTATCAAAAAGTTACCACTAGGCTGAATATGTGAATACGACTGGATTGGCTTGAGGACTCAAATGATTTATTAATAATGGTATTGTGGTAATAAGTTGCTCTTTGGTTAATTGATTTCTAAATACAAAAATGTACTTGATAGCATCAACTTGTAAAATAGGATGAGTGGATGGAGATACTAAATCATTAGCAATATTATCAGTGAAAAACTTAACAACATCAACTAATACATTGGTGGAAGTGACTCCAATATTTGTAACTGACCCCTTTGTAGCTAATGAACTAAATAAATATATTGCCGTATCTTTATTTTTCCAATCTTGTTGTGACATTGATAAGAATTGGTTAACATATTTCATAACGGAATTAGTTAATAATTCACTATTCAATTCTTTTAATTCTCTTAAGAAATCAGTAGCACTTTTTCTTCTTGAATCAAAATCTGATCCTTCCAAATCTGATCTAACATAATTAATTGGTTCATCTTCAAAGGCTTCTTCATCGATTTCTCGGAAATAAATATTTGGTAATATAATTTTTTCAATGATTTCATTTATTGAATTTTCATTTTGGAATAAATCTTGATAGTTTGGAATTTTAATAATTGATGTTAAGAATTGTAATGCTTTAACAACTAATAAATCATATTTTGGTTGCTTGGTAATATAAGTATTGACTAATTCCCAAATGGAAGTTATAAAAGTTTGAATCAATGGTTCAAAAACATCGGCATATCTTGTGACATAAAGTAAAACCAATTCTATAGTAGCGGTTTTAACTTTAATTAATACTTCAATTTCATCATCTTCATCATCCTTTCTTAATAATGGATTGGTATAGACTAAATATTTATGAATAATAGTCATTAATTCATTCATATGATCTTCAAAAAACTCAGGGATATCTTGACAATTAAAATCATAATATATTTGAATTAATAATAACAAATTATCAAAATAAATATTTAATAATGCTTGATTATCATTATTTTTATCAATTAATGAATCTAATTCAACAAACAATTTCAAAAATGGATCAACAAATTTCTCTAATACCAATTTAATTTCTAAAAACAATTCATCAGATCGAAATAATGGACGCCATTTCTTAAAGATAGAATGTGAAACTAATAAAATTGCTTTATTATTAACAAAATCAGTTAATGAAAGTTTTCCAACTAAATTATCAATTAAATTTGGCCAATTATGAGGGAAATCACATTCAGCAATCAAAGTAATTGCTTCACCAATTTGAACTTGTAATTGATTAGGTAATTCAATCATAACATCAAGAATTTCCACTTTGATCTTATTAACATCTTCAATAGGTAATAAATAACTACCTTCTTCATCAACCCATTTTCTTTTAATTAAGTTCTTGAAAAATAATGCACCGGCCAATCTAACCGATTGGGATAAATTCGTGGAAGCGATTACATGAAGTAGATTTATTGAGAATCCTGGTTGTGATTCAATTGATCTTAATAACTTTTCAGCTTCTTTTGCATATTGGGGTGAAAGTGATTGTTCCAAATATTTTGGAATTGATGTTAATGTATTTTCTGCCATTCCGTATTATCCTTATCCTCTTAGTATCTGTCAGCTAATCAACCAGATGGTATGTGATCTGCTAGGGGTATTTATAGATTTGAGATCCCTCAAAACAATTGAGAGTTATGTTGTGTATACTTCTTTGTTTTGCAACGAATTTTTCAAGATGTTTTTTTCCCTCCTCTTCTTGTTTCTTCTTTCTTCTTCTCCTTGTTTAGTAGATCCCGACGACATTAATCAATTGAAACGAGACATTTTATGAATGTCGCATTTTAAAGTTTTGCAACCAACTCACAGTCATATCCATATACCCTTCCTCTCCCCCCCGAATAAATGAAAAATATAAGGACATAAGACAGTCAAGGTATTTCTCAGATGATCAGGGCTCTCTTTAGGGCCTCTTTTCCTCAGTAAATGCGATTGAAATATACCCAATAGCAAACTATTGGTGTGGTTAGATTTAAAAAATACACTTGCTACAATTGGCAGGAAACCTGAAAACCCATTGTATGTAGCGGGTTGAGCAATTGTTTATACTCAATGTTATTAATATGTTTTAGCTAACTTTATGTTCCACCGCAAGCGGTCAAATTCCATTATCAGGGAAAGAAGAAGAAAAGTGAAACACTTCTATTCATGAATTTTTTTGTTAAAATCTTGCAAAAATGAAGCTTCACAATCGTAGATAACGTTTAATTCGATTTTAACGTAATTATTTATAGAGCCATCGTGACTAGGAACCCGCTAAATGGTTCGTCCAGATTGACGAGTCTGTTTCTAACGATAATGTATATGCATAAGAGAATCAATAGCCCTTGTCGAAGAGTAATGGTTATGAATCCATTAGACTCACTGAAAATTTTAGATATTATATTAAGTCCTTCTATTAAACAACATTGCTACTTGACTAATATATGAAAAAGCAATATAAATGATAAATATATAAAACTAAAAAAAAAATAGTCCTAAAACATGAATTTGAAGAAAGGAAGTAACAAGGTCAATATTGGCTGTTTCAAATTTATGTATTATTATACAAGGCAACATACAATGTACTTTAATTTATGCTAATTTATTTATTTATGATTATTTGGAGTTGGTAAAGCTTGAGATTCCTTTTGTTGCTTTTGTTTAGCAACAGCATAAACCAATCCAGCACCAAAACCAACAAAAATTGAAGAAACTGACCAGAAATTAACAACAGCATTGAAGAAAACCAATCCAGAAAGAGCAATTGGTAATTTATTTAATGCACCAACCATAGAATAAGTGGTTGAGGAAGTGACTCTAACACACCAGGCTGAACAATAAGAAATACCAACTGAAGAAGCACCACTTAAAACCATAGCAGAAATAGTAACAAATCTATTATCAGCAGGGAAATTAAGGGATAAATTATCAGATGACCAATCTTCAAAGATAAATGAACAAATTAATAAAATTGGCACGGATAATAAGTTATTATAATACATGGTATCAAAATCCTTAAAATTAGTTAACTTAATTCTTTTTCTCATAATTAAAACAAATGCAGCTGAAGCAAAACAATTGGTAAACATCCAGAAATATCCTAAATACATGGCAACAGTATCATCCTGAGATTTGACAGCAGCATTATCACCATAGTAAGCAATGACTGAAGATAAAACCATTAATAAGAATGAACTCAAAGCCATAGTAGTAACTTTACCACCAAACCAAATAACTTCACCATAAGCAATTAAAATAATTGTTAAATTCTTGAAAATGGTATAAACTGGAATACTTAAATATTGTAAAGCTTTTGATGAAGTATAAATCATGGCAACTAATAAAAATGCAATTGGTGACCATTTTTTAGCTTCATCTTTATTAAACTGTCTATAAGTAATAATACCACATGTTTTTAATGAACCAATGACAAAAAGACAAACCATAGATTGAACTGCCAATAAGAAGAAGTTCAAATTGAAACTAAAACCTGAAAGAACATATTTGTTTGTAACTGTCATCAAAATTGATGAAAAACAATATGCAAAAATTGATATTGGACCACTATTAGTGATTGAATGAAAGAAACTATGTCCAATCACTGGAAGGGGAGATCCTGACTTTTCCATTGTGTCTGTTGTTGTTGATTTTCGATATTTCTTGTTAATTAGATATAAGACTTGGCCAACTAAATAAACCAGAAGTATTCCCATAAAAAAGAAGGGTTTTCCAAATGAGAAAGAAAAAAAATTTAAGTTATGAATAAAATCTTTTACTTTTAAATGAAAAAAAAAGAACACATTTCCCAGAACAGACACGTAAAAAAAAAAAAAAAACAACAAGGATGCAGACACAATTTTTATTTATTTTTGTAATTTATTACGACGGAAAATTTCAATACAATAGAAAAAATACAACTAAGAAATGCAACTGAAATTTTACACTTTTGAAAAAAAACTTTAATTATGTCTCAAACTCATCTCTTTTCACTCTATTACTAGCCACTTCAAAGATATAATTTTTGAGTCAGCCCCTATGACACAAGGTAGGATCTAAAGCTTAAATTAGTAGCGTGGCATATTAGAAGTTGTATCAAGTATGAGACAGATATGACATTCCTAACGTGTAAAACATTCTTTTCAACAATGAAACANTAAAGTAGTAGCGTGGCATATTAGATCAAGGATGAGACAGATATGACATTCCTAACGTGTAAAACATTCTTTTCAACAATGAAACAGATTTGCAACAATACAGATTATTTTTAGATTTTACGTATTTACAGTTTATTTCCAACGGGGTTGTTCTATCAAAAGTCGTGTCCTCGGAGAAAAAAGCATAGCTTATAGTACGAAGATAACAGCCTGTTGTTCTTGTTCAGCCCCTGAGCTGCAACTTGTTAGGCGGTATACCTACTGTATAAACTATGACAGTTGCAAAATTGGTACTAATTGTTTGCCTTAGTAAAAGGTTATTTACTGTACCATTCACAGCCAAGGCTAATCACAAAAATTATTCTTCTATGGCTTCTTTAAATTATATAATAGCAATCATATCCATACCTATGTCTTATTTCTTTTGTTTTATGATCATATTCTTATATTTGTGTTCTTTCAATAAATGCGTTAATAAATATTTAATTGTTACACTAATACTTGTATTTCAACCAAACAATAGAGACAATTGAGAATTATGCACATAATAAAAAAAAGTCAATCAACCATGTTTTAATGAGACGCGTTTTTTTTCTTTCTATCTAACAATCACAAAGATAAGATCTAAGATACAGAAAGCCACTATGATGCTACTGGAGTTACAGATGAATATGCTTTAATAACTCACCGGTTCTCTCTTGAAACAAACAGGAGGTTTCCATTTGGTATGGTATCTGACTTCCACTAGGGTAATCATGCATGTCAGGTAATTGAAGTAAATAAAGTATTAGTCGAAGAAAGGAAACATAGCTTACAAATCCGATAACCATCACAACACTGTGAATTTAAAGTTGTATTATTATTATTATTCTTCCAGAACAATAAATGAAAACGTTCTCTCATATCGAAAAATCTCATTCAAATCCAATTTTTTATTTTTGGGTGCAAAAGCCTCTATCCATGTTTCCACAAAGATCTTCCGTCTCCGGAACAACTGCCCGGAACAGACCGTGTAGATGTATTCACATTTATCATTCTCATAGAGAATCCCCAATTCAACAACAAACTAACTAATAATCATAAAATAACGTTAAAATTAAAACACAAAGAAACAAAATAATAAAATATCTATAATAATAATATAACTATACAAGTACATGTAATAAATGCATAAAAATAAAAATGTATGCTAAAAGTCTTTTTGGGATGGATGGAACACATAGAGGCATTGACTGAACCACTCAATCATTGTAATCACCTCTGTTATACATACTAATATCAACTTCTGCCTTGACATCAATAAGATCATCTTGATCAATACATGCATCAATACTCAATCCTCTACTTCTTTGATCTTTTATTCTTTGATTTTGAGCTCTAATCTTTTCCAATTCTTGTAAATAATTATCTTCAACCCCAGTAATATATTGTCCAGTGAAAACACCAACTTCAAAATCATTTATGGTTGCTGATTTACAACAATCAACTAAATCGGCTAAGTCTTGATATATGACTTTATCAGCACCAATTACACTGGCAATTTCATCTTCATCACGATTGAAACCAACTAAGGCTTTGGTATCGGCTAAATCAATACCATATATATGATTGAATCTAATAGGTGGGGCACAAGATGCGAAATATACTTTCTTGGCACCGGCTTCTCTAGCCATGGCAACGATTTCTTTTGAAGTAGTACCTCTAACAATAGAATCATCCACCAATAAAACATTCTTATTTTGGAATTCTGATTCCATAGCATTTAATTTTCTACGAACTGATGATCTTCTTTCTTGTTGATCAGGCATGATGAAAGTTCTACCGATATATCTATTCTTAATGAATCCTTCACGATATGGAACATTCAAACTAACTGCACATTGGAATGCTGAAGTTCTGGCAGTGTCAGGAACAGGAATAATAACATCAATAGTTTCTTCTTTGGACAAAGTTTGTTGGATCTTTGCAGCCAATTTAATACCCATTTCAATTCTTGATCTATATACAGAAACACCATCAAGGACAGAATCAGGTCTGGCGAAATAAACATATTCGAAAATATCAGGTGAAAAAGTCTTTGGTTCAACTACTTGTTTGAATTCAGGTTCAAGACCATCTTTTCTAATAATAACAGCTTCACCAGGATGAATATCCCTAAATTTATGAAATCCATGAGCTTTTAATACAACCGATTCAGAAGCTAACATATAATCCTTCTTACCATCTGAATTCACTCTTTCACCAAATAAAAGTGGTCTAATACCATTTGGATCACGGAATCCGATAATACCATACCCTGCTAACATGGCAACACAAGCATATGCCCCTCTAATCATATTCATAGTTCCAGTTAAAGCCGAAAACACATCAGCATTATTAACTCTTGATTTATTAAATTTATCCAATTCAGCAGCAAAGATATTAATCAATAATTCAGAATCAGAATCAGTATTAATATGACGATGAACAACTTCATCCAAATGTTGTTTTAATTCAATAGAATTGACTAAATTACCATTATGACTCAAAGTGATCCCATATGGTGAATTGACATAAAATGGTTGTGCTTCACTTCCAGCACTTGAACCAGCAGTAGGGTAACGTAAATGACAAATCCCCATATTTCCAACAAGATTATTCATTCTGGATTGGGTGAAAACATCACGAGCCATACCGTTTCCTTTACATTGATAGAATCGTCCTCCTGATCCACAAGTAACTATACCGGCTGCATCTTGACCTCTATGTTGTAAAAACATAGCACCTTCGAATAATTCGGCAGCTACGTTTTTACGTTGGTCAGCAACGACTACACCTAAGATACCACACATGTTGTTTTGGGATTAATAATACAAAGAAAAGCTTTTGAAAAAGGGTGAAGAATATGAATCTTAAGAAGAAGAGAAGAAGATATAAATTTGTAAAGCGATGCCAAAAAAAAAAAAAATCTTGCAATGAAAATTTTTTGTGACCTTAGAAAATTTTATTTTATGAAATTTCTTTTCTTTTTGGATTTACTAAGACCTTTAACGACATATTTACGATGAGGAGCGACATTTATTATTCTCAGTCTTACCGTCCAATACTGTTTATTCATGTTTATAGTTTACTGGAGAAGAGTGTCAATCATTTGATGGTTGACTCAACCGAAGTCAAATTAGATAACGATTCAAACAAGCCAATTTAAGATTTTGTGAATTAATCAACTGCAGAGTCAAATCTTTGATGCCGCGGTCTAATTACATGGTACATGCCAGTTTTGTGAGATATTCCATTCTACAATCTTTTAGAGTAAATCTTTAATACATCAAATAGGGTTCATCTTCTTTAAACTATACAAATCTCTCTATTTAATGTACAACTACATAGCATTCATAAATAAGATTCAAATAAAAAAAGTATGCCCTGTGGATGGGGGACACACCAAAAAAAAATCTAAATCATTTATGAAAAATTCACTTCACACCCGTTTTTGCAACCATTCATCAAAAACACAACTCACTTCATCTCATCTCATCCTACCTCTCCTCTTCTTCTAAAAAAAAACAATTCATCAACATCATGACATTGTCGTATTCAAAACCAGTCTCTATCAACAATAATACCCAATACTTAAAATAATAACAATAATAAAAAAAATTATAGCGTGAAAAACTCCAAGTAATAATAACAAAACACATATAACAGTATAAACATAAAAAAACAGTAATACCAAACCATATCTCTCACATCACATTCACACACTTGCTATATAATATACACACATAAAAATGAAACTTCTAATTCAATCGAAACAAGTTATCAAAAACATAATATAAAAATAATAAACTCAAAAATGGTGGTGACACTAATTCTCAGTCACACACGCATTGGCAAAAACATGGCAAAAAACATAATAATAAACAAAGCAAAAGGAAAATAGCATGTGTCGATGTTTGTGATATGGTATTGTTCTAGTAGTTCATAACTCTATTGATATTGTTGTGCTGGTTGTTGTTGGGGAGGCTGTTGTTGTGGTTGATACTGGTTATATTGTTGGGGTTGATATCCTGCAAATTGTTGTGGGACATGTTGTTGGTATGGATATCCGTTATATTGTGGAGATGGGACAGCTTGTGGCGCATATTGTCCTGGTATCTGTTGTACAGGAGCTTGTGGTTGTTGCGGTTGCTGTTGTTGGGGAGTACCTGCATGTGAAGGGGTCGCTTGCGCAGATCCAGGAGACAGCTGTTGTTGCTGTGGAGTATGATGTTGCAGGTGTTGTTGCTGTTGATGTTGTTCAGGTTGTCCCTTATATTCATAACCTTTACCATGTACGGTAGAATTACCTTTTGGTAATTCATCAATTCTAAATGGTCTTGGAACCGCATCTTCATTTTCAGCAACATATAATTTCTTATCAATAACAGCAGGAATTGGTTTAATTTCAGTACCTAATTCTTGTTCAATTTTATATAATGAATATCGATCATTCCAACTCATTAAATTAATGGCTAAACCTAAATGACCAAATCTACCAGAACGACCAATTCTATGTAAATAAGTTTCAGCAGTTTTGGGGAAATCAAAATTAATAACAACATTAACTGCTTGAATATCAATACCTCTGGTTAATAAATCGGAACAAACTAAATTACGAACTTTTCCTTGTCTAAATTCATGGAAAACTTTATTTCTAGCTTGTTGAGGCATTTTTGCATGAGAATAATAACATGAATATCCTAATTCTGTAATTTTTTTAGCTAATAATTCAACTCTATTTGTTGAATTACAAAATATAATTGATTGATTGATTTGTAATTTACTAAATAAAGTGTTTAAACAATGTAATTTTTGTTTTTCTTCAACAAAAGCATAAAATTGTGAAATACCTCTTAAAGTTAATTCATCCATTAAATTAATTTCATAAGGTTTATTTAAATGCTGATCCATAAATGATTTAACTGCCAATGGGAAAGTTGCTGAAAATAATAATGCTTGTCTATTTTCCGGGAAAAATTCTAAAATTTGTTCAATTATACCTTTAAATTCTCTTGATAACATTTTATCAGCTTCATCCATTACAAACACTGGACATTCAGATAAATCAACCACTTTTCTAGATGCCAAATCTAAAACTCTACCAGGAGTACCAACTAATATATGAACAGGATCATTTAATCTAACGATATCATCTCTTAAGGAAGTACCACCCGTGGTAACCATACATTGAATACCTAAATGTTTACCCAATGTTCTAACAACTTGTGAAGTTTGTAATGCCAACTCTCTAGTTGGAACTAAAATTAATGCTTGAATTTTATTTAATTTTGGTTTAATTTGTTGTAAACAAGGAATGACAAATGATGCAGTTTTACCAGTACCATTCTTAGCTCTTGCTAATATATCTCTACCTGCTAATGCCATGGGGATTGATTCTTCTTGAATGGGTGAAGGTTTTTCAAATCCTGCTTCAAAGATCCCCATTAATAATTCTCGTTTTAAATTGAATTCTTCAAATGTTTTTCCTTTTGTATTTAAAACATCTTCTGTTTGTGGTCTAGTATCTCTAGCTGGAAGATTTAAATTCTGTTTCCAATTTTGATCAGACATATTGATTATGATTTGTTTATGATATATATAGTTCTTAAAGTAAATTTATTTATTTATAAGGGATTTTTAATAATACAAAATTTGATGTTATATAGGAACAGATTGTGATTTGAATGAAATTTCTATATTTGACTTTCTCTTCGTTAACTTTGATTATGATACTTGAAATGCCGTCGTAATAATTGAATTGATATGAACGGATGTTGAAATGTTAAGTATTCTCTTTTACTTCTAATAAATGATAACAATAAGACACGAGTGTGATTATTTGCAAGTCTGTTTGTGTGTGTTGGTTGGAAGTTTTAAGATACTTTGTTGTATTGTAATAAAAGTTCAAGGGGGGTTGTTGTGTATAGGGGATGTAGTTTGTAATAATGGTTCTTAAGTTCTTTGATAGTTTTTAAGGGGATAGAAATTGGAGTGCGAAAGGAAAGAAAAATTTTTTGTTCGTTCAATTGGATCAAAAATTAATTTAATTTTGATAAAAAAAAATTACAATTTAATGCAAAGTACACGACCTTTGTTTGTTTATATTACCCGGAAGTAAAACCTTATTTTGCAGCCAAATTACTTTACTTTCAAAAGGGTTTCATAAATCACAGGCGATTCCTGTTGCAATGGGGTTTACTTTATTGAGATTTAAGAAACGAGACTCAGCCGAAAGAAATGATTAACATCGAATTGGGATTATATTACATTTATAAAGTTTTACTTAGAATATCGTTTAGTTTGTATATATATTTGTATAAATTCTATACCAAATATATTCTACTAACGTTTAACAAAAGAAGTTGTAAATTCTATAAAAGATTGACCTTTCTTGCAAAAGTCGCTTCTCCTCAGCAATTTCAAATCTAAGTTGTTGAATATCAACATCTCTTCTCCCAGTATCCAAATCAATATCTTCCAAACTTACCATAAATGATCTCCAACCACACACAGTTTTATGAATGGCAAAAATAATAAGCAACAATGGTAAAGAAAGACAATATTGAAAGAATGTAACAATTTGGGGTGTATCTGATCCAATTGGATAAATTGCCGTCCAAATCTCACCTCCTATTACAAATGCCAAAATTAACATACCACTATAGGAGCCAACAATACCGAATGGAGAAACAAAGGCAACTTCATCTAAAGTTCTACCTTGTGCGTTAAGAGCCAGCCTCCATCTAATATGGGTGAAACAGATGAATCCCCAAGTAAAGAAAGCAGATAATGAACATACAGAATAAAACCAAGTAAAGACTTCCCCTTGATTTTCATTAACAACCAAAAATCCTAATAATCCAACTGCATTTGAAATCATGATAGCAACGAGTGGTCTCCCACGTTTGTCAACATAGGCTACAATTTTAGGCAATAACCCTTGTGCTGCTAAAGAACACAATGTTCTCAGAGACCCATAGACCGAAGAATTACCAACTGACACAACAGCTGCAAGAATGGTTCCGTTCATAATACTGGGCGCAACTTTAATACCTGCTTCATAAAGAGCAATAACAAATGGTGATGCTGTTGGTCCATCACCACTAAGTAAATCAGGATTTGTGTATGGAACTAAACTACCAATGACAATTGCAGTTAAAATATAGAAAAGAAAGATTCTCCAGAAAACTTGCTTAGTAGCTTTAGGTAATGCCTTTCTTGGATTGACTGATTCAGCAGCAGCTAAAGCTACCAATTCAATACCACCAAAACTAAAAGCAGATGTAATAAAAACAGTACAAAGACCTTTTAAACCATTGTTGAAAGCACCTGGATTATGCCAATACTTTCCACCTATATAACCGCCATCTCCAGCACCAGCAATCACACAAATACCACAAATGATAAATCCAAAAACAGCAATAATCTTAACAATAGATAATACAAATTCAACTTCGCCATAACCCTTGACACCAAATAAATTGACACTAGCGATGAACACATAAAAGATCGCAACCCAAAGAGCAGGATTTATCAGTTTATTCCAATAGCCAATAGTCATCGATGCAGCAATTAATTCCGAAGGATATGACACAATCCAAGAACAAGCATACATTATACCCAAAGTAAAACCCCAACTAGGATCAACAAACCTAGAAAAGAATGCATTAAAAGATCCGGAAACTGGGAACTGGACAGATAATTCACCCAAAGCATACATGACACATAATAAACAATACCCAATTATCAAATACCCAAGAAGCAAAAATCCAGGTCCTCCAGCATATAAGGCCCACCCAGAACCAACAAATAGACCAGTACCTATAGACCCACCAATAGCAATCATTTGTAAATGTCTTGCTTTTAATTTCTGTGCTAATGGATGCTTGGAGGTCGCAATGACTGTTCTTTGCGTAAGATTTAATTCACTTGGATCATAGCCTTCTTCTTCTAAGTCCATTGGTTTGAACGAATCAATGAAGCGGGCGAAGGCGCCTTGAGGAGTTGGTGCTGGAGTTGGGGAATTATAACTTTCCTGAGATGTGGAATGGTAGGTTTCAGTTTCGCCATAGCTTGGGCCCTTGGCATACTGAGGGCGTTGTTGTTTTTCGTAGTCCATGGTTGTCTTCGACCCTTTGGATACCTTTAGAAAAAACTAATTCTAATTGATTCAGATGGACAACGAAAAGTAATTTATATATAAAAGATTGATTCTAAAGACAGGCGGGTAAACTTTCATCTCTCTTTATTTAAACTTTCTGGTGAAAATTTTGCATCCATTGTTTTTTCGGGTAATTTGCAACCCGGCAAAAGTTGACTTGGTGTTTTGGCCTCTCTTTATGTTTTATTCCTAAATGTGGCTGTAGTTTAAGATTTTGTGGTTTTCTGTTTTAAAAGCCTCTTATCAAATTGGGTAATAAAGTTTAACTTCAAAGGTGTAGAAATAGGTCCCGTGTATTACGCAAGACATTGCGCAACCAGTGGTGTTCTAGATCGGAAGTTTACGGTTGGCAATCATCGGGGAAAATCCCCTAGACAAATCTACCTGTTCGAAGAGATTTTCAAATATTTGTTACCCTCTTACAAAGGAAGTCACAATTTTACGATGCAGGGGCTTGATTATAGACAGGTCTGAATTATACAAATACTAAAAAGCAATGAAATTTGGAAAGTTCTAACGATGTGGGCCTTCCCCTTTTCAAATCAACTACACGACATAACTGTGGACAGGTCTCACTGCACGTCAATAAAACGAAAGGCATTTTAGAATACTCGGGAGCAAACGCTGTTATAGTCTCTTTCCTTCACTTGCAGTATGATCATTATTATGCCTTTCCTTCTTTTGGTTTCTACATTAATTGAGAATAAGACTTCGAATTGTTTCGAATTTAGACGAGTTCGCTTTGTGCACTGTTTGATTTTGCTATTAATTTGCAAAAACAACAAAAGATTGCAAGAATTAGAGAATCTCCATTGCTGAAAAGTTGTTGAGTAATCAGATTTTCAAAGCCAATTTCGGTAAATATTAACGGATTATTATCCAATAGAAAGTATCTTATCTAAATTTACTTTGTTACGGATTATCCAGCTGTGTCTTAATACTACAAGAGATGATTGCAGGAGCAGAAGTTTAGGAAGTACACTGTCCTGATTTATTTTGACAATCAAATTATTGGTCAAGCTTATTCCGTGCTCAAATCTAACAGTATTTTCTCTTGGTTGTAAAATTAAGTCTATATGGCAATACTTACTATACTTGTTGGATAATGTCATTAATCTGACAGGTCTGGTCCCAATTCTTTGATGATACAGGAGCTTCATGCAATTACCCAAATTTATTTCTATAAGTTCCATTTTTCATGAAGATATGGGAGCAACTTCGAGGAATACCTAGCAGATCCTCTACACCGAAAGAACTCAACTATAAGCTATTTGTATTTCAACACCAAAATTTGTATATACGTTTCCAGAGAGGCATTTCTCTTAGTTCTGCCCTTTCATCAGCAATTTCCTGTTTCAATTGCTCAACATTGAGTTCACTCCTACCAGAATCTAAATCAACTTCTTCCAAATTAACCATCAATTGTCCCCAAGTTCCATAATAGGTTTTATGACCTACAATCATCAATATCAATATTGGTAATGAAAGACAGTTCTGCCAAAATTGAACAACATTTGCTGACGAAGACCCAATTGGCCAAATAGAAACCCAAATTTCTCCCATGACAATTAATCCCAATATAATTAGACCAGAATATGATCCCCAGGTCCCCATGGGTGAAACAAAAGCCACTTCATCCAATGATCTACCTTGTGCATCAAGGGCCCATCTCCAACGTAAATGAGTAAAACAAATTGCGGCCCATGTAAAAAATGCTGCTAATGAACACACCGAGAAGAACCATGTAAATACTATTGATTCATTTTCACTAATGACCAAGAATCCCAATAATCCCACCACTTTTATAAATGCAACTGAAACAATCGGCCTTCCAGCTTTGTCAATATAACCAAAAATGGAAGGGACGAGACCTTGAGCAGCTAGTGAACATAATGAACGACTGAAACCGTATACCGATGCATTTCCGACAGAGACAACTGCAAGCAAGATAACAGCATTCATGACATGAGGTAGGACATTTATACCTCCCGCAGTTATAGCAATCACAAACGGAGATGCAGAAATTCCGTCTCCATTCAACAAAAGTGGGTTTGTATAAGGGACGAGACAACCAATGACAATAGCTGTCATTATGTAAAATATGAAGATTCTCCAAAATACTTGTTTGGTAGCTTTTGGCAATGATTTTCGAGGATTTTCAGTCTCGGCAGCAGTTAGGGCCACCAATTCAATCCCGCCAAAACTGAAAGCTGCACTTACAAACACTGAACATACGCCTTTGAAACCGTGATTGAATGCACCTGGATCATGCCAATATCTTCCTCCTCTATATCCTTGATCTCCAACACCACATATAATAGTAATAGACACTATAATGAATAGAATGACAGCTAGGACTTTGATAAGCGATAATACAAATTCTACCTCTGCAAACCCCTTGACCCCAAATAGATTAATGATAGCTATCACTGACCAGAATACAGCTATCCAAACAGCCCCATTAATTTCGGTATTCCAATATTGTACAGTCAATGCACAAGCAATCAATTCAGAAGGATATGAAATCATCCACGAACAAGCGTACATTATCCCCAAAGCAAATCCCCAACTTGGATCCACAAACCTTGAGAAAAACGCGTTGAATGATCCCGATACCGGGAACTGAACTGACATTTCACCCAATGCAAACACCACACAAAGCAATGCATATCCAACAATGGTATATCCAATAAGCACAGCAGCTGGACCACCATTTGCGAGTGCATATCCTGACCCAACAAACAATCCAGTACCAATAGACCCTCCAATCGCTATCATTTGTAAATGTCTTGATTTTAATTTTCTTGCAAGTGGATGTCTTGCTGTCGCTATTTCAATTCTTTCAGTTGGTGTTAAGTTTGATACCTCATATTCTTCTTCGTCGAATTCAAGTGGTTTGAATGAGTCAATGAATGTTGAAATTGGATTAGACTTAGACCCTTCATCTTGTATTGTATATAGTGGCTCTATATCATTAGCATAAGCTGAATCTTTAGTTGTTTTGTAGGGACGAAGTGAGTCTTCGGATTTTGTCCCATTTGCAGCCATAGTTCTTTAGGGATCTGTTTTCTAAAAGCAAAAAATGAATAGCTATCGATTTAAGAATTGTTCATCGGCAAACTTGATTTATAAAAAAGACCAAACAGAGCTTCTAAGAAAAATGAAGGCAAAGTCCTATAATAAAACGGCGTCATCACATATGTAAGGGCAGATAACCAATTCAATGTTACATCGGGATCCACATAACAAACAAGCAAAGCCGTTTGTAGATTTAAGATTTTTTCTTGGAAAATTTCAGCTGTGAATCCAAAAGGCTAGAACAAACGAGCAATAAAACAAGCCACACTATAGATATCACACAAAAATGACACAGTAATTATTATAACCGGAATATACTCATTACAAAATATCCTATATATATAATACAAAATATACAACTATGTAGCACTACCAGGTGCAGAACCTGATGCGCTGGGGACAGCACTAACCGCAGGAGAAGAAACCGATGCACCCGAGCTTTGTACTGGACTACTACTTGAACCATTCTTTGGTGGTAACAACCCAGCAATCATTTGACTATACAATGGACAAGCTTTATTTGTTTTAATATGTCCAAATGCACCACATGAAGCACAACGACGGGTTCTACTCTTTCCTTTACCAATACCTTTCCCACCAATTGCATATGATCCATCGGGCAATCTGACAGTATTGGCATCGATAATGGTTCCACCTGCGGCAGCGGCAGCATGAATCAGATCCTTCGGTGGTTTCTTGGCTTTTGATTGTTTAGCACGCTTTTCTAAGTTTGCTAATTTTTCTTCTAACGCTTTACGACGAATCTTATTCAATTCTTTATCATTGGTAGGTAAGATATCACCGACATCTGCATTCTTCAATAATTCATCTTCAATATCCTTCTTACGTTTGACATATGCTTTGATTAAACGAGGATCAGTAAGGGTTTCGACTTTTCTTTGCAAGATTCCATTTTCATCTCTGACTCTTCTTGTGATTCTTAAAATCTTAGGTTCTTCTGGATTCTTGGAAACATCTTGCTCCAATTTATTCTTGACGAATTTCTCATGATTTACTGGTTTATATTCATTATAAATCGCTTGCAAATTAAAATCAGGCCCATGATCAACCAAGGAAGTTCTTTGAGAATACCATATTCTCTTAACTTCTTCTTCGTATAATTTTTGCTGATGAGAAGCTGTGTTACTCTTTGGAATATTTTCCGGTGGACGGGGGAATAATGGTTTAAATCCATTCTTTTGGGTGGCTCTCAATAACGAATAACCTAACCCAATTCCTGATGGATCCCCTTCTCCGTTTAATTGCAACATAGATTTTGTCTGGTTGGCAACAATGAAATTTTTTGTTAAATTCCAAGGAGCAGTTTCATCATCAAGATCAATCTCACTATCAGCATCTTTTGCTTTCTTAGTCTTTTCCTTTTCCTTTTCCTTTTTCTTTCCGTCTTCGTTCTCTTCCTTTTCATCCTCATCTCCAGCAGTGCTAGCCGATTTCTTCTCCTTTTCTTTCTTATGCTTTCCGCCTTCTTCCTTCTTCTTCTCGTCATTCTTGGCAGCCTCATCAGCAAATAACGTCATAGCATCATCCAAAATCTGTTGACCATATTGCATGGTATCCATCAAAGCAGAATCTTCCGGAGTAATCATCGTTCTGATTTCATCTTCAGTGGGTAATTGAGTTCCACCACCTTTCATTTTCCAAAAACCTTGATCTTCTCCATGTCTTTGATATTCCATAAATTCCTTCAATCTTTGTCTGTTTTGCATATCATTTTGATCGGGGAAATGTTTGGAGACATCCTTCACTGAAATACGGGCTATTCCTTTATTATTCATCACACGGAATACAATCATCTTCAATCTATTCTTAGATGTGTTTGTGACTTTTCTTGAATGCGGAGCGGGAACTTCCGCAACCGGGAATGTATTCCCTACTGCAAAGGCAAAATTCACCTGTCTTAAATAGAATTTCTGATGTGAACCTGCCCCTTGGGATCTAATCAATAAGAAATCGGTATTCTTGGGTTCATGCTTGAATATTGGAGCTCGAATCATGTTGTTATATAAAGTAGGAACAAAATCACCAGCTGCGACTTCTCCATAATTCCAGAATGGAGAACGATCTTCTACACCCAATACATGAGTTTCTCCAACTTGGGCTTTTGGTCTAGAAGAATCATCGGGTCTTTCCTTTCTATAATAGTTAATCAATTTAGAACCCATACCGTAATTGGATAATATTTGAGGATATTGTTCGGAATATTCCATGGCTACTATGTTAGCAGTATCTGCGGTGGTTAAATCTGTAGTCTTTTTGAATATATCCTGCAAAGCCTTTCCTCTATCTTTCTTCTTTTTTCTTAATTTAAGTTTTGAAAAGGTTACCAAAGTACCTGGACGAATATTGAAAATAGGTCTATGAAACGATCTTGCCTCTTCTGCAGATAGTTTGACTTTATAGTATGGGGTTTGTAATCTTAATGCAGGTACTGAGTGTTCAATATTAAGATTACTTAATTGTGATCTTACCTTGGTGTTATAATTCTTTCTTAACATTTCATATTCATTATCATTGGAGATATTGAATTTCATTTCCAACATCTTATCATTCTGCGGTACGTAAGCTTTAGATTTCTTTGACTCTTGTTTGGGTATGAATAATAAATTCGGATCATTCATATCAAGCTTTAATAAGTTTTCACTTATATGTCCATCGAATATATTTTCATCGTCTTCTTCTTCAAGTTCGATATCTAAGATGTTATTCTTATCTACTGAGAGTGATTTTGGTGAATATTTTCCATCTCCTGCATTCAAAATAGCATCATCATTCCAATCAGTTGTTGCTAGTATTAAATCTTTAGAATAGTCATCAAATTTATCATCATTTGTCCAATCTCTTTGAAGATAGTCAACTTCTTTTATGTCATATTCATTTTTATTTTGTAACTCATTGACAAAATCCAAATCCTCTTGAGTTATACTAGCGACATTCTTTAGTTGTGTATATTGTTGAACTGGAGTATTTGATCGTAATTTGAATAATTTTCTTTGATCAATATCAATATCAAGACTTATTTTGGTAGGTACTAACGGTTTTGCTAGTTTATTATATGCTATTGGAGGAGTCTGAAACCTGAAATATCTTGCCGGGGGAGAAAAGAATTGATGGAAATTGAAGGGTTTATGTTTTGAATATTGGGGATAATGATATTTAATATTTCTCTTTTGACGTTGTTTCTCTAATCGTTTCACAATCTTTTCCAATTTCTGTTTCTTTAGTTTCCTCTTTTCTTCTAATTCAAGTTTATGCTTTTGAGCTAATTCATTACTTTCTTCAAATATTGGACCCATATTAATATCTTGATTATCATCAATTAAATTTTGTCCACCACTTAAGTCATCAAAGAGAACATTGTTTTCATCTCCTGCAGCACCAAATTCATGAGATGCACCAAACATTTCATCAAATTGATTATCGGCATCAGCTTGTGCTTGTTCCTCATCCTCAACATTCATGGTTATTGCCTCTTGTTGTTCATTTTCTAGGAACTTATCAAAGTCTTCTTCGTCCTCCTCCTCTAGCCCTTCTCCCAGTAGTTGTATGGTAGTAGATGGCTCCTCTTCTTCCGGAAGTTCATCATCAGCGAGTTCATCAATGTCTTCATAATCTATTGCATCATCAGCATGTTGTGTTTTCCGTTCCAGAAAGATGGCTTCTATGACTTGATCATTTGGGATATCTGTACTATTTAAGAATTGAGAATATAGCTTATCTTCTGCATCTAAACGTTTTGATTTAGATGGAGAGTCTGTGCTATGCCCCATAATGAAATGAATTGCCTTCTTTCTTGTAAGTGACCAATAGCAAGTTGCTTTTGTAAGTGATGAAACGACACTTGGTTGTATTTTTTTAAACTGTTTGTTTGGTGAAATCTGTGAGTGAGTTTTATTTTTTCTGTTTGACTCTCTGTCAGTTGGAATCAAATTCAGCCACTGGAAATTATTTATTAGTATTTGTTCTTCGTCGATTATAGAAGAAGGAACAACACAGCAGTTGGAAAGAATGTCATTGGAAAGTTTGCAAGTTACAAAGAAACCAAAGAAGATTGTACTTGTGTTTAATGAAGGAAAATCACTTTCCATTGGATTTAATAATACTGACAACATATCAATCTATTCAATAACAAACCCATTCAATTATAAACCATTTATCAAATCGTTAATACTAAAACATATTCCTAACATTCATATCATTGTGTCTTTAACAAATGCTAACGTGATTGTCCAATTAATGAAATTTCTTTATCAATTCCAACAATTTTCGAAACAATTACAAACTGAATTCTTAACAAAACATAAGAACTTCTTACAGAATAACCAAGAAGAAGAATTATCTGTTCGATTAGCAATCGGACAATGTGATCTTCCATTGTCGTTCCCCGTCACGATACTATTAGACTCTACTCAATTCCTGCATCAAAATCAATTATCGCCTTCCACAATTCTTAATCAACAATTATGTCGATTTATAAGTTTAAAACATGGTTGTACAGTCATATGTCGATCTCCAAGTAACCCTAAAATTCCAATTGAAGACACGGTTGAAAGTTTGATAGATTTTCAAATGCCACCAAAGCCAATCTTTGATGACAGTGCCACAAATGATGATATTCAGTTATATATTCCCAGTTCATGGGATTCATGGAATAAAATAATTGTTCAAGGGAAATCAATTATGATGAATGACAATAATCAATCCCTGTTAATATGTGACGTTCAGCAGCTTGAACAATTGAATTCAGCATATGATGATTACTTTAACCATGACGATATTGATGTTGGGACAGTATTTGCTCAATTCAATAAAAAGCAAGAGAAAGAAGAACTGAAAAAGAGGGAGAAATTACATTCACTTAATGAAATTCTTTCAGAGATTGTAAATCCTTCCATGGTTGAAGCTTAACCCTGTTTCCTGGCGAGGATGAAGATCCCCCATTACCCAATGGGATAAAGTTTTGCAACCCTTTCAAATTGATAGTCGTGCAATTTGATCAAAAAGTTAGAATGTTTTTTTTTTTCGGGTGAGCGAGTGTAGGTTGGTTGTTAGTTATAGATGAATTATGGAAAATCTTTATTGACTTGATTTTTTTCGTTCATCATCAACAGGGCAGAAATTTTTCCGAACAATTCAAGTCAGATCTTTTTCAATAAAATTAGAAGCCAATTTATTTCCGAGCACCGTACTTCCAACAAGTGTACTCTCTGATAGATAAATACATAATATATATTTGAAATGGATCCTAATGAACATGACCCACAAGATCCATTAAGCACCCACACAGCCCGGTTATCCATCTGTCAAGCTGATATCGTTGAAGAAGACTCCAATCCCAGACTTCATGTTCGTGATCTCTTATTACGTGAGGAAACCAGTCATCCAAATCATACACGTCGTGATTCCGCCGTGTCATTAAATTCTTTCAATGATGATGATCCTACATTGTCACCAAATCTGAAATTCCATGTTCGACAAGAAAAAAGAAGAAGAAGTTCAGTTCAAAGTTTTTCAACTGCAAATGGACATAAATCAAAGAAAGAAAAGGTACATAAAAAGAAATTAAAAAAGTTGAATGATCCACCTAAGATTGAATTAAATTTGAGTGCAATTCCAACTGATAGTGGTGGTAGTAGTATTGTAGATGGATCACCTAAAAGGTTCCCATTTAGGAATTTGCGTTTTGTCATCTTGCATATATTCAAAGCCTTGACAGGTCATAAGCCGAAATGGATACAGACGACTAATCAAGAGAAGATCCCCACCGTATGTGTATGTCTTGTTCCAGGATTACAAATTGAAAATAAAACCAGTGATGATGAACAACAAATATCAACATCTGAATTAAAACAATATCCAGAATTGGAATTTTTATATCTGACATTTCCAAATTATATAAAAACTAATTCTCCAGGTTCAAAAGATACGTTATATTCTCCATTACAATCAATAACCAATATCCCATTATCCAAGAACGAAAAGAGAATCATATTAGAAAAACTGAAACAAACCAAAATTACCATCTATGATTTATTAATGACTCCATCCGATCTTGAAACCCATGGATATCCACTCGAATTAGGTCCAGATTGGATAGAAACCATCTCCTACCCCTCAAGCTCTGGCCCAACGGAATCTCATATCTACGCGTTAGATTGTGAATTCTGTAAAGCGGGCGATAGTCACGTCCTTACCCGAGTCTCATTAATCGATTTCAATGGCACGGTAGTATTTGATAAATTCGTGAAACCAGCCCAAGAAATAACCGATTATGTTACTAAATATTCCGGAATAACCGAAGAAAAATTACGTGATGTGACAACTACTCTATCTGATATCCAACAATTATTTCAATCAACCGTGTATAAACAAGATATATTAATTGGACATAGTTTAGATTCCGATTTGAATGTGATGAAGATTAAACATGATAATATTGTCGATACGGCGGTCATATTTGAACATGTCCGAGGTCCACCATCTAAACCATCCTTGAAATGGTTGGCTAAGACTTATTTGGAGAGAAATATCCAAACCGGGGAAACTACAGGTGAGGGACATTCTTCAGTTGAGGATGCAAAAGCGTGTTTGGATCTTGTGAAGGCGAAGATTTTGGAAGGGAAATGTTTTGGAATGAATGTGAATGAGATCTCAATCTTTCAACGTCTTGCCAAAAATCATGAAACTAATAGAAAGCCCGGGGATGATTATGATTTTAAATCACTTTGGTTGGGATATAGTCAATATAAAGATCAGGAAACATATGTTGAACCAGAAGATTATCATGTCACGCATGAATATGTTAATAATGATGATGAAATGATTGATAAGTTTGAGGAATTGAGTCCTGGGAAACGATTTATTGTTATGAGTTTACGAGAGATGGAATATAATTGGAAATGGTCAACTCCACCACAGCATTATAATGGAGAATTAAATGAAGGTATTGAAAAAGAGGAATTATATGGACGAACTAATGATAGATTGAAACGAGTCTATGAGGCATTACCGGATCATTCATTAATGATTGTATGTACACAACTGAATAGTCCATTGGAAATGTATCAATTACAAAATGTGAGGAAAAATTTCCAAAAATTGGATAGAGAAGGGGTTGATGTAACTAAGTTACCAAAAGAGGAACTGTGGGATATTGAGAAACAGAATGAGTTAATTGATAAGACTACAATGGCTAGAGAGTCCTTGATCTTTATGACTCTTAAGCAACCAAAACCCACACAAAGCAATGTAGATTAGAATTTGTAATATAGTCTTATTTATATAATTAATATTATTATTATTGTACAGTATTTAATAGCTAAATATAGAAAGTTATTTATGAGAATTGATCATCAAATCTAATAGCAGATCCTAATTCTTTATCAATCTCCATATTATCATCATTTGTTTCATTAGTACTACTATCGTTATCAATGTTAGTTGAGGTATTGTCTATTTCCTTATAATATCTCCATTGATTCAAATCTAAAGTATCAACAGGATTATAAGTTAATTGATTCTTGGAATTTTTATGATTAATATTTGTTTTGTACCAACCTTTTAATCTAACTGCATCATTCATAGCATCTTCTTGAGATAATGGATCGGTTGATAAGTTGGGGGAATACCAATCTTTAATCCAAGTGATTGTTTCATCTAGTTGTTCATGATATTGTATTTTATTTATAGATGAAGAAGGATTTGGGGTGTTGGTTCCACTTTTAGAAAACATGTTTACAAAGAAAGGGGTGCCAAGTTAGATTGGATTATATATATATATATTAGTAAATTAATAATACGGTGGCGGTATATCTGATATACGGGAAAATGGTGTTAACTGTGTCTCTGGGGTAATCTTCTAATAATTCAAGTTGTATAGAATGATAATATTAAAGGTAGAGAAGAAGAAGAAGAAAGAAAATAGAAATAAAAATAAAGAATTGGAAGAAATGGGAAAGTGGTGTATTATTAATTATAAAATGATCTGTTGGTATCCGTCTCCTCTTTGTTTGTATTAAAACAATTTTATTAATTTAATAAAAACCAATTAACTTAAATTTATAACATTTTCTTAGTGTGTCACATTTAAAATCTCACCTGTATTTAAAATCTCGCTTCTTTCTTTCTCTCATTGTCGAAAAAAACTTAAATTTTCCCAAATTTCCCCCTTTTTTTTTTTACTTTTCTTCACTTTTTACGTATTTCCTTCTACCATTTCTATACAATTTTGAGCTGTTACTACTGATATTGACTTCTATATCATTAGAAACAACATTAATGAAGATCCGTCTTTGCCCTTTATCATGACCTAATTTCATAACCTACAATTTGTACACGTTCAGGACAGTCAGTCATTGCAACTTCAATTTTTGAAATTAGCGCAATCATTGCAAAACTCTGAGTATGCAGGACCACCAAGTATCTCAGTGTTATTTGAAATTATTTTGTGGGGCTATATACTGATACCACCTTCACCTTCACCACCTCACTCTCACAACAAAGACAGAGGCGGAAACATATGGCCCCGCTTACTCTACGGAAAAAGAAGACAAACACACCAATCGGGTACATGTTGGTACTGCAAAGAAAAAAACTCTCAAGGCACACAGAGTTCTTGATTATTCAGGGTGATTAACATTGTATTGTGGAACAACTTTCGTCGTGTGCGTGCTAATATCCCTGTTGAACTATAGGCAAGATACAATAGCGCCACAGAATCCTTGTAGTAGATTCTCTTCTACTAGTCTTCAAAAAATCGAAATAAATATGTTTTTATTCTCTAAGAAAGCTATTTGTTAAGAAATATACAGAAGAAGAAGCATTGGAAACATGTTTATGTACAATTTAAGATGGTTATCTCTGACTCACTCCTCAGGCGAAATATGTTCCTGATCAATTGCCAGACAACTACTCCGTTATTCCATCAGATCTTCCATCCTTGCAATAGCTCCTCCGGTCAGAGGTGGAGACTCAACATTTGTCAGATTTTCCAGTATGATTTTATTTTGTTCTTGTAATTGTTTTTGTCTCATTTCTCGTTGTTTCTTAATTGCCTTCAGTTTAGCATTTTCCAATTTCTTCTTAAACTCTTCTCGTCTCTTTTCTTCTCGATATATTCTTTGATCATACCATTTCATCATATTTCGTGGTTTTTTCCCAAATATTGCTTCATATTCACAAAATAAGCAACAATCATTACTAGGAATATATCCATAATAATCTTTTGGGATTGTTGATGGCAGATTTTGATGAAGATGCTGCGTATCATTCCGAGGAATCATATCCGCTAACTCTGGAGATTCGGATTTGTCATCATCTCCACTTTGCTTCTTCTTCTTCTTTTTCTTTTTATTTTTCTTCTTTTTGGCTTTTGAACTACCATTGTCACCGTCATTGTCACCTCCTACTATTGTGTCGTGTATTTCTTCAATAGTAGCCAATCCCCGTCGTTTCTGATTCTTTCTGGCTGCCTGAATTCTAGCCTCTAAATTCATTAGTCGTAATTTCTCCTCGACATTATTATAAGTGGGTATTAATTTCCCAGTATGATCATACTCAAATGTAAACTCGCATGAAGGACCTCCGCCATCTTCATCCTCATCGCTATCATCCCCATAATCATAAATAGGACAATCACACCCTTCCATCCCATGAACATCACATTCAGGGGCAGTATTCAACTCAACTTCAATATGATGCGTATGCCCATATTCATAATCACTTGCCTCTTCGTCATCAACTTCAAGCTCACCAATGTCATAATCATCCTGATCATATCCTCCACACTCAGGACAACACTCATCGGTATTTCCTGAATGCAAACCCTCCTCATCTCTTGTTCCATATAATGTAAATCCTTCTGAATGTTGTCGATTCCCCTCTTCTTTATTTCCATATAATCTAAATTCCGGATGAGCTTCTTGATAATGAACCATTTCTGCAATCTTATCTCTCAAGAAATCAATCTCTTGTTCATTCAAAAAATTCGTATGATTGTATACTCCATTTGTTGGTAGACTTCTAATGATCTTTTGTCTCTCCTCCTCTGCTTGTCGTTTTTCTTCATCATCATCGCTGTCATTATTCGTAGACGCATCCAAAGCATCCATTAAACTACCATTAAAGATCGGTGGTGGTGTATGTGAAGATTCATCCCCTGGGAATGGGGAGAAATTATCTTCATTATCATGTTCATGAAATTGTTTATATATTGCTTTTTGCCAATTTTCATAATCTTTCGAAACCATGTCAAATAAGTCACGGGGATTAAATGGTTTTGAAGCATTATGTGATTGTGGTCGTGATGCTTGAGAGTCTATAAAGTCGTTCGAGGGATGCCTTCGGTCTTTTGGTTGTTGTTGTTGTTGTTGTTTAGGATCTCGTACTGGATCCAGTGATCGTTTTTTAGCCATGTTTTTGATTGTTGATATTTGTTAATTTCTATATCTTTAACATGGACTATTTAAATGACTTTATATACTATGAACCTTTGTACAAGACTATGAAATATACTACAAACAATAATACTCTTTAGTAAAGTCCTTTCTTGTTATAATTCTATAAAACAAATTAATTAAACGCTGAGAAGAAAAATCTCTTCTCCAAATTTTTTTTTTTTATTCCTTCACACTAGAGTTGCTTTTTTTTGTACTTTGACAGAGAAGAACTAACAGGTATGAATATAGCATCGTGTGCAACAACCACAATTTTGCAACCATTTAACTTAATCCTTCTTTAACGTTCTCTGCTTTTCTGCATTCTTAACAACCTTCTCATCCACAAACAACCCCTTCCTTCTCCTAATATTATTCATATACCGTCTTGCAACATTCTCTCTTTCAGCAAACTCTCCCAACTCTTCCAATTCTTCTTCAGTATGAGGCACCCAAAAAGGATCAATATCCAACATATCATACCCATCAAACACCAACTGAGGTGAAGCTGCACCACTTGTCCTCTTTCTCATCTCTTCACTAAACCCAAAAGCTTCAATCACAGGTATGCGGGCGACAATTGTGAAAAATGGAGTACCTTCCTTCATTTCTTCAGAAATGATAGCACCACCACGTTTTTGTACCACAGCGTATACTTTCCCTAATACTTCCGCACTGGCTTGGATTTCACAGGTATACATTGCCAAAAATAATCGAGGAGATTTGGCTAAGATACGTTGATGGATTAAGTCACGGGTTTGGACAATGATTCGGCCCGGGTTTATGATTTTTGTGTCTTCATCGATGTCATTCTTGATGGCACGTTTTAAGGTGATTATCAAACCTTGTAATGGTTCTGAAGCTATTGGTCCTTCGTTTAATGCGAGTTGGATCCCGTTTAAAATGTTGTTATCATATTCGAATCGAGTTTCAGGGACGATATCGGAAAAGACATGTTTGAATTGATTATTGCTAGATTCGGATTCTATAAAGATATTAGGTCCAATTCTCTTTGGACCAAATGCAATAATATGATTAATGAACGAAGTGGTGTCCTTATAACCATGATTGAAATTCTCTCGTTCAATAATTTTTGTAAATTTATCAATGAAATCGGCTTTTAATTCAGTTATATCATGTTTACTATTGACAATTTCTCCAATTGTTAATTCATGATTTGTCAAAAACTTCGTAATTTCACCAGGCAATGGACTTACTTCAAATTCCAAATCCACCAACTCATCTTCTTCATCCTCACTTTCTTCACCCCCGGCATTATTATCTTCCAGATGATTCATGGTATTTATTTTATCATCAGCCAACCCTTCTCTAAACGGAATAACCGGTTCCTTAACAACAACTTCACACCCTTTTGCAAATCTCTCCTGTAAATCCTTCAAACATCTTTCCAAATGTAATTCCCCGGCCACACATACGATCAATTCCCCCGATTCAGAATCAGTATACCATTCCAAGACCGGATCGGCTTTTGCCAATTGATCAAGTCCATTCTCCAATTTTGCCAATTTCATAGGATTAGTAGGTTCGACGGCAATTTTCATAATTGGTTTATTATGAATTAAGGCCGATGTTGATGCAAGGTTGATATATGGCTTTTCATCACTATGAGGTGAACATAATGTTGCATTCTTTAATACTGCTTCATCTAATCCTACTACTCCGACAATATTCCCGGCGGGGACAGCTGGCATACGAACGAGTTCACGACCCATTATTAAGTACAAATCCTTAATTTCTACAGTATTCACCTGATCCATATTAGTGGGATGGGAATTAGGTAAAGAAGGGTCATATTTGGGTCCAATAACGGTGATTGATTGTCCTTTGGATAAGGACCCGGAATAGATTCTCGTGAATCCGACCAATGTTTCAGTGGAATGTTTCCAATCCTCTTCATCTTCTTCTTCTTCGAATTCATCTTCTTCAAATTCCCATTCGAATGGGTCTTTCTTTTTGATTACATATTCGTCCTCGTTGGTTTTGGTATCTTGTGCTAAAGCGGCCGCTTCGGATGCTTTTCTAGCTAATTCTCGAGCTAATCTACTTCTTTCGGCGATTTGTTCTGCTGTGAGGTCTGATCCGGTTGTAGATACTTCTTTTGGTAAATCTTCATTTGGAATTGAGATTAATTTAGATACATAAGCAATTGTATGTTTTTCAGGTTGAGTATTATCACAATTTTTCATTGCTGTGACGAATTCAGGATCAACTAATTTGGCATGATCATGTTCGGTTTCAACTACGGAATAAATCGTTTCTTCTAAGATTTTATCAATTCTTTCACGTTGTGCATCAATGGGTGAAGGTAAATATTCAATCACCCCACCTAAGATGGCATGACTTAAAGGTATCCATTGGGTCATAATTATGTTTAATAAATTCTTATAATCTTTTGACCGTAAATCTCTTGGAGTTAATTTGGTACCTAATTTGGTAATTATCTTTTCAAGTTTTTCTTGATTTCTATCAATTATACAATTTTCGTAAATGGCCCAAATTTGATCTAAAATAAGTGAAACAAATAATGGTTTTTGATTTATGGTTGATTTAAGTTTTTTACCGGGGATAATTTTCTTATCTTTCATATTTAAATAATAATCACCCCAAAGAGTTTTACCCAATACGTTTTGAGAAAATCCTAATTGTTTTGAATATATTTTAGCAAATGTACCAATTGAAAATGCCCAACCATCAATTGCACTGGCAAATATAACATTATTCTTTTCTGGAGTAAAATATAAATCTTCATCACTCTTTTCAATAAATTCCCCAATCTCCCCACCTTCTCTCCAATTCAAATCATCTTCTAATCTATCACTACTATAAAAAGACCCAATAACCGAATTAACCTGTTCAATAACCCTGGAAATATGTTGATATGCTTCCAACGGAGATAATTTCCATTCAATTATCAATCTATCAATTTTATTAATAACCAACAATGGTTTCAATTTATCAATCCAACATTGTCTCAAAACATTAATAGTTTGAGAACATACCCCTTCAACCACATCCACCAACACAACCGCCCCATCACATAATCTTGAACTCGTACTAACTTCACTACTGAAATCTATATGACCAGGAGAATCAATTAAATTTATCAAATGTTGATTAATTTCAGGTTCAGTTTCACCTTCTTTCATTCTCATAATCTTGAAATATAAACTAATTGCCGATGCTTCCATTGTGATTCCTCTTAATTGTTCATCTTCTCTTGAATCCAAATATCTGACTTTTCCTGCCATTCGTTGAGAAATGATCCCATTGGTTGCTAATAAGGAATCACTTAGTGATGTCTTACCATGATCGACGTGGGCAAGGATACATATGTTTCGGATGCATGATGGATCCAGTTGGAGTTTGTTGATTGTTTCTGGAGAGATCTTCATTTGCGTAGTTTATCAATTGAAGAATGTGGTGATTGGTGATGATGAATTTCTGCAACCAAATAAGTGATAGATTTTTTTCAGTGATGGTTGGCAGGTTGCAGTGCGAGAAAAAAAAATAACTAGTGATGAGTGATGAGATGACTAACATTTATTTATTAAGAAAACGAAGAGAATAGAGGTATAGAACACAATAAAGATACAATATGCAAGAGAGATGTCCATTATGTTCAACCGAGTTAAAGACTCATTTATTACAACCAAATCTTTCCCTTATATCTTGTCCATCAACAAATTGTATTTATCCATTCAATCTTTCAATTGAACAGTTGCATCAACAGAATTTGTTACAATCTCCAACAAATCAACACGTAATGAATATGATGAAAGCTAAATTTAAGCAAATTAACGTATTTCCTAGAATAGCCGATTTCATAACTCAACAAGATGATGAAGTGGTTTAAAAGTGGGATTATAAATATCGTATTTATTAGAAAACTATTCAAAATGGAATACAAAATGATACTAACAAAAACAAAAGAACATAAAAACTAAATTCATTAAACATAAAAAACTTTCAAAATGGAGAACTGAAAAACACCATAGTATCTTCATTATCAAATGGGATAACCGGTTGATGACGAGGATGATGACTAGTACTAGTAGGCAAGCTTAGTTATTCGGATCTATTACCTTCATATTGAGGATAACCCATAACATGAACCCTTTCGTATTCCTTATCAGCTTTAACATATAATTTTCTAATTGAAGAACGATCAATATAATTTCTAAACATCCATACAACACCCATACCATATAAGGCACCACCGATTGCTAATGCTTGTTTTGGAGTTACAAGTGCAGTTGACATTATTGTTTATTAAAATGTGAATATATTATATTATATTTATGTAAGTAATTGGTAAAATAAATATGGAGGAGAGAATCAGGATTTTGGTTTGACAGAAAATAAAAATTAAAAGAAAAATTGACAGCTATTTATTTATTTAAAGTAAACCAGTTGTGGGGGAAAACTGAAATGTGTGGTTAATAAAAATCTTTAATCTTATAGGCTGATGGGAGTAAAAAGTTTAAAAAAAATTGCATGGTTATGCAAATTTTACTAATTATTTGGTATAAAACTTTATAGGAGAGGAGAATTGCAAAAAATCCAAAAATGGTTCCATTTTTTTTTTTCGGTTGTTACGTTTTTAGTTTATTACTAAGAAAAAAATAATTACTAGATGAAATAAAAAAAGTTAAAAATCTCCTTATTTTTTTTTTAATTATCGAATGATTTTTTTTTGTCTAAGCAACAAATGATACTACCACAGACGATTAAGTTTTTAGAATTGATACGAATGAGATAAAAGCCACTTTTGGGCCGTTGGTGGGGGGAGGTGGTGGAGGGAATGATACCACACCAGACTAGAATGGGTTTTGTCAATTCTTTTGTTGAGACTGCCAGGCGTTGAAACAATAGTCTTATCCTAAACTATTATCAGTTGTTGCAAAAAGTCTACAAAATTTATAGAATTGAAATGGTAAGTAATAAATACATAAAATAAAAGTACAATTCAATAAATAGTTAATAAATAAATAATGTAACAACAAATAAATAATTTTAATGGGGTTTCAAATCAACATGCAATTGACAGCCCATTTTCTCTCTTCTTATACTCACACACGCAACACACACACAAACTCTCACCTTTCTTCCTTTCTTCCAGAACGATCTTCTCGTTGTCACTTCAAATTTCTAGCTTGGCATCCACATTCACTTCCCCACAGACTAAAACAATTTTTCCAATTAGTTTCTCTGGGGTAGTGACATTTCTAATACATTCTAATACCATCACCAGTTGGTAAGATTGGTAAGAATTGTCCAACAATTAACATTGGTAAATCAAATAAATCTCTTTTCACTGTCCAAACAGTACAAAATTCTATATATTTATCATGTTCAATTTCATCTTCACCACTTACAACTGAAGAAGAAGTATTATTATTGACATTATTAACAACTCTTTTTAATTTTAATTTTGTCATAATGCTTGATCTTAAATTCCCAACAGCGACTGATTTAAATAATTGGAAATAATTTATAATTGATTCATCATCATACATTAATTCCATTATAAATGTTCTTTTGGATAATATATCTCCAAGATTATAACCTAATAAACTTAATAAATCATCAGTAATGCTTACAATCTCTCCAGTTCTTCTCCATATAATAGTAGGACTACTATTTAATTGACATAATTTTTCATAATCAATTAAACATCTTTGAAAACACATTTCTAAAAATAATAAATCATGAGGTTTTAATAATGATTTATGAGCAGAAATAAAAGTAGGTCTATAACTTGCAATTAATTTCAATATGATTAATAAATTCTTTCTCTTTAATTGTCGTTGTTCTTGTGATAAATTAATCCCCAGAAATCGTTGTTTTAAAAAAAATGTTAATGCATGATATGATTGTGGATAATCAAAATTAATCATACTATTTCCATAAATATCAGAAACTGATTGATATAAATGATGAGTAATTAATGGTGATACATATTCAATTGATAATTCATTTAAATTATTTTGACTAAATATTTGATTATTATCATTTCGAGTATGATGTTGTTGAGGTGTAGAATCTTTATTAACATCTAATAAATTATCAGTTTGATGGGCCATATTATTCAAATTATTTAATCCCATTCTAGAATCTTGTGGGAATCCTAAACTTATAAATGGTCTTGAATCTTTTAATCTTTGTACCTTTCTTTTATGTGTTCTCTGATTAGTAGTATTCAACTCATCAATATTAATAGTACCAAAATAACTATTAGATGGAGAAATCATATTATATTCACTAGCACTTGTATTTGATGGTGATGGTGAAGAAGGTTTTGAATTTAAAATTATATCACCCAACATTAAATATTCTTGATTTAAAAAATTAGAATTAAAATTTGGTTGTGGAGTAATTGAACTATTTGGAGTTAAATTATGTAAACTTTCTTGTTGATCCAAGGGATCATCATTTAATAATTTATTTAAAACATCATTCGTAGTATTTAACATAGTATTAATATGTTGTTGCAGTTCTGATTGAATAAGTTTGGAAGTGGGGATAATTGGTCTAGATTGAGGTTCTACAGTTGTGGTTACTCCTGTTGTGGTTGTTATTGTTGCTCCTGCTGGATTATGAATAATTATATCTGATGATTGCTGATGAATGATTGCATTACTTGGCTGTGCATGAAATGGGTTAGGATTAGTGACAGTGGAAGACACAGGTAGAATAATTTGATTTTCTGCCGTGGAGCTTACGCTAGTCGAATTAATAGTATCAGGAAGCGGATGTTTTGTTGTAGTGCTAGGACTGGTAATATGAGGCGGTATTTCCAATATTTGTTTTATTTCAGCACTATTTGATCTAGCTTCTTCTTGCTCTTTATCTCCTACTATCTCTTGTTGCTTCTTTCTTCGTTTCCTAGGTGTATTATTATTACTATTAACACTACCATCATTTCCAATTCCTTTAGTTAAATATTTTGCTCGTTTCCGTACGGCATCTTTACAATGATCTGCCATATTTCTTCTCACACAATTCTTACATGGTCTTTCATTTGAACATTGTAAATGTTTTTCATGACAAAATGTACATGCTCTTTGTGCTGGTTTTCTATTCTGTTTCTCTTGTGCAGTTAATTTTTTGGTCATCTGATCTTCTTTGAACGATTAAGTTTGTGATTCATATAAAAATACAAGGTACAATATTATTAACGGAGTCTAAATAATCTATAGGTAAAAGTATATGGTGTGTACGGTTATATATAAACCAGAAGTATTTTAATAGTAAAAATTTTCAAGTAATAAAGTTACAAAGGAGGAAACTGATTAACTTTTAAATCTGGGGAATCCTTAACAGAAGCAAAAAAAAAAAAAAGAAAAACCGGAAAATGCGTAAGTTTTGTTTTGTTGTTTGTTGGTTTTGTGGGTTTTATGTGAGTGAATTTCTATGTTTGCCTCACGAATCTACCCGGCGGTTTTCGGAAAAAAATCGGACATGTACACATAACTATGAGTAAACTACAAATGTAAATGGATTAATTAACTCGCTTAAATATTCCCCCAAAGACAATTAGGGAACATTAGAATAATGCACCTATGGCGGACTTATTAACGATCATTTATATTTTAGTAAAGTTGTATTTATCCGGAAATCCAATACCATCAAATGTTCATTCTTTTTTCAAAGAACTCACAAACCAGAATCAGAAGGCGTTTTTTACATTCTGAGTTGCATCTAGTTGAATCAGGCTCATGTGTTTGTTCCATAATTAAATTAATCTGGGGTTCTGTAGATGTGCGTATCCGAATAATTCCGTTTGTGTTCATCGGAATATTAAGGAATCTTTTGAAACAATAACAATTCTAAAATTTGGTACGGCCTTAGTTTCCGATAATTTCCAAATTGAAAATGTTGCGACGCATAAGTGACGCGACAGATGAGGTGAAAAAAAGAAATCTAAAATGTCGTCCACGGAAAATCAAGTTCACGACATGCCTCGAACTTGAGACATTTCGAATGGGTCCAATCCACCAAACTAATGGTCCACGAAATCGTCTGAAGGTTGAAGGAATCCTCGAATCTCTAAAGCTTCCTTGTTAATTATTCTGTGGATGTGTGAGGAAACTTAGTGAATAAGCTCCCATTTCTTATCAAACTTTCATAAGTTATCGAGTGTCATCAAATGCAGAATTAACTAAATGAGATCATAGCAATCTCAAATTCTACTTAACTGTAAGTCTCAGATTCAATTTCAAAAATGTAAAGGAATCCTCGAGAATTCTTATATCATCGTTGCATTGATTGTAAGTCTTAGGCGGGTTACCACATGAAGAAATAAACCGCGTTCCTTTGAATTCACGTGATTTTCATTGTTTTAATTAATTTAATTGCGAAATTAAAGATAAGGAAAAAAAGCCCACACATGGCTCATTGAATGAATTGTTTATCTCTGTTCAATTAAAGACCAATAAGCTTGAAGAAGAGTTTTTTCTTAGGGAATTTTACAAATGCTGATATTTCCCTTTTAGTTTCTTTCTTGTTTCACCCAAATGGAGAGCTAAGAAATATATTTCTTGACATGTATTGTATTAATTGTATTCACTTCTCCAACAAAGTAGTTGTGAAATTTTTTTTTTGAAACTTTTTCTCTTGGACGTTTTCTTACGTTTTCTACATTGTTCTTGTTGTATTCCATACATATACATACATACATACATATTACATTGATTAACAACGGCAATCAACTAACCGTTGTTTCTATTCTGTTATCTACCTAAAACCAATCAATTACAAAGGTTTTCATATCAACTGATTTGGAGAAATTTAAATCTTTTAGATTTCTTTTTTTTTTTTTCGTCTCAATCTGAGAGAAGCCATTTACAACATCGAAAGGAGTTTACCCTTCATCATTTAATAAAATTGTCTTACGACTCATACATCACTTCCCATAGCATACTACTCGGAAGTAATTATCAACAACCAGACTGCAACTGTCTAAAAAGCTTTCAGGGGAAATCTATTAGTACCCTCCTCCGTCCTTCCTTTCGTTTAGAAAAAGAACAGACTCACTTGTTACATTATTTACAACCATCACTTAATTTCACAATACTACCAAAATGGATAACGAGGCTATCGTAGATGTCAGAACGAGTATAAATGCTTTATACATGTTATTCTGTATCGCTCTACTACCACTAGTCATCATCGGAATAGCCTTCTTTTATTCCGGTCTAACTCAAAGACGATCATCTTTAACTATGTTTGCAGTGCCGATGTTAGTTACACCCCTAATATTTATAGATTGGTTTATATGGGGATATTCATTCTGTTATAGTGCATCTTCAAATCATTTTATTGGAAATTTGGGATTTTCAGTATTAAGACAATTAGAAACAAATATAACCATGACATTTACAAATAGTAGAGGAGAAATCTTATTTTTAAACCATTTTTTATTTAATGGATTGTTTAAAATCATATGCGCAGGTTTAGCATTTCCTGGATGTATTGCTGAAAGAGGGAGAATCTTACCTATGTTGGTTTTCTTATTTTTTTGGTCGATAATGATTTATAATCCGGTAACATATTGGTTTTGGAATTCAAATGGTTGGTTATCTATAGATTTGGGTAGCTTACCAGTTCTTGATTTCGCTGGGGGCAATTGTATTCATATAGTCAGTGGATTTACATGTTTGGCATATTCATATATTCTTGGTCCAAGAAATCCAAAGATATTGTATAATTATAGAAATATTAATACTGGACATATCATCATTGGTACATTCTGTGTTATGTGTGGTTGGGTCGGTTTCATTGCTGGATGTGATTTCAAATTCTCATATAATTCATTATATATTATTGTCAACACCATCCTTGCCGCATTGTCAAGTACCATAATTTGGACCTCAATCGATTACTTCTTCTCATCAATTCCATTAGAAGGCGCAGAAGAAAAGATTGCATCCATCGCCCAACAACAACAGCAACAACAACAACAAAATGAACAAATAGATATGATATTATCACAAGCCGGATCTGGAAATTCCCCAATTGTGCCCGTCTTATCAGAAACCGGTGTCCTACTTTCCCAACGATATCATCAAACAAAATCCAACTTCATATCCCGACGCAAATTCTCCATGATTTCTTTCTCATCAGGAATCATGACCGGATTGGTAGTATACACCCCTGGTGGGGGATATGTTGCCGGCCCCGGACAATTCTGGAAAGCGATAGTATTTGGAGTTGTCGGTGCTATTATTTGTAATCTTTCCACTCGATTGAAATATTTTTTTAAGATTGATGATGCTTTGGATATATTTGCCATACATGGAATTGCTGGGATTGTTGGATCACTCTTAACTGGTCTTTTTGCAAATACTCAATATAATTCTGACGGTGGTTGGGTGGTTCATAATTGGATTCAATTCGGATATCAACTCCTTGGAGTCACCATTACTTCTTCATATGTCTTTATTATGACTTGCGTGTTCTTATATGTTATCGATTTGATCCCAGGACTTCATTTAAGAATAGATAAAGATTTTAATCGAAGAGAACGAAAACGGAAATCCCAAGAAACTGAATTAGAAGCAGCTGCTGGTACTGGTGTTCCTGCTACTGTAATGGCATTTCCTCATACTCAATCCCAACCAGAATCCCAAAAATCACCTTTACCGGAAGAAATATGTTTTTGGGAACAGGTGGAATTATTGGGTACGGACAGTTATGAATTCAATGGGGAATATATGATGGATTTCATTGAGTTTATAAAAGTGATCAGACCTCAAGATTATGAGGATGAGAATACTTATGATGAGATTGATGCCGTGGTGGATCCAATGAGAAATAGAAGTGGGACATCGGGGAATCTTCAAACAGATGGTGCTGGTGGGAATTTGAATACTGGAATGTTTGGTGATTATGAAATGCATCATGAAGGAGTGAATCATTTGATAAAACGAGAGTAAGAAAATTAAATTAGGTGGGACGTATTTTTAATAGACTCTTATATAGTAATGACTTTTATAATGACCTTTTTCTTCTTAATAGACATTGTTTTTTTACAGTTTTAATTACTTTTCTATAGTCGTAAAGATACACTTAAGAGAGTTCCTTTGGATGTGATGGTGCTCGTTTGCTTAAATAATTTCTTTATGCAGTTCTATAAAAGTAGGTGTATGTATTACAAAGTCACAAAAATTTAACCTAAAAGTCTCATTGTCAACTCAAATACGGCAAATGTAGCACCATTAGCAGGAGCAGCTCTTAATATAGTTGGCAAGAATCCCTTATAGAATCCCTTAATACCACTCTTGGCAAAGACATCTCTAAAAACATCAATTGAACCTCTATAATTTGGTTTTGTTAACGAATCAGTTTGTAATTTTGATTTTATGACATCAATAGGATAAATAGCAATCCATAAAGTATAACCAGAAAGACCACCAAACATACATAATTTCCAACCTGGAATATCGCTTCTTATCCAATCTTTATTTTTCTTTAATTCTCTAGAGATTAAAGCTTCATAAGTTGCGAAATAAATACCCAACCCAATTGATTCTCTAATTAAAGTAGGAGTCAACCCTCTATAAATACCATGAGTAAATCCATTGCTCTTATAAAGCTTCTTAGCACAATCAATAGGACCATTGAATAATTTAGTTTCACCAGTTTGAGTTTGTAATCTAATACGAATATGCTCAATTGGAGATGCCAAAAACCCATTAGCAAAACCAGCAATAGCCCCACATTGGAAGAATTCTCCAAGTGTTAAAGGGGCTCCATTATATTTTCTATCAAAATGTCTCTTCATAAATTCATTAACTGAAAATTGTACACTTACACAAGCACCAACCCCAACTAATGGAGTTAAAGTTCCCTTATAAAATCCAGCAAATCCTTCATTTTTGATTAATTTCTTAATAACGTCCATCGATCCAGAATATGTCCCTTCTGGAGCAGATTGTAATCTAACTTTGACAGTATCGAATGGTTGACCAACGAGAACTTGGGCAATACCTCCCATAGTCCCCCCGAATAAATCTTTGACAACTTGTTTGTTGTCAGAAGTAAGTGGTGGTTCTTCTAATTCAATAGTCATCTTGAATGTATATAATATAGATATAGACTTGTAAAAGAAGAAGAAGAAGAAGAAGAAATGGTGGGGTAAAGTTGTGATGATTACAAAATTTACAGATTTGATTGGAAAATTGACTTTTTGATATTCATCGTAAAAAAAAGAAGTCGAAAAAAAAAATTTCATCTCCAAACGCGCTTAGTGTTGCTTTTTAGATATCAACAAATTGCCGTTCAACATTTTAAGTTAGATTTCTTCTTTGCAACTCAATATCTCCGAGGGTGTGCTATATATTGTAGAGTGCCGAGTTCAATATGACTTGTTTCACGGTGTCAAATGAACTTCTTTAAGCAAGTGAAGCTGGTCAAGTTGATCATTGGAGACATGGTTGTGAACGTTTCTAGGTGAGCCTTCCATGAATTTTTGCAGCAATTCTTGCATAAATATTAGGCACCAATATAATACCTGCACGACCCTTCGTTTTTCATTTCTCTCTTCAAACTAGACTGAAAAGTAGTATAGTATATTCAAAAAGTTCTTCCTAAGGTTCTGACCCCTCTATGTACGTAGCTTTACACACCGTGTACGATAGCACATTCTCCATTTAAATTCTGTTGTCGACTCCCCACAAGCAAGAGTCAATTCAGAGTCAAAATAAACCCAGATATTGCTGCAAAAAAATAAAACTTCTAACACTCATTAAATTATCATAAATAAAACGACAAACACACTAAACAGAGAGAGTCAAAAAAATAATATATAAAATTCTATAGATTTCTAACTACATTTCACTATTATTTCCATTACTCCCACTACCATTTATATCAGACGATCTATTAATAGTCAAATTATCAAAAGGATTAGGACCATTCTTATGCATATTTGTCTGTGCCAATGGAGATGGTGTATTGGCAACTGATCCAACTGGACTATTTGCAGCCACAAACATTTCTTGAATATTCCCACCACTGATCTGACTACCAGTTGCAACCAATGGTGTACGCATAGGTGCCGGACCACTGGACATGAATGAAGATGCAGATGGCATTGACATTAATGGAGGTGGAACATGTGAAGAAGCTGCAGGTGCTGATTGTACAGCTGCTCCCCCAGGGGCAGATGAGGATGATGAGGATGATGCTTCTGGTAAGAGGGATTTATAGGAAGATACCTCTAACATATATGTGACTTCTTTGGCAGTTTTGGTTAAATTTGACATTGATCCACGAATATCATCTAAAATGGGTAAATCTTTAACTATCGCCTTGACTGATGCTAATGTTTGAACCATGGTTTTAATAAATTGATTAATATCTTCAGCAAATAATTTCTTGGTTGTTTGTGATGGATTATTTCGAATTGTATACAATTTAGTCTGTAATCGCTTGGTTATTTCTAAGGATGCAGCACAGACATTTATCAATTCCTTAACTCTATTTGCAACTTGAGGTTGGTTTTCTGGAGAACTTGAAATGACTACTTTATTAATTGCTTGATTCAATTCATTGAAAATAAGCTGTGCATTTGTAGTCGCTGATTCAATAGTAACATACAATTTCTCATCCACTTCTTCAAGATGATCAACACCAATTGGAGGTAATTTTGGTTTAGATTCAACGACTGGGGTATAAACAAACTTTGGTTCTGATTTTGTTGATGCAACCAATAATGAAAATGCATTTTGTAACTCATTAAATGATCCATACATGGAAAGATATAACATTCTAATAAAACAGATATCAATCTTATTGACAAAACTACTGAAATTCTCAGATAACAAACTCATCATTGCCTTGAAGGATGTTATACAAGTATGCAATGATGTAACAATCAGATCTAAATTATTCCCCGTTTCTTCCATAATTTCAAGATTTTCAACTAATGTATCAATATTTGATTTGGTGCTGTATAAAAATGATACCATCTTGATGGTGACTTTTTTATCCGATGAAAATCCAGTAAATCTTCTAATGGACGAATGCAATTCACTAAATGAAAACAAGATCTTTCTGGATACTTTAACAATAGTAATACTCGAATGCTTGCGTTGAGTTAATGCAATTTTATTCAATTGACTTCCTCCTGTATCATTTGTAGTTGTTATGATTGATAATGCAGGATTCCGGGAAACGTGACTTGAAGAAGAAGGGGTAGTATCTTTACTCGAAATTTCATTGGATGGGACAGACGGAAGAGTTAATCTTCCATCTTGGGACATATTATTTTTCGGATGATGATGTTGTTCGTCATCTCCTACATCAGATTCATCTTGTGGTATTTCTTGCAAGGTTGATAATCTTCTAAAATACGCACTTGATTTATGTTCTGTATCTACACTTTCACTCTTTTCTAATATTCTATCAATCTCCTTAAGTGTGTTTGATCTAGATCTAGAAGGTGATTTAGTTGAAGCTGGGATTGATCTTAATCCGCTTGTGATTGAAGAAGGTGAATGGGATATGCTAGGCAGACTGGAAGTTGTTTCGGTTGTAGTTTGTACAACAAGTCTAGGTGGACTAGAAAGATTACCAAATCCATGGTCGACGATGGGAGCAGAAAGTGGAGGTGGTGGAGGATGCGATGGTGGTGTGCTTTTGTAATCTACTGTATTATACGACCTGTTGTTGTTGTTGTTGTTGTTGATATCTTCTTCTATTGACGATGGCCTAATATGTTTGTTTGCTGATTCATTATTCAAATCGTCCGACTTTCTAATGATTAATCCCATTCTTCGAGATGCTTTGGATGATTTGATTTTGGTTCCTTCACTAATACTTTGTGATCTTCTAACTGGTGGGGATGTACCATGGATTGATTCTCCAATTAAATCAGGATATTCATATGGTCTTCTTGCTTCTTTGTTCATTGAATCTTCGATTCGCATTCGGATCAATACTCTATTAGTTACTAAATAATTCTTTAATTCATGTACCCAATCTAAATCAGATTTTTGTTTTTGAAAAGTTTTAATAATTTCATTTGATGGTAATATTAATGGATTGTTAGTTACTTCGATTAAATTTAAATTTGATAACTCTCCAAGCGATGGATTAATATATCGAAATCTATTATCTTTAATTGAAATGACTTTTAAGTTTGTAAGTATTGATATTGAATCAGGTAAATATGTCAATTTATTTGATGATAAATCCAAAATTTCTAAACTGGCTAATTTATAAAAGAAATCTTTTGGGATATAAGCAATTGAATTATTATGTAAATCCAAATATTTCAATCTTGATGCAATTTTATAAAAATTTGATGGCAATTCTGGGAAATAATTATCTTCTAATGATAACTTTTCAACAATTAATGGAGGATCAAATGAATGTAAGAATTCATATATACCATCAACAACTTCTGAGCTGCTTAGATTACTTGTTGAATTATTATTTATGCCATTTAATCTTATTGTATGTTTTTGTTCAATGAGATCAACCTGATCTTTTAGCAAACCGAATATATGTGACTTAGTCATTGGTGACATCTAACTTTTGTTAATCTAAATGAATGTAACAAATAAATCTTGCCACACTAACAACAACCTGATTGTGACTGACTTTCAAAGATCTCCTTAGTTCTTTTTTAAACTATTTGGAATATTCCTCCCAGTTTGGATATTGCCTTATTGATGATTTCTTGCACTTTTTTGGTTGTAAAAAAAAAAAAAAAATTCGAAACAAAATCAAAAAGGAGACACAATTAACAAACAGGCGAAAAAGATTTTAGTTCAATGAATTTATTTACGAGAATCGATTGACGATGGAATTATTTCTCCTTGTAAAAAGATTTCTTATGAAATGAATTGAATCTGAACTTTTCAAAGGGAAATGAGTTGAGAGGTGAGTTAGAAAGTGAAAAAGTAAGAAATGGTTTGATGTAATTCTGGAAAGGACAGTAACCTGGACAACGACAATTGTTTTGACTATTTTTACGACAAAACGGAAATATGGAAAGTCGCAGAATTTTAGGATGAGACATTTTTCATTTTCAATTTGTCAGCTTCATGGGATCCTAAGCCAATTGTAGTGAGTGCACGTGAAAAGGTCTTACAAACCCGAGGGCTGGAATATACAGTAACATAGCTTCTATTCTGAATATATTGCATTTCTATTTACATAAAGGTTACATATCCAACATTCTCACACTGTAACACCTCTTGCTATAGCATCTGTACGTTCTTGCCATACTGTCTTACCAGTACAACTACAAACTTGTTTATCATTTTCCCAAGCACCTGCAGATCTAGCAATTACACCACATAATGAATCACTAGATATCTTATCTTCCAATTTAGATAAGATGATACTTCTTCCAATTAATTCATTGATACTCAATTTTGCATGAAGAAAAGCCTGACCAGCACACAACGTTTCATCTCCATCTACAATTGAAGCACCCAAGGAATTTATAGCAGTAGAAACACTAGATGGTTGTTCAACATCAATTGGATCTAAATCATAATAACTTGGTCCTGTAGAAAGGGCCCCGTTTGACAAATTACCCGAGGTTCTAATGGAAGGATAATATCTCCCCTTAGCTAATCCATTAACTGTCAAATCTATAAATAAATCAGTAGGGGAAACACTAACAATTCTGGCTAATCCTTTGACTGGCAGCTTGATGTCTCTAGGGTCAAATGATTCTAAAATACACACAGCCGCAGAATTAGGTCTTCCAGTACCTCTAATGATTGCATCTCGACCAGTTTCTTGAATGGCTCTTACAATTGTACTGGGTGGCAAAGTACCTTCTGTTGTAACTAAATTTGATTTCAAATTGATATCGAATTTTTGTATTCCTTCTAATTTCCCGAGAACTTTTGCTACTGATTCAACACAGGCATTACATTCCATTGGAACGGCGAATACAATCTCAAATCCTACAGTCATTGTTAATTGTTTAGGAGTGGTGTATGAAAGAGAATGGTAAGTTAGCAAGTGTTTCTAAAATCGCTTACAAATTAAGAAAAATGATTTAACGGGGATTTGTTCCGGTTTTTAAATAATTGCGGAAAAACTGTGGATATTTTTACAATCATTCGATTTTAAAGCAATGTTGGTCCTTAAGGAATAAGCAATCTTCTTTTTAATTTAATTCCTATAAAACAACTATAAATCTAAAAACAATAAAACAAGTCACCTTGAATTGGTACAAACATTGCCCCTATTTAAATGGCAACTAAAAATTCTAAATTTTTAAACTACTCATTCTACGAGGTTCACCAGTTCCCTCGTCGGTCTCCTCATCCAACTTAGTACAAACCCAAGTAGAAGCATACATATTGACTCTATCAATACATTCTCCACTATGTCTAATAGCAGCAGCTTCACATTTAAATCCCAAGGATTCAAATGTCTTAATATACCAAGGATTTTGAGAAGCTGATCTTAACATAACTCTACCACCTTTAGCAAGACATTTTTTCACAGCACTAATTTCATTAATTGCATCGGTACCATTTGGATCAAACCAATCCATATGATCCATAATGATAGCAATTGTGATTGATTTCTTATTCAATCTAGCGAAAACATCATTTAAAGTATCAGTATGTAATCTAATGTTATCGATTGGATTTTCATTCGTAACTCTATTGGCAGATGTAAGTCTTTTATATCCTTTGGTTGTTAAATAATCAGGACAATTATCTTTAGTATATTTACCCATTAAACATAAATAATAAAAGTAATTGTCTTTAGCAATTAAGGATCTATTGATAAGTGGATCTAAAGTATCAATAACATATTTGAGTACAGAAGGACCCATCATATCGGCTTGATTACCAGGAACTCCCAATGCCTTCCATAGAAAGATTGGATTACCAACTAATAAAGTAGCAACTATAGGATTAAACAAAGCTGGTTTAAGTTTTTCATTCCAAACCCTTAATTGTTGTGTCATGGTTGTACATTGACAAAGTTCATCAACATATTTGGAAACTCCACAAATCTTGAAAACATATTTACATAATCTTAAAGCCCATCTAGTAGAACCAGTATCATAAAGCCCCGTCCCAGTGAAAGCAGCTGGTCCTTTATCCATCCAATATTGGAAAGCATTAGATGACATGTGGGGAGATAATTTCTCAAGTAAGAGTTGTTTGAAATTATCAATCTTACCTTGTCCAAACATTTGCCAGATTTGATCTTGATTAAGACTTTTGAAACTAGCTAATTTCAATTCTAATAAATGGTTTTGAGATGGATTTAAATCGACAGCATGGATTCTTCTTGGTGGTTCTGGTAAACTGGCATAACTTAAGATATTATCACCAGCAGAAGTAATAGCTAAAACAGTATCATCACGATTGAATTTCAAAATATTATGATCTTCTCTTGGATCTTCCCAAGTGAATGCATAAATATATTGATTTTTGAATTGTTCATATAAATGATTTAATTCATCATAATAAACTCTCCAAACTTCCTTTTGATAATAGATTGATGGGAATGGTAAATTCTTTTGTAAATTGTTTAAAGCAGCCTCGTGACCTTTAGATACTGGGATTTCAACTTGTACTGGACTATCACTTGGAGCTAAATATGGTGATTCGGTAGCCAAACAATTCAATCTATTTAAAAGTGGTTGAGCTTTTGATTTATCACATCCAATCCAAATATAATAAGGAATCTTACCTAATGCCTTATTATAACAATTTAATGATTTAACGGTACCAAATTTATATTCCAAATAATTTCTTCTTGCAGAATCAAGAAATACTTTATCAGCTTCAAACCAAATTCTCCAGAAATTTCTTAAAATCCATGGTATATTCCTATTAACCAATCCACCCAAAGTATTAATCCTACCCATTGAAGTATCATTACTTTGAATACCAAAATCAACACTAGCAATCACCCCTTCTTTGTGCAATTTACTCACCGCATTATCAATGGCAGCATTGAACGTTGGGATCATAGATAATGAATATGAAAAAGTGATTAAATCAGCATATTGATAATCAATTTGGAAATCACAAGCATCAGCAAGTAAAACATGAACATTTTTCCAATTATGAGCCGAGAATCTTTGTTTCGCAACTTCACATAATGAAGGTGAAAGATCAACTAAATATACTACTTTGAAATTTTTGGCAATTGAACTTATTTTATCCATATATTCGATATTAGAACCTGTTCCTCCACCGATATCGATCCAAACAAGATCATTCTTTTTGGATAAATGAGAAATTGATAATTGAAGACATTCTTGTCTTCCCTTTAATAATAATTGTCTGGTTGTATCATAAATATGAGCTTGACTTTGGTAGAACATTTCAAGTGATTGTTGTTGATTTTTAGCCAGTGCATGTTTGACAGTCTTTTTTTGAATCAATGGTTTAACAAAGCATGCCCAACAGAATACCAAAATGGAATGAATTGTTTTGTTGACTTTACTTGATAAGTAGATCAAACCACATACAAGTGAAATTGAAGTGAATACATATAATTTTGAAAAATCAGTGGGGAATAAATCCACAAATAAGTCTGACATATTCTGTTTTTTATTCTAGAATAGTGTTGAAACAATTGTTAAGAAAGAAAGAAAAAGGATGAACGTTAGGTTGAAGTTGAATATATAGTTAGGGTAAGTTGAAACTTGAAAAAGAGATATTTTAATGGATATTTATATAATTTTACAAAGTTTAATGGGCCCCGAGGACATTCTTGAATTTTTGTTGGAGAGTCTCATTCTCTCTTATTGTTGAGCTTTTGAGGTTGGCATACTTTATTCCTAATTGAGAGGTTGGTAATATCAACAATCATAATAAATATATACCACGAGTGAAACCCATCTATCAAGAAAAATAATAAGAAACACGTTCAACGTGGGTTCCTTCTTTTTTTTGCACCCAAATAAGCATAGGAGAGAAAAAAAAAATAATGAACTTCAACACGTTTTTTGAAAAAAAAATTTTAAGCTTTTTCTTTGTAAAATTCGCTTACGTAAATCCCAAAAAAACCCAACACTTTCTAATTATATTTTAGCTTATAATTGTATGTGTATTGTAAGTTACTGTATAAATACTTGATAGAAAAATCATATGCCAATTTTGGATCGATGAGTTTTTGGCTTTGACCGTTTCTCTGGTGATTGAATTACAACTTAAAATTGGAAAAGTTTATTTTTCGCAACAATAACAATAACACAACTACCAATGAGAGAAGAATTTATAATTATGACATGTGTCTGATACATGAAACGCATTCCTCGAGAAATAGAAAGAAAACGCAAAAATGTCCATTTTATGAAGTCTATTAATGATACACATTTCTAATTCATAGATTAGCAAGAAAATATGTTGCAATTGAAAAGTTCTTGTCCCTTATCTCCACTTACTACAACTCTTCAGGTCAACAGATTTGGTTTTTGTTTTTCCGTTGATCCTAAGTTACCCTGCACAACCCTACCTAACAGAAACTACTAGGCCCTGTGTTGTTCAACTACAGCTGGATCTTCATCTTCCAAGCGTCTTAATAAATAATCCACTTCAACTTTTTTAGTTAAAGGAATAATCCAATCCTTATAAATTTTGGCAATAATTTCAGGATTTACTTTACTTTGAGGATTTTGACTATATTTCATTGAAGGATCAGTTCCATATTGTTCACCTTTAATAATTAATCTTTGTAAAATTTTCTCTTCAACTGCACTATTGGTAATTGATGCTTCAATTCCTTTAATATCTTTATTTAAAATCAAATTAATATATAAAGGTTTATCACTTTGATATTTTGCTTCTGCTACAAATTTCCCAAAATGAATTCTACGAGAAATTGCTTGTAAACATTCAATATCTGCTGAAGAAACAGAACCTAAATTCTCCAACTGTTCACCTTCTTTACAACTTACTTTTGGTACTATTTCATTCACGTAATAATCCAAGATCTCTTGATTCACATTAACTTCATCAGTATAACTTGCCAACACTTTCGGATAGTCAATAGGAGGTAAGATTGGTTTTAAGATCTTGGATGGAAAGAATGGACTTTCGTCAGGAGCTTCAAATCTTCTGATTTGAGAATGAACTATTTCTATTTGTAATAATGCCCATTCCAAGAAACTACCATCAAAATTTGGAATCTCAAATCTATTTTTCTCGTATACTGATGGAGAACTATAAAATTGTGATCTTTCAATTAAATCAAACACAATAGAATCCTCCATCCTAACTAACGCTTGACGGATATTGTTTAAATCAAGGACTGTTTCTGGTTTCATGAAATCCATAGTTCTAATTCTTCTAGTTGTATATTTCCTAACTGACTGGAATATTAATCTATGAATCATATTTCTACAAGGGAAATTTTTCATTCAAGGTTTTTATTTTTTTTTTCTTGTGTGGTGGAGGTGGGAAATCACAATGAGTCAATCTGAGGAAATTACTACGAGGAAGGAGGGGAGAAAAAAATGCAAATCATTATATAAATAAATATGTGACAGAGAGGCTAAAGAAACAAATACATACATACATCGTAACTAATCAGTTACTAATTTCTGCTGGTTCAGAAAGTGGTAATACAGATGGCTGTAACCCATAGGCATCTTCATCGTCCCATTTCTTAACTTTCTTCTTCGCATATTGGACCAATGCATGCCTATCTTCTTCTTGTGGGGTTGAGAATTCAGATATAGTAGCATCAAATTTCCCTACTAAGTTAGCTCTTCTTGCAGCTATAAATCGTCTTACTCTATCAGCTTCCTTCTCCCCCATTCCATAATTGTCATATGACTCATTCAAAGCTCTCATTGTCTTCAAATTTAATTTTTGCTGGTCCAATAACCTCTCATTCACTCGGTCAACAGCTCTCGATATCTGCAATGCAAACGCAATGGCGCCTACAGCCAAGACTCCATAAAGAATCTTATATTTGTTCTTCTCCAATTCTTCAACAGTAGGTGCAGGTCTCTTATATCTTGCCCGATAATAATCTTCCCACGTCGCTGCCCGCCAGAATTCCTCATTATTCTCAAAAGAATATTTCCCTCTAAATGCATTAGCTCTTCTATAAGCTTCAAAATGCTCCTTACTGAATCCATCTGCTGGATCTGGCATTCTGGTCTGTTGTTCCCATGATGTAGTTTGATATCTCTCATAGGCAATTCTACGACGAGGGTCTTTTAATATATCATATGCTTTTTGTACTAATTCGAACCGCTTCTTCTTTTCTTCTGATGAAAGTGGTTTTCCTTTATGATGAATAACTAAACTAGTATCAGGGTGATATAGTTTGACATAGGCCAAATATGTTTTCTTTAGTATCTTCTTCAATTCTTTCGTAGATAGTTTCTTATCCTGTTCTCCAAGATTGAAGATTTCATATGGAGTTGGATCTTTTGTTTTTGGCCATGGATGGATATCTAATCTTTTATGATGATCAAGCTCAGGATCTTCGTTTGCAGCTGTGGCATAATGGGCAATTGAAGTAATAGAAGTAGTAGCGCGTGGGATAAACAAGCTAATGTTCTTGGGTGTCTGGTGTTGAATACACCTTAGTGTACAACAAGATACTTTAAACATAATACCCCTGATCTATAACTTAAAGAAAGAAAGAAGCATATTAATTTTTAATTTGTAATTCAATTCGGTTTTAAAAATTATGTACAAGTAACCAATCGAAATTGCTTCTGGCGCATAGTTAAGTTCGGCTCGGCCTTTGAATTTTTCTCTGAAGCTTAATTTGATATTTTGTGTGAAATGGAGTTTGCTGATTATGCTTGCAAATATCTCCATAGCTGATCAACAAATATAATCTATCTGAGAGTGTATGTCTAAGCTTAGACATGCGAAGTTCGTATTCTGATTAAAGATTGCTTCCCTTAGATCGTATGAACATAGAGAAAGTGGCTGATCCAGAGTCTGCATCGAATTTACATTTTCCTTTATATCGGAGGCGGAACTCATCGGGGATTCCCAAATAGGTATTCCATCCCACTTTAAACACATCCTACGAGATGATCTTATTGTTATCCTGACTTCCCCACAAAAAGAAGTGTTCATATGTGGTTTCATTATTCGGGTCTAGTGTGTCTCACAATTTTAAAGTTTACGTCCTGCATGGGAAGACTTTCCAAATCAGGGATTCCGTTCCGCAACTGGTAGCAGTTTTTCTAAAAAAGAATTGGGGATTCCCTTTTAATGGTTTTGCACCCATTCCTAAAACAATATAAATAAGGCTGATTATTCCACCCTGCTTAGTTGGTGAGCTATGTTGTATATCTCAGCTACTTTCTATATCAATACTACAATGTCCCCAACTCAAATAATTGATGAATCCGTTCCTGCTAACCTTGAACCACGCTTTGTTGCAATAAAAAAAAGATTGATCAAACCAGAAAACATTGACAAAGTTACACAAAGCTGGAAGCAGATCTTAGTTGAATTAGATAAAGAACTCACAAGAATTGCTGAGGCTGGTCCTTCGTATGTTCCTAAATGCGACTTCTCGGAAATCAAAGATACTAATAAACTTCCACCTAAAATCTCTGCATTGTTTAAACAAAGAGGTGTGATTATGGTTGATAATGTTATTGATACCCCACAAATTGACCTCTGGTTTAATGAATTAGTTGAATTCTGTAAAGACAATCCAGAAACTGCGGGATATACTTTCCCAAATCCAACTGCATGGTATAACATTTTTTGGACCAAACCCCAAACTGAAGCTAGATTTCACCCAAATATGAAGAAATTATTCAAGACCATGGCTAATGAATTTCATGTCGATGATGAATCCACATTGCTTGATTTAGACACTCAGATAGTCTATGGTGATAGAATTAGAATTAGGGAACCTGGGTCAACTGCTACTTTGCCATTACATTTAGATTCTAGTTCTATTGAAAGATGGGAAGATATCATGTATTCCAAAGTTTATGAACCTATCTTTAATGGGGAATGGGAAGATTGGGATCCGTTTAAATTAGACGAAAGAACTACTGCTTCTGAAAACCTTTATGAACATATCGAAGAAGGCAAATCAACCATTTGTAGTGCCTTCCGTACTTTGCAAGGGTGGTTGGCACTTTCAAATAACAAATCTGGTGAAGGTACTTTAAGAGTATTACCAAATATTAAATTAACAATGGCATATATCATGTTGCGTCCATTCTTTTGGCAGGATCCCAAGTCTGGTAATTTGGATGATTATGAAATTGATCTAGACACTCCTAAATTCCCAGGAACTGTTCCTGGACAAGGTCAATTATTTTTGGATAAGTTTTATCATCATCTACATAAAGGGGTTATTTCAATTCCTGATGTCAAAAAGGGGTCATTTGTATTTTGGCATGCTGATGTTGCTCATGAAGTTGATCATGAGCATAATGGTGATTCTGTTTCTTCTGTTTTATACTATGGTCAAACACCATTGACTGAAGGGAATATCAAGACCTTGTTGGATACAAGACATGCATTTTTGAATAATATTTCTCCAGAAGATTATCGATCGCAACTAAGTGAGGAAGACAAGAAAAAGGAATATCAAGGTGCCGATTTTGCTCATTTTGGTGAGGATATGGATTCCAAGAGATCTATGGGCCTTGTGCCATTTGAGATCTCCGAGGACTTAACTGAAGGTCAAAAGAGAGTTAGGCAACTTGCAAATGAAGCGATCTCTAAACAAGCATAATGAATACAAAAATTTACTTCCATTAAAATACATAAATATATAAAACATCTTTTTAAATAAATTTACAACTTTCCAAATAAAACATCATAATAATAAACTTTCCTTTTTTACCAATCGACTTCAATAACTAATAATAAAAAAAACTGTCACATAACATATGACACATATAAACGTAAAAATCAAACAAATTAAGCCCATCAAATAATTCGTCTATGCCAATGCAATAGCATAATCTTCATCAACGACGTACTTCTCCCAATCATTAGTCCATCCCATTAAGCCTCTCTTCTTGTTCTTCTTGGTAGTATCATTTATAACACCAAAACTATTCTCATCACAATTATCTAAATCTCTTCTCTTCCAAATACTTAAAATAATTTGTCTTGTCTTACCAACATTACCCAAAGTATTATCTTCTAATTTATCCATAATTTGTAATGTCAAATAACGTAAATCTTCACAATCAGCGGCAACACTTGAAATTTCAGAAGATGCCATAAATACTGACCAAATCAACGTTGAATACCATTTATAATCGTTCTTGATAACAATAAATTCCAATAATTTGAAAATTTGTCTAACCAAGCGAGTAATAGATTCATCTTCTGGAGTCTTATTTAATAAACAAGATTCAAGATATAAAATTGTAGCTAAACGCTTAATCTCACAGGATAACAAGAAACAGAATTCTTCGATTTCCATTCCAAATTCTTGTACCATTAATGTTGTTTCATTATGATTGGTACTTGCCAAAGCCGCTTCCATTACATTAATATTCATTTCATCCAATTTCTTCTTCATATCATTACATAAGATAGCATAATTAGTTTCACTAATGGAATTTCTAAATCTTTCGAATGATAAATCAGTAATATCAGAAATGATATTTAATAAACGACGATCACATCCCATCCAACTAACAAGCGTGATTTGATTAGGTGCTTTAACAACTCCGGTTTTTTCTTCCTCTTCTTCTTCCAATTGTAAAAAGAATGAATTAACATCCTTACAAGCAGTTCTACCAATACTTTCTTGATAATTTAAAAATTCAAGACAGAATTTCAATAACGAATATTCTAAACTATTGTAAGGTAATACGAATTTTTCTGAATTGATCAATTTCTTACATAATTTCAAATAAATAGTCCATTGTCTGTCACAATCATTAGCAAATTCATATAAGATCAATAACACCAATGCAACCAATAAATCAGTAGTATATGTATGACTAGAATTATTTATATCAGTATCGCTCACCAATCTATCAATTTCAGGTTGGATTTTGGCAAGACCTAAATCTTGGAAATATTTAGCTTTACTTAACCAACCAGCTTTTTGAGCAATTCCGTTAAGTTTCGATAAATATATTGAACCTAATGAAAGAATGAGATAAAATAATGAAGTATTATTTTGAGAATACTTCACTAATGCCGATAAGTCTAACCCTTTTTCCACCACAATAGATCGAGAGTTATCGTCACTTAATTGATTGTAATAAATAGATTGATCACCAACTGGGTTTAAAATTGGTGAAATGAATTCAATATAATAATTCAAAGCGAAATTCAAAGAATTTGGATCTTTCAATGACCGGGTAATATCAGGTGGAATAATTGATGATTGTAAAGAAGGTACAATCATAGGGGTAATATTCATGGGAGGCATAAACACTCGATTAATATCACTATAACCGGTGTTTATAAATTGTAATTTTTGTAAGTTACGAATGGTAGCATAGTATGATTCTTGTGATCTTTTAACTAATTGAGTTGTTTTAGCACCACTACCAGAATCTTGTTTTTTATTTTTTGACCAAACACCTTCTCTACCAAATTTTTTACCTCTTAATTCTAAATCTTCTCTAAATTGTAAGATGATTTTATAACGACATGTAAGACCTTTGGAGATACATCTAGAACAATGGGGTTTTATTTCATCACATTTAATTCTTTTGGATTTACATTCTTCACAACCAAATCTAGATCTTGGAGTTTTTGATTTTTGACTTGGTTTTTTCTTGCTGGAGGCACTTTTGGATATTTTCGAAGTTGATGGTTCTTGTTTAATAAACGTTGAATCGGCAGAAGTACACGGAGATATATGATCTAATAACAAGTCTGTGCTAGAAAAAACTTTGGGAGAAGAAGAAATTGATGAAGTTGGAGTAATGTTATTATGATGTTGATAAAGCAACGTGTTGTTATTGTTGGTTGCATGGGGATACATATGGAACCCAAGTCCAGAGACTGGCATATGCAGTAGTGGGTGAGGGTTGACATGTTGGAAAGGTGGTGATATGCTTGTTGATTGATAACTTGAAGAGGTAATACTTGAAACTGAACCCGAAGGACTTGAGCTTCTGTTGTATTGGTAGTAGAATGATGATAATGGTGATTCTGGTGGTGGGGTGATACTATGAGGTGGTGGGGTAATCTTATGTGAATCCATATTGAATTATCTGTGGTCGTTGTAGTAGCTGTAGGAAGTAGTGTCTTTATTAAAAATAGGGTGACGAGTCCGCCTGTTGGTTTCTGTTTTGTTTAAATGGGTAATTACGTAAGTAGCAGACTAGGAAGTACAGGTTATTTCGTTTCTTTAACTAAACTGTTAAATGTTATATAAAATTGAATTTGAAAGGAAAGGTAAAAATACCAAAAGTATAGAGTAAGATTATTAATAAAAATAGAAAAAACGGCAGAACTGGAATTATATATATTTAGTAAGGACATACGGGACAGACAAAAATAACAATTAAGGTTTAAAATAAAAATTGATAGTAAAACTGTTAAAAAATATTTTAAATTTATTTTAATTTTGTTGAGACATTTTCAATTCTATTTTGTGGCAAATAATATAATATTTTCTTAGAGACATTTTACTAATATTTTCGTATTCTATTATATTCGGTCAATAACCCCCTTGGCTAGGATAATGAGACATTAGCCATTCGTGATTTGTTGCAGTTTAGGTCAATCATATAAAGCAAAATAAAAATAGAATAAATGGCTTTTGCTTTCCCCAGTCATGCAAGAAAGTATCAAATGAAAATTGAAAGTTGAATAAGGGGTTCATTTGTGGAGAAGCATTGGTCCCTTTTTCCAACTTAAACTGTCTGAATCGATTTCATTTAACTTTGTCAAAATTGTCTAGGCATTTCATATTCCGATCTAGGATTTGACTAGAATATCATATTCACAAAACCATCAGCAAAGTGAAACACTAACAAACTTAAATTAAACTTCTTGGGGGTGGCGGAAAAATATGTCTAAAAACGAATCTGTGAATTAATGCAAAGCGGAGTAATTAAGCGCCCTTAAAAAATACCGCGAAACCATCCATAGTTACATATTTCAGCAGGCGATTTGATAAGGTTCAAACTAAAAAATATTTGTGGCAAATTTCTTTTTTCTATTCTTTTGGATAAAGTATTAACCTGGCGAATTGTCCGCGATGAATAAACCCCACCAGGTAGAATTGACCACGTAGAAAGCTTTCCCACTCAAATAACTTATATGATGCAGCATCGAGCCAATCGGACAAATTTTTTTATCCCAAAGTCCAAATGGCAAATATTATTAATTGTTCTGATTTTGTCCTCACTCATTAAGCATGGCTAACAACACGTCTGCAAGTACAATTTCTAGAGCGATTTATTTCTTAATAATCATAAGAGAAAATGTCGCATTTCATGAAGTTTGTGCCATATTAAAATATTATTTTCTCAGAAGGATTCATTGTTTTTTGGTATCATGCATCTATGAGTGCAATTGGCTAATAATATTATCCGAAGGATGGATTCTTTTTTTGTGACACTGTATATCCGCTAATATAAAAAAATTCACTTGTAATAAATCAAAAAGTTTATTGAATCATCGCGATAATATGTGACCTAATGTAGTATCAATAAGGATAACAACTTGCAAGTTGCTACTAATCGAGATCTCAAATGTAAGCAATTTATGTTGAATTTGATTCCTACAACATTAGTGGGGTAAAAAATGGTTCAACTTAAACCGCCAGCCCCCCTCACCCACCTCGACAGCCAAAATTCATTGGATTACATTCTTGTCCTTGTCGATATGTTGCAACGATTGTTCGGTTCATTACATTTAATGACGGACAATAAATATCACAAATTTATAGTTCACATGGCTCTCCCCCTCTTGGTGCCATATACGAACATCGAAATTGCGCTACGCTAGATTCCCGCTTCTTTGTCCTAGTCGCTCTATGTTTAGCTTGTTTCGGGTTGTTCTTGTTTAACTTTTGTGAACACAATCAATCCTGTCAAATTCTTTGATTTTGTTCAAAGACAAGAGAACCGGTTATTTTTTCGAAATTGGATTTAAGTATTTTTTATTCACCGATCTTCTTTGTGACCAATAATAATACTGTTTATTATTTCACAAAACTAGGAGGGGTAGAAATGGGGCGGTCGTATCACCTATTTGATTGGCTAAATGACGCGATGCCACTCCGTCACATGACCCTGGTTGCTATGGAGACCGTTATCGTCCCGAAAGGTCATGATTCAAATACTTTGTTCCAATTGAATCATTAGTAAATAATATAGGAACAATGAAGCGTTTGTGCGTTAGTTTCTTGTTCCATACGCTATTTGATTTTACTGTTGACAGTTGAATATTGAACTACGAAGAAATGTGTATGCAATTTAATTTTAATTAAATTATGTAATTTTAATTTTAGTGTATGAAAACCGTTTTTTTTACATGTAAAATCTAAACAGGTGTTTAATTACGATATCATCGGAGATCTAGAGAGAAATACCTTAAAATATTCTGTGGCTGATGCCCTATGCAGATCCGTGCATTTAATAGAAAAATATAACTCAAATAATATCCCATTTCTTTTTATTCATAGTTTCAGATGAACCCCAGTATTCGCTTTTTCTCAGCCGAGTTCAACTAAAGCTTTTTCTGATTGTGTTAAACGTTGTTTTCACCTGTTTCAAAATACAAGGGAGAGTCTCACCACGTAATTTGCAAAATTTACTGAAAACATTTTGCCAAGCAAATATGCCTTTTAACACCATCTCTTTTATTGTGTATTGCAAAATGTTACAGAGAAACTATACGAGTTTGAATTAAACGAATCTCGATAGACAACCAATATCTTAAACTACTCTTCAGATGTATATTTTTTTAAGAATAGAAATGATTGAGACGTGGTCGACAAGTAAAGTTTGGAAACCGTCACAATCCTAAGGATATACTGGCATATAAACCAAATAAAGGACTACCAGCCAAACGGCCAACCTGCCAGTGGTCCATAAATTTAGATCAGTTCTTGATAATCTAGCACTCACTGGGGAACTTATTCGTGTATCATCTTGTATTGTTAATCAGTCAGATGACAATCTACAATATTTGACATTCCCCAAAAACTATAGTTCTAAGGACTGAACTTTATTTCATATGAAGTGGAGTTCACGGACCCCTTTCGACTGCACTTCTTCGTCATATGGCGGTGAGCCCAACTTAGACAAATTCCTGTGGACTTTCGCCTTCCCCAAGTAGGAATCAGGAATGGACGAAATCCTTCCTCGGCACAATAGTCCTTCTACGGAACGAACAACAACACCAATTATTTAGTTTGGTTATATATACAAGCTACGCACGTAATCTTCCCATGTTGCAATACACGATTGCTCGGTTCCTCCACGGACTAAGCACGGGGCTTCCTTGTTATCAAACTACTGTAAGTTTTACGATCGGCCAAATGCATCTCTCGCTCTTGTTGTTAATCTATTAAGATTGGCCGACAATAGCAAACTTTTACAAAAACCTACAAGGTTGGCAAAAATTTTATAATCTTTGCGAGCTTTCTTGTTAACCTAAACGGGAGGGGAAGTGGTGTTTATTTCTTGGTGTCAAAACTATCAAAACTGTTTGCTAGTTACCTCGTGGATTCCGCTTTCGGTTAAATAAGGGGTAAATAGCTGCGGATGGATAAGGAGGGAGAAATCCTATACATAGTTTACCGTAGGTTTTCTCGAAGAAGTAGGAAAACTAAGGAAGGGAAAGCGATCTCTATGAGAGAAACAAATTTTTGAGACTTATGAAAAGCAAGGCAACTTTACTACCCATCTAATCGGTGGCATTCGAGGGTACAACATTAGGATCTGGTTACTGTTCTTCAAGGAGCTCCTTATAATTGAGTAATATAACTGATAGTAGTTAATTTGTAATTATAACTATGCAAAAGATTTCGATATTTTTTTTCGCAATAAAGAAGAAGATTCATAATTGCTATTGCTACAACGCCTTTCACTACATATAAATTATAAAGGATCATAATTACTAATAGTATACTTGGAGAGTCTGCAACAGATCGTCCGTCCCACATCACGTTATAGGAAGACTATCCCACCGCAACGTTTCAGTCATACGGCCGAATCATTAAAGCCTTTTCGGGATTAAATCGATTTTAATTATTTCATTTTTTTTCCATAGCTGCAAAAAAACCAAAAAGTGGCTGCCAAAAAATAATTGAACAATCGAAAAAAAAAATAACCCAGCGCATTATCGAAAATGGGACAACTATAACCGATTTAATACTTGGGCTTCTCGATGTAAAGGTCACGAATGCAGAACTTATTCCCTTCTACTTTACACTCGTGGTTTTGCGGCCGATGTCGACGAATTAACGCCATTACCGAAAATCGATAAATTTAGAACTGAAATATATATTTTAGGAAAAACTTTAAACTTCTTCTTGAAAGAAGATTGCTGCTTGAAAAAACAAGGCTTCTCTACTCAATTCAACTCATTCTTTGCGATTAGAAGACGACTTTCATAAACAGAAAAACCAGTATGTTTTAAGCTTGAGATGAATTATTCCAACAACTTCGATATACAACGATATCTTACGTGGAACTAAATTAAGACCACTCTTGAAAACTTTCTTCTCCAGTCTGAACACCGTTTCATTGAGAAAAAAATGGTAGTTTAAAAGCCTTCTCACTCTAAATAATATATGACTAATCCAACAAGGTTCATCGGACCACTTCAAGAATTTTTAAGCGGCTCATTATATCAAACATTTTATATTGTACCAGTCCAGTCCAGAATGAGAAATCTACCCGTTACTCATCTACGGCCAAAAATGAAACCGATCAATTGTTGAATCAAAACTCTTCTTCTACACAAATGTATAAAACTAAACGTTGTTTAGGACTCTGCTTTTGCTTATTGTCGGTTTCACAGTTCTATCCATTGTCCCCCCTGAATATATTCACCAATACTTGGACAATTTAATGAGTGGCCCGTCGCCACAAAGCTGATTCAAAAAGGTTAAACCGGCCGTATGGCTTATGGGGGGACATACATATATGCAGTATTTAACTCCTCCAATTTTGCGGAAATAATTCGGGTTTAATAAATCCGTTCGGATGCGAACCCTTATTATGAAAATCTGTCAAAAAACCATCGGAAAATAAAAGCAGCAAAAACGAAAAATATTTTTTAGTAAATAATTCTCTTTGCTTATAAATAAAGCCGCTTCCCAAGAAATGTCATTCACTTTTAAGGTTTTTAAATTTATTATGAAATCAATATCATCAAATACAAATATTAAACCATAACGATGAATTCAGATAAACCACTATCACCTGTAACGACTCCAGTCCCAATTACTACCCAAGAATTGGTTCCTAATGAATTCGATGGAGCCGCTATAGATAGACAATCAACAGGACGCAGTAGTATAAAATTCAAAGAATCAGATGCTGGTGACGGTACCAAAAGACAAGACCAATACTTGCATGGGGCTCGTTTAGGTCTTTGCTTCTTGTCCTTATTCTTGTGTCTTTTCCTTTTTGCTTTAGATCAAACTATTGTTGTCACTATTTTAACCACAGTTGGTAATAAATTCGATGCATTTTCAAAAGTCGGTTGGTTATCCTCGGGGTTTTTATTGACTATGGCAGTTTTTATTCAACCATTTGGGAAATTATCTATCATCTTTGGTCGTAAATGGACAATGGTTGCTGCCGTTGTCATATTTGAATCTGGTTCCTTGATGTGTGCATTGTCCAATAACATGAATGTTTTAATTGGTGGAAGAGTATTAGCCGGTGTCGGTGGGGCTGGTATCCAAGGTATCTCCTTTGTTATCATTTCCGAAATTGTTCCCATTAATAAAAGACCCATCGGAATGGCAATCATGTCAGTTGTTTTTGCAGTTGCTTCTGTTCTTGGTCCTTTAATCGGAGGTGCATTTACTTCGCATGTTTCTTGGAGATGGGCATTCTATATTAATTTACCTGTTGGTGGTATTGCATTGGTTACTTTCTGTTTAGTGTTTAGACCACCACTTCCTAAAGTTAGTTATATTCAAGAATTGAAACTGTTTGACTATTTGGGAACATTCTTATTAATATCCGGATTTGTTGTTCTCTTATTGGCATTAACCTTTGGTGGATCAGAATTCAGTTGGGATTCAGGTCCAGTCATTGCATGTTTCATAATTGGTCCCTTATTATTGATTGCATTCTGTGTCTGGAATTTCAAATTCTCCAAAAATCAAGTCATTGCTACTGAAATTGTTAAAATCCCACAAATTGTTGCCTCAGTAGTAGCTATTTCCGGTGTTTTTGGTGCCTTCATTGGGGTTATGATTTACTGTTCAATTTATTTCCAAGTTATTAAAGATAATAGTGCTATGGGAGCTGGGTTACATTTATTACCATGTATCATTTCAGTGGTTATTTCTTCAATTTTTGCAGGGGTCATGATTCAAAAATTTAGATATGTTAAACCATTTAACATTGCATCTGGTATTATTGCCCCAATAGGTGCCGGTATTTTAACATTACTAGAAGTTGACTCTTCATTCAGCACTCAAGTTGGATTATTAATCCCATTAGGCGCCGCTTGTGGGTTACAAATGCAACCATCATTCATGTCTGCTCAAATAAAAGCACCAAAGACTCCAGGAGGGATGATTATGACTACTATTTTTCTCAATTTTTCAAGATCCATTGTGGCCGCCCTTGCTGCCGATTTAGCCGATGCTGTATTCACTACGTCCTTGACAAATATCTTTTCTTCCGCTGTCAAATCGCCTACTCTTGATCCAGAAATCTTATCAGAATTACAAGGAGTGGATTTGAGTGGATTGATGGCAAATAATGAAGTGTTGAAGCAGTTGAGTCCAGCTGCGGAATTCTTTGTTAAAACGCAAATGATGAAAGCTATCAGGAATGTATTTTATATGTCTTTGGGATTCACTATTATCAGTTTCGTTGCTGTCTTTTTCGTCACCAATAAGAAATTACCTAAGGCAGTTGATATGGGCGAGAAAAAGAAGGAAGTAACAAAAGATGAAGAAAATCAAATTGAAGAAAGCATTGCTGAAAGTTCAAGGATTGCTGCTGATGAAGAACAATCAGAAGATACCGAAGAAATCAATTCGATCGAAAAGACGAAGACAACGGAGAGACAAACTTCGCTTTAATTGCCATGTAAATAGAGTTATATACCATTTTAATAATAATGAATAGATCAACATTGTTCGAATATGAGACATCTATACTGTATTGTAAAACAAATCGATAATAGTTCTACTTAACTTCTATACGAAATTCTAAATACTTGTACATATTTATAATTACATACACATCAAAATGTGTGTAAAATTGGGTATTCATATCAAACAATATAGGCAAGCATCAACTCAACGAAGAGAACCAAAACCAAAGACACATCCAATGGGGGAGCAGAACCTATGTACACATCTGTGATAGCAGAAGATGGAGCATTGGACTGCATATTGTCAGAAGGAGAACTTGATCGAGATGGCTCATCACTAAGAGTTCCCTGTTGGCCACGATTGGAGTCACTCGATTGGCTTGGTATACTATCATCGTTCTCACTTTGGGTTGCCTTAGTCAAATATACAGTTATATGAGTTGTAGTTGGTAATTTTGGGATAACATTGGTAGGGATAACACATCCAATGCATGTTTCGGTGTCTGATGCCGTTGACTCACTTGAGAGTTCGGTGCCAGGTGATGAACTTTTTAAAACGGTTGATGAGTCAATAGCGATGTTCGAAGCTGATGCAGATGAACATTCTTCTGTTGACACACTTGTCCACGTTTCGTTGTTGATGGTGGTTGAAAGGGGAATTGTTGAAGATGGATCAGATACTGGTGTTTCACAATCTTCGACTGTAGGGGTAGTTGTGGAGACAGGAGAAGTGGAGGTATCTTCATCTGATGTCATTATAATTGGTGTTTCTTCTTCTGTGACAGTTGATTCTCGAGCTTCTGTGGTTGGTTCATCTTCTACAATTGTTTCAACTTCTTGTTGCGAGCTTTGGGATTCGTCTTCAATGGGTGTCAAGCTTGGTACTTCTGTAGTTGGTTCTTCGGTTTCTAACGATTCTTCAATTTCTGAGCTTGTAGTTTCGATATCCCCAATAGCCTCTCCGGGAATTAGTTCAATCACTGTGCCTGTATCCCCTGGTGCGGCAGATATGGTAGAAGTAGTATGAGGGCCATCCCATGTACTAGTGATAGTCAAAGTGGGCACAGGTATTTCAACAACAACAGTCATGGTACCTTCACCAGGAACATATGACATAGTTGAACGTTGGGTAGTCAGACCTGTATATGTTCTTGTAACAAGGTCAACTTCTTGACCATTCCCACCTGGCAGATTGTTCGTATATCGCGACCAAGTGACCGTTTTCAGGTTGTCGGTCTCTTCTGTATCTCCTTGGCAATGATAGCGGTTAATATACAAAATTTTATTGGCGATTCCAATGTCCGCACGCATAAACACTCCCGCGAATGGTCTGAACCCAGAAGGAATGTTTGTAAAAGTCGCTATATATGAAGTCGTGGAACAGTTTGTTTCAACATAAGCACTAACCACCTCTTCAGGAAAGTACCAATCATTTAACTTTTCGACAATGGCAGCATGGATAGAAGCGCAGTCTATTTCAACACCTTCCTTTTGGACCTCGAACCCCAATGTAGCAGTGGTGTAACCATTGGAACATTTTCCTCCCAAGAGATAATGCTGCTGTTTATTCAAAGTAGGGATGACCCTATTGATACGAACAATTTTATCGGGATCAGTGGTAGCGCCTGCAACAAAATCTACTTCTATAGGAAGGCTATTGTCGCCATCATAAAATGTTACCGTATTCGAACCACCATGAAAATAATTAGCACATGTAAGATCAGTGGCCAAACCTGAATATCCAGCATTGAATGTGAATGGGAACCTAATTGTCCCCCAGGCGTATGTGGTTGGGAGAACCGAATCCTCAAAATGACAGGCTAATTCGGAATACGGAACCACCACATCGCCAGGACTAAACATACATGTAGCATACACTTTAGACCCAACTTTGAGTTCAACCTGATTTTCCGTACTTGTGAATTTAAAAACACAAGGCATTTTTAAAGTAAATGTATCACCAGCATTAATTCTAGAACCATCGATAATCCATGACAATGTAGCAAGCCAACTAGGAAAATTGGGCCCCTTAAATGGATAATAGTTATCATTCTCCCAAACTAAGGAATCGAAACTTGTAAATATACCCGTGACCTCTTGAGTGGTCACTAATGAAAGCAAACAAAGTAAAGCAAACGTTTTAAAATACATCATTGCTGACAATTTGACACGATCACAAATCCCAAACACATTAGAAGAAGTCACCCTGAGCGTTATTCGTAGGTTTATATACTTGGGAAATTTGAAGTTTTGCAACCTTAGAAAAATTGTTCGATTCCTGCATGTCCCCACAAAAGAAACTTCGGTCATGACACAAACGAAGAAGCTTTTTTATGCAGGGTTCTAAAAATATAATTAACAAGAAAAAAAGCGAGAGGGTGTTTCCACATAAATATTCTATTTGCCCTTAAGATACACTTCGGTAGATGAAATAAACACCGTGAGGTATTCTTTTAAAAGGCAAGAAAACAAAGCTTCCTTCGAAGAAACAAAATATCGGTTCAAATTTCAAGAATGAATTTGCCCTTAGAAGTGCTGTAATTAATGGCAATCAGAACACAAACAGTCATGCAAGTGTGAAATGATTTACGTCTTAACTTTTCTTAGGAGAAAATATTTTTTAAATATAATTTCACAAAATAATCGAAAAACACTATAAAATAAACATGTGACTTTATCTAAATCGAAATCGCAACGAAAGTAACATAATTTTCTACGATTGTAATAACCCATTCGGCTCGTGTTAGTAAAGATAGTTGATAAACGATGCAGTTACTACCACGTTCCGAATGAAAGTTGATATAGCAGTCTGCTCTCAGATCTCAAAAGTTCTGTTCCAGTCTTGAAACGGCCCAGCGGATGAGTGAATATAGAAACTCTAAAGTGAAGTGATGTACTTTTCTTAAGAATGGTTCTGACATGGACTCGCGTTTCCTTGCATTAAGTATACTGATTATTTTTTCTTGAAAATGATTAGTCAGTGCATTGTCACCATTATCATCATTAGCACCAGTATCTCTGTTTGCATCGTTATCAGTACCTGTATTTGCATCACCAGCAAACTCAGAGTTAAGACCATTAAGAATATCGTTGATATTAGACATATTTTGATTAATTGTAAAAGAACTAATTAACTAAAGAATTTCTATAAAATACAGCTTTTATTTTCTGTTGAATTTACCACCTCTTTATATTATAATATTCATGGTGGTAAATTATGGCTTTTATTTGATATACTTTTATTAACTTTTAATTGATATACTTTTGTTAACTTTTATTCATTAACTTTTATTAACTTTTATTTATTAACTTTTATTTGATATTTTTATTAAACTTTTATTTGAAACACTTTTATTAATTTTGATTGAGAACACAAGAGGTCTTGCATTACCACGACTCTCAACATTTTTATATCCCAAACAAAATCAACTAATCAACTAGCTAAACTCTGAGACTATCCCGGGATCTGCTTTACTTTCATTTTAGGATATCGGAATGAATCGTGAATCATCTGCCATCCTTGTCAGGTACATCTGATAAATCCGCTGAATTTAATAATAAGCTGTATGGAATTGTCGACAGATTTGCCCTTTCTATATCATTCCTGCAACAATACACTGATTAGTCTCCATTCTTGCTTTGGAACTAGATTTCTTGTTGAATCCTTCGCAAGATGTTTCGAGAATATTCTGCGCCAAAAATAAAAACAATTCATTGCCTCGATGTGCATTAGTGACATCTTATGTAGTGTTCAGGTTTTTCTATATGCATCAACCTACGGAGGGGTGATGAGCGGATCGTTGGGAATTGTTTCGGCTAATTCATTGATTAGACTACTGGTTCAATGTCTCTCAGCATTTTGTGTAGTACACGGAGATGGGATTTGGAATAACCAACCGGAAAGACAAATCTCAAACAGTACTCTTTTGAAAAAGCAAATATGCATAAGGAAGCAATTTTGAGTTTAGATCCAGCCAATCAAACACTCGCCACATAATCATATGCTTGGATACCACTTTGACCGAGGAACAGAAAGACAACAGTCTTAGCGCAAAACAACTTGTTCTTCGAGCTAAACAATATTGGTCTTCGTGACAACCAACAATATGGCAACGAAGTCTAGGGGGGGGGGGGGTTTAGTGGGTATTACGATTCGTCGAGCCCCACATTGTTGGCTCGTACGTAAATACATTGTTTCGTTGGGGATACTGGAAAACAAAAAAATAAAAAAATACTGATAATTGCAAGTTTGCCTATGCGGAATTGCGCTTGGGATTCAAGTATCTGATATCTCTACTTTTTCTCTCCTGCAAAATATCAGCATTTTCAAAACATGATTTCATTCCACGTTTACAAATGACTAACAAATCGGGTGGTCTTTGGGGTGTGTTCTGTACTTGAGATACGAGGTCATTGTATATGGCTTTTCTTGGCATGTTAGTTACTGTATTCGCCCAAATATTATATATTACCGTTAAGTTGACAACTTAAAAATCAGCTTAGTTTGCGATTCTGTGTTGAACTAGATTAAACCCCAGAACACAGCTATATGTACGTCGCTGCCCTCTTTGAAGCTATTAAATGTCCCCGGGTCTAGTGTATTTCTAGTAGAAGAAAAATCACCCCCAATTGAATTGTGTTCAACAAATTCCTGCATATAAATTGTTGCAGAAATGATTTTGCAACCAATTAAATTTTGATGGTTACGTTTTTTGATTTTTTCAAAACACAGTATAAATTCAATAAAACGATTTAAATGTAATAATTTAAATATTTCTATACATACTAAAAACAATTCTTAGGGGACACATAAGAAACCTGCTTTACAAAAATTTGATTCAGTTACAGGCAGATGTTTGAATGCAGGTTTTGTAGTACTTACTCTATATTTCTAATTCCATTCCAGGGTTGTTCCCTCAGCCTGATTCGTCTATAGCTACATTCCTTGCATATAAAAGTATACGCTTACAAATCCAAAAAGAGACACAACAATCCATACTTCAAATTAGAAGTAAAATACGTGAAACAGTACCTCATTGAAGAAGAAATGTGGGCACGAAAACCCGAAGGTGTATCTAAAATAGCCTACAAGCTCTAGTTGAAGTAATTCTATAATTCTTCGCCCACCCAAATATCTCCATAAAAAGTAGTCAATATACTTTCATTGTTGTCAAACTGCACACACACTTGCCCTCGTAGAGTTATACTTTCCATGCTTAGTTTTCTCGCCTATTCAAGAAAAACGCCAGTAAGTACTGTACCAATATTGCGGTTTGCCTTACTCTGTTTCACCCCGTGTGCGGTAAGAAGGCGGCAAAGGCTCAACTGTAACATCAATAATACTGATGTCAAAGTCTGCTTCTTAATTAGCAATAAACAATCCCGAATCCATATGCTGCTGGAGGATCATAGAATTGGCGTATGAGGGAAAAATTCAAACTGTCCGTCCAAGGAAAGAAAAATCTCTCACCCGAGGAGAGAAACCCCCTCTCAGCCAACGATAGAAAAAACTATCAGCATCATGGATTTCAGATTTATTAAACGTTTACTCCGAGAACTGTTAATTGATAGATATAATCCCTTTGTGTTATTCTGAGTCAACTTTGTTAGATGTATGGTGCACGTTTGCATAGGAAAATTCGGAGTAATCAATGTTAAATTCTCAGTTCTCAATCCAGTTCTCAAAAAACAGTTCTCAAAAAAACGACAGTGTAAAATTATCGGATTCAGATTGAAGAAATTTTAGTTAAGCATAATATTAATTGATATCAATATTATCTTTGAACCATTTGCAGTTAACTTTATTAGAACAGTTCTACACGTTTTCTTACATAAATTTGGACTTATTAAACTTTCTAATTAATTGCCTGTCTCTAGATTGTTTGTGGATAATTTTGAAAAAATCTCGATGCAATGTGTATACATAATTTGCTCTGATTAGTTTATCAAAAATCATAGGATCGACAAAAGAGGGACTTAACATTTTGTGGAGTTCTCCTGAGAATTTCGATCTATCATAGACGATATTTGTAGGCTATCGTTCCCGTTTCCTTGGGCTGGCTCTCATTGAAAAAGTAGCCCAGAATTCTTTAACTACTGTCGGTATCGACTAACATAAAATCTTCAAGTGAGTTGAACAAGTTAGCCGGGCACAACCGGAGAACGTATTCTTATATGATTCATGAATTACATTGTATAGATCGACAAACCAAATCTCTTGCTTGGGCTTCCCTCATCGGCCTTTAGATACTCTTCATTGATATATCTCCACAGGAGATTATTTGCATTGGCAATTTGCGTTTTTAATACTTCTAATATTTTTGATCAAATTTCTCACTAATACAGCATGTGGTCTTCTCCAGCAGACATTACTATTCCTCTTCCGGTAAATGCAAGATTTGTTTGCTTCAAGAAGCAAGCGTCCTACTAATAATGATGGAGTTCGCTTGCCGATTCTCCAGTTTTCTAAATCTGGAGATTCATGAAATAACCTGCCTCCGCAGTGCTCGTAAACAGGGAATGCAGATGACAACCATGGATCGATTCTGGGCTAATAACTTCAAAACCAATCTAGTGCTTGTTCGTATACGAAGATTGTTACACAGAAATATGGGGGCTTAGTACTCATCAACTGAACTACGAGATGGGAAACGTTGAAGAATATCCCATAAAACAAACCAATTAAATGAAACAATATTTACACTTAGCTGAAATCTTTCCTACTTATATTGGCCACTGGCTTCAATATTTCCAATACGTAATCAGATTAAGCCAAGTTTCAATAATCTTTTTTTAAATAATAAAAGCCGCTGACAAATGTATCAATACGCACATAATCATCAATAGAAATAACTTCATCATCATAACTTCCATTCTTTTTTTTTTTCATTGCTAAATTTATTCTGTTTTGCAATTTCTTCGTCAGAATCAAAAATGTCAAGATTAAATGAATTTATAAAATTCATAGTTGATGAAATCGGTCTAATAACACTATCACTGGTTAAATATGACGTCTATATAATAATATCATTAAGAATGATCAGATTGATCGGATTTGGAGCCACATCATTAATCCTTGCGTTATATTTAAAATCCATCGACATTAGGGAAGAATTAATTGGATTATTCATGACATTAGTATTTGCAGGTGATTTAATTACATCATTCGTGATTGTTCTTATTACTGATCAGATTGGAAGAAGACTCGTACTCATATTTTCATCATTGCTAATGTTTTTCACCGGGTTAACATTTTGTTTTTTTGAAAATTATTATATATTAACTGCAGTTGCTGTTTTGGGGATATTTACTCCCCTGGGAGTTGAAGTTGGTCCATTTAGGACTATTGAACAAAGCTCCATCGCGTCATTGGCACCTCATCGTGATAGATCGGATATTTATGCATGGTATACTTTTCTTGGTATGTTCTGTGCGGCATTTGGATCATTTGTGGCTGGTATTTTGGTGGATATAGTTCATAAAAAATGGAATCATTCATTGGTTACAGGTTATAGAAGTGTATTTTACATGTATACCTTTCTTGCTGGGATACATGTAATTTTGAGTTTATTGATTTCATCAGCTATTGAGCCAAATAAAGAACCAGAAGTTATTGAAGAGCAACAACAAGATGCTAATAATAATACAACTGCAGATGATGGAGAGGAGAGTAGCACGGACGCTATAGATGAAACAACCCCATTGGTTGATAGTATTCAAGCCAAGAAAGCTTCAAAAAAGACTAAATTTAGTTTATCAGGTGCATTATTTCCCAAGCTCAATCCTCATACTTATTCAATTGTATTCAAACTTGCCTTGCTTTTCGGACTTGATGCATTTGCTTCATCCTTAACTCCACACTCTTGGATTTCTTATTATATCAAACACAAATTTGACGTTCCAGCATCATATCTTGGTTCAGTATTCTTTACAACTGGAATTGTAAGTGGGTTCACATCATTATGTAGTACTTCATTAACCAAAAGACTTGGAGCAGTAGTTACGATGGTTGTGACCCATTTACCTGCGTCATTATTATTGACAATCGTTCCATTACCTTCCTCCTTCGTCATGACTATGATTATATTGGTTACTAGGGCCAGTACTCAATCTATGGATGTTGCCCCCAAACATGTATTTTTGGCAACTTTAGTTGCTGATAGTGAGAGAACTGCTGTATTTGGGTTCGTTAACGTGGTGAAAACTTTAGCTCAGACTGTTGGGCCAAGTATTGTTGGAATATTGACGAGAAATGGGATGCAATGGTTGACATTTGTTATTGCCGGGACATTGAAGCTGACTTATGATTTGGGGATTTTGGCAACGTTTTTAACTTATAATAGACATAATGAGCATTAATAAAAGGGGGGAGGTAAATAGTAAAAAAAAATACTTAGTCAACGTTGTATTCTGAGTTCATTAAAGACATTGTATTGTAGTGTATATTAGCCTATGTGATGATTTTTCCTACAACAATAATTCGGCTGGCTTTGTGTCTAGTCTAACAATACAAATATTACATAGGCTGTTGCATCTTTTTATGATTCATTACAAGAAACTTATCTTCAAGGTCCCAGCCCTAGAGAATCTAAGTTGTAAGTGACTGTTCAAAAACTTCATATTTGCATTTGTAATAAACGTGTTTCTAAATAATTTATGCTGTAAGTGTAGAAAGTTTATTTCCCTTTTTAGAGATGCAAATAGGCCACGCGGCTATAGATGAAATTTTGTCCATTCATAATTGCCGTTCTCGCTATTACAATAAGCAATATATTAACCAATTAGAGAGTAGGTGTAAAGCCGTATTCTTCACTAGATAGTTAAACTATACTTCTTGTGGAATATGTTTCCAACTAAGCCTTGCTAAATACGGGCTATACTTACTTTAACGTAAATGAATGAATAAATATAATTGGGAATTAATTTAAAGTTTTTATTAAGGCAAGAAAAGCCACCACACATTTTTTTTTCCCAGTCTTGCAGTACAATTGAAATTTTCATTATTATTTGATTGATGGGGGGGAATTGACTTAAAACGTGTGGAAGGAAGGAATGAGCGGAAGAGTACGCCTTAAATTTAAACTTAAAATAGGCTTTAGATTGTTGTAAGTATATATAAACATTTATCCTTTCCAATTTTTTTTGTTATAAATTTATATTTTTATCTTTATAATCAATATTAATATTAACTCTATATAAACCACTAATAATAATAACAAGCAAAAACATAAAAATGCACTCCACCAGATAAACATACACTAGCAAACAAACATAATAATGCAACAACTATCTACTAATTCACCATGGTTGACACAACTTCTTGTCTTACATACCATTTATCAGGTTTTCCAACTCCATTATTTAAATCATTATAATAATCCCAAGGATCTTTTCTAAAGATTGGTAAATCCCCAAATGAATCAAGATCATAATCACTAGATTCATCCAAATTTCCATTTATATTATGATGTCGTTGACTACATTCTTTAATTATTTGATATTCATCTTGTAATATTGGATTTAATTGTCCTGGGATAGTTGGTTTTAAATAATTGGGGATCCACATTGACATTGCCTTATTGTATTCATGATTATGATATTTCAATTGTGTTAATGCTTTATCACCATATTCTTGTGCTAGGGTAGATATTACTTTTGATGGAATATATACTGATGCACCTTCAAAATAATTATGTCTAATTGGTAATAAATCATTTAAAGCATGCCAATGCCAATTTTTACAATGAACATAAAGTGATTGTTTTGAAGGAGCAGAATTGGTATCAGCATATGATAATCCGGTAATATCAATATATAATCCACTATTAATATCAATAAATCTTCCATCAATGAAATTTTTCCCATTTCCTTGTCGAATATAAGTTGGACTTATTTCCAAAAGATATCTTGCATTTCCATATCTTGGATTTTCAATAATTAATGATTTATTGAAATTTTGAGCTAATTCATGTAATTGTTTAATTGGCATTTGTATATCAATATCAGTATCCCAAGGTAAATTAATTCCATTATATGTCCAACCTAATAAATTACCATGATTTATCCAACTGGTGAATCCATGACTAGTTGTGAATTGAAACCAAGCTCTAATCATATGATGAAGAATTGCATGACGTTCACGATCATTTATAAATCGTTTGAAAAAAGGATATGAGACATGATGAGCATTTCCTTGATAAATATCACTAATAATCCAAGGATATTTAAAAAATTTATCAGCATGATCAACTTGATTATTTGAATTATTTAAAAAGGTTAAATATTCTAATTCTTGAGTTGTTAAAGAATTATCCATAGTTTGTTGTTGTTTTTCCATTAATTTATGAATTTCTAAAATTGGATCAAACATGAAATCTTCAATATTTAAATCAACTTGATTTTGTAATTTAGTTGTTTTATAAACGGGGAAATTATGTTGAGTTTGATTTAATTTACTCATTTCATATAATAATTGATTCGTGGTAACTTGAATATCTTGTTGATGTTGTTTACCTAATCTTTTCTTACCAATCACGGGGATTTCAATCATTGAATCATCAGTATTTAAAAAGATTTTATTTGGAACTTCCTTCAAACAATATAAATTACTCATACCCCTTAATACCTTTTTTTTATAAGTTTCCAACCAATAACTATTAACACTAGCAAATTTTTCCAACGTTGAGTCACATTGACCAAGTGGATACTTTTTACGATATTTTTTAAGAATAGAATTTCCTGGAGATAAATCAACCCAATCATCCCAATGAAAATAGACTCCTTGTCCATCTCCTTCTGGTTGTGGTTGTTGATAATCATCAGTATCATCATCTGGTTCGATAGTATTGAGATAATTTATTAAGTCTAAGACATTATCTTTAGGATTGAATTTACTTTTATGTTGTAATACTCGTGCTTGATTCTCGAGATTAATTTGATCTATTGATTCAGAAGATAATAAATTGATGGTTAATATAATAAATATTAATATTGAAATAAATGGTATTATATGTTTAACTCGTTTATTATAAATCTTGGGTAGTCCTATTGATGATCTACTATTACTACTAGTACTTTGATTTGAATGATATTTTGTCAGCATTTCTCGTGTCTGTTTACTGGAAGGGGTGGTTTGTCTATAATAAGTTGATTTGAAAATGAAATATAAATATAAAAAGAATTGTAAACGAATGTGAATAATAGCAAGTTGGATGCTTCCTTCTTTTTTTATAAAAAAAAGTAGGTTAAGTATGAAAAGGATGGATGTATATGTAAATAAAAAGTTACAAGTTAAATCAAATAAAAGCAATCTATTAATATTTATTGAAATAAAAAAAATTTGTTTAAATGCATGTTGGATCATTTTAGTTGAACGTTTTTTTTATTTATTTTATTTTATTATTATTTATTATTTATTATTTTAGTTAAGAGATTTCAAAAAAATAAAATAATACACGGTCAAAGTTACACTTACTGCCCCTAGAAAGAGAATGTCAAGCTACAAAAATAATAGGCGAAGAGTCAAAGACGAAAAAAAAAGAAGAGTAATTATTATTTATTTATTATGGAATCAAGAAAAATATTCATTGATTGATGTAGACATATGCAGGAGTGGGCGGAAAATAACTTGTAACCTGTAATATATGTCAATGAAGTGGGCGGGGGGCACACATAGCAATACGTTTCATCATCAGGTGGATGACATACAGTTTACTACTTTAGTCTCAGTAGTGTACAAATACAATAGTCACATAGAATGATATTACAAAATGTGTAGATCTCCTCATTTTTTTAAGTCAAACGATAAGATACCAAGAAAATACTATCGTGTAAACTTAAAAATACAAAAAAGAGTAGAGGCAGAATTATTTTTATCTTTGCCAATATTTATCAGTTACTAAACGGGAAATATTTCAAAAGACGACTACAGAGTTCCATTTCTCATTTCGTCAAATTTAAGGTACACTTACAGCTAGACGCAGATTTCATTTCTACTATACGAATCACACGACACGTACACCTCGCTAAAATGTACTTTTTTTTTTAGTTTTTAAAAGAGCCTCCATTTTGACATAATCTCGGTTGTAGGAGGAGGGGAATTGTTGCCTCTGTATTTTTAATTGGTTGATTGCTACAAAGCAACAGCAGGAAATATTCTGAAACTTCATACTTATTGCTAGAATTTTATTAATAAAGCAACACAGCCACATTGTTGTCTTCGTCGAGTGAGAATTTATTTTGCAGTTTGCCGTTCGTAAGTATTTTTTTTTTTTGGGTTGCTCTAGATTCTTGATTTTGTGTATTCTTGTATTTATCCGAATTGGATCAGTTCTTACATTCGGTTTTTACTTTCTAGAAGTAATGTCAATATTGAAAAGCATGTCAAAAAGTATATCTTCATTTCATTCAAGCAAGTCTTTTCTATCTTTTAATTCTCAAATAATGGTATTTTGAAAGGAGTTATTTCCATTTAATAAACCCGCTTTCTTAACAATGAATACGGCTAGAAAGAAAATACAAAACCATTTTAGTTTTTGTGATGAAAATTTTTGACGATCTCCCACCAATTACACGACAATAATTGCTAAGCAGCTTAATACAGAATAGTTTGTAAGCTATAGATGCCTTCACTTTGAAAGTTGTTAGCCTCATTTAATCAAACAAATTACTCCTGCTGGATCTGGAAAAATTAGATCTCAGCCATCCCATTCTCCTGTGAATACACTCTACAATGACCAAGGCTTATATCTGAAACAATAACTTCACGTCCTATTTATTCATAGGCGGACCGATACGGTAAGCATCCCGATAAACGACGCCACGTTTATACTCCTATTCTATACTCTTCTACTAGTTGGCAAGTATATACAATTAGAAAGCAGTGTATGTCAAATTTTTTTAAACGTGTAACTGAACGATTGTAAAAGATTAGAATGCTGGGCTCTTGTAATAATTTTTCTTCTTCTTTCGAATTAAAAATTTAAAATTAAGGTTTTGCAACCGAAAATTTTATTCAGGGACAGCAAAAAAAAAAAAAAAGAAATTTCTTGAATATCTCCACTCTGAAAAAATTACTCCTATCTTTTGGAATCTACTGATTTTTTTTTTTGCAACACACAATTTGCAATATTAATAGTATTTCATTGGTGAATGGTTTACAGGATAAATGTGGTCAAAGGTCCAAACAATGTGACCGCATCAACGCTGCGCCTTGCTTAAGAGAAGACTGTGCCACCAATTCCTAGGCAATCAATAGGAGGTAAGTTTATGTTACAACACGTAGAAGGTTTCTTATAAATAAAATGAACTATTATAAATTAATCTAGATGTACAACATTAAATCAACATTCTTAATCTTTTCACAATGCTGTCTATGAAAATATACTAAAGCAAAGTAAAAGCTAATCACTAATAAGTACAAGCAAAATGAAACTATGATAATGGATCAAAAAACTTTTGTAATTTAGTATTTCTAAATACTCTCATTCCCATAGTACTTCCATTCTTAAAATCAAATCTTAATCTCAGTTTAATAAAATCTTCATCAACTCGTTTTAATCCAAATGATTTCATCCAACTCATCAACGTAAACCAAAACAATGAATATCCTAATCCAACAATCAAATCTAATCTCCAATGATGATCTAAATAAATAGTAGCCCACCATTGTAAAATAACAAACAGGAGACTTAATATTTTAATTATGGTCCATCTAGCATAATAAGCCACAAAGAAAAATGTCAAAACTGCCATGGCTGAATGTAAAGAAGGAACTGCGCCAAACACAATTGGTGAAGCATGGAATCCTTCTGAATGTAAATGCGTACCCAATTGAATATCAACTCTAATCAATCCAGCCGCATATCCTTCCATGTCATAGGTGGCTTCCTTATCTTCTCCATACATATGAATAAACCATGGTGGAGCATTTGGAAATAATAAATGAGTCAAAACGCCGGAAATATTTTGAAGTCCCAATGTGACTCCATATATTTTTAATGCACCGGGTGCATGGAATACATATAGCCAAACTGCGGTTATGATGGGTATTGTTATATGACCAATTACATATGATGCCCAGGCTAAGATATCTTTTCTTGGGGTGATTGGATCTTTAAACCAATAATCGAAATTCAAAATAATCCAACTGAGGCAAAATAATATTGGTGGGGCTAAATACCAACTATTCATAGGTGCATAAGATCCAATGGTTCGGATATGATGAATAATCTTTTCATTTGTTTCTGAAGTATATTGGGAAATTTCCATGGGTGACAAGGTAGTGAAATATGTTAATGGCAGGAAATGTGGATCTTCTTGAAAATCCCCCGGACTGGTGGTATCAAGAGTATCATCATCTTCTTCGGTAAATGTTTCTAATTCAAGTCCGGTGGTATTATCCTGCTGCTCTAAATCTGCTGATAATGGAGGTGTCACTGATCTGGTTGAAGTTGAGCAAGATCTAATTTCTTCAGTGAATTCGATTGCATCATCTTTGTTGACTGGGATATATGACAATATACCATTATTTCCACTAGGAATGGTTTTTCGTCTATAAAATTTGATATAGATTAAATAACTCGATGAGATTAGACTAATAATTGTTAATATACTTCCAATCAAATGAGTAAACATATATTCATCCAATCTTGCTGCTAGTTTAACATGAATAGGAGGACGTATTGAATGAGGTATGATTCCGGCATTCTTAAAGATTAATAACCATATAAATACTGGGGAAAATCCTATTATGAAACTTAGGATGAATCGAAATATAGATCTATCATTTAATCCGGAGAAGAATATTCTTGAACATAGTTGATATATGAATATAAACGGATTGATTATGGTTTTCATGAATTGTATTATAAAATGAAGTAAAATGAAGGAAAGAAAAGGATAAAGATGAAAAAGTAGAAGTGAAATGGAATATAATGGGCGAGGGTGACTATTTAAAAACTAAAATAATATGAGATCTATTTATATTTTGCTATTTCAATTGTTTTTAGAGGTTATTGTTTTTGCAAAAAAGCCATCCGCCCAGTTGTCGGATTTTACAGATAAAACCGGGTTCCTTGATTATCAGATGCTGATCGAACTGATACCGCTTTTTTTTGACAATCGATCTCAACGATAATGGACGTTAACTCCGTACATACCCAGGAGTCTCTTCTAGGTATACGTACATGTATGAATAGCAATTGATTTCATAACATGAAATAGTCCCAAGGCAAAAATGAAAAAAACTTTTACGGGGACTAGTCTTACTTGTGTCTTTGCCGCACTTTATTTTTTGGCAAAGATCTGATGTCTTCCCCCTTTTAGGAAATGGCACATTCTTTTTTTTCTTCCAAATTACACAAAAGAAACAAAGGAGTTCCATCCTGATAAAAACAGTGTCAGTTATGTCCGTAGGAAGAGTCATGTAACGGAATATATGGGAGTGCATGTGGTATTGCACATTCATCGTCACATATTGTGCTCTGGAAATTGCCAGTCATTCCATAAGCCAAACTCTAAAAACCTTAAATCTCATGTACAATTGATAAAAAAAGGTCCTCAGTGTGGCTAGTACGGCAAAACAAACAATTACAATTGAAACCGTTCCTAATGGAAGTGATTAGAAAAAGAGTTTTCCTTTGTTTTCAGCCGTTAATGGAAGCAAGCTTCAAAGCTTAAATTGCATAATCCCATGAATATAGTATGATTATGGGTGTGTAAAAGTTCAGTTTTAGCGAGAAATTTCATAGAAGGGAGAAGACCAAAAAAAATGATGGTTTTCTTTTTTGTGGTCCCCCGATGATTCTTTGTTTTTAGAAAAAAGCTTAATTTAGTTTAGAAGTATGTTGACTGGGTTAGAATTATACTTTCGACTTTTAAAGAGCAATCCGAATTTGATTAATGGATTGAAATTTAAAAGCAGTTTTCTGGGGTTCCATCAAAACTCCAAACCAATATCGTGTGATCATCATCTAAGCGCAAGACTAAATATGTTTGCTAATTACATAAAAATCATTCATTTCGGAAAAATTCGCGTAAAAATAACCAATTGGTCGTGTACATTCCCTGAAACTGCGTGTATTGTTTCCCTATACTCCATTTTTTTGTGCGTCCAAAGCGCTAAACTCCGGAATCATCTGCTGTTTTAGGCGACCATCAACATTTGAAAGACTCAACCGAAAGGTTCCGGTTGATATCCAAACGGTTATGGTACCACAACTTAACTGATGTCACCACTATTTCCATGTTCATAACCTCATTGATTAATTAATTAATGAGGCGGTGCTACGATATTCTCTATTGTTCTTATTGGCTATTGTTCATTAATTTTGTTTGTGTATTTCCCCACTCTTTCACAAATTGTATCAAATATCAAAAAGATCTGGAGGTTTTGACATTTGCTTATATCCTTCTGATACTTTAACCACGATCTAAGCCCAATAATATCCAAATCGCTTAAGTGTTTAGATCGTACTGATTAGCGCAACTGCTTGGCACACAATATTTTTTTAGCAAAAGGATCACACGACGAAAAATTGTGGTAACTTTGCGTTTGAAAAAACCATTTGGTAAGATCATGTGACCTGAAATTTGACGAGATTGCAATTGACGACTTTCCTAGAATATTGAACAAATTAAAGGTTTTCTAAATTACTTTATAGTTTTAAAGTTCTTTTTGATTAACGGATATTTTAAGAGTGAGCCAGCTGATTACACGTTTAACAAGATTTGAACACAGGTTATTACAGGTCTTGAGCTTCTCCTCCAAGTCTGTGTTTGGTTGCATTGATAAGCTTATTGATCCAGAGGGATCAGTATCAATCTTGGTAAAATGCTCCTTGTTCATAGAAATGTGGCTGTTGCACCCCGAATCAATAATAAGGCTCTTTGATTGATGTTGACTGAGGAAAATATGTCCTCCAGAAGTCGAAACACGTTGAGCATAATGGCCGTGACATGCAGTAACAGGGGGACTAATAGCAGCAGCAGCAGCAGTTGACGAATCATCATCAGTAGAATCAGACAGGCAAGCAAAAGATTTATCGTCATCAGACAAATAATCCCAAACAGCATTATCAGAACATTCAGCCAAAGATTGAGTTTCATCAACCGAATTAATAGCAGAGACATCCATTGAAGGGACATCAGCAAGAACAACAGGTGAGGCATCAGCATCACCATCGGAATCATTAGATGAGTTGTCATCAGAAACAAGCTCGTCTTTAACTACAGAAGAACCAACAGGAACCATCAAAAAATTGAGACCTTGAGTCCCCTTCTTAGACTTTCTAGCCAAGGGACAATTATGGACTTTGTATTCTGGTGATTTACACAGGAAGTACACTTTTCCGCCATCAGCTGCACCAGAAGCATTAGACACAGCCTTCGTAGATGAAGACTGATTGCCTGAAATTACGGCAGCAAGACCTGCATTTCCAGTAGCTCCAAAAGCAGAAGGAGCATTAGGACGGTTAAGTATCCAAGGAGCAGGATCAAACGGCTCGGATGTCTCCATGGTAAGAAGTGTTGTATCAACATAGCCAATCACAAAACGCAACGAAGGATCATCATCTAGTTCCTTAAGAAACTTCTCTAAAATACGACGAATCGCATTATCAGGCAAGGATGAAAGGTACAATAAAGCGGCTAATTCGTCCTTTTCAAATTGTGTGTACACAACGAGTACGTTGAGAAGATGTCAGAGCCATCCATTTCTGAATAATTCTGGCACCAGCTTCAGGAGTATCTATGTCAAACATACGATGTAATCTGGGCCATAATCTAAGCGTCTTCAAAATGTCAAGAGAAATATATTCCATAAAATTATAGTGCAAGTTCACACAACGAGTGCGATGAGAAGATGTCAGAGCCATCCATTTCTGAATAATTCTGGCACCAGCTTCAGGAGTATCTATGTCAAACATACGATGTAATCTGGGCCATAATCTAAGCGTCTTCAAAATGTCAAGAGAAATATATTCCATAAAACTCCAATCCAAGTACCTATCAATAGTGTCAAGGAACTTAGACCTAACTTCTTCAGGAATAGCATCCAAAGACTTTGTGTTTCTCCATAACATCAACTTGAGCAGTAATATATCCATTAATGTCCTCCAAAAGGTAGTTTTTAATATCCATTCCAATCGCATACTGATTCAAATTCAAATTCCCACAAGGGAAAATTTTCAACATAAATAAGCTTATCAAAGCTAGCAAACGTATACTCGGACGAGTGGATCATTACCGGTAATATTCTGTTTTAGAGTCTTGCTAATCGTGTGGTCGGTTTGTCATGGGAAAACCAATCAAATAGCTAATAGACAAGGAGATCAAACGCCTCAAACTCAAACCCACCTAAAAAATTAATTGAGATTACCGGGGGAGAGAATAAAAAAAACGATTTAAGTGATTTTCTAAGATTTTTTGGATTTCTTGATTTGAATGAATTGGATTTTTGATTTTAAATTGAGTGGCCATGACATTTTGGTCATGAAGATAGTGGTAATAGAAGTTTTTGACTTCACTTGATGTATGTAACATACGTTTAAGATGGTTGTTCTTTTGAACAGGTGATAATTTTTCTAAAAAATGTTTCTCATAATAAATTTTCATGTAATCATCTCTTTGGTGAGGTGAAAGTTCGGAGAGCTGAGAATCATTAAGTGTTGGTAAGTCTTCAATAGTAAATTTGTTTCCTTGTCTAATGGCATCGGCATAAGAAATTTGTTGTTTACGTTTTGCCACCGGATTGGAGTTTTGGGTAGCTCCACCAATATTTGGTGAGTTTTAATCTGAAGAGTCGGAAATTGATAAGGTGGATTGTCAGCGGCTCCTGGTCGGACTTATTGGTGTTGCTGATTGTTGCTTTCTAACATTTTTATTTAATTTAAAGTTTTCCTACGATTATCTAAAACAAGATGTTGCTGTTGGTCGTGGTTTTCAGGACCGATTTAATAACAAAGAAATAATTGTGGATCGAGCAAAATGGGTTGGTATTGGTAGATGGTCATCTGAGGTCTGGTCTGGACACTTCCATCCAGGATTCATATAAGAAAGAGGGCTAGTTTTGACTCAAACTTGAGTTCTGTACGATGAGATGATATCATTATTCTACAGCGACTCTTGCGCTTATTATTCCTTATCATGGGGACATAGTGCCAATTTCCATCTCCAGAATTCGAATTGGAGATTAGAAACGGCAGTATATTATCCAAATTTCATTCAATACAAGCCAACCCAGCGTCAAAGTGCCTTCAACTATATCAACGAGTTCCGAGCACGTTCTCTTTTAGTCAACCTGCATCAGAACTGTGAAAGAGATAAATTGCAGTTCAATTGGCTAAGGACTTTCCTCTTCGTTGGTATTTACCAACCAGTGTTTTGCCAAATCCAGATCCATGCATCTCATACTGGTTGAATATGTTTGGCTCCCAAGCGTCCCGCATAGTCACCACCGCTGTGACTCTGACCAACAACACGTACGATTACTGTCCGCTTGATCGATTCATTCCAAAACTGAATTTTCAATGGATATATAAAACCTATGTTTAGATTTCGTTCGTCGGTATGTATTTGCTTAATATGAATGAGTCAAATTGCATAATGATGGTTGACATGTCGATGATTGGAATTTATACATAGAGATTGTATATTCATTGAACATAGATTATTACTGGTGAAGCCATGATTTAGTTCAGTGTTTCGGAAGTTTTCTTCAAAAACAAATCCTTCTTATCAATTCCAATCAATTTATGCTGTTCCCCAAGCTATTCAAAATAATATCCTATCAATGCTTTCAACACACCAAGAGTAGGGTCTTTTGATTATTATCGTTGTGAGCCATTGCACACCTTATGTTGGTTTTCTCATACAGGTTTTTCATGCAGCACACACACAACAGTAGCTAAGTGCGGACAAATATGCAAAACCTTCAAGCAATGCAGCAACAATTGAAGTAGATCCTCAACAGGCATTTCCCGATGGTGAAGATCGACTACACTGTTTGAATTTGGCTCACTATCCACACTACCGTACTAAACATGAATATGAATTATGTCATAACGCCCCTGGTCACGCAGCTGCTTTTAATCGGTATGCCGGATGCTTCCCGTTTAGATTGTAATTCGATTTCATGGGGAATATTCTTGAAATTGAAACTGTTGTTATATCCCCAACCCAGGGCTCATAACATGTTGGAACGGAATAACAGTAGTTTTGATTTTATGAAACTTCCATATCAAGTCAAGCTACAATAAGTAAGTAGTGCGTTGTTGTTGATGCTCTTCGTCAGTAGCATCAGAAAGATTTGCTCGGCAGTAGGCATTGCACTTCGATGGTTGCTTTAGAGTTAGTTACCAGAACTACATAGCATTTAATATTTTCCCCCGTTTAACTATCGTTGTGTAAAACATGTATAACAAATCCACTAGAAAGATAGTAATCCATAGTTCAGGATAGCACATCAAATTTAAAAAACCCGGGAATTATTATGAGATATAAACTAACCATGTTTCACAATGTAGATATTCTGAACTAATTTCCTATCACGCAGTGACATCATGAATTGAAACCTTTAGAATCTCGAGGATTCACTTTCCTTGGAATTGCAAAAGGTTCCTTTGCTACATGGCATTCCGTTTCTCTTTATTTGGCATTTTCTGTAGTCTATTCCCACTATATTGTTGACCAATGCAGTTGACTAGTTCATTCGAGCCTTTAGACTGGTCTATAAATTCCATTTTATAGATGTCAGTTCTAGCCACATTTCTTACTTGTATCGCTGTTAGGTGTTTTGAAGAATGAATAAGTTTACCACTCAGATTAGTATTTCGTAGCTGCCATTTTTCAGTCAATCAAATAGTATACAAATTTCTGATAGATTGGGTAAATAGGAACCTGGCTGTAGTTCAAAATCTCAGAGTTGGCTCCGGATAAGCATACTCTTCGTTGCATTTCAAGATTAAACACTAGAAGTGCTGCAACTCTTCATTTTCAAGCTCAAGCAGGAATTCATGGAAGAGATGTCAATCTGCTGAAATTTGAAATCCGTTTGCAACAGTTATTTCTAAGTCTGTAAGTTGAACAGGCCGTAGAAGCCAATTGTATCAATAGCCTTACAATTTAATTTGAAACGCCTATAAATATACAATCATTATGCCTTTTTTATATGCAAGTAATTCAGAGGAACAATGCTAGTTTTGTGTCTGCAATAGGTGAATGTCCTAAGAATATGAGCATTCTGTTGTTGTTGGAGCCGTACTCCAAGTATGAAGAATCTTGAACCACCGTTACAAAAAGTGCAGTCAGAGATAATATTTCCGGTTGTTGTTGAACGATTCTAGTGGAGATATCTCGGCAACGAAGATATCAATGTTGCATCGCTCATACTAATAAACATTTCAAAAGAAATAGAAAGATCCTGTTTCTAAACAAATGAACCCACTAAAACTTTTTCTATATCCTGACGACTGGTCAAATGGAATGTGTGTAACAATTTCGTGAGATGTACCCGCCTCATCTTCGGTAAACATGTACACATTGGTTTTTCCTAATCTTAGTTTTTATCATAGTTCGACAGAGACTTTTTAAGCGGAAGGAAGCAAATCGCTTTGGATGCGAGTTTATGCAATTCTCCTTGTGCTCTTGAATAATTTCGCAAAGTTTTTACAAAGTTTTACAGTGCGAAAAAATGTTGCAAACAGATTGTTTGTAAATTCCCACAAAATATTTGCAGCCAGAACTACCGCTAACAACGTGCTTCAAATCTTCCGTTATGGCTATTTTTCGTCATCTAGATATCGCCAACTTCTTCTTCGTTAATTATTAGATTCGCCAAATAACATGCACCTCGAAGCTGATTAAACGTGGTTGCACAGAGCCCGGAAGAGAACACATTATTACCTCATTCGTTCATTAATCAAATCGATTGCCCACAATGGATGCGAAAGCCCCGTTCATTTTTCTAAATTCGTTTACATTTATAATCTCTTCACAACGAGTATCATTAGTAGCTGGAGAACAACGCAGGACTAATTGAGATGGTACAAAGTCTATTTTGTGATTGGTAGAGTATCAGAAAAAAAAAAAGTATTTAAGAAGATACAAAATAAATTATTTGTAAGTCTAAAATCAACAAAGAATCATAATTATTTTTCTTGGTGGACATTTTCCACTTTTATTTTTTCAACCATTTGCAATCGATTTCTTTTTTTTTTCCCTCGATCTCTCTGAGGGAAAGGGTTCTATTGATCACACGGGGTCTTTCTAAATGAAGAATATACCCACAAGACTTCTTGAAAAACCGAATGTATATAACAATAGCTCTAATCATAACCGACTTAGGTTTAGGTTTGTTATGTAATTCAATCACCTCTGCAAGTATTCATAAGTTATCATTTGTATGAAGTAAACTAAGTTATAAAATGAACTGATATTACGTGAACGTGTCTAGATTTTAATGAAAATCTTCCAATAAATAGAAAGAAATTCTTATAAACCGCCCTCAAATTGCATGCGACAGGCAACCAGAGGTCTAGTGAAACCAATTTGATCGGTAATTATTTCTAATAACGGTTGTAAACAGAATAATAAATTGAGAAATTGAAATAATATATTTAACTTCAACGTGTCACACGAGCTAACTAATTAGTAAAATTTGCTATAGTCGCACGAGGTGTTGCTTTAGATTGACTAATAGTCGCACGAGGTAGGAACAATCTAAAACTAGATTCTCAAAAATTTCTGAAATTTTAGTTAGAAATTGAATTGCGCATACCCTCGTGGGCACATACGATGGAATAACCATTTTTCCTTTACGCTCATTTGTCTCATGAAATGTAAAAAAAAACACTCTGTAGGTTGTTTCGTAATTTAGAGCTGAAATTGAATGATGAATTATAATGGGGGGAGTAAAATTCAATTCGCCATACCCACGTGGGTCGTGGAAAATTGCCAAGAACGTGGGAGAACTCATCGATTCTTTTATTTTTTTGAGAGCAGCTTGTTGCAAATCAAGTTATGCAGAGTCTGGAAAAAATATCCTGATAACAATAAAAAAAGAATATAAAATATTCTAAGCCATCAAAAGAAGGCTACTTACCTCTACACGTGGGGAAAAGTGGCTAGATATTTGTCTTTGAATAAAGAGTGTCTAGTAGTAACGAGGCTACCAAATCAAAAGACTATTGACCAATGGTTCGTCTCAAAATGAACAAACAGACCTAGTCGAAAATATTCTCAATTGAGACTACAGGAGTGAGTACTCCATTCCCAGCTGAACTCAATTGAAAGATTAGGTACTTGGATAACTAAAGATTGAAACAAGAATTTACTCCTCTGACCGTAAACACACATTCTAGAATATGTCAAAGGAAGCATTAGGAAGTTTTTTCAGTCACATTTCCGTTTTTGTCGCTTGTAGAAGGTTTTCTGAGATCAATTTTCTTGACGTCTTGCCGACAAGAAAATTCTGGCAAGACCCTAACTAAAACAATTTATGATTAGGTTTAAGACAAAGCTTATACCAAGACTTTTACCCACTTGACTTTGACAGCATTGAGCAGACAATGAATGTATATATAATTGTAGATAGGAATTCATAAACAAGAGATGACTGTGACGCTAGATAATTTTACTCAGGTTTTCACCTTCCCTTTCTTGCGAGGGGATAAACATGGGTAAAATTACCAATAACATCAAACTTAGTTTATAGATAACAAAACTGAGGCGAGATCATTGCCCGCTGGTATGAGCCTTCTTCAACCATCCACTTTTTGTGAACTTACACAACGCTTTCAATTCGGTTGACGAGTTGCCTGAGAAATATAACCTATTGACCGATCTCTTACCGATTCGGATCTTTTTAGGTAGCCTTAATTGGCTAGTAAGTGACGAAGTCTTATGGTTATCACGACAGGCACACATGGTCATGTCGAAAATATCCCGGAAATAATAAACATATCCGGCTGTACTTGAAAAGAAACGTCAAGAGCAAAGATCCTTGATAAAACCTTTACGAAATAATAAACATTTCCTAACAGTAAAAGAAAACAATATGGCTTAGGATTAAAATTTGTGCCATATGAAAAACAATTGCAGCCCACGAGACCAGTCTGATTTCCTAGGGAGGTAGTTCATTACGGAAAAATAGCAAGAGCTGCAGATACCGCTGAGCATTAGGGTTTTGACATCATGGCAGAATTGACATGACAGGCAATTGAGGTATCTTATTTTTCTGGTTTGGTTAGTTTTCTTCATCTCTAAGAAATTGACCAGTGACCGTTTTATTACCACGTATTTGAATTATCAAAATTAAGTTAATAGAAAGAAAACGAACAATTAATTAGCCGTAAAAAAATAATATATTTTTTAATGTAATTCAAAAATTAGAGATAAAAAATAAATTATTTTCTATTGAACTCGTGTGCATTAAATGAAGAGATTTCTTTTTTGCATACTTTTAGTAAATTAATAATAATTTTTTTTTTGTTCCTTACCATGCAATTCTTGCAATAATATTATTTTGAAGGGAATCCTAAGATTCTTTGAAATATAAATTAAACATCAATTCCCTAGTTTCAGTTCTCAATTTTTCATTTTCTCTTCTATCATCAGAGAATAACAACTATCAAGCTTCTTCAAATTATACAATGGTCGCAGATATTACTGAAAATCATCATCACCTCCCAGTTTCTCAAGCTGGTGGTAAGACTGCCTTCAAGGATTACATTGGTCAATTCGCTGATGTTGAAGATCCTTTAGAAAGAAGAAGATTAGCTTTAGAAGAAATCGACAGAGCCGGTTTCGGATGGACTCAAATTAAAATGATTTTAATTGCCGGTGTTGGTTTCATGACTGATTCCTACGATATTTTTGCTATCAATTTAGGTGTTAGTATGTTACAATACGTTTACTGGAATGGTACTATGCCAGCTTCCACTAACACCTTATTAAAGATTTCTACTTCTGTTGGTACCGTTATTGGTCAAGTTGGTTTCGGTACTGTTGCTGATATTGTTGGTCGTAAGGCCATCTATGGTTTAGAATTAATTGTTATGATCTTTGCTACTATTTTCCAATGTACTTTAGGTGAATCCCCAGCCATTAACTTTGTTGCTATCTTTACTACTATGAGAATATTGATGGGTATTGGTATTGGTGGTGATTATCCATTGTCTTCTATTATTTCCTCCGAATTCTCAACTACCAAATGGAGAGGTGCTATTATGGCTGCTGTCTTCTCTAATCAAGGTATTGGTCAAGTCTTCGCTGGTATCGTTGCCATGGTCTTAGTTGCTGCTTACAGAGATGCTTTAGAACCTGCTACTACTGGTGCTGAATGTATTGGTGACTGTAGAAAGGCTTGTGATCAAATGTGGAGAATCTTAATTGGTTTCGGATGTGTTCCAGGTTGTATTGCTTTATACTATAGATTAACCATTGCTGAATCCCCAAGATATTCTTTAGATATCACTGACCATGATGCTCTTGAAAAGGTTGCTGATGCTGAAGCTGCTATTGCTCACCAACCAAATGAAATTGCTCCACCAAAGTCTTCTTTCAGAGATTTCTGTAGACATTTCGGCCAATGGAAATACGGTAAGATCTTATTGGGTACTGCTGGTTCTTGGTTCATGTTGGATGTTGCTTTCTATGGTCTTGGTTTAAACTCTGCCACTATTTTACAAGCCATTGGTTACGCTTCTTCAAGTAATGTTTACGAAAAATTATACAACACTGCTGCTGGTAACTTAATTTTAATCTGTGCTGGTTCATTACCAGGTTACTGGGCCGCTGTTGCTACTGTTGATGTTGTTGGTAGAAAGCCAATCCAATTAATGGGTTTCACCTTATTGACTATCATTTTATGTATTATGGGGTTCGGTTACCACAAGATTGGTACTAGTGGTTTATTGGCTTTATACGTCTTGGCTCAATTCTTCGAAAACTTTGGTCCAAACACCACTACTTTTATTATTCCAGGTGAAATTTTCCCAACTAGATACAGATCTACTGCTCATGGTCTTTCTGCTGCCTCTGGTAAGGTTGGCGCTATCATTGCTCAAACTTGTATTGGTACTTTAGTCAACCGCGGTTGTGATGCTGAAAATCCAAACTGTTTCTTACCTCATGTTTTAGAAATCTTTGCTTTATTCATGTTGATTGGTGTTTTTACTACTTTATTACTCCCAGAAACTAAGAGAATGACCTTAGAAGCTATTTGTGAAAAGTATCACGATGAAGTTGATGCTACTAGAATGGTTAGAGATGTTTACAATGAAACCAATGAATCTGACGAAAAGAATTAAGATTCTTTTTGTTTTGTTGCATAATTAAATCATTCCCTCTTTTTATATAAAACTTTTATTTCGTTTGCTTGTTAGTTTATTGTGTTGTAATTTGTAATTTTTGTTTGGTAATTAATATATAGATAATATAAATCTTATAATCGGTTAAAAATATTTTATTGTAGATATCTAATTAATACACTTGAAAGAATCAATTGATACTTGTTCGTTTTCTTATTTGTTTTCCTACAAGGAATGTCGAATTAGTAAAGGCGGCCATCTGCAAGTAAGGAATGAATCTTGCATGAAGATGAGGTAAGCTGCGAATACCGCTACATACATGTCACATCTGGAATATCACTCTTGAATCGATATTAGACGTGCATTATACAGGCGTTATACAGAACATCACAACACACAATAAATATCGCAGTTCAGAGCCCGGCTTTTTCTGAAACTTGGTAAATTGTAGTAAAAAACCCTCCCACGTTCTAGTCCTCACATTTTTCAAACCTTAAATAATATTTTTTTTCGCCAGCTGTAGCAAAATGGTTGTTATTCACAAAACAATCAACTTTACTCGAACCAATAGAACACAAAGATAAAAGCATGCAAACATACCTTAACTCACTGAAATTCAAAAAGTTCATTCCAGATTGGATAACCACGGTGGTTCTAATACTTCTCTTTTTCATTGTTTTAGAAAAAGGAAACCCCTTCCCACGAGAATTTCAAGTCAATGATCCCAGGATTTCCCATCCATTTGCTGAACAAGAACGAGTCACTGATAATGAGTTATATATATATTCCACTCTTTTACCACTAGTGATAATATCACTAATATCATTATATTTGCCTAGTTCAAGATTTGATAAACTCCATTTATTACAAGTTTCATTACTTGGATTATTATTTTGCGTGACAATAACATGTTGTATTACAGATATACTAAAATGTTGGATAAGTAATCCAAGACCAGATTTTCTAGTTAGATGTGGCGCTACCGGTGCAGTTGTCAGAAGTGAGAGTATGTCAGAAAAAGTGCTAATGTCGATGACTAAGTGTAGTGCACCTTTAGGGCAGATGTATTTACTTGATGGGATGAAATCTACCCCTTCTGGACATTCAAGTATGTCATTTGCTGGGTTGGGATATTTGTCACTTTGGTTAGTTGGACAATTGCGATTATTGAATGAAAAGAAGCTACAGTATTTGTTTGTTTGGGGAGTAGTAGTGGGGGCACCAATATTGTTTGCAGCATGGATTGCCTTAACTAGGACTCAAGACTATAGGCATCATTTTGTAGATATAGTTATTGGTGCGATATTGGGTAGCGCGTTTGCGTTGGCAAGTTATTTCAAGTATTTCAATTCTCCATGGGCAAACGATTGTTATATCCCAATTGATTACGATGAATATTAGAGGAGATTGTACATATGTTAGATTTAATTAAATAATTTTACTAAATTTATTAACCTTAATTGTCCGTTGAGGACCCCCTATTTAATGCAATAAAAAACTCTATATATCCAGTTTATGAATCAAAATAATATAAAAACAAAAAACAATAAAAAAAACACAAAGTGTAGGTGTACGAAATAAAAAAGCGGTTATCATCTATAATACTAGAACAACGAGTTGAGCGTTGTTCCTTAGGGAAGAATTTTAAAATCCCCCAAATGAGTCATTCATTACATTAGTCATTAAAGTTTTGAATAATATAAAAAATCTCGTTTCTTAGCTTATTGGACTAAAGAAACTTATAATTTCAATGGTTTTGGTTGTTCCCATGGGTTTTCTTGGTTGGTGAAATGACCGTAGGAAGCAGTCTTGAAGTAGATTGGTCTAGCTAAGTCTAATTCCTTGACAATGACACCTGGTCTCAAGTCGAAGTTCTTTTTGATGATTTCGACTAATTGATCAGAAGAGTATTCAGAAGTACCATAAGTATCAACGTAGATAGATAATGGTTCAGCAACACCAATAGCATAGGAGAATTGAACTAAAGCTCTTCTAGCTAACTTAGCGTGAACTAAAGATTTAGCAACCCATCTAGCAGCATAAGCAGCAGATCTATCAACCTTGGAGAAATCCTTACCGGAGAAAGCACCACCACCATGAGCACCCCAACCACCATAAGTATCAACAATAATCTTTCTACCAGTTAAACCGGCATCACCTTGAGGACCACCAATGACGAATCTACCAGAAGGTTGGATGTGGTAGACAGTTCTTTCATCCAAAAGATGTTCTGGAATGACTTGGTTAATGATGTGTTCAATAATTTCAGTTCTCAACTTTTCAGTAGAGATTTCATCAGCATGTTGAGTAGAAATAACAATGGTGTCAACTCTCTTTGGAATAACAGCACCACCATCCTTTTCGTATTCAACAGTGACTTGGGTCTTAGTATCTGGTCTTAACCAAGGTAAAGCACCAGATCTTCTAGCAGAAGCTAAAGCAGCATTTAATTTGTGAGCTAATAAGATGGTTAATGGTAATTTTTCATCAGTTTCATCAGTAGCGTAACCAAACATAATACCTTGATCACCAGCACCTAATTCTTCTAAAGCCTTTTCGTAATGTAAACCTTGAGCAATATCTGGAGATTGTTGTTCAATGGCAACTAAGACATTACAGGTCTTGTAGTCGAAACCCTTGTCGGAATGGTCGTAACCAATGTGTTTAATAGTGTCTCTAACAATTTTTTGGTAATCTAATTGAGCCTTGGTAGTGATTTCACCAAAAACCATAATCATACCGGTTTTAGCAGCAGTTTCACAAGCAACCTTGGATAAAGGATCAACAGCTAAACAAGCATCTAAGATAGCATCTGAGACTTGATCACAAATCTTATCTGGGTGACCTTCACCAACGGATTCAGAAGTGAAAAGGAAACTTTCTCTTGAAGTAGTCATTATAGTAGTTATAGTAGTAAATGAGAGAATATACTGCCGACGGAAAACAAGTATGAGCTAAAGAAAAGAAAAAGACAAAAAAAAATCTAAAAAGAAAAACTCCAAGATTAAAATGAAAAGTTTTGGGAAATCATCAATTTATTTATAAGACAATCAATTTAAACAGAAAAAATTTTCTGTGGCTCTTCTCAGTTCTGTGTTTTTTTTTTTGGTGCTCGTATAGAAATTTAAAAATAAAAATTTAATTAAAAAAAAAAGAACCACGAAGTCAAAAAAAAAAAAAAGAAACTCAATCCAACAATTTTTCAAAATTAAAGAATTTCACGTGACTTACATTTAGCATGTGACTCCTTTGTATGTCTAACGGTCAATCTCTTCCTCAGACATATACCTACTAGTAACTCTTATTGCTTTTTATCCAAATACGGAGTATTCTAAATTTAAATTTAGGCTTCTAATAAAGATTTGAACCCTTCAGAGAAATACCCCTAGGTTGCAAATTTGCATCAATAAATACGGTAAACCGTATGACCGATATTGAATTTCTTTTTAGAACCAGATTGATCTAATGCCTTAAAGATTTCTTTAAAAAATAAATAAATATTTTTGATACTGCGAAATCGCACCAAAAGAATGTCGGGATTTGCCAATGATATCATTATTTTTCATCCAACAATTTACGGGCAACCAATTTGATCAATTATGTCAGCTCTTGGCACTAAGCCCTTTTTGTATCTCAGTGTTAAACGAACGATAACCGTTGCTAACTGTACGTTTCTGTTTCTCGGTGTTGAATGTCATTTCAAAGATGTCTAGAGCATAACAGTTTAGTCCATTGTTTGGCGGAAATGAATACACACTATAAATTTACACGTGCGACTTCCATTAGTCAACGTTTTTTTTAAGTTTTGAAGAAACCAACAGTTTTTTTTTTAATTCTTGATTGTTCCTTGTAATTAGTAAAAAGGTGGGAATTATATGCAAACGTAATTGTGACACAGATACACGTGATGACTGTGTGGATGTAATTGATTTTCAAATTATTGATAAGTATTGTTCAATGTTGTGCTGTATAGTTTTCCTGCTTGAACAATGTTCTATGTAAATGGTTTATTCATCCATCTAGTATACGAATTACCAACTGGAATCGAAATTACGTGGAACTGAATCCAGAATCTCATCCAGTGGATTCTGAATAGAAGAAACGGATGAGGTAAGATGGGTAACGTGAAAAAAAGAATCGGACGGCCGAAAGAATGCACAATCTACAAATCCGAACATCCAGACTGTTGATTCTAAAATGGCAAAGCCAGTGGAAGACGAAGGGGTAATTTCCACGATATTAAACATCAAGGCTGACAGTAGTTGATTCATTCTCGTCACCGCCTTCGAACTACACAAATAACTTTGGTGGGATTCGATATCTCGTTGCCCAACCAATTACAAAAGTTGAAAACAATCAAGCAATAACTTTAATAAACTGCTCAACAATGATCCAGTCTTCTCAAATATACTGTTTTTGCATGGGCCAGCCAAATCCATTCAAACTCATAGGAAATTCAGACCCAGATAAGATTTGTCATATGTAACATGTAATTACGATATTTTTGCTTGTAGCTAAATCAAGGGTCCACTTGTACAGGCGATTATATGGTCATAATGCTTCTGTAATTTCTCCCAATAACGTTCTTCGGATAATCTGCAGCTACGTTTCTGAAGCAAAGGATAATCCAAAATTTAAGTTGGTAGTTATCAAGACTTGAGAGAAAACTATGTAGTGTTTTCGCTTTTGGACGGGATCCATTCGATCCGTGGTTGTATAGTACCTCATCTATTAATAGTTGTTTCAATATACAGCTGGTTGCAAATGCTAAATCAACAACGACATCGTGCGTAATGTCGCTTACATCAAATCTCTCACAATTACGCGTAAAAAAAATATTGTAAACAACGCGCACAATTTTCTTACAACCAATTTTCGTTTCTTTTTCTGGTTGGTTGCCAAATTTCAAAAACTTCTTTCTCTGTTACTTTACCACATCAACAACTTCCATTAGCTTCACACATTCAATAGCCTCATAATGGACTTGCTAGATAAATTAGAGGATTATTCCCCTAGTCAATTTAAGCCTAAATTATATCAATCTATCGAACAAAATGAAAATCAAGAATCAGATCATCATGAATCAGATGAAAGCGAACGCGAATCAGATCCACAACAAGAAAGGTCAACTTTAGGGTTCGATTTTAATATAAGTTCAATTACAGAAGCCATTTCCAAAGATAACTCAAATAATGAAGCTACTAATGATTTAAGTATATTGGAAAGAATCAAGAGAAGGATAAATAATGAAGAACGTGAAGAAGACGCGACTCAACAACTAGAATCTGAAGAATCCGGAACCGTCCATGCTCACAAATTACCCCAATTGGAGATTGATGAAAGTGATTTTCAAGTTCACAATGGGTCCACTCAAATGATTGCTGATAAAGTAACACAAGTTTTAAATTCAGACAAAACCCAGGTGATTAGAAATGATCGCACTCAAGTAATCAATAATGTTGCTACTCAGCGAATCAATTACGGCTCCACTCAAGTCATAAGAAATCAATCAACCCAAATTATCCCCACTAAGAACATTATGCAAGGAGAAGATATGCCAACTCAAGAAATCAGCTCATCGACCCAAGTAATTAATCAGCCAGGAGACAATCTCTTCTGCTCAGAAAGTGAAGACGAAAACGACGAGGCTCCTCTCAGCAAAGATCAAAGAGCTGCTAAAATCCAACAATTAATTGAAAAGAGAAAACAGGAAAGATTAGCCAAAGAACGTGAAGAACTCGAACAAGATCTTACAAAGGAATCTTTGACTGATGAAGAAAACGACATCAATAACGAAGCCAATGACACTGTTGTTTCTTCAACTGCTCGCGAAGGAGCTACTTCCAAAGAACTTGAAGTTGCTCAAGAATTCTTAAATATCCAAAAAAGACAAATCGATATTCGTCCTGAATTTCAGACAAAGGTGGTTTTCACTAAAGATAAATTATTGGATGCATTTTCCGACGATGATAATGACCATCAACCAATACAAGATAAACCCAAGCATTCAGCGTCATCTTCACTTGATTTCCTAGATTCAAGTCCCATCACCTCGCCCGTTAAAGAAAGACCAGAAGACTTCTTGGAAATCTTTAAGAAAAACGCATTCAAGCCTGCCCAGCAAACCCAACTCAAGAATCCATTAGAAGTATATGCTGAAAAGCTTAAACAGAAACTATTCAGCTCTCCATCTAATGAAAAGACTTTAAAAATTGATCTTGATTCTGATTCAGATCTTGAAATTAATAATACTTCATCACCTACCAAAAGCACATATTCTCTCTATCCCACAAAATTCTCCAATACTGGTGCTGAATTGAATCATATTCCAGAGTTAACAAAAGATCAAAGACTTACTATCAAACGAAAATTCCTTAAAAAGAAATATGGATCTAAGGACAACAAAACCATCCCGGCATCAATCGTTCAACAAAACTTAAGTCATGTGGCGCAGCCTAACCAAAAGAAATTCTTGCATACTTTACAAAAGCGAAACATCGATCAATTGAAGAATCATAAATTAAATGATCTGGAACATGCGATTTTGGAAGAAATGGAGAAGGATGAAGAAGTGATGGGGTCATTGTTGGAAAGAGAAATGGAAAGAGTGAGGAATATTAGATTGAGGGAGAAAATGCACGAAAAGGCGAAATTGGCATTGGCTGGTAAGGCACTTGGTGGTGGAGGAGATGGTGAGGAGAATGATGAGCAAGTTGGTGAAAATGATTTGGAATCAGAAGTGCCTGACTCTGATTATGATTCAGTTGAAGATCAAGTAAGCGACGACGAAGGAGATAATGAGTTAGACGAAGACGAAGAAGAAGTTGACTCGCATAAACGTAGTCGAAACGTAATTAGTGATGACGAAGATGAAGAGCAGGAAAATAAACCAATTGGAAATAATCCTCGAAGTGATGATAGTTATATGTTTGGTGGTGGAAATAGTGACGATGATCACATAAGTCACGATGATGATTACGTGACCACACATCCTCGTCCAATTAATGACGATATCTATACTAATAAGGATTCAGTTCATTCATACGAAACCACCACCCTCTTTCAGAATTTGAAACCACGAGTTAAGAACGAGTTTGACGATGGCGATTCTCAAGATACTCAAGATGGACCTGTTGCTATAGAGAGAGTGGTACCTGTCTTTAAGGATATTTCCATAGTTGAATCCCAAACTCAAGCCGATACGCCTACTCAAGCCGACTCAACTACACAGCAAGATTCTGTTTCATATTCTGCAACTCAAATTATCTCGGACAAATCAACTCAGAAAGATCAAGACATGTTCCAAGATGATGATGATGATATAGTTACCCCAGCTGGTATGAAGCGAGGACGTAAGCTAATACGAAACAAAAACATAGGTTCGCTTGCGCAAGTCAAAGAAGAACCCGTCGATGATGAAGATGACCAAGAGGCAATTCAGCAACGTATTAAACAATATGAACATAAAATCAGAAAACGAGAATTGAAACTTCGTAAACGCCGTAAGGAACTTGAACGTAAGGGACTTGGTAATGTTCTTCAAGGAGAAGCTGAAGAATCTGAAGATGAATGGAAAGGTCTCGGAGGTGCCGATGGAGAAGATTCCGATGTGGCTAATTCTGAAGATGAACGTATGATTGATAATAACCTTGCGATTGATTTGAAAGATGAAGAGATTAGAAAGAAATTTATGGAGGATTATCAGATCAAAGATCAAAAGGAATTAGAAAAATTGTTGGATGATGTTAAGAATCATAGATTAATGAAAAGGGCGACGGTTAATAATGGATTTGATATTGAATTGAGCGATGAAGAAGATGAATTGTTGGTTGCTTATCGAAAACAGAAATTGTTTGAACAACAACAGAGATTGATGGAGAATAAGAAATTACAAAGTTTGAGTAAGAATGAAAGATCAAAAGCATTTTTTGCATCCATTCAAGATTCGGAATCGGTTATCAGAATAGACAGTGAAAGTGAACCAGAATCGTTAGTTGAAACGATAGCTCCTAAGGAAAAGACGAAACAAGAAAACGAAGATGAGGATTCTTTAGAAAACGAAGCTCCAGTTAAGAAAACCATCAAACTTGAAGAATCATTTGTTCAGAAACAATTATCTTTCCTTAATAATGCTACTGACGACTATGAATACGAAAGATTACAACATGTTTCAAAGATCCAGCATGGTTTTGATTCCGAAGAAGAAATAATTGAAGATATCCAAGTCTTGAAATCTCGTTCCATTAGTAATTTAACAAAAGGAAGCAGATCTGAAAGTCCTGCTATTGATCTTGAAGAAGAGTCCTCCAAGAAGAGGGATTTGGAAGATACTGATGTCGATGAGGAAGATGTCGAATTCATGCCTGCTTTTAAGAAACCATCAATTGTTAAATCATTTAGATCATTCCAAGAACAACAGGGTGTTTCTATCAAGGATGGAAAACAGCATTTCTCAGGTGTGACTGTGAGTAAGCAGTATAAAGTTGTTTCTGGATCCAAGGCATCTATTAGTTATTTGGCCAAGAATGCTCAGACGAAGGTTAAGAGTTTGAAAGAGAAGAATATAGAAAGAAGTCTTCAAAATTCCAAGAATCAAAATAAGGGCTTATTTAAAAGTTCTGGATTTGAATAGAGTTATGTAAGAGACTATAAATGTAAATTAAATTAATTGAACAAAAATCTATAAATAGTGTAAAAATGATATGATGTCTAAAATGTGCATGATTGAAATGTAAAAAAGTCTATTGTCATTATCTAGCTGATTTCCCTTGAGTTATATAACGTATCAACCAAGGGCATAAATCAACTATCGATAATCTAATCCAATAGACTTGCAGCCAACGCCTCCCGCAATGCTCCCTCATTATACGACCTCACAATCGGTTTCCTAAACACCGACGCCTCACCATGGTTAACAATCCTGGTATTATTCGGTCCAATAGTCAATCTCGAAAACGCACCATCATTTCTGGCTGCAGCTACTGATGAGGGCATTCGTTTGAGTTGTGAATCTGATTTGATCAGGATTGGGATGTTTGAATTCCGTCGCTGTTTCTGTTTTCGACGAAGTTCTTTCAATTTCTCGGGCGTGGGTGGTTTGTTTGATTTGGTTGGTTTTTTGACAAGGTCGAGAAAACTATCTGTGAGTGATTTTGGAGTGATTGAGGTGTTGGATTGATATTGCGATCGGAAGGTGATTTTTGTGGGGGAGTAGTTGGATAATGAACTAAGGAATGATGTTGATCTAGGGGATGAAGGGGGTGATGGTGCTGGAAGTGGTGGTGAATAATTGTCTCCAATTCGCGTTGCAGGAACTGAAGCAGATATGACGTCGTTTAGAATTTTCTTGGGATCTTCTTTAGTGGAGCTATTTGTTTGTTGTTGGACTTGTACTTTACCAATGGTAGGAGAAGCAATATGTGAAGTTCCCAAGTGAATGCCATCAATCGGATTATGAAACCTTAGAACCGATTTAACTCTAGGGGTGGGCATGGCTATTTCCTCTTCTTCTGTTCTGTATCCCTCCCCACTCGATTTCCTAACCAAATGAGGAAATGCTTCATGTATAGGCTTATTCAATTCTGTTCTCGAAGCTCGAAGAAATCTATTAAAATTATCAAATTCATCCTCAACCCGTTCATCATCTTCCTGTTTCTCAGGAGAATAATACGATAAGTCAGAACATACTGATGCCATATCATAATCTAATTCATGTTGTACTCTTCTTCTAGGCGTTGGAGAAGAACCATATACGTCATCAAAAAGCAAATCCAGATGTGGTTCTGGGTGATGTTGCTCCGGGTGATGTTCTCCATGTCTTGGGTGGAAATCATTTATACTTATGAAATGCTTCAATCTATTATATCGTAAAATATCATCTTCACGGTTCAACTCTTGGAAAATATCCGTTTCTGATGAACTCTTGTTACCTGTACTAGTAGTAGGCAATGAATTGGACCTTATACGAGATTTGAATGGTGGACCAAGAACCGAAGGAGGGGTGGAAGCTATTGTTTCAATCTCATCAAGATCATCTATTGCGTGATGATGATGATCTTGATTATGCATTACGTTAACTGATTCTGCGGTGTCTAATGAGTAGATATCTCCTCCTCCACTTGTGATTCTTGATGTTGATGTCGGCATTGAGAGTTCACTCATTGTGGAAGAAACAATTGTTGATTCTTCATATGCAATTGGGTTTATGTTATATATGGCTGATAATCTATATCTTGATTTCTTTTTGGCGATCTTCGTGTCTGAGGAAGTACAACGCATTGGTTTTAATTTCAAGTTTGAAATCGAGATCATTTTCTTTATATCTGGAGGTCGTAGTGTCGTTTGAGATTCTACTTCATCTGCTTCATAGGTTTCTTCGATAAGTTCTCCTTCATCATCTGATTGCAAATCAATTTCATCGACCCCAGTGAAATTGATTGGTTCTTGATGAATATATGCATAGTCATCATTTGGTATTAATTTCTCCAAAAGGTATGAAAATTCTTTAGTCAAATGTTCAAATGAAGTTTGATTAGTCAATGGGTCATTCGTATGAATATTATTTTGTAAATAAAATGATTTCTCATATAAATTATTAAAATCATTCATTGCTTGAGAATTCAGTTTGATTAACTCTGTAATGTCATCAATTTCTTCATCACAATGTAATGCTCTATCAAACAAGCTGGATATTCGGTTGATTATTAGATTTGATTCTTGAGTCTTGTTTACAAGCAATTGAGATCGATATTCAATCTCATCTGCATATGCAAGAATTCGCAGTAGTCTTGTTGACATTTTTCTGGAAAGGGACTTCAACGATAGTTAGTTAAGAAAGCTCTTGGTTATAGCTATCTAGAATCGTTTATCTTAAGATTTGTTTCCAATGGCCTCGGAGAAATGAGTGTTAAATTGGCTTAAAACAGTTCAATTGTTTTAGTTTGCCATGACAAGAAAGGAGATGAAGATGATGATTGTTATTTTCTATTGCAGTTAACAAAAGAAGAATAAAAAAATCTTATATGCAGTCAAATGTAAACAAACAAATTCTTTTTGAGACATACTTAAGATTTTACGACATTTGCATTCCTAATTAGGAAAGTCAACATCTAGTTTTTTCAATTTTGTGAACCAAACAGTATCAATCACAATAACGTAACAAATTGGGGACATTAATTAGCTACCATTGATCACTAAATTACTGTTTCATTTATTAGGAATAATAAAAATATATTATCTACCCAAAGTCGGTAATGCACCTCTGTTCCAACAAAGCGGTAGCTAAGCGGACGGCTTGAACAGCATCTATGGCAAATGAAAGTAATATTGACTTGGCAAGGTCATGGAAACATGATGAACCAAGAATGATTGTCTCCATTCCAACGTAATTGACTTCGTTGCAGACAATTTTATGTGAATTTCTTAAATTAGACTAATTTAATGAAACTCGTCGTTCATTCTGTGAAATTTTCCGAATTGCATTTGTATCGCCGTTTTTTTTTATTATTTTTTTTTACCTTCGAGTTTGCTGCAAACTACGGCGCTATGCTTTTGTTCTCTATAAGTTATTATAAAACCTTATCCATGTGATGGATAGTTGAAGATGTCTTACTCTTGGTATAGTTAGCTTAGGATTAGAGAGACATAAGACTTCTTAATCTAACTTTTTGAAAGCTTTAGTGTTATTGATTCTGGATTGTGCACATTCAAGTAAAAAACTGCGAAATTTTTGCAACAAATACATTTGTTACAGGCTACACAGTAAACGATCCAAGGGTGTTACTAAAAACATCTGTAAACTTACTAATGACTTTTGATGATCAATTAACGGTATCTCACAAGAATGGGGTAAGAGATGAAAGGGTAATAATTTACAGATAATAGTTGCAATACTTACAAACATTGTTCCCTTAAGGTTTTATACAACTAGAAGTAATTCTCTATATAATGTCTTTAATTCTTAGACTTCTTACGCTTTGGAGCTTCATTGTCATCTTCGGAATCTCTCTTTGATTTCTTTTCTTTCTTCTCCTTCTTCTCCTTCTTCTCCTTCTTTTCCTTTTTGTCTTTCTTTTCCTTCTTCTCCTTCTTTAATAATTTATTTTCATATTCTTCTTCTTCAGGAGCAACAAAATCCTTTTGTCTTTCTTCCTTTCTAGCTTCACTAACTTCAGTTTGCTTATCACGCTTTTCTTGTAATTTCTTTAATTCCCTTTCTTTCTTACCCAAGAAATATTCACCACTTTCAATCTGTAAATCAATCTTTCTAGGTTGTTGAGCAGGTGGGAATGGAGTGTATACTCTCTTTTCTTTATGTGATTTCTTACTCTTCTTACGAGCAACATTACGTTTCTTAAATGAAGGTAAGAATCTTGACCAATCTTCATTTGCTAATTCTGGTTTTTTCAGTAATTCTTGTTTAATCATTAATTCTTTAATATAATAAATTGGATGAACATTTCTCATACAATCTTCAACAACTCTTCTAACTTCCTTCAACCCCTTCCAAGGTCCCATAGCACTTACAGTATTCCCTTGAACTAAAATATAACATTTAGTTAACAATTCCAAAGCTTTAAGAGTATTTCCATTTGGCCCAACTAATCTTTGTCGTCTTTTAATAAATCTATCTTTATTAGTCACAAAATTACCAATCTTAATAACTTCACATGCAATATCATCTTGTAAAATCTTCACTGCTTGTGGGAATGGAACCGATCTAGCCAATAATTTAATCAAATCACGAGCTTTAATAATCATAGCAGGATCAAATGTTTTGGTGGTAGTTTTCACAGTCATAGACCCTTCAACTAAATCTAATTCACATTTAATAAAATGTTTATCAAGTGCCTTGGTAACATCACTCCATATTTGACGTAAATATTGTTCTCTATATTTGGGGAATAATGTCATGAATGAGGATTCTTCGGCGAAATGTTGTCCCAGGGCGTTGTGTTCGGGTTTGAATTCTTCCATGGCCCATTTATCTATGTCGGGAGTATCCCATGGTTTGTCACGATTATGAGTAGATGGCATCTTGTATGTATTGCGTGGTTTCGTGTGTATATGGTGATGGATGAACAAATGGTGAATGCGATGAGATTAAATTTTTTTCTTTGCGCTTTGATAGAAGCGCATGGAGAGTGAAGGAAATTAGAAAATTTATTTGCGATGAGAATGATCTATCAACACCGAAGCAACCAATATCAACAAACATGGCGGTCAAATCAAACAAAGGAAAGAAGATAAAGGATAAAGTATCCAAATCAACAACATCCTCATCATCTAAAATAAAATCAAAATCAAAATCATCTCAAAAAGCTCAATCGAAATCAACAAAGATAAAAATTCAAAAATTAAACTCAGACTTACTGGAATTTAATGAAATAACAAAATTACTAGGAAATGATGATAAGGCAACTACTAATAAAGATGTTAAAGTATTAGATGCAAAACAAATAAATGAAGATCTTCAAAAAGATCAAGAAAATAAGTTAAAGAATAAAAAAGCAGAAAATGATTTAAATAAACAATTGGAATTATTAACTGAAATGGGATTATAGAGATGTTATGTGTATATAGAATTAATATACTGATGTACATTATTAGATAGGAATAAATAAGAGCTGGGCTTATAGATGATTGATTGAAAATGTATGGGTCAAAAAAATTATTCAGAGTGATAATTTGCAACACCAAAGCAAAACGAAAGATGCTGCAAAAAGAAGAGTTGAGAAAAGGTCACGTTTGCAGAAAACGACGTATCATTTAGTAGTTGATACGAAATATAGTATTAAGGGGGTCACAAAGACAACCCAGTTCGCTTTTTTGCAACCATCGCAGTTTCTCAGTTTGCTTGTGGCAATGCCTGTCAGGAATTTAGTTGAGCATATTTGACAGAAATGCCAATGTCTCGTTTGCAATACTATCTTCTTACTCGCAACAATAGATTCGAAGAGTTTGAGAGTGTATCAGCCACAGAGAACAGTCCACTAGTCCGTATGGAGAGACGGAGAAGAAATTGAACTCTGTAGTCTCTGAACGTTCAAATCTAGGTCCTCTAGTTAAATCGAAGTAAGAAAGTACCAATATGCGATTTTACAAGAGAAAATTGTCTCTTAACTCTTTATTATAGTTGGGATAAAAACCGTGGTAGTTCTGTGAGAGTGATGTTGTTTTTCAAAACAGTTTGAAGAGAGAGTACGAAATACGCAGAACGACATGCCTGTAACCTAATCATTCACAAATAAACACGTTTTTGAAAACAAAAAGAAGGATACTCCTTCTGCTTGCATGAATAAAAGAAGAAATTAAATTCTCAACTGAAGATTGTTCAAAATGACGAGTGAGTGTGAGTGTGTGCATTGGCTAAATGATTAATTTTTCAGAGTCTGCAGACGAGAATTGAACGATTAAATTGAAATCGTCTAATGGGTTTCAATAGAATTATACTGCTTTGGGAACCATCGCGTCTGTACGTGTCTGTTTTAATAATAATATTGCTAGACTGCTCATTGACACTAGGTTGCTTGCAAATTTGATTATGTTGGTTATGCTTTTGAAGAATGATTAATGTATCTGGCTATCCAACTGTCAATTTATCTAAAAAAATATTCGTAAATCGTTGAATATTTACATACAGTTATGTGTTTAGTACTAGAAAGATAATAAATAGATTAATTTACAAAGTACAATATAACCCAATAGAGAATATTGATAGTCACATGATTTAAGGGGTCAACATTTGTTTACACTTGTTTACGCGTTTAATTAAATTTTCAACACGCGTCTGACACTTTAAACTGTAAACAATATGTGTTGGTTGTAAATTGTAAATTGCAAAAACAAAGAAAAAAAAAAATTTTAAATTGCTGATTTTAACTTAAAACAGAATTTTTATTTTTATTTTTATTTCTTGATTTTTTAATTTTCATTCATTAAATTAAATTTAAAATCTTCTGGTTCCTTTCTTTCTTCCAATTTTTTGTCTTTTTCAGTTTTTGTCTTTGAAGTTAAAAATCAATTAGTCAATAGTTACTGACTTACTTTACAACAAGGCTTGTTTACCTCAATCCATCTACAACTGATCAAACAACAGCCCAACCCTCTCAGAAAAATCAGCAACAAGAGGGAAACTCGTCTATTGAAATCACAAGCTGCTAAAAAAAAAGACGACCAACAACCAAAATTTACAACACTCGCTAAATCACACAACTTATAATAATATATACACACAATGTCTTCACATTCAAGACAGAACTCAATAGGTTCAATTGAAAGTCACGCATGTCAAAACCATCCTAAGAAGATTGGTCCATGGAAATTAGGTAAAACTTTAGGAAGAGGTGCAACTGGTAGAGTATTATTAGCAACACATCAAACAACTGGTCAAAAAGCTGCTGTTAAAGTAGTATCAAAATCAGAATTACAATATGATCAAGATATTCCTCAAAAAGATCAAGATGATGCAAATGAAGGAGGGTTACCTTATGGAATTGAACGTGAAATTATTATTATGAAATTATTAAATCATCCAAATGTTCTTAGATTATATGACGTTTGGGAAACTTCAAAAGCTTTGTATCTCGTTTTAGAATACGTCGAAGGAGGTGAATTATTCGATTTATTAGTTGAAAGAGGTCCATTATCAGAAACTGAAGCAATTAAATATTTCCGTCAAATCATATTAGGAACTGCTTATTGTCACGCGTTGGGTATTTGTCATCGAGATTTAAAACCAGAAAATTTATTATTGGATTCACAATTAAATGTTAAATTGGCCGATTTCGGAATGGCTGCTTTGGAAAGTAATGGAAAACTTTTGGAAACTTCTTGTGGATCTCCTCATTATGCTGCTCCTGAAATCGTTAGTGGTTTAAAATATCATGGTGCTGCATCAGATATTTGGTCTTGTGGTGTTATTCTTTTTGCCTTATTAACTGGTAGATTACCATTTGATGATGAAAATATTAGAAATTTATTATTAAAAGTTCAAGCTGGTAAATTTGAAATGCCAACGGAAATCTCTCCAGAAGCTCAAGATTTAATTTCAAGAATGTTAACTGCAGAACCTTCAAAAAGAATACCTACCGATAAGATTTTAAAGCATCCATTATTAACTAAATATCCAATTCCTAATGAAGATTTAATTAGTGAGAAATCATTACCCCATCCTGCTACTGCTTATAAATCGTTGGGTTCAGTGAAAAATATCGATAAACAAATCTTATCCAATTTATCCATTTTATGGCATGATAGACCACAACAGGAAATTATCGATTGTTTATTGAAAAATGGTTCTAATCCGGAAAAGACATTCTATGCATTGTTGATGAGATATAAGCACAATCAGGATGATTCATCCCCTACAAAGAAACCAGCTGCTGCTGCCGCTACTACCACAACCTCAAGGATTCCAAGAAGTGGTTCAACTACAATGACTCCAAGAAAAGGAAAAAGGGCAAGTCAGATTGTTGCTTCTAGACCAACCTCATTTCAATATAAAAATAATACAACTCCAGGTGCTGCTAGAACTTCAGTTGTTACTAGAATGACCGATCATCATTCTTCTGTACATAATACCCCAAGGAAATCTCCTAGAAAATCCCCAAGAAAATCACCAGCCAAGAGATATTCAGCATATAATCAATCACCAATCAAATCTCCAATTAAATATTCTCCTCATAAACAACAACAAGAATCTTCCATGAATGTGGTTCCTAGAAATCTTTATAATGAAATTGTGCAGGCTCAAAGTAATTATTCACTTCCTCCGTCACTCCCATCATCACTCCCACCTTCAATTGCACCATCCCTTCCTTCAAAGAGCTCATACTATGTATCCAAACAGTTGAATGACGTTCCTGAACTTGCACCATCTGCCACTACCGCTGCTGTGGCTGCACCAACCACTACTTCAGATTTAATGCAATCGGCAAAGATCTCCCCTGGGAAACGTGCTTCTATGGTTTCCAAAAAGAGAATGTCAAAACGTAAATCATTAAGAGTATCAATGACAACTGGTCTCAAGAGAAATTCCATCACTATGAAGTTATTGTCCACGTATGCCAAATTATCAGGTGATTCCGAATGGGAATATATGGATAAACAAGCCAAAAGAACTTCAGCAACATTTGCAACTTTATGTGACAAGATCTTCAATGAAGAAGCATATGATGAGGATGATGAGAATTTGGTTGATCCTGAAGAAAAAGAAGCTAGGGAATATGAAAGATTGATGGAAATTGAGAGAAAGAAACATGAAGCTGAATTGAAGGCTCGTAAGGAATTGGAAAAGAGGAGAAAGAGACAACTGAGACGTTCTTTATTGAGTTCAAGAAAGTTGAGTATTTTGGTTAGAGAAGATAACGTTATTCCTGAAGAATCAGCCAATAATAGTGATTTGGTCGAAGCTGATGAAGTGTTAAACCCAGATAAGAGACAATCTAAGAATCTTACTGCTCTTAGGGCATTGTCTGAAGCAACACCAAAGGAAGGTAGACAAGAATTTGATCTTGATGAAATTGAAAATCTAAAACGAAGATCTGTTACTCAGCCTATACAAAGGAGGGGCCCAATTTTGACAAAAAGAAGACCAGTATCTAAATTGGATCCATTATGGCAAGCTTATGAAAATGAAGAATTGGAAAAGGCTAAGGATGCATTAGAACAAGAATGGAGATCTAGTCAAATGACAAAAGTTGACAAAAATCAGAAGAAACAATCAAAGATATCTAAGAAGAAAGCCAATCGAGAATCGATGATTTCTGTTATGGACGATTTGGATGCAGTTGATAAGAATAATAAAATAAAGAGACATTCTTTGGCTAGTTATCATTTGGGTACTCCAAAGATTGAACATGAAGATTTAACAGAAGAATATATGTCAGAAATTAGGAAATCTAAATTATTAAATTCTCAATATAATTTAAAGGGTAAGAGATTATCTAATTATGAAACTGGTCCAAAAACTCTAATTGGAAATGTCAATATTCCTAATGTCACTAGAAAATCAAGAAATTTCACTAATTCGAATAAGCGATTATCGGTGTTGTCAATGTATTCAACTAAAGAATCTTATCATGATTTGAGTTCTTATGTTAATTCTCCAGATGCTGAAGAAAATGGAATGCCAAAGACCATGAAGACAAGCTTTGCAGATAGATTGAATAGTGCAGGTGTCAATGAAGAGGATGAAGATGATGAAGGTAATGAATTTTATTATACTGATAAAGGTTCCATTATTGATTTTGATGAGCATGTTGCCAATAAGAGGGTTTCCTATTATAATGAAGCAGATAAAGGAGTTTCTCGTAATGGAACAACCAGGAAATACACCAAACCAACCGGAGCAAGACCAGTTTCTAAACTTCCTGAATTACCTACAGATGAAACTGCATGCGACGATACATTTATTAGTCAAGGTGATGAAATCCATCATAGGAAACATAAATCCATGCTTTCTATTGAAACTACAGAAGAAGAAGTTAGTGATGTATTTGATAAAATTAAATTGCCAGACGGTAAATCTACAAAATCTTCTATTGATGCTTTGGCTAATGGAACTTCTGAAAATGGTCATAAGCACCAAACTGTGAAAACTATGTTACCTGATCATGAAGATTTCGTGTCTGATTTGAATGCATATGTTAAGGAAAATAATCAAAAGATCATGAATCCAAAGGTGAGAGCCAATGGCGGTGCTGTTAAACCATCTGAGAAGAACCAACCATTGGAAGATAAGACCAATGTTCCACAGAAGAGAAAGCCGTCATTTTTCAGAAAATTATCCTGGGGTTCCAAAAAGACAATAGATGATGCTGCAATAATGGGTCGTTCAACTCCTTCTCCAGTGGAAGAAAAGCCTAAAGGTTCTATCTTTTCCAGATGGTTCTCTTCGTCCTCCCATTCTGCTCCTCTTGAGAGTGAGACCAAGAGATTTAATACAATTTTACCAAAACAAGAAATGTCAACTGCTTTATATGCATTATTGGATTCTTGGGCAAATTTCGGGTTGAAAGATTTAAGGAATGATCAAGTTGGATATAATATAACAGGTTCAATTTCAAAACATAATGCATTTGAATTAAAGGGGTGTAAATTTAGGATAAAGATTAATTCTAGGGATATGAATCAGAAATCAGAGATCATATGTACCAGAACTAAGGGGTCAAAGAGTACTAGTGATACGTTATTTGGAGAGATAGAGAAGGTGTTGCAGAAAGAAGGTGTATTAGATATATAGATATTTCATTTTTTTGTTTTTATAAGTTATAGTTTCTTTTCGTTACATAATATGTTTGTTATTAATTTTAGTTTGATTTTAATGTATGAAAAGGTTATTAGTTTGTAAAAACTTCTAAATTTGTTTCGTCTCCTCCATTTTCAATCACCAAAGTGATAGGTGGGTCACGATTGATTGGTCCATCACCTGGACCCGGAGATGGGCCTGGACGAGTGATCGGATGTTCCGGTTCTGGGGAGGGACAAGTTGGACCATTAGTATCAGTGAAGCTTCCAGTTCCCCATTGAGTAAATATCGAAATTAAAGCAGTAGCTAATACAATCTCTGGATCAATATTCTCTTCATCAACCAGAATTTCAAAATCAACCTTAAATTGTCTCATAAGTCTCGCTTTTGCGATTCTAATTCTCTTCTCTTCGGGCCCACATCCTGGATTAACAACCCATTCTAAATACTTAGTTGAAGTCGACCAGGAATACTTATATCCATCATTAAGATAGAAAGACCTATATTTCCCACTTTTACCCCAATCAAGGAAAATATCTCTGTGGCATAATTCTTCTTTATTGTGGAAGTCAACTGATCTAGAAGTTAGACCGATCATAATAGTTGCCACTTCTTCTCTTTGTGGGAAAGTCAACATTCTCCAAACTGGATTTAGAGAAGATAATCTTTCAAATGTGTAAACTTGTTCTCCACCCCCATTGAAAACGTTAATTAATCTTTGTTTATCCTTTCTATCTTGACGAATGAAATAGGGAATTGTATATCTAGTTAATGGAACAGTTGCGGCGTTGGAGAAATTGAGATCTAATAAGCCTTGAAGCCTAAGCAGTTCCAAAACTGCAGTGCTAATGGTGATCGATTTTGTTAATCCATGAACTGAACCTGCTTGAATTGTATTAGACATTGTTTAGCCAAGTGGAATAGCTATTGTTAGAGAGTAGTTGATTGAAATAGGTAAAGAGATAATGTTGCAAAAATCTTTCACGTTTGCAAACATTTGACCGCCAAAAAAAAAGGTTTTTTTTTGTGTATGCGCAGCCAAGCCGGAGTATTGATTGGTTCTCCGAACGGAATATAAATCTATCAAAAATCTTCTATTTCTACAGACATAATTAAATACAAAATAATAAATAATGCTTTGAGTCAACTACTAGCAAAGCAAAATAAACAAACAAGAAATAAAAGGTTTGAATTTGATTCTGGTGATACACTAGTAAATATTCCAAACATCTTCACAACCATGGCAGAATTTAGAACATGCAACTGAGGCAGATAATGCATAGTCTGAAAGACCAATCTTTTCATCAACAAATTCATCTGCGAAGTTATCTTTCCCTCTGGCCATAGCACCAACGAATACACATATACTTTCATCTTCATCTAATGTTGAAACATAATCTTGAACTCTCTTGACTTCTGCGTCAAATGATAAAGTGATCTTACGACATTTGGTAGGTAAATGATCAGTAATTGGATTCTTAATAACTTTTAATAAGACTTCTTTGGAATTTTCAGAACGAATACTTAATTTATGCAATAATTGAACCATTAAACCAGAAAATCTCTTGAAAGTTCTAGGAATTCTAACACTTGGGTTAACTTCTATTAAAACACCCCTTGCGGTTTGGATATATACTTGTAATTTCCCTGCCTTGTTAATTGGAGAGTCCAATAATGTCAATAAACATTGATGAGTTATATCTGGTCTTGCTTCGGCAATATCTCTTCCCATCTTTCTCAATAAACCTTGATGGTCATCACAATTCAACAAGGCAAATCTATCACCTCCTGGACCACCGGTGTTCATCTTGTGAGTTTCCAAACACGCTTGTGATAAGACTACAATCAATCTTTTGGTAGTCTTATCACGCGAACTGAGTGGTGATGGTTGAGTAGGAACGAGGGAAGCTGCAACAGCAGGGGCTTGGCTGCTTGATTTATTATCTTGGGTTTTGCTCTTGTTGTTTGAAGTCTCTGACATGTCTTGTAAAGTGTATTTATATATTTATTTAAGTGATATATGGTATCTAATCAACTATCCATCTCAGAGCTTCGCATGGGAGATTTTAGCGATGCCGATCTCTTTGAGCACAAAATTTTTTTTCAATCAGAAATTCCGAGCTATATCATGTGACTATTTTGACCGGATTTGTTGGATTTATAAATTGTTGGTTGTAAAATCATTTCACGTAGGTTGTTTCTTGCAAACCATCAAAGCATGGGAGAGGTTAAGGTCGTATAATACATAATCACATAATGTCAAGCTCAGGAAGCGACTTCGATGATGATGATGACGAATTGCTACAAGCTTTATTACAAGGTGAAGCTGATGTACAAGACAACCAAGTGATTCCGACTCAAGCCCCAGTTCCAACACATACAGAAATTCAGGTAGACCCATTTAACCAAACTGAACAGCAAGCACGGTTATTTAGAGCAGATGGTGAAATCGCAATTTTACGTGCCCAATTGCAACAAATACAGCAACAAAAACAAGATGAGATCCAACAGTTGAGAGATTCCTACGCGTCTCTAAAACATAGTAATGATGAACAAGTTAGTGCATTGAAGCACGCGGTTCAGAAACTTGAAGATGAGAAGAAGTTCTTGAATAATGAATTGTTGGCAGCTTCCTATAGTCATAAGAAACGTAAAATGGCAACTGACCTACAAGTATCAGGCAAAGAGGGTGATAACATAGATGGATCCAAGACACAAGTGCCGCAGGATGATTTACAAGAAGCAACCCCTCCGCCCACTGCACTATTGGTTAGACCTATTCAAAAAGTTATCAAAATAGCCAATGATTCAGCACTACTTACAGACCAGCTTTGGAATCATTGTATACCAGGTAGTAAGCGAACCTCATTTAAATGTTTAAGTAAAATTTGTGCAGACTTCGATATACACATGGAACGTCTTGAAATATTGAAGCGGACGTCATTCTCATCTTCCATAGTGGAGTTCTTGCTGCTAAGAAAGAATCACCGGTTAGATCAATTGTTGGAAGAATTCACATTAACTATGTTGGACTTGATAAAGATTCTACTAGAACATAAAGCAATTCTTCTGATACCGTTCTTATTTTCCTTGGTACACTGTGCAATTAGTTTTCGACCAGCTGCAATGTCGGTTGATTTGATTACTAAATTGTTACAAAAATCGTGTGTTTTGGCTCATGAATTATCATACTTTGTGAATTCCAATCAAGATGAGGACGACCTAGTGAATTATCATGATGTTCCTTATCAGATAATGGTACTTGAAAAATTCATTTTCTTATGCTGTTTGGATGTTATAGAAATGCTATTTAGTTTATCATCAACTCATGATTCCAACTCAATCAAATCAATTTGGCATGTATTTCCTTTGGACTTATTTCAGCTATGTCTACCTAACAATCCTGAAAGGTTTAAGAACACTGCACAAATAAACTTGGTATTTAATATAGTCGAGCTGTTGATTTCTTCAATTACTGAAGATTCGTTCGGGTTTAATACTGACTCCTTGGATAAGACGGTAATCGATTCGTTATTAAAAGTATTTATAATTGAAATTCCTTTAAAGGAAAACTTTATGTTCTATGGGTTGAATAGAATTATTGGCAATAATACCGACTACCAAAAGATCGAAACAATGGTCCCTGTTAAACACGATTTCTTAAACAATTACCAAGTCGCCATACCGCTGCCCGTTCCATTTGAATTACAAAGGATTGAGGATAAGCATGTTCAATTTGAATTAAGGAGCAACCATGAATTCCATTTACTTAACCTTCGTGTGAGAATCGGGGAATTGTTGGAGTCATTAGTAGTCACCAAGGAAAATATCAATTTCTTAACAAGTAAAGAGCACTTTAAATCAATGATCCGTATTATTGGTTTTGAACAGATCTATATAGCAAGGTCACCAAGATCAAAATATATCTATTTAAGAATTAGAATTATTGCGATCTTAGTTCGATTGATCAAATATTTAATTCAAGATGTACGTGATGTCACTGCCTTGATTTACCCAGAGACTTTAAATGAATTATACGTTGTGTTACTGAGAATCGCATTCGGATCTGATTCAATATCACTTGACGCTCATAAGATGTTACTAAGAATACGAACTAAAGGTTTTGTGAAAGAACCAATATTCAATCCATGGTGTGAAGAAATCGCAAGGGATTTGAACCATATAACTCCCGCTGATTTCAATAATGGAAAGGTTATTGCCGATCTTGAGAGTGATTTTGCCAATGGGTTAGAATTCCCATATGATTCAGAAACAGTTGAGTTATCTAGGGAAATATTGAACGGCTTTGTCACTCATGAGGAAGCTGACAATTTGTATTTTAATGTTAATAATGAAGATGAAGAGGTTGCATCAAACTTTGATGAAATGGAGTTGGTTGAATAAAACTGGATCATATAGATAAATAGAAGTAATTAATAAACAGGTACTACAAGTTTCTCTGCTTCTTTTGAACAGTCTTTTTTTCACATTATGATACAATTTGTGTATTTTTGATGTATACGTAAACTTCTTTAAACAAAAATTAAATAATTAAGACAACCCAATTCTTTATATATATATATGAACAAAACTTTAAAAGGGCATTTCTATTTCCCTTGAAATTTTTGGATGCATTATTGTTGTAACTATACTTTCTTGGATATATAATATGGATTATTCAATTTAAGCGGATTGAGGCTTGGCAACACCGGTTTGGAAACCGTTCTTGAATCTTCTAGAAACGTGTTTCAAGTAGGCCATTCTACCGGTACCGGTAGTTCTTCTTCTCTTAGCCTTTAAAGCCCAGTTGTGAGATCTCATTTTAGCAGCTGGGTAACCACAAGAAGAACAGGTCTTCTTTTGGACGTGGAAAGAACGACGGCCACATCTGTTACATAAAGTGTGGGACTTGTTGTGACGTTTACCTAAAGATGGAGTACCTTCTGTTGAAAGGTGTTAGTATATAGTTCTTGACGTGTAATATATCTACAATGTTCCTGGTTGTATGGCCGTATGGACTTTTAAGTATATCATCGAATTCATCTCGTTTTCAAATTTTTTTGAAAAATGCATGTAATGTAGGTAAAGTTGTAGTAAATGTAAATGTAGTAGTTCGTTGAGATTATCATGGCTGTTTATAGTTGTATGATGGGATTCACTTCACATATTATTGTCTTCTCTGATTTGAGTAATTGATCACTTCTCCATTTATTCATTGTCCTTCTTCCGATATTAATGACCATTAGATCCTAAGAAACATTGTAGCTGAATAGTGCGTTATCGACCTAACGACACTCTTTTAAAAGGTATATCTCACATACTACCCATGTTTGCTATTAGTTATTATCTGTGGTTTTTAAGAAAGATTATAAAAGGTTTTTCTTTAATTATGAAATTTTTTTTCTTTTGGTTAAAATTTTCACTATGGGAAACTGGCTGGATTGAGGTTTAGTGAGAGGGTGACTGTGTGAGTGAGCTGCCTGCCATAGTAAGATTTTGATAGTGAGAGTAATGTTAGTCGTGTAAATGGGAGAATTTTGCATGCAGGAGAAAAACTACAAGGGCAGATTTTGTAAGTGAGTGTTTTCTTTGTTGAGTGCACAAAGTAGAGGAGAGAAAAAATGTTTTCTCACAATAAAAGTTGGCACGTGCCCAAGAGATTTCCTTAGGGCTTTAGACCTAATCATAAAAACGAACTATTTCACGTGAACACAGAAAAACGCGGTTGGTTGCAAAACAATCAACCAAAATAAAAACATAAACAAGACACGCTATTTGGAACGAATGGCATACGACACTGTTTCGTAAGCAAACTTCTTCAATTTTTTTTGTATTTTGAGTAGGAATACAATTTTATATTACCAACAAAGTTAATTTCAAATCAACTAATCAACATGTCAAATACGGGCTATCAATTCCCACCTTCATCACCATTAATCGATAATGATAATGGTGACAAAGAAAATCACGACCCTTTCTCATTTAAAAAGGATTCCAAATATGACAAATTCGAATTTAGATCAACAAGACAAGATGATTATCCAACTCCAAATCCATCATCTGCCCTTTTCCGTTCCTCATCTCCTAGCAGGGCTCCGCCGGACATTGACTCAGATATCTTCAAATTTGACAAAGCGAGTATCAATATCAATTCTGATTTCAATGTTTTGAATCCTGATAAATCTGTTGTTCGTATTCCATTGTTACAGGATAAATCTCACTTTAGTATTGGAAGATCTTCACGTAGTTGTGAATTTGCACTTAACCCACAGGATTCTCGTATCTCACGTGTGCATTTAAAAGTCAGTTATAGTTCAGAAGATATTATTCTTACATGTATAGGAGCAAATGGTGTTGCTATCTGTATCCCACGTGACTGTTTGGTTTTGGCTACTAGCTCTGCCAATGACTTTATTATTATGGAAAACAAGACGGGGGTGTCTTTAGATAAGGCATTGATTCCAGTTGAGAATAGATCCATTAAGTTAGATGGTTCCACTACCGAGTTTTATATTAGACAGCATGAGACCATAACGATGCCTAAATTCCACAATATTATGTTAGAAATCTCGAAACAGGTTATCTTGTTAAATCCTAAAGATGTTGACGAAGAGTTGACTGACGATGAGACTCCAGTTTTGATTCACAGAACTCCATTGAATAGAGCCCTTTTGAATAAACTTCCTGATACTCCGCTGAAACCAAAACCCAGCTTAACGGTACCTAGCGAAGTGGAAGACACTCCAAGCAAGGCAAATACAATCCAAATTGCCACTCCAGAACCAGGTGATAAAGCCACTCCATTGCAACACCCAACTCCAACTGTAGCATCTAAACCGTTCAATATCTTCCAAGACAAAACTAGCAATGATTCTCCAGCAAAACGTTCAACTACCGCTTCTCCTAGATTACCTCTTTCTGATAAGACGAATACTTCTAATATCAAGAGAAAGGCCCAATCGGAAGAACCACAGTCAACACCAGTATCAAAGAAAAAGAAAATAAAGCATGAAAAGCAAGAAAAGCCAACAGTTACCCAAGAATCAGTGGCTGAACTTCCAAACATATCTGAAATCAACAACATCCTTATCAATCATCTTGCTTTCTCTCGTTTGAGTTCAACTCCTGCATCTTTCTTAAACACCATTTCGGTTATAACATCCAAATTATCACTTGCTCAAATCAGACAGATTTTACACGATATTCCATGTATAGGAGTCATTTATCGTCAAGGTAAAGATGCTGCTGGTAAGCCATTACAGGAAGAATATTACTACATGCCTGAACAAGACCATGATGAAGATAGAAAAATGTTGGTTGCAAATATGAAGGGTCATGGCGGCTTAAGATCTTGTAGAAAGACCCATAAGCAATATTATTGGAAAAAGCCTGCTCCTATTAAAAAGTAAATGTGTTTATAATATGATTTATCCAAACTAAATAACTGTATAATAGAAAAATAAAGAACTTAATTAATATGCCTAAGTTCTACTTGAAATGGTAATAGCCATCCGTCCCACGAGGACTGTACGATGATGAATAAATACTCGGAGGATGGGGAAGGGGGTGCATATTAGTGTCGATCGCTTGCAGGACTGGATAACCATAGGTTTCCCTCTCTCTTTTTGTTAACGGCCGTGGATCGCTAATTGTAAGCTCGCTGTTTTCATCATCATCTGTCCATTGGAATCTTCTCAAAAATAGAATTAATCCACCAATGATAATTTGCAATACCCACGCTCCGAGGAAAGCTAAACTTACGTATAGTTCGAAATTTAATGATTTCCGATATATATCGAGAATGTCCTTCACCTTGTCTAATACCTTGTTGGATGTAGAAAACTTTAGTTCTTTAATATTTTGCTCTAATTCGGGAGAGACCTCCGGGAATTTGACATACAAATTGTTATTTATCCAATCTAACCCTTGCTCTACCTTTTCTAACTTCCTTCCCAAGGTACAATAAACTACCGTTTCAATTGGTCCCAGGAATGGTGTATTCCCGAAAATCAGATCTAATGTCAGACTCAATGTTTCTAAAAAGTCAAGTAAGTGTTGGTGTACTGTTTCTGAAGTCTCTTTAATACTTCCAAAAAGTTCATCATTTAGAGTCGTTTCTGATTCTGATATATAGGTATTCATATTTTTAAGATATGTGTCCGTGACATTTCCACTGACTGTCGAGTTGTCAAATTGAAGTGTGTCAATTCTATTCTGTAGTGAATTCTGTGCCTCTTTAATAAGAATATATTGTATCAAAAAGGCAAGCAAACCCATAAAACCGAAACACAAGACATTTCTGGCAAATTTGCTAGTTAAATAACTCCACATCCAAATAGCTTTATCACTCACTGAAATACCAAACCTTTTAATCAAAGAATATAATACCACATCTTCGTAGATGTTCGATTGATTACGGAAACCAACTTTGTCCACAACCAGTGCTTCACTAAGAAATGCGTCTGTTCTCTTCCAGTGTCTCCATTCTAAATAGAAAAATACCATGGCACATCCAATCATTCCCAATATTAGTGAAATTATTAATATTTTGCTTGTATAGTTTATACCATTGATTAATGCTTGTTGGTACTCAATTGAGTTTGAAACATTCTCAAGACAAATTTCACGAGCTTGAAGTGGATCGACTGATTTAACTCCCAGATTCCAATTAGAGTTATCTTTCAATTTTGTTAATTGCTCAGTTGCAAGATTGAACGGAGCTGAGATTAATGTCTGAGTTCCGCTGTCAACTTGAGAAATCCCATCTAAACTGGTATTTCTTACTTCATCAATCTTTGTAAGTACATCTCCTGGGATCATAATCTTGTCTTTTAACGATCCTAGAGATAACTTTATCTTATCTTCATATGCTGAGGGGTCAGTTGATTCTCCAGTAAAGATAGATGCTAGTCCAGTTATCCCTCTACTGAAATCGTTCAAGAGGGTAGATAAACCCTGCAACCCTTCTTCTATTTCGTTAGTCACTTCAACAATAGTAACATTCAAAGTTCTAATAATGGTCTCTCCCGAGTCTAAAGCAAATTCAGTTGTTGTTTTCATCACTGCATTGAGAAGACATAGATATGTTCCCACAAATATTTCAATATAAAATAAAATTAATTGTTGGATAGTTTTCACTATTATTATGACAAATGCCACACTTGAATATTGAAGTTTATTCATCCCATCTATAACAAGTTTGTGCATTGTGTCTAACATTGGTTGAATATTGTCATCGTCGCAGGCTGACTCGTCTATTATGTTTTTGGTTATGTTTGATATTAATGAGTTTTTTAGCATAATTATTTTGATTAGGATAAGTGCTAGGAAAAGCACATATTTGTTGAGATACACTTGTGACAATTGTTCGTATAGATTTAGATAGTTACGTTCCATTGCTGTTATTGGTGCTGTTTGTAGTCTGCGTATATATTAATGTAAGATTGGTTCCTTTTGAAGGAATTTATACCTTCTGGCAAGGCTGACACCATTATTAAATAGAGAGAATTCAACGTTTTGGTGATGTTTCAGATTGAAAGAAACATGAAACATGGTTCCAGGTATCAAAATATTTCTTGATCCTACGACAGATTTAACACAAGAAAAAATATTTCATGTTTAGAGATCATCTCTACCACTCGTGATTAGATGAATTAATTAGCAAAGGCATAATAAACCAAAATCAGGCATGTTCAACATTGTTTCAATTGGTATTTTGCAACCATTAGCAGCCAAAAATAGTTTGGTCCTCACATTGGTCGTGTACCTTTTACAAAACTCCTTTTTCCACTCTGAACAGAAAAAAAAAGTTGATTGTACAGAAATACAAACAACCATTGCTACACAAGGGCGATCTTTCTGTCTAACAACACTATTATATAAGGAAACATAAATCAAAATGTCTGATACCGAACAACCAGCAAACCAACCACCAAAGGAAGAAAAGCCAGATAACACTCATATTAATTTGAAGGTTTCTGATGGATCTGCTGAAATTTTCTTCAAGATCAAAAGATCAACTCCAATGAAAAGATTAATGGAAGCATTTTGTAAGAGACAAGGTAAGGATATGAGCAGTTTAAGATTCTTAATTGATGGTACTAGAGTCTATCCACACAACACTCCTGATGAATTGGAATTAGAAGATGGGGATACTATTGAAGCTCATCGTGAACAAACTGGTGGTTGTTAGATTGATTAGAATGAGTTAAGATATACATAAAGAAATTAAGTTACGTTGTAGTTATATAGGAAGATATTATTGTTTATGACAGTGAAGCGAAATGTCATATTGAGCTTGCGGCTCTATATAGATAAATAATTTACATGTATTTACAATCACTGGATTAACTATGATTTTGTAATGTTTGACCTTTTTTGGCGCGTCTTGCACGACTTTTTTGGGTGAGAGTTGTACTCCTTATCAATAACCAGGGAGTTATCTATGTCTCGGGGATATCTCGTAATCGACTGGTTTTTCCTCGATGATGTGCATATGCTTCGTACATTTCGGGGCTATGAGTCACACCAAGTAGGTGCGACCGGGAGAAGCTTTGCAAAAGGGGTCTGGGGTGCATTCTACATTAAGAACCCCCTGATATCCCCTGAAACAAATTTCAAATAATGGTTTTTCGAATTCTATAGAGAAGTACAGAGAAACCCCTTAGAAGTAATAAGTCATTGTATGACAGTTCATAAACGGAGTTTGCAAAGTGCAACACCTTTCCCAGATCGGAAACAATTTCGATTCTGAAGTGCATGCCATTCCTTGGCAACGAATTCTTCTAATATTCATTCAAAGGTAAAAGGTAGATGACTAATTATGTAAACACACCCCTGATGTGCTTTCTATATTTGAATATAAATGATCTACCGTATGATTTTCTCAGATAAGGCAAAAAGGTGTATATGGAACCACCTGATAATTCAACGAATCAAATCAATCTGTCATATCTCTCAGGGATAATATTTCATACTCTAAAAAGCATCATGCATCTTTCAGACGAAAATAAAACCCTTTGAAGATTATCCGAAAGAATACATTGAGGGATATGACTACGTCATTTTGAAGAAAGCCGTCCCTAGGACCTAAAAAGAAAAAAAATGACACTATGAAAATATTTCACCATGCTCTTTTGTGCAGATATGGGCAGCAAAGGGAATATCCTGTACTAGCATACCTGATTCCGTCACCAATTGAATCCACGTGTAGATATAATTATTATTTGACGAAGAGGGAGATATTTGACCGGCGAATAATGTCCGTACGATTGCAAAAAAGAAGCTTTAAGGTTAGTAGCGACTTGGGGGAAAAAACGAGTCATTGGGAAATTATTTTATGATTTAAAAACTATAAAATAAACTTCGCTTTAATGTGATACGAGGTATGAGGGATTGATAAGAATAATAATATTGGGACGATTATTGCTAAGGATTATTTTCTCGCCACTTAATTTAATCGTTTTGACTCTGAACAAGGTGTCTTGTGTGGGAGATGTTAAGAGAATAGTAAGAAATATTTCGATTTTCATTGACAGCTGATCGGAGAAAATTTGGAATAGTTACTTTGGGGCGTGCGTTCTTGGCAGTACGGAGACACCTTTTGCGTATAAACTTCATGCCAATCTAGTCCACGACAGAGAAAAAAAATGACGTGAGAATGAATGAATGAATCATCCCGTTCGGAAAATTATCCGTGTGATAATGGAAAATGTAAGGGGGGAGGATGAAGGATAAATCTAAGTTTTGAATTAGAAAAATCTTAGTCTTTTGTTAATTTCATTTCATTTCAAGAAATTAAGGTTCAAAACTTTCGAGGCAAAAGTCCTTGTTTGCTTTAAAACTGACAATAAAAAAATAGAGATAAGACAAATCTAGGAATACATACCCGACGATGGCGAAAGATTCAAAGGCGTTTTCTTTCTATTTCTGTAAATCAGACGAGCAGTAACTAGCTCGGGCTTCAAAATCTGAAGGGGTTGAATCCGTTTTTTTTGTTTTTCGATTGTTTTATTACAAAGAATTGCGGAATTCTTAGGAAAAAAAACAAGGCAAAACTCGGAATTGGAAGAGGACTACTCAAGGATAAAAGGAAGTCACAGTAAAAATGAGATTATTTTTTTTCCCCAGAAGGAAAAACTAAAAAAATATTTTTTTTTTCTTGGGCAAAAAAAATAATCAAACCATTTTTTACATTTTACAGATAATAAGCTTTTTCAAAGTCATTGTTAATGTATTAGAGATTAATTGTTATAAAGCATTTAGATGACTGTCTGTCGGACTTTAATGTCCTCTGTGGATTCATATTTTTTTTGGAATATAAATTCACAATTTCTCTCTTTAATTGAAATTTGATTTTGATTTTGAGTTTTCTTTTTCTCTCTCTTTTTGGTTTTCTTTATAAGTATCAAGAAGTTTACTTTATATAAAACTTATTATACCTACTATTACTACTATATAATCAAACATGTGTAAAACTGAAATTTGCGGAATTTGCAGTATGTATTCTTTACCAATTGAGAAAAATACAGGGATCTAAACTTCCTGTTTAAGGTTTGATAAGATTTACTAACAAACATAATCTAGACAAGAAATCATGGAGTGGATGCGGTGAACATATTCATGAAATTATGGACAGGACTTCAAAGGATGGATGGTGTACTTGTGAACCATTAGATGCTGAAGAAACCGTATACGTTGCTGGTCATGGTATATATCCTCCAAGAGCAGGTACAGGATTGAGAAGAGGAAGTACTGTCCACATAGCCACTACTCCACCAAGAGACTTTAGTAAACTCGCTGTTCTTTATTAAAGTTGATTGAAGGGCTAAGCTTTTGAGTGCATTTATTATTATGTTTTAATGATTTTTTTAGTTGGTTAGTTTACGTGCATATATATTGGTATTATTTTTATTAGAGTGGAAATACTTTTACATAGGTTATTCTGTATATTTTGTTAATCTTGTGTGATTTTAACGAAAGTTTGTATATTAGAAATGAATAAAAAGAAGATTTTTCTTATAGGATATTGACATTTTATGTCAAATTGAGGCTGTTGTTTTACTGTATTTTATTTTTAGGTTCTCCCCCGGGTTTATCAGTTTTATTTTTGTCTACTGATTATTTTTTTTCTTGCTCTTTTTTAAGATAAAGATCCCGAGACCATTTCAAAAAGTTCCCCACACCGAATTTCTAGAAATAGTACACACAATATCTTGAACGAATCTTCAAACTTTGTTGTATATCATTAATCATAGATATTTGCTAATGATTATAGAATAACAAGCTTGGTATAGTTTGATTTCAACAAAATATAGGAGCAGAGGAGGGTTCTGGTTTGTATAGGTGAGATATACGATTACCTCGGACATAAGATTTTTTTGTTGCATAGATCTACTTGACGATGGTGCAAGAGAAGTAAATTGAGAGATGGATCTCTCTCCCCCTCCTCTGGGGAAGATTGCATAAACATCCCCAGATTATCTAGAACTTTGAATCTCGTCCCCACATCCCCTTTTTTGTATAGAAGACAATGACTTTAGTCACATGCATGTCAAATATTTTCCTGCAGATGGTCAAATTGTTTGTATGGGTGACCCACAAATTCAAACGGTAGAATGATAAGGGCAAATCACCAGGTACTAATGTGTAAGGGAGGCGTATAATTTTGTTGGCTTTTTCCTTTGGTCTGATTAGTAACTTTGTTTTGAATTATAAAACCTAACAATGTGGCATTTTTTTGATCCTTGGGGCTCAAAATTATGACAGTTACGAACTATTAAGAAGGCTGACTAATTAACCAGTTTCTCGATTTTTCATTATATCTAAATCAGACAGACAAGATGTTGTCACTATCATTTTTTGATTACAAAGCAATCGATAGTAGTAGTAACTTACAAATACGGGGTACTAAAAGAAGAAGTGGAAGAGGAGTGTGAAAATAAAGTAAAGTGCGTCTTTAAATTACTTAAACCTTAAGTTTCGTTTTGTTGAAATTGCAAAAATATTAATGGCTTCTACGAAAAGGTATTTTCCCACACTAAAATATATAATCTTGCTGGAAAGGGAATTGAGATATTATATTTCTTAGGGCCATGTGCTATCAATTTAATCTTTATATAACAATCAAAGTCGCCAATCTATTTATGTCTAACAATAATAAAGATTTTGTATTAAATTATATTTTTTTTGGAGTTGGATGTATTGTTTATTCTCGCTTAAAACCAAAATTGTTACGTAAAAATTTATTTTGTTATTTTTAATTGTAAAATATTTTATTATTATGTGCATGACTTTTAATAAATTCTAAAAACAGAATCATTCAATTTTAAAATCTTTTTCAAAACCCAATTGGTGTTTAGTCAAAGATTATCAATTAACGTGTCAGTTTTGGATTTAGTACAATTGACGAATTTGTACTCAACAAAATTTTAGTATTGAATTCATCTAATGTGGAATTTCGCCCTCCACTACCCCAAATTTCTTTTATCGTTTCTATTGTTCGCGTTTGAAGCAATAATTATGCACGCAATTAAAGACATCTAAATAACCTGTAACACGCGATCTTATAAAATTGGAAATTGTAGAAGTGATTGTTGGTCACTTTCGTTTTCAATTAAGGTTTGCATACTAAGGGGGTGGGGAATTTATTTATTGGAAAGTCTGTTTTTTTAACAAAAAAAACTTATGATGGTTAATAATTTTGGTGTGCTTCTAGAATATGATTTCATTGTGTAGATTTTCTCGCTCTAAAAAAAAACAAAGCGAGACGAAAAACATAAAAATAAGGAAAATCAGTTTTTCCTACATTTAAACAAAGAAAACTCAAAAAAAAAAAACAACCTAAAACGTATTCTTCCTTTCTTTCTTTCTTCCTTCCTTTAATCTGGCGTCTATCAAATACACATTCCAAACTAAATCAAAATAAAATAAGAGACATTAAGCCTCACCATCATCAACACATTTAATTAAATAATTATTATCAAAATCATCTGTTCTTTTATTATTTTTTTTTTTTTGGGAATAACATTTTATTTTTTTATTGAATTTTTTTTTTTAATCACCTTATCCAGAAAGAAAAAGCAGTTCATCAATTTTTATATCTTTTATTGATTTCTTTATCCATTTTAGAAGAAGAATAAGAAGAAGACATATAACCAAATCAAAATCACAAATCACAAAAGCAAATTCCATACTCAAACAATACACCTAATCCCTCCCAAACGTAGACATCATTTTTATACACCCGCCAGTTCATCAACCAACCATTTTTCACCCATACTTTAAATTTTTTACATGTGTTTTCAAACAAACGGTTAGAATTATAGAAATCAATATACAAGCTTATATTTATACACAGTTAATACAATAGAGAGACAGACATACAGCGATAATAAAAGAAAACATAGAAACAAATGAATTACCCTGACTTTTTAAATCAACCAAGTCCGTCTGATAACTTTAAATCAAATGGACATAATTCTTATAACAACAACAATGGGGTGTCCCCGACAAATTCTATTGACGACTCAATTGGTAGCCAGCAGCAACAGCCACAACGTCAACGGCGCCAACAGCAACAGAACCAACAACAGCAACATTTTAATAATATGATATTTAACAATTTGTCAACTTTAGATGAATCTCACGCATCCATTGATTTAACCTCGCCACCACAACAACAAAATTATTATTCTCAATTTGGATATATAAATAAAGATGTATTCAATTTGCCACTTGAATTACAAGGAGGAGTATCTAATATCTCATCAAGAAGACCGAGCTATGCTGCAGAATCGTACACTAGAAGTAATGTACCTAATGTTTTCCCGCCTAATCAACCATCTCAAGCGGAACCTCCTGTACCTCAGACCGCTACATCCTCAACTTCAAGATTTTTCGGTCCAGGCACTTCACCTGCAACAACCAATAATTTCAATGATCCGAATACTATAAATATGAGTCAATTAGATGAAAGTTTTGCCAATTTTAGTTTAAATTCAAAATTGAATAGTTTTCAATCTCGAAGGCCAAGTCAATTAGTAGATGTTCCACCATTTAATCCATTTTACAATCAATTACCATTTAACCCTTCTTTTGTCCCTTTTCAAGAACAACAGCAAAAGAGACTGCCACTTTCTCAGAATGTTCCTTTGCCATATCAACAATCTCGTCAACATCAACAGCAACAGCAGCAGCAGCAGCAGCAACAACAACAAGATCAACAGCATCCGCAACAACAACAACAGATGCAACAACAACTGAATCTGCCCACTTTCCTGCAGACTTCAATGGCAAAGCCATCTTATCAAGTACAAGGAGGGCAACAACAAAAGGGTGGATCGCCAGGATCACAACTTGGTAGTTTACCTGCTGATGGATCAATTAAATTAGAAAATGGATTAATTTTGAAAGATAAATATATTGTTGCATCTCCGGATTTGAAATCACTTTATTTAAAGACTATTAAATATTTTCAAGATCCCAAGATTACTTCTGAAGCCTTGACAAGATTGAATGACTTATTACAAACCCCCGTGATAATTAAATTAATTACATTTATTAAAAATTTGAACAATTTGACATTTAATCATAAGATTCTTTGTCTTGTTATTAATAAAAATGGGAAATTTGATCTATTATCATATCCCAACAATTCCAATATTTTTTTGCAAAAGAATGATTTGGTAATTGTCGATGGAGACCGTGGTAAGGATTTAGTTATGATTGTTGAACCATTAGTGAATTTAAATTTTGCAATTTTATTTAATTTCTTGAAGAAATTAGAACATTTAAAAAGTTTAGCCATTCAAGATGGACAAGCATCTCCAACTTCTGCTGCTGCTGCTGGGAGCAAAGCCAGTGGAACTCATTCTACTTCATTAAATGCCTCGAGTATTATTAATTCCCATGCTAATGAAGATAATGAGTTTATTATCACCTTGCCTACTAAACAAGTTTTAAGATTCGCTACACCTAAAGAAGTACATAAAATAAGTGGGAAATTCCTTGAAGAAAAGAAAGCATTTATAGCGTGTTATAATAAGATTAAAGAACTTAATCTTGAATCTAATTTAACGTTAATCAATGTTGAATATCAAAGTGATTTTAAAAAGTTGATATTTTATTATTTTGCCGGATTTAAACGAATTGATTTCAGGGCATTGATTAAAGAACTTTTTAAGATTTATAAAACAAGAATTTGGCTTTGTGCAGTATTACCATATAACAATCCCGGTAGTTATATTACCATGGATGATAATGAACCAGCACCAGAAGTTAATAAGATGGATATTATCCCTCAGGAATATGAATTATCAAATGACCAAATATTGAATTTTTCCATAAATGAATTTGATAATTTAACTAAACCAAATTATTTCCATCTGGTGAATTTATTGAATTTGATTCATCATTTAGAGAATGAAATTAAGGGATACTTTTATGGATTTAATAACACTAATACAAAAAAATCCCCAGAAGAGTCAGGTTCAAGATGATCGGTTACTGAAGGAGAAAAGGGCTTATAATGTGGTATTGCCTGTTGATAGATTTATTATAAAAGAGAGAGAGATTTTACGAGATTCCCTAGAAATGAAAAGTAGATTAGAGAAGTGTCTACTTTGAGATATAGACAGATTTATATGAACAATTTTTTTTATTTTATTAATTGGTTTGTTTTTGACTTTATTAATTTATGTATTTATTCACCAAAAGAGAGAGAAAGAGATACCTTTGTTTTATTGTTTAGTATATGTGTGGTATTTTTGTTGTTTTTTATTATTATTTTTATGCCATGGGGGTGGATGATTGACTCCCATTTTAATTGCTTATTATATTATTTATTTTGATGTTTGTTAGTGTAATAATGTTTTATTATATAGTTCTTCTTTTTAGATTAATATACAAATTATATAGAATGTTTATTAGAGATTTGTTAGATAATTACTCTGTTTTTTTTGCAGCCAATGGAATATGGTTTGATTTTCTCTGATTTTAACCCTCCCTCGTATTTCTAAAATACTTAACCTTATGGATTTGCTCAAAACATCCATCCAGAGAAGTTGCAGCTCTATTCTGCCTGTTTGTACCTACCAAGAGTAGATTGGCTGATTCATTGAAGGGTTGTTGGGAGATAGTTTGATTTTAGTCATATTACACGACTTTTGGCAACCCCCTCTCATCTCCCAAATAACCGCAACTGATTTCTTCTTGTGCTGTAAGTTATCCAGTTGCATATGCTAAGGAATGTCGAAACGACCAAAGTCAATTGATGATTTGCTAAAAGACGATGAATTCAAAATCCCGAAATTCATCTCCAAAGAAAAGAGACAGAAATTGAAAGAACAAAAACAGCCATCGCTTCCAACCCCGAAACCAAAACCTAAGATCACCTATACCAACGAATCAGATGAAGACGAACAAGGCAGACCGGAAATACCGACACCCAAGTCCAGAAAGAATGGTCCTAGATTCCAATTTGGTTGGGATGAGACTGAAGATACAACATCCATACACACCCCATTAATTCTGCTTGATGATGATGATGGGGAATCTGAAGACGAAATAGATGATTTACCTTTAGAACTACATTGGAGTAGAAAACCACTTGAACAAATGAATCGGAGAGATTGGCGGATTTTCAAAGAAGACTTTAATATCACAACCAAAGGACAAGACATCCCTAATCCACTACGAACTTGGAAAGAAAGTAATCTATCACAGGAACTTATCGATTTAATAAACAAATTCGGATATGAGAATCCGACACCTGTGCAGAGAGCAACTATCCCATTATCATTGTCTAAAAGAGATGTCGTAGGTGTTGCCGAAACAGGGAGTGGGAAAACCCTTGCGTTTTTGATTCCATTGTTAAACTATCTCCTATCAGTAGATGAGAATTATCTTAAATTCGAGCATCATCAAGGAGCTAATCATAATCAACCTCTAGGATTGATACTTACTCCAACTAGAGAATTGGCTCAACAAATTACTCAAGTAGCGAATCAGTTTGGGAAAATATTGGGATTTAATGTGATTTGTATAATTGGTGGTCATGGATATCAAGAAACTATTAATCAAGTCGAAAATGGTGTGCATATAATCGTTGCAACTCCTGGAAGGTTAGTAGACTCTATTGAAAGGAATATTATTGGATTGAGCAAATGTTGGTATTTCATTATGGACGAAGCTGATAGAATGATAGATATGGGGTTCGAAAAGGATTTGAATACGATTATTGGTGCATTACCAAGCAATGAGAAATTGTCAACTACTATAGATGGCCGAATTTTCAATGTGACCAAAAGACAAACTATGATGTTTACTGCTACTATTTCTCCTCAGATTGAGAAAATCACTAAGAATTATTTGATCGATCCAGGATATATCTATATTGGAGGTGCTGGCGAAGCATTAGATCATATTGATCAAAAGTTTGAATATATGACTAATACTCCTAATGAAGATTTTGATCGTGTAAGGTTTGATAAGTTGTTGAAAATTATATCGAGACATATTCAAAACACTCGAAATCCTTTAATTATCATATTTGCAAACTTTAAACAAACTTGTGATGTTCTTTCGCAAGAATTAGCAGAGAATGGATATAAAGACAATACCGCTATTCATGGATCTAAATCTCAAGATATTCGAGAACTGGCAATTCAAAAATTCCGTCGTCATGAGATTAGAATATTGATAGCAACGGATGTTGCGGCAAGAGGAATTGATATACCGAATGTCACACTAGTAATTAATTTCCAGATGACAAAGAAATTTGATGAATATATTCATAGAATAGGTAGAACTGGTCGTGCTGGAAACGAGGGTGCCAGTGTTACATTTATTTCCAAAGAGGAAGATGAACAGATATTTATTCCGTTAAAGAAATTCTTGGTGAAGGGTGGGAAACGATTACCTGAATGGTTGTACAGTTATAAATCTCAAACAATGCGAGATTGAATATATAATAAATAGGATATTATGGACTATAAATCCACGTATGATTTCTCTATTGTTTCATTAATCTTTTAGTTCTTTCTACCAATTCCAAGATTTGATGAATGTTAGGATAATGACCCCAGTCATATTGTAATGCTTGAGTCACTCTAACACCTAATTGATCAGCGAATTCCCAAACCAACCCAGGATTCTTTAAGAATCCTTTCCCAATTAATGCCAAATCAAAATCACCGTTCTTTATATATCCATTCAAAGTTACTGCATCCTTAGATAAGTCTCCAACGCAAGCAACTGCGGCTCTGTCACCTACGTGTTTCTTAATAGCTCTAGCGATTGGGAGATGAGGAGGTAAATCGGGATCTTCATTCAATTGAGTTCTAGGGGTTTGATTATATACATTCCCACCAGAAGAAACATCGATCAATTTAATACCTTTTTCAATAACGATATCGATCAACTTTAAAGAATCCTCAAGATGCCAAACATTATCTTCTTTGACATTGTCTGAAGAGGAAATTCTCAAGAAGAGTGGAATATCTTCTGGAATATTGGCTTGTATTTCATCTATAATTTCCAACAAGAATCTGATTCTGTTTTCATAACTTCCACCATATTCATCCGTTCTGCGGTTTGAGAATTGACTATAGAATTGATGGATTAAATAACCATGAGCCCCATGAATTTCGATGGCATCAAAACCACATATCTCAATTGCTCTCTTTGCTGCAGCACCAAAATCTTTAATGATTCTTCTGATGTCTTCTTTGGATAATTCTTGAGGAACGGGTAAGTTTCCATGTGGTCTATATTCAATTGCAGAAGGAGCAACTGTCTTACCTGGCCAACCACCTACACTCTCATCTGCAACTTGCTCTAAATGTAAATAAGGGGGTTGTCCACTTGCTTTCCTTCCACCATGCCCCAATTGAATAGCACATAATTGTCCTTGAGAATGGATAAACTTAACAATATCCCTAATCTTTTCAGCTTGTCTATCTGTCCAAAGACCTAAATCACGAGGAGATAATCCTCCTTCTTGAGAAACGGAGGTACTTTCCACAATAATCAATCCGGCTCCACGTACCGCGATTGCACCATAATGTACCATATGAAATGGAGTCACTTCGAAATTATCAGATGAGTACATACACATTGGAGATACTGCCATACGGTTCTGTAAAGTGAGTTTACCAATCTTTAAAGGAGTGAAAATTGGTGGTGGTGTAACATCTTCGGAGTCGTTCTCATTGGGGATAAAGGTTCCCGCAGGTATTGGCTGTGCTGGGGTATAATAGGGAACGCCCTTTGCGCCATCGATTGAATCAGATGGTTTGACGTGCTTTGAAACGGTCATTTTTATAACTCAAAACAATGGAATAAGAAGAGATTATTTGAAAAATTTAGAATTTCTTGAGAAGAGAGAAATTGTGAAAAATAAATCATGTTATGATATTTTTTTAGTTAGGTGGGGGGAATACAATTTCGGAGATGCATTCCGATAAGTGAACGGATCTATATTTTTGTGTAACAATTGAAGATTAATGATGCTTTTGTTGCAAGCTAAGTGTTGTCCGATTGAGAAGTCATGTCAAGGTAGTTGGTTTCCACATGCTATTTTAGCTCAGTTTTCAAAAAAACGTACTTCTCCAAAATGTCATTTTCGCTATATACTACGGTATCTAGTTATCTTCATCACTTGAAGTGTATCCTCCGAAAACACTAGCTAGTGTGCTTGTACTGTTTTCTTTGGTTGCCAGGCTCTGTATTATTAATTTTCCTTTCAATTTGGCCAATTCCTTCAAAGTAGAATCGCTAAATATATAATTTCGATTCTTCTCAATTGGAGCATCCGCGTATGTCTGGATCTGCTTTACCTGATGCTCAAGCTTCTCAGGTTCTGACTCTTCTTCTGGCTCTATAATAGTGACCTTTCGTTTCTTAGACACGCTACTTTCTACGTCACTTTCCTTAAGTAAATTCTTTACAGTACTTAATGCGATCTCTTCTAATCTTCTTTTCTCAGCCCTTTGAGCTTGAGGATTAGGATCTTCACTTGCCCATCGTATATACAAGACCTCGTTTCCTCCTAATGATTGATTCTGCATTGCTTCTTTAACAAATTGAGCTTGACTTTCTAACCTCATCGTAACGAATGCACAAGATTTATTACCCAATACTTTGACTTTTTCAATTTCCCCAAACTCCAGAAAATACTTTGATATTATTTCCTCGATTCCTGGTTTCATATGTAGACCACCTACATACAATGTTCTATTAACTTTATTAAACGATCCAACTCCATCCATATCATCTCTATAATCAGCTGTTTTATCCCTTCCGAAACAATCTTGCGTCCTGGGGAATGAATCAGTCTCCAATGGCAAACGATGGAAATACGGACATTTCTTTCCTCGATAACAACATCCACGACTGAAAAATAAACAAATTGGAGCAGGTCTAGTTGCTCGTGTATAACCTGTATCTTTCGCTATATTTACTTTGAACTTCAGTTTAGTGTATGAACGTGATGATGAATCTCCTCCTGACCATTTAAGATACCATATATTGAATGTGTTCCCCAGTTGAGGTGGTTTATCATCGTCAGGTATAGTATCAGGGTCCACCTGTAGTCTCGCTGGCTTTGACATTGGATCTGCTTGTTTGATGATTGGACCTGCTGACATTATTGTTCTTGTTCTGGAAGTAGCTAGGGAAGCAAATGGATTCCAATGTGTAGTCTGATGAGATGATTTGTTGAAATTTATAATTTCATGCTTCAGTTTGCGACATCGAAAAAAAATAATGGTTCAGATTTACTTTGCTGCAAAAAATACACATGTAATGGAATACCAGATGGTCTTGGTCTTACGGTGACTAGGTACTCATTACTATAAAACTGTAAACTCACTTATTTTATCTTTACTTGCAATTATACTAAACAATACAAATTCTCTATAGAAATCAGAAGAAACTATTTAATAATATGAAATACTCACAATTTTGTATAATTACCCTACAAGGAACCACCAAAAATAAAGGAAACAGCTATTAAACCGACAACTCCTGCTGATTTCTTCCAGTTCCCAGGTTGGTATATAATACCATCTGCAGCATTTTTGGTGGTCTCGCTACTTGTAGTCGTCGAATGGGTAGTCGTCGATGAAGATGCGGTTTCTGTCTTGGAACTAGCAGCTGATGTGGTTTCTGCCTTGGAACTAGCAGCTGCTGCACCAGCAGAGTCTGCTGCAGATTTTAATGACTCGGCAGCGGATGTGACTTTAGAAACAGCAGCACCACCAGCAGATGTTACTTTATCTGCCGCAGCATCTGCCGCCGACGTTATCGTATTGATCACTCCAGGAGCAGCTGATTTAGCTTTGGAAGCAGCGGCCCCACCTGCAGAAGTAACAGCAGAAGCAACGTCTCCCCCCAAAGAGGTTGCTTTATGAGCACCTTCGACTGCGGCAGAAGTAACAGCAGAAGCAACATCTCCCCCTAAAGAAGTTGCTTTATGAGCACCTTCGACTGCTGCAGAAGTTGCCTTTTCGAAACCTTCAACAGCAGCTGAAGTCACTGTATTAAGGATACCAGGAGCTGCAGAGGCAGCATTGTCTGCTACACTTTGGATTTGAGATCCGGCATTGTTAGCAAGATTTGCTGCTGCGGAGACTACGTCACTTAATCCGTCTCTGGCTTGGAGATTGTTGTGAAATTTAGCAGGGAGTGGACTTGGCATGTTTATATTGTGGATATTCTTTGAATGGTTAAAAAAGTTGGAAAGAATTCAAACTCACTAGGGCATCGAGGGCTATTTATAAGTTTCATTTTGATATTGTGGCTATACAAACAAATTAAGGTTTTGTGACGAAAGTAGATCCAGTTATTGTTCTTTTGTTTTGCAGCTGAAATTCATTTTTAGTTCACTACCGCGTCCCCAGATCTCACAATTAGTTACCATCCTGCAATTTAATCTAATTCTGCATCTGTTTATTGCAATCCTCGAGGTAGCGATAAGCATGGAGAGTACCTTGACCTAGAATACCAGGTGCTATTTTGCTTACAAGTTGTAAAAACTTCGAGAAATTTGTGGCATTCGGGTAATCCACAACTGGAAAAAAAGCCTTTGTTCCAGGTCACTATTCATGTCGTACAGCCTCCATCGTTCCATGTTACATGTACGCGTAATTCGCCACCTCAATCAGATGCCAAAAATAAACTAAGTCATTCCATAGTCTGGAGATCCATTGTAGTACATCGTTTTAAGCCAAAGCCTTGTTTCAGACCCCTTTTTAGTAATATTCCTTGTGAACCATTTCATATTTTTCGATGTATCTAAATAAACCGATCTCCCCGTGAAAAAACAGGTCATAAGACACGTCAACGACATATTGGATATTCGAAAGTATCTTATTTATTAGAATAGAACACCAATCTGGAGAAAAACTGAGTATTTGTTTAATCACAGGTACAAACCCATAAATTTGGCGGTATAACTTGCTGAATATTTTTTTTCATTCCAGCTTTGGACAGTTACCGGTACATGCACATTTGATCTAGTTGAGAATGACCATATTGAGATCTATCCTCATTTGGTCCTATCTTCATAACCGAGTGGTTTGTATGGTAGTTTAATTTCAAAAGATACAATTTTGACTGATATTTAACAAGCCTTTAAAATGTCAATTTGTTGCGCCAAGACGTTCCTTGCGCGGCGCATTTCGAATTCCCTAAATATGATAAAAATAGCCGTTGCGCTTAAATAGGAAGTTAGTTGCGGGGACCAGTAATTTAGATTGGAAAATTGCGAATCAATTGTATAAATTGGACAATAGATCTCCTTTTGAAAATTTAAACTATACTCTCCACAACAACCCCATAGTTAATTACTACAGAAATACAATATATCAAAATGTGTGGATCAAACAAGACAGCTACTACTACTACTACTACTACTACTGCTACTGCTTCTTCTTCTTCTTCAGAAAAATCTTCATGCGGCTGCGGTTCTAGATGTCAATGTGGAACAGGATGTAGTTGTGCATCTTGTAATACTACAAAGTTGTAATGAAACGAAATTAAATACAAATAATATATGATAAGGATTCAAAGGTTAGAGGATGTGTAAATTAGGTTTTATTTATAGTTAATATATGCAAAATTTTGGAAATTTTCAGTCTGTATTGAATCATGTAGTCAGCAAGAAAGTGATAATTTTCATTGGCTAGAAACTCATTCAACCACAAATACCTCTTCACTCGATATACTACACAATTGTCAACCTCTTCAAAGTATTGGCGCGTTATCGAATATTCGTAGCATATTGAAATTGGTTCTTTCGGGGGTGATCTTCTGCAAAGACCAGACGTTCCCATTTCCACGGCTTTTTGGGAAGCTGGCGGGTCTGTGCGCATCTGTTATGCGTCGGGTTTTGAAAACATTTGTGCCCGCAATATTTCCCCACTCATAAAAAATTGAACGATAAACTTCGCGATCTTCGATCCAAAAAAAAATTTGCAACCGAGGCATACACGGATAAATAGAGTAAATAAAATCTACAACGGTTATTCAAATAATAAACTTCATTGAAAAACTCATAAACAAGAACTAAATAACAATCAAAAAACTATAAAATCTTTAATTTACTTTCTTGGTGATAATTCTAAAACTTCCTTCTTAATAAGAGCACTTAAGTCAGGATGAACTCTACCGAAATATTCAAATACACGATCTTGAATTTGTGGATTTGCGCCAGCAACATGAACAGCAACATTATGAGCTAAATGTTCTTGTTGATTAGGATATCTCTTCAAAACATGCCATAAAGCAGTAGCTTGGTCGAAATCATTTTCAGTACATTTCCAGTGGAATGGAGTAGCAGCACCTTCCCAAATTTCTTGCTCTTCTTGTAATGAAAATTGTTTAAATTCAAGTGGTTTGTCAGAAGCTAAATAGTTTGGACAAGCACCCAAGTTACCATTAATATTCATATGACCATCACGTTGATGTGGGTTGAAAACAGCACCGGTGACTGGACAATTGACTGGGATTTGAGTGTAGTTAGTACCCAATCTGTGTCTATGAGTATCAGAGTACGAGAATAATCTGGATTGTAAGACTGGATCAGCGGATGGTTCCATGTATGGGACAGTGTGAGCTGGAGAGAAAGCAGCTTGTTCAACTTCAGCAAAATAATTCTTTGGGTTTTCATTAAGGGTGAATCTACCAAATCTTCTCATTGGATAATCCTTGTGAGGCCAAACTTTAGTTAAATCAAATACAGAGAATGGAGCTTGTTTAGCTTGTTCTTGAGTCATGGTTTGAATATAACAGGTCCAAGATGGGAAATTACCAGCAGCAATATTCTTGAATAAATCTTCTTGAGCATAGTCTGGGTTAGATCCAGCTAATGCACCGGCTTCTTCAACAGATAAGGTCTTAATACCTTGGTCACTGATGAAATGAACTTGGACATAGTGCCATTCACCCTTCTTGTTGGCCCATTTATAGGTGTGACCAGAATAACCATTCATTTCTCTATAAGAAGCTGGAGTACCTCTATCAGAGAATAAAATCATAACTTGGTGAGTAGATTCTGGGTTGGAAGTTAAGTAATCCCAAAACATATCTGGATCCTTCAAGTGAGTTTCTGGGTTTCTCTTTTGGGTATGGATAAAGTGAGGGAATTTAGATGGATCTCTAATGAAGAAAATTGGAGTGTTGTTGTAAACTAAATCCAAGTTACCTTCTTCGGTATAGAACTTAGTAGCAAAACCTCTTGGATCTCTTGCGGTATCAGCAGAACCAGCTTCACCACCAACAGTGGAGAATCTTGTGAAAATCTTAGTCTTCTTACCAACAGTGTCTAAAAAGGCGGAACCACAAACATCGGTGATATCATCAGTAACTTCAAAGACACCATAAGCACCAGAACCTTTCGCGTGGACAACTCTTTCTGGAATTCTTTCTCTGTCAAAATGAGCTAAAGAATCAATCAAGTTGAAATCTTGTAATAATAATGGACCATGTTTACCAACTCTTTGAGTAGCAAATGGTTCTGGGATTGGTTGACCGTTTGAATTAGTGAATACTGGAGCCATTGTATGTGTGTAATGTGTTAATTAATGAAGAAAGAATAATATAGAAGAAAAGGAAAAGGGTAAAAATTAAAATTGCTAATTCAAGAGGAGAGAGCCAGATGATTGTCTATTTATATTCCGCACTCTCTGAAAAATATTTGATAGAAGAATTAAAAAAAAAAAGTAAAAAAATAATTTTTCCTTGTGATTAGAATTAGCGGGGTGTGTGGATATTTAACTTTAACAATTGCTAAGCAAGCTGTGGGTCCAGAATGTTTTGAATAGGGTTATTACAATAANAACAATTGCTAAGCAAGCTGTGGGTCCAGAATGTTTTGAATAGGGTTATTACAATAATGTATCCTTGGTAACCACCCAATGGTAATAGGGGATATTACTAAGACCTGTTGTGGTCCCCAAGACAATTAGACCTAAAGGATTACAAACTTTCAAATCGAACAATTTAAGTAAAACTTTAAGGAAGCTATACTCTAACTGATGAAACGCGTAGAAGCGGCAGTCATTGAATAATTTCGAAAGAGAGAAGAGATCATAACAGCAAAATCAACTGATTTTCTGTTGAAGGTATGACTGTTTGCATTAAACGTCATATAAGAGAGAACAATCAATTGAAGTCATTCTGCAGCTATAAGTGATGACCTTAGTTATCTAATTATTACCATTTACTGTTTGTTTATTGGGTGGAAATTAGGGGGGCAAGATTAATTGTTCTTTTTTTTCCGGGGAAACAAAATTTGTCATCTGAAAATTTATTCTAGCCTCGGGACAATCGCATACCAACTCCGACAACATGGTTACATACATTTATTGTTTTATTCAAAATAGCGATAAGTCCGTGTCTGGACCTCGTCCAGATTAGTTATCCAGTTATACAATAGAGTGTTAATTTGATGGGTTAGTTTATTCATTCATGATATTAGGGCCACGTAATAAGATATAATAAAATAATTTCATCTTAATACGTCATCAGTCATCTGCTTCTCGACCTTTTTCAAAATTACATGACTTTTCCCACCCTCTCCCAAATCTTGTAAAAATAATAATTAATAAATAGATTGATCATCTAGATAATCTTAAACGCTTTCACTCACTTGAATTGCATAGCAACTATAGAATAAGTTGAGTTTTATATGAAGATTTCGAGTTTGCCACAGTTTTTTGCGGGTCCTTCCCAATTCGGTAGTAACCTTATTTTTATTCCTCGGTCTTTTTTTTCAGGCAGTTTTACCGTCGGTGCTTTAATCCCAAGAAACGGTTAAATCAAAAAGAAATGAATGAAATTTGAACTCAATTGGCTAATTATTCAATGTAAGGTTGCTCAAACGTGTGAGACTACCTGTTTCCACTCCTCCTTTCTATGTGAACCAATTGTATAGAAACGTTTGTTTTGGCCCAGCCGTAGAATATGGCACCCTCGATTTTACTCTGAATTGCTTGCTCTTTCTATATCGGATTTATATACCCATCCACCCGAAACAAGCTGGAGCGCTAATTTACTTTGACCGTACATACAAGAAAATTATTATTCAATTTCAAAATGACTGTTACAAACAAGTTGCAACATGAATTGATAAGACTCTGAATTATAAATATATATTTTTTATCGTTATATTTCATATAATATATACAGTTAATTACAAACTACGTAATATCACTCTTTCTTTATGGGTTTTGCTTAACAAATTCAACACCCTTCTTAATGTTACCAATCAAGGTTTCCTTAGCAGCCTTAACTAATTCTTCTTCGTAATCAGATAATTGACCTAAACCATGAACAGTTTTAACACCTTCTGGACCTAAGGTAACCTTAGAAGAGAAGAAGTCAACACCTTCATCCTTGAATAATGGAGAGTCAACAAAAGTACATTCAATGACATCACGTTCACCGGCTAAACCATCTAAAACGGAACCAGCAAATCTGGCACCGGCTTGAGCCATGGATAAAGTGGCAGAACCAGCACCATCCTTAGCCTTGACAACTTCATCACCACCAAATTGAATTCTGTGAACTAAAGCATCTCTGGTTTCTGGAGCTAAGTCCTTGTGAACAGTTTGAGATAATAATGGAATAATGGTAATACCAGAGTGACCACCGACAACGGTAACCTTTTCATTAACTGGGTTAGTACCAGCAACTTCAGAAACAAATCTAGAAGCTCTCAAGACATCTAAAGTGGTAACACCAAATAATTTCTTTGGATTGTAAACACCCTTTGACTTGTAAACTTCGGCAACAATTGGAACAGTAGAGTTAACTGGGTTGGAGATAATACAGATAGCAGCATTTGGAGCATAATCAGCAGCAGCCTTAGCTAAATCTCTAACAATTGAGGCATTGGTGTTGAATAAATCATCTCTAGTCATACCTGGCTTTCTTGGAACACCAGCTGGGATAACAATAACATCAGAACCAGTTAAAGCTTCCTTTAATTGATCTGGGTTGTAACCCTTAACAGTTGAGTTGGTTGGGATGTGGGAAACATCAGCACCAACACCTGGAGCACCTCTGATATCGTATAATGCTAAATCAGTAACCTTGTTGTTTAACTTTAATAATAAGGATAATGGTTGACCAATACCACCACCAGCACCTAAAACGGCAACTTTGTAAGCGTTGGAAGCAGAGGATGAGAATGATCTAGTGGCAATTTTAGAAAGCATTGTAAGTGATTTTTTAGTAATTGATGTTACTGAAGAAAGAAAGAGAAGAATAAAATGAAATTGAAAAATTAACAGGGTGGGAGAAATTTGAAATCTTTTATAAAGAAAATCAGGAGCTAAAGCGCCAAACTCCAGATTTGAACATTGGAAAATTTTCGGAGCTTTGGAACAATAAAAAAATTTTCAAAGGTTTTAATTTTGACCAATTAAATTAAAGAATTTCCTGTTGATAAAAAGCCAAATATTTCACACCACAATTAAATCAAATCAAATTGACATGTCAATTGCAAAGGTAATTTTTACCCAATTCTTTTGTATACAACTAAGATGACTCGTATATATGTCTTCTCAAGTTTCCGGAGTCCATTTTCAGTTCAGCGTATGTTATATAACTGTTCCTTTTGCTCTTAGTTTCGATAGAGTTTTTCACTTTGTTGGAAGACTCAAGTGTCAAAAAAAATTTTGGAGCCGAAATCATGCCGGATTTATCCGAAATCAAAATATCTCAATCTCAAACCCTTGGATAATCACATTCTATTTATATATTCTATACCGACATTTGGAATACTCCATTGAAGTTAATGAGACTCAATTCTACTACATTTGTCGACCCCATACATTTACCAAATGACTTCTCTGCTGAAGTGCCGGTTAAACCGATGACTGAGCCATGAGCATTCTTAAACCACAAACCCAGCTTTCATCAGATCCTGGTATCGCGCAGATAATATTCCTCGGTTATTCTGCCTAAGAAATAGCTTCCTTTGTCAATTTTGTCGATTTTTCATTCTTCTAGATTGTCAACCACATTGAAGAATTTAGCTTTGGGGAAACTAGAATAGTGTTTCAATCAAAGTATTGAGACATCTAAGAAGCTATTGCTTAAAACCAGAGAATCGCATTATTCTGTTGTTTTTGTCAGCATGGATTTATTAACCTTACATATTTCTATACATGATTGGGGAAAGTACAAATATACAACTATAACCATTTTTAAATATATTGTATTGCATTTGAATTTAGATGCCAACTTTTCGGAACAACAAAGTCCATTTAAAGTAGATTTTAGTTTTATAGATTGTTCTTATTATTCAATAGCATGCATGGAAATTAGGGTTTTAATAAAATTGTTTATAAGCAATGTGTTGAAAGATAATCAGAAAGAAGAAGATGAGACTATCTTTGGTTAAAAGATTGTAACAGTCACCTTACTAACGGTATCTTTGGTTGCCAAAAAACAGTTGCGATTTATAGGCGAAAATTTAATCTATGGTGCGCTACCATGTATAAGAAAGAAAAAAAACAAGAGATTCCCATCAAGTAAACATTGAATCTTGAAAGTAGTTTTAGTCATCTTCTCTCTATCAAATAACCAAGATGTCTGATAAACCACAGCTAGCTGAAAAGCATTCAATGGATATTCCCCATGTGACATCCATTGAATTCCCTTTAAATGTAAAAAATCCAGAACGGGCAATTTCCATGATTGGTGGGAAACAAAAAATAACGAAAGCCATCAATGCCCAACCAGTCAATACTAGACTTAACTTATCGATGGAAAACACCCTTGAATTGCGATTAAGGAATGATCCATTCCATCATCCGATTCAATCACTGATGACTAATGATGAAAGGATATTAATGAAGGTATCTATACCTAAAAATAGCTTACCTCCAGATTATTATGAAAATCCCCAGAAATATTCCATTAAGGAATTATTGGAAAGGAATGAACGAAATAAACGGACTCCAAAGGCTAGGGTACAACCTGTCGCTATCATTGATAGAATATATCTGTTTAAAGCCATTGCTGATTTTCAAATCTCAACTAAGAATAATAAATTTGTTCAAGATTTTAATAATTCGGTACTTAATGGGAAAAGTTATGCTAGTGTAAGTAATTATATGAACAGCAATAAGAATTTTATTGGATTGGATGATTATAAGGATGAACATTATGTTGACAATACTGATCATCAATTCCCTCCTCCACCTGTACTTTCACCGATTAGGTTCCCATTTGATTATAGATATCAAAAGAACCCATTAACCACTGCCGTCAAGGATCTAGAAAGTGGAGAAATCAAAGTTGTTCCAACAAGAGATAGACTTCGATTATATACAAAAATGATTGAATATCATAAAACAGAAATCCCAACTGAAGCAGCCCCTGAATTAATTGAAAACTTAAAGAATTTAAGAAAAAGAAAACTACCTTCAAATAGTCCTGATTTAGGGTTATTACAATGCATAGATATATTGAATGAATTATTTGAGACTAAACCAATATGGTTGAGAAAACAATTACGAGATATTGTTCCTGACGATTTAGGTAAATATATCAAATTAGCCCTTCCCTATATTTCATATATTTATAAAAGTGGACCTTGGAGATTTTGTAATATTAAATTTGGGTATAATCCAAAAAATGATCCTACTTACTGGATCCATCAAAGTGAATATTTCCGTATCCCAGGATTAAATTTCTCTTCCGCCAGTAGAGATATCAGTAAGAAAATAGTTCCTCAAACTATCATTGAGACCAATAAACAAAATAATAAAACTGGTAAAAACGCAAAAGAATATGAAATTCCAGAACATATGTTTTTCAATGGTGTTACATTGCCTTCCACCGTGACGTATCAAATTGGAGATATTTTGGATTTGGATATTAACACAATTATCGAAGATCATAGGCAACACATGGGTTCCGATTTCCTACGTGAAACATGTGATTTCCAAGATGGTTGGATAAATAGACAGACTATGGAAGTTATTAGACGGATTATTAGATATAAATTGAATAGAATGGTAAAGGAAGAACCTATTGATCAAAACAAGATCTATAAGATTATTAATACAGATTATGTCGTGGCTGAAGAAGAAGTTAAGGAAGATGAGGATGAGGCTGAAGGAGAAGGGGATGAGGCAGAAGATGTTGAAATGGAAGGAGATGATGATGATATTGATGTAGAAGTTCAGGAAGAAGCGTTGAATGAGGAAGAAGATGAGGATGTCAATATGACTGTGGATGAAACTGGCGTTTTGAATAAACTTGATCAGTTAAGTATTGATGCTTCTAAAAAGTTGAGCAATTTGATTGGGTTTATTAAACAGGATACATTAGAATCGTAAAGATTGGATGCAAAAAAAATTAGACACTGAAAAATTATAGGCGATACTCAAAATCAGGGATTTCTGATTTCTCTTAATTCGTATTTGATAGTTAGAGTCTCTTTCAATAAACCATAGTGACTGGAATAAAGACGAAGCTTCTTCTTCGCTTGTTTCCCCCTGGCAGAGAACACTCTAATCTTTACTATTTCTTAGTGGTTTATGTATTTTATTTTTTCTCGCGCTAATTATAAATACATTTGCCATAAAAATGAAAAATTCAGAACACGTCAAAAAAACTCAGACTCTCTGAAATTATACTTATTCTTTATTACCCCCTTAGAACAAACAAATCATAATGACTAAAGCAACAGAGACAGGATTGACCTTATTCGCTATATCAGCCATATATTATGCCTTATGGACTAAACTTATACCAATTCCTGAATTATTACATGAAGAAATTCTTCCATATTTACCATGGTGGGCATTAGTTTCATTTGGAGCATATGCTTTGGCTACATTAGGTTGGGGTATTGTTACATTCAAAGATAAGGAAGATAAATACAAAGAATTGGTTGGACAGATTGAAGAAGCTAAAGGTTTTTATAAATCAAAGGGAATTGAGTTAGATTAAATTAGTTGATTAATGTTTATAAATGGTTTTAAACAATGTATGAAAATACCTATCCAATGAAATAAATAATTGGTAACATAAATTTGTTACACTTTGTAAACTATAAATAATGAAAATAATGATGTAAAATCCCAGAGGGAAGTGTTTATGCTGTTGCTTGAGGTCTTGGAGGATTTTGAGTCACGTGTGGAGGAGTAGGTATGCTAGATGTATTTAATTCAGAGGCACCAGCTCTTGCCAATCTCTTTTCCTTAAGCTTCTTTTCAACCTCAGCAAAGACTCTAATGGCAACTGGTACACCTCCCCAACTATCGTCTTCATCACTGGTTCTACTTGCTTCCTCTTGCTCTTCTTTCAATTCAGCTTCAGATTTATGCATAATTGATTCTGGATAATTTTCTCTCTTTAAATATTTTAAAGGAGCATGGAAATTTTCTGGCCATCTTCCACCTGCTTTTACTAATTCTTTTGCAGCTAATATTCTCTTATCATTCCATTCTTTAAGATCTTCATCAAACATTTCCCAAACACAATTGATACAACCACTCATACAACAATTGTCAGGTTCTGGTGGTCTGGCAGGGACGTCGATGCCGGCAATTGTCGTCCCTTCTCCTCGAGTTATTCTACTTGATGAAACACGAGCTTCACCTTTAATTCTACCACCAAATATCTTTGCAATCTTTTCTTCTGGAGTTAATGAATTATCAATTGAATAATTACCTTCAAATGTTGTCTTCGTTTTCTTTTTCAATGCTTCATATTCTCTGGTAGACATTAAACTTGCTTCAATTGGATGGGTTGGATGTGATGATGTACGCATCACAAGATCGTAGAATTTATATTTCTTACCTGCATTAGGATCACGTACTGGAACCGGTCTATGACTGATGGTTGATTGAAATCTCTTGATAGTAGTTCGACTTATCATATTGACATGTGTGAATACCTTTTGGTTTGATGTATGAGCGAATGGTCTAAAGAAATGAATGTAACTTTCACTTTGCTTACAAATGACAATCAAATTTCAGATATTAAATAACTGTAAGATGTTGCACGAAAAAAGCAAATCTCCACTCTAGATCGCTCGTAAGAGAATGGATGATTAATAGAAAAAGAAATTGCAGCGAATGTTCATAACCAATGAGGGCCCGAAGAAGGAACCGAAAAAAATGACACATTATCTATATGCAGGTAGATAAAATTTTCTATACATTATGTATTCCAATGGTCTTCAATGCTTCATCAATGCTCAAGAAGAACCCATCTCCTAATCCAGAGGCAGACCATGCTAAGTCAGTAGAAGAAGCGTTTCTGCTACTCCTTGAAGAATATGAGTGGTAGGACTTATTGATCAATTGAGCAATACCTGATGTTTTGAGTTTTTGGCGACAGGCTTTATTAGTTGACATTCTGGCAAAACATACTGGGATCTGATCTTCTTCAATATATCTCTTGATAATTTCATATAATACTTGAGTTGCTGAAGAATCTATAGCATTCATTCCTTTACAATCTATTATTATAAATTTGATAGATTTATAATCACGGGTTCTAGGTTGTGAAGGATGGATTAATAACGATCCATATCTTTCAATCCTAGCTAATTTATTCTTCAAATCACCGACATTGGCAAAGTTTAATGGTTCTGGAATCTTGATTATCAATACGCCTTCAATATCTTCAATCTCAGCAATCAAATTCGAAAGTTTATGCTCGATCCGGGTATGAGGAAGACTACGAAGACCGTCGCCATAGTCATCATCTTCTTCCTCTTCTTCTGAATTTTCCAAGGTGTCTTCTCTTTGGAAAGTAGTAAAGCTCTCTTCAATTAATGCGTCTGCATCCCTAAAAACAGCAGTATTGGGAATCCTGCCCAATATTTGTATTCTAGATCTCGTGCTGTGTTTAATCACCCTTGCCACTGCGACAAGTACACCTAATGTAACCCCAGCTTCTGCACTCCAAAGAATAGCTCCGCTAAATATCATCAAAAACGTAAACATCTCATCATATCCTCCAATACTCCAGAAGAAACTTAAATCTGCAGGAACCTCTTGTAACACAGTTATACCGACTATTGTAGTAGTCAATGCCAAAACACATTCTGGAAGATAATAAATAAATTGTAATAAATAAAGTACTGTGAATACACTTACAACACTCATAATGATACCAGCCATTGGCGTTGTAGCTCCGGCAAGAATGTTGATCTTTGATCTTCCAAGGGCACCAAATGACGGTAATCCACTGAATAATCCAATTATAAAGTTGATTATTCCGAGCGCTACTAATTCACGATTCGAACTTACATTGTAGTTGTATTTTGCTCCTAGTGCTTTGACTGCTGTTGTTGAATCGAAATATCCTAAGATTGTGCATAAAAATGATGTGGTGAATGTATGTTTATATACGTTTATTCTCGACCATTGAAAAGGGTTTTGTAAACCAAAGGATGAATGTGGAAGCTTTATATCTCCAACAATTTTAACTCCACCTTCAGTATGCCATCCATAACACCAGCTTAAAAAAGTTCCAAAACTAACCATTAATAATAATTCCGGGAAATAGATTGCCAGTCTCCATTTATATTTATTATATAATGCATTCTTCAAGGACCGTATAGACAAAACTATCCCCAATATCACCACCGCAATCGTGGTAGTTAATTTATGTGCTTTATCATAATTTTTAAATGCAAAAATCAACTTATCAACGGTCGTTATATGTGGTTGCTTCATACTCAATTCTTCCAACCCCATCTCAGTACTAAATTGATTTATAATCATAATCACCCCCATTGCAGCCACAAACCCCTTTAATAATGCTCGACTTAGGACATTATCCAAATATCCCATTCTACAAATCCCACATGCTAACAAAACCCCACTTAAACTAAATGTCAAAAATGATGAAATTTCCAATGCTGATAAATCAGAAAATTTCAGTTCATGATGAATTAATTCTATAACTTGTCCATAAATAATCGCAGTCGATGGTGATGGTCCAACGATTAAAATAGGGACTGATCCAAAGATAGCGTAGATACTCGACCCGATAATCATACCATAAAGACCACAAATGGGAGGTAAATGAGCCAATGAGCTTGCAATTGACATAACTAATGGGATCTGGAATGAAGCAAGGGATAATCCAGCCAATGCGTCTCCAATTAGGGCCGTCTTGGGTGAATATTTAGGTAACCAGTTAAGAATCGGGATATAATATGCCAAATATGCATATAGGTCAAATTTTCTCTTTTGATGATCATGCGGCTCACCATCTTCGTTTAATTTCTTATATAAATCAAAATCAAGAATCGAGAGTGTATCATTATTGTGTTGATGCTTGTGATAGGAATCAAATTCGGTCCCACTTGCTGAACTCATTATACTTCGAAGTGATTGATTTGAAGGAACTGAAAGCAATGGTGGTCTGTTATATGTTCGGGCAATTAATGATCTTCCGGATGGCAGATCATATCTTATGGTACTACCACCAAGCAATCTACTATTTTCATCCAGCATTATTTCATGTACTCATATATAATATCTAAATAGTTTGATAATCTATTGTAAATACATCGAATTGTTGGATGAATAAATGGAAGCAAGTATTTTACGACTTGAAACATTAGTCACAATGTGGTTTTTCGATCTTGAAAAAAAAATGTGACGCTACCATGTGTTAATAAGTCACGCGTTTATCAGGTGACTATTTTTTAGTGCTTTTAACTATGGCGAGTTGTAATTCCTTCCCAGAACTCCTTTTGAGTTGAAAATTTTGTATCCAAGGGGTTGTTGAATAAGCTGGTTGATTTCTGGAAGCGAGGGTCAGCTACAGAATAAAATTAAATATTTTTGAGTAGTTTACGAAAAAGAATTAAACTTTTTTTGCAACTTTTTTTGAAATAATTGTGGTGAAGGATATTTGAAGGTCAAATACTGAAAGTGGAACAACGACGATGCTGAAATCATCAGTATTGCTCATTTGCTTTCATTTTCATATTAATCCTTTTATACCCATATCTTGCCGTTAATTGCAAATAAGTCAAGTACAAACAACAGATGAAAAATTGAAAGAATGAAATGGAATGATGGTTTTTTAGTGAGTATGTCTTTTAGGGGATTCTCACATATGGCTGTGGAATACCCAATTACACAGTACACCTATAAAGGATTTTTTGAACCGCTTAAAGACGTTAGGGTCTTCCCTCCAGACCTATTTGAAGAGGCATATATATCTCTCTTACATAGTTTTATATAGTGTATAGAGAAAATATATGGTTTTAAGAAAAAAAAAAGATCTCCGAATTTCCAAGATATGAAGAGATGGATTTGCAATATTTACATCTACACTTCGAACCATGATTGACTTACACTAATAGACAAATAGAGGATACTTACCGGCGATTCATGAGATTTGCAATACATCTTTAGCTTTTAATTATGTGATCAATCTAAAAAGAAAAATCCAAGGACTGTGTCTTGTTTCCTAAGTTGAATTCAGGGAAAACATTCGTATGCTCCAACCAGAGTCAACCAAAAACAGAGTGGAGTAAAAATGATTGATAATAGCTAAACTTTATTTAATGACTCTTTTGCCTGTGAAGGAGAATCAGAAGATACTTCATGTGTCATACAAATTAACGGTGTCCGAAATCGCACATAGTATTCAAACACGATAGAAGTGTGATAATGTATGACACACGAAATTATTAAAAGCTGTTGGTCAAATTATAGAAAACACGAGTTGCAGCTTTTTGACTAAATCTCGAAACCTATGGCGAATTCACACGATGCAACATGTGAAGGGAGAAATTAGTAACCGCTGAATTTTACAAAAAATGGAGATTAAGGAGAATAACATGGGGATATTAGCTTAAGAATTTATCCCATGCAACTTAAAATGAAATTTAGGGGGGAATTAAAGTCTTTCGATTATAGAAAACCCCAAAATCTAAATTTCAATATCCAATCCTAATAAAAGGATTGTTAAAAATCCTAAACTTGGCATGTAATTACAAGTCCCTAATAGACCTAGATTGCTCCATCGCTCCTCGTAGTTTAGCCTTCTGATATTAGAAAAATAGGAAAAATGCTTGATACGATCTAAGCTCAAAACTTAATCTAAGAGAGAATTGAAATAAAAATAATTAAAATAAAATCACCCAACGTCGTTTTCATTTCTCTACGTCTTAGGTTGCAAGCCAACGCAAGGGAATGAAAGGAAATATCGACCATGGATCAATTATCATTGGATACCCTTCTGTCAAGATAAATAAATATACAACTTTTACTACAAGTGGAACATTTGATTGACCGACCCCCCCCTCCTTCTTTCAGGTTTCTTGGAAATAATTAATTTATTTTTCTATCACGTGCCTTGTGGCAGGATCAAGATCGTTTGTGCTGTAGTTCGCTTAAGCGAGCCTGAAACAATTAAAAATAAATTGTCTAAAATTATTTTTTAAAGTGAGTAACCAGTTATTGATTCAAATCGATTATTTGAGATTATCCGAGCTCAACGTGTCTTGCAAAAATAAAAAGAATTAAACTCTTAGAAAGAAAACACGATGCCACCTGTGTTGATTGTATGTTTTATTCGATAAGTCCAGTAAGTATGAGCAACCATGGTGATGAAATACTTATAGATGGAATTTTTTTAGATTTTTTTTCTTGGTAGATTCTAAAAGAAAAACAGGGGCCCACGTGTGCCATAAAGGTTTTATCAATTTTTTTCTTCGCCCTTTCCATTGTCGAACATCTATACCTAAACAATCGTAATATCAACTATCTGACATTGCATTCAGATTTTATCTATCTACAGAATACTACATTTCCCGATAAACTTCACCCTTACGGATAAGAGTTCCCCACAACTTTGAAACAAATTGATTTTGCTATACAAAAATAATTCAATCTTTGTAGATGCTTTTCAATAATAAGCCACTAATTGTGCGAAATATTAAGCCACCATTCTATTCAGTTCTTGTCATTATAGGATGTTTATTACGTAGCGGGAAAGTAATCATACGAGAATAATGACACACGAGCCCTCTACGGCGTTGCGACGAAAAATATCGGTTCTTGGATTCTTCGAAAGAATATATTCCTCGCACGAGGGTTTATAAAGCGCAACCAGAAGAAGAAGCAACCCACGTTTTTATCTAACAGTCAAAGCTAAAATAATAATTGCCAAGGGATGGCATAAATGATTTTCCAATTAGTATTTAAACTTTTTTCTGAGTTGTTTATTTTTTCTTGGAACCATTATATTTTTTATGCATATTATTTATTTTTTATCTATCTGGAAATGTTGCAGCAAAAAAAAAATGTTTTTTTTTTGGCAACATGATATCATCCCATTCCACCACATAAAAAGCCCCATTTATAGACGTCATATTCTGACATGATATGATGTAATTAAGGATATGTGAAGCGAGAAGATCACGGGATGACTGTTCGGAACTGCAATATATTATTTCTAAAAACCTCATTAGTCATGTCAAAATATTGATGAGTTCATCTAAAATGTAAATAAGGCTATAATGACAGTCAGTACATTGAAAAAATAATAAAAAATAATGATGAAACTTTAAAAAATAAACAACCTAAGTATATGCAATCTTTCGTAAAGATTTTTTTTTCTTGGTAAACCAAGCTAATCGAAACAAAACAGAAACGATGTAAGGTTTATTTTAAACTATTAAACTATTTCCCTTTCAATTTCAAAGCACACGTTTTTCAATCACATCTCATGGTTTGGTTTGTTGTAAAAAAAACGGGTTATAAATATTCAGGATTATCTCTCGATTGAAATTTTTTAATTTTAGTCTTTCTTCTTCTGTACTACATCATCATCACTTAGAAACAACAGTTGAAAACTTAATATTATTAAGCAAGTATGATAGCTTTACATCAATTTGATTATATCTTCGCTATAGCGATGATTTTTGCATTCTTGGACGCCTGGAATATTGGTGCCAATGATGTTGCAAACTCATTCTCCTCATCAGTTTCGTCTCGTTCCTTGAAGTATTGGCAAGCTATGATTTTGGCTGCCATGATGGAATTCTTAGGTGCAGTCCTTGTTGGTTCTCGTGTTTCCGATACTATTAGAAACAAGATTGTTGATGTTGAAGTCTTTGCAGCTGAACCAGCTGTTTTAATGTTGTCCATGGCCTGTGCCTTGATTGGTTCTTCCACTTGGTTGACTATTGCTACCTCCATTGGTATGCCAGTTTCCACCACTCACTCCATTGTTGGTGCTGTTATTGGTGCTGCCATTGCTGCTAAAGGTGCTCTGAACATTCTTTGGGGTTGGAGTGGTGTTTCTCAAATTATTGCATCTTGGTTTATTGCCCCAGGTATTGCTGGTGCTTTCGCTTCCATTATTTTCCTTATTTCCAAATATGGTGTCTTGGAAATTAAGAACCCAAAAACTTCTTTAAGAAATGCTATGTTATTAGTTCCAATCTTAGTCTTCTCTGCTTTCTCCATCTTAACTATGTTGATTGTCTGGAAGGGTTCTCCAAAGCTTAACTTGGATGCTTTATCTACTGGTACTACTGTCGGTGCTATCTTTGGTACTGGTGCTGTTGCCGCTCTGGTTTACATGATCTTCTTATATCCATTCTACAGAAGAAAGTTGGTTCACGAAGATTGGACTTTACAATGGTACGATGTTTTCAGAGGCCCAGTTTATTGGTTCAAATCTACCGACAATATTCCACCAATTCCAGAAGGTCAAACTTTAACTATTGATTACTATAAGGGTAGAAGATATGACGAAGCTGGTAACGTTATTAATGATGATGAAGACGACCAAGAATCAGTTACCAAGAAGGATGGACAAGAAGGTGATGAAATCCGTCCAGATATTGAAAAGGATGCAAACTCTTCCGACTCCATTACTTCAACCGAAGCTGCAAAGAAGAAGGCTGCTGCCACTCACAAGACGCACAGACATCCAAGAACTTTCCCAGAATACGGTGCCCTTATCAAAGAAACTGCTATGAACTGGCCATACGTTATCTTCCTTCTTTTAACTCATGGTGTCAGACAAGATGTTATTTCCGACCAAGCTAACTCCAAAGATATTCTTGCTGGTGATTTAGCTGGTATGCACACTGCCTCCAAATATTACGACAACAAGATTGAATTCATGTACTCCCTTTTACAAGCCATCACTGCCTGTACTATGTCCTTTGCTCATGGTGCCAATGATATTGCCAACGCCACCGGTCCATTAGCTACCGTCTATCTTATCTGGACTTCTAACACTACTGCTGCAAAGGCTGATGTTCCAATCTGGGTTCTTTGTTATGCTGCCAGTGCTTTAGTTATTGGTTTATGGACTTATGGTTACCATATTATGGCTAACTTGGGTAACAAGTTGATTTTACAATCTCCAGCCAGAGGTTTTGCTATCGAATTAGGTGCCGCCGCTACTACTGTCATGGCTACTCAATTGAAGATTCCTGTCTCTACCACTCAATGTGCTGTCGGTGCTACTGTTTTCGTTGGTTTATGTAACAAAGAATGGAAGACTGTTAACTGGAGAATGGTTGCTTGGTGTTACTTAGGTTGGATCTTTACCTTACCTTGTGCTGGTTTGATTGCTGGTATTCTTAATGCTATCATCTTATACTCTCCATCTTTGGGAATGAGTTACTCTTTAACCAATTAGATATTTTTATAGATTGACTTTCTTTTATTTTGAATAAAGTCCTCCTTGGAAGGACTTTAGGTGTTTTTAGCTTGAAAGACTTAATTTGGTTTTTCATTAATTTTACTTTTCTATAGGACTTGTCCTTTATTTAATGAAATTTTATAATGTTTTTTAATATTTGTAAAAACTGATCAACTGTAGAACTTGAAGTGTTTCTAATTGGGCTCCAGATTTCGTTTACTTGTCAGTCAGTTGCTTCTGTTGTACCACAGTGAGAGTTCCTGTCGTGGCATATGAATTGGTTGCAAAAAAAAATGGGCAACATTTGTAATTGGCTAAAAGCTGGACCAATTAAACTTTCCTGTTAAGATATACATACACAAAGCATTTATAACGATTAAAACCAAATAGCTCGGATTAATCTCCCACTAGCCTCGTATTTTATACGAATTCGTAACATCTTCAACCATTTAAGAATAGGAACATAGGTGCGTTGCTCAAGTTCATTGAATTGAGTTGTACAAAAATATGTACAGTTTAAGAAAGAACATCCCTATCAAGTTGAAAGACTATTCAGAATTGACCTGGATTTAGAAAGAGGGAGGGACCCTAGCTATGTTGTAGCTTACTATTAGTAAACAGCCCAAGCAGTAAGATATCAATTTGATTGTGAATATAAAACGGTTCACGCACGCTCAACGAGCCGCACCCAATATTTTTCTCGACTCGGGGGTTTACAAGGATTCTATCAGACTTTCATTTCGATTCCCACACCGAATTTGCCAATTGTCCAAAAAGTCAAACAATTGATCAATCATACCCTAAGCAAAATGTCATACGAAGATAAATTCGACTCATCGTTAGATATACTTAGAAGATTGGACCCACGTTCAATTACCACCAATCTCAATAACATATGTACCTTAGTCCGTGATGAAGAATTAGTTCAAGATTTATTATCGTCAGTTGACACCCCATTAAAAGTCAGTCGTTGTCAAGAAACTGGTAAGGAATATTTATGTTGTGATTATAATCGAGATGGAGATTCATATCGCTCTCCTTGGTCAAATACTTATTATCCTAAAATTTCAACTGGGGATGATGATGAATTACCTCCATTCCCACTGGAATTATTGAGACAATTGGAAATTAAAGCCAATGATAGTTTTGATATTTATAGAGATTTGTATTATGAAGGGGCAGGTGTTTCATCTGTTTATTTATGGGATACTGCCGAAGATGAAAATTCTGGTTTGGATGAAGGATTTGCCGGGGTGGTTTTGTTTAAGAAGGAAACGGATGATAAATCGGGGAAATGGGATTCAATTCATGTGTTTGAAGTTATTCCGGAATCAAAGACTAGTGTTTTATATAAATTGACTACTTCCGTGATTTTAGATTTACTGAATACCAAAGATTCTTCATTAAGTTTATCAGGAAATTTAACAAGACAATTGGAATCAACCCAAGTCATTGAATTGGATGGTGGAGTTAATTTGGAAAGCAATCATTTGATCAATTTGGGTACTTTGATTGAAAAATCTGAATATAATATTAGAAACTTGTTACAAGAAGTTTATTTTGATAAATTAAAAGATATAATGTTGAAGGATTTACGATCAATTGGTGATATTTCTGATAAGAAGTTAGATGATTTGAAACAAAGTGAAATAGTAAAAGGTTTACAAGGCATGTAGAGCAGGATTTTATAGCTTATCCCTTAATAAATATAATATAAATATTTTCCCCATAGCTAGCTATGAACTCTTTTCTAATTCTTATAGATTGATAAATCAAGTGTATGATCCACATCTTCATCATTATCGCTCAACACTGGTTCAAGAAAATCATCCTCGTCAAAATCATCATATTGAGGAAGAACTTCTTTGGTTTTAACCGTGTCAATAGCCGACGCTGGTGATTCTTTCTTACTTGTGATCTGCGTTTTGGACCTATTTGGCTGGACCTCCAGATGACTATGCATTGTAGACGGCCGAGATATCTCGGCATTCGAATCAGTTCCAAACTCTTCAGTCAATGAAGCTAGTACGTTTGTCTTTACATCATTGAACAAAGACCACATAGAATCAGTGACAGTTTGGAGCATATCATCAGTTGACTGCTTTATATCCCATAATTCACTAGGGCTCGGGTTCTCTTGTGGATTTCTTGGTAATCTATTGGATCTCAGTTTTAATGGCGAAGAACTTGAGCCACTTGACGACGTAGAATCCTGTGATGGTCGGGATCTATGTGTACGTTGTTTATAGGTATAATTTTCTTTATCTGACAATAATGATTTTTCAAATCCATCCAGTATTATATTATCTAGTTGTTGTAGCATATTTAGAGGTTTGCTGAGACCATTCAATATTGCAGATGATGAGTTCTGCATCACGCTATTCTCCAGCTGTCTTAGTTGTTTAGGAGAAGGCGTTCTCAATGTGTCGTCAGCACTATTAGTATGGCGCTGAGGTGTAGACTTTGATTGTCGATTAGCTGTTCCATTCACCTCTGCATACAAAGATCGTTGAACCACTTTTCGTAGGCGATGTAGTTCATTCTCATGAGTAGATAACTTATTATTCAATGATTGGATCCTGTCTTTAATCTCAACAATACACATTTCTTTAAGCGCCAAGAATCTCAATTGTTGATCAACATCCATGGCCATAAGTTGGCCCATAGGAGGCAACTCAACTTCATATTTCAAATCGTTCGTATTTCGTGTATCTCCTCTATCAGGAAGGCTAGTTTGGGGATGAGAACAAACTGGGGCAATATTCGGTTGCGTAATTGATGGTGTTTTGATAGTTGGTGGAATAGGGGAGACGGCAAATATGTTAAGACCTTTTGATCTTACTGAATTAGCTCTACTTAATTTATTTGTCGACGTTGGTGTTGAAGAAGAAGAGGATGTCGATTGCGATCTGATTCTGGATTGGAATTGTTTATCCTGCCTATGGGGAGTTTGAACATCCTGTTTATGTGGTGTCGTGTGAACATTGAATTTAGGATAATCAGGTTCAAGACTCATGTTTTATAAATTAGTCATATAAATAATGTGAATACCTTGAAGCAAATATTGAAGTATAACCAGGATTGGTCTATTTGAAGACGCTGTATAATAATTACCAGCAAATAAGGTTGATGTCTGCTTCTGTTGCTTTTTAATACAAGATGGATTTCTCGAAATCTGTTGTGAACATAACAGGGATCAAAGAACAACAGAAAAAAAAAAGACGCGAACTTTATTTATTGCCGGAGAGATAAAAAAAATAAAAAAAAATAAAACCGTTACAAGAAAACGAATCACATGACTCGAAATTTTTTTATCCCCCATATTGCATCCCCCAATTTATCCTCCACGGCTAAACTTCTTACGAGAGAGAACAGTATCCCAACTTGCAATTAAAAGAGAATAGAATTGAGAGCAACTAACAATGGCTATGAATAAAGAGATCCTTATGAAATTTATAAAGGAGTCTAAATGGTTAAGATGGGTTATCATTTTGCTTATCGCAAGAATTCCGAAACCATTCATATTATCTGGGTTTCTTGGATTGAATCCAACTATCAAAAGTCTTCTATTGAACAATAAGGAACTTAGATCCAAACATATTGGTAATGATTCAACGACGGTGGAAAGACGTCTTGGTAAGATTTCAAATCTAATTAGTTGTATTTTCCTTTATTTTGCAACTTCAACAAGTAGATTAATTCCTCAAGATTATGCTGCTATATTCTTATTGATTAAATATCATGGAGAATTGAATCCTCCAAGTTGTCTGAATATTCATATTTCTCCAAAGTATTCCAAATATTTAAAGATAGAAACATATAAACAATATCCTACTTTAACTAAATTATATGAAAATAAAGAATTTATAATATTCCCAGCTATTTTTGCTCAGATTTTAAGTAATTATTTAACCCCTACAAGATTCAAGTTGAATAAACGATATTTATCATCATCGATAAAGAAATATATACTTAATCCCATCTGGCTTAATTTTTCCTTGGGAATCAATTATTCTCGACTTAATTGGGTAAAATTGATAAGGACTTATGCATTGCAAAATTTCATACTTATGGGTGTTGTTGGAGTATATACTTTTAAAACAAGGGTTCTAGATAAGTTGTACGAGATCAAATATGAAGTAGCCACAGAATCAGAGATTGCAATCATTAAGAATTATTTGATGTTTATTATAAATAAAGCAAATTCAATTATGAATTTCATTTATCTTCCAAATATGCTTTCAATATTGTTAATTGTTTTAACATCACCAATCTTCAGAGTACTTACTCCAACTACAAATGCTCCTAGAACCAAATTGCAGCAACTTTATCTGGACAATTATAAGTTATTTTTCAAGACCTATACAAAGATAATTGGGTTTAAAGCGGGATTCATTACACTTTACTTGAATTCAATTAATATTATACCTGCTATTGGATATGATAGGGAACCAAATGAACCAAGTGAATCAAGAAACATTAGATACATTGACAAAACATTCCTAAATGAACTCAATTTATATTTGTTCAGATTAATCTTATTGGCCAAATGGAGAATTGTAAAGATGAATCATCCAAAGTTCAAACTTGTTAAATTGAGAACCTGGAGAAAAGCAGAAACAGTTTTAATGTGCTGGGGGATGTTTAAGATTATGAATTTACATGATTATTTGAAGAGACACAAAGAAAGTGATACTGAAAGTTACGCAAGACTTAAAAATGAATCAACATTAAGAGTGGTAGATTATATCATGTAACACTTCTACCCAACTACCCAATTGACTACAATACAGAGAAAGTTTATCTAACACATTGTACATTTATTTTATTTTGAAAGACATGAATAAGAGAGGAATATTTTTAATACCCACCGGCACCAGGTACATTTTCTTTCCCCTTTAATTTAGTTAATAAACCTTTGAATCTAGATTTATCTCTACCTTCAGCTTCTGGTAATTCACCAACTTCATCCACCAATTCATTAACTCTATCCCATAATGTGCCTCTCTTCAAGAACCCATCTCTCTTTTCCAAGAATTCTTCTTCTTCTTTTAAAGTTTGTTTGGAATGTTCTTCCTTTTTCAAATTATAATTTTCATAAAAATCATCAATAGTTTCTTGTGCTTTAGCAATAATATCTTCTTTAGCTTTAGCATTTGCCTTTTCTCTTTCCGAAATTTCCAAATCACGACGTTCTTTCCATTCTTTCAAAGGTTGTGATTCTCCTTCAAATTTATGTTCACCAGTAGTAGTGGCACCTGCAGAACCAAAATCTTCAAATTCATCATCTTCATCTGCTTCGTCAGCTACAACTTGTTGTTCAGGAACAGAATCATCAACTGCTGGGAATTGTTCTTTGAATTCATTTATTTCATCATCTTCATCACTTTGGGCTAATACTTCTTTATCTTGTTCTGTGGTAAATTCATCCCCAACTAATTCACGTTCACGAGATAAGAAATCTGATCCTTCTAATTCATCATCTTGGGGTAAATCATTACCAATGGTTTCTATTTCTGGAAATTTATCAGCCATCGTCAATTGTGTAGTGTTTCTGTATAAGCTGTCTATATATATCGGTTAGTTAGTATGAAAATTGATTGTGCCGAACAATTTCTTTGGCCCTTTTTTTCCCACTCCACTGAAATTGACACTCCACCAAAATTTCCAGTCTCGCCCGCGATTGAAGAACTTACGTGCGCGACTCAAGTTGCAAAAATGGTTCAACAAGAGCTTAACGGTAGAACGCTCCCTAGAGAGAACTTTGGTTACAGTAATATAGATCTTAGTAATAAACATCACTATGTTACTCTATAATAATAAAACCTATTTAATTTACACAAAAATAGAAGTATCAATACTATATAATCTTACAGAAGTATCCTTACTTCCAACCCCTAATAATAACTTATTGGAATGCAATTTATTACTAAAACTCAACTTTTCAATTCTATCAGCAGGAGTTATCAACTTATTAAACGAAACAATCTCGTTAAATTGACTATTTGGAACAGATATATCAAATGTGAAAATAGATATACTTCCATCTTCCAACCCCACAGCTATTATTGTCTCTCTATCGTTCTTCCAAATTCCCTTATATATCGAAACAGAAGTAATAGGAGCCGATAATTTCAATGCACTTAATGGATCACAATGGCCATCAACAATTTTCCATATCTTAATTTGTCTATCACGAGAAACAGTAACAAAGAAATCTCCATATACATTATTAGGAACCCAGGAACAATCCCAAAGGATTCTAGTATGTGGTTTTGGATGAAGTTCAACCAATTTAAATTCACTATTATCTTCATCCACAACCGACCATAAACTAAATTGACGATCTCTAGAGACGGCTAATAAATATTTCCCATTGGGTGAGAATTCAAGACTTGAAATTGTTAAATTATGACCTTCTAATACTTGTGGACTTTGTTGAAAATCACGTTTGGAATTGAAGATTCTGATGACGGCATGTTTGGCAGTATTCGATCTACATGCAGATGCAATAAGGGTTCCACTTGGAGATGTTGCACAACAGACAATTTCATAACCATGTCCATATAATTTTTCAATTTCGGGGAAAAGGGTATATCTTTGTAAATATTCTTCCAAAGGTGGGGTTTCAAGAGTAGCCAATACATCCTCCTTTTCACCATTTTGCTCTTGTTGTTCAGAATCAGTTTCGCCTTGTTGTTGTGGAGCTAAATCCCCAGCTTCCAATTGTTCATTGGCAGCTTTATTGGATAATCCAAGTACGGGAAGGGAAGCAGATTCAGGAAGGGAAATATCTTGATCAGCAACAACATCAATCCCGCAAAGATTTTTCAAAAGAGTATTTATGGATTTTGTCATTTCAAATACACGAAGTACTTTTTCATCCCCACCGGAAACAAATCTAGATGCAGTTATATTATCATAACAAATCATATCATATCCATGAATTTGTGGTCTTGCGAATTCATGCCAAGTAATTTCTTGTCTATTCACTGTCCATGGAGCAAATAATCTAGTTGTCTGATCTAAAGAAGTTGCCATGAAATATTCCCCATTCAAAGACCATTTCAAATCAGTCACATCCTTAACAGGACCAGTAAGTCCCAAAACTGATTCAAATGATTTAGCTTCTTCATCAATTGATTTATAAACTCTAAAAGAACCAGTTTTACCACTTGCAAGTACATATTGAGAACTAGTATCGTCATCAACAAACCATAAACATGACCAAAATCCACCAGAGGCACCCGTGGCAGTAGATGCCCCCTTGATTGACATTTCACCTAATCTGCTAACACAAACCCAAATACCTGAATCCACGTCCATTTCCCAAATCATCAATGCGGTATCGGCAGTAGAAGTTAATAATTGTAGTTTTTTTTCTATTTTGTTGTTCTTGTATGTATATGATGGATGCCATTGTAAGCCGGTCACCCAATCATCATGTCCCATAATCAAAGCTTCAAAACTGAATGCAGCTCGGGAATTGGAGCCAAAATTGAATTTATATTGTTTGTTGGATAAGAGGATCAATTTAGTTTCATCTTCGTCTGAATCATCAATTAATTCGTTCAATTTAAGTCTCCATAATCGTACATATCTATCCTGAGCACCACTGGCTAAAATGTAGTTTTTGTGTTGGGTTTCGGTGACGAATTGAAGACATTTGATCCAATCTTCATGACCTGACAATTCGGCTGCTTTTGATAAGTTGGAAATATTATTTCCATTAAGGTTGAATGTATATATGAATAAAAGGTTGGAAGTCCCACCAATCGATAATAAATAATGTCCATCATTGTCAATATCTTGAATGGCTAAACATAAAGGATAAAAATTTGGTTTAACTTGTAAACGTTCACCAAGTTTAAACTTCTTTTCAATTTCATCAAAAGTCCAAATTATAATTTGACGATCTGCTCCACCAGTAACAAATACTTTTTCATTTACAGCAGCTAAACATGTAACTGAATGTTCATGCCCTTGTAATTCTTGAAAATGATCATAATTGTCGTTGTTTGACAGTGAATTCTTCCAAACATTCACTTTATAATCTTCAGCTACCGATATCAAAAATGGAGAATTAGGAATGAATTTAACCCCTGTGATTTCCTTATCATGATTCTTTAAAGTGGAATAAACTCCTTTTTGGGATTTATCTAATGGTTTCCATAAGGCTACTGTATTTGCAGCACCATATGCTAAGATCTTGTCGGTGGGATTATAATCGGAAACAAAGTTTTGTTTGTTTGCACCAATAAATATGGCTTCTTGACCAATTGCTGAACTCATCCCGATCCTTGATGTTTGTTTATGTATCAATAATGGGTGACTATCTTCGATGAAGCATGAAATGGATCCGTTCCCTTTGAGATGGGGCTAGAATTTTTTTCAACTTTAGTCGTGTAGTTGTGATCAAATTTTAAGATACACAACAATCACTACTACCGCTACTTCATAATCAACTATCATCTACCCATTGAATATCCATAATGGTAACAGCGTATGTAATAGTCCTGCTAGGCATATCAAACGTTCGAGTGGACCAGCCAGTACTAACAGAAAAGGGTTTAGTGTATTATTGGTGCAGAAGGCAACCCCAGAAACAATCACTCAATTACATGATCAACTCTCAAATGAATTACCAACCTTAAAGGGGAAATGGAGTTTTACATTCAAGATATTTCGTAATAATCCATTCTCAATACCCCAAGAGATAGCAGAAACTACTGATGTAGCACCAACTTCTAAGTTCCTTTTTACATTACAACCATCATATTTACCTGATTCTACTATAACCGTAATAGATGGGAAATCAGCTGGAGTTTTCACAAATTTAATTCAAGAAGAAGTAAAAGAATTAGGACACCCCACTGAACTAAGTATACCCAATACTCATCTTCATAAGGGTGCTACTAGTGGATTAAATGATAATTTTGATTTTTTTGTTGGTCAAAAATTACAAAGTTTATGGAATCAACGACAAATAATTAAAGGTGATGGTGGACAAATTTATGAATTAGAGAATGGGAATTTATTTATTAAAACTTCAAATGTATTTTTACATGGGAATTTTAGAGGTTTATTAATTCAAATAGATTTAAATGATAACTTGTTAGGTGATAAAGATTCACAATCATTACATGATTTATTTATAACAATTAGAAATAAATATGGGATACCAGAAGGTAATCTTTGTTGTGATGTTTTAGATAAAAAATGTTTAGATAAATATGGTGATCTTTGTTATCAATATTCAGAGATTCTTAACTTTTAATGAGAAGAAGTTAGAAATATAGATTATAGAAAAATACACGACTTTGGCATTCAATACTCTCTATTGAAGTTTCCACAACTGTATCATATCCTGACTCTTAATCTAGGAGTCGCATTTTACTGTTGCAAATTGTATGTTTTTTGTGTTTCTTACAACCTCCAATAAAATCCTTCTATGCTCACCTTCATTAAGACGAACCTATGAAGTCGCTATGAATCTCTTCCGCTCCTACTGGAATCATTCGCCAAAGGATATTCCCCTTAGCCATAGAATTTAAGATGAGCTAGGAGTACCTGTTGCAGCTTCATTAACAAATGTTCCCTTTTTGGTTGGAACAAAAACTTAAGACACGTTCCTTTATCTTGTCTCACATCACAAAGAATCCTGTCAAAACATGACCTAATTCAGCAGAAGAATTAGTATCACCCGAATGCAGCGTGGCAATTGAATTTGTGTTCGAAGTATGGGTATCGACTAAGCTGCAAAAAATTATTCATTTTCCTGCATACACCATCTTCCATACATAAATTTTTCCTGAGATGAGTTTAAAAAATAAGAAATCAACTTATACTCTTCTTTGTCGTAAATCACACATTCAAGAAGAAATACAAATATGGCAAAGGGTAATAGAAAAGGAAAGAAAGATACCAAAACCACTGGAAGAAAGGAAAATCGTGTAAAGGAAGAGGAAGAGTTAAAAAAGCTTCAGGAAAGAATAGATGAATATGACCCCAAGATAAATGAATCACAAATATCTCAATTTAGTGATCTTCCAATCTCACAACAAACCCTTCGAGGTTTGAAAGAAGCAAGTTTTGTTTCTATGACCGATATCCAGAAGAAAACTATACCTATTGCCTTAAAAGGTGAAGATGTTATGGGAACTGCAAGAACCGGATCTGGAAAAACTTTAGCATTTTTGGTTCCTACCATAGAAGCATTAATTCGAAATAAAATTACTGAATACGATGGATTGGCGGCATTAATCGTGTCCCCAACTAGAGAATTAGCCGTGCAAATCTTTGAAGTTTTAACTAAAATTGGGAAGCACAATACATTCTCTGCTGGGTTGGTCACTGGTGGGAAAGATGTTAAATACGAAAAGGAAAGAGTATCAAGAATGAATATATTGGTAGGAACCCCAGGAAGAATTTCTCAACATTTGAATGAAGCAGTTGGGATGGAAACTTCCAATTTGCAAGTATTAGTCTTAGATGAAGCTGATAGATGTTTAGATATGGGATTCAAAAAACAAATAGATAACATTGTTGGTCATTTACCTCCAACAAGACAAACATTATTGTTTTCAGCTACTCAATCAGATAATGTAAAGGATTTAGCAAGATTATCCCTTGCCAATCCACAAAAAATTGGTGTTTCCACCGACCAAGAAATCTCATCCACTCCAGAATCTTTGGATCAGTATTATGTTAATGTTCAATTGGATGAAAAATTGGATGTTTTATGGTCATTCATTAAATCACATTTAAAGAGCAAAATATTAGTATTCTTTTCGTCATCAAAACAAGTTCAATATGCTTATGAAACATTCCGTACTTTACAACCTGGTATTTCATTATTGAAACTATATGGTCGTCATAAACAGACTGCTCGTTTAGAAACCACCATGAAGTTCACCAAGGCACAACATGTATGTTTATTCGCAACTGATATCGTAGCAAGAGGGTTAGATTTCCCTGCTATTGATTGGGTAGTGCAAGTCGATTGTCCAGAAGACGCTGCAACCTATGTTCATAGAGTAGGTCGTTCTGCTCGTTTCGGGAGAAAGGGGAAATCATTAATGTTTTTATTACCATCTGAAGAAGAAGGAATGTTGAAAAGATTAAAGATTCATAAAATTGAACCAAAGATGATGAATATAAAACAAAAAAGTAAGAAATCAATTAGACCACAATTACAATCATTATGTTTCAAAGACCCAATAATTAAGAATTTAGGTCAAAGAGCATTCATTTCATATTTCAGATCTGTATATATCCAAAAGGATAAGGATATTTTCAAAGTTGAAGAATTACCAGCAGAATCATTTGCTGCTTCATTAGGATTACCAGGTGCTCCAAAAATCAAAATAAAAGGAGATCCAAATACAAAAGAGAAGAAGAATGCTTCAAGAAAATTATTGGCCTTATCTAAAGCCAATGACGAAGGTGACGAACAACAAGAAGATAAGAATAAGGTCAGGACTAAATATGATCGTATGTTTGAAAGAAAGAACCAAACTATCTTATCTGATCACTTCTTGAATATGACAGGTAGCAAAGCCAATGGAAAAGAAGAAGATAGCGATGATGATTTTATGACTGTAAGAAGAAAAGATCATGACTTGGCGGAAGATGAATTACCCGATTTATCCCTTCCTGACTCCAAACGTCAAGCCAAGAAGGCACTTTCAAAGAAGGCTTCACTTGCATCTAAAGGAAACCCAACTAAATTGGTCTTTGACGATGATGGAGTTGCTCATGCCATTTATGAATTGGAAGAAGAAGAAGATTTCATAAAGGCTGGTGATGCTAAGAAACAAAAGGAAGATTTCGTCGCAAAAGAACGTGAAGTAATGAAGGTGACCGATCTTGCCGATAAAGAAACTGAAAAGCAAAAGAGACAGGAGAAGAAGAGAAAGAGAAAGGATATCGAAAGAAGATTGAGAGAAGATGAGGATGAATCTGATTCAAATGAGCCAGTGGTTGCTACATTAGGTGTACCGGATTTGGAGCGTGATATGGAACAGCCTTCCTCAGATGAAGAGGAGCCTGCAGCTAAGAAACCTAAATGGTTCGATAATGACGAAGATGAAAAGAAGAAGAAGAAGGCTACCGAGTTCATCGAATATGATGAATCTGAGACATTGGAAGACTTGGAATCCTTAACAGCAAAATTATTGGGAAATTAAATATAAATAGATTTATGTATGTATTTTATAGAAAATTAATTAGACGTCAAATATTTGTTGAAACTTACCCATGTATTCTATCGAATTCTCTTGATCAACTTCGGCGTCATCATATTGAATTCCAAGAAAATTCGTAACGACAGACTTAGCAACCCTGAATCCTGCTTCTTCGGTTTCCGATAGCATCATCAATTCCGCAACAAGATCAACTCCATTTTCTAGTTTGTTAGCAATATCATCTGCTCTGGCGACTATGGAGGGAGGAACTCCACAGATCTTAGCACAGTAGATACCAAAGCTCTTTTCAACCACTCCCGGGCGTACATTGTAAAGATAGGTAATTAGATCATATTCTGTTGTGCTTTGACGCTGAAGTAAAATATCCATGCACACCTTCTTTATCTTCGGTGAGTCGAAATCTGAACCTAGGCCCTCTGTTTTGAATAATTCATGAAAATGAGTTGAAAATATACACCTTGGGCAATCTTGTCTAGATAAAAAGAATGACAAGGTCCCGCCGAAGATAGCAGAGGAATCTATGGCATCGCTTCCCTTACCGAACTCATCTATAATTAACAATGATCTGCTTGAACTTAATGAGATACATTTAGAAAGTTGATATAGATCTGTAGCAAACGTACTCTGCTGCTTGTCAAGTGATTCTCTTGACATGATTCGTGTCAACACTTTATCAAAAACTCCCATTGTAACTGATTCCGCGGGAACATAACAACCTATTTGAGCCAAGATAACTATTAGAGCGGTTTGACATAAGTATACCGATTTGCCGGACAAATTGGCTCCTGTGACCACCATGATCCTTTCTTGCTCGGAAAAGACTGTATCATTGGGAACAAAGACATCTACTGCAGTTTCAACAAGTGGGTTCCTACCTTTAATTATCTCTAGAGTGTCATGTGTAACGATATTGGGGCGAACATAGCTGTTCAACTGTGAGACTTCGGATAATGAACATAAACAATCCAAAACAACCACAGCTCTGGAAATTTGGATTATCGGTTCTTCATATTGTAGTAGCTTTTCCTGAAGTTGTTGAATGATTTCAATTTCTCTATCCTGGATCAATTCAAAAATGTCGCCGAATTGTTCATCAAGGTTAATCACCTCTTCGGTTTTATAATAAACGTGAGATTCGGTTCTGAAGACTTCTCTCCATTCATTAGGAATAATAAAAAGCTGATTTGGATCTGCTTCGAGATCTTGTTCTCGTGATAGTAGAAATCCAATTTGGGGAATGTAGACAATATTCAACACGTCGTTGTTTCCGAGCTTTTGGGCAATAGCATTGCCTAGTTCTTGAAATATCAAGTCTAAATTGTTGTATTGTTGACGGAGATTGTCCAACTCTTCATCAACCCCATTTATTATTCTGACTTTACCATCTTCTTGGGAACTGGTTACTTCTATAAATTGGAGCAAGAAATTCCGAAGATCCTGGAATTCATTAATATATTCGGTGAAAAATGTACTAAGCTCCTCGGGGATATCTTCACAAGTTGGAAAACACAGACGAATTTGCTTCTGAAGTGATATGGCATATTGTAAGAATTCAAGGACTGAATTCCAATTATTCCATGCCAATTTACCACTTTTCACAGCTTTAAGGTGCGAAGTCACACTACTCATACGCTTTACTGAAGTCTGGATTAATTTCCTTGTTTCCTTATTAGAATTATCAGCTAGGATTCTGATAACATTTTGCCGTTCGTTGATCCTTTCAATAGAAGTCAACGGTTTTCTAATCCAATCTCGTAGTAGCTTCGAACCATCACTTGTGACTGTATAATTAACTAGCTCATAAAGTGATCTCTTTTGCAGCTTGTTAGTTATCTTCAATTTCTTAATTTGCGGGGAAAGTATCTGAAGAGAGTAAAGCAGATCAATATCAATAAACATATGATCTTCAAAAGTAGCAAATTCGACATTCTCTACCAAGTCTGCTATTCCATTGGTAGAAGGATCAACATAGTTTTCAATACCTAGCCATATCGCGTTGATGCTTCCTATCTATTCAAGCAGTTAGTAATCTAAACTTCCTCATAAAGTAAACTCTTTTATACATACCGCTAGTTTAAGGACCGGAGACGTCAAAGCTGAAGTTTTCATAAGCTCTACTTTCAACTTTCCTTCCGTGCTATGATCTGAAATATTGTCGAAGGAATTGGCTAATGACGTAACATTGAATTTGGTAAAATCAGCAACGATCTTAATATTTAATTTAAAGTCATATTTGGTTGATAAATCCTCTAGAAAGGATAGCAGATCTTGAGGTATTCTTGAACAAGCTAACATAATTGTCGGTTTAGTCTCATCAATTATGGATTCGATGTAGTAACGTGATTCTGAAAATTGGAAATCTTCCCAAATTGAAAGTGTATGATTAGCTAAATTTAAACATGATGCTCCAAGAATCAAGCCCTTAATATCAATTGATAATACAACTTCATTCGACGAATCGAAAGATGTGTTGATGCCTTCAGATACAGTGGTTTCTTCATCCATTTGATTATCGATTGGTTTTGGGTACTCTGGTACTAAATTTGGTTGCAAAAAAAAAAGGTCAAGATCTTAAAAGTGGTTGTAAAGATTTAGAAAGCTGGTCAGACTTAGGAGTCTCCTTCTCTCATCCTTACAAAGAGCAATCGGTTTAACTGTTATTGTACGTTAGATGCGTGATATTAAACTATTTACTGTATGTAAGGAGTTGCAATTATAGTTTCATCGATAGTTCCTAGACGGATAATTTTACCAGCGATTTTTCTTCCCTCTTCATCCATCATTTGAATATCTTCATTTTCATCAGCAGTTGGGTTCATCTCAAGAACTGCCAATTCTTGTAAGAAGCTCGTAGGAGCACCCTTTGCTATTGATAGAATGTTACCATTACCTAAATCCATTGTTATCTTTCCTGATTGATGTATATTGACATGACCTATTTGTCCACGAATAGAAGTAGTATTACTAGCAAGATTGGAAATGATAGGTTCTTCAACATTGGCAATACCCTGCTCTTCATTTTCTTCCTTAACACCAAGCTTTCGGGTATATGTTGGTAAGTGACTAGGAAGTTGGAATAATACATATTTGTCATCATTCGGAGCTTGATCGTCGTCTGTAGATAATCCAGAAAATTTATCTGTCAAAAGATCCAAGATTTGTTGTTGATCGGAGATCAATTTGTTCATTTCATCAGCCTCGAATGTGTCCACTTGAATTTTACTCTCAAGGATGGCTTTGTTTTGTTTAATAATCTCCATCTTTTCTTCAATTTGCTCAAGTTTAACAGTAGGTTCTCGACTATTACTCATAGACATTAAACCAGGAGTACCTTCCCGAGTCTCGGGTTCTTCTGATTTTGTAACTGGTTGTAATGCAGGTTGTTCGGAATCATTTCTATTTGGTCTAACTGGGAACAACACGGTTTCTTCATCAGCAAATCTATATTGTTGAGTCATATTGATCTTCGTTGGATCGTCCTCTTCTTCTTCATCTGATTGAGCTCCAGGTGTCATTGATCTTGGTTTTTCTTTTAATTTCAAACTCAGTAAGAATTCTGGAGTTGCTGACATTGAACTGTTATAAACAGTATCACTAGTTAATCCCAATTTTGAACCACTAACATTCCCAATCGACACCGATCCCGCAGATAATGGACCAGATGAAACTAGATGAGTTCCAGCATAATTATTACGTCCACCTCTACCTCTTCCTCTTGTAGACCCACGTCCTCTCAGAGATGAGGTTCTTGTAGGTTGTTCTTGTTTGACTACTGGTGCTTCCTTCGCCCTTTCTTCCTTAGATTTTCTTTGGACAACTTTAGGTTTAAACTTCAACCCTGGCTTTGGAGCCGGTGAGGAAGAAGGTTTCTTACTATTCAATGACTCCAATCTATTAGACATTGTTTCTCTTTTGGCCAAACTTTTGAAGTACAATAGCAGGAAAAATGACAATCACTCTGATGAATAAATCATCAATGGTTTGATGAGGCGATGATATTTTTTTTCTGATGGGTTGTAGTTGAGCTGCGCGACTAAGTATTTCTGCCTTAGAAAAAAATGAGATGAGATTGATTTAATCTTTTCTTTATCATCTCATCAGTAAATACCCAAAGATGGCCAGAAGAAATAGAAAGGATGTCGACGAAGAAGTCGAATTGGATGAAGTAGACGCTTTCAATGTAAATAGAGAAAAAATACTATTAAATGAAGCTGGAGAATATGCTCAAGGTAACTATTCCGATGAATCAAGTGAAGAAGAAGTTATGGCAGTAGAAGAAGCTGAAAGCGAAAGCGAAGAAGAAAATGAAGGAAGCCAAGGTGAAGATTTCAGTGAAGTAGATGAAGATGAATTAGCCGCAGAAGAGGACGAGGAAAAAGGTTGGGGAGGAAGACAAAACTACTATGGAGGAGATGTTGTCAGTGATGAAGAAGACGCAAAGCAGATGACCGAAGAAGCTATAAGACAACAAAAGAAACACTTGCAGGAGTTAGATATGGATGACTATGTTGACGAAGATATGATGGAGGGTTGGGAAAAGGCAGCTGATAAATATAACAATCAAGAAACCAAACAACAGATAGTTTTAACAACTGATTCTTCTTATGATAAGTTAGATGAATCAGAACAACTTAAATTGCTTAAGCAATCATTCCCAGAATTTGTTCCTTTATTAAAAGAACTAGGTCAACTAAAACTCAAATTAGATGAATTTCAAACAAGTGAAGCCAACCCATTAATCCAAGTTAAATCAGTTGCCTTATCTGCTTATTTAGCTGCAGTCTCATCCTATTTCGCTATATTTGTTGATAATTTACGAAGTGGGGAACCATTTACCTCTATGAAAGATAATTCAATTATGGAAACAATTTTGAGTACAAGAGAAGTTTGGAGACAAGCTAATGAGTTGCCTGATGTTGCCATTGAAAGGGATAACGAAGAAGAAAGCGAGGAATCTGGCGAGGAAATATTTGTTGATGCAAGAGAAGATATCAGCGAAGAAGAGGAAGACGAAGAAATCGACGAAGAAGAAGAAGAAGAAGAAGAAGTTGAGAGCCCGGTTGAGGATGATACCATTGACATCGATGTCACCACCAAAAGAACTATCAGACGAGCTGCAAAGAATAAAGGTGATGGTTTCACAGAAGCCGACACTATTGATGATGTTGATATGGAAGATAAACAACGTCGTAAGAAGACTTTGAGATTCTACACTTCTAAGATTGATCAAGCTGCTGCCAAGACTAATAAGTCTTTCTCTGGTGATTTGGATATTCCATACAAGGAAAGATTGTTTGAAAGACAACAGAGATTGGTAGAAGAAGCAAGAAAGAGAGGATTGAACAAGCCTGCTGATCAAGACTATGACTCCGGAAACGATGAAGGTGAAGCCGAAGGCGGCGACGATGGATACTATGAATCTATCAAGGAAAGTAAAGTTGCAAAGAAGCAATCTCGTAAGCAAGCACATGAGATTGCAGTTAAAGCCGCAAAAGAAGGCAAATTGGCCGAAGTACAAGAAGTACTTGGTAAAGATGGAAAGAGAGCCATTAATTACCAAATTCTTAAGAATAAGGGTCTTACTCCACATAGAAAGAAGGAATACAGAAATGCAAGAGTCAAAAAGAGAAAGCAATATGAAACTGCCAAGAAGAAACTTAAGTCTGTTAGGCAAGTTTATGATGCAAGTAATAGAGGTCCATATGAAGGTGAAAAGACTGGTATTAAGAAGGGCTTGTCAAGATCGGTTAAATTGGTTTAGATCTTTTTAGTTTGTTTTCTTTCTAGTGTATATTATTATGTAGATAAGCTAAATACAGTAAGATTTTACTCTTAACGAGTGAATTGAATATCGTCAATACGTAAAATGGACTTGACACATTCAGAGGCTAAAGTAATTGCACTAGTATTCACTAAGACTGGTTGTAAGACATGTTCTTCGAAAATATTGGAGGCACCAGATCTTCTGACTGATATACCAGCATCCTTTTCTCCGTTTTCATGTCTATTTCTCAAATCAGTAACCACATTTATTGGATTCAACCCAGCATTTTCAGCTAAGGTGGTTGGAATAACTTCCAAAGCTTGTGCAAATTCTTGGTAAACAAATTGTTCGACACCTGATAACTTGTTTGCTTCCTTCATTAATGTTCTTGACACTTCGATTTCTGGAGCACCACCACCGGCAATTAAAGCACTTTCTTTAACCAAACATCTAATAACACATAAAGCATCATGGATTGATCTTTCTGCTTCATCTAAAACTAAGTTATTGGCTCCTCTGACAATCACAGAAACAGTAGGTTTGACATTCTTTGAAGTAATACCAGTAACTTCCACAATCTTTGATCCGGAACTTTCTATTTCTTCAATTAAATCGGCAGAACCTAATCTATCTTCAGAGAAATTTTCAATATCGGCAATTGGTTTACATCCAATAGCCTTAGATAAGAATTCAACTTCATCTCTTTCGATATCTTTTATAACCATAATATTTAACTTGGAAAGGAAATGAAGGGCTAATTCATTAACTGCATCTCTAAGAATTGATTTTTGAATTAACAATACATTACATTTTGCCTTTTTGATCTTTTTACATATGTTTAATAAATATGCTCTTTCTTCTTTCAAAATCTTATCCATTTGTCTATAATCGTTAACAACCACGTTGTTTTCCATATCTGGTTTCGGAGGAGACAATTGAAATTGAATTAAACCAATCTTAGCCTTTTCTATTCTAATTGGACCGCCCGCATTCTTTACAACATTTTGAGTTAAAACCACACCGTTGACTAATTGGGTATCTTCAATAGTCCCACCAACCTTCTTGATCAATCTTATATCATTTAAATCGACGTTAGTTTCTTGTTCATTCATCACTTTCAAAACTGAATCTACTGATAATGGAGCTAACAAACCGGAATGTTGGGAAACAATCTTTGAACTTAAGGAAGTAGAAGCAGCTCTGATTAATTGTTCTCTATCATCTAACCTGACTTTATATGACATATCCAATAAGATTTCAGTAGCTCTCTTAGCTGCTCTTTGGAATGATTCTGCAATTAAAGTAGGATGGATTCCCTTGTTCAATAATCTTTCAGCAGCACCCAAAAATGCTCCAGTCAAAATGGCAACAGAAGTTGTTCCATCTCCAGCTTCAACATCTTGGGCGTGACTTACATCAACCAACATTCTAGCAGCTGGATGTAAAACCGCCATATGTTGTAAAATAGTAGCACCATCATTGGAGATTATAATTTCTCCAGTCTTAGTTCTGATCATTTTATCCATACCTTTAGGACCTAAGGAAGTTCTAATGGCATCAGATACAGCTCGAGCTGCCAATATATTAGCTCTACGCACTTCTTGCGGCTTATCTTTATCTCTGAAAGTAGCATTGGATGGAGCTACTGCTGCTCTAGCTACTTGTGCCATGGTTATCTAAATGGAATTCGATGCTAATGGGATGGGATTTGTGTTGAATCAATAAATGCTGCCAACTCTGTAATATATTTTTTTCACAGTGAGTTTCTCTGCCAGTTTCTTGGGTAGTGTAAACGCGCACAATTAATGGAAAATTTTTCTGCAGGCGAAAAAAAAATCAAATTTAAGCACGTGACTGAATTTCTAGGTTTGTGATTTCCGAGAAGATATTATAATTACATGATGAGATGATTTTTAGTAATCACTAATCAAGCTTGTCGACTACTATACACACTATGACTAAATCATTTGCAACATTTACAGATATAGATCTTACTAAGGAAGAAGTATTGGAATGCTCTTACTCTGTTTGGTCACCTTACTTCCCCCAGAATACATTCCCATCAAAGATTCTAAAACCCGTCCCCCAACTATTCTTGAAATATTTAGAAAGCGAAAGTATAAAGTTACCATCCGATGGGAATGTAACGTTGGAGTTAAATAGCGACAATGAATATAGTGATTGGGAGGATGAGGAAGATGAACAGAAAGGAGGTTATATACTGGATGATTACGTCAAAGAAGAGATCACAGTTTCACAGTTTCAATCGTTCCATGAAGAGATAATACAAAGTCTTGATTCCCTTGGAGGAAAAGTAATTCCAAAACTTAACTGGTCCTCTCCTAAAGATGCAAGATGGATAATGCCGGGGAATACAATCAAATGTACTTCAGTCAATGACATATATTTATTACTAAACGCATCTGATCATATTGTTGATGATCTTGAGTCCGCATTCCTGGCTGTGAAGCCTATTCCAGAAGCAAGTGAGATAGAGTACGAACTAGTCCTAAAAGAATGGCGGGATGTGAATCCAGCTCTAGAATTCAGGGTATTCATTAAGGATGATAAGATCTTAGGTATCTCTCAAAGAGACCTCAACCATTATGATTATCTCGAATCTATTCGCGATGAGCTCAATGACAAAATCCAACTGTTCATATATGAGAAGGTTATACCTACTGTCGGAATCCACACTATTTTATCGAAATATATTGTGGATGTATATATCCCAAGGCCATTTGATAAAGTATACATTATAGACATAAATCCATTCTCACGTAAATCCGATTCATTGCTATTTACATGGAATGAGTTGTTAGTTCGAGACACATCAGCGATTCATGATGATGATTATGCGTTCAGATTGATAAATGAAACAAATATGGGTGCCTTTGCAAAGAAAGCATATAGTGAGTCGCAAGTACCGTTAGACGTCGTGGGCGCCAGTATGGATACTGAGGCGATGATTGAATTAGCACGCGAATGGAATAATTTACAAGTTCTGGGAAATATACTGGATTAGAATAGAAGGGAAATATAAATACAATTCATTTTCGCAAAGATTTTCGCGTAGTTTGTATTGATTTGGAGAGTATTCCAGGTAATTCTATTTTCTTTTGTAGCTTTTCTATTTGAAATTCGGGAGTATTCCTACTAAGGGTCTCTTCCCCAGGCGACTTATCTATCAAAAAGGGTGGGGTGGGCGTGGGGGAGCATTTGGTATACAGCTTTTTCGCAGCAATAAATGGAAGGTGAACGCAACCAAAAAAAGCAACGCAAAAAAGAAACCGACTTCCCAATTGGGAATCCTTCCCGCGCTATATGAAAATTTATAAATAACTAGAACTTCAGTCCCACATTTTTCAACAAACCTTCACAATCTTGATTATTCTCTTCTTCACAGCGCACATTCTTCAAGCTCGATATGACATTTGGATTCAGTTTAAACGATATTTTTGTTCCTTCTTACAGAGGTAAATTAACAGAAGGTATAACCTACGATGCCAGAAACAACACTTTACTCTGGATTGATATCATCGTAGGAGAAATCCACAGAGTCTCATTAGATGATACTTCCAAACATGAAATCTTGAAATGGCAAGCCAAAATCGAATCTGTTGGTGCTATTGCTTTAACTAAGGAAATAGACGCTATTGTCATTTGTGGTAAATATGGTCTTGCCAAGGGTGATTTCACCAATGGAAACATTGAATATTTCTTCAAATATCCTCATGACGCTAAACAACAACTCAGATTAAGATCTAATGATGGCATGGTTGATCCATGGGGACATCTTTGGATCGGAGTGATGAATGATTTCCCAGTGGCCACAGTTGAAGGAATCAAACCTGAAGGAAAGCTTTACAGAATCAATACCGACGATTTCACAATTGAAACTATGATAGATAATACTTTAATTGCTAATGGATTGGCATTTAGTGAAGATGGTAAGGAATTGTTCTGGACTGATAGTTTAACTTTCACTATTTGGAAGTTCGATTACGATTACAAGACAAACACATTAAGTAATAAAAGACCATTTATTGAAACTAAAAAGATCTACCCAGAATTCGAATCTCCGGAACCAGATGGATTAGTTATGACTAAAGATGGAGATATATATTCTACAATTTTCAGTACATCTACAGTTTTGCATGTTAATGCTCAAGGTGAAGTAGTTGAAAAGATCCAATTACCAGCCAAAAGAATTACATGTGCTACTATTGGTGGTCCAAATGGAGATGAATTATTTGTTACTACTGGTCACTTAGATTTAACTGAAGATGACTGTGTTCCTGATCCTAATGATAAAGATGGAGATTTAGGTGGTTTCTTATTCAGATTGAAATTGGATCGTAATTTGAATGGACAGCCAAAGAATATTTGGAAGGCGGGGCTTCCAGAGGAATTAGTTAATTAATTCATTTAATAGATTTGATAGATAAGTATAAATATAATTTCATGTTGCGTATATTGATCGCAACTGTTTGGGAGAACTCTATTTGATTTGTCTATGTATCCTGGCGTGCTCGTCTTTCTCGTCCTGAGCATCTATAGATGACAATAAGCAGATGTCTCACATCATCGGCGATATTAATAGAGACCCTTTCTTTGCGTACAAATCCTTGACCCTTGGCGGAAGTCTTTTTGGCTATTCACGATTACCACATGGCCGTGAGAATGTTTATTTCAAATTATGAAAGTAAATCCAATGCTCTATTAACAAACTCCTCGACTAATACATTTTCTTCAATCCCACCAGCACGTAAATCTGTCAATTTCAATCTGGCAATTTCTAGTCGTTGATCATCACTAACATTACTCACAATTTTATCATCCTTTAGTATTTTCAAAATTGTTAATAAATGTATTTGTAATGCTGGCTCGGCAAGTAATTTTCGTATAATTTCGTCATTTGCTATCTTTTCCCATTTTGATTGTATCTTTCCCTCTTCTTCGGTGATCTCTTGTGTCACGGTGGGGTTTGCAACAGGTTGAGTCAGATCAACCTGGGGATGTATATGTTCTGCTGATTTATAGCATGGAATAGAACAGTATGGGATTGAGCATTTGGGACATTTATATTTTGATTCTGCAGTTTTGCATATTTCACAAAGCATGATTTATGGGGGTTGTACGTGAGTTCGGAATGGAATGGTTGAAATAGCAAATGAGAAATAGGTGGAACCGATGGGTCGTGTGGAGTGCTCAATTTAGTTTTTCTGTGAACTAGATTCCTTTGACTTTTACCTTCACTGTTTTCTTTGCAACAACAAGCATCCCTCCCTTGAATGTACATATAAGGAAGATTCGCCAGCATAAAGCAATTTTAGACCAAAGAGAGCCTCCGGTCCCTTATTATAATTTATATTATTCTCTGCACTCTTCATTCCCTTCTCTCTTCTTTTTGCAACCAACTCCGAATTGAATAATGTCGTTTTCGTCAAAAAATGTCACAAGTCATCACGACATTATTCGATCACCATTCGTCCCATATCAGAATGCGCAACTCCGTCAAACTGTTCATTATGTATCGCGATATACAAGGCACTGTATTAATCAGAGACAATGAAGCTTAAGGTAGCCTTGGTTCAAGTAAATCCTTTAATAGGACAAGTTCAGCTGAACATATCCCGGATCAGCCAATTAATATCCAATAATATAACCACCCCAATTGATTTAATAGTACTACCAGAACTAGGACTCACAGGATATAATTTCTCATCATCAAATGCAATTAAACCATATTTAGAATCATATGAGAATAAACAGGCAAATAACTTTTCATTAAACTTTGCCAAGAGTTTAAGTGAAAAATATAATTGCTTTACAGTTGTAGGATATCCTGAATCCTCATCATCGGATATCATCTATAATAGTTGTGCCTTGTTTAATCGACAAGGGGAATTGATTCATAATTATAGAAAAACGTTTCTTTATGAGACTGATGAAGTATGGGGATGTTCAGAAGGAGATAAAAAAGGATTTAAATCTATCGATGTTGATTTCGCAGCTGGTACAGCCACGCCAGTATCAATATGGGATCGTTTTAGGATCAATGAGGATAAGAAAAGTGAAACTTCATTACGAGTGAATTTTGGGATTTGTATGGATTTAAATCCATATAAATTTGAAGCACCATTTAATGAATTTGAATTCAGTTCTTCATGTTATGAACAACGTTCAAATTTGATGATATGTCCAATGGCATGGTTATCACCAAAATCGCCATCGATTAATAAAGAGATTTCATTATCGGAGAGAGTAGAGATTGCTAATCAAACAAAACTTGACAAAGGACCTGATCAATCGACTGTAAATTATTGGATTTTGAGAATGTTCCCATTCTTGTCACATAAGTATAGTTATCTGCCTAAGTGGTTTAACAAAGTAAATGTACTTTGTTGTAATCGAGTTGGTGTTGAAGGGGATATAATATTTGGTGGAAGTAGTAGTATCCTTGAGTTCAATAATCTGGGGAAGAATTATGAATCGATTAATCAAGATAATGAGAGTGTTACCATATTAGGTAGCTTGTCACAAGCTGATGAGGAAGTGCTTATTAAAGAAATTGAGTGTTTGTAGGATGTGTGTCTGTGTACATATTTTTAAGTCACTTCAAGGTGGGTTGTACAACCTAGTACTCCACTTACTTTACCCTTTACATTTGCAATTATCCAACGTGGTACAAAGTGTTTGACAAATGTTCTAGAAGAGTAAGCTTACATTAATTAAAAAGTCTATTTAAGCCTATTTTCGTGGGGTGAACTTATTGTTGAATGGAAAAAAATGGACCAAATTCCTTTTTCCTTTACATTAATTGCATAAGATACTACCTACCGAGCCTTGCCAGTGCCATGTTTCCCGAGGCGCAGTTGTACAAAACCGTGGTGTAGGAATAAGCCTTGCTTGCTTTTGTGTATCATTTCTAGGTATTACACAATAATGTATTGAAGTATGGATGTTTTGATTTCTTTTTTCGTTCACGTGATCAAATTGTATTGTGTTTTTTTTTGTTGTCTGATTGATCTTGATTGTTCAAATTTTTTTTACGCGTACGACGTTTAACTCCTTTCGTTCGGTTAAGTGGGGAGAACAAGAAGTGGTACATGGACTATTTTTAGGTACATATCAACACAAAGCAATCTTGACTTGCTAACTTCTAATTTTAGGTGAGATTACATTTACAGTAGCAACTAAAGAGATTGAAATATGTCTTGGCAATTGTATACATGTCTTACGAATTGACTACTATAAATAGCTTTAAGTTTCTAGGGGGTTAAATCCCTGACCAAAAAAAAAATAAATTTGTGTGACGATTCTTCAGATCGACCCCATTGTGGTGTGGTGCCTTGTGCTCGATCTCGTATTTGACACCATTTGACACCTACCAGCTTTCTTCAACCTAGGTAATATTTTGTTTTGTTTATCCTCTCTCTCTCGATGGATTGTAAAGTTACCCGGTTGCCATTACCATGAATTTCCACTTCACAATGATTTATGTACCTGTCATCACATGAAATGAATTAAATAATAAGACTAAAAAGTTATCGCGTGTTAAATTCTTTTCTTTTTAAAAAAAAATAATAAAAAAAAAAAAATAAAAGATTAAAAAACTTTTAATAATTTTAACCGAAGAAATACACTCGATTCATGCTTCCTTTTTTTTGAGTTTCTTCTCTCTCTTTTTCTTTCTGTTTTCTCTTTTTCCACAAATTTTTAAACAAAGTTGTTTTGAACAAGTCCATTCTTCTTTAATTATTACTATAAAGCTAAAAAAGGTTTTAGACATAGCTTACTACTTGTAACAACAACAAGGAGAAACACATTCATCCAAATGGTTAAACTAGGAAAAATGGTTAAACTCGGTAAATTTACTCGAGGGTTTCTAACCAGAATCTTAATATTATTTTTAATCACATACACAATTTTAACATCATTACAATCATTATCAAAACGACCTTCTATAATAGAATATAAAATAAGTCTAAATAGGTCAATCAAACATAAATTCAAATCATGGTATTCAAATATATTATCATCTCAATATAATTTAGAATCAAATTCAAATTTTTTATCTAAATTACAAGAAATTAAACAAGAAAAATTAGCAAATGATTACGCTAATGAATTATGGGATATCAACGAATCCAATTTAAATAATTTACCTTTAAGTGTTCAATTACCAACCTATTTCCATGATAATAACATTAAAAAACCAACAAAGCAACCATTTGATCCAAGATTTACTCTTGCTGCTTATTTTCAATATTTACAATTAAAAGGTACAGAAGAACCAATTCCATTTCATTGGTCAGATTGGGTAGATTTATCTCGGTTAGATAAATATATTCTTGATAAAAAAAAGAGAAATTTATGTTCAACATTATTTGATATTTCTAGTAGGAAAAAAGAGATTGAAGGTTCAGATGTTATTGATGTAAATCAATATTGTAAATATGATCCTCAATCAGAATTAGGTTATAAGATTTTTGCTCCAACTGGTCCTCAAACTGTTAATAATCGAGAAATCTTGGGGAAATCTTATTTATATACTGGTGCTCCTTCTCCAAGAAAATTGATTTTTTTGACTAATGAACAAGGATCTTATAGTATTAATGTTAACAATTATCAGGAAAATAGCGTAAATAATTCATTGCTACATAATGGAATGATAGATGAGTTGGTATCAAATGATAATGGAATTAAATCATTAAATGTATTGGATTCATACAAATCTTTAATTTCAACTCATCCAGTTCCAAAATCTAGAAGTTTATTAAAAGAAAGAACGATTCATATTCCAGAATCTTCCTTCCTTAATAATCCATATCCAATCATTAAAGACTTAACCAATTCCAAACGTCAATTATCAAACATGGAAAAGCTGTTCCTTGAATCACTTCAATTTAGTGTGTCTTGTGCTGAGCCACCAAAATATTTCTCCGAAGCTAAATTATTAGAAAAATATCTGGAAAGATGGTTAGGTGAACATTATGATTGGAGATTTTTCACAGGATTAACTGTGGGTACCGATGATCAATCAATTGTATTACATCGTTTAGTTAAAAATTATTTGAATTTTGCTAGAGTTCATGGAATTATCACTTGGATTGCTCATGGTTCTTTATTATCTTGGTATTGGAATGGAATTGCATTCCCATATGATACTGATATTGATGTTCAAGTTCCAATTAGTGAATTATATAAATTAGGAAGATACTTTAATCAAACTTTAGTTGTGGAAAGTGTTATGGATTCAGATGGGCAATTTGATGGAATGGGAAGATATTTTGTTGATGTTGGATCCACTATTTCTCATAGAAAGAAGGAAAATGGGGCAAATAATATTGATGCCAGATTTATTGATATTGATACTGGATTATATATCGATATTACTGCTTTAGCCTTAACTGATACTCCAGCTCCATCAAGATATGATAATTATATTTCTATGGACGTAACTAAAAAATCGATTGTTGATGCTTTATCAAGACCAGGCGAATTGAATCATGCAGTTAAAAATCAACAATTGAAAGTTTATAATTGTCGTAATGAACATTTTAGTTTATATGAAGAACTTTCTCCATTAGTTCTTGCCACTGTTGAAAATCAACTTAGTTATGTTCCATCCAATTTCGTTATGACATTACATTATGAATATAATTTAGATGGTACAACTCAAAGAAATTATCGTGATTATTATTATTTAAATAATTTCAGATTATGGTTCAAAACTCAAGTTATCCTTGATTATCTTAAATCTCCACAAACTTGGATAAACGATAATAATTCCACTTTAAATAACCCTGATAATCATTTACATTCTAAATCTAATGGAGTTGAAAAACGTCTTGTGGGAGAAATTGAAAAATTGCAAATTAATAAATTATCAGTCAAAGATCATATAAATCTTCTTCAATCAAATAAATTATTTAAAGAATGGTATAAGACAATGAATTTTACAAAATTCCATGAATTGGAATTAACAAAAATATTAAAGAATGAAGTTGATGATATTGATCAATTATTAGACGATTATAAGGAAGAAAATTGTTTGGGTAGAGGTATAAGACCTGATTTATTTATGCATTCGATCTTTACGGATCTTACTGGGAAAAAGAATGATTTCTTAGGTGAAGTGGAAAGAACACTAGAGTTACAAGAAACTTATGAATCTGAGAACCAATAGGTTTCGCCAAGGGGGGAGAGAGAGGGGTTTTAGAGATGGTTGATATTTATGCAATTTTTTAACGACTTGTTTTTTTGTTTTTTGTTTTTGATAAACGTCTGGTTTTCTTATCATTTAGTTTGCCTTTTTCTATTTAAATAGATTTATTTAATGAATTGATTTTTTGTTCGTTCTAACTATGAGAGTCGTATCTGACTAATCATTTGGGTATTGTTGATCAATCGTTTGAAAATCAGTTGATAGCAAACAAAACAGTTGATAGCAAACTAAGTAATTGTCTTTTTTTTTTGCAACCAATTGTTGACAGGAAACCATGGTTGATTTACAGTGCATGTGATCTATCCAAATTTAAAAGCAACTCTTGGTGAGAGCTTCAAGAGTTGCTCAACAATCACAATAGTACTAACTACGTCCGCTTTTGTGTATTAATTACACTCAAGTTTGTGTCTATAACATTCTTACTGCAATAAAACTCTGAATATTCTATAAAAAACAAATGGTTGAGATGGATCACTTAAATAAAGCAATTGATAAACGATAAGGAATTGAGTATCACCAAGACGCTTACAAGCTACACCTGATCTAATATTCCGCACATTTCCCATTTCCTGTCATTCTAGATTGTCCTTGAATAACAGGAATTGGATAAGTTGGTAATGAATGATAACTATTCTTGTTGTTTGCAATTGCACCAAAAGCTTCATACCATCCAATAAATGCATTAATAACACTTACTATCCCAGCAGCTTTAAACACTTGTTGACTATTGGTTAAAAATCCGGCCAGGATTAAAAATAAAGTTATATCCAATGTGAAAATAGCCAACACCAAACTGATATTTGATTTTACCGTACATGTAAACATCATGAATGCAAAGAGTGCCCATCCCAAAATATTCAATCCCATTGCATTATTAAACATTTCAATATCATCACCATAAGCTTGTCTAATTCCAAATGCAGGAGTTAATGTCGCTCCTAGTTGAATCCAAAATGTTCCAAAACTCGTAAACATTGTGGCTGCAAATGTGTGACCTTTGACTAATTCCCAAGCACCACAACAGAATTGAACAATCCCTCCATAAAAGAACATTAATCCTACAGCTACATTCAATTGAGTAATTCCCATGGTTCCGGCAAGGTAGAAACCAGCAATTAATCCATTGAATGAAGTTGATATAAGGGCTAAAGCCCCGGCATTCCCATACTCTACCTTGGGAGGTTCATGGACCATATAAAAGAAATGAGGAGTTCGTATTATTTCTGTTTCTTGATTTCGTTGTTGTTGTTCTTCAATATCCCTTCTATAGTGTCTCTCATTTCCTATAACGATGAATTCATCTTCATTGGTGATTGAGCATGTTCTATACGGAACATCTGAGACTTCTGAAGATCTATCCGATTGATAATATTCAGAGTCTGGAGTTGTCCGCATTGGTTCATAATTCTGTAGAGGTTGGAAAGGAAATCGATGAGATTGAGGAGTGGGGAATTATCTAATGATTTATAAATGGATTATTTTTTAGATTGATAACTTCAAAAAGTTTAATTATTTTTATTTTCTTTTTTTGCAACATTGACACAACGGTTTTAGTAATAGCTTAATAAACTTTGAACTTTACATAACTAGAGAACATTCTATGCAGCAAATTTTTTACTCATTTTTACTAAGGTGGGACAAAGCGTCCTCGCCCATTGGAACCCAGGTTAGCTTGGTTTCAAAGCTGTTGAGCGAAATCATTGGAGCAAAACCAAATGATGATTCATCTCTCAATCCCGTATTTCGGAGAGAGGGTACTAATGCGACAAGAAAAAAAATTGCAGCATCCACAGAATAGTGGCAGGTCTTAGCAAATCCATTGTTTAAATGGATGACAGCTGTGCGGAAAATTACAAAACAATGTAATTCTGTAATTAATAAGCGATTTCATTTTTAAGGGACCGAGGAGACTTGCTTCCATACTTTGGAGTTAATCTCTTACGACCTTTAAAAATAAAGGGTTTAATAGTCTGTTCGGTTATTGTAAAACATGGACTGACTTGGAATACAAATCAATTGTAGCTAAGCTGCAAAAGAGTAGAAAGTGAAGTTTTCACAAATAGAAATGTTTCCACATTTGCTGTAATCGTTTATTTTTGCAATCTGCCACGATAATTGTGAATCTACCGACCCTATATTGAGGTGTAGAGGTTTGAAGGTCGCTTTATTTCGGCGATAAATGCATGCTTGTTACAATTTGCTACTCTTTGGAGTACAAAAGTTGGCTTTTATTCACAAAAATGGATTGACATATGCGAAACGCAAAATTGCGCTTTCGGAGCTGTCCCCATTTGGCCATTATGTCAAATACAAAGGATTTTTTAAGATGTCAAAGCCCAGATGGATGAATTGTTAAAGATATTCTAAAGGAATGGCTTTGCATTCAAAGTATAAAGTCATCTACATACTCCTAGCTCTAGGAAACACTATAACACTTCTTAAAATGACTGGAACAGTGAAATTTTAAGAAAAAAATAATGTACTACTCGAGGTCTAGAAAAAATCCTTGAAAGATTTTAAGGGGGCTATGAGAAAAGCCCATCAATAACGAACAAAGGATCCTTTCAAAGCCCAGCAAGGCGAATCGCGTCATCTTCGGCTCGTTCTTCTAATATGAACGACGTCTAATCCTTTTGAATGTGTGAATTACAATTCGAGCGCAATTTAAATTACGACAAGAAAAAATCATGGCCCTGGGCAAAGCTTTATAAGAAAGAAAAGATCTTGAATTTCTTGTTTTGTGCCTTTTTGTGTGGGTGTTAAACGTGAGCAATTAGACGCCTTGATCTCCTAAACCGTTTTACATCTTCCAGGAGAATCTCAGGGAATCAGACCCATGACAGAACAATAAAGTAGGGGTTATTGTCGTGGGGAAAGCGAGGGGCATTCTTCGAGAGAAAATAAAAGCTATTTATGGAACAATAGGCACTTTTCCATTTAGATTTCTAATTATCCTTCCGTTTCAGATATCTACTCTCAAAAAATAGAAAGCTGAATTGATGGTTTGTTCCCCTTGATGTGAATTTCTTTTTTGGTTAGAATCCATGTGTCCCTATGCCAAGACAAGTTGAAAAATTTGTGAAGTAAACACTAATACTTTAGCCAAAAAAAAAGCCCAACGTGTGTATGATTCACTGTTCTCACATGGACAGAACTCTAAATATTCGTTTATTCGGCACGTATTTCCATGTATGTGTCAACAGATACAATGTCAACAGTTGGTTTGACAAGAGAATGTATGAAAAGGTTTAGGATTATCCTTTACATCAAAAAAACTAAGGAAACTCGAATGGTGCAACCAAAAAAAAAATATTGCAACAATCCACATTGTTTCTTTTAGGAAGGAATTGGCAACCGTTTGTGATGAAGGGATATGAGCTCAGCTTCTTCTTCTTAAAAGAACGTTAAGTTGTAACCAAAATGTCCAAGTAACACACAAATCTTAAAAAACACGCTCATGAATATTCAATGATGTGACTTTTCGGGATTTTTCGGAAGATTCCTCTCACAATCTATATTTAGCACGGTCATCGATAGGTGGGAGGCTATGGACAAAAAAGAAAGTTAGCTTGTACTACAGGATCTCGAGGCGTAAAAAACCAAGTTTATACTCAAAGTTTGATCTCCACTATTTTCGCAATCATTCTTGCTCTTGCAGCAATAGATTTTTGTAGAAACAAGGCTTATCAAATGGTTGTCATAACTAACAGCAGGAAGGTACATGGACGTCCTATCTCGTTCTCACATGTTCTTGTTCGATAGTCTAGTGTTAGTTGGTGATAAAGGATCGCCTTAGTAAGATTGTCACATAGCAGAACATTGCCGCTTTTTATATGCGGTTTTTTTTTTATTTTTGCTTAATTGGATAATAATTTATCCAAAATGGGAAAGTAAGTTCTGTATATGCAGGATGCAAGCATAATTTTAAAGTATTAATCAATTTGTTTATTGTGATATGCGGTGTATTTAGATTTTATATGTGGGAAGTCAAAAAATATAAATTATTTTTTAAGCAATTGTTTTTTTATTTATTTTAAACTTCCTTGAAAAATTAATCAGTTTAGTGAAATTTTTATTGATATAAAAATATGATAAATTCCCTCTTCAAATCGTAAAGTTTTTATAAGTCTGAATTTCTTTCTTTCTTCTTGTTTTTCCTGTTTGCTAATCACTATATACGAATAATCAAAAATGCAATTCAGAACTGTTATCATTGCTTTAACCGCTGCTGCCGTTGTCTCTGCTGCCAATGAAACTGCTAACGCAACCAACACAACCACATCTCCAAGTGGCGCCGTTGCTGGATTATCTGGTATAAATGTTGCTGGTGTAGCTGCTGCTGCTGCCGCTGGTCTTGCTTTATTAATCTAAGCTTAATAGAAAATTTGAATTACAAGGAGTGAAATTAATGGGTGTAATCTGTTTAAAAGTATCCTGCTTCGTTTTGAGTGCTACCAAAATTTTGCACACCCAATTTTGAAATCACATTGAAAACACACATTAGGTATTTTTGGGTTAGAAAGTGTTCGTTTATATATATAATTAATTTTAATATGTTTTTTTTTAATAGTGGAAGGAACTGAACAATGATTGAGTGAAAAGATTGAAGACTTGATTATACTTCTTGGTAAGTGGTTATTGTCTCTCTTTTGTTCATTTGTTATATAGTTTCTCTTTTTATTTATTTCGTTTTGTAATTTCAATGTACAAACCTTTTTATCTCAATTGTTTTCCATGAGCGATTTAGCAGGCATTGACATCAGCCAGACATGAGGGCTGATGTGAGCGATATAAACAAAGCGATTTTTATTCTCTACATCTTCAGTAGCCAAGAGGAACTTGCATTGAAGCGCTTTGAAGTCAACAAAACAATCTTCACAGTAGAGAAAGTGCTAGGTTCTTGTAAATGAAGTAGTTTGGCGTGATCTGTCGCACCAGTACGCAGTTATTGGAAGTTGATTCTCCAAGAAAATAAAAATAAAAAAGTACAAAAATAGAAGATTATTCAAAGATAAGGTAATATGCGAATTGGTGTAAAAACGTGGAAAACCAACGAACTTCTGGAAGAAATTGGATAGAGTTTATACTCTTCTTTAGTTTTGATGTTACAGATTTTTAGAAAAGTTTAAACTAAGTATTGATGTTAAAGTATTTGCGAAAAGTTTACTAGTAGCAAGTTTAAATTCAATCATCATTGCTCTATGGTACAGAATCACAAAACCTTCTATCTATTTTTTCTAACGAGAGAATTATTTTCCTTCACATGCTTAGTTCATAATTTTTTTATTGTTCTAAGGCGGGCTGAAAATAAGTTTATTTTTTTTATTAAGTAAAGATACATAATATTTTTGAATGAGGTGCACGACTATGGTTTGAAGTTTTTGTCCAAAACCTTAAACTTTTCAAAAAGCTTAACACATTTTAACCTCAAACGAGAGAATCTCATTTGTACTGCGCTTAGGAATTCAGTTGATGGATAAAATAAGCTGATTTTGAAGCCTTTATATTAACCAAAAACAAACTAATTAGTTGTCCTTCGGAAATTTTGGAATTGCATGACATAGTTGTTATACTTGATTTTATTTTGCTATTGCTTCTTTCCTCCAGCCTCCAACGCGATTTCCTGAAATAAACGAAACTTTAAAATAAAAATTGATCTTTCATTCTTCAAAATTTCAAATTGTCATGGGGCTAAGAAAAATCGCATAAAAATAAGATGATAAAATTGCTATCAACAGAAACATGAAACCCAAATGAACAAAAAATAAACTGAATTCAACTTGTTTGCTGAATTGTAATTGAAGAACCCATGGCGGGAGTCGAACCCGCAATCTTTTGATTAGAAGTCAAACGCGTTAACCATTACGCTACACGGGCGCTTTCGTTGGATTTCGAAATCACGTGATTTTCGTGTTATTTTGTGGCACGTGATATTCGTGTGATTTTCACGTGGTATTCGTGTGATTTTCGCGTGATATTCATGTGCATCGATAGAAAAGCGATTGGATGTTGTGGAATGCTCTACTCCTGTTCGGAGTATTGGACTAAGTTTTGAGTTAATTAATAGGTCAATTCCCCCTCTTGGTCCTTTCAGTTCTATCCTGGCTTGGAATCCATTAGATTATCAGTATAAAATTGGCATAGAGGTGTTGCTCTACGTAGAACACACAGCAAATCATAGTTTATTAGTGATTGGAAAAGGGATCGACCTTGGCGGTTCTCTTGTTTATCACTAACTCTGTATATTTCTAGTTTTTGTGCTTAGATGTGACAATATATAGGGATGAAGTGAAAAAAATGGGAAAACTTGACAAACATTGCTTATTCATTCTGTGCTGGTGTAGAATGATTCTTTTGCATGAGAAAGTCTCCAACCTGAGGTTAGTAATTTTTTCTCCTTTCTCTTCTGCTTACATTTCTGTTTCCCACTACTCTCAAAAAATCTATCCTTTAACCTAGTATAGGATGTAATACTGAAGACTTTTTTATCTTTTGCTCAAGAGCCCACATCTCTTGCATAATGACAAAAAAGATTACCAATTATGAAAAGAAAAATTTATGGATCATAAATGAAGTTTTGCTGACTATTATTGATGCAAACTAAAGCAATAACCTTTTGCTATGGTTATTATAAAATCAATTTCGTTGATCCATTTATGGTACAATTACTGCACTGCCAGCCAAAAAAATATTTTGTAAAAAATAGCGCGAAAAAAATGCTGCAAATTTTGCAACCATAACGTTTCCCGAAGACAGTAAGTAGAAGCTGAACATATATGCAAAGTTGAATAATAATCCACCTTTATAACACAACCTAATCTGAAATACACGCTAATGCTCCTTGGGGTTGCAATCTTTAATTCCAAGAAAGAATCCTTTAAAAAATGAGTGACACTAGTTGCTTCACAGCATTATCTAGAAAATACAGAGAGAAAATGGAAATGGTTTATAGTTTAGAAGCCCTAGGGTAGCACTTGAAGAATTGCTAAGAATTGTTGTTTCTTCCCATATGTATATTTTGATACCTTGACTTCTCCCGCATGAACATATACGGATCTGTCAACTTTCGTGCCTTTCGAACTCCATTATCGAACTTTCTAGAGATAAACGAGTTCTACTTGATCAATCAATTAGTTCCTTAGAAGCTCAGTTTTCTGTGCTATGATCCAGTATTCCTGGAAGCAATTGCATGCATATCTCATCTAAGTGAACTTGTTTAATAAGGGAGCCTCGGTTTTGATGAGGCATTGTTGTTTTCCAATCCGTATATCCTTGTTGGATTATCTACAATCCTTACATTTTAAAACTTCATCGTTTCCTCAAAGATAATATCTCGTAACCAAAATTTTCATATGACAACGGAAATATCGGTTAGAAAATAACCCCTTGAAAATTATCAATATAATCGAAGTTTCTTTCTATGCGTGTGCTACTTTTTAGTTTTCTGAAACATTGAGTTCATAGTGGGTGAATGATTCCTTCTCATATTGGTCTTTGAATTACTCCCAAAAGTCGGCATAGAGCAACAAGCTAATTCCTATCAAATTTCTAATAGTATTCCGATTGGTTTTTGTTTTTTTGAGTTCCGTGAGTTTCAGGTCCCAAGGGGGGGGTTATGATTGGTTTGGCAAAAATAAAGTTCTACAAACGAATTCAAACCTATTTTTTTTGGAGAAGGATTATAGATTTTGATTATAGATTTTCAAAACTAGCTATGAGACCCAATGGACCACATTTGTGTCCCCATATACAATAAGCTCCTAGGTCACAGATTCTCATACTAATCACTCGGGTTAAAAAAATAGTCAGTAATAGCAAAGACACAGGATTGATTACAAGGCTAGGGCATTAGTTAATAAATAAGCTTTTCTTTCGATCGTAAGAACTTTAATCTATCCGATCAGTCAATAATTCCATTCCAGATCATGTATCTGCCTAAAGGCTATTTATTCAGGTATTTTCCATCTGAAGCAACATTTTCCTTCACTAAAGAATTTTTGTTTCTTCTCATAGACCATTCTTCTTCTACGTAATGGATAGCAGTGATAAAGAAAGTTCAACTCCGTCACCAGAGAAGGAGCCAACCCTAAATTCTTCAGCTTCTAAGAACCTTGGAGCTGGGGATGGAACTACACTCGAAGAACAGTACTTGACAGGCTATAAATTAATCGGATGTTTGGTAGCGATTCTAAGTTGTTTGTTTCTCATTGGTATAGACCAAACGATTATCATACCCTTGTTGACAATTGTGGGTAATCAATTTGGAGCAACGGAGAAAATTGGATGGATATCTTCAGGATTTTCATTTTCACTCACAGTATTTACGCCATTTATGGGAACCTTTTCAATGGCATTTGGTAGAAAACAAACATTGCTGGTATCTGTTATTCTATTTGAGGCAGGATCTTTGGTCTCCGCATTGTCCAATAGCATGTCAATGCTAATTGCCGGAAGAGTGCTTACAGGATTGGGTGGTGCAGGAATTCAATCAATTTCTGTGATTATTGCTTCAGAAATCACCCCAATCAGCAAAAGGCCAATTATTATGGCCCTCGTTGCACTTTCTTTTTCTGTTTCGTCAACACTTGGTCCAATTATAGGAGGTGCTTTTGCAAGCAACGTTAGCTGGAGATGGGCTTTCTACATAAACCTTCCAATTGGTGGTGTAGCAGTTTCACTTTTATTCCTGTTCTTTAACCCACCAAAACCAAAGGGCACATTTTGGGAGAAATGCAAGAAGATTGATTATTTTGCTACATTTTTGATTTGTGGAGGTTTGATTTTCATTCTTCTAGCATTAACTTTGGGGTCATCAATGCAGTACCCTTGGAATTCAGGAATCGTGATCTCATTTTTTACAATTGGGGGATTGTTGACTGTTGGATTTTGTATTTGGAATTTCAAATATTCGTTTAATCCCTTAATTTCAAAAGAAGTAATAAAAGTAATCCAAATTAATGCTTGTGCAATGACCACAGGGTTTGCATTTGCCGCATTCATTGCACCTACCATTTACCTTTCAGTGTATTTACAAGTTGTACACGAGATGACACCCATGAGAACAGGTATTCAAATTTTACCTACGGTTATAGGTGTTGTACTTGGTTCTATGTTCGTTGGAATCTTTATGAGAGTGACTAGGTATACGAAACCATTTTCAGTTTCTGCAGGGATTCTAGGACCCGTTGGGATTGGATGCTTACTCTTATTGAGGACTCATACGACAACCAGTCAAATGATAGGATTGTTCACCCCCTTTGGTATTGTGACAGGTGTTGCGTCACAAGTATCATTTATGTCAGCACAACAGAAAGCCCCGAAAGTCAATGGAGGACTAATTCTAACTGTTACTTATATGGGTTTTGCAAAATGTCTTGGTGCAACTTTGACTGCGAATTTGGCAGACACTGTATTTTCAACAAGCTTAATTCGGAAGATCAATCATTTAATCCAGACAGAGCCTGATCCAATCATTGCTTCCGAAATAGCAAATTTAAATCCCAAGTCATTGTTGCAGTCGTCTAAAATCCTATTTAATTTCAGTAATGAGACTATCGGCATCATCAAGGAAGAATACAACCTGAGCATTTTGAATGTCCTCTATATGTCATTGGCTTTTTCGATTGTTGCAATGATTTCGTCGCTATTTCATACAAACAAGCGAATTCCAAAAGATGACAAAAAGAGCAATATTCCCAACAATTCTACAGATGAAGCTTAGTTATTTTTATATTTGATAGTTATTTTAATAGTTTATTTAAAAATGAAATGATAGTAAAACATACTTAATTAACATTGGAAAAGGGCTGCAAAAAACGACATAACTGAAACAAAAAAATTAAATCACGACATTTTTCACTCTATACTCAATTAGGAAATTACTTGGAAATGGAGCGAGTCATAAAGTTCAGGAAAAAAAATCACATTCACTTTTAAGATTTAAGAAATCGAAATGATGTTATATTATCTTTACTTCCTTTTCCTCAATTAAAACAACCAAAACAGCATATATAATCGAATGTCAGACGATAATATGACAGAGTCGAGTCCTCCCCCAACCAGAGGAAGAAGAAAGTCAACCAAGTCTTCTGTTCTATCTGAAGAACAGAAAAAAGTATGCGTTTTCAAGAATGAATCATCTCCTGATATTTTAAAAGAACCTATGTACTAACAGAAATCTTTATAGGCCCACCATATTGCATCAGAACAAAAAAGAAGAGAGAATATCCGAGCAGAGTTCGATAAGCTTGTTTCGTTGACTCCAACTTTGACGGAGCTGGAAAATAGATCAGAGTTGAACATTTTGACTAAAAGTGCAGACTACATCGATGAATTACGAGAAGAAAACATAAAGTTGATAGAGTTATGCCGTATGAAGGGTATACAAGTACCAAAGTCGCTAATTTATGAAGGTCCAACAAATGATGGAAGCGATATTGCCCAGTAGGTCCTTCCCCCCAAAAGGACTATTTATGAAATGTTACACGATATTAATGTCCCTAGGAACATGCTTGAGTTTTGATAGATTTATGACACAAGCCCATTTCCAGTTTAGTTCCAACAATAGTTAGCTATTTGTATTAAGAAAGTACGATTATTCTTCATTTATTAAAATTATAATGCATTATTTTATATACCGTCAGTTTTCCACCTTCCAAATCAACCCAAACGCAAACTCTTGGCCCTTACTATTGTACACATTTTGTACAGGTAAGGATTCGAAGCTACCTTTTGAATCAATTTTGGAAAGATTCGGGAGAGAAGCTAATACCTGTAAGAAATTCTTGCTTCTATTAACTTGTATGATTTTATCCACTAATTCCTTTCTTGAAGTAAATAGTGTCGTTATGGAAAGTTCACCCTTTCCTACTGGGCAGATATTCGAATCATCAAATTCTTCTATTAAGTTATCCAGCGACGCGTCAATTTCCTCTTCAGAATCCGAGTCATCATACATACCGGTGACGTCTTCATAACTGAAGCCACCCCACTCAACATCTGCGCCTCTGGGTAATGCAGAAACTTTAACAACAACTAAGTTTTTAATGTTCTCGGGTGTATTTTCAATAGATTCCATGAATTCTTTCCACGTATGACAGACAGTTGAAAGATACAGGGAGTCGTTCATAAAGCAAATAATCAGTCCTAATTTTTTGACATTGACCAAGTTCTTTACTCTGTACAAATGTTGTAACGATAATGCTGAGTTGAAATTGATTCCGTTGTTAGACAAGTCCATAGTAGACGGTATAAGCGGAATTTGCCCCGACAAACTAGCTAATTTGTAAGTAGTTTGGTTGTCGACGATACTCTGGGAATAAGGACCAATGTTTTGAGGACCCCAGTATGACCTGGAACGTATATGGATACCGGATTTCGGTTCTATATTCTTCAATACAACACAAGAAAATTGCACTGAACATAATAGTGTTGTCTCTATGCAAATTCTTGAGGGTGGAAGGTAGATATTTTGAAATTGTTCTCCATAAACTTTATTTATTGCGCCAAATTGGTTCATGTCCGATAATAGCAAAGATACGTGCTGGATATTATTGACTGTTAAATTGTTTTCATCAAGCATCGTTTTCAATTGAAGGAAAATATCACTAGCTTGCTGTTCCAAATTCGATTCGGATGAGGTCAAGTTTGAAATGTACAACTTTGAATTGGTCGAGACAATACTTGGAGGTGTTATCGATGGAGCAATATGCTCTTCGAGAGTGAGATTTGCCAAGCTCACATTATCTGCCTCTTTATTGGAAGTGCCACCGCTTAATAAAATGTTCTCAAATCCTTCCTCGAGTAGCGCCGGTGGTTCTATAAGTTCTAATTCGGAGCTATCTTTATCAACCAATTCAACCTTCATCTTCAAATAATATACATCATCACTAGGATCTCCCACCACTTCCTTTGCAGCAATTTCAAGCTTCTTAGTTCTGAATAAAGGACAATCAAATACCATAGTTTCAAACTCACCACCTTCTCCACATATATGAACTTGGTATAACTGATTTAATTTGACTAGGGTCGGAAATAATTCAGTTATACTTTTTCCCAAGTGATTTTTGTTTAATCCAATAGCGGCCACTTTGATAATCCTGGCATCAAGTTGATTATTGCACATTTCTTGCATCAATTCATATTGATCCCTTTGCCAAAGATAGGCCAATGAAGTCAATTTCAACCTATCACAAACGTTTTCTACTCTTGTTCGTTGGTAATGTGATAAGATGGCCCCACAACTGACAGCTTCCAAGTCGGGATGAGATGCTTTAATTGTCGACAATAATTCATGGAGATCTTCAATCTCATCATTTTGTGTAGGAGAATATTCTAAATTCTGATTTGACGAAGAACCAGTTATCAGCTGTCTATATAAAGGAACGTCTAGACATGATGCGTAGTATTCTATTATATCGTGGCCAACCGTTTGGAACATAAAGGAATCAATTTCATGTTGGTCAATTTCTTTGGGATGCAAATTTCCCAAGGCAATTAGCTCATGGCCCTGTGATAAACAGTGATATATATTGAAGAAAGAATCCTTACCTCCTGATATCAATGCTACAAACTTCATCGATAAGAAGAGAGGACTAGACCAACTATGGGAGTGATAGATACAACTTGCAAAACAAACTGCAAAATTTCAAACTGCATATTAGGGGTTCAGTACTAATAATACGTAGTAAGTGACCTCCCAACGTAATTTTCAGAACAGTTAAGATTTTGAGAGAAATGATTTTTTTTTTCGTTCTGCCAGACGCTCGCTCTTCTCACTGGAATATTTAAAAAAATTTTTCATTCTGTTTTTTACTTCTTCGTTTTCTCTTCTTTTCTTCCTCATCAAAGCAAACAAGTCAACATGCCTCGTATGTATCAATTATAAGATATACTCACATAGCTTAAACAGGAAAACTTCAATATAAACGATTTCAGAACTTGACAATCTTTTAGATTACCTTGTGCTTCCTGGTCGTTGAGGTTCGGGTCCTCCTTTCTTTGAAATGAAAATTTTCATAGAATGCTTTTTAGCAATTTAAAACACCTTTGTAACTGAATTCCCGACACTTCAGTTACAAGCATCGATGATTATTTATCGTTGTGTGTATCGTGAATTTTACACGAGTCCATATCTCCTTCTTTAGAGGGATACGGCAGTCATTCTTGGCGGGTAGCTATGCTGTCCAATTATTCAAGGAAGACTAGTGTCATGTCCACATGCATATTTGATGAATATTGTTGATGAGTTTTAGATTATTTTAAGAGCATTTCTGTCAATTTTTTTGTTTTAGAAAGTGTAGTGACTCGTAGTTTTAAGCCTAAGTTTTTTCTTTTACAAAAGATCTTTTATGCTAACATAAATTTAGGTGCTCCAAGAACCTACTCCAAGACTTACACTGTCCCAAAGAGACCATACGAATCTGCTCGTTTAGATGCTGAATTAAAGTTGGCCGGTGAATACGGTTTAAAGAACAAGAGAGAAATCTACAGAATTGGTTTCCAATTATCTAAGATTAGAAGAGCTGCTCGTGACTTATTAACCAGAGACGAAAAGGACCCAAAGAGATTATTCGAAGGTAATGCTTTGATCAGAAGATTGGTCAGAGTTGGTGTTTTACCAGAAGACAAGATGAAATTGGATTATGTCTTAGCTTTAAGAATTGAAGATTTCTTGGAAAGAAGATTACAAACTCAAGTTTTCAAGTTAGGTTTAGCCAGATCTATCCACCACGCCAGAGTTTTAATCACCCAAAGACACATTGCTGTTGGTAAGCAAATTGTCAACATTCCATCTTTCACTGTTAGATTAGACTCCCAAAAGCACATTGACTTTGCTCACAACTCCCCATACGGTGGTGGTAGAGCTGGTAGAGTTAAGAGAAAGAACCAAGGTAAGGGTGGTGACGAAGGTGCTGAAGACGAAGAATAAATGCGTTAGTCCAGATATTATCACAGGGTTATTCATGTATTTTATAGTTTTCATTTATCTTTATTTAATATAAATGGTTTTCATATCTTTCCAAACATATTTTTCAGTTCTTTATGTAGATTAGTAATTTAATGGTTCATTATTATGTAAGACATATATCGATTGTAGCATTCCTAAAATGAGCTTCTTGTATATTGACATGAACCATTACAATGACATGTGGGTGTACTCCAAATTCCAGATCGGTAGCCTAGGACATATGTATACTTTAGGGGAAATGTACAGTATAAGTAAATGGCTGCAAAATTCAGAATATCATCATCACATGAGATCAGGTTTTAGGGCTCAAACCCTAACTTGCATATAATATTTTGGTAGCCACACGCATTTTCCTCTACACCAAAAAAAAAGTTGAAAATTTCTCACAGTCAAAGTCGCATTGCAGTAGAGACAGTACCACTATTGCCAATTCACCTTAGAAAAATTAAAATATCAAAAGTTTTTTTCACATAGAAAGGGTATTATAATAGTTCAGCATACATAATTAAAAATGGGTAAATCGTATGTGGAGATATAAAGGATGATGAGACCATATAAGATAGATATACCATAACACCATAGGGGAATGATATAGACGTTATTTGGAAAGAGAGACAAGAAGGAATCACATTAAAACGAAAGTCTGCAAAAGAACAAAACTCTTCATTGAATCGACAGTGGAGACTCAAGAATTAAACATATGGATGGGCAGAGCAAATAAACTTAGATAATGATAGTGAAAGATGATAACGAGCCATATTCAATGAGCTTTTGGAATGCACAACTGAACTTCTGTACAACTTCGTATCATCGCAAATTCCATAATATCTAGAGGAAATTTGGGTCCATCAAAGTAGTGGGACACCTATCGCAAGTTCGAAGAAATATACAATTCAGGAGTATTTTCCGCATGTGTTATGAAACTATCTTATATTGGATTTCAATTATTAAAGGGAACATTTTTACTAACAATTTATATTATAGTCGTGGTTACAGATCTGGTACTCGTTACGCTTTCCAACGTGACTTCAAGAAGCATGGTGCTATTGCCTTATCTACATACTTAAAGACCTACAAGGTCGGAGATATTGTTGATATCAAGGCCAACGGTTCTATCCAAAAGGGTATGCCACACAAGTTCTACCACGGTAAGACTGGTATTGTCTACAACGTCACCAAGTCTGCTGTCGGTGTTATTATTAACAAGGTTGTTGGTAACAGATACATTGAAAAGAGAGTTAACTTGAGAGTTGAACACGTTAAGCACTCTGCTTGTCGTCAAGAATTCTTAAACAGAGTTAAGTCTAACGCTGCTGCTAAGAAGGAAGCCAAGGAAAAGGGTGTTCAAGTTTCTTTAAAGAGACAACCAGCCAAGCCAAGAGGTTCCAGAATTGTTACTACTGAAGGTAATGTTCCTCAAACCTTAGCTCCAGTTGCTTACGAAACCTTCATTTAAACAATCACAACACCACACCCACCTTTTTACCTCCTTTATATTTTTTATTATTTAATAATCTTAGAAAGTATAAATTAATGCACATATAAAAGTACAGGAAATATTAATATAAATCGTAGTAGGCAATGTTTTGAATACATCAAGCAGGGGTTCAAACATTCAAATATCTCTCTTAGAACATCTCGAACTTATTTGTATCACGTGATCGTAGTATTTGACGTTTTCCCTGCGCTGGCATTCAAGGGGAAAAAATTAGGTGGAGAACGATCCACATTTACTTGTAGAAACCAACATCCATAGCCTTCACCTTTGTATAAACCCATAACAATGTCTAGCGAACCCCCTACGGATTCGATTCAGCTTGACGAAAGGCCACCAACTAGATCATCCAATGTTTTTGGAAATGCATTACAGACCTGGGTAGAGATTGATTTACCTTCTTTGCAAAAGAAGTTGGATGAACAAGGATTGCAATTAAAAGAAGAGCAAAAATCCTCATTACTTAGTAGAAAGACATTAGCTGCTAAAACTAAGGAATTTAGGAAGCTAGATGATTCTGAGAAGTTAGAACAAGTGAAGTCATTATTGAAATTATATCAAAATGAAATTGACAAATTGACGAACAAAAATAAGACAGTGGAGACATATTTCTTTGGAATATATCGATTATTAGCTGAAGCACCTGATCCAAGACCATTATTGGAAATGTCATTGGATTCAGTTATTGAATCAAAAGAAGCTATAAGGTTACGTGCAGAAGTGGAAAAGCTCACAGATGAATTAACTCGGAAGGCAGATTATGAACAATTAAAGCAAAGACTATTACAAAATGAACAAAAGGCAGCAGAATTGCTCAGTTCCAAATTGAGTGCAAAAGAAGATGAATTCAAGTCTTTAATTGATGAGAAGGAATCCAATTGGTTAGAAAAGGAAAAACAATTGCAAAACCAAATAAAGAGGGCACAATTACAAATAGAAGAGTTGAGAACATCGAAGGAAGTCACTGAAAGACAATTAGACAATCAAAACAAACATGACCCAGCCCGTGATACATCATCAGCAGCTGTATTAGCTGAGTTAGATATCATTTCGCGTGATGCACAATCTTCAAAACAAAGAATATTTGAATTAGAAAAGCGCAATGAAGAACTCAGGCGACAATTATCCAATTCCCAAAATGATCTTGAGATAACTTCGATCAAAAACGAGTGTTCACAAAGAGTGTCAGAAATTGAAGGCGAGAATGCATTATTAGCTGCAACTCTCAACCAAACAAGACGAAAATTGGAAGATTCTACTAAAGAGCATACAACGAAATTAGAAGCATGTAATAGGGAGATCTCTCAAATGAGTCAAGAAATTAAAAACTTGAAATCTCGTTTGGATGAAACTGCCGATTATGAAGAAATAAAGAATGAATTGCAATTATTGCGACAAATTGAATTTGGTCATGAAGATGATGAGAAACACACCGATGAGACGGCGAATATTGATTCAATTCTTATTGAAAGAAACATGACCCTTACACAGCAATTGGCGGAACACAGAGCCCAGCAAAATGACTTCCAAACGAAGATCAAAGAATTAGAACAAGAATTAAACCTGTCAACTCAGGAATTAAATAATCTCCGCTCATTGAATGAGAAATTAGAAAATGATTTGGCCGATTTCCAAGATGTCGCTCAAAGTGGGAAATTCAATGATACTGCAAGTATGATATCTAGTTTTAGCAGAGTTCCTAGACAGCATGGAAGAAACGGAAGCATTATATCCTTATCTGGAGGACAAGGCTTAGGTCCTAATGCAGACGAAGCTTCACTTTTACCAATTATAACCAAACAGAGAGATAGATTCAGAGAAAAGAATACTGAATTAGAAGAAGAGCTTAGGAAGCAGTATGCAATTGTGAGTGACCTCAAGAGACAAATGAATGCATTGAAACGAGATAATGAAGAATTATATGAAAAGACAAGATATTTAGCATCTTTCAATAATCGTGGTTCCCCAGCTCAACGAACAGCAACAGGATCTACTGCGGGAAGAAAACTATTATATCCAAAAGCTAATGTGGATTTGGAAAGTAATAAATATCAACAAGATTATGAATCTAAATTACATCCAATTGAACAATTTAGAATAAGAGAACAAGAAAGGATTAGTTCAAGATTGTCACCTTTGGAAAGATTATTTATTTCTTTAACTAGAGCAGTTTTAGCGACTAGAACAACCAGAATGTTATTCTTTTGTTATTGTTTAGGGTTACATATAATTGTTGGATTTATTACTATTTATGCCATGAATCTTACTACATCGATGATACCTGAGGTGGGGATGAACACTAGTACTGGAGGAGTTGCATCAAGCCAAGTCGGTGCCCCTGAAGCCGCGAAGAAGCTATTAGTTAATCAACCTATGTAGATGTTTGTATTAATATAATGAGTAAATCCAGAATTGAATTTAATTTAATTTAGTTGCAAATTGACATGTGCCCCAGAATTATCTATATGCAGTCTTCCAAAAAAAGTAAGGGGCTATACGAAATTTGGATAATTGCTAATTTATAGTCAATTGAAAAATACTAACCCCCTTTAATAAAAATGGATTGCCATTGTATGAACTTCTCCTAAAATAATGAATCGATATTTATTAAGGTTATTATTACTTTCTATAGTTTATTTACTCTATAGATATAAATACCCAACTAAGGCAACAGATACCATGTCAGATAACGACAACAATAAAAGACAGGAAGACATTGGTGATTCAAAACCAGAAGATCTTTTAGTTGATTTCGGTGGCAAACAAGTACCATTTTCAAAAATAAATAAACCACATAACGTCATATTAGATCCAAATTTCCATCAACCTAAAGTCAATGCTGAATCGTTTCCAGATATAGAACCAGAAGCTAAGAAAGGCGAAGAAGATGTCGAAACTAGACGTAAGGCTGCTCATAAGTATATTCTTGATCCCTATGCTCATAAACCACAGGTAAATGCGGAACAATTTCCAGAAGTTGAACCTGAAGTGGAGAAAACAGTTGAAAAAGTCAGAGCTGCTCGTCAAAAGAAAGATGAATGATCTAACTCAATCTATATAGCTACAGAGGAGTTTTATAAAATTGTCCTATAAATATGGTATATAATTAAAAAACAAATAAAAATGGGCATTAAACTGATCCAAACATGACATTGTAGTGATGAAGGATTCATAACTATGGATATCCTCAAGGGAATCATTTCTGTGAGCAAATCATTCAAAAGCTTGTGCTTACTGTTTGACGGTTTGTTCTATGAGACTTTTTTAGACCAAACTATCCTGCAAATTTTCTCATCCTTGCAGCATAACAATTTTTCATAATAATTAAATTTTGTTTGTGAAACTACTCAGTTGCAAACATCTGTAGAGTACCACTCAACTTCTGAATTATCGTCATATACATTAGCAACATCACGCTATTGGTAATTGTGATATTCTATAAGGAATTACTTTCATAGATTATTGTTTGGTGTTATAGAGAAGACCCTGAAGATGAACGACCAAAGTTACCTATAGTCAACTTTTCCGATGAATTACTTACAAGAGAACTATTCAAATATACTTGGAAACATATGCGCTTTTCTGATTTACTTTCAAGAAGAAATGTAGAATATGCTTGAGACCTTTGAAGAAGTATCCTCTGAATCACAAGATGTGCAGCAAAGAAATGTGATTTTCATGTTTGTCAAACCCTGAATTCAGACCCACAATGAGAAGTCCACACAAAGCGACAATCTTTCAAAGTCAGCCAAACTTGGATAGGTTAGTATGTTTGAAGCCAGTTCAATGCTTTGGTACTAGATGGGTAAGGAAACTATTCATGGCGACCTTGGATAAGAATATTTCACAACGGGGAAGCACCAGATACATTTTTCTTAGGAACCTCAACTGAAGTTCATCTTCTAATGGATTTAAGGATGAGACCTCTAGTCAATAGGAACACTACTTCAACGATGATCTATCAAGCTTCTTCCTGTACATGCACTGTCTAAAAAATAAACTTATAGTCCTTTGAGAGGGATCTGGTTTTCTAGGACGAGTACTTCAAAAGCATTCACGAAATAGGTCAACGAAATTTAAAGTGTTAAGTGATAATAAGTGATACACCTAGACGGCCATGACTGTAAAAAAAATAATACAAATACATGTAACATGGGAATTGCAAATGGAGGAAATATGAGACTGATTCCTAAAACTATATACTCGATGAGCACGCCTCATCGTTTCAAGCACTTAAATGTAAGGTTTTAAAAGATTTATAATACTTTATCATCTGAATAACACAATATGTAGCAACAATGAATTTGAGATTGAATGAAACAATTTTCGCACATTTGCAACCAAAAAATTTATATTTATTCTGGTTGCGTTGTAAAAAGTCTTGGTACGTTCGTCACCTTCCTTATTGACAAATCTTTTATCCCGAAGGGTAAAGGTCTGGAATGTCCTACTTTCCAATCTTTTAGGGATTTGAGTATAGGCTCCAACGTATAGAAATAAAACTTACATAAAATACATGTCTTATAATCCGTGGTAAACAGCGGATTCTCCCCTAGTATAGAATGATGACAGCCTAATTTAATATTAATAATCATTCAATAACACTTCAGAAACTGCGAATCTAGAATTTCTTGTAGTATTTGGAACATTCGTTTAGTATATAAGTCTGTGTCAATCGTAAGAAATAAGAATGAAAGGATTTTCCCGTACACATATTCTATATTTAAATAAAAAATAAATCCCTGCTCATATTTCACACATGCAACGCAAAAAAAAAAATTCCACTAAGCGAAAAAGAAGAAGACAAAGAAGACATCCCACAAATTTATTCTTTATTGCGAAGAAACTTATACGCCTTATATATAAATACATACGTAAATTCATCATAATGACGGGACTACCTAAAAGGTTAATCCGTCTGCTTGTTTATTTTATATCATTTTTATTCATTGCAGCAATATTGTTATTGATTGCCAATAAACATGAGTATATCGAAATAGCGAATTTCATTCCAGAACTGTTTTTAAGTAAAGCACCTTCATATTTCCAACCTCCTTCCGATCTGTTCATTGTTGATATTTCCATTAGTAATTGTTTCAGGATAAATAAAAATGGAGAGAGTTGTGGGGTTCCAAATGCTGATCTGGGAGTTTTGGGTGATGTAGGGAAATTGGGAGGTTGGTCGAGGATTAATAAAGATATCGCATTAGATAAATCTTGGGTTAGACAGCAATTTTTTGCTTATAAGAAGGTGAGCCATAAATCTTTATCACAATTTTTGAAAGAGACTAATAATAAAGATGAAGTTATTATTGATATTGCTGTTGCAAATCCAAAGGAAGATTCAAAAATCAAGGGTAATACATTGATGTTACCAAAATATATCATACGTACATACGGAAAAACTGATATTTATGCTGATGAAGAAGAGGCAGAAGAAGATCTTATTCAAGAAGAAGCTGGCGAGAAGCTAAATGATATTACTCAAGAAAAGCTTGAAGAAGAAAAGGAGAAAGAAAACGAGGACACAGCAATTACTGAAGAAGAGAGAGTTAAAGAAGAAGGAAAGATTGCGAAAGAAGAAGAGGCAAAAGAGGATAAAAAGAAAGAAGAGATAGAAAATGAAGCGGAGAAGGTCAAGAATACCGAAAAATTAAAAGAATTCGAAAAGGGGACTTCTCCAAAAGAATTTGAAGAGAAAATTGGACCCCAGGTACCAACAGTAGATGAAATAAAAGACAAAGAGCCGCTAGTTGCTAATGAAGAGCAAGAAAAAGAAGAAAAGGAAAAAGAGAATGATGACAAGCCAATCCAGAAACCTGTCAAGAAAAGACAAGATACTCAAATAAAGAGAGAAGCAGATCCTTCCTCAAGATATATCCCTACCAAAGAAGAAGTTGCTTCTGCAGGATGGAGACAGAAATCTAACGGGATTTGGTTAAGATATGGCTCTCATTCGACCAAAAATCCCATTACGGGAATCGACCTTTTATTTGGCCATGAAGCAGTTGACCCAAGACCTAACTGGACACTCCTCAAAAACCCTTTGCGTGGTCTTTCCAACCCGTCTGATATTCCCGTGTTTATAACATTCCGTCGTGGTCCAAAGCTTGACTATAAGAAGAAATATCCCATTTCATTAAAGTTGAAAGTCAATGATAAATTCAAAATCCTTCAAGTGGCAGATTTACATTTCGCCACAGGATATGGGAAATGTCGTGATCCATCCCCACAACTGACTGGAGGTCGGAATTGTCGAGCAGATGCCAGAACCTTGAAATTCTTGAATAAGGTATTAGATATAGAAAAACCTGATTTTGTGGTGTTGACTGGTGATCAAATCTTTGGAGACAATTCACCTGATTCCGAATCTGCAGTTTTCAAAGCATTGAATCCATTTATTGAACGAAAGATCCCGTTTGCTGTTACTATGGGGAATCATGATGATGAAGGTTCATTATCAAGAGATGAAGTAATGGCATTGAGTGTCGATTTACCATATTCTGTTTCTGCTGTCGGACCGGTTGAAATTGATGGGGTTGGGAATTATGTCGTGACTGTAGAAGGAAAATCTTCAAAAGAGACTGCATTGGCATTTTACTTTTTGGATACTCATAAATATAGTCCTAATAATAAAGTTTTCCCAGGATATGATTGGATTAAAGATAATCAATTGAATTTTGTCCTTGAAGAATATGCCAGTTTGAAATCTAGTATTGAATCATATGGCAAAACATCTATGTCAATGGCATTTTTCCATATTCCATTACCGGAATATAGAAATTTCAATAATCAACCTTTTATAGGTGAGAATAGAGAAGGGGTGACTGCTCCATATCATAATTCTGGAGCTAGAGATACATTAGCTGAAATAGGGGTGAAAGTTGTAAGTGTAGGTCATGATCATTGTAATGATTATTGTTTAATGGATACGCAAACCGTTGATTCAACCCAGAATCAAATGTGGCTTTGTTATGGTGGAGGTGTTGGAGAAGGTGGATATGGAGGATATGGTGGATATGTTAGGAGATTGAGAATCTTTGAATTAGACACTGATAAAGGAGAGATAAAGAGCTGGAAGAGAAGAGAAGATGATCCTGTTAAGATCATTGATGAACAGATTCTAGTTACTGGTGGAGAATTAGTGAATTGGTAGCTTCATATGCATGTAGAAGAAGACTTTATTTAATTTATGTTTATTTTTTATAATAGTGATATTTAATGATGCGTAAAATTCTAACATGAGACAACTTTAGATTTATTATTTTCTTTTTTTACAACACGTCAAAAAAGGCAATCAGACAACAACTTTCTTTAAAAAGTCTGACTCACTGGTAGAACTTTCTGTGACATCATAACACAAACACCGAGGAGGGTAACACGCGTATAATTTAACGAACTAATAGATGACAGAAACACCAGAAGTACCGGATCCAAGATTAACCGATCGAAATGATGTCAAAGAATTAAAACAATGGTTAGCATATATAAACTGTCAACAATATTACACCAAATTCATGGAGAATGGGATCACAGTAGATTTAATCCCAGAATTAGATACTTCATCATTAAAAGAACTAGGAGTGACAAAACTAGGTGATAGATTACGTTTAGAAATCGCCATTGGGAATCAAAAACAAGAAAAATTGATGAATGGTATTCATATTGACGATCTTTATCGAGACCTTGATCTTCAAGTGACATCTCCAATACGAATACATTCAAACTCGAGCCAAACGGATCTTGACGGAACTCTTATACAACAGGGTATATCGGGTACCGGATTAAGTGGGGGGATTAGTGGGACTGGCAGTGGTGGTCAGAACATATCAACATCCATAAGTTCATCCAACATAAACACGACTCTGGGTACTTCCAATAAAGATTCCAATAAAAATATAACATTCATCCTTAGTGATGGATCAATCAAACGAGTAAATGTAAGTGGATGTTTCAATGCTCAATCAATAAAAGCAAAAGTATTAAAAAAATTAGGATTCAAATCACAAGAAGCAAAATTTGATACGTTTATTCATACTCCTTATCAGGTCAATTCTGATCATGTTTTCGGAACGGGAGAACTGGCAGTTACGTTATTATTTGATGTTGAATTGGTGACGATTTGTTATTCACCGGAACGATTAGAAAAACATCGTATCATGCTTGTGCCTAAGAATGAATATCCTACTGAGACAGCAATCGAGACATCAAGGAGGATAATGCATAAATATGATAAATTGACATCGTCGAAAGAAAATAATATCATTCATGGAAGTGGTGTCGTAAATGGCGATAATGCCACTAGCGGTGCTGGAAATAATGAAGGCAATGGTGTACATAAGAATGCTAGAGCAACTATGAGGAATTTCTTTGGACAAAGACCTCCAAGTGAATTGATTTCATCCAATTTGGCAGAATATTTCCCAGAAGCAAGACAGAAGGAATTAGAACAAACAGTTAGGAATTCAGTGAGACATAGTGTTAGATTATCTAGGAGATTTAATATCCCACCTGGATTCTTAGGTGCTGGTATTGGAGTGCCTGTCAATAACAGACAATCTATGCATAGTAATATATCGACGGGATTAAGATCAATATCTTCAGCTGAATCGGCGATGAGAAGGAATCATAGAACAGTTGGGGATGTTATGGTTCATAGTATAAATGCAATTGATGAAGCGGTTAATCTGAATGATACGTTGAGAGCATTGGGTCCACCAGCTAATTCCCAATTTGGTGATGCTAAGAGTATTAGTTCTAATAAGAGTATGAATGCCGGTAGGAAGGCACTTCATAGAATATCAGTTGCTACTGATTTAGTTGCTGATTTTGTTGATGATCATGTTGGTAGTAGGATATCTACTATTGAATTAATGGATTCTGATTCGGAAGATGAGATTGATGATTTGATTGATGATTTCAGTAGGTTTGGAGATGGGAATGTGAAGGATGTCAACAATGAGGTCGAAGAAGTGGAAGAAGAAGAATCAGAAGAAGAGCAAATGGGACCTCATTCTAATTGGTTGAAGGGGGCACGTATTGGTTCTGGAAGTTTTGGTACTGTTTATTTGGGTATGAATCCATATACTGGGGAATTAATGGCGGTTAAACAAATTCCATTACCTAAAGAGAAGGATGGAGAGGATCATCAAGTTGAAAAGATTATGATTGAACAACAACAAGAGATGACATTATTGAAAGAATTAAATCATGAGAATATTGTTAGATATTATGGATCAACAACTGATGAAAGTTTTTTGAATATATTTTTAGAATATGTTCCTGGAGGATCAGTTCAATCAATGTTGAATTCATATGGACCTTTTGAAGAACCTTTGATTAGGAATTTTGTGAGACAAGTTGCAATTGGATTGAATTATTTACATGGAGAGGATATTATTCATCGTGATATCAAGGGTGCAAATATTCTTATTGATATTAAAGGTACAGTTAAGATTGGAGATTTTGGAATTTCCAAAAAAGTTAGTAGTATAGATGAAGAAGATGAAGATTTTAAAAAGACCGGGAAAAGAGGAGCATTACAAGGGTCAGTATTCTGGATGGCACCTGAAGTTGTAAAACAATCATTATATACTAAGAAAGGAGATATTTGGTCAATAGGAAGTTTAATTGTGGAAATGTTTACAGGAAGACATCCATATCCAGAATTAAGTCAAATGCAAGCATTATTTAGAATTGGATCATTAATTATTCCACAAATACCTGAATGGTGTACAGAAGAAGCAAAAGAGTTTTTAACAAAGACATTCGAGATTAATCATACATTAAGACCAGATGCGGTAGAGTTATTAGGAGAGCCATTCTTAAACCCATTGATTATGTCTAAGCAGTAGTAGTAATCAGTATCAAATACATACAGTATTGTTGTCTTACAGCCACCACATGTGGTGGCGAGTGGGGCACTTGGGGGGTTTAGAACCTAGAAATGACTAAAATTAGTCGTGTACTAAAAACATTTTTTCTGGTGATTCAAAGATAAAAACGAGGGGAACGCAAAGGTTAAAAATAAAAAAACAAGGGGTACTTGTTTATATGCCGGAATTTCTATGAGTCAAAAAAAGAGAGCGCAAAAATTAGAGAGAGCGAATAGTCATTGTTAAATGCTTTAAGCGAACTAATCCTCCTTCAATGTGCTTAGATGTATATGATAATGTAAATAAGATTACTAATAGTAGAAAGAATGAATTTATAATCAAACTGTAATAGAAACAGATTTAACCTTTTTTTCACCTCTTCTTCCGGTTTGTAACTGGATTAGTATTAAAATGATTAACTGCAAGAGAGAGATCCCTTTTAGTTTGTTAGTGTAAGTTAAATTATTTCTTGTGTGTGTTTGGTTGTAAAAAAAAAAATAAAAAGTGATTACAATTTCAAAGTAACCTCCCCTCCTAATTATTAATTAGCAACAATAGGGAATTAAGATCCAAATCAATTATATTTCCCACCATTATCATTACAATAATTTTAACAAAGAGAAGCTTTGATAATCATTTTCAACACAAAGTTTAATTAAAGCTTCATTTGCAAAAATTACAAATTTCAAACTCAGTCCACTTTTTTTTTTCTCACTCTTTTTACAACAGAAATAAATTTAAATTGTTAATAAATAAATAATCATCATCAAACTTTGATTTCTATGTACATTTGTTGATTAGACATTTTTAAGAGAGAGAGCTAGATATATATACATACATACACACACAAAGACTTACCTACATACTACACAGACAATGGAAATACCTTTAAAGTCAAAACCAAAGGTATCAACTGTCAATTTATTGGATGAATCAAAATTCCAATTGAATCATTCGCCTTCTCCTACAAATGATACCCAAACTTCCTTACCTTCTGATTTACTTAAAATTAGACATAGTGCTGCTGGCTCTAGAAATAACACATTTGTTAATCGTCCAGATGTCCAACAAGATTACATTCATCAACCAATTAATCAACCCCAAATATTACCACCATCATTCCCTGCTAATTGGAAATTGACTAGACGATATTCAGAAACTGAAAAGAATAATTTTGATCTGGAAACTGGTCATAGAATATATGAAGATGGGAAAATAAGACCACAAACTATTCGACTGCATGAAATTGGTGGAAGTAGTGTTGGAGGTGGACGTCTTGAGAGACATAAAACGTATACTCAATTATCAAGAGAACAACAACAGGAGAGACAACGACAAAACTATAAAATAGATTATGAAAATCAAGTACCTTCTGGGATGGATTCTACTGTAATGAAAATATATTCCCGTTCACATAATAGTGAAATTGATGCAGATTCTGGTGCAGGTCTTGTTGGATTAGAGGATGAATATATACCAGGACTAGATTTTTCCAATATGATATATGAATGGAATAAGAGTTCATCTGATTTAGACCTCAAAGATACTCAAGGAGGAAGTGGAAGTGGAAGCGCCAGTGGAAATGAATTCATTAGTCCTGCACATACACCCCATAGTAGGGAAGCATCATATCTTGATTTAAAGACATTGCATGCAAAAGTAGCTCCACAACCAATTAAAAATGCCAATGCATCCAGTAGCAAATTTTCATACTCCAAATTGACCGAATACATGAAACAAAGACGTGGAAGTAATCAATCACAAACAGTTCCAACAAGCATAGTCCCACTCACTCATGGAGCTACGTCTCCTGAAAATAACATATCCGATAAACGCTCCCTGCAAGATGATTTATCTACGTCACCAAGAGCCAAAAAACAACGCTCAGCAATCAAACCAGATACAGGAGATTTAACTTATGAAATTATAATGAATTCCCTTCCACCAAACTTCAATGAACTTCCATATTCTCAAAGGAAAAGAATAGTCCAATCATTTTCTGATTCAATCGATTATTCGCAATTTTCATTATTTGCCAAAAATTATCTTGGAACATCACAAGGATCAGGCAGAGGTAGTAGTGGAGGTGTCGGCAGCGGAGGGAACGGAGGAGGAGGTTTCAGAAGTGGAAGTGGATCCAATAATAATAGTTTCATTAGACGTCCACGTATGGGAAGTGTAAATACCATTGCTGGCCGTTTATTAGCCAGAACTTCCACTACTGATTTCCAGAAATTACAAGAATGTAAACCAAAATATAATGTGGATGAAAAGGGGGCAATTGTATTAGGTCATGAATTGGGTAAGATTATTGGATTTGGTGCCTGGGGGACAATTCGTGAATGTACGGATATAAAAGATGGAAATATACGGGCTTGTAAAATTGTTAAATCTATTAAGGAGAATTATGATCCAAAAGGTTCAAAAAATTGTGGGACAGGAAAGAGTAATCCAAAGGTATTACAGGTTTTCAAGAAAGAGATTGAAATTTGGAAAAAGTTAAAACATGAGCATATATTAGGATTAATCGATTATTTGGAAACTGAACATACGATTTTTTGTATCATGAATAGAATTAACGGGGGGACATTATTTGAATTGGTTTCAACTTGGGGACAATTCAATTCAGGATTACTTACTACAACTGGCCCATTGGAATTCCTGATTAACAGTCAAAGAGAAAGATTGAAACGGGTTATTGATTGTACTTCACAAATCGTGAATGCATTATTATATATGCATGATGAAAAGGGAATAGTACATGGAGATTTAAAATTAGAAAATGTTTTAATTGAAAAGAAACCTCCAGATTGTTTTAAAATGATCTTGTGTGATTTTGGAATGTCACGAATTTATAGTACTAGAATCAGTAGAAAGAATTCACGTCTACATCATGATCGTAATAACCACCATCATCCTCACCTTGACAAAGAAAACCATTTAGTTATCAATCCAGTACCCCAGTCAATATTAGATGAAGAAGTTTTGATGTTGAGAAGTAGATCTACCAATACCGAATACAGAAAACCATATCAAGGAGATGATTCTCCCAGCACCAAGAAATTAGATCTTGGTATCCGAGACGATTCTCAAGTCGGATTAGATAGTTATTTTGATAAATCGAAACCCCACGGGCCTTCACTTCAATCAGTCCATTTAACTCCTCAACATACCGCCTCCACCGATTCGCTTTATGAATTCAAAAACGCCTTCCTTCAAAAAGAACTCCAACATCAACAACAAGCCATTGATTCCGACTTACCTCATTCCCATATCGGGTCATTACCCTATGCAGCGCCCGAATTGCTCTTACCTTCCCCACCTCCACTCGGTCCCCTGGCTGATGTATGGGCCCTAGGAGTGTTGATGTATGCCATGTGTGTCGGTAAATTGCCATTCCAACACCAGTATGAACCTCGATTACGTGCCATGATTGCCGCCGGGAAATATAATAACACCGATTTGAAAAAGGCATGTTTGTTAGAATGGGTATTGGCTACTGACCCACTGAAGAAGAATGAAAATAATGAAAAGGATGGTATTCATGCTGCTGATATGATTTTACAAAGTCCTTCATTGGTGGATTTGAATAGACAACGGGCGTTGCAAGATTTACAACTTGAATGGGCGGAATATAAATCGAGATTGGAATTTGAATGGTTGTATAAGATAATTGAGGGATGTTTGGAGAAAGATATTACGAAGAGATGGGATACTCAAAAGATATATGAAGCTCTTGAGGATCATCCTGAGTTTCATTGTGGGAATTTCAGATAATGGAGCGGGGTTTAGCTTATGATTTATCGATTTAATATTGAATTTTTGTATTTGTTTGACTTCGTTTTATTGGGAGAAATTGTTATTTTGTTTTTGAATGGCTGGATGGTGTTTATATAGTTAGTCTCTGACTAAATTTTTGCATTGTTAGGATTTTTTTGTATTATTTCTTTGGTTAATTAGTGTTTAGCGTAGATTGTATTTTTAAAGTATGTGAAACACGAGGTTTATTAATGGAGATCGCAATTATGTAGATTTCTCAAGCATCACTAATGAAAACGCATTCTGTTTCGCCCATTCTTGACTGACTGACGTTTATCCAAGTTAGAATTAGCTTTCTTGGGAGTTATGATTAAATCTACAAGCCGACTCTATGTGAAATGAACATTTGCTGCTTCCCATTTTCATAAGTTTGTTTTCTTGCTTCATAAATCAAGTCAAATAGACTGGAATAGAAATGTTTTTTGCAACCTAAAAACGAATAAAAAATTGCTGCAAAAAATACTTGGATAATCTCGCAAAACTGGCCAAAACCAGTAATTCGAAAGCACTGCAGACCATGAATTTATCAACTCAATCCTTGAGGAACTCCTGTTGGCATGCCTACAGATGGCGACTGGAAAGAATCCCAAGCGTCCAAATTGACGCAGTGCCGGTTGCAGTAAGTAGATAGTAGCCTTGCATGACACTACTTAAATGTGTAATACACTCAAATCAAATAACCCCTTTTTAATGAATCATCATAATTGTAGAGTCCAAGCATTATTGTCATTTTGTGAGTATATCCTCCATACCTGTATGCTTTAGTTGCAATTCCTAGCACAAGAATATTGAACCGAAGCTATGAATCAATACAGTATCCCCACAATTTTTAACTCTTCAACTCACTAGATAAGAGTTCCAGGGATTTTATAAACCGCATCGTTTTAAACTTCAAAGGTTAATACTTCACTACACTAAAGATGAATGATCATATGATATGTACAAATCATAACAAAACAATTTAAGAGAAATAGTGCAAATACATCTTATTAAAACAAGTAGAAGAAGGCATTGTCAGAAGTTCAAATAGTTCAAGCACTTAAATGACAAACAATGGTTTAAAAGAAACAAAATAAAAAGATTAATATTGAATATATCAGAATTCCATCACATCTTAGAATAATGATCTTGTTGAGATATTCGGTAAGACTTCATTTGTTTTAATAAATGATCTTAAAAAGTATTTTAATAAAAGGTTAATAAAAGTATTATGATGTGAAGTCATGGGAACCAAAGCATCGATATAGGTGCTTGTATTCATGAAATGGTTGATATTTTCCACTGAGAAAATTACAAGATAAAAAGGTGCTAAATTGGGTTGAAATTTGAGATCCAGAAACACTAGAAATAATTAGGATGTATGATTAACTAATATAATAAATATATAATAATAATATGACATGTTCTCGTTAACTATATAAGATACTATTAATTGTTCAATTTTATGGACATTTGTCCACTTTTGTTTTCTCTGTTCCTCTTGGGGGGTTTCTGACAGTCCCTTTTTTAACCCCATAATTAGATGATTTTTTAGTTTTTTGAAAGTCCTCTTTCTAAAAATATGTTTAAAGGGTAGAAGAAGAAAACCTCAATAAACATTGAAAAATAATTTCTTCAGTATTACAAACGAAGTGAAAAATAAAAATCGAATGAGAGATTAATATTAGTATCCAGAGGGTTACACGACTGGAATTCTTTGTTCATAGAATATTAGCTTAATTTGGTGTCTCGTTCGCGGTACCTATTTATTTCGGCAATTAACGTATGAAGCCATATTGGGGATCTTGGTTTTTTATTCTCCCATCTCTAATAAAGTTGCACTTTTCATACTTGTAGATGCTTTCTATCTAGATTGACACACATACCATGAACAGAACATTTATTCCAAGAGAATCTCGTCATTTTGAAACTGATCTAGTAGTGTGTGTTTCTGACTATTTCAACCTCGCCTGCATTTATCCACCCCAACTCAACTCTCCTTAACAAGAAGGCTGGATATTACCTTGCTTTAGAAACAATAAAGTTTGTCTTTCACCTGGTTGTGTTCTTCTCAAAAGTCTGCTTTAAGATGCTTTAAACTGCGATAGGGCCACAAAACACATAACAACAACGCGATATTAGAAGGAAGCAATAAATCGGTACTATACTACCAAAGTAGACCTTCCAATGATTTTAAGATTCCAAGGAATGGATCGGAGCTTTTTAAAACTTACCTTCAGTCTTTTATTCTTCTTCTTCTTCTTCTTGAAGAAACACCGGTCGAAGAAACAAAGTGAAAATATCGTTGTCGATTTCGAGAATTCTTCATTGTTTTGGAAGGTGTTGAGTGATATGGTAATGAATGCTCCGACTAACAGCTTCCAAGAGAAGGAATCATGTTGATTCTTGAATAGATATGAGAAGTTGGTATCGTATCCATGTTGGCTTTCTTAGTTTTTGCAACCACTTATCCAAATTTGTATTTGGATTTGCACCCAAAATCTGCCAACCGAAAAACTCGAATCATGTGCAAAAAATACGATCAATACAACGGTCAATTGCCAATAATTTCAATCTCTGTAATGATCAACTTTTCATATGTCAATTCGAAAATTCATTCATGCGAGGAATACTGATCGGGGAAGGTCTGATTGCATCTTTAAGTACCTAAAGTATCTCCCTAACCAACGCAATAAACTCATGTTCTTTGAACATGATGTCATCTTTTGTAACTGTCAAACTAGTAATATGAAAGACACATGGGATGAGGAGTCAATCAAAAAATTATAACTACGAAATGAACGGAATAATAAATAAAAAAAGATCGAATTCCCGTAATTCCATTTCATTGCCATTGCTATTCCTTTTTTTCAAGGCGATAGATTATTTAGAAGAAAGGGGTAGCAAAAGAAATTGCGGGATGAAAAAAAGAACAATAGAAAAGGAGGCTATTAGCGAAGATTTTTGACTGATGGCTAACTAACTAAAAAATGACAAGCCAGTTTGATTTATGGGGAAGAATTGAATCCTTTTAGTGTATGATAAGAAAAAGAAATCATATGTTAAAAAAAGAAAGCCAGAAAAAATTTAGCCTGTTAGAAGGAGGGTTGCATGACGAATTCTGCCGCAGCCATTGGGCGGTTTAGTTTCTTGAGCAAGCAATGGAAGCAAAGTGTTCACCAAAAAGATGCTGAACCTTTGAGAATTCACACAAAATCTCTAAAAATAGATTCGAAATGTAACATTACTCAAAATCATGCTTTGTGTATACTTTGAAATAAACTAGGTTTTGCCGAGGGTAGAAATAGAAGAGTCCGCTAAAGTTAAATTGCAAAACGGAACCGACAACCTTAAAAGTTTATTTTTGCGAGGGGCCAAAAGAATGAAATACGAAATCAAAAGGGGTCGTGGTGATTTCGGGTGGGTCATTCAAAAAAATAGAAAGTTAGCGGTGAACAGGTGACATTATTGATGGCTGGTTGGCTATTTTGTGGGGGAAATGTGTTTCAACCGTGTATTTGTGTCAAAATTATTAATTAGTGAATCAAATTTGTTAGAGATTGTGTTATACAATATATGCGTGTATTCACCAATTAAGTTTCCTATTTAAGGAGAAAATAGGAATGGGTAAACTGTAAACAAATATGATTTATAAACCTGTAAAATAAAGTCATTCATTGACTGATTTCAGTTTTAATTTGCAATACAAAAAAATAATTTTCTTGTTCGAATCAGAATTTCTAATTTTAGAACATTAAGTTTTAGTATTCCCGAGTTTTGTGTTTTTAGTGTATGTGTGGGTATCCCTTTTAATTAAATAATTATTATTAAAATCAAACAAAGCGCTGCGGTTTGAAAAACTTTAAAACTTGGTTCGAGTAAACTCGCGCATATATAAATTCTGTAATCTCGTTACATTTTTGAATTAACAATTTTAGAAAACTACTACAGGGTAACATATTAATCTATTTATCATTATCATACATTAAACCTTACGTCATTTGCATATACATTCATATTAGTCTAATTATAATTATAAATTAACAAAACATATTATGACACAACAACAACAACCAGTTATTATTACATTACCCCAAGGTTATACATTAAGAAGACTTAATCTAAGTGATTTTGAAAATAATTATTGTGAAACATTACAAGTATTAACAACAGTTGGTGAAATATCTCAAAAACAATTTAATGAATTATTTCAATATTGGGAATCATTACCAGAAATTTATAATCCTCATGTTATAACTAATCAACAAGGTAAAATTGTAGCTACAGGAATGTTATTAGTTGAAAGAAAATTAATTCATTCTTGTGGTTTAGTTGGTCATATTGAAGATATATCAGTATTACAGACTGAACAAGGTAAAAGTTTAGGGTTATATATTGTTAGATATTTAGCTAATTTAGCTAAAGCAAGAGGTTGTTATAAAGTTATATTGGATTGTTCTCCTGAAAATATTAAATTTTATAATAAATGTGGGTTTAATCAATGTGGTATAGAAATGAGTCAAAGATTTGATTAACCGCCCCCAACAATATCTCGAGGATACTTTTTAATGACAATAATAAATATACATGTATACTATTAAATATAATTAATTAATACATAAAGAAACGGTAATAACACACTTACTTACTCTATATATTTTCTAATGCCTATAAATATTTGAATGTTAGTATGAAATTGTATGTGTCAAGATTAAGTTAATGATGATACATACTTCTAAAGATACAATTGAATTACCTCTAATTATTACAGTACCAATATTTAATTTATCATTATTTGATTGTTGTTCTAATGCATCTACTAATGTTATATTTAAGAATATCTAAATCATCTTGTTAGTATTGTCTATCTCTCTCTCTTTAAGTATAAATATATACATACATCATATCCTTTTAATGTTCCAATTACTTTTCTTGATCCATTTAATTGTACTGATAATTTCTTATCCATATACTACAAATATTATCTATGTTAGTATTCCTATATATATACATCTCTTGATCTACACTTTGTTACATACACTCTTTAATTCAGGTTCAGATACCATTGTTACTTTCTACTTTGACTCTATTCTATTTGTTCAGTGTGTCATTCACATCATCTCACTATTCATTAGTTCATCTCATTTTTTTGCTGCCCGCTGTCGCGCTGCCATGGCCAGAACAAACGCGACTGTACATGTAAATTCTTCAGTGTGAATCAAAACATGAAACAATTACTTTGGGTCAGTCAGATTTGCAGCAATAATGTCAGATGATCACGCATTCTCAGACTTACAAGATCTTTCATCGTCTACATCTGCCAGAGGTGAAGATGAACCACAATCTCAAAACCCAATATTCGATTACGCAAGAGCTCTAGTATTTCAACAACAACCACCACCTTCCACCCACAACCACCTACACACTGACTCCCATTCCGACTCAGACTCTTCCAATAATAACCCAGATACACACGATATATCCCAACTCATCCAAACCCAAAGCACAAAACTATCCCTCTCCCAAAAACGAGACGAATTAATAACCCAAAGAAGTCAACTAAGTAATGAAATTGATGAATTACGATCAAAACTACGAACATTACGACAACAACAAATTTATAAAACCCGTCAAGCCCAATTAAAAACCTTACTTGATCAAAATAATCAAGAAAATATCACGTCTTTAGGAATAATCAAACAACGTGGAGATAATGATGATAAAGTCTGGAAAAAATTCAATGTTTCCCCATCATTGGATTGGAATCAGAGATTGGAATATGTGAAGATGTTTATACCATATTTGGAACTTGAACAATTATATACGATGAATTATTATGATCGAGAAGATAGATTGATTAGAAGTATTGAATTTGTGGTGGTGCTGCCATTGTTGTTTAAGATTGGGATTAGGATATTGATTAAATGTGAAGATAATTCATTGATGAAGATTGAGATTAAAGAAGGTGAATTGGTCGGGGTTGCTTTGGTGGCTCCGGATTTTCATCGGGTGTTGATGAGGAATTATATACCGGGAAGGAAAATTGATTGTATTATGTTTGGATTTAATTCGGTTTCGAATTTATTACAGAGGAGGATATCGATAATGTATAAATTGATTAGAATGTTTAGGAGGTTTATTCAAGATGAAAGATTCGAGGAATTGTTACGAGATGAAGAAATGTCAGATCAGATAAGATTGTTTTCGATATTGAAATCGATTGAGAGATTAGAATTGGTGATACAAGGGTATAAATTTATTCTTGTTTGGAAGGTTATATTTCAAGATATTATAACTGCAATTAGTGAATCTCAAATACGATTATTTGTAACCGATATGAATAATAATCAATGTGATCAACTCAATTATATAAATGAAATGTTCAATAATCTAATTGTTCAATATGGAGTTATAAATTCCCTACAAACTATTCTTAAAAATGTGTTTCCTACAACTGTTATATAACAAATTTCTTATATACTTACTAATGTATTACTTGTTTATTTATCTATACTACATCATGTCCTATTCCAAATGAAACGTAATTCTATCATCCTTAACCATCCTATTCACAACCATCTTCTCATGCAACCTCCTAACAAACCAATCATTCACAAACGTAATCAACTGCAAAATAAAACAATTCTTTTCATTCACCTTATTAAAATCATACATCGGCAAATATTCAATCCCAAACTCCCCTCCACTTCCATCCCCTCCACCACTCCCACTTCCTCCATCCTCACCTCCAACTTCACTGATCCCCTCATCTTCATTCCCACCCCCAACCTCACTTTTTATCCCAAGTGATTTCCCATACATTGTATACAAATACCTCTCAACTCCATTCACCAATTCATACCGAATATCCTCCCATTCAACCCCCATCAATCGATTTCCCATCGATTTCTTATATTTGAAGTATCGATAGATCCAAGCTCCCAAAATATGGGTCTTTTTGTTGAAAGAGGCCGTACTGGCTTTCGAAGACGTTCTGACCTGTTTAATCATCGGGCGGGTGGTTTGCAAGACCTGAATATGGTGTTTTATGGATTGAGTTTCGTTGGGTTTGATCTTTGAGCTAGGGTGGGTGGCGGTGTAGGTTTGCACGAGGGCTGAGAGGTCTTGGATGGGGAATTGGAGGGGTGTGAGTGTGGATGTTAATTTTGTGGATTGATTACGAAGATAATCGCCTCCGATTGTGCTGGTGGTGGTTTCGTCCTTGGACGGGGAGGTGATGGTTGTGGATTGGGAGATGACGGTTTTGGTGAGGGGGGAGGAAACGTTGGGGATGTTTCTCTTGAGTCGTTTTTTGGATTTGGAAGCGGAAGGGGATGTTGATGGTTTCCGCTTAGTGAGGTCTTCCAGGTCGGATTCACTTGTTTCGATATCGTCTAGGTCTCGTTTTTTGGATTGTTTTGTGGGTCGTCTAGTGTGATGGTCTTCATCGTTTAGATAACTGGTTCTGGTTTCTTGCATTAAGGTTGCATATTTGATTTCATATTCTGTGTCTTTATCAAATTTATCAAGTAATTCTTCTGGTATGAGTTTAACTTCTGGGACTTTTCCATATTCACTAAATGGATTATTTTCTAACTCAGCAGCCGTGAAATTAGTTTCTAAATAAGTATACATCAACCATAAAAATCTCTTTGCTCTAATTTCTGGAAACACTTTCGTATTCATAAAAAAATCAATCAATTGATTAGATTCATTACCATCCTCACCCAAATACCCAATCCCATTTATGGAATTGCTCAACAAGAAAATCAATTGAACAACATTCGTATTCGGTTTATTAATCGGTGGATTCGTCAGCATATCAATCAAATAATTCAAATTATTCTCCTCCCCCTCACAAACCGCCTTCAACATCGATTTCAACCTAGGTGTATCCTGCAACTGTCTCCCCTCGATATCATCAGCATCATCAACTTGTAAACTTGGTATGGAATGATATGTTCTCAAGCTTGATTTCATCTCCGGCACGAAATTAATCGTAGTATTCATTCTACCAACATTCACTAATAAACATACTTGTGCCACTGATTTTCCTAATTCTTTATCTTTGATTAATCGTTCTTTGAGCACACGGGAACATTTATTCGATTCGACAAGGGTACGTAAATACAATTCTCCAAATGTAATCTTGGGATTATTATTGGCATTAGGAATCTCACAAATGGGGAATGGATTCGTGAAACATGGGGTTTGGTCATTGAATAAAGCCAGTAAGAAATCATATTGGATATCTTTTCGCCAGAATGGTTCTCCATCTGATTTCTTCAAATGACGGGCCGCTTTTGCAGTGGCAGAAATCCCACCACTGGATGAAGCTGATGAGGATTTCTTACGACGACGAGATGTTGATGAGGAGGAAGATGGTTTGGTGGTGATGGTGGTGGTGGAAGTTGCAGATTGGGATAGCTCTTCATCTTCTTCACCCATGATTGATGAATTGACATCTGTGTCATCGACATATTCATCATCGTCATTGTCATTGTAGGTGTCATCCAGTTCTGAATTGTTCATGAGACTGGAGATGGATGTTATTTTCTTAGGTTGATATGAGGAAGCTGAAGGAGGACTTTGATGGATGATAACTTGTGGAACTGGTGGGACATTTTCTACCAAACTTGAAATTGACAATGGTCCAGTGTGGTGTGTTATTTCTGGTAATGGATGTGGTTGTTGAATTTGTACTTGGGGTGGTGGTACGGATGCAGGAACTGGTGCTGGTTGAGGTGGTGATTGTTGTTGATGTTCTATGGTAGATTTAGAAGGTGTATAGGTGTCATGAATAGGATCATAACTCATTGTGTATAGTCTTAGCGTCTGTGGTATAGAGTATTACTTAAGTAAATTTGTTACGTCTTCAAGTTTTTCTATTCTTATTTTTCCAATTGCTTACCTTCCCTTTTTACTTTCTGACTGGGAAAAAAATCTTAAAATTTCTTTGGTGCTACCACTCAATGAACGGTGCTACCAATTGAATAATTAACAACTTGTAAGTTGTAATATTTGAACCACTGTAAGCAGTCGCCTATAGAAGTACTTTTGTGCTATTACTGGAGGAGGAGATCCGATTATAAACATATAAGAGAGTCACAACTTCTAGAATACAGGTTTTAGGCTTAGGAATGTCTTTAATTTTGTTACTGTAGAATCATAAATTTACACAGCATGCTGATCTATGTATTGATCTCTAATGATTTAATATGTCTATAGACTATGTACTTTATCAAGACATAAGTTTTTTATTAATGAAAGTAAACATTAAGAATAAAGAATATTCAATGAATTAAACTTTGAAGAGTAGCCTAGCAAGCCCTCTAATTCGACAAATATTGGGCACCACTTGGATCTTTGTCAAGACTACTCAAATAAGGACTGCACCCATGCAAAGAAGACAAATAAACAAAAAGCCGGTTTTCTAATGTCATATGTATAAGTATAATATCTATATCTAAAGACCTAATAAAATCAACAAAGCTCCAATAAATGGTGATAATTTCCCAACACCAGAATCACTAGTAGTAGTAGAAGAAGACTCAGTCGCATCTCTATTTTCACCACCACCAGTGGTAGTAGTAGAAGACGACAGATCATCACTGGAAGAACTTGCTCTGATAGTACTTGATGATCTAGTGCTGCTTGATGATCTAGTACTACTTGAAGTAGGTTTAGGAGTAAATGATTGTACTCTAGCATCAAAATCACCGCAAACACTCTTGAATTCTTTCGTTGCCAATTCAGCTTCATTATTTGGACAAATATCGATCAAACATTGTTGAAGATCACTTCCATATTGAGTACACATACATTCAATGGATTGTAACCCAGGGCATGAAGATTCTTTATGGACTTGGGCTGCGCATGCTAATAAACAAGCTGGAGGTGTAGCTATCGTAAACTTTAAACAGATAGTTAAAACGATTGAGATGACTTGAAAGATTGATTTCATATTGAAGGAGTGGATTTGTATATCTAGATCTGGTATAAAATAAATGGCTAGGATGGAAAGATTCTTTGATATAGTTTAAAAAGAATGAGTGTGAAAATCGTCAAAAGTTTAAAACATCAACTGAGTTTTTATTTTTCTTATTTATTTTTCAACTTTCGTGTATTTTTTATTTTTTAGTTTCTACTTGCATACATTGTGCATAAAAAATAAAATTATATTTTCTTTGTGGGGCGCGTTTCCAGATTTCGGTTATTATTGTTTTTAGCGAGTGGCTATTGTACATGTTAATCTGAGACACGCCACAACTAAGCAAAATAACTGATNATTTTTCAACTTTCGTGTATTTTTTATTTTTTAGTTTCTACTTGCATACATTGTGCATAAAAAATAAAATTATATTTTCTTTGTGGGGCGCGTTTCCAGATTTCGGTTATTATTGTTTTTAGCGAGTGGCTATTGTACATGTTAATCTGAGACACGCCACAACTAAGCAAAATAACTGATGTGATGTGAATCAAACGTTTACTTATACTGCAGTATTCATTAAATATGAGTATAAGGATGTGTATATTAAGAATATGACATAGAGCGGTCACTAAGAACAATCGTCTAAATCAACAATAAGATTTCGCAAAATTATTCTTTAAAGAAGAGTTTACATGAACAAATACAATTCCAAGATGAAACAACCAATTAGGGGAATAGTTTTAAATGACAAGTATTGTAAGATTCAATAACGTTCAATGCAGGCATGCTGAAGCACATTGTTTCATAGAGAAAGGAGAACAGACGGAACTCTTAATTATCATTTCTTTTGAGATTTCACTACAAAACAAGGAAAAATCGCGACCTAGTTGTGGAAAGGGTATAATCATAAATATGTATCATATCACATAGTCTAATAAATCATAAATAAATATCTTATACATCTCTAACCTTTCAAACCCTATACTCCCGGCCAAACCATCAAATTCTCAACCACTTGTCCGTTAATAACAACCCGAGAATCTTCTTGTATACTTATAAACGACTGCTCCGAAACTTCAAACGGTTTAGTCCATATCATTACCCCTGCCTTAACATACACTCCGTTAATCCTAAGTATCCTCAACAACCCCTTTGTAGCAGTATCGCAAACCCCATTATCCTTATTAGTTGGATTTTCAACCGAATCGATATATTCTTGTGAGATCAATCTGTTTCGAGTATCAATTTGTCCCGGCATGAGTTCTTCAAACAGGATTTTTAGAGATCTGAACTCCGGAGCCCAAAGATCTCCCGATATCATCAACACATCATCATCATCATCCACTGGCGTTTTATCGAAGTATATCTCCGATACTTCAATTTGATTACATTCTTTAATATCTAACCAAAATACATCATATTGTCGCGTAGTCGCTGGTCTTGGACATTGGAGATACAATTGTTTATGCTTATGATTAAACATGGTGAATTTGTCATAGAACGGTTTTGTGAGCTCGATATAACTGCCGTCTAAATTCAGTTTGGAGAGATATTTTGGTTTGATTAAGGATTTGTTGTAGAGATAATCGGCCGAGAATAGGTGGTCCCATTTATAATAATTTGATTCAAGGAAGGAGTCAGGGTAGGTGTGCCATGGGTTGAGTTCACAATGATCAAATCGGGTTTCGAGGGGGTCTCGTTTATGGATATAGGTGGGGACTCCGGGAATAGGTGAATTGCCACGTTTGACTAGGGTTAGGTTTCTTAAGAAGGTGGATACAGGGGCATTGATTAGATCTTTACTTGTTTGGCTGATTGTTGAATTGTTGATGATGAATTTTTCGTATAAATTTTTCTGCATTAGATTATCATCGTTTAGGATTGATGAGTTTTTGAAGATTCCAAGTAGGTCTAAATCCTTATTTAACCATAATGGATGAGCTTCAGTTGAAAATATCCAATTCTTATTATTCATAATCTTGGGATCATGTAAGAAAAGTTCATCTTTAGTATCAAATAATAAATATAAATATTTAATCAGTTCACCAATAACAAAAGTTTCCATTCTATCTTGTCTCAGTCCAGTTGTAACATCTTGCAACCCACTAAACCCACATTCTGTCATATATCTATCTCTAAACAAGTTCAAAACCCGCTCACCAATCTGTAAATACATAGGATCTCTAGTCGCCCTATATAAGTAATAAGTCGACTCAATAAATTCCGGTCTTAATGCATACCATTGCAACTCAATTGCATCTTCCAGTTTATTAAACTTCTTTCTCGGATTATAATACCGGAAAACCCACCTCTCAGGTATCAGATCAAAATAATCCCAAATCTTCAAATATACCGCATGAGTCTTTATAGCATCCTTAACCTGTCCAGTCAACACCTGCAACCCGGGCCAAAATGCCCCCAAAGAATCAATCCAATCTCCAAACAGAGCTCCTTCTTCAGTATTCACATTGGAGAAAATCATCGTTCCATCAAATTCCCCACCTCCTTCGGCAGAATGGGTCAATAAGGCCCGATATGAAACCTTGAAGACTTCCCACATATAATCATCATTAAACAATATAGCCCCCTTGGCAGCATATTCATAAAACGAATCAATGGAGGCTCCAACCCCAGTTATGGCATCCGCCCATTCATTTTTAATCGTATTGATTGACATTGGTAATAGATGTAGGACCAGTTTTGAAGACCATAGTTTCCAGAATGTTAATTGGGTATAGTATTCGAATTGATAGTCTCCTGTTAGACGGGATAATAATGTGAATTCTAATATTGGGGTGGTGGCACCGGCGGTGCATGCACCTATTTGTAAATGTGATGGGATTTTGCTGAGTCCCTTGGCGAGATTGATTCTAGGCATGGGGATGTTGGTGGTGGTTTTGTAGGAGGGGATAAGACGGAGTCCAAGATCGTGGGCCATGTGTAATAAGAAACCATCGTATGATTGACAGATTTCTTTGAATCGGTCATAGGCTGGTGATGGAAGTAGGGTGAGGTTGATGTCTGTTAATAACAAATGTGCTGATAAGAGTCCACCAAGGGATCGTATTGTCATTTCGAATACTTGTACGATTGTATCTTGTTCAAACCAGCCTTGTTGATTCAGTTTCATGTATTCTAATATGAATTCCAAAGAATCCCAATCTTGCATTATGATTAAAGTATCAAGATTATCTAATACTGTTAAAGACACATTGGCCATAGCATCATTTCTATGAGTGTTAAGGGCATTGGTATAATCTGGACCTAATGGTTGACATGTAATGGGTGTGACTTCATCAGCTGGGAATCCATATGTCATATAAGAACTCCAAGCATGATCATATAGTTCTTTGGTTTCTTGTTGGAGATATCGAATATGATCTGGAGTAAATGAAGAATTAAAAGGTGAATAAGCTGTGGTTGAATCACATAGCACTATCACCAGCAATACCACTATAAGTAACTTCTCCCATTCATATCTAAGTGACATTTGAGAGACGAGTGGTGTGTTCTTATAGAATCAATGAATCTGGTGATGATCTGATGATGATGATGACAGATATTGAAATATTTCAGTTTGACAGTTATGTCGCGTGAATTTTATAGTCGCGAAAAATTTCACAATCACGAGAATTTGCATTCTCTAATAAACGAAATAAATACTTTTGATACTTATAACCCGCCAAGTCAGATACGATTTACTCAGAGGTCTTGGCAATAGCTAAGAGAGGATAGACCAACTCCTAAGACTTACTATTATCTTGGGTTTACCCCTTTCGAGTCTCCGGTCAACACATTTAATATGTAAATTTTGTATAAACTGTATAATAAACTAATTAATTAACCAACCAACTAATACCAAGAAATACTAGTATTACTGTTTCTAAATATACTACAATCCCCCATCCTCTACACTTCTCTCTCCTCTCTCCTCTCTCCTCTCTCACTCTCACTCACTTCCCAAAGATTCTATTAACTTGAGTAAGAATTCTCCCCGTCCCAAACCACAAAGTCACCAAAATCATAAATACATTCATCACAATAATCAACAATCCACTCAACATAAACCTGGGGGCAAAGATTTTCCAAACCATTAAATGTCTTCTAAAATGAGCTGCAAAGATCAAACTACTCAATCCTGTCAATAAATAATATGTAATCAATGTGGTTGCATTCGTGATAATCTGGGAAAGTACCGTGATTGGTTTATTCGATGGGATTATTCTCCATAAAGTGATCAACGGGATTGATAGACATATTATCAAAAATGGTCCAAATGTATTCAATGCAATATTTAAATGTGTAAATGGGAAGAAAATAGTTTCAGTTGTCATGAATCCTAATTCCCATTGGATTGAAGGTAAGGTAGCTTGATGTCCTGTACTGAAGAAATGTTGATATCCTAATAATCCAAATATTATTGGTGAAATTAAATTTTTTCTAATATTTAAAATTTCATATAATTCTAATAATGATAAGATTTGAATGATTAACATACTGATTGATAATGATCCGATTGGTTTTGTCGTTAACATGATTGCCGCGGTGAAATTTAATACGAGTAAGAAATATGACGAGCCATAGACATTTCCATATCCTAATATCGTAGCTGTCTTGTTTGTAGTATGTCCATTACTCTCGTCACTATCCTCATCATCCTCGGATGAAGAAGATGTAGTACTGATCTCTTCTTTTAAGTCTAATTTCACACATAATGGACCTCTAGACCAACTGAAATTCGCCAATACTAAACTAATCAACAATACCAACCTTGCAATTGCCAACTTAAAAGATTTCAATAATGGAATCCCAATGATTAAATTCACATGATTATTAAAATATTCACTATTTTGAATATATTCAAATGTCCAATACACAGCATTCATAAATAATAAAAATTTAAACCCGGTACCGATCCATAACGGAGCTGCTGAATGATATGAATCAGATAATTTATAACAAGATGCAATAAACATCGGCAATAAATATGACATCACATGCAACAACACCACGGCCCACCAAGTAGTTTTGAATGATGTTTCACAATATGGTCTCTGTTCTTCACGACAAAGATTAATCATCGAAGTCAATCTCGTCATAATCGTAAACGTAATCGCATGCGATAATCCCAATATTTTATCCCTGGTCGAAATCGGTGAATATGGAATTGCACAAGCATAAATACAACAAATCCCAAACGTAATCAAAAAATAACTCACCATCTTATCTTCCCAAACAACATATGAATTCGAGGCAAATATCAAACAATGTCCAATCACAAATATGATCCCCATAAATGACCAACTATTGAAATTATACCTAAAGAAATCATATGTCTGATTCCACAAGAAATTCACACTAAACCTATCCATAATCGGGGCCCAAAATCCAATCACCATCCCTAATGCAATCCCAATCCCAAGGCATCGTTTCAAAGAGAATTCAAATGGTTTTAGGACAATAAAGATCGAAAAACTTAATACTAGACTCACCATGGTCATGGCAATCACCGACCCAATGAATTCGAAACTCATGGTCAGGACCCGGACCGCGGGGATGGATCTCAGATAGGTGATCATGAATGTGAGTGCGAGGAAGAGGATTCCGATCCCGATAAGGATTAGTTTTAGGTCGAAACGGGCCCATAATGATTTGCATTCTTCCAAGGAGAGGATTTGATATGCTTTTGCTTCTTCGATTAGTTTTTGATGGTTGTAGGAATCGGTATTGTTGTAATCGAGGGTGAAGGCGTCGTAATGGTGGATTAGTTTAGATAAGTTAGGAGTGGCATTTCTGAAAGATTTTAATTGTTGGATGGTTTTGTAGGATGCGATTGTTAATTCTTCTTCGGTGGAGAATGCTTCATCGATTGGAAATCCTAGGTTGTTGTAGGGGATTGGTAGGCCCATTAGTAAGGATATTGTCGGTACTAAATCGATTTGATTCACTGAACGATAATATCTACCTTGTGAGGTTAGATTATATAATGATGGATGTTTTTTGGTGAATTGTCCAGTTTTGGAATACATAAATAAAGTAGATTCTAATTCATCAGGGGCATCACCTCCATGATTCCCAGTAGAATCCATTCCATGATCACCAATGATTATTAACAATGTATCATCATCTAATTCATTAATTACTTGTTTTATAACTGTATTCATTTGATTCAATTTCTCCTTCATGGAATAATGTGATGGTCCATATCTGTGTCCAACATGATCTACTCCTAAAAAGTGTCCCACTAATAAATCCCATCTATGAGATTCTTGTAGTAATGGGAATAAATGTTCAGTAACTCCATTATCAACCGTATGTAAATCCCAAACATTTAAAGAATCATATGGAAAATTCAATTCCGGATGAATATATTCATTAAATAATGCTGTCCAAGTATCATCACCCATGAATGCGATTGTTTTATTTAAGCGATGTAATTGTAATAACCAATTATCCTCTTCAATTGCATCACCATTAAAATTTGAACTTGCGTCAATAAAAGTAGGTAATGAACCCGTGGTTAATCCTTTTAATCTTTGTAATGTTGTTGTCGGAGGATCAGCCATGAATTTTAATAAGATACCATTATCTTGTTGAGCTAATTCATATAAAATCGGGAAATTATTATGATAATATTCATTAGATGATTCCGGTGTCACTGGTATGACGAAATCAAATCTTAACGCGTCTATAACCAATAAGACAGTTTTGTTATACTTAGCTGGTCTCATGCATGTGTCATTGTTATTGTTACCACTACCACTGCCAGTAGAACATGAGTTAATATCTGGTAGCACATTTCTTCTTAATAAGAAACCTTGAGTAAAGAATCCAACACCAATGAATTGAATAATTGATAAAAAGATTAATACAATAATATAACCAATAAATGTATATCTTAACTTCTGATGTCTTATTTTAGTTCTTGTTTGTTGTTGTTGTAGTCTATTGGCTTTCTTAGCTTTGTTGTGGTTGTGATGGGTATTGATGGTACCCATGGCATCTATATCATCCTCCATATTGGTAAAAAAAAAGTATAAGAGGGTTTGTATAAGCTATTAGTTGTCGGTGTTTGTTATATTAATTGATATAAGATCATAAAGTATCTATCCCTCTTTTATTTGTCTGTGTGTATAATATACTCCAATTAGGTGTGTATGACTTAGTAGAGTATTACTTGGTTACTCTATCTGTCTATTTCTATTTCTATTTCTTTATAGCAAAATTCAACAATCTCTAAATTAAATAAATTTTTAAATCAAAAAGATATACAGAGACAACGCTGAGACTTACTGAAGAAAGAGAGTGACAGAGAGAGAGAGAATGAAAAAAAATTGTTTTTTTCTGTTGTGCTATTATACACGACCAATATAACCAGAAAGGTACACAATTACACTACCCTATATAGACTACAATATGGTTTAAACCCCATGGCTGCAACAAACAGATAGTCATGACTGGGCTAAAGAAGAGAAAGTAACCTTTTGATAGTCCAGTCTCATACTACCAAAGAATGTCTACAGCTTTATTCCCATTAAAAAGTCTCTTGTTATATTGTAATTAATAATAATAATACACTTACTCTACAACTCTACTCCATACTATGATCAATCTGACTCAAGAAATCCAGTTCAAACTCAGAACCACCCATTAATCCATCCACATCATTGTCATCCCCTTCATCATGATCCACCATATTATCATCATCATCCCCAGGATTAAAATTATATAATTCTCCAACTAAATCATCATCCACCCCTCCTCCCACTAAATCATCATCTGCGTCCTTAAACAAATCATTCATATCATCATCATTCACAATATCATTCGCTACCCTATCAACAACATCATCATTCACATCTCCAGATCCAGCAACAATTCCTTCATCATCACTGCCTAGTCCATTTATCGAACGTCCTCCGGTATCCATATTAGTATTAGTTAACCCAGTATTATTGTTATTACTATTATCTTGATTGGTTGAGTCATTCACTCCTCCTATTGTCATTGAAAATGTATCTTCGATATTTCCATTCGCGTCATTGTCAACATCATCGTCATAACTATTTCCCGTATTTTCGAAATTGAACATATCACTAACCCCATTGAATTTTGATGTGTCTACGATACTACTATTACTATGTTGATGATGATGTTCATATCTTATTGTATTCTCATTATATCCCATGGATCCATTATTATTGATTTGTGGTGGGATGTGTTGTTGTGTTTGTGGTAGTTGTAATTGTGGTTCTTGTTGTTGTAGCTGTGAACTTGTATTAGGGATGTTTATAAATGAATTAATCAGTCTTGGATTATAATTCGCAGGAGCTGATGAGACTTCTATACCCGTTGATATAGAATATTGTTTATAATTAGCCGTAGATTCATACTTCTGAGCAAATTTATATTGATATTCATTCAATACCAGTTCAAGCTCTTGTTCCAATTCCCGCAATGACTCTTTATCATATAATTTCGATCTCAACTCCGCAAGTCGATTAGTCTTTTCTTGTTGATACTTATACCGTTCAGTATTAGGCACATACTTCCCATCATCATCCCCACTCCCAATCCCTATCCCACTCTTTAATCTCTCCTCCACTTTCTTCATCACCGCCAAATCTCCAAAATAAATATCTTCAGCTTTTATATCCCCTTCCTCCAACATTCTTTTCGAATTCTGGCGCATAATCACAGGATATAACCCCGGAGGAATAATCTTAGAAGTATGTACCAATTTACTAGTCACATTCTCAATATATTCATGATTCGTAATATATCTCGACAACATATCATTCCTAAAACTTATTAAATCGGCTTCATCATGTAATTGAACCCCAGGGTCTTCTTTTATGTGACTATTTTGGGCATGTGCATGTGCGGCGGCTTGTGCTTGGGCCTGTGCTTGGGCTTGAGCTTGGACTTTGGCGGCATGGGCTTGGGCTTGGGCTTGTGCTTGTTGTGCTTGTTGGGTTTTTTTGTTTGTACGACCTCTTGGTCTACCTGGATGGGCCATGTGTTTCTAGTTTTCCAAAAGTCAACAACAAAAGTAATATATAAAAATAAATGTAATAAATCGTCTAGACAACTCTTCTATCAAAGCAAACAGTTGTTATCTCTTTAAGTTAGACTAGGTCCTTCTCTATCTGTTCACTCTCAGTTTGATGATTGATGTTGTATTTGGGTTTTTTCAAGTTGTTGTGGATTTTATTATTTTTTCTTCTGGCCCAGAGCTGGTTAACCATTTTTTGGTAAATGCACGTCTTCTATCTACACCACGGTCTATCAACTGTCAAGCTAATATGACAATTGATTTGTAAATAAGTAAAAGGGTATGTCATGATGAACAAGTCTATATAATAATATAAATAGAGATAACGCTATATATCTCAATAAAAAATTGCAAAAAAATAATAAAACTAATAATAAACTAAAACTAAACAATCTAAAAAAGAAAATAAAAAATCCACCAACTCAATAACCTCCTCTGTCACCTCCACCTAAAGATCAAATCTTCCATTCACGAATTCATAATCCATTTGATGATCTTCTTCTTCCGCCTCATCAATCTCCATCTCATCCTCTTCCGCAATCTCTTCATCAATCACATCTTCATCCGGTGGTAAATTTGGATTTCCAGGTATGAATGACCCAGGTCCTTTAAATGCATTCATTCTATATGATTTATTATTTCCAAAGAAATGATCATCCATAGCAGAATCATCAATATATGTAAACCCTTTGAAATTCGCTTGTACGCCAGGGGATAATGGAGTAGTGGAGGCCATTTCCAATTGTTGTTTCTTTAAGATTGAAGTAGTTGATTCAGAAGTGAATTCAGGATCGAAATTAGATGTATCTGTTTCCGAAGTAATATGAGGTTTGAATGGTGGTGGAATTGATTTCTTACGTAATAATTCCCAATCAATATCATTGAAAAATGCATGGGCTCTTAATTCACGGGCATCATTAGTGGCACCTAATCTATGTTTGGGGTTTCTATTTAATAAACCTTTGACAAATGCTCTTCCTTCTGGACTTAAGACTTCTTTAGGGAAACGGACTTTTCCAAATGCAATGTTTTTATACATTTGTTGAGTATTATCGGCATAAAATGGTGACCAACCACAACACATCTCAAATATTAATACACCTAATGACCAAAAATCAACCATTTTGGTATATCCTGATTCATCTAATAATACTTCTGGCGCCAAATATTCAGTTGTACCACAAAATGTATTGGTTGTACCATCATTATTTAAATTTGCTTTAGATAATCCAAAATCACATAATGCAATATGACCATTTGCATCCAATAAAATATTTTCTGGTTTTAAATCTCGATAAACAATATCATTATCATGTAAATGTTCTAATGCTAATATTAATTCTGCAATATAAAATTTGGCACGATCTTCAGCAAATCTACCTTCTTTTTGTAAATGCCAAAATAATTCTCCTCCTGACATATAATCAGTAACTAAATATAAATCTGTCGGAGTTTGGAATGAAAATTTTAATCCAACAATAAATGGTGATGCTGCTGCTGATGTCCGGACTAAAATATTTCGTTCTCCAATGGTATGGGCAATTTCCTTCTTCTTAACAATAACTTTCTTGGATAAAACTTTCATGGCATATATTCTTCCAGTATCTTTCTTTTTCACTTGGAAAACTTGTCCAAAGGTTCCCTTTCCTAATAATCTCAAGAATTCAAAATCATCAGGTCCATATGATTTCTTCTTATCTAAAGAAGTATATTCCCATCTAATTTGAATCGCACCCGAGATCACTCTCTCTCCAACAATTCTAGCTCCTAATTGTAACCATTCACTACTACTTTTTTTATTCACAGTAGTTGATGGAGAAATTCTTACATGTCCTAAAAATGCATCATCTTTAGCAGCATCATACACGGAAATATCAAGCTCAGATTTAGACCCCACTACATCAAATATAGCATCATGATTCCAAATAGGATTGGTTGATTCATTACTTAAATTCAAATGTGGAGTTGATAATTGCCGTTGATATAATGATGGTCTAGAAGAATTATTATTAGCTAGTAACATGGATGAACTTCTCATTGGTAATGCTTTTGGTATCCCACTATGATGATTGGCATTCACATGATTCTTGGGATGATGTGATGGTTGATGTGCAAGTAATGATGGGGATTTCCCAAATGATTCCGCAGCATTAGTAACAAATTCAGAACTTTCAAATGTACATACTACATATGGTTGTGTTGCATTAAGATCTCTACCTTCAATAATTGTGATTTTTAATTTTCCTTTTGGTTGGGAATTTTTAGAACTGGCATTTACTGTTTGCCCAGTTTCATCAGTGGTTATAATCATCGGTTGACCATTTGTGAATGCTTGAACTGCTTGAAGTTCTTCTTGTGTAGATGATTGTGAAAGTGGCTGATTGGTTTGTTGTTGGTGTGGCTGTGGTGATGGTTGTTGTTGTTGTTGTTGCGGGTGTACTTGAGTTTGTGCGTAGGATGAGGGTGTATATGCTTCTGGCTGCGGCAGTTGTTGATATTCATTCTTTGATTTGAATGTTTGGTTTAGGTAATTACCAGGACTATTAGATGCTTTAATTGATGTAGTTCCATATACCATAGAATTGCTAGATACCGCTGTGGTTGGTGTTCCACTCGCAAGCCCCTTTGGAAGAAATTTGATATTCCCTCCACCGGTAGAATATTCTTCATTTCCAAATGATGGATTAGTTGAAGATGGTGCATTTATTGTGCCTGTAGTTGTTGAAGTTGTTTGACTAGTTGCTGATGCCGTGGGAGGTGGAGTTGGTGATGCGGTATTATCTCTCTTGTTGAAGGTTCCGAATCCGAATATCATAATGATTTAGTAAAATATTGATATGTGTTATTATATGAATGATCCTGTCTTTATCAAATGACGACAATATAATATAATATATGAAATTAATGAATTAAAAATTAATTAAAATAGGCAATGGCAAATGCTTGTGTGTGGGTGCCAATGATCACCAATAAATAAAATACAAAAATAAAATTTGAAAATGAACAATAATTTAATTTGGGAATGTCTAAAAAGCAAGTAATGTATACAAAGTTCCTTCTTGATTCTTAATCCTAGTTAAGAATAATATGGAACTTTAAAATGAATAAATTAATAAATGGATTCTTACTTATTAAAGCAAGTTTATAAAAAAAAGGTGTGTTTCAAAAAGAATGTGATGATGACGATTAAAGTTGATGATGAGATTTTCCTTATAATTAATAAACTTTTTTTTTTTTGGTGGTGTTTCTTATTTCTTATTTAATTATTGTGACGAAAATGGGAGCGGTGAGTATTAAAAATTTATTATTTTCTAATGTATGATAATAAAAAATAATTAAAATGTAAAATAAATTTTAATACTGTATGGAAGGTCGTGTATAATTGTTCAAACGGTTTCCCTGTTAAAAAAATTAAATTTTCTCTTGTGTCTCAGATGAGGCGCTCTAATCTTTTTGATTTCTTTTGATTGATTGTTCTTAAACCAATATACAATGATATCAAGGATAGATAACAAAATTGGTCAAAATCCGGAGGTGTATCTTTGATTAACTTCGAAACAAACCTAGTCCTAGTTTATTTGACTAAAATATTTCTTAAGCCCAAAAATGATGAGAATGGAGTCAAATATTTCTTTTTTTTAAGGCATTTATGGTTTTGGAATTTTGGCACTTTACAATTGGAATTTTTATTTTAACGATGAGATTTATTTTTTAACTCTTTCAAATTGTACAAAGATAAGGATTTTTAATTTTTAGTTAGGACAATATTCTATGCACTATTACTTAAAACCTTGAACATTGATCCCGTTAGCGACCCGATCCAAGAATGTTTGGAATTGAATACAATGACAGTTTCCAATTGGCTTATACCTATTTGGGATGCAGAATTGATATTATGCCTCTTCTTGTTATCGTAGTTCAGCATACTGAAATAATTACATCATCTGTGATTTGCTTCGCATTTACCGTTCCATAATTTTTTTTTATTTTTTTTTTAGATTTTTGTTTATTTTTTGCATTCACTTGGAATTTTTAGAAATCGCCTTTCATGTCTTCCAGATTAAATGCCATTTCTTCGATTGAGCTAAGAGCAGTGTATTTAATCTGATAATCTAGAAACTGTATCAGGAAAATTAGTGCGTAATTGGTTGGAAAAATTGCCTCGGAAAACAGCTCTCTTTGGACTATAAATATGGATACCCTGCCATTCTGATTGGAGAATATCCATCACGTGGACCTTCGTTTGTAAGCAGTGCCAGGAACATTTCTCCATTTCTATAGCAGAAAAGCAACAATTGCTACAATTACATGTAGAATGGCATTCTGGAAAGATTGTTAACCTTAAATAATGGGTATTCAATCCAACAATAGAAAGAGCAACTAAATTTATTCTTTGTTGAACAAGATAATGCATTGGTTAACCCATGCTTGTTGAATCCTCTCGCTTCTAAATGTTACCTTTTTTGACTTAGCTGTGGATGTATGCAATGTTTATCTGATCTCACACTTTGTCTTTTGCAACAAATTTGCCGTGATTAACAACGAAATTCTGAGAAAAATGTACCAATATAACATACCACTTTTAATTAGTCAAACTGACTCCCTTAATCCAATTCGATTCATAACCGTAATAATACTAAGAACCAGCACATTGAGAACACACAATATTACCAACTAAAAGGGAATATCCGTAGCCCTTTGAAGTTGTTGCAGAAACGTCAAATGAAGGGTTACCCTCTGAAGAACTCACAAATCAATATCGAATCAGATCCAACAGCTGATTAACTCCCAATATGACATAAGACTAGTACCTATGTATCATTGAACTTACCGTCTCTTTTTAGCTTCAATTTGTAAACATGGTTGTTTTCAAAAGAGGATTTCTAAGTTTGGCAGCCACAGAGACAAAGTCGCTATACAAAATCACATCCTGCATATAAGTTCTTGATGTTCACGAAAAAATTTCCACCAACCAAAACCGCCAAAGACTCGCTTGGAAAACCTTCAAATCATAGAAACAAATCAGGTTTTGTAATCTCCCTGTGAACCATAATAGAATCTGGCAACCAAACAGCAAAATGAACTTTCTTCCTCCCTCAGAGTCTCCCTAGTCACATGGTTTGTCTGGTAACCATTTGTAGAAATCAAATTATAGACAATTTAGTTCATCAATTCCAAGTCTTGCTAGAAACACAAAGGATAAATTCTACAAGATCACAAGATATGTTAAAAAGATTCAGAAAGTTCCAGAATTAAAGCTTGGTGAACCATTACCAAAGGGTATAAGGATGCCACGTGAAATACCTAAAGTTCCTACCTATCATTTTGAACCCAGATTTTTCAAGAGACAAAACCGTGGGTTATATGGTGGTGTTCAACTTAAAAAAGCCCATAGATGTTCAGAATACTTCAATAAAACCAAATATTACCAAAAACCAAACATTCAAAGAGCAAAGTTATGGTCCGAGGCTTTAAATAAAGCAATTTCAACCAGAGTTTCTACTAAAGTTTTAAAAACAATTGATCAAGAAGGTGGATTGGATGCTTATTTGCTCAAAGACAAATCAGCCAGAGTTAAAACATTGGGTTTATATGGTTGGAGGTTGAGATATAAGGTTTTGAAGAGACTAGAACAAAAGGCATTACCTCATGTTCAAAAAGGTAAGAAACAAGTCAAGGTTACATATATACATCCTGATGGAAGAAGATTTATCGTGGATAAGAATAGATTACTTAAAGAATTATACGGGGTTGTCAGAAGAAACAGTTACTATGAGATATCTCATCAACAATTCCAAAAGCAGTATGGATTTTATTCTGTGAAGAATCTCGTTGAAGCATTAGACCAACAGAATTATGAAAACTTCAACGAAATTACTGCCTAAAATGGAGATGCATCTTTGTAAATAGGTTAAAAACCATTAATAAAATATTGTAAATATTTAATGTATTTGATTTAATTCAAACTTGAAATCTTAAAGTGGGTGACTACTAATATTGCAGACCTAGAGTGTGTGTATGTGTAAGATATTCGGTACTTTTTTTCGTCAGTGTTCACGTGCACTACTTTGGGATTTTTTAATAGTACGACGCACGTGATATTAATTTTCAGTTGTTTTTTTCTTTTGTCTCTCACTTTAAAACTTAGCAGTATTTCCTCCTCATAGTATGGGAAAACAAGTGAGCACTTATATACAGGAAGCATCATTTCTTGGAAGTAAATTTTAGTTACCCGCACTCTTTTGATGCCACTGAGAATCTCACTAACTGCTTTCCAATAAAAAAGAATTTTCAAAAAATTTTAATAAGCTATTTTCAAGATAGTTTAGTTACCCATACATTATATACATAGTAAAAATGGCTAAGTCAGGTATGTGATAATATCAACCCACCACTACCGTTTCACCTCCAAGTGGACAACTACATATCGCCATGACATAGATTTGAAGATATATCCCCAACGAATCATCAGTGAAAAGTTTGCCCAATAATCGAAGAACCACCATGAAAGATTTTCAACTACCAAGATGAGCATAAATTCAACTAGAGCTCGAAGACAAATAAGAAATATCGAATATATAGATCGCATATACATCAACTAGAGTTAGAGATAACGTCTCATCAAAGTTGAACCAATATACATATCTTTGAAAACACAATAAACTAGATGAGCATCACCACTACTACAAGAATTTCAAAATAAACTCAAGCAAACTAATAAACCCACAAATAATAGCAATCAAGGGATAATCGTCAACTCAAATATCAGGCACCTCTAATATCCAATGTACATTTATACTAACAATTTTTTATAGGTATTGCTGTTGGTTTAAACAAAGGTCACAAGACTGCCGCTAAGGAAGTCGCTCCAAAGGTCTCTTACAGAAAGGGTGCTTTATCCAAGAGAGCTGACTTTGTCAGATCTATCGTTAAGGAAGTCGCCGGTTTAGCTCCATATGAAAGAAGATTAATTGAATTGATCAGAAATGCTGGTGAAAAGAGAGCTAAGAAGTTGGCCAAGAAGAGATTAGGTACCCACAAGAGAGCTTTAAAGAAGGTTGAAGAAATGAACAAGATCATTGCTGAATCTAGAAGACACTAGGTTTATTCTGTCTCATAATGTCATATATTTAATATACAACCCTCCTGTTTAACGATTAAAACAAAAAGCACCAAACACCGCCCGTTTAATGGATTATTCATAGATTTGAATTCTATTTAATAAGTGTAAATGTATAATATATCTTGCGTTTTGCGATTATTCTATGAAAATTGTCAATGTAACTTAATTTCTCTGTTAATAAACCGTTTTTAAAGCCCAACAAATTTTCAGGCTCTTCTCCACTGGGAATTGATACCCGAAAAAACGTTGATCAATGAGGACTATCAAAGATATCATCGATCTGTTTGAATCAGTATACAAACACATCGCCATTATTTATTCTTAAATAAGCAGTCGTACAAGGTCTCTTCTCAAAGGGTTGATGCAGACTAGAGTTCTGATAATTCGACGAAATGGTATCAACCACCACCCCCATCTCATTTCTCAAACCCCAGTGAGTTGCCTTCAGCTTATCCTCCCCAGTCTTTCCAACAACCGTCAAATCCTCCCCCTCAAACAATACCGACACATGGTCAACCATCTACACAGGTACCACACTCGCCATCTCTTTCCCAGTCTTCGTTAAATCAAGCAAGTGGAACTTCTCGGGATGGTACTAGTGGCGGGGACACTTTTAATCATTTCCGTGAACTTTCATCATTGTTAGCAATGGCTGCATTAGCCTATTTTGCAGTTGACAACTATACAGAACGTCTTAAACTTGAGAAACTCCATGCCGAAACAACTGCTATTAATTTAAAAGCATTACAAATCCAACAAGCTAATTTTAGTGCCAATAGCAAAACTCGAGATTTACAAATTTTACAAGAAAGGAAAGAGAATGCAAAGAGGAGTTTTAAGATGAGTTTACATATTGCATTATTAAGAAAACAATTGATTGAATTGGGTTATGATCCTATTGAATTGGAAGCTGCCATAAAGGAATTTGAAAAGAATGTGAGGGCTGATAATTCAAGTAAGAATGTAATGGCTCAATTTTTATGGTTGGATGATTCTTCAGGTATGTATGCTCAACACATTAATGGGAAAGAGCCCGCTGTTTTACTAACATTTAACTTATAGAACTTAAGAGGTTTCTTCCAAATCCTAATGATTATGACAAAACTCGTAAGAATGAATAAATAGGTGTATTAAATTGTAAATAGTAATAAATTACATAGGTTAGAAAGTGAGAAGGTTACCCGGAAGTTCCATCCATCGCTGTATAAAATCATCAAATTGTTAACAAATTTTTTTCTAAAACTTTTTCCACTCTTATTTTCTTTCTTCATACAATGTCTTTATTATTGGCGCCCATTAGAGTCACGGATTATATGAATTTCCTCTACATATAGTCTTATTCACTATGTGATGTCTTCGTGCTCGGGTAAACCATAGATCAAACATGTTTTTACCAGCCTTAATTTGTCGAGTTTATCCTTTAAATTGGATTTACTACGCGGTTCTAAACTAACAGATTCCTTAATATTTACATATTGTAGATTATAATGAAAAAAGACATGTGTATATTGTAGATCTAATTATGAAATGGAAGTGATTCCGTTATATTTATTATCCTCGTCTTGTTTCGATTAGTTGTGCATCTATTTGACCCAATTCTCGTTGTTTTAACTTAAGTTGGAGTAGGTTGAATTTTGGACAACAAACACTCGAGGCCAGCTTGCCATCTTCTTGATAGAATTGCTTACAACATAAGTATAATTCATCAATTAATTTTGTACATTTTGCTTCGTTGTATCCATTTGCGAATAGACAATCTTGAATTGCACAGGCATGCGATTTGCATGTTTCATTGATTACTTCAGACATTATAAAGGAACTGAATTACAGCAAGTCGATGACAGTAGCTTGAAGATTCTCAGCTTGGTGAATGAAGTTTAACTAGGTAAATCAAAATCTGATTGAAGAAGAAAGCAAGAGCAGTTAGAACGAGTTTGGAAAATTCCGTAACCAAACAGCCCCAAGCAAAAAAAAAGAACCAATGAATAAATAAATTTATAATTCCACCCTAATTACATAGCTACAATAAATACACACCTAATCCCCAATTGCATTTCTATCTAAATCCGCCAGATAATCATCCTCATCATATTCACTTGGCTCGTATATAACCAAAGGTGCAAAATCCCTAGTGGCTTCCCTCTTTGCCTTTTTTGTCTTTGTAATATAAAATGTACTACATGCTGAAAACAATGATATCAAAATAGCAATAATCCCCCAACGAGAAAGATACCATCTCAAACTCTCAATTTCCGATCTCATTACTGAATTCAATTCTGTTGTAATTTTATGATTTGTTTCTTGTATTCGAAGCATGATTTGTTTTGAAAGAAGGGTATTTTCTGATTTTTGATCATTCATTGCCACTTGAGTATCGTTGCGCATTTGAATGAAATCACTATTTAATTCATCGGAAATGGTACTGAAATCTCGTTCAAGGATATGAATTAATGCAATTAGTTCATGGATATGTTGTTCTCGAGATCTAGTAATATCCACCCGTAGTTCTTGTTGAGCACTTTCAAATAAATATTGTTCATTTTCAAGTTCATACTTTTGTGAATATTTCGTTGATAATTTTGATAGTTTTGAATTAAGTTGGGATATTATTAAATCTATTATAGTATCACTTTGGGGACCTGTGAAACCAGATTGTCTTAATTTGACGTATACTTGATATGTATCAAGATATGGCTCCACGTCATCAAAAATAGTAGTTAGAAACTCATCGGCACTTTCCTCTACTGTACTTTGAATAGCTTCTGGGTATATTTCTCGATCCAATGCCTCCTCAATTTCTTTCTGCTCTTCTCCAGGTGAGGGTGAAGAAGAATCGCTTTTCTTTGACAGTGGTAATGTTGGGTTTATAACGGGCTCTAGCACATCATTTAATTGAATCCTTGCTGAAGAAATATATCGTGAAAAACAACTAGGCCCATTCCTTGGAGTATATCTCGGAACATTGCAACGCAATATAGGTCGATGTATAAGCCTTATATGTGGTAGTTCATTTAGACGAATACCCCTTATCATTTCCAGTTTGAACTCGATTTAAGTATAACAATTGTATGCGCAAAAGGGTGAAAAAAGACCTATTTAGAATACCAGTACGGATTATGAATTTTGAAAACTAGATTAAATCAAATATTTATTTCATGAAAGTAAACAGACTTAAATTGATTAATTAATATTAAAAAGACGTTTTGGTCCCACTCATCATTTTGTGTTGTCTCGGTGATTCATCTCCACTTTGTAAAAAAATGAATTGGGTAATATGTAGCGAGGAATCTTATTTTGCAGCAAACAAATTTATTTTACACTTGGCTTTTTTAGCAGCCAATACTCTTATATCGAAAAGAACACGTAAAGGTTCTTCGGTAATTGGAATTGATTAAAGAAAGCATCAGATTGCTGTACTAACAAACTGGTTATTCGTCTTGTTTTCCAAATCTATTGCTGTCACTTTCTTAAAGAAATGAACAATATTCTTACTTGGATGTTGTTTTATCACACCAGATACCTTATTTCTTGAAGGTTCAATACCTGAATGAAGAAGCGGCTTTTCCAAGGCATAATGATATAGCGATCTAGTAAAGAATTGGAATCCGAAATCTAAATGTGAAAAATAAACCACGGCCTTCTTCCTTTCTTCAACATTGTGATCGACACACGAATATCCTAATAATTTATTGGAAGCATTTCCGTTGATAGAAGGAGCAATAACTAAATCAGGAGTACCTGGGAACTCTTCATTAAAAATATCATCGTTTGATTCAATTGGGTTATGTAAGCCATTATGAACTAATTCTCTAAAGTTTGAAGTTCTCACTCGCAAATCACATAAATTAACAATCATCGTTCTTTCAGCATAGGTATCCAAAACCTGATCCACAACCTCATCAGCATCTTCATCATTGAGAGGAACTTGACTCAGGGCAAGAGTATTACTTAGTTCAATTTCTTCTTCGTTGACAACAAGCCTTGTTTTGCGATATCGATGAACTAATATAATCTTGGGTATTTGATTCTTAAATTCCTTTAAGTCTTTTTGATCACAAGTACTGGCGAAAGCAACAAGTTCAACCAAAATGGAATTCTTAATAGAATCTAATGCACTAAAATGATCACCATTCCATGCAGTACCTTTTTTCTCATAGATTGTCAAGTCAGTAATAGTGGGTATCAAACATGTCCAAGCGATAAATCTACTCATTTCTCGTAATAACCTCACTCTTTCAGCAGCTATACGAGATTTATATTGCGTGAAATATTCATTCCTGATAGCTATTATATACTGCACCTCTTTTGGATCAGGAACAGTGATTTTTCTATCTGCATCCAAATAAGGCTGTGGGATTTCTGGAGGAGGTGGAACTAGATTGGGTATGGTGTCTAAGATTAATGTAACACTATTTGGAGTATTCTCTTTAGGTAGATAATTCCTTACAGCTTTGAGTCCAACGGGTATACAATAAGACACCTGTTTGAGTGTTTTAATAGCTTCACCTGGGATGTAAAACATAGTTTCCCACCAGAATATTGTTGAATATTCGTAGTTAACCTTATTTAAGCTTCTTTGGAGACCAAAATAAAACATACTAAAAATCTTCAAATCAAAAAAGAAGATCTTAAAAAGTTCCCATGAATTAGTTATAATGGAATGCCAACAAAAGAGTTTCATATAAGCAAACAAGAAGAATGTCAAAATCATTCTTAAAGTATGAACAGTTAATAGTAGTTTCCACCATATAAGAAGAAACCACTATAGTTCACGTAAAACCTAAACTAAAGCTGAAGTGATACCTAAGCTTGTTGCTGGCAATCCACTGAATTCTTGTATCCCGGTAAGCTTCTCAAATACAGCTCTATCATTAAGTTGCCTTGAAAACATTCTTTAGATGAGTGAGTCTAACTCTAGCAATTACCAAATAGTGTATTTCTACTTGGCGTGTTGAAAACTTGGAAACCAAAAGGGAGAGAATTTGGCAACCAATTGTTGCAAAAAAAAACAAAGCGAGTGGCTCAGAGATTGGCTGAGGAAGTTTCTGGAAACCAGTTCCAGGGTACTGGCCACCAATTTAAAGGGTTCAACGTAAAGGCTACAACTACGGAGAGCAAAGTAAGGTATTCATCATACAACGTCGTTTTTATATTAAATAAGGGGTTTAAAAAAATTGTCTATCTCTAACAATTAACTAATATACAAAAGTCTCTAAAAATACAATCACAGATTAAAACAAAAAAACTCAACAAGAACTAAAAAGGGATTTATGTGTAAAAGGAAATCTAGTGTTCCATTGAAGCATCTTGGAATTCTTCATGTTGTTCAGTGGAAGCTGGTTCATTTTCTTCAATTTCATCAGTAGTACTTTCTTCTTCAAAAGGAGCAATGGCAATGGAATAAGTATTGGCTTGGTCTGCAGTTTTGTTTTCATTAGGGATGATTAATTCTAATTCATCGTCATTGATGAATCTTGCTTTGATTTGATTAAATTTGATCAATTTGTCGAATTGGACATGTTTTTCAAAACTAATTTCTTGATTCTTATATTCTTTGATTAAAGATTCTACATCTTCTTGTATTTCTTCATCGTCTTCGTCATCTTCTTCATCTTCATAATCTTCATCATCTTCTTCATCTTCGTCATCTTCCTGGCTGAGATCGTCATATTGCTTGATGTTTAAGTCATCATCTTGACCTTCAAATCCTGACCATTCGAATTCACGTGTTTCATCAGCATCACTTTCGAATTCATAGTCATCATCATCTTCTTCTTCTTCTTCATCTTCTTTGTCAACCTGTTCGCCAGAAGGAGCTTCTTCTTCTTTGTCACTGTCAACTTCTTCCAAGACAACTTCAGCTTCAATTTCGTCTTCGTCGTCATCTTCCTCCTCAAGAAGTAGAAGCTGTAGTCGAAGAAGTAGTCTAAGTTATAGCCGTTTTAAGTTGATTCCTCTAAGAACTAATTCATTTTCGTTTTTTAAGAAATCAATTTTCAATTCTTCTTTAACTAATGAAGGTAATCTCACAGTCAATTTATAAGTATGGTCATCTAATTCAACCAATTCACAGTCTTTACTATTAGCTAATTCTTCTTCTAAATTGATGATATCATAGTCGTCATCACTATCTTCAGCTTTTAATAATCCATCTTCATCGTATAATTCATAAGTTGCTTCTTCATCATCTTCATCTTCAGTGAATGCAACCAATTCGTCATCCGTTGAATCTTCATCTTCTTCATCTTGTGGTAAGTCGAATCTGTGTTTATAGATAGTAATACCTTCGTCATCAGAAGAGTCAGAGCTGTCATCATCGAAATCGTAATTATCTGGATTTCCAGCGTCATATTCATCATCATCACTTTCACCTTCAGAATAATCACTAGCAACTTCAAAATATTCTGGTTCTGAACCTAATTCAGAATCTTCATCTTCAGAGATTTCATCATCACTGACTAATTGTTCTTCGAATGCTTGTCTGACATTTTCGAGTAATAATTGTTGTTTTAATTCCTTTGGATCAGCTGAGTATTCAATATCGGAATATTCTTCTTCGGAGTCTGAAGAAGAAGTGTATGAGAAGTCTTCAGCAACCATTTGCTCTAAAGCTTGGGCTTGTAATTGGTCATTCAAATCGACAATATCTAAGATATCTTGAGGTTCAACATCTGATTCTTCTTCTTCTTCTTCAGAATAATCGTCGAAAATATCTTCGTCAGAACTTTCATCATCGTAATATCTGACTAATTGATCATTTAAGTCATATACTTCACCATGAGCATCTAAATCTTCAACAGCTTCATTTTCTAATTCATCATTCATATCAACAACTTCATCAGTGTCATATTCGTCTTCTTCTTCGTCTTCATCGGAATCAGCAGCATTGTGAAGATTGAATTCATATACTTCTTCTTCATCTTCTTCATCGGAACTGAAGTCTTCTTCTTCTTCACTTTCTGGTTCTTCCACATATACATATTTCCTGGTTGGTTCTCTGTGTTTATGGTGTCTGTGTTTATGTACGTAGGATGGTTTGGTTACAAAGTAGTTCTTTCTACCATATCTATTACTGTATCTTGGTTTAAAGGAAGTCATGATCTTATAATTATTGGGATTTTTATAAATTTATTAATTTGTTGATTTTTCTTATTTAGTCAAACACTTTTACTCAATTTCAATAAGTGTTTGGTTAGTTAATTTTATAATTAAAAGTATTTGAAACTAAAGAAGGGAGATAGGGTTCATTTTATAGACTTTGAAAAGTGAAAAATTATTTTTATCTCATCGAAACCGTGGTATGCGGCAACATGCATATTTCCTAATTAGGATTACGTGAATGTTACAAAAACTCATAGAGTGTTTTCCAAAGTGCACTAAGAATTTAAAAGAAATCAATAGAAGAATTTTTTAGGCAGAAAGAATTTACAGAAGAAAAAAGAAAAATATCTTTTTTTTCGATGAGTTAAGGGTTACCCGGATGAATTCTAAGAAGTATAAATACTAGACATTCCCCTTGTCTCCCTTATTCTGAAAACCAAATCTCTTTGCCTTTTGGCTTAGATCACGTGTAGTATCTGTTCTTTTCAGTGTAACAACTGAAATGTCATCTATTGGATGACGATTTAATATGTTACAAATATAACTATTTTTGGATTGAGGGTAAGAAGTTGCTATGTTGAGCTTGCTCACATCACTTTCCTTACACAGTGTCGTTGTCATTGCACTTTGTTTGACTTCTGACGCAAATCTTTTTCATTTATTTTTAAGTCTTCATTTGTGTTTTGATTTTCTATTAAATTTAACATAGTTGAGATTTAAAAGGATTTGAAAGAACTGTCATATACATAGATATATAGTATTGATAGTATATAGTATCATCATAATAAACATTTTATTACATTCGCTAATGATACCTATTTAAGATTCATCCGTAAAGTTATCTGTGATCTTTAAATTATTTTTTTTGTAGGTTTTCCCCTGGTGTGATTATTAATTCTGCTTTTAAATAAAGACAATTGCTGAGCCAACATCAAACAATACCGAAAGACAAGTCTTTATATACAAAAGCTTAACATAATAACGTAAATATACAATGTCAAACGACCTGCCAGGTGTCGAAAACGATCTGATATCTGTGGTCAACAACGGATTATTCCCAAGCTTATCTCCAAGTGCATTTAATCAAGCGAATACGGACCAAGCGTTAGATGATGGATATTCACAAATAGCAACTGAAGAATCTATAGAACAATTCAGAACTGTATTTAGAAGATCTGAACAAACAGGGGGCATCCCTCTAGAAGAAATCGATTTATCACTAGCTTCCTCAGGAGATGATGATGATTCTAGAGCGACTGGTGCAGATTTTGGTTCATCGTTTAATGGTAATGACGCTGAATCAGTGCGATCAGATTCATATTCGGTTGATTCATCAATCTTGAATCGAATAGCAGACGATATAGTTAAGGATAATCCCATACCTGATAGTGGAAGGTTTAAATTCCTTCGATATTATGAACGATTAAGTAAAGAAAGAAACAAGCAAGCTCATGTTACAACTATATTAGACAATATGAAGAATGAAGGAGATATCCCATTACAATCCGTCCCATCTAGTAGCAGTTCTATTTTCAATATATCAAAACTAGATGATTTTAACAAATATGTCAAAGAAACAGCCTTGAACGATTCAATCTATGCCAAAGTTAAAAAGAAACTTCCTCATACCCATGAACTGGATCATAATGTCCTCAATGTGATACCAGAATCAGATCTAGCTGATAATTTCTACGCTGGATTTGAATCCGAACAACAAAAAACTCGCAAGCAATCAAGATTAAAACATTACTGGCATAATAAAAAACATACCGCAAGTCATTCAGCCACTCGAAGTGATATAAGTGGACTTAATTTCGAAACCGACCTTAACAGTCCAAATTCCGACCAATCATCCACCCAAAATGAAAAACATAGACGATTTCTTAAACGTGGATTAAAAGTACGACACCTTCAAATGATCTCTTTAGGAGGGACATTGGGTGTTGGATTAGTATTAAATTCAGGAAAAGCATTCACTATAGCAGGAGGATTTGGGACAACATTGGCGTTTTTCTTAGTTGGTGCTATTATATTGGCCACGATGGTATCATTTTGTGAAATGGTCACGTTTGTATCTGTGGTAGATGGAGTTTCTGGATTAAGTTCCCGATTTGTTGATGATGCATTTGGATTTGCTGCTGGTTGGTTATATTTCTTTTCATTTGCATTTGGAGTTGCTGGAGAGATTGTGGCAGGGGTGATTATGTTATCATATTTCCCGAATTTGAAGACGACTAGCAATCCTGCGTCCACGGGTGGGTTTGTAACTGTTTTCTTAGTTTTGATGGTTCTGAGTAATTTATTGGATATTCGTATATTTGGTGAGATTGAATATATTTTGAGTTTTATCAAATTGTTATTCACATTTATCATGATGATAGTTATGGTGGTATTAAATCGAGGTGGGTTTGGTAATGATGTACTTGGGTTTAAATATTGGACATATCTGAAATCAGATTTTGCAAATAATATAATATTTGGACTTTTTAGACCATCATTTAATTTGCATGATGATACAGGTACAACTCCACCCGACGAAGGAATAGGTGGGGATTTAGGAAGATTTATGTCTTTGGTGGTTGCGATTTTAGTCGTGTGTTATTCGTATAGTGGAACTGAAATAGTTTGTATTGCCGCTTGTGAAGCCCAAAATCCAAGAAAGGCACTTCCATCAGCCACCAGAAGAGTCTTCTGGCGTATTATCATATTTTATTGTTTATCCTCATTTTTAGTCTCATTGAATATTTATGCTGGTGATCCAAGATTGTTAAGATATATCCGAGGTGCTGGATTAAGTCAACTGGACTTTGCCAACAATCCTGCTATTGCGCTAGCAGGTGGTATGCATTGTAATTATGATGATGGCTTATTTGCAGGATACGGAAGTGGTGCTCAAAGTCCCTGGATTGTTGCTCTTCAGAGTGTGGGACAATGTAATTTTAGTGCATTTGTTGATGCCATGTTGGTGTTTTTCGCGATTAGTTGTGGTAATGCACAATTATACGTTAGCTCAAGAACGGTTTATTCATTGGCACTTCAAGGAAAAGCACCCAAATTCTTAACTTATTGTAATAGATATGGAAATCCATATTATTCGGTGTTATTTGCTGGAAGTTTTGGCTTATTGGGATATTTATGTATATCTGAATCTGCCACATCTGTATTCCAAAATTTAACTAGTATAGTTGCCGCATCCGTTATTGTGGCATGGTTTGCTATGTGTTTAGCATTTGTGAGATTTTATTTCGGATTAAAGAGAAGACCAGATATTTTAAGTAGAGATGATAAGTCATATCCCTATAAATCACCATTTCAACCATATACAGCCATAGGTGGACTAATTGGCACAGGATGTATAATGTTTTCCATGGGATTTGTGGTATTTTTAGAAGGAGAATGGAATACAATGTTTTTCTTTTCTAGTTATGGTACCTTGATGGCATTTGCTATATTATATTTTAGTTATCGAATAGTTAAAGGCACGACTATACCTAGTTTAGATCGATTAGATTTTGATTCTGGAAGAACCGAAATGGATCGATATATTTGGGATGGAGGAAGAGATTATAATGTTAGAAGTTTTAAAGATGTTGCAAGTCGATGGATATCCTTCCTTGCATAACCAGCACTACATGTGATGGTACTAGTAACAATTATAGACATTTATAGATTTGTATGTGTGTATGTGTATGTGTATCGTTATAAGATTCGTGTGTGTATATAATCTGATGTCAGTTGACTTCCTAATTGGGAAAAGCTGGGCAAAATCAAACGACTTTTTTAGCCGAAGAATTTTTTCAGATCAGAAAAAAATAATTTTTAGTTTGTTGATTTTTTTTTGCTTCCTTCCCCTATGTGTTGAAAGTTGGTTGTAAAAAAAAACTACCACTTGATTTCAATTCTTCTTCTTCTTCTTCTTCTTCTCCATTAAGTAAAAATCACAAATATGACTTGGTTACCAACTGAGTCCTTCTTGAAAGGAAAGATCATTAAACCTTTCTTACCTTTTGATAAACATCCTGATTATACCAATCCTAACATTCGTAATTTGTATCCCGGTGATGAAGTTTATATTTTTGAAACTAAAGATGAAAAATGGGCTAGAGGTTATGTCTTATCTAAACCTTTCCCAAGAGATTTCACTACCACTTCAGTTAATTTAGATGATTTGCCTACTCCTCAAATCAAGATTCTTGTCTTCCCATTGAAATATGTTAAAATTGTTGAATCTGTTGCTTTCACAGACAAGAAGAATGAAATTGAACAAAATGAACTCTTTGAAGGAGAACATTTATTGTTGAATGGATTTTCGAAAGATTCGGTTAAGAAAATCATTCCTCAATTACCTGTTAGTGTCGAATCCAAAAGAACTTTAGAAGATGAAATTAAGAATGCCTTGGAAACTTTGAATTCTCATATCTTTGCCTTGTATTCCATTGGTGAATTTAGATTATTTAACAGTTTAGTTGATATCTTTTATAAATTACATGAAGTTAGAATTAAATTGATCCATGATTTGTTAACTGCAAATGAAGCTCGTAATGCTAGGGAAGTAGCCACTCAATTATTAGACAGAATCCCAAAGAAATTAGCTTCTAAAGCAGAAAGATTGAATGAATCTTCATATGATTTGGATAATGATAATACTGATATTTCTGGATATAAAGCGATTTTAGCAAGAGATGCGTTTACTGGGGAAATCTTAACATTGGATTCTTCCTATCCTTCAAGAATCGCTTTCAACAGTGAATTATGTTCTTTGGTCGGTACATTCCCAATCCATGCCCATAATCACAAGCAAAAATTCACATTGAAGACTGTTGGAAATAAGAAATTCAACATTGAACCACCTTCAAATATTCTTGTTGATTTTAAGTCAGTTTCGGGTTCATCTGCTTATTTACCACCTGGATTTGCCGGTATGACTGCATACATGTATCTTCGTAACAATAAGAAGAGATTAACCGAAGCTTTTGCTGTTCATGCTGATTCTGTTCAAGAATTGGCTAATGTTGAGAAATTAAGTGCAGCCTTATTTAGAAACATTCCTCATCATGAAATTGCCGACACTAGAATCTATTTAGTTGCTGTTTTAACCGAAGAACTTGATATGAAGATTATTCATGGTGGTCGTGAGTTCACAAAGAGAGTCAAAAGAGGAGTTGCTGCTGGTGCTACTGATATTACCCGTGTCTTTTCGTTAAGTCAAGGTGGTCTTACAACTGGTGAATCCTATCATTTCCAAATTAAGTTGTTCGGTTCATTTATGCCATATAACAAGACATTTACAAGCCGAGAAGAAGGTATTGATCGTGTAGTCAATAATGGTTGGGGAGAACTTCCTGATCGTATTATTGGTGGAACTAGTAACGGTGTTGCTGTTAATCCAAGAGCAGAAAAGTTGATTATTACTGTTAAAGAATTTAGACATCAATTTGAAACTGGTCTTAATAGTTCTCAAGCTGTCAGCCAAACACCAATTTCTAGAATTAAGGCAATTTTCTTTGATCCATTGGCTGATAATTATGAAAGGATTTATTTGAAAATGGGGAAAATTAGTTTAGCTAATGGTGGTACAAAAGATGATTTGTTAACTGTTGAAGTTAGTGTTCCAAACAATGAATTAATTACATTTGCGAAGGCCTCTAATCAACAAGGAAAACGTCAATGGCAATTTATTAGTGTTAATCCTGGTGAATCTATTGGTGACATTATTAGAATTAATGGTATTGCTTTGAAATCACCAACCACCAGTAACGTTCCAAAAGATGATTATATCCTATTATCTTTATATATCAATGGTGTTTACTCAGGTGAAGGTAAAGTCGTTTACAAATCTGGAAACAGATTAGTCGAATTCAATAAAAAGAAGGGACATCGTGTTGAGATCCTTTCTTGTAATACTGGTTCACCTATAGCTTTCTGTGAGCTTTCAACTGAATACGTTGGAAAGTTTTATAATTCTCATCAGTCGATTGATAATATTTTCCAATATGAGAAACTTTTTAAATCTGGTACAAAGGGTACTGAAGAGCTTGCTAGTTCATTGAAAGAATTCTGCAATTTGGATGTTTCTCAATTAATTAAATTCTTCCCTGAATTGATGTTGTCCTTATATGGAATTATTGAAGCTAGTCAACCAAATGAAAGTCAATTGATTAATACCGTTCGCGACCGTTCTTTCCTTGCCATTATTCATTTATTAGATGTTTTATTCGGAAAATCAGATGAGTATTTACTTCTAGTTGATAATTTCTGTTCATTGTACAAGAGTCAGTCAAAAGCTAGTGTATTTTTATTGAACAAGATGGCCGAAATCTTCAAACAAGCAGAAACTACATGGGATATGACTTCACGTGCAGTCTGTAGAGTTATTTCAATCTTTATGAGATTAAGTATTAACTCAATGCTGAATGCTACTAACTTTCAGGAGTATTTTATGGCTTTGAATAACTTGTTTTCAAATGTTGCGAAATTCTTGAGTATTGATTCACATGTATTAGGTCATGATCAAGCACTTATTATGAATATTACTGATTATGTCTTGGCTTTTAGAACAAATCTTGATGAATATAAGGTTCTTCAATTGATTGTTAACTTTATTAATTCTATTGGTGTTAAAGGATTGGGTGCAAAAGAACAAAACCTCGAAGACACAGCTCCTGGCCAATCCGTTAAAGATCATGAAATTATTATCAGTAAGTTATTATTGATTCTTAGATTGATTAATTCCAATTTAGTTGAGAAACCTGAAACAAGATACTTATTGTTATCAAGCTCAATTATATGGGCCATGCAAATCTTGACTGGATCTACCGATGTTGAAGCTTCGAGATTAGCATGTAGTATCCTTAATGCCGTATGTACCGTTATTTCAGAACAGATCTTACCTATCCCTCAAAGTGAGAAAGACCTTGCCATTTGTTATTCCCTCGTTAAATTTCTTCCCGCACTTGGTAGTTCCTTCGTGAAGTATAATAAGTTTACGAGAACTAATGACTTCTTTAAACACAATCGTACATTTACCTTCCTTTTCCCCACTGATTATCCATTCTATGAATTCTCCATTGATTCGATTGTGAATGATGAAGTTATGGTTGAAGTTTTAGTTGAAATGGCTACAGTTTTCACATTCATTGCTAGAATTGGTAAACAAGTGACTGGTGATGAAGGTTATGTCAGAATTTTGGATAACGAATATGAAGGTGAGTTCTTTGACTCAGATCTTTACTTGCTTGATAATTTTGAATCAGAAGATATTCTTTCGATCCTTTCTGGTATTAGATGGATGAGAACTGGTGGTTATTTCCCACAAGAGAAATGGTTATCGCTTTATGCCGTACTCATTGAAGGGTGTACTTGTGCTTTAGAATTAGTTAGACCATTGCTCATGAAGCATATTCCTCCAGCTGACAATGTTGATGATTTCGATTTAGTTCTTTGGGGTAATTATTTGAGAAACTTATTGAAGTTACCAGTATTAGCTCCAGTTGCCGTTGAATATTTATCTGATATTCCCAGATATGCTTGTTTTAGTATTACTGGTAACGCTCGTGACAGAATTGCTGTAATTCTTAAAGAAGCTTGGGCCGCCTTGGGTTGGGAATCATCAAATGCTGAATATTCAAAGTTTGGATTAAGAAATTTTGCTGGCTACCAAGTTGAATTTATTGATAGTGTTTATGGAATTATTCCTGATTTAATGTTGTTTGCTTTACAAAAGAATGAAGCTTGTCAGAAGGTCGCTGTTGATATTCTTTATTCACTCATTGCTGCGGAATATGTCTTGAGTGATAACATCGATGAAATTCAAAAACAATGTCTTGTTGGGTTGAATGAAATCTATCATCGTCATTCATACAAACCAAGTACCGTTGAGCAAAAGGAATTTATCCAATTAATGAAATCCACCGTCAGTTTAGATCCGCTAGATCCAGCTTGTGACGTTATTTATAGGTTTATTGACGACATTGCTGACTTCTTCGTTGCATTGAATTATCTTATTAGTGTCCCAGTTGGTCCTGAATTTGGTGACGATAGGGCCCTTCATGAAATTAACATCCTTTCATATTTGAAACCATTTAAGTCTGAATATTTTACCGCATTTGTCAATAATTTGTATGAAGTTAATTCCGCTAATCGTGATTATGTTCAATCAGCATTCTGTTTAGAATTATTGGCTTCGGTATATGAATGGAATCATCATCAAATTCTTCCAGCTAGTTTCAAACCCAAATTCCCAGAACAGACTGCTTTCCAAAGGAAGGAGGCATTATTTAACTCGATTGCTACCAATTTCATTAAGGGAAAGAGTCTTGCAAGAGCAATTGATACGTTCAATGAATTATTGGACATGTACCGTAAACATACTTATGATTTAAAGAGTTTTGCTTTTGTGCATAGTAAGCTTGCTAAGTTGTATTTGGATTTAGAATCTTCTGATAATTTGACTCCATCCTATTTCAGGGTTGAAGCTATTGGTGTTGGGTTCCCATTGTATATGAGAGGTAGTGAACAGATTTATCAAGGGTTACCATTTGAACATATTACTAGTATTCATAAGCGTTTGTTGAACATTTTCCCTGGTGCTAAAATCATTTCAAGTGAAGCTGAAGCTAAACAAATTAAATCGAAATTCCAAAATGGTAGATTCTTGTATGTGACTGTTGTTGAACCAGTTGAAGAAATTACTGATAAGTTATTCAATACTTCCATTGGGGTTAGACAATATGCCAGAAATAAAGATTTAAGATGGTTTACTATCACAAAGAGACTTCCAGGATCTACTTCAATTTCCGATTTGTGGACTGAAGAAACTACTTATGAAACCGAACTTTCATTCCCAACATTAATGAATAGAAGTAAGATTAAATCATCTACTGTTGTGAAATTATCTCCATTAGATAATGCCTTGAAGACAATTGTTAACAAGAACAATGACTTGGTTCATTTAGAAAGTAGTATAAATATGGCTATGAAAGACAAGTTGGATCATTCTTCGTTGATGCAAGATTTATCTAGAACATTAGCAGGTACAGTTGATTCTCCAGTGAACGGAGGTGTTGGTCAATATAGAGTATTCTTTACCGATTCTACTTATGAACAAAATGCTGACGATTTGGAAAAGATTCAATTACTAAGAAGTGCATTTACTGATCTAGTTATGATTTTGAACCGTTGTTTGAATTTACATGGTAAATTAATCTTACCTTCAATGCTTATGACCCATAATGCTTTAGTTGAATTATTTAAAAAGAATTTCTGTGATGAGATTGAATCATTGTCACTTATTCAAGATCCACAACTTTCTCAAAATTATGCCAAGAGCTCAAGATACTCAGTGTTTGGAGATAGGAAATCATCATCAATGCTTGATGTTGCCAGTGAATTAGCTCAATCGAGTAGTACCTCAACCCTTAACCATAAAGCCCTGGTTAGGAGTAATAAAGGATCAACATCTGCATCATCTATTTACGGGGTAGGAGGAGACAGTATCCAATCAAGTCCAACTATTAAACTGAAAACTGCGGAAACTATTGAAAGGAGTAGAAGCTCAAGTATTTCATTGAGTGGAAATGATAAAGATACAGCTAGAAAACCTAGAATTCTGAGTGGTGCCATTCTTACTGAAGTAGCATCTAATTTTAGTGGTGGTTCACGTAAGAAGTCTGTTGGAAACCATGCGAGAACTGCCAAACGTTGGAGACATGGAGATCAGGAATTTTAAGACGTTTTTTTTTCTACAGTTGTTTAGGATTGTTTTGTGTATATCATTATGTTTTAGTTTATAATCTTTTGTTTGTTAATTGTACTTCTATGTAGCGTGTAATCTTTTTGGTATTCTAAAAGGATAACTTAGTCCCGGAAAAAATCGGCTGCAAATTAATTAAGATCGATTTTTGCCACATACGCAGAGACAATGATGCTTGGGATGGTATCCCTATTAGATCTAGAATAAACATAGACCACGTTGTCTCTCAAAATTCAGAGAAAAAAATGTAATGGGGTCATTATTCCATTTGGATATTGCCGACAAAGGAAGAAAAGTTTTAAAAATTTCGCAACCAAACCACAAAATTGGTTGCAGGTTAGAAAAATAAGGGAGACATTAATTTCAAGTGCTACAGGATTAAGTCATCTATCTTTAAGCGAAATACCCCTTAGTGACACCAATGGCCACACAAGTGCCAGCCTTTTATTAAGGTGAATCAGTTCTAAATCTGTAAGACTCTTCAAATCTCTTCCGATGCAAGATTCCTCATATCTTGCCATGGTACCTCAATAAATGTTTTCAGCCTTGTTTCCTCTTTGGTCTAATATTTCAAAGGCTTGGTCATATTCTTATCTTCTTGAATCTTATCGGACACATCATAGCATCACCGTATATATTGGGCACGGCGTTCAAGACGAGTGCTAAATTTAGGCTCTAGCGTGGGGAAGTATTAATCCGGAACAATAGGGATAATTTGCGTTTCATTTACTTTTTATTCTGGCTTAGATCTTCCAACCTGAGTTATGACTTGATCTGTTCCCCCCATTTGATTCATTCGAGGGGATGGAATGCTTGTATATAACGGCGAAGTAATTAGATTGTAATTACGGGTCGGAATTATCCTAAATTGAAAGAAAACCTGTAAAGTCCGGCAAAAAATGTAAAAATAATTCTTAAATCCCCTCCTAACCTGTAAAAAGGGGCTCTAGTTTATGTCAAAAAAATTTTCAGAGAGTTTTTACACTTTTGAGTAAAAAAAGTCATTGAGAAAAAATCATACTGAGTGAGTGAGAGTGAGTGAGTGAGCGAGTCCCCATCTTTATAAATACAAAACTACTTTTCAGTCTACCAATTCAATTGATTGGTTTGATTTACATATAATATTTTCACACGTTACAAAAAAAGATGTTCAGATTAGCCGCCCGTTCTATTCGTGCTCCAATTGTTAGAGCTTCATTGATCAAGCCAGTCATCCGTACTTATGCTCTTGCTCCAATCTCCAAAGAAGAAGTTATTTCTCGTTCATTTGAAGCATTGAAGACTGTTGCTGCTTTACAAGAATCCAAACTTTCTTTAGAAGCTTCTTTCCAAAAGGATTTAGGATTAGATTCATTAGATACTGTTGAAGCTTTGGTTGCTTTAGAAGAAGAATTCGATTTAGAAATTCCTGATAAGATTTCTGATGAAATTAAGACTGTTGGTGAAGCTGTTGAATACATCTTCCAAGAAGAACAAAAATTATAAACAGCAAAGAAGAGATGAAGAGATTGGGACTGCTAGCGTGTTTTGTTTCAGGGTGGTGGTAGTTGTTGTCTCTAGAGAAAGTGTATAAATAATTTGAAATATTGGTTTCTGGATACTTTTCATGTATAATTCATTCTTTTGTTGGAAGTCAAAAAGATGTCCATAGTTATGTTTGCTTTTTTTACATTGGATATTACTTGATGGTGTTTTTTAAAGTATTAAAAATCGCATAAAAATTCTTGTATATCTTCTAATCAATTGTAGAGTCTTCTCTCTCTAAGCATGATAATACAAGTTCTTATTGGTTGGCCTTCGAAACTAGATCAAGTCACGTGATTGATTTGAATTCCGGTCGGATTTCAATGTGAGATTATTTCCGCCCCCTTCTTTAGCAGACCTGTTTATTAATTAAGGAAAACCCTTTGTGATCCAGTTTCATCAAAAATATTATTGAATTAAACATGTCAGTTGAAGGAAAGTCCCAAGACGCTGAACAAATACCCGAGTCTTCTCAATTGACTCTTCCGGAAGAACCAATCCTTTCGCATACCGAAGACGAAGGGGATGACGATGAAGAAGACGAACATGAGAATGATGCAGTTCAATATCCAGGTACAGTTTTACCTGATTTAAGGAAAGATGAAATTGAAGCTGATCAGGAGTTGACTGTTGGCTATGATGATGATTCTGAATATATAGATTTAATTCATTTGAAGATCGGTTCAATTGAAGATTTAAATCTTGGAAGATTTAAACAATTGATATCTTTATGCTTGAGACAGAATTTGATTACTTCAATTGTTGGCGTTAAAGAATTGCCCGATACTTTGGAAGAATTAGATCTTTATGATAATAGAATTAATCATATTTCAAGTGCAATTAAACATTTAACAAAATTGAAAAATTTGGATTTTTCATTTAATAGAATTAAGAATATTAAAAATCTTGAAACATTGGTTGAAGTAGAGAATTTATATTTTGTTCAGAATAAGATTCATGAAATTAGGAATCTTGAAACCTTAGTAAATTTAAAGAATTTAGAATTGGGTGGTAATAAGATTAGAGTGATTGAAAATCTTGATTATAATACAAAGATTGAACAACTATGGTTAGGTAAGAATAAAATTCATAAATTTGAAAATTTAGATCATTTAGTTAATTTAAGAGTACTTTCAATTCAATCTAATAGAATAACTAAGATTGAGAATTTAGATAAATTGGTTAATCTTGAAGAATTATATCTTTCACATAATGGAATTGAAAAAATTGAAAATCTTGATAATAATCTTAAACTTCAAGTCTTGGATATAACATCAAATAAAATATCTAAATTAGAAAATCTTAGTCATTTACGAGAATTAACTGATTTTTGGTGTTCTTATAATCAAGTGGCAAGTTTTGAAGAAATTGGTCAAGAATTGGGTAAATTAGAACAGTTAGATACAGTTTATTTTGAAGGTAATCCAGTACAAACTCAAAATCCAAGTGCTTATAGGAGAAAGTTAAAGTTATATTTGGGTGATTCATTATCTAAAATTGATGCAACTTATATTCATTCATAGAGATTCTTATTAAGTTTTAATGTATGCGTTTAATGAGATAAATCGCTTCTTTGTAAAATGTTGTACTAATCTTTCCGAGTTCATATAAAGGCTTAGAACTTTCAAATGGGTTATCAGACAATTCTCAGTTTCAATTAATAGTTCGGAAAAGTCTTTTGGCCAATTCTCAGTTTCAGTTAATAGTTCGGAAAAGTCTCGGCTAAACTTGACCCTTATCTTTCGTTGTACAAAATTGTAATTTTTGCAACAATTGTTTATTTACTTGAGGCGAGTAAGATCTTACAATGCAGTAACCTATTAAATTCTTCGCCTAATAAGTTAGTATCTCAGAGTCTGCCATTGACTCCAGATCAATTCGACTCTTCCCAACGAAGAATACATCAATTGGTTTTATCACATGTTTCTTTGGTGCTGGAACATTATTTCTTTTGTCTGGCACCAGGTTCACTTACATTGTCAATCGATCTGAATTATTTTACTGGAACCCCCCCTGACCAATGTGGAATAATCGTATGATCGCGATCTCCTCTTCTAGAAAATACTGCCACGTTCAATAAGATTCCCCCCTTCCATTTCTAAAATAGCAAACTTTATAAGGTGATTTACCCCCTTTCTAGATTTTTCTAAGGTGTTCCAAAATTTTCTACCGCGTGACTTTTCCCCGCCAAATTATCCGCGGACATTTTTGCAGCAACTTAAAGTCAATATAACCTTGATTATTATATAAGTAGATGGATATTCCCTAAATTCACAACTTTCCCAATTGTATTTACATCATCAATAACAACACAGTTTTTACTACAGATCAATCAATTTTTACAAAAATGTTCCCATTTGGATTTTACGACGATTTCGACCCATTCTTCACCAGACCAAGAAAGTACACCAGCAGAATTCCTGAAGGATACAACCCAAGAAGAATCACTGGAAGTGGTGATTCTTCGGCCTTGACACAAACTGACAGAAGCGCATTAGCTGGTCGTGATTTCTTTGATGATTTCTGGAAGAATTATAATGTCGGGAAATACTTCATTGGATTTGATGAAGATATGAAGACTGAAGAAAAACCAGATAAATATGTGGTTAGTTATGCTCAAAAGAATATTAATCCTGAAGATGTCAAGGTTGATTTCCATAAGAAGGAAAATGAATTGGTTATTTCCATGAAACATGAAGAGAAGGATGAGCATGGATCTAGTTCAAAGACTTTTACAAGTACTATGAAGTTTGATAAGCCAATTAAGTTTGACGCTATTGTTGCCGACATTACTGATGAAGGTATTACTTTGGAATTACCAAAAGTTGAACCTGATAAGGAAGAAAAGAATGAGAATGTTGTTAGTGTTGATGTGAAGAGAAAGGAAAAATTATAAGTAAGATTTTAAATTTCTACGAGAGAGAAAGATAATAGTTTTAGTTACTGGTTAGCTTATAGTATTATTTTAGTAATAGTTACTTGATTGTCTTTATGTATATAGTATTTGAATATGACTTGAATATAATATTTATTGTGTTTGTTGATTGCAAATTAATAATTTTTTTTTTTTTGATATTTTGCACCCATTCTCTTTGCTGTCATTGTTATTTACAAATAGAATTGTTTGTGTTCTATAATGCAATAACATCTCTCAAAAGGTATGGAGAATTATAAATATATCCGAATCTTGGTTTAACCTACTCAGACGTCTCTGCTATTAATACTACCATACTTAAAACTAGCTCTATCGAAAATAATCCAAATGTCAGCCATCGAGATACCTAACAGAATAACTCATTTACCTACTCCAGGAACCATCCCTAATACTTACTCTTCGCCAGATGAACCAATGGTATCACTGCCAGCCACAGACAGAAATCTAGAGGTTGATGAACAATTTTCTTTGTCACGATTGTGTACACTAATAGATAAAGAAATTGCAAGCATATCTAATAGTAAGTCAGGTACAACCACCCTAGAAGGTGAAGAGAATATCCATTTAGACGAAAATGATGATACTTTATTTCTGAATGTTGGGTCGGAGAATGCTTATTGTCCAATAGCTCCATTAAAGTATACTCCCGTCCCTAGTACTTGTCATTCCAGTGTTTCACAACCTTCTACTGCCTCAACTGCAGCCGCAAAACTGTCTTACAATAAATTTTCTCTTGAGTATCGAAGAAGCGTGGGTATTGTTACCTCCAAGCTACGACTATGTACTACATCTTACATTGGTTCCACAAGACCAAGAAGAGGTTCTAGACTAATAAAAGTCATTAAGAATCCTGAACATTAAATAATATATTCTCTCTATATATATATTAGACTATATGTAACTAAAAAATCCTTATTCAAGTTTATTGTCTTCGACTCTATAATTATCCAATACGATTCTATAGATAAATGAAGGTGCAAACCCACCAACATTAGTAATAAAAATATCAATTTGTTCAGGTGGGATATAATCTTCCAAAGGATTAGTAACCACTTCTACATTATCGACTAAATCAAATTCATCGTAATTCAATACTTTCCCAGTATTCCCAACCTCAATCAAATCATTTCTATTAAATGGATATAATGGCGATAACTTAAATAATCCAGCTACGGCAAATACAGGAGTCTTATGTTCTTTTGCACATTCAACCACATTTGCAACTCCTGAATTTGACAAACAACCCCCATTGGCAAATACGGCATTGGTTCCTATTATAACTTTTCCAACACGGGACATGACGGCATATGTTGTAGAATCTGGAATCAAAACAGTATCAATTTTATGTTCAGCTAATGTTTTGGCGAATTGATGAGCTTGTTTAGTATCATTGGGGTAGTTTTCCAGAACTAAGACGGTGAATTTTCTTTTTGATCTTGCTTTGATTAAGAAATGTAATACTGTGTCGGAAGTTGGGGTTGGTGTTAAGAGGACTTCATTGTCGTGGATTAAATCAATACATAATGTTTCAATCCCATCGTTGACATTGGTTATTTCATCGACTAAGTCTCTTATACCTTGTATAATAATAGATCTCATATCACTAGTTTGTTTCTTCAGTTGCTGTTTGGAAGCGCCAGTATTGTTATTATTAGCGTTAGTGTTGTTATTAGATGTGGATAATAAACTAAACATTGAATTCATCATAGCAGATGAATTTTCATGTTGTTGTTCAGTTTCAATCTCATCACGAATTAAAGCAAGGACTCTTCTGACAATGTTTCCAGGTATACATTTTCTAGGATATGCTTTATGAATAACCACTCCAACTTGTCTTATAATCTCAATCAATTCATATGTGTTAGTCCATCTGGCAGCAGAAATGACTTTCATTAATAGATGAGCAATTGTAACGGCGATTTCTTGATCTCCTTCAATTTGATGACGTTTTAAACTGGATACTACTGGGTCTAAGAGATTCAATATCTCCGGAGTTATGACATTAGACATGATTGATTTGGATTTTCTCTATTGTGTGTCACTTTGACCTCTTGTAATTCGATGGACCTAAAATTTTTTTTCTTTCCTTACTGGCCCTACAGCTGGTTGGTATGAGACTCACTAGTGGTTTGAAAAATTACACAGAGGAAGAACCAGCAGAAGAACATAAACAGACCATTAGCCCGTACCAAAAGATGTCCAGTAGTTTCAATCAAGCATTGGATAAGTCGCTTCAATTGCTTTATGATTATTCCCCAAATTTCGAAACTTCAATTGAATTAATTCAACAATTAGCTCAACAATTAAAATTAGAAACATTTATTGATACATTTTCAATTACTGAAACAACAACTAAAAAACTTTCAATTGCTGCTTCTTCAATCTTATTAGACATTGACTTTGAAGATGATACCAAGATAGTTAATGTCTCATTATCCGTTGGTAACAGTCATGTTAATAACAATAGTAGTATTGGTAATAATGGAGAATCAGGTAAACCTGGCGATTTACATAAATTACCATATATTGAATCTACTCATAGAGATAATCATGGGATTATACATATAGTTAAAATCAACCCCAATAAGAATCCAATTTCTTTTTTAAAGGGACAAGAATCGCATGGACAGAAATCAATTGTTGAACAAATCTTATTAAAGAATCTTCAAGGATATAAATTAGATAAATTCCCCGGGAATTTACAATATTTGGCCATATTTGATAAATATTCCAACAGCAGTCAGGATTTATTCCAATATATTGAACGTGTGGCTTTGTTGTTTTATGCTATAAATGATATTGAAAGGGAAAAGAATGGACCTGATAATTGGTTAAGATATTTTTGCAATCGGATTGGAGAATTGAAAATCAATGATATTGATCTGGCTAGAATTGGAATCTTTCTTGACTTCTGGCAAGATTTTAGATATATAAATCATCAATATTCAATCGAAAATAATAATACAACTACATTATTAGTTGGGAATAGATATAATTTCCAAATTAATATTGTTCCAACTGCAAGTCAACATGAATATTTATATGAGAATAGAACCAAAGAATGGGAAATCTACAACAATGGAAGCTTTGATAGATATAAGTTTGAATTCGAGGATGGATTAATTGCAACTAGTGGAAATTCTACCAGTGATGGAGGACTCAATGACAATACGAACCCCTCCCCTTGGAGCTTTAACATAACCCTTAACAACCGAATCTATGTCCCCATCTATGTCCTAGAATACCTTGGGATTAACTCTTACCAAACAAAACCAAAAGATGAACAAGACACGATAATAGACTCTCTCTTTGAAACTATCAATAATGGAGACGAAATAAATCATGATATACAAATAGCAAACACTCAGGTCGTATTTTCAATCATCCATGATTTGAGTTCATACAACTTCATTCCACTTTCAGCAATAACAATCTCACATCTAGTAGATATCGCCCACATTATTCCAATATTGCGAAACTATATCGTGCTTTCAAACCTTTACAGAACCTTATTCAAGCATGATCTGACGATATCAAGTATACCTCAACGTCGAAATAGTCGGTTGAGTCATAGCAGCGGTAGTGCAGGTGCTTTTAGAAGAAGAAGAAGAAGTTCACGTCTTTCCGGCCCACTACTCAAGAATACCGCTGAAACGGAATTAACTGAAGAAGCAAAGAAGAAATTGAAAGAAAGTTTGAAATTGCCTGATGATGTTACTGATGAGGAATTGTTGGGGTTGAATTGTATAAGTGAAACGGCGGCCTATTCTACCATTCAACCGATCAATAGAGAGGGAAATTATGATTTGGATTCATTTATGAAGGGTGGTATGACAGGAAGTAGTGGGGATGATGAAGAAAAAGATAATTTGAATGATTTTAGGGAGAATTATATTCGATTAAGTGTTGATGATATTGATGTGACTTCGAATGATGGGGATATTCATTTGACATTTGAAGCAATCCTGAATTCAATGGAGATGTTTGTGAGATTTAAAATCGCCAATGGAGAAATCAAAATCCTTGAAGAAAAAGATGATAATATGGAAGTTGATAATGATAAGAGTAGGAGGTTTATTAAGGCTCTTGATTTAACGGAAGATTTTGTTGTTGCATTAAAGGCGATATTTTAAGTAGATCTATATACAGAAATTCAGATTAGTTTTAAAGTTTAATACCAATATGAATAGCAGCAACACCAAAAGTTAAATTTTCATACCCTGGTTCAGGAACATAAAATCCTGCTTTTTCAATCATAGATTTGAAATCTTCTTGTTTTGGGAATTTTCTAATACTTTCAACCAAATATTGATAAGAATCTCTATCATTAGCAATCAATTGACCCATTAACGGCAATAAACTAAAACTATACGCTTGATATCCAAAATCAAGTACTTTATTCTCCACTTGTGAAAATTCCAAACAAGCAAAAATCCCACCTGGTCTTAAAACACGATATGCAGTATTTAAACCTGCTTGAACATTTGTAAAATTTCTAATTCCAAATGCAATAGTATATACATCCTTAGAACAATCTTCAATCTTATCCATAGTTTCTCCATTCTGAACTAAAAATTTCACTCGATCACTACCATCATTCCATTTCGTATTTTGAAATCTAAGTTCTCCTTCATGTAACATATCAGGATTTATATCGGCAATAGTCATAGTTGATTTAATATCACCAAATTTCTTTTCCGCATTCTCTAATAATCCAAATGCAATATCTCCAGTTCCACCAGCCACATCCAAGAAATCTAATGGACGATCAGCTCCTGGTCTCATACCGGCATCAAGACGCGAGATGAAATGTTGTTTCCAAAGACGATGGACCCCAAGTGACATAGCATCGTTCATTACGTCATAATTGGATGCTACTGATGAAAATACACCTTTGACTAATTTTTCTTTGTCTTCTTTATTGACGGTTTTGAATCCGAAATGAGTTGTTTCGTCAGTTGTTGGTGGTGGTGGTGGGTTAGTGGAATTGGGTTTGGTATTATTAAGTAATGATGAGGTGGTGGTGAGTGTACGTGTGGAACGAAGGATATTCCTACGAAGGGAACCCTTGAATGATTGCAGAAGCATTGTGATGTTTCTGTAGTTAAGGATCAACAAGGGGTGTAGTGATGTTTGCAAATCAATTGATTGAAAAAAAAATCTTCAATTCTGGAACGAGCGAAGGAATTTTTGGTACGATAATTCTATTTCCTGTATATAGAAGAATTGCAACTTGGAATTATAAATAAACTGAGATTTATGACAATTTCACCAAATGTCGTTGAAGTGTCGTGGACAATCGAGTTATGTCTTGGCTGGTCTGGATCTGTCTGAGATTTCGGAAATTCAGTTGTAAATTCCAAGAATAATTTGTATGTGTTGATGTGTGATTATGTTGGTTGAGTTAGATAAATTTCTTGTTGCAAGTATTTGCCATGAAAAATAGATATTTCCGTTGGATTTAAGTAGAGTTATGAAGTTTCCTTCACTGATTGCAATTGAGGAGAGATTTGGAGTTTGGAGATTCGGAAGAATTCATTTCCGTGTTTTCTCAGCTATAAATATTCTTCAATATGTCCATAGTTCTGGTTGTTTGAATTAACCAAACAAAGTTGACAAGAAGTAATTCCGATGTCCTTTCACAAAATCTCCCATAGAATCTTCAAACACTGTGCTTTCCACTTATCCACACGGTCTATTATACATTGAAGATGGCTTCTACCAAATGCTGGTCACCCGTCCAAAAGCCAAAAAGTTGCTTGAATTCCATTTCACGAAGTGTAGAAGAGATAATACCTTCGAGTTCTTTATGCTGGTTATGTTGCTGGTGCTATTCGGTGTTTTGCTATTGCTGGAAAGACTAACAACATGAAACCAAATAGTGGGAATTCAGCAATCTCTGGTTATTCTACCTCGACCTATATTTAATCATGCACCGTAGTTCTGGTGACCTTAATCTTTTCACACAGTGCTCATTCTGGTGTTCTTGCTGGGCCCACAAAATGGACTTTCCATTTTTAACAACAGTTAATGGATAGCTCATTGATTTATACCCCAAATTGACGATGCTTAAACTTCCCTCATTCCTAATAACCAAGTAACTTTGCAGTTAAAAGCTCATCAATAAACTTTGAGAATTGGCAGTTAACTTGCAAGTTCAAGATCCTTTTGATGGTTACCTTGACGGTTGTTACTACCAGAAGCAATCTGATTAAGTTCTTCTCTGATGTTGTCAGCACGGAACATTATACCAAGATAAATTATGCTTCAAAAAGATATGAAGTTCTGGAGTCAATATTTGCCTTCTGTTCTTGAGACGTTCCTATCAGCAGAAAGTAATCTAGCAACCAGAGTGGGAGTAAGAAACACATAATTGCCTGGATCTGAGACCCAATTAGCATATTCTTTTCCAAGGATACTACAGAGTGCAACTCCGCTGTTTCCCTCTTTAAGATAATCATACGTAACAATGATTCGGAAATTCTGCTTCATAATAAATTCATCCATTGGTTTGGTAATGGTCCATTCAGCATTGTCTGCTTCACATAGTCCAAAACTGGTTTCTTTCATCGCTTTACTTAAGAAACCAATATACTCCTCGATCCTTTCTTTAACAATTGCCTCACAGGACAGCTCGGTCGTTCTATCAATGTAGTTGAGAATGTCTTTCATTCTAACACGTCCAATCCTGGTGGTCACCTTAGTAGAAAGAATTCCATAGGCAAGTAACCTTGCAGTTAAAAGCTCATCAACAATCTAATTGGCTGTTAACTTGAAAGTCCAAGATAGACGCACCTTCGTTAATTATATCCATGTTGTGGATCTGAGTATTTTCAGTGAAAACAAAGTTCCCCGGATCCAATAAGTACTCCTTTATACCAACATAAGTTTTGAGGCCCACCTCAACATCTTCGGATTAACAATTTAGGTTGTCTTTCTTGAATTGCAAAGTCTGGAAAGCCAGGACAAGTGTTTGTCTAATCACCTTTTTCCATGCCGCTCTCGCTTGGAAGCTGGTCACATCAATCGTCGGTTACGCATTTTCTATAGTCTTCAATTCAGCCTTACTTGGGTCAATCGGAGGAGGTGCAGAAGGATCGGTCCTTTTTTCTGTTGGAATAAGGAGCAGTGTTCCATTCCAAACCTTGGGTAACGGAGATACCAACACCAACACCTTTGCTTCCGTTAGCCGCTTCAGCATTGATATCAACAAAACCATCGGAATGCAACCATCATCGTCATCATTATCGCTGTCATCATAGATGACAATAGGGGAAGTGGCATCGACTTCCATGTCATCAATTGACAACTGACCTAAACCAACGCTAGTATCAGTTGATTGTTCTTTAGCTTTTTCTAACGACATTTGCAAATTCTAATCTTGTTATTTGGTAAAATAAAATTGTGAAATTTATTATAATAATACTATACATATTGAAACTAGAAAATTCCTTACCCTCCTACCTTACATTCCTGATGGCAGAGAATTTTTTCATGGTTAGAACAATTATCCGAGACGGTGTTACCAGAACCCCGAACAACTTGGGATAATTCTGCAACATAGTCTCTAGTTTGGTTTGTTTTAGGTTAGACAAATACATTGATTTTGCTGATTGGTTGTCGCTTCAGTTTTAGGATACTAATGGAACTACCTTTTTAAGCTTTCTAGAAATCAACTACAGTAATAAAATAATATCTTTCATTACAGTATCCTGTTGTGGCAATTGGTCCATGGAGAATGTTGAAGTCAAGAAACCTTTGGACGCTACCAAATGGTTTTTGAAAAATGGCCTCAGAGTATTATTCGTTGTATGCTTATCGAACTTAATAAATCCTCCTTATGATTCCAAATTAAACATCATTCGCTAGCTTGTTGATTTCGATGGTTTCAATCCAAAGTACAACATAGTCTAGGTCTTAGACTTGTTAATTATAGAACATAATTGACAAGCTTCTGATTTAGAGCCGTTAAACGTGTAGAGTAATAATCTGAATGTCTTCTATGTTAAGTCGTATACGTTGGAAATCAATCTACAGTCTTCACATTTCGTATTCGCATGGTAGTTTCGCAAATCAAGTGAATGCTTGTAAGATCAAGTAGATCATTCGGAAATGATATTCTGTCAGATCCCATACCAGTGGCGTTAACTTACCTCGTGTGGGAGTGTTTTTTTGTCTTCAACGTGTATCATACATCTTGGCAGTTGAAACAAAACGTTTTTCATACCTTCATGTGTGTAGAATACGCGTCGTGTCACCCTTAAAACGTTGTGGGGTACACCGACTAACAAATGTTTCTTACTAAAATAGGTTAAAAAATTTCTATTAATATTAACGTTATACAAAACACTAAATTGTCAAAATAAGAACTACAAAGAACTACAAACCTTTTTCTCTAAGCCATAACAATTCTAACAGTGTTAGAATGACCAGCACCTCTAGTCCAACCTTGGACAGTAACAATAGCATCACCCTTATTAATAATACCCAATTCAACAGCTTCATTTACAGCCCATCTTAATCTATTTTCAACACTTTCTTGCCAGTTTTCAATAGTTGGTTGATCATATACGAATGGATAAACACCCCTATATAAATGGGAGAATTTAGCAGCTCTTTCATTTCTAGTAACCATTAAAATTGGAACATCTGGTTTATATTTAGATACTAATCTAGCACTTAAACCAGTAGTAGATAAGACAACAATAGCCTTAGCATCTTGTTCATAAGAAGCACTGACAGCAGCAACGGCACAGGTTTCAGTGGTTGGGGTTGGTTTCTTGGCAAGGGAACGTAATTCATTAAAGAGTTGTGGATAAGCAATTGCCTTTTCAGCAATTAAAGCAGTGTTGTGCATCATTGAGACAGCTTCGAAAGGATAATCACCCTTGGCGGTTTCACCAGATAACATGACACAATCAGCACCATCTAAGATGGCATTACCGACATCTGAAACTTCAGCACGGGTTGGTCTTGGGTTATAAGTCATAGATTCTAACATTTGAGTGGCACAAATGACTGGTTTGGCAGCTAAGTTACATTTAGCAATAAGTTGTTTTTGAACAACAAAGACTTGTGGAGCTGGGATTTCAATACCTAAATCACCACGAGCGACCATAACACCATCAGTAACTTCTAAGATTTCATCGAAGTTGTTAACACCTTGTTGATTTTCAATCTTGGCAATGATTTGAATATCTTTACCTTCTTCACCTAAAACTTTTCTAATTTCAAGAATATCATTAGCGGTTCTAATAAAAGAAGCAAAAATCATATGAACACCGTTCTTGACCCCGAATTTAATATCAGCTTTATCTTTCTCAGAAAGAGCTGGTAAATCGACGTCAGTACCAGGCAAATTGACACCTTTATGGGAACAAACCTTACCAGCATTAATAGATTTGACTTTTAAAGTTTGTTCATCGACAATTTCTAAAACCTCGAAAGATAAGACACCATCATCAACATATATGATTCTACCAACTTCAATAACTTTGGTAATGTTTTTATAATCCATGTACATGATCTTATCATCACATTTGGTCTTGTAAGCGTCATCAGTAGTGAAAATCATTTCATGGTTTGGAGGAATTGGGTAATCCTTTTCATCAACAGTAGTACCAGTTCTAATTTCTGGACCTTTAGTATCTAAAGCAATTGCCAATGGTCTACCCTTGTATACTTGTTCAGATTTCTTAGCATTGTCAACAACAGATTGATGATATTCATAAGAACCATGGGAGAAGTTCATTCTAACAATGTTTAAACCAGCCTTACGTAATTTGACCAAAGTGTCGACATTGTTGGTTTTTGGACCAATGGTACCAATAATTGAAGTTCTACGTAAATGTTTATGAGGAGTTTCTTCAACGTTTAATTTAGATAACCAATGTAAAGATGAGGATGACATAGTGAGTGTTTATAATAATTGAAAGTCAATTGAATTGAATTGTAAAGAAGAAAGAGAAGAAGAGAAGAGGAGAAGAAGAAGAAGAAGAAGAAGGGAGAAAGCAATTGAAATTTAAATTAAAAGTGAAAAATTCAATTATATTTATATTAATTAAGGAAAATTAAAATTCCATTTGGTGATGACATTTTTCAATTTAATGAATTAAAAAATAATAATTCTTCCATAATAAAAATAAAAAACACATTTTACATATTTAATTTTTTTAATGTCTGACTGAATCACACTAAAACCAACACAACAAAAAAAAACGGTAAACTGTCTGCCGGATTTACATACACCCTTTTTTCTAATTTTAAAACTTAGTTGTAACTACAATGAATTTCTCTCTATCACGAGGTGTATTATACATGAAAGAGGGTTTCTTGCAATGGGTTTTTCTTTGTAAAGTCGATGTCGTACAAAGGATAGGATGTGATATTACAACATGGAAATTTGGCTACAACATCAAATATGTACAGAATGTAAAATTTCTGGAGCATCACCATATGGCCAAACGGAAATCAGTTGGCTATACAATTTTTTTCTAATCAGAATACACAAAATTGAGCAAGTCCGAAAATTTTCCTTTCTCATTTTTGTGTAATCGTCTCGATTTCGGAGTTGTTTGACGTTTGTTTCCTCAACTGATTCTCTTACAAACCGTGTTGTCTTCAGCACAGGTGACAATGGAAACCTACACTTTTACCTATAAGCAACCATACTGCATGTTTGAATGTAAACTGCAAAAGAAATTTATCAAGACAAAAACACGACATTTCCTGTCGATCGTATCGAACAAACAAAAATGTCGTTCTTCCGTATCTCCAAACATATATTTTACACAGGTCAATCCCGATTAGTAGAAAAGAGGGGTGCCCATTCAATTGAACATGCAAAAAATTATTTTTTATTGCTGTCTCTTTGTTTACATGTTACGGACGTGTCTCTCAATCCAACCGATGGGTGTCATCATCATCAACATCAACGAATTGATCCTTTCAATTGACTATGCTTTCTTTTTCTGTTATTCGGATAATTGTGCCACAACACCCTCTCGCCAATTAAAAACAACCTTATACCTTAAATTATAATTAAACTTTTAACTCTGAAAAATCTGAAAAAGAAATCACCATCACGTGAATGAGGCTACATTTGACAACAGATGTCTTAGAACAATCTGACATTAATCTTAGTATGGAGGCCATTGATTAGAGTATTGGACTTCTCCAAAAAGTCGCATCATGATATACATATAAGAACAAGAAGGTTGGATTGATCTATTGGTTTTTTTGTCGTGGTGTTGTATATATTACTTTCCAAGGTCTGATCCAAATGTTGATAGCGGATAAATCAGTATCAGTGCACCCTTCGAGGGATTCAATTGATGATGAGAATCGAATGAGTTATGTTTCTTTGAAAGGATTGAATATAATATAAATTGAAAATTGATTAAATCTCGGCATTGCATTAAACAAATCCGATGTTAGATTATGCGGTTATTGGAGGGGAATATTGTTTGACGAAAATTCGATTTAATAATCTCATTTCAATAAACAGTATGAATTAAACGAACGATGGGTGTATACTGACAAAGACAGGACATCCATGAGATTGTAACTTAATAGAACAACATCTGATTCCCCTGCCGTAATTAGTAGTGGATCAGAGTATCATCCTACACGTTCCGGAAAACCAATTTTTCGATTGTGCGATTCCATCGTCACATGAAGTTCACAAACGATCCCTTTCAATTGCTTGACTAGTTTGATATCAAATAATCAAGTCTATGTGCTTCAAACCAAACTCGGTAGTTAAGCATGATATGGCGTACCTTAATGCTGATTTCTCCCAAGAAGATTTCAATATGCTTAGCCAAATCAAAGGCTTAACTACTTCCACAAACACGCATTTTTCTCTGATACTTCTTGTGTGCGTCTGCGGCCTTCTCTGTTACATAGAGCTACACTTGCGAAGGACCATACTGCACTCAATAAGTACAAGAGAATAATGCGTGTTAGTTGAAGAGATGTGTTTGTTAACGTGGATCAAATTCTTTCTCACCAATTATCAGTCAAAGAAAAAAATAAAAAATCTTACCAGTCATCTCAGACTATTTTTCACCAAGTACACCAAAGCTCTTCCATCCCACAGTCAATTACTATATTATATTCCACAATGGTACTACCACTAGTCGCGGGTATCGGAATCACCATCGTCGCCCTCGTCACAAAAACTTCATTATCAGCCTATAGACAATACATCCACCTCACACCCGTCATGATCGCCACCCTCAACAACATCCGTCTAACCACCCCATCTTCCAAACCCCTCGATAGATCCGATCCTCGATATGCAATCTATGAAAGAATACGAAACACATATCCCAATCGAGGATTTAATGAACCTATGAGTGAACAAGAAGCATTATTGATCTTGGGAATTGAAGGAGATGATATTTTGAGAGTGAATAGAGATATGGTGAGACAGAGATATCGAGAATTAATGAAGGTTAATCATCCGGATCGGGAGGGGGGTAGTGTGTTTTTGAGTATGAAGATTAATCAGGCTAAAGATGTTTTGGATAAGAGTTATATGATGAATAAATAAATTCTTTTGTATGCAGGGTGGGATCGATAGAGAATCAATTGACTGTCTTTTGTTTGTATTTATACAAATAGAGGTGAAAGACAGATATGTTGCATTGGTGAGATATCTCATAGGAGGACTTTATTCGTCTAGCATTTCGTTCTTTGCGCTGACTATTTTCAGACTCGATAATTTCAACCAGAAATCTTGAGATGATTTTGATGAATGTATAAAAGTGCCAATGCGATTGTTAGTCCTCTGGGTCTGAGATTCTCAATAATGATAGAATGTGGTACATCAAATAGTTCAAATGAACATTCTTGTGGGTGATAGGCATTGAAAATATTCCGAACACAGATTTTGGTAAATCGAATCACTTTGAATGTAAACTCGGAAAGGACGAGATCTTAAGAGATTGTAATTTAAGGGTTAGTTTTATATATCCTTGTCTCTTTAGAGTTATGGATATACAGAACTAATTGGTTGTGAATTTTGGTGTCGCGTTTATTCTCACAGCGGTACAAAAATGTCTATTTGGCTAGTCCTGTAAGACAATAGCTCCAACAAGTCTATTCTACACTTGTCGAAAGCGATTATTACCTGAATCTCAAAGGGATGAAAAAAGAATAGCATTCTTGTATGATTAACAAGCCAAAGGAGACTGTTTGTAGACGTTTAAAAAAGGTATGTGTATTCAGATTAATGTACAAAGCTCTGTAGTAATAAATTAATTTAAGGATCTTAGATGGTTATATATCTGACGATTTAGCAACTTTGTCTAAAATCTCTAACCGGATGGCTCTATTTGCTGGGTTGTATTTGTAGTTTTGGATTGAGCCATCTATTCTATATAAATATCAAGTACAATATGCAATGCAAATTATTAAACCCCTACCTGTCGGTTTTCCGCTTGTGAGTCTTTTTAGTTGGAGTGCGTACGTAATATTGCAAATTTACGGTATGAGTCAAAGAACTCACTTCTGAAGTTGAATCAAATGTGTCTTTGGTGTTTGATTCTTTTGATTCTTGTGAGCTTTTATTCTCATGACCGTTCTGATCTCTCTTCGAAAGATTGGCTTTAGATTTTTGTCTAAATAATCCATGAAATATCCCTCCTTTCTTAGGTTTCTTCTCGGGTTTTGAAGACGTGATCTCTTCCAGAGCAAAGATATTCATATATTGCATCGAAAGATCAGTATCCTCAGTATCTATATCGGGAATGCTAGATTCATCAACTGAGTCTTTTGTTTCATGTTTTTCTGTAGTAGTCTTGTCAAGGGACTCGAATGAATTTCCTAGATCTATAGTTGGTGACGGAAGATTCTCTTCACTTCTAAACCGTAATTGTTCATCATATGACAAGTAATAAAATCCCACTGGGTGGCTATTTCCAGGTTGCATTTTTTAGTTTGGTAAACAGAACAAAGCCCTATTGTTCAAATGATAGAATAAAGTTTCCGAAAATAACTACGTTTCTTTAATGATAAAAGGTTGTTCTTAACAAGGTTTCGGCTAACTTTAAACTTATTACTGTGTCTTTGGTTTCAAAGTGGAATGGCTGCAACTAAGAGAAGAAATTGCGAAAAAAAAAGATCTTATTTCATACTATGATTTTTCAACTTTAAGCGAAGAGCGGCATTCAAGAGAGGTTCTATATATGAATGAATAGTGGTTTTCTGTTGCATATTGAAGGTGCTACAAATGAAGATAACCCTTGCTGAAATTCGTCTTCTGCGGGAATTTGCAAGCATTAAGCTTACCCTTGTTGTAATTTATTCTAATAAATAAGGGAACTATATAATGTCAAAAATGGTCTAGTATGCTTTTTTCTTGAAGGTTGGCTTGAAAACCACTAGACCGGAGTTCCCAAAATTCTAACTATAGATTTATACTAGGAATTTTATTTTATTTAAAATATGAACCTTTTGGACTTCTAATGTAAGACAACATTTGATTATGAGATCGCCCTTTCTACATAAACAACAAGCATTTCTTTTCTCAGTGCCTACAAAGGAAACAATTCTACCTGAAACTTTTTAACTTGGAAGGCTTTCTCTTTATTGAAAATATGGAATTGTTACTCTTGACACTATCAACAAACGAAGTCCCATCCAAAGTCGATCTAAATGTTTTCTCAGAACTTTTCTTTTCTAGTGTGAAACTCTCGTAGCTTTTCGTTTCCATCGTATTATGATTTGACTTATTTTGATCATTCTTTGTTGAATCTGATTTATTTGTTGTTTTCGCTTTGAAAAGACGGCTGAATACACCTTTCTTCTCATTTTTCAGTTGTTGCTTTTCCCTCTTTTCTTCTTTCTTTGGTTTTGTTGCCGGTTTTTCTTCCGGCATAAAGCTGTTCAAGTAATGCATGGCAGAATCCCCATCACTGTCTTCACCAAATATACTATATTTATCGATTGAATCCATATCAAAAGACCCCAATCCAGTTTTAGTCTTGTCTAATGATTCAAATGACATTCCAATATCTATGGTTGGGGATGGAAGGTCATCTTCACTATTATAATCTAGTCGACGATCGAATGTCAAGTCATAAAACCTAATCAGTTGTTGATCGCTATCATATTGATTTGGTAGTTGCGAGTTTGGTAACACGGAAAATGGAGAATAATGCATGTACATTTGTAAAGATAATGTTTTAATGAAAGTATTACAAATAGGCTATAGTTGGTTTAATAAAAATTGATTGGAAATTTCAAATTGTTATATTTATACCTGTTTCTTGAATTTTTGGGTATAAAGAAGATTATATAGAGAATGGCTATGAAAGAAAAACTTCAGTGTATCCAATCTTTATTGGGAATGATAAGCGGAGAAATTATCCAGATACAATTTTGTAACCTGGAAACGGAGAAATAAGCTAAAACACAAACTCCAGGAAACACTCCGATAGGTTGAAAGTTTTGCCATTGAGGGGGGTTTGCTCGCAATACTTACGCGTGTTTGTAAATTAGTGTAAATTGAACGTTGACAAGAAAAATATGAAGTAACCAATAAATTAGCCTGATAAATATTTCCCCTTAATTTTCCAGAACTTTGTAAGAACCACACATAGTTGACAGTTCAATATTTGAAAATATGCTTTCAAGAGGGGATGGATGGAAATACGGGGATGCATTTCTGTACTCCACCGAGCACGAAAATCACAAGCGATATTCAAACCCCCCCTTAAAGGTGCTGCTCTTATTCGTATTGGTTCTATCAATTTCCACCATAATTCCTATCGGAATCTCTTCAGCCCGTAAAACGGATTTATTCCGAATCTATAAATTAGAAGATACGAAAGATTTGATTGTTTTAAATTTTGATTATACATTAAAGGACGTATATTTCAAAGCTCAACAAAACTTTATTCGCAGGTTGCTTTAGAAGGCATTTTGTTGCATAATTGCACAGGATGTACAGCACATGCAGTTCACGCCAGTGAGGCTCTAAAAAAACCCTGTTTTCGGAGATGACATCAATTATCATGGCTTGATTCTGGGGACCTCATCTCATTCCTTCTATTCTCTTGCTCGCCCTGGTAAATGAAGAAAGCAATGTATGTAAAGTCTTAGAAATAGGTTCAATGCACGTTGCAAGAATATGAGAATATTTAACGAGATTGTCTGGAAATCCCGAGGCTGTGTTATTAAGAAAGACCCTTTCGACTGGTTGTCACTTTTAAACTTTTTGGAATTCACACTTAATAAAATTTACTTGTCATCTTTTGCAGCCAAGAAAAATGGCCCAAATTAAACTGATTAACGGTTGCAAAAAAAAAAAGTAGGGCCTCGAAACACCCAAGAAATTTTCTGGTCTGTTAGACGAAGTTGAAGTATTCCGTCTAAAGTAATTACTAGAATTGTTTCCCCTCCACTTTTCTAACCAGATTGTGTCAATTCTTATTTCACAGTTCCTAGTCCGATGCTCATAATCTACATTTGAAACACGTGCAAGGTGAATCAGCTCACGTATATTCATGGAGATTATTAGTTCCATGTTTCACAAAAGCCAGCAACAGATATGGCTTTATACTTGGCTAACTGTGCTTTCACACATCGTACGATACCCTTTTTGTGCACAATTACGACCACTAATACAAAAATAAGTATCTAGAGTCTATTAAAAAATATATATAATTGTCTTGTTATTATCTAATTACCATTTCCGTTGATAGTTATAGAGCCGTCTAATAAATCTTGTTCATTAATAACTTGTCCATTTGTCACAGAATCTTGCTGTGCCTTTTCTTTCCCACCTTCAAAGTTTTCTCTCACTCTCAAGTAATGTTGTAATTCTTCCGCACTAACAGAAGGGATTAATGCATTTTGGGCCTTGATAAAATCTTCCATCTTGACGAGAACAGTAGTATCGTCTTCAGTAGCAACATTATCAAACCACCATCTTGTATTAACTTCATTCTTCCCCTGTGATTTCATTTCATCATTATATTGCTTAATCTTTGCATCCACTTCATTAGCGACTCTAGTCATGGCATTCAACATAGAATCAGAACATAAGGCATAAAAATCAGCACCCGTGAATGTGAATGAACATTTCTCAGCCACAGTTTCCAAACTAACATCATCATGCAATTTGAATTTTCTAGTCAAAGCTTCAAGAATCTTAGTTTGTTTTTCGTCAGTATCGGAAATACCTAAATATAACATCTTATCAAATCTACCTGGTCTTAACAATGCTTCATCCAATAAATCTGGTCTATTCGTGGCACCAACCACGAAAACCCCATCACCTCCATCACTACTCATCCCATCCAATTCTGCTAATAATTGAGAAACGATTCTATCCATAACACCACCAGAATCACCTTGATTACCTCTCTTAGGCGCCACTGAATCCAATTCATCAAAAAAGATAACACATGGTTTTGCATCACGAGCCCTTTGGAACACACGACGAACATTAGCTTCCGATTCACCGATATACATATTTAACAATTCCGGACCTTTGACCGAAAAGAAATTAAGTGAGAAATTGGTGGCGATTGCTTTTGCCAATAAGGTTTTCCCTGTCCCTGGTGGACCATAAAATAAGATCCCACTTCTCTTTTTAAGTCCATTATTAAATAATTCGGGATGTTTTAATGGCATATCGATGGTATCCAAGATTTCATCCTTCACGAGATCTAAACCTCCGATATCTTCCCATTTTACATTTGGGATTCTTGGAGCACCAATGGAATCACTGAATTGATTACGTGCTTCATTGATGGCGGCGTTGAAATCATCTGGGATCCAATTTATGACACCTCCATTACCGACATGGATTAATTTATTAATGGAGGAGATGTGCAATTCTTTGGCGAGTTTGGAGAGTCTTTTGATGGCTAATTTTTTGGATTTTTTGATGATTGAGATTAAATCACGAGGAGTTAAACCGGCTGATTGAAGTGCAAGACTTTTGAAATTTATGTCTTTTCTAATTATGAATGGGAAGGAATTTATATCGGTTAATTTCAGACTGTTGGTATTCATTAGGATATCATTATCTTCGATATTATCTTTTTGTTGATGTAATTTCTTCTTTTCATTAGTGATTAAAAACTTAAAGATTTCTAATCTTTCATTCTCGGTAGGAACGGTGAATTCAATTGTAAATTTAATCAATGATTTCAAATTATCATTTAATTTATCATAGTCATTACAACTCATTATAATCACCATGTTGGGGTATTTATTTAAATAATCATTCAAAGTTTGGATAACTTTCAAAGACAACGAAGTGAAAATACTTGAATTTTGATCATTATCATCAGTTTTAGGACATAAATTCTCAATATGTTTTAAATAAATAACATGAAACCCTGTGTCTCCATTTGGCAAGTTCCCAATTATTTTATCAATTTTCCCAGTCAATAATCCAATAGTTTTCAATTCTTGTCCTGGATTTAATAATTCAAAACAATCAAATTCAATCAAATTAAGACCCATTTCAATACATATATTTCTTACCAATGTAGTCTTTCCAATCCCTCTACTCAGTGAATTCAACAATATCGAAGTCTTAAGACTCATCTTGGATGAAATACAAGTACTCATGCAGAAAAAGTTAAGAACTCGTATTAATTTAAGGCTAAATAACTATATTAATTTTAATGGAGGTAAATGCAAGTAATCAAACCAGTTGTTGAATTCATTAGGTGGTAAACGAACACTTTCAACCCCAGAAGAAACTAATAATGTCTTGGATGGATCAACAAGGAATTGATTTGTCCCGATTTCATTCTTTCCCTTAACTTCAACAATCTTGAACCATGCTACTGCATCAGGATCTCCTATTGGGATAACATCTATCCCATCTCCACCTTCACCACCCATTGATTCTTCGTCATTTTCGTTGTTTTCGTCATTCATATTGTCAAACATGGTTTTAGATAACACTGAGTCAATGACAACCGGGAAGAAATCACCTTCTTGGACACATTTGAATTGAGTACTTAAGATGGTTTTCAAACTGGAAAAGAAATTACGTTGATAAGTTTTATCCATGGTAATTTGGGAACATACTCGAGATATAGTAACTGATTCAGCAATGGGGATTGATTTTGATAATGTGGTATTTTCATGGAATTGTTCAAATTCAATAGCAGAATCTTTAGTCAATCCAAGATTGATTAATAAAATTGGGGATAAATAAACATATCCGAATTTGAAAGTATTTTGAGGTTCAGTAAATGTAAATACTCTAACAACTGCACTCTTTTCAGGGGTAATAATCAATTTTACCAAATCACCACTGAATATAGGGAATCCTAATTTGATAAAATCGGAAGAATTTATAAACACAAACAATTCAGAATCATCCTTTTGCCATCCAACAGGTAAATTATCAATTGAAATTCTATCAGGTAATGGTTTAACGCCAAACTTGGTGCTGGAGTGAATAATCTCGGATTTATCGAATTGTAATGTTGAAGATAAATAACCAGATAAATCAGCATCAAGATCTGATTCATCGTAATCTTCTTCTTCGAGTTCTTCCTCTTCCTCTTGATCTTCAAGGTGGTACTGCTGAGACTCTTCATGTTGGTTGATCAATATAATATTAGTGTTGTGATCCAATTTCCCTTGAGTTATAGGTTCACAGAGATTGACCTTCCCATTGATTAACCTGATGGTGTCACCTTCATTGAGAACGCTACCACTATTGGCCAATATTTGAGTTAATAATTGTTCTCTTATAGCCAGCTGCGGCTTATTATGCAAAATGTGATAAATTTCATGAGGTACAGATATGAATACTTGTGATAAAATTGGAATTGAATCAATATTGATAGATTGAACAATAGCAGTATTTAAAGTTAATTGAGAACTATCAAATTTAGATAAATTTGAATTATTAATGAAAGTAATTAAATTTGCAGTTGAATAAGAAATCTTATGAATTTTCATAATTTTAAATTTATTGAAATAATCAGGTGCACCTAATAATTTAACCAAAATGAATTTATCAATAGAACCAACAGCATGAGGATCGTTGGTATCTTCTGGGAAATCTGGGAATAGTTTACCAAATACATTCCAAGATAATTCTACTGAATCATATTGTAAATTAGATGGATCATTAATAAATGAAATATTAACTAAAGTTGATTTGGCTGGTTGTTGGTGTTGTTGTAAAGTATCAGTTGAAGACATCACAGCAGATGGTGGCATAATAAATAAGGGATCTTTGGTAATGAAGTGTTTTCTATAGAAGTGTCCTTTTCAGATACTTCTTCTATCAACTGAATCTGGGGAATAATTTTGGATATATTTATAAAAGGAAAGTGGTTGTAAAAAAATATTGGACAACAATTTTCTCTTTTGTTCCTCGGATCTTTTTTCTGGTTGTTGATTTCTGTTTCTGTGGGGGATTAGAAAAATAATTAATTAAATAGAATGAATCACAAAACCTACCAAAAGTGCCATTCAATCGATATGAATTAAGTAATACTTGTCTAAAATATATCATCTAATAATTTGAATGCTTATGAATTAGATTATAAACTATCTCCAGAATCTAGAAAAAGGTATTCAGTATATTACTATGTGACTTCTCTTGTCTAAGTTGAATCTTCGAAATTCTTATCATTTTTTTGCAGCAATTTATACCAAAAATCAAGACAAGTAAGAAATTAATTCAGAAAGGAAAGAAATTTAATCAGAAATATTCAAGAGTACTGTCAAATCCCCTTTGCAAGCAAAACGAATCAACTCTAAAGTCACTCTACTAAGAATCACCTTTTGTGTCGTGCTCACGGCATACATAGTTCTTACACTACCTAAGTTATAGTTCCGTGGGAATTTTTTCCCTAACTAACTTAGACGGGTACTCATTACCCGGATTTTAAAATGAGAGCCTCAAAAATTTTTCAGTCTTCTCAGTCAGGCTTAAATTTTTTTTAACAAACTCATCTTCACCACTTCATTCCTCTTAATCAGCAACAGCAATATAATAACCGAGAATATTCAAACACAACAGTATGTAATCCCACAATATACATCCCCCTTCCAATATTCACAGAAATCAAAGAGAAAATACTTAATGATGATAACTTTCTTTTTTTCATACCAATAAAGAGCATTTTTTGAAGTTCTTTACCGTTTTGGTAATATATGGCTTTATTGCAATGATCTGGTATATTTTGTCATAGTTACACTGATTTTATAACAACAACCCCTTTTCTTTTGATGTGTGAATTTGAGAGGAAATCATGAGAGATGCAATTGTACTAACTTTTGTTTTAGATTTTGTATCATACATAAATAGTTCAGTCATTTACGTTGTCTGAAATGGTTTGTTAGATTGTAAAAATTAGTACTCTGAGTGCTTAACTTATTACCGTAAGCTCGTTACATAAAAGTTAGATAGGACTTTGTCTATACTTTTTTCCTCTAAGCGGACCACAGATAATCCGTACCAGTTGAGTCCCAAAATTATACATGAGAATTATTCTTGGAATATTTTGGTCGCAACTGCTAAGTTTATCTGTCGTTTATAAAGAGGAAAGATTCTAGAAAAGGGAAGATTTATGGGATTGTAAATACGCTATTCCAATGCCAACGAAGTTGTAGTTTTAGAAATAACTTCAAATCAATCTGCGTAATGAATGATTTGAAATTATTTCTAAATTTTTCCAGCTTAAAGTTCGATAGCAAGATCATTGATGGACGAATTAGCGTAGTAATTATTATATAGAGATCACATGCCACATCATGAATGTTACTATGGCTATGTAATCTCAACTACCTCTATTACTTCACATCCCCTCTTCAATTCTACAATGTCAAATCTCAAAAAATCCAATCTCTTTCGTTATACCGGAAAGTTTTTTTGCTTATTATTATACAAACTATGTAAAGTGAATCATCATGACTATTATTATTGTAAAAATATTTATTAAATAAATCAACAAGCTATTTAAGCTTCATCTTCAACAACAACAGTTTGTAAACCTTTAGCGGTTGGAACAAAAACTGGTTCAACAAAAGCAAATAATTTTTCCTTAGCATCTTCTTCATCATTTCTCTTTCTAGAAATTCTTAATCTTAATCTATGTTCAACACCTTGGACACCTCTTTTCCATAATTGAACATTCAACTTTGGGTCTAATCTGACATCAGTGGTACCCATGTGTAAAGTAGCAAACTTCTTGATTTCCTTGACAGCCTTTGGAGCTCTCTTCTTGAAGCTGACACCGTGTAACTAGAAATAAGTTGTTAGTAAAATGAAACATATTGGATACATTTTGTCGAAATTGGGTATATATGGGAGAAATTGATAGGGGCAGGGAATGAGTGTTATGAAGAGACATCTCGAACTTGTATTGAACTGAATGTTCATAGTTTATTCATAGTTGATACCTCATCAATAAGTTGTTTTGACATATGTTTAGCTGCATAAGGTTTTGCATATTACTGGTAGTGATTCATAGTAGGTCTCAAACTGAGATCTTCCTTGCATAGTTGTAGTTGAAAATCAACGATAGTTGGTAAATAATAACGTAGTAGACACATTACTGATCTTTCATAATAGTAGTTGTTGTGTGTATGTTTATTCAACATTTCGATCGCTTCCCATCCCACTAATTTTTCATCGCATTCCACGATTCCTCATTTCGACAACCATTTCTCCCAGTTTTCAATCTGGTTATTTCATTCATTACATACTCTCTTGTGTAAGTTGATGGTGTATTCACGGGTAATAACGTCTTGTAAAGCCATTGTGGATATTTGGTGTTAAACTATACAAAGCACTAAACTGTTTCAAAGGTCAGAAATTTCTTTAAAATTTTTTTTCACCTCAAATTTTTGGTACTATCTCTGGTAGACAAGCGTAAGAGTGTGACAGTCCACTGTAGTGTTAGTGTGAATGAAAGAGATTACTGCGAGAAGCGAAAAAAATGATAGTCGTGTAAATAGTTCAAAATGAAATACTGCAGATAAGTGAACATTTTTTTCCCATACTACTATATTAGTTTGAATGGAGAAATTGTTACTACAGAAAAATGAATAATTCGAGTCACGTGGAAAATGAAGCATCTTAGGGCTAGAAACCTAATTGTTTTGTATACATTCTATTATCTATAAAATTAAGTCTTATTCTAAACCATACACTTTATGTATATACTTATACCAATTCCCATTCAATTCCTGATATGCCAAATCTAACCAACCGCCATCATCATTAGCCTCTTCTTGACTTGGTTTATCTCTCTCATTCGTCAATTGAATCTCATCTTCAATTTGAACTAATTTAAACTGGGGGAAATTATTTAATAAATCCCAAATCCCCAACATTGAACAAATGATTCTTCCAGATATTCTCCCATCTTGAACCAATTTAATAATCTCACCCAAATCTGGATTATTCCCAATCACGAAATCAGAATCTAATGATTCGTTTCGAATCGGCGCAATTGATCTAACTGTATACACTAATGATAATTTAGATTCTTGATTCACTTGATTCATAAACACCTCCCCATATTTCTCCTGAATCACTTTGTTCACAATATTCGTCTCTTTAAGATTCACAAATATCACCGTCTCCACAATAATCAACACCAAAGTAATATTCGAAAGATATTGCAGATACACCAACGACGACACTTCCCCATTCAATTTCAATTCTTGATAAAGATTCAACAAAAAACTTCTTAATGTCTGCAAATTATTCGTAATGAACAAAATCACAATGGTGTCATAACTCAAATTAATCAATCTTGATCTTAGATCTTCTTGTTTGACTTGTTGAGGTCTTAATCGTAATTGATAATTCAATTTATATAATTCATTAATTAGATTCAAATTGGGGATTGATTTTAATCGAAGTAATAATATAACCAAATTATGATCTAATAAATTTTGATTATTTCTAGGTAAGGGATAGACGGGAGCTAATCCAGGTTGTCCCGTTCCTCTATTTGGAGGTGGTGGTGGGGTGTTTGATGGAGAGATGTTGGAATTTTCATTCAAATATAGAGCATTATTCAAATTTATCGATTCCTTTTTGGCATAATTCAATTGATCATTGAATAAGTGTAATGTTAATCTAATTGACCATAATTTGAGTAATTGAGAATGAGTTAAATTGGTTGATGATTTGAGTATGTAGTAGGTTTTGTTGATTACTGATGTATATTGATAATTGTCAGTTTTAAGTTCATTATATAAATCTTGTAAGGTAATTTCTTGTTTTGGTGGTTCTGATGTTGGTAGTTTTAAGAATAATGATTCTTTAGATAGATATTGTGTCATTGTCAATAACTAATTAACACACTGTAGATGATCTCTATAGATCAGATTGACGGGCTTGATTATCTGGGCATTTTGAATCCAGGGGAAAAATCAAAAATCACTAAACCTTATCTTTGAACCACAGGGTTAAACCATTTTTTAGTACGCTACCAGTGAAAGGTAAAAGTAAAGAGAAAACAGTTCAAGAGATGTCGCTGCATACAGAACTACTACAACAAGCAAAACTCAATCAAATAAATGATTTAAAACAATCATCAATCTATCTGAAACAATTAATGAATTCAATCTATGCCGTAATCAAATCAAATTCCGATAATTCCAGCAATAATACTTCATCATTATTAGATAAAATTACTACTATTCATCAATTAAATAAAGAAATAGATCGACAATTAAATGAAGATATTGCCATGAATTATTATGAACTTATGAAATATAAAAAACAATTAAATCGAATGATTCAAGAATGTCATCAAATATTAAATGGGAATGGCCCTGGTTCGAATATAATTAATGAATTACAAACAAGATCAGAATATATTGATCAAGATTTACGAATATTAGAACATACATTAAAATTAATTAAGAAATAAAAGTTATTAAAATTATTAAAAAATGACCTTATTAAAAAAGTGTGTTTTGGTTATGGCAATCCACGAGCGGCTCTTTCCCATTTTTCTTCAGCAATCCAACCAGCATTTATAATCTTGACAACATCAGAAAGATTGATTCTTTTGTTATGTTTCAATTCTTTATTCTTTTCAATTAAACAAGAATATAATTTAACATAACAATCTTTAGGAACATGTTGAATTGAAGTTTCAATCAATCTTTGTTCTAGTTTATTAGGAGGACTATTTGGATTTGGTGATAACCATTTCTTACGACGATATTCCCATAAAGTAGATCCAATATTTGATTCATTAAATAAAGTTGATTTAGAATCAGTATCACTACTAGCACTGTTATTATTGGTATTATAATTTTCAAATTCTTTACGAAGTTGACAAACATCCAAATCACGGAATGAAATTTCATTATATTCAACTGCTGAATCTATTTCATCTTCTTCTTCATCATCTTCATAACCTTCTTCTCGAGTTGGTTCTTCTGTCCTGGTATCTATTGAATCAAATTTTGGTTCATGTTGCATAAGGTGATGTTGTTGTTGTTGTCGTATTATATCTTGTAATGTATATTGTAATCTATCTGAAACCATAGTAGCTGAAGATCTAACATCATTACTACTAGTATATGCCGCAGCCATATTATCTAAATTTTTAAATTTTTTATAATCTTTTAAAAACCGTTCTTCAGTTGAATTATATCCCTTATGAGATCTAACAAGATTATCAAAATCGGTATCAGGATCTGAATCTATAAAGAATTCTTCTATAATATCATCAGATGATAAAACGTCTTCAGATATTGATTTTAATTTTAATAATAATAAATTCCACTCAATCGAGATTTTTTTAAAGAAACCAATTTTTTTCTTCTTCTTCAGCGGCAGTGATACTAGTTGCTGCTTTGATTTAGATGGTGGAACAGGAACTGATGAGTTTGTTTGTTGCTGTGTAGGAGTCCTTCTATTTAACTGGGGAGGTTGTTGTTGTTGAAGTGTATTAGGTGTTCTCGGAAGTGGTTTATGATTGTTATTACTATTTAATTTTGGAGTTGAAGTTGATTTTCGTAAAAAAGCCGGCGTCGGTCTCTTGGGTAGGTTTGAAAGGTCTGTTGAACTATGAGTCTCTCTAATCATTTAAGAATGCGAGATGGTGATGATGTATATATAAATATCAAACGACTTTTTAACGTTAAAAGCTTTTTAAAAAATGCAAAAAGTCAAAAATAGATGTGTGTGGGGGGATATGCAATATGATTTTATTACTAGTTGGCACTTCTTTTTTTCCTGTTAATAGAATAAGCCCGGAGTTTAATGGTATCTGGTAGTGTGACAAATGTATAGTATCAACCTTTTGTCTCTGTCTATGAATGTCCGTGTATAGTTGTTGTTTATTTAGTTTGAGATGAGAAATGTCTTTGTGTGAATGCGTGTTACTGATATACTTGTAGATTTAGAACATTCTATTTATTAATTTCTAAAAAATCGTTATTCTCTTTGTCTCTCTCTCTCTTCTAGTTGCTGTCTTCAGTGAATATCGCCAAGCAAGCCGTTATTTATAAATAACTTATTGGTGTCTTGAAATGGTAATTAAAGAGATAACCCAAGGGTTCTTCTATTCATTCAAGTGAAAGAGATAAAAAGAATCAAATAAAACTTTAAATTAAAAAAATCTCTGTGGAAGTTATTTATCACATTAATTTCTTTTTTAATTCTCTATGAACAATCACTCACTCACTCACTCACTCACACCAAAAATTAAATAATAAAATAAAATATTTAAAAAAATCTCGTCATGCAACACAAATTTAATTAAAATAATAAAATTATCATCCAACCCAACATATGACATTTTATTTATTATTTTAACAGTAGGAACTAAATTAGAATTCCTTCCATTGAGAACGTAAAGGATTAATTCTATTATTGAGTATTTATATGAAATACTCAATGAGATTTGTAGCTCATTACCTTTAAGGAGCTTCCGGGATTGGCTTATTTAGTTGCAAAAGCCCTTTTTCCGCCAGTTATTACATTGACAGCAATTATTATTATTATTACAGAGTAAAACTGTCATTGATACGTTAGTATACATTGTAGAAATAGTCATTGAGAGTTAAGTTCTATTTCTATCATATATCTACATCCATATCTAGTTTGAAGTTTAAAAGATCAAAGTTTGTAAGTGTTCTTTCCCTTGGCATTCCCCGTGGTTTCTCTGTACAATGGTGAAGTTAACCAAAGATAGATAAGATTATCATATGGCATCTGTAATATTTACCCCCAAAAATATAGAAACATATGAGATTGAACATCTACGCCCATTGGTGTTATAATACCACAGGCCAGTATCTGATATGCACAGCCTTTCAGAACACCGCCTTTAATGAAGTTAAAAACTGTATTTTCTTTTAAATTATACTGCTACTTCAAACTTCTGACCTGATTTTTTTTTTTTGCAGCCTTGTTTTTGTAAAGGTTTATTATGATCGGTCATTTGCATTCTTGTTCACTTTTGCAGCACATCTTCATATTCAAACACTCTTGATCTTCTCCGGTATCTTGCTTCAGCTTACACACATTCCCCCGAAGAGTGTCGTCAAGTCATCTTCCGAAATCCCCTTTCTAGTTCTTGGCGTAGCTGGAATTAGAAACATTTCTGGGCAGTGTATTAAAAATAATTACTGTAACAAAAGAAACTTATGAGATCAGAAACTAGAAATATGAAAAATTATTAATACATTTATTACAAAAATTGAATATATACCAATGTACGATCCGAATCCGATCAAACTTCAACTTCTTTAACCTGTTTATCATCATCGAGAGGGAAGAAGAAGAGAAGGAAAACTATGAAGAGAAATTAGAAGAATATATTAACATAATTAAATTGCCAACCTTGTTTCTCCTTATTTAATTCTTCATTATCAATTATATCTTGTTGTAATTCAAATTCATACCTTTTATAAATCGATTTCTCACCTAAATAACTATCCCTTTTTTCCCATTTAAGATTATATACACAATATGATAATCCTGAATGTTGATTCTTTCGACTATCCCAACTTCTTGAATTGATTCCATGATTATAATATCCAATATATTGTGGCAACGTGGGCAATAACAAGATCTCTACTGACAAATCTCCATATATCCCCCTATCAACTCTTCCACCCTCCTCCCTATCCTCCTCCCCTTTCCCCTCCCTATCCTCCTCCCCTGCTTCCAATGGCCTAATAAAATACTCAGGTTTCCAATTCACATTCCACCTCGACAAATCCACCCCATTGTCCTCGTCAAACAACCCTAAATGACACAACACCTCAACAATATCAGAATCATCAGTATATATCCCCCCAGCACCACCCCATACCTCCCTCCTCACAATTCCATTATTCATATCCTGCATAAATCCAACAAGATACCGAAATGGGATCTTAATCTCCATGATCGAATTCACATATTCGGCAGGCAACGCCGGAATACAGGGGATATATCTCGTTCCAATCCCCGGTTGTGATGTTTTTCGGGATTGATAGGCGAGTTTAATTTCTTGAAATCGAAGTTGGTGTTCTGGTTTTAGGCCATATAATTGTGGGGTTTGGATGGTGTCCCAGGTGGTGGTGGGATTGTAGATTATCGTGCCGAGATATTGTCTTTTAGGGAAATATTGTTTGATTATTTCTACAATGGGTTCGATGTTTAGATTGGGATGTGGTTTGCGTATTCTGGATATTCTTTTCGTGTGTGGTTGTTGTGTGATTTGATTTGGTGTTTCTTGTTTGACAACTTCATCTTGTTCGGTCAATTTCGGACCGGTATCATTTGTCAGCACTTCTTTGTCATCCCCTCCATCTGACTTCTTATGATGATGATGGTGGTGGTGGTGATGATGACGATGTGCAGCAACAGGATGATGATGATGATGGTGATGGTGATGATGATGTGGGTGATTATGGACATGTGCGGACTTATCTTCATGCTTTTGTATTTCTTCAGTTTGAGTAGATGCCGAAAATGATGCTCGTTTCTGGGGTGCGAAAATAGGAGATTGTTGTTGCTGTTGTTGTTGCAGGAGTAATTGTGGAGGCTGCTGTTGTTGTTGTTCCAGTATACGTTGGAATTGTGGCGGATGAGATTGACTCTGGAGCTCAGTAGTGCTTGTAACCGGTTGTTGTTGTTGTTGATGGGGTAATTGATGAATTCGGGGAAGTTGAGGCGACATTTGTGAACCATATTGTGATTGTGATTGATACATAGGAAGCTGCGGTCTCGCTAGTTGATGTTGCTGCTGCTGCTGCTGCTGCTGCTGCTGTGGTGGACCAACAACTTTCACAACAACACCTCCTCTACATTCTGATCGTTAACTATTGCTGGCTGTTGAAGATTCAGATTTCGGAAATTCATATTTTAATCTCTTAGTTGCTTGTTCATCACTCATTGATCGGGGTAATTGTTGTGTAGAAGGTGGTGAAATGGAAGGAAGTGATGTGGTTGTTGTAATTGGTGATGATGAGGATGGTGCGGCGGAAGATGGATTATTTAAAAAACTGGAAATTCCTAAATTAGATGCCGAAGGTAATTTATTACCTGTAGATCCAGGTGGTGGTGGTCCACATACAGGACTATTTTTCCTATATCCACCATTAGAATATGCTTGATTAGCATTATCATGTGATGACATTTAACTGTTGATTCTTATATGATGATGAGTTTGTTGTCCAGTATTTTCCAGATTAATAAACAAATGGAAATGTGGTGTGGGAAAAAACAAAACCTTGAATTCTTGGGATAAGAAAGTGTCAATCTAATTAGTGCAATTGGTAGAAAGAATAATGGTATTTGTATATTTTCTACAATGGTATCAGTTAACGATATTCAACTAAGGTAGTCGTGTGTGTAATTATATAATGATTGATAAAATATCTAACCTGTAAGTAATCCTTTATTTACAAGTTAATCTCTTTAAAGGGTAAAAACAAAAATAAAAAAGGATTCAAAGAAAACTGGAAAAATTGTGAAGATTTTTTTTCTTATTAAAAAGAAGTGGGGCAAAAACTGCATATTATTATTACGTAACATGTAATATTACTATTATTGGTAAGTACACGCTTAACTATTCTACCATATCAATAGAGAGCGCAATATGGGTAGCATAACATTCAACAATAGTTTACTACTTGAGAGATAAGTTACAAAAAAACCGTTATAAATTAACTCAGTCTACAAACATTATAGCTATAAAAGTAATATTTAATTAGTCACTCTCTGTATATGTCAAACGACAATTGTAATTCTAGAATTGCTGCAAAAATCAACCCACTTTATCAACGCACCTGATATCCCTAAATCCTTCTCTGATGCTCTCCATATATTGATCTAACGCTGGGCACATCCATAATGAACAATCTGATTGTCTTTTGTAACACATTCTTATGATATAGGGTTAGAGAAGAATGTTTAACGTGTATTAACAAATGAACAAGATACCTTATATGAATCATTCTGTAATGTAACAACTTTAGATTCAAGATTAATTGCTCCCACTTTATATAATTGAGCCGAAATCCTACTGTCATGTAAACTCTCTTGAATAGTACCGATTTGATTAGTGGCGAATTTGGATAATTTATGCAAGGGGAATGAATCAGGTAAACATGCTAATGTCTTTAATGTAGACATTTTAGATCCTTGAAGGGATAATAACCTGGCAATGAGATCAACATTATCCTGATAGTGAATCAAAAGATCTTCTAATAATTTATGAAATAAACCTTCTCCAGCTTTTATCCCATTTGGTAAACAATATATCTCCGAGCAATAATCCATGGCTCCATCTAAATCATTCAATTGATTAAATAATACATCTATGGATTTTTCATGTTCTCCTAATCTTTTATATATAAATATTGTAAATCTTAAGAATTTATCTTCAGTGGTGGGTATATTCTTTAAGACTGCCCATGGATCATATTCCTTCCCGGATTTTAATAATTCAAATAATTTGATATAATTATCACTTTGATAAAACTCATAATCATCCACTTCTAATTCTTTCAATTGTTTAAGATATAAATTACATAATCTAGTTTCAAATTTCAGTACTTGTTTCGTCTTGATCAATTTTGAAATTAAATCACTTTCAAACAATAACCATTCCAAATATCCAATAGCCAATCCTGAATCTTTTCTCGTATTAACAAAATAATTCAAAATTCGAGAATTGTCATAACTTTCGCATTCATAAGTATCATTCATAAATATCAATTTACAATTCCCAAATTTGTCATTCTGGTTACTTTCATCCAATATCCAATTTGAATATTTAAAAATCAATGACAAATCATCATTTTTCAATTTTTGTAAATATTGAATACTCAATGCCGGACCTCTCAAATAATCATCCAATAAATTATCTTCATCATTTGAATGTTGAGCAATTGATGATTCCCCATTATTATCATCATCATGAGCTAATTTATACAACATAACCAACGCGTCTTCATGTAATGACCTCCCAAAATAAAAATCAAGTAATTCTTTAATAAAATTAGGTTGTTTGAAATTCCGTTGTTGAGTATGATTATGGATATTACTCAACAAACATTGATTCACGGTTTTAGAATCACAATTATTCGAAGGTAATCGCAACAACGGACCTAACAACATTGGTTTACAATAGAAATAACATAGGAATAAGGAAGTATCGATTATAGTGGCAACTTTATCAAGTTGTTGTATTGGATCATTGCTTAATTCAGGATATACATCCCTGGGGAATAAATCAATTCCCTTCCATTTAATACTATGTTTATTCCTAAATGTTGACAAAATTCTTCTTTGATCAGTGAGATAAACTATTAGATTATTCACCGCTTTCTTAAATCTTCGAACATTCATCTGGGCCTTCACATAAGACACAGACTTGATTTGGGAAGTTGAACTAGCGGGTGGTTGTGCAAGTCTTCGTGATGCATTATCGGCCGTATCATATTCTGATTCAGATATACCTAAATGCAATTCAAGATCTTCTATTGTAATACGTTTGATGGGGCTATTGGGGAATCCAACATCTTTCAGATCTTGTACTTGAGCAATTAGTCTCTTTTGAGCATTCAAAAAATCAGGAAATAATTCAAGAATATCTTGGAACGAAACTAACCATTCTAAAGAAATTTCCACTAATGATTCATGAAATTTTGAATATGATTCGAATAACATAAGTGCTTTGGAAGTATATAATTCTCGTAATTTCATTTGTTTTGCCTTAATTGGATCTTTGGATGGGTCTTGATGGAAAACTGAATTTGAAGTATCTAATTTCGATACCAATGAAATACATTTTTCAAGTCCAATATATTTTAAATCATTATGGGGATCCTTTATATTACCACTAGATGAACCCTTTCCTGATATACTCAAGAATTGTTCAATTTGTCGTTGAAATGATGTAATGTTAAATTGAAGGATGTCAGAACCGGCAGCAAGATTGATAGTTGGCCCTTCCATGCTGGTATGTATTTGGTTGGAATTTATTTGATGATGAAATTTTTGAATCAAATCTCCATTTTGAATATCTAGAACTTCTAATTTCTTATTATAGATAACAACTAAATACAAGGGATGAATTGAAAATATGGCAATTGGAACAACTAGGAGTTTAATTGGAGAAGACGTAATTGTTGAATCTCCCTGTGATTGTTTCTCCAATTTAACAATTTGAGTATCCCTTACTAATAATAATTTATCTTCATGTTCAATTGGAACCGTCCATGTCATTGGACCTGAGGATGTGAATCCGAAATAACTAAATGATGTATTATGAGTAAACATGTTCACATTGGTTTCGTCTACTGGCAAAGACGATATCTTAAAGTCTTGTCTGACATCAATTAGAAGGTAATCATTCTGAAGTCCAATAATTACTTTGTTTTCTTCAATATAGTTATCAATTGTTCGTACTTTATCCTTTAATGATTCTTCATGGATTTTTGTAAATGTGAATAGATTCCTTGATTTATTAATGATTTGAAATACAACAAATCTCTTTTTTATACCTAATAATAACAATCTCCGTTCATCAGACTCTAGATACAATACATCAGAACAATTCTTTGAATCTTCAAATTTATGAATTTGATTTATATGAGAACCGACAATTTCATATATTCGTACTGCTTCCGGGGTATTTGTTAATATGATAGTCTTGTGACTATCTTGTTGAACCATCGGTAAAACTTTAATCAAATCTATACTAGCACCATCTTGACTAATATTCTTGAAACGTTTAACTAGGGTGAAATCACCTGATTTCTCATTATCCTTAAACAATCCCTTAATATCATTGAATGTCTTTAGTGAACGAATTGACCTTGCTTTGGATGATGATGATGGAGCTTGTTGCTGTTGTTGTTGTTGGTCGTCAATTTCTTTGTCATCAGTTTTGGAAGCATAGATTGATAAATCACCATTACTAAATCCTACATAAAGTTTCCCATTCTGTTGATGGATTGATGATATCTTCTCATTGCTGCTACTGCTACTACTGCTACTACTACCACTACTACCATTGGATATTCGTATTCGATTATGTGGTTCTATTATATCTATATTCATTTTTACTTAAAGAAAAGAGTTAAACTAAAGATTATGAAACAAATGTAACAAATCGCATTTTTTTCTGGTGGTATTTAAACTCGACTAACAAAATTGATTACCCCAGAACAATATTTCACCAATTCATCCATTGATTCTTCTTGTTGTAAGATTTGATAATCATTCAAGGCTGAATGTAATCTAACATCATTAGGGAAGTTATGGATGACATCACCATGATTCTTTAAGAAGATTGCGAAAATGGCTTCGTATAATTCGTAGTTTTGATTGGATTTAAACCCAGCATTCAAAGCTTCCACGAAATTAGCCATTTCATCCAATGGTGGGAATGAATTCAAAGATCGTATCTCTAAATCAGTGGTTGAAGGTGCTAATTTAATCAAAAATGTTAAAAAGTCAGTATAATCACCTTTTTCGGAACCTTCTCTTAACAATCTAGTAAATTCTGATTCAAATGAATAACCATCATCAGTCTTAAGTTTACGCAATCTACTTTCTTCTTCTTGGTTGGTGTCATTGCCATCATTTTGAACCTTACCTTCAGCAACAGAAGCCCTATCACCAACAGCTTCACCAGATAATTGTAAGAAGAATGGAGCCTTTTCGGGTTTCTTAGGTGCTTCCTTTGGTTTGTTTCTTTGCTTGATAATATCCAAGTGAAGTAAGGTATTGTATTTAGATCTTGGACCAACAGATAATGTAACTAAGCTCTCGTCGATTTGATCAACGGTATCATATCTTTCAGTAATAGGGATTTCTTCATCTTGTTCAGTTTCTAATGCTCCATCTAAGAGAGTTGATCCGGCGTCACCAGAAACATTTGGTAATAAAATCGTGGAAAAATCTTCTTCTTCAACATGTCTGGTGGATATTGGTTTGAATTGGGCTCGGTTAGTCCAGAGAGAAATACCATTACCTGAAACATGTGTAGTTGCTAATAAATCACCAAGTGGTGAGAATCTTACAGAAGTTGCGACTGTAGGTAAGACGACACCATCAATACATCCTCCAGTAGGTAAATCCCAGGTTCTTAAAGTCGAATCCAAGGCAACAGAAACAATCCATCTTCCATCTGGAGAGAAATCCATTCCGGAAATTCTATTGGTATGACCATATAAGACTCTAACAATCTTTTGAGTAGTAACATCGACAACAACGATAGATAAATCATCTAAAGCGCATGCAACAAGATCTGACGATTTATGATAAACCATAGAAGTAATAGGCGAGTCTAGTTGCAATTTCCCCAAATATTTAGATTTACCAAAATCATAAAATCCAATAATACCATCTAAACCACAACTAACCATCTTTCTATTCATTCCATCAATAGCTAAACCAGTAACTGAATTCTTATGTAATACATATTTCTTACGTAAGATACCAGATTGTAAATTAAAAACCCCGATCCCACCTGATGCAGAACCAACTAACCCGAAATTCCCACATTGTGAAATACAAACAGATTTAACCTTCCCATTATCAATAGTATTCAAAACATGACGGCCAACTCTCTTATTTCTAGAATCCCAAGTTCTGGCAAATGTCTCATCTTTATGAGCAGTCAAGACATTTTCCCATTCGCCTTCTCTAGCTTGAGAAGAAGTAATAGCGAATATTTCCGGGAATTTTTCACGAAGTGAAGAAACTTGTCCCGCTTGTCTCTTTCCATCTTTGGATTTATGCATTCTTTGGGACATTTCTTGTGCTTGAGCATCTTTTCTTAAAGAAAAACTCCAGAATGATCTATCTCTACTAGCACTAAACACGAAATGTGATTTTTCTTCTTGAGGGAATTCAATTGCAATTGGAGGAGCAGAATGACCACCTCTTGATCTAAGATGACGTGGAGGGGAAACGATGGAAGAATTGGAAGTGGTTAAATTTGGATCAAATACAAATTCTTTCAAATGATTATCACCACCGTTGGTTAAAACAATTGGTTGTCCGTTTAAGAATTTAACATTAGAAACACCTCCATGAGTGTCCTTATGGGCATTTCTTAAAATATGAACTCTGGCCTTTTTGTTTAAATCATAAAAGAAAAGATCACCATTATTTAAACCTGCAACCAAATGAGGAGATCCATCGGTTCTGAATGAGATGGATGTAACTTTACTCGATGATTCTGTTCCTGAGGTGACAATTTTAGATCCTAAAATCTTGGCCTTCTTTAAGTTATACAAAAACACACTTCCAATGCTTCTGGGTTAACGTTGGTGTAGATTTTGACCTCGTCTAAGTTATCTACTATTTGCTTCACCAAAGAAATTCTCTGGAGATCTGTATAATAACTTTCCTGAGCGGACATTGATAATAAAAATACCTCCAGTGCAGGCAACAACAATTTTGTTTAAATACGTAGGAGGATGGATCAAGCCAACAACTTCTCCATCAATAGAAGAGTTGATGACCTTAATAGTAGTATATAATTCAGTTTGATACTTTGAACCTTGAGTTTTCTTGAATACATTGATATCCCCTTCATTAGTAGCTGCGACGAGATATTCACCAAAAATAGTCATATGTGATACATATCCAGAACTGGAACCACTACATTCCAAAGTATGTTCCAATCTTCCTCTCTTATAAATCCCAATCTTATTCCCATATGCCGCATAGACGTAATGATAATGAGCAGCAAGACAAGCGATCTTGGTTGGAGTTTGTGATTGGGAAACAAATAATAAGTGTAAAGTAGCTAAATCATAGATTTGAAAGGATCTTCCAACCGATGTAACAGCATAAAAGGTGGATCCTAAAGTACCTAAAGCAAATGGTGTTGAATCGGTTACATTACCTAAAACTCTGAACGGACTGAATATCTTGGAAGGTCTTACGACTTTGGTAGAAGTAGACCCTTCGATCTTTCTTCTCTTATCTACTTGTTCAACCATTTATTCGTTGTAGATTGTTGAAGTGATGATTGATTGAAGTTTTCAATTGAAAAATTATTTTTTTTGTAGAACCTCATCGCATTGCCTTCGCACATTTTGAACAGAATAAGAAGTACACGAGATAGCTGTAATTGTAATTCGATAACAGTGCATGGAAATATAGTGTATCAGCTACATTAATTAATATCATTCTTTTCCAAACCAAGAATATTTTGTACTTTTTAATTGCTTTCAGTACCGGCTGTTAAGTATATTTGATGTACTGCTCAGGTAAAGTGAATCCATGGTCAAATTTGGTAGCGCTTGATTTTTTTTGTAAATCCGTGTATTTCGTAAATACATCCCTTTTCGGAGATCTTAATGAAGCGCAGTTCCATCTTGAACGACACGGCCTTTATTCGTAGCCCAAAAAGTAGATACATAATTTATACCAATATCGCAACAATATTACCTACCTCATAACATTGTTATAAACTGGCTTATTCTCAATCCATTTCTTTCGATACCCCAGGAAAATTGTTTTCTCCATGTTTTGAACCCAAAGGGTCAGTTTAATACCTTTTGCAGTCATGATTTTTTGAAATTACATGCAGCATGAACTTTATATAAGCAAATAAACTATTTATTCGGAGAATTGGAGATTCCCCTCTCATATTGTTTCTGCATCTTCCTTTTACTTTGTGGGTGGATTCTCGTCATATAAAAAGACCCTTTCTCTCCCCTTTTATTCTAGTTCGATTACAACTGTCCCTACCCACTACTAAAAAATGCTGGAAAAAGGTTACAAACCATTCGGTCATAATTACACTAGATCAGATATTAGAGAGTATATTAGAGGTTGCTATGCTTGGTTCTTTAGGGAAATTGAATATATAAGACCAGTTCAACAAGAAATGGATTACAAATATACCCTTCTTGAGAGACTCCACCCCGGATTTACTGATGCACTAAAAGCTGCCCTATTTCCTCTTAACCTAAATCTGTTTAACGGTGTAGATGGTTTCCAATTTAAGGAAGGGGAGGCATTGGTTTATTTCTTGGAAGAATTTGTCACAGAAATCTACAAGACATTCTTATCCCATAACAGACAACTGGATTACAAATTAAGTGAACATTTAATCGGCGATTATATGGGATCAATTGAACCACATGATAGCGCGCTACACAAAGCTAACTCCAAACATTCCCATGAACATGGCAAAGGTCATTTCAAGCATGTCCATGATCATAACAGTCACACCAAGCATCCACGGCCACACACTCCCCATCCCCATGAATTCTCGACTCCTGCGCATGGTCAGACCCCTCATACCCATGAACCTTCACCCCTTGCCCATGAAAACAATGATGAGCATTCTCTGCATACCAATGACGACGATAAAAAGTAAATACTGTCTATATAGCAATAAATGAGCTTCTGAGTAAGTAATCTCCTGTGATTCGATCCTAATAAAGGATGTTTCCAACGTTAAATTTGAGAGTTGCTGTCGCTGGACTGTTAACACCTAGAATAAACGCTATCTTCTCATGTGGCTGCTACCAAGTGTCATTCAACTGGAAGCTCGTTGTTGCTACCAAGTGTCTTACTCTTGAAGATTCCTATTCTTGTGATCGTGGTTTAGTGTCTCTCTCTTAACCTTCTTTAGTTCAATAGAGTACCGCTATTGTAAGCCTTAGATTTCGTTACCGTATAATTTCAGGCATGTCAGGGAATTAATCATAACCCAAGGTGATCGCAACTGTTATTTTCTGGAGTGCCATCTCATTGCGAAATTATTTTTTTTTCTTTTTTTTATTTTCACTTATCTTGATTCTATCCATATCAACACAAATCAAGTATAATGACCAGCTCCCAAGAAAAGAGACCACTCGAGTCATCAGAACAAGTAACTTCTGTTGAATCAACCCCAGAAGTGAAAAAACAACACACAGATAACTACCACAAGGGAGTAGCTGCCATCAAGTCGGAATATTTAATCACCTCATCCAATGATATAATTGAAGATTTCTATAATGATGATGAAGCAGAAGGTGGAGATCGTGAACAAGAACAACCACAACAGAAAGGAAGACGTAAGAGAGGACAAAACAAAAAGCGTGATCTTAAGCAAAAGCCAGAAACTTTGAGATTGTGTTCTACTTTATTAGATCCTGAAAATGTTAGAGAATGTTCCTTTGGAGCCGATCAATGTAGAAATACTCATAACGTTGAAGAATATTTGGCTTCTAAGCCTGAGGATATCGATGGTGTCTGTCCTGTTTTCAAGACTATTGGATATTGTCCTACTGGGTTAAAATGTAGATGGTTAAAATCTCATTATGTTAAAGAAACTGGGTTCTTAATCAGAGATGACGAAAGGTTAGAACAAAGCAAGCAAGAGAAGAATTATGAAGTTAATAAGATTGATCCAGAAGCTAAGAATCAATTACGTAAAAAGATTTACAAATTTGAAATCTCAGATCCAGTTATCAAATATTTGGATTCAGTTGTTAAGAATGATGAAAACTTAGCCAGAATGGAAGAAAATAAAAACTCACAAGCGTCATATGTTGAAGCACCTTTCAAAATTGCTGAAAAGAAGAAGATCAACTTACGTAATGCCAAGATTGTATCACCATTAACTACAGTTGGTAATTTGCCATATCGTCGTCTTATGAAAACATTGGGTGCAGATATCACTTATTCTGAAATGGCACTTTCAATTCCTTTAATTCAAGGTAATAATTCAGAATGGGCCTTGCCTAAAGCTCATGCAACTGAATATCCCGGTTTTGGTGTGCAAATTGCTACAGCTAAACATTATTCAGCAGCTAAAGCCGCTGAAACTATATATAAGCATACCAGTCATGTTTCCGAACTTAACTTAAACTGTGGTTGTCCAATTGATTTGTTATATAGACAAGGACAAGGATCTGCGTTATTAGATCAACCAGCAAAATTATTAAGAATCATCAAAGGTATGAATGCAAGTTCTGGTGATATTCCAGTCACTGTTAAAATTAGAACTGGTACTAAGGATGGAAAGAATACTGCCATTAATTTGGTTGAAAGAATTTTAGCGGAAAATGATGTGGCTGCAATTACATTACATGGACGTTCAAGACAACAACGTTATACTAGAGAGGCTGATTGGAATTATATTGGCGAAGTTGGACAAGTTGTTAAGAAATGGAACGAAAAGAAAGAAGATGATAAGGAAGGTACCGATACTCAACCAACATATTTCGTTGGGAATGGGGATGTTTTCACTCATTTAGATTGGTATAATGGCGTTAATACTGACGGAATTGACTCGGTTATGGTTGCAAGAGGGGCACTTATTAAGCCATGGATTTTTGAAGAAGTTGAAGCCCAACAATATTTGGATAAATCAGCTACTGAAAGATTGGAAATTTTAAGGAAATTTGCTGATTTTGCAATTGAACATTGGGGATCTGATGAATATGGTGTTGGTTTAGCTAGAAGATTCATGTGTGAATTCTTGGGTTTTACTCATAGATACATTCCTGTTGGTATCTTGGAAAGATTGCCTCCAAAGATTAATGAAAGACCACCTAAATGGAAAGGTAGAAATGAATTGGAAACCTTATTGGCATCCACTGATTATAAAGATTGGATCAAAATTACTGAAATGTTTTTAGGTAGAGCTGGTGATGATTTCCAATTTACTCCAAAGCATAAGAGTAATTCCTATGAAAGTTAAGGTTTGTATTGTAAAATTTTATAGAAAATATAAATAGACATAAACGTGATTTATATATAAATACTTTATTTAATCTCTTGATTTTAATTTCCCTTTAGAGGCAATCTCTTCATAATCATTCGATAATCCCTTTGCTTGACCTTTTAAGATTTCCAAATCTTCTTCCTTTTCGGCCAATTCCTTCCTTAATCTAGCAACTTCAACATTTTCAGTTTTTGTTTCCTTTAAGTCATCCAATTTATCTTTGGTAACAATCAATTCCGCTACCAATGAGTAAGTTCTAATTAAAATCAAATGAAGGAACAAAGTGAACCCACAAAGATACATATTACGTTGAGCATAGAATCTTCTAGCTTGTACTTCAGACCTTTCATTCATAATTGATGCGCCACCAGCAGTATGAGACACGGTGTTTAATTCAGCAGTGACAGAATAGACACGATTAACAGAGTCAATGAATAAGATAGCAACGAATCCTAGAACACATTTCAATGCAATTTGGAATTGATCATTTCGGAATGGAGCAGATACTGTTGTTAAGACAGCTCTTCTAACTTTTCTTGGATATGGAAGTGAAAGAATGGCAAAAAATGCCATTTCAACGACAAGTAATAAAAACACTAAATTGTAATACAATGCCATGTTGTTGAGTTAATGATAAGTAGATTTGTATATATAAAGAATTAAGTATCAATTGAGGAAGTAGAATAAGAAGAATAAGTGAACAAATAAGTAAAAATGGAAAGTTTTGAAAATTCCAATGGCTGAGACTTAAAATTGTTTGATTTTCGCATCTGAAATTTCTAGGGTGTTACATATTGTTTGTTAACTATTGGAAATATCGCAAAGGTTGCTAAATTGCTAATAAATAAATTAACTAAGTAAGATTCTCTATATAAAACCAAATGAACTGAATAAATATATAAATAAGTAAACAAGTAAAAAAAATTGTATGAAGGAAAAGGGAAGATAACCAAAATCTCTAAAAACCCAAAGATACTTTTAAGGTAAATGTTACCAAAAAGGGTAATGTAATGTACAATATAGCATATTGCCAAATCAAACAAATAGCCAAACAATCCATTTGTAAATGATCATCTGAAGTTGGATCTGTATAAAAAGCAGTAAAATAAACTAATGCTGTAGCATTTGGTAATCCAAACTCTAATACACTTACAAATCTTAATAATTTATCATCACCATACCAACCTGCTTTATAAAATCCAGTAGTTATTCCTACTCCAATGATTGGAATTATAATTAACCTTGATGCAGTCATCATTGCTGCTGTTTTCCAGAATCCTGGTGGCATCTTCTTAACTTGTAATCTAGATATAGTTGCCCCTAATAATGTTAATCCTAATGGAACACATGCTGCACCTATATAACTTGCCAAGTCCATAATGAATGACAATGGAGGTTGTCCATCAGGGGCAGGAGGGATATGAACTCTTGCAGGCACAAATAATGCTTTCAAAGGAGGGGACATGGCAATCGCAATTGATACAACCAATGATACTGACCCGGGGGTCAACAAATTCTTACCCATTTGTTTAAGATACTTCCATGCCTTTTCTTTGAAAGTAGATGGTGCTATATCTGGGGATGTGACGGGTTCAATTCCAACTTCACTAGTCCCGGTTATACAACGTTGCATCTCATGATTCTTTAATGCTTCAAATTCGGAATATTCATTGATGACATCTGTGATATCTTGTGATTTTAACTTTCTTAATTCGGCAGTTCTTGATGGAGTTAACCTTAGACTGTTTGTATCACTGGAGATTGAGAATGCAGACATTGAACCTGCTCTTCTATGAGATGCAGAAGCTGGGGGGGATTGTATTGAACTTCCATTGGATGTTATTTTATCTAATCCTCTTGCTTGAAGGAAAGCACGATGTTGTGCAGTTTCATCATTGGTTGTGGTGGTTGATTCCTGTCTTTTCATTGGCATAGCTGAATCGCTTGCTATCGATTCATCATCATTGGCAACAGCTTCTTCTGGGTAATGAATTTTTGGCACAGTTAAAGTGTTACCCATATGATCATGGTCACTTGTATTACCTGATGACACAGGTGATGCTTTTTCGAATTCATCCGAAGTGTTATTCTCAAGATCACGTTTCTGCAATTCTTCTTTAAAATCCCATTCTATCAAACGATATAAACCTAATGAAAATTGATAAAGAACTTGTGTCATCAAGAAAATACACACATATGCCACCCCTTTACTACCCTCAGCGGCAGGAAAGATCCCTCCTTGTTCGAATGTTTGTAAGTAAGCAATAGGTAAATCCGAAATATTGGGGAAAAGACCCACACTAAGTAATCCACCTAACCATCTTCTAGGAGATTTGGTTACAAAGTAAGTTACTAATGCTGTCATGGCACCAATGGTAAATAATATAGTTCCAGTAAAGAAGATAATTCCAATATTCTTTATATCTGAACTTTTCAAATTCCCCACAATATTTTCAAAAATTAAACAAGGTAACATGGCAGTTACCACTGTATCTGATATATCTCGACATGTTGTTACTGTTAAGATGTTTTTCTTTGCAAGAAAGAATCCTAATGCAATAATGAAATAGATTTTAAAATAACCAAAATGTCTACACATTTAGTGACTAGGATTTGAATCTAGTCTGTACCAACGGGTAAAAAAATAAAATCTAGATGTTTCTGTGATAAGTTATTTAGTAGGACATGTAGTTGAAGACAAGTCTCTGGTTCTCTCTCTATATATATATATCTATTGCGTCTTCGTCTCCTGTTGCTGGAAAAGATCACTTGAAAAAGGAGTCATCAGTAAGTTGTGAGAATTTGTTGGAATCTCGATGTAGACCTGCAAAAGCCTCCTTTTTTTTCAATTGTCTGGTGACTGATATTTTTTTTTTTCTAGAGGTGACCTTTTTCTTTTTGCTTGAAAAATATTAAACAAACGAGCAAAGGCGGATTTATTATTCAATTAGTCCCCCCACGCTTTTGTTCTATATAAATTTAAACATTATTCGGCACAAAAAGGGGGGGAAAGTGGGGGATAACTTTTCCGTTATTTGAGCCTGTTTGTCTAGGCAAATCTTGAGACCAATCCTTGATAGCATTCTTGATCAACGATCATATCTAAGGCTGATTCAAAACACTTCTAGTCGCCTGCGATCTTGAGCAAATGTGTCTTACAGAACGAAATCACTACAGAAAACGCCCAAGCTCGCGCGTTGCAATAAATTGATATTCCATATGTGATAGTTTGATGAAGACATTGGAAAGGGGAATACGCAATAGGAGGTGGTTGTATAATCTTCAGTTCCCCGTATTTGGCATCCAAGAAACGAGATTTTTTTCTAGTACCGAGTAGAGTCCCAAGAATTTCAAAAAGAGATATCACGGTTTACTGCGGATTACTAATTGAAAAGCAAGATCTGATATTCTTGGTATGAATCTCACCCTTTCTTTTGCCATTTCCATTTAAATATTATATTATTAGTCTAGATGCTTTCTACACTTTTACATATTTCACGCAAAGAGAGTTACTTCGACCAAGTTTCGGATCGGCTAAATCCCCGCTATTGACATACTTGATAGTTAACACTTCATCGACATGCTCAATTGAAGCAATTCCAATATCTTCCCATAAATCATCTTCTGGTGGATCATCATTTGTATTATTACTCTCAACTGGTTTTGCGTATGAAAATATTGAATCCACATCTTCCTCTACATCCATTGATGTCTGATAACTATTATATGACTTTGGTGATGGCTCATATTCTTTATTATTTGTATCACGTGATGACAACGACCGACACATTAACAGGGACGTTCCATTTGACGATTGACTGAAGCTTAGTAACCGTTTTGATGACCTTGTTGGTATTAGTGAGCCTACCAGCGATTGTATACTTAATCGGCACGAACGTCTTCCCATCTGCTGGGATAACTCTTCCAATGATTGTATACTTAATCGGGACAAACGTCTTTCCATCTGCTGGGATAACTCTTCCAATGGTTGTATACTTATTCGGGACAAACGTCTTTCCATCTGCTGGGATAACTCTTCCAATGGTTGTATACTTATTCGGGACAAACGTCTTTCCATCTGCTGGGATAACTCTTCCAATGGTTGTATACTTATTCGGGACAAACGTCTTTCCATCTGCTGGGATAACTCTTCCAATGGTTGTATACTTATTCGGGACAAACGTCTTTCCATCTGCTGGGATAACTCTTCCAATGGTTGTATACTTATTCGTGACAAACCAATTTCCATCTGCTGAGATTGGAGAACGTTTAGAATCCTTAACGATTCTTCTGAATGATTCTCGATTGCTTCCAACAAGCGATCTAATTCTTCGATGTAGATCTTGTAATTTTCAAAAATACTCATTTTGCTCTCACTGGGGGCTAACTGGGTCGCTGCTTCTGGTAAATCTGTGTTCATGATTGTTTGTAGTTAATAGGTGTAGGTTAATTGGATCTGATTCTGTATTTGCAAACAAACGAGGTTGTATATATATGTAGCGAAGATATATCTTGTTATTGATGATAGAAATCCATGATAATAAGAGAAAAATAGGGTTTATGGCTGCGATTTTACTAAATTCAAAGAAAGTTTAATAATATTTCGATACAAATATGAATCTTATTTGAAATTACAAACAGCAATGATAACCTAAATGTGTTTTGATTTATATTCTTAATGAATAAAATTGGAAACTCAAATATATAATTACTGTGAAACATTCAATTACAATTTGGAAACAATCTTGCAACCAAATCAAAACGGAAACAATGACAAGAAAAATATTCGAAGTAAAAAAATAAATTCTTCGTTTAAGAAAGTGCTTGACACTGCCAAATTAGGAAATCATATCTCTCTTATTACTGTACATAGAAATATTCCAATACCTTGCTTTACACAAAGTACTACTCATTCATAAGTGGTATAGAATAAATATTCACAAGCGGTTTTCTTGCAATTCTAAAGGGAATGATATGTTGGTTAAGTAAATTGAGTTGCGTATCATTGAATTCTGTGCTTCTGCCACTTGCCTATTTGTAAACAGGTTTTACATGTATGTAGAAAAAAGCAGGTACACCAGGTAATTAATTGCTACTCAACCACTTTATACATTCCAGATAGAGATCGTAAAATATTGCCAAATCGGTAATGATAGTGAAGGTGGCAAATTGAAACCTTTATTTCAATGAAGTTGTATCTGCCAAATCTCTAAGTTTCCCCCCCTGGATCTTCATGGTTCTTAAAATTCGGTAATTAAGTTAAGCTATTTTGTCGCTAAGAGGATTCAAACGGTTTTGGCTCAATCAAAAAAATGGGTAACGGTTTACGTTTGCTCTAACAAGTCTCTTTATTCTATTTCAACGAAGATTTCTTTAAGGTTAAATGTAATTTCATTGATAAATTTTAAGATATGACTCTGGTTAAATATGTCCTGTTGTTCTATTGTGGGTCATGTTTTGAATTTGCTCATTATTTGCCATGGAGTTCCTTAAAGAAAAATAATTTTTGCAGCCATTATAGTAAACCAGAAACTATAAGCGATAAGATTAAATATGAGTAGTAAAGAAGACTAGTTCTGGTGATCAACAAAAATTAAGCTTTGCAAATTGGTTATAAACCCACTAATCATCTCTTTCAAGAAGTAAAATAGGTCTTTTCAAGCTGAGAAAGTTTGTGATGTCATTTCGAACGTTGTAGATCTAGTCAGCAATTGTTCGAAAAAGTTTTGGGATCATATGGTAGCTCTGTCTTCTTGAAACTGTGGCAATACAGCTACTGATTAAAGTACAATGTATCAATTGCACTTTACTACTTGTTTTTAATTTTGAACAAGGAATGGTACAAGATTCTCTCTTATTATTGCTAGCTTTCAATCGATTACTTATAGTGAAGTATCGCCTGAATGATTCGACTGTAACTCTACTTCTGCAAGGAAAAATTTCCATTCTAACTAAGTTTACCCAGTTGAGAACCTGTTCTCAAACCATCATAGATTTTTGCTTTATTGTCAAGGAAATAGGTAGTATCTTAAAAGAAAGGATAATTTACAAGTTTAGAGACTAATTGCTCGAACAAATTTTTATTATTTAATATACTTTAAAACATACAATTAATATAACAAATGTAAATATGATAAATACATCGAAAAATATGGAAGTATCCAGTCCTATCAGTTTTTAATGAATTAAATTAAAGCACACAAAATTAGAAAACTGATACTAATAAGACCTTCTTGTGATGGAGCAGAATTTTGCAAGTCCACTGTATAATCTTGGTAAAAAACACTAGACAGGGTTGAAGAGACGACAGTCTGTAATGTGGTGGGTTTAGCAGTATTCGATATTCCGTTGAGCTTATGGATTGTTGTACTTTCATTTGAGTCGTCAACTTCTTTAAAATAGGTTTCAGTAACACCATCCAAGTTGTCATCACCGTTGTCGACATCGACATGAGAGTTTGAATCACCACTGGAATGTTGTTCCCCATTGGCCCCATGATGATTGGCAATAGTTTCCCCGGATCTATTCAGACTATCTGAGGACTTTGACTCTTGAATAGCCGTCGTGGTTGATCTATTCAGAATATCTGACGACTTTGACTCTTGAATAGCCATCGTGGTTGATTTATTATCAATACTGCTGGGTGTATCAGTAGTTACTGCCATTGTCTTGGTGATTTTGACGGTTTCTTCACCCTCAATACTGACAGGATTCTCATTTTTTGTGGATGCTGAAGATTCAATACTAACTGGTGTTGGTTCCTCAACGTGTAGACAGTACTAAGGTCGAAATCATCGTGGTCTACTCCATAATAGAACGGAATTGCGTTCATTGTCAGACTGAGCTTGTTTATCTTTATTGTCAGAACTCTCCAGTTTGGAATCAACACCATTGGCCATATTCACATCCGAAGCTATGTTGCTTCCATCTATTTTAGCTAGAGCTTCCAATGAGTATAGCTGATTCAAATAGCCTTCATCATATTCCTGAATAGGTGGGACAAGGTTTGATGATTCGCCCTTGGGTACATCAGATGAAAAACCATTACTAACATTTCCGCTTTCTACCGTATCTTCAGTTGAATCGCCAGAAGATTTTGGGCCAGTTTGATAACCAGAAATTTTAGATGAAGCTTGATTTGAAGGGTTGCTATCAGATTCATCTGCTTTGGGAAGTTCAATTTGGGACACATGTTCATTGGAAGAATTGGTTTCCGATAAATCACTAGCTTTCGATTTTGTAACTTGTTCCGATGATACAGCATTTAAAGAATCAGCTTCCTGTTTCAGTACATTGTGCTTTTCATCTTCCATCTCACTCTCCCCTATATTTATATCTAAAGAAGTCTCAGAATGACCACTCTCGTTAGATGCATCTCCCAAACTCTCTTGGAATTCCATTTCAAACTTCTCAGTAACTTCACTAGGTTGAGGTTGGCTGAGATCTTCACCAGCAGGAGCAAGTTCATCGATACCATCACCACTATCAAGAGAATCATCATCACCGACACCATCACTAGAAGATTCACCACCACTGGAAGATGCTCCACCATTAGAAGATTCACCACCATTAGAAGATGCACCATCACTAGACGATTGACCAGGAGCTTCACCACCATTAGGAGCTTCATCACCATTAGAAGATTCACCACCATTAGCAGCTTCACCACCATTAGAAGATTCACCACCATTAGCAGCTTTACCGCCATTAGGAGATTCGCCACTATTTGAAGATTCACCACCATTAGGAGCTTCACCACCATTAGAAGATTCACCACCATTATGAGCTTCACCACCATTAGGAGATTCACCACCATTAGGAGAGCCGCCATTAGAAGATTCACCACTATTAGAAGATTCACCACCATTAGGAGATTCACCACCATTAGAAGATTCACCATCACTAGGAGATTCACCACTATTAGGAGATTCACCACCATTAGGAGCTTCACCACTATTAGAAGATTCACCACCATTAGGAGATTCACCACTATTAGGAGATTCACCACTATTAGGAGATTCACCACCATTAGAAGATTCACCACCATTAGAAGATTCACCACTATTAGAAGATTCACCACTATTGGAAGATTCACCACCATTAGGAGATTCACCGCCATTAGAAGATTCACCACTATTAGGAGATTCACCACTATTAGGAGATTCACCACCATTAGGAGATTCACCGCCATTAGGAGATTCACCACTATTAGGAGCTTCACCACCTTTAGGAGCTTCACCATCACTAGGAGATTCACCACTATTAGGAGATTCACCATCATTAGGAGATTCACCACCATTAGGAGATTCACCACTATTAGGAGCTTCACCATCATTAGCAGCTTCACCACTATTAGGAGATTCACCACCATTAGGAGATTCACCACCATTAGAAGATTCACCACTATTAGAAGATTCACCACCATTAGAAGATTTACCACTATTAGGAGATTCACCGCCATTAAAAGATTCACCACTATTAGGAGATTCACCACCATTAGGAGATTCACCGCCATTAGAAGATTCACCACCATTAAAAGATTCACCACCATTAGAAGATTCACCGCCATTAGAAGATTCACCACTATTAGGAGATTCACCACCATTAGAAGATTCACCACCATTAGGAGCTTCACCACCATTAAAAGATTTACCACTATTAGGAGATTCACCGCCATTAAAAGATTCACCACTATTAGGAGATTCACCACCATTAGGAGATTCACCGCCATTAGAAGATTCACCACTATTAGGAGCTTCACCACCATCAGAAGATTCAACACCATTAGGAGCTTCACCACCATTAGGAGCTTCACCACTATTAGGAGATTCACCACCATTAGAAGATTCACCATCATTAAAAGATTCACCACTATTAGGAGATTCACCACCATTAGGAGCTTCACCACCATTAGAAGATTCACCACCATTAGGAGATTCACCACCATTAGGAGATTCACCACCATTAGGAGATTCACCACTATTAGGAGCTTCACCACTATTAGAAGATTCACCGCCATTAGAAGATTCACCACCATTAGAAGATTCACCACCATTAGGAGATTCACCACCATTAGGAGATTCACCGCCATTAGAAGATTCACTACCATTAGGAGCTTCACCACTATTAGGAGATTCACCACCATCAGAAGATTCACCACCATTAGGAGCTTCACCGCCATTAGAAGATTCACCACCATTAGGAGATTCACCGCCATTAGAAGATTCACCATCACTAGGAGAGTCAATTGGACTTCCAATTCCAGGTACATTGACTCCATTCGAAATAGCAAAATGATCACTTATAAGCCCGAGGTCATTATTGATCTCCTGATTTTCATTTTCGGTTTCTTCCGTCCCCCCCTGTGGAAGTTCGTCGGGAATTTCTTCAATGAGTGGAAATGCATTAAAATCAAAAGTGGGGTTGGGCAGGGAAGATGTGCCCCCTACACCAGGCAAATTTACACCCCCCCAAACAGGTGTACTACCACCTAATAAATCAAAAGAAGAACCAGAATTAATGGTGGGACCTTGGGAAATGACTAAACCATTATCTGCTGGTAAAAAAGCACGTTTGTCAAGAATATCATCTTTATCTTGGATATTAGCAAAATCAATTATCACCGGTAAGCAAAAAATGAAATGAATTAAAGCAAAAAGTAATAAGAATATTGGACGCATTTTATTTTTGGAAATTGTTTATAGTATTGGAGTAATAATAATAAATAGAAGTAGAATTTTTGAAACTTCCAAATTCAACGAGGAATACCCTCTTTATATATATTATATATTTCACCCATATAAATTGATATTGGTCAAAGTTTGATTGCAAAAAATTAAAAACCTCAAGAAAAAAAAAAACCAGGAAAATTATTTTTTTAAGGGAAGTTCCGGGAAATTGGATTTACAATTAAAATATTTTTTTCAATGTAATGGAAATGTGTCATCATGTTTTCTAGAAATATTGTAACCAACTGATATATTTCTCTTTGTAATTGATGATGATTTGGAAACGTTACCACCAAAAAAAATACCTAATTACTTTAAAAATGTAATTGTCAAATTCAACTGTGTTGTAGAAATGAATGCGATCAAAATTAAATTAGCCATGTTAGGAACCTCCCCCCACCACCCCAAAGAAAATTGTGGTAAATAATCTTACCTTATTAACTGATTAAAAGTCTATTCATTAGAAACAGAACAAAACTTAATCATGTGTGATAATAAATTTGTATTAATTGTTTTTTAGGAACTACTACCTGGTTTTCCGGGTGTGTTAAAAAAGTTTTGCCAAAGTCCAAGGTGCAAGAAATTCAACACTTTACGTAAATAGAAACTAATTGGGTGGGTGGGGCAACGTCTCCAACTGCCAAGCAATCGTGTTACTTCAAACAAAATCAAAAATCCTCCAATAGTTAAGTGGAAAATACTTCCGCCGGTGTCTCTTCATTTATACATTGACTATTCAGAGAGAATATGCTTTAAAAAAAATGTGTTAATCAGGGTTAAGTATTTCTGCTTGAAACAATAGTCTTGTCATTAGATTGAAAATTTCCTCTATCTCTACAAGGATTGTTTTTGGCTTTGGCTTGTGTGATAGGATTGAAGTTATGACAGACACCTTGTTGGGAATCTTAGCATTATACGTCCCGGTTAATAAGTTTTGGAGAGTGGGTATTCAGAAATGTTGGTTCATGGTTTCATGCCAAGAGTATTTATTTTTTTTAAACAATCATAATGCAAATCTGGTGAATGTAACCAAAAAAAAACAGTGATTCTATTTAATTATTCCTTTGTTGTGTTGTAACCGAATATTTTGCAACTTTCGGAGTTGCCCTGACACTTCCGAAGAACAAGAAACCATTAGGATGAAATGGCCTGTTACCCAACAATTCGCATCAGGCAATTACCAATGGCCACTCTCTACACATGACCACCAAACACCAGAAATCCTTGTTCCTTCTGCAACAATCCTCAAGGAGACAATCTCATTTCATCACACATCAGAATGTCCATCATCGTTAGAATTATGGCACAGCAAGTCCCAAAAAAAAAACAAAGCGCGGTATCTTTTCGGTAATAAATCTAAGAAAGAAGGGTTTTTTATTAATTATTAGTTAATTTTCCCTTTGTTCCCTTTAAACATGTACAAGAAATTTGATATAATATGTATCTGTACAGTATACTATCCAAAAAAAAGATGTATGTGTATCATAATGAAAATCTGGTGATACAACCTTCCAAGAAAAGAAAAATTGTAAAATAATATTTTATTTTTTACATGTAACCGAACATTTTGTATTAGTTTGGAGTTGTGTGCCCAAAGAGCAAGAAACCATTAGGAAGCATCAGGGTCTGTTAGCAACAATTCGCCTTAGGCCAATTATCAATGGCCACTCTACATAGGACCACCAAACATCAGAAATCCTTTCTCCTTCTGCAACAAACCTCAAGGAGACAATCTCATTCATCACACATGTCCGAATACAAAGAGATCCGCCTTTGTGGTATTTCCTACACTGCCAAGAACACGACAAATATTATCAGGCCGTGGGTTGTTGACAATAAGGGAATCAATCAAGGGAATATTGATCATCATCTTCTACTTTCGCGTATTTGCGTACCATTGAAATACACTTATTCAGAAAGAATGGGTCACACCATGGTGAACACAGACACGGAGAAAAGAGTGACATTATACAATTAATTTTACTATTAATACATAAACATTGAAGTTAATCAGATACTAATTCTTTGCCTTCTTCTTAGGAGGTCTATCATCCTTCTCAGCTTCATCATTCATCTCTTCATCAGATGATACGGCCGCATCAGAATCGAATTCTTCTGCAACATCAGAGTCTGATCCTGATTGGAAATCATCATCAGCACTTTCTTCATCTTCTTCTCCTGCACTTCCCATATCCACATCACTATCATCCTCGTCATCGGCACCTTCTTTCATTGCTTTGGCTAACATTGCCTTTGCGATTTTTTCTTCATTTCTGACTCTAATTCCCTTTTCATTACAGAATCTTTCAATAGTTTCTTGCTCTTCTCTATCAATACTTCCGAAGATATGAGATTGATTTGATCCTCTGACGTTAATTTCCAAATCGAAAGTTCTCGATGCAGAAACACCACCTCCTGTTCTTGACATTGTAACATTGCTGATTTCCACAAATGGAATATAAATGGTTGGTTTGGTTACAAATAAGAAACATCTATCCAATGGATATAAATAACCTTCGGATGCCTTTAAAGAACATGATATACCAGGTTGTAAGAATCTAGATTGGAATGATCCAGGGGTAACTAATTTTCTTTCAGTTAATCCTCTAAAACAATGAGACATTACAACATGAGTTGGTGCATCATAACTCTTTTTCAATCTATCTTTATATTTAGCATCAAATTCTTGTTCATCTAGGTTCAATTCCAATTCAGTTTCTTCTTCTCTTGCAACTTGAAGGACCAAAAATGGATATCTAGTTTGACCTTGTCTTAAAGGAGGATCAATTTGTAAAATTAATAAGTGATGTACTTCATCCGGTTTAGGTAAAGAAAATATTCTTTCGATTTGTTCATATTGGATCTTATAATCATAGGTTTTACCTCTTAATCTCAATGAGGTTGGATACATGTCGATATCATAACGACCTCTTGGAGTTAAGAATAATACATCACTGAATGAAACAATGGCTTCACCTGCCACTTGGCCAATATCCGCCTTATCTTTTAATTGTTCATAAAATACTTGAGCAGCACTAATTTCATTGGTTTCAGTAGTTTCTTCTTCAACTTCCGTTGGTTTTTCTTCACCTTCTTTGGCTTCTACTTTAACTTTCTTAGTTACTTTAGTTTCATTTTCAACTGTTCCTGGAACATAAAATCTCATTTCAACAACTTCATCCCCTGCTTTACTAACCCCGCCATCTAAATTAAATTCAATAGCAACTTCATTCTTACCAGTTAAATTCGAATTAGTAATATATTCATAAGGAATTTCAAATGCGGGTTTATTATTCACATTAAATACCAATTCATTTCTAGCCAAATCAGTCTTCCCCCAATTCCAACCTCTTAAAGAATGTTCTTTATGTTCTAAAGTTAATTGAAAATTCCTCATTAATTCTTGTTTTAATTGGGTAAAATCATCAACATCAAATCCATCCAACATCACAACACCTTTATTCCTAGTTTGTACTCTTAATTCATATCCTTTGGAGCCTCTTGACCACAGAGCAGTTAAAATTTCTTCTGATGGCAAAAGAAATGGGGCATTGGCTTTGGAAGAATTTGCATTACTTCCTCCGGGTGGATTATTAGCTTTCCAACCTAATCCAGAGTCAGCTATACGCATTCGACCAGCTAATCTATTTTGATTTAAGTAAATTTTCTCAAAGTCTGTGTTAACCATGATGATTGTTTGATTCTATTTTAAAGGGAAAATATACGATGATGGTTTGATTGTTTTTTTAAAATGATGTGAAGCAATGGAAGAGGTTTTTCGTTGATGATGATTTTCTAACGCGTCGGTATGCGACATTTGTGGGTGGAGATATTTTATAAATGTCGTATGTCCCAGAAACCTACTCACTGTCATGAACCAAGGTTTATAACAAATAGTCGATCAAGGGAACATAGTTCATTTAAGTTTCTGAGCTCTGCTTAGATGGACCTGTCCATCCATTTATTGATTTTGTACTTTCAAAGTGCAACCTTTGTGAAAGTGACTATATAAGTATGATTGGTTGTAAATTATGAGACTTTCAAAAAGGTTAATTTAAATTTCCTTTCTCATATTTGGCATTAAATAAAATTCAAGGCATTGCTCAAAAGAGTCTATCAATAGATGCAGAGAATCAATATAACTTGTAAAGATGAAGTAGTCGAATTTTTTCCAAACTTGAATAGTTTCTTTGAAATTTTTACCAAAAAAAGAGTATACTAACTGAAATGGTCCAACAGTAGGATACATATGGATTCTAACAAGATATTCTAACTAGGATAACCATATAAACAGACCGTTGATAATCTCAATCCCTCCATAGAATGTTGAATTTATTTTGAATAAGAAAAGTTGAAGAATCTTAATTTCCACCAAAATTTTTTTTGCAACCAACCACCAAAAAAATAAGTCACGCGTAAATCATGCATTTGTCATGTGACCAAATTTGAGAGTGACTTGAAATTCGGATGCCCTCTCTTAAGGATTAACCAAAGAGAATAGTATAACATTTGATTTACAATTTAGTTGGAGACATACTTACTTATGTCCAAGAAAAGAGAACCTTGTAAGCATAGGTTGGTGTTGGTATTGTTTTCTCACCAACATTCAAATAATTCGGAAGAGGCGCCGTTTCAGGAGAATTTTTCATCTTTTTTGTGTAATTTCTTTTTTTCCAATCTAATTCAAAGTGAGTCAACTTCAATTTTACAGTCTGATGACAATTAAATCAAAAAAATTCTTTCAACTTTCTTCTTTTACTATCTACATATAAATAGTATACAAACGAAGATAAACAATGGCACTTAAGAAAGCAGGTGTTTTAGGAGCTACTGGTTCAGTTGGTCAAAGATTCATCTTATTATTATCTCAACATCCAGAATTTGAAATTCATGCCTTGGGAGCATCACCACGTTCTGCTGGGAAACAATATAAGGATGCAGTTACTTGGAAACAAACTGAATTATTACCAGAATCAGCCCAATCTGTTATTGTTCAAGAATGTAAACCAGAAGGAGCATTCCAAGAATGTGATATTGTATTTTCTGGATTAGATGCTGATTATGCTGGAGAAATCGAAAAAGCATTTGTTGAAGCTGGACTTGCAGTTGTTTCTAATGCTAAGAACTATAGAAGAGAACCAACTGTTCCCTTAGTCGTTCCAATTGTCAATCCTGAACATATTGATGTTGTTGAAAAGAAACTTAACGATGCTAAAGCAGCTGGTGAAAAGAAACCCGGGTTTATCATTTGTATTTCCAATTGTTCAACTGCTGGTTTGGTTGCACCTTTAAAACCTTTGGTTGAAGCCTTTGGTCCAATTGATGCTTTGACTGCCACCACTTTACAAGCTATTTCTGGGGCCGGATTTTCTCCTGGTGTTTCAGGTATGGATATTTTGGATAATATTGTTCCATATATTGGTGGAGAAGAAGATAAATTGGAATGGGAAACCAAAAAGATTTTAGGTGGTGTTAATGTTGCTGGTACTGAATTCACCCCAATTCCAGATTCAGATATGAAAGTAAGTGCTCAATGTAATAGAGTTCCAGTCATTGATGGTCATACTGAATGTATTTCTCTTAGATTTGCCAATAGACCACCACCATCTGTTGAACAAGTTAAGAAAGCTTTATCCGATTATCAATGTACTGCTAGTAAATTAGGATGTCATTCTGCTCCAAAACAAACCATTCATGTATTGGAACAACAAGATAGACCACAACCTAGATTAGATAGAGAAAGAGATAGAGGATATGCTGTATCTGTTGGTAGAGTCAGAGAAGATCCTGTTTTGGATTTCAAGATGGTTGTCTTGTCTCATAATACCATTATTGGTGCTGCTGGTGCAGGTATTTTAATTGCTGAAATCCTTAAAGCAATCTTGTAGTAAATCTATCTCTAACCAAATAAATCATTTGTATCATCAATGTATCATATATAGAATTTTAATGTTGTAGACAATATTTTTCAGAATTTTCGCAATTTATAAAATAATTTTTGTTTGAGAATCTTGATATCTCATCAGGTAAAAGTTGAAGGGATTCCCAATGACCGATTGGGTAAGTATTACAGATCAATTTGAAAGAGTTGATGAATACGAGATAGATGATCATCTTTTTGAATTGTATTCAGAAAGATCACCTCCTGATAATTTGGGGTTTGTGAATCGAAGTTCGAATACTATCACCATAACATTACCTCAAAGTAATCTAGATCTTACAATTAAACAATCACTTTCAGAATTATCTTCTAGTAAAGAAAGTTCTTCAACAGGATTTATATGTTGGCAATCTTCAGTATATTTTGTAGATTGGCTCCTATCCCAAAAAGAGTGTCCTTTTGCCAAAATATTCCAATCAAAGAATGATAGAGTTATAGTAGAACTTGGTGCTGGTGTTGCTGGTATTTGCGCATCGCTATTATCCTCCAATGTTTCAAGATATATTGCTACTGATCAGAAACATATCTTGAAATTATTGAAAGAAAATATTGAATCTAATATAAGTACTTCTAAATATAAAAGTTCGACATTAGATGCTCCTCCTGTGTCAAGGAGTGGTGGTGGTGGTAGTAATAGTATCGCATCGATCCCAATTGTAGATGTCTTAGAGTTTGATTGGGAAGATATAGATCAAGGATTATACAATTACAATCAACTTATTCAAGGCAATAAGAAGCCAGATATACTTATTGCTTGTGATACAATCTATAACGAATATTTGATTCCTCATTTCCTTAATGGTTTACGATCATTATTGAATAAAAATTCAATTGCTTTAGTTGTATTACAATTAAGAGATTCAATAACATTAGAAACATTTGTTAAAGAGATTGTTATTCAACAGAAGTTGAAATTGTATTCAATTCCATTACAAATGTTAAGTCATTCATTACAATCTGGATTTGTAATTTATTGTATAACTTTATAGTTTCTTCTTTACTCATTCTTAATCCATAGTTAAATGATATTCCCTCCCTCTTTTACAACAACAACAGCCATCCAGAGGAAAAAAATTGACAGCCATAAAAAAAAATATAAAATATAAAATGAAACATAACTTACTTTCTTTCTTTCATCAACTGTACTTCCATTTGTCATCATTCTTCAGAAAAGACCAATCCCATCATTTCAAATACTTTTTATAATTGACTTAGGATTTATGCATTTAGTTTGAAAACTAAAGAACATAATATTATTTTAATTTTAGTGGTTTTATAGTTTTCACTAGTAATGTCAGCTTTTGCAAGCTCTGCATTCAACGTACCCAATGGTATGGCAAATAACAATAGGAAGCAACAATTCAATAGCAGTAACATCAACAACAACAACATCAACGAGAACACTTACAGTAACCCCCGAAGGAGTGGAACAAGAAAGACGTTTAATAAACCCAATGGATTGGCTACTAGCAATTCCAATGGAAAACCAGAACAACGATCCAAAAATGTACTGAAACGATTCAATACCAATAATGACGACTCATCTGCATCTTCATTTGTTGACCCATTAGATAGGCCGACAAAGGTAATACCAAGGAAAAATCCAGGAAAACTACAGTCTTATACTCAAGAACAAATTGATTTAATTGGGCCATTATTCCCTCTGCCTGAACAATTTGGATTTCAAAACACTGGCAAAGTAATAAAACCAAGACCAATACCTAAATATTTACTCCCCCAAGCAAGACTATTATATACTCCACCATTTCAACAAAATCAATGGGATAAAGAAAATCAAGAAAAAATGGCACAAATGGAAGCAGCCAATGCTGGAAGAGATTATCAAGGATTATATGAACAATTCCAAAAACTTCGAGATATAGAAAGAAAGAAAATGGAAGAATTAGGATTAGTGGATGCAGAAAATATCGCCAAGGATTTAAATGATGCCATTACGTTTCAAGGATCTTGTTTAGATATGTGTCCGGTATTTGAACGAGTGAGGAGACAATTGGAAAATAATGTTAAAGCACTTGAAAAAGACCCAGTTACAAATAAGATATCCAAAGAACGAGCGATAAAAGCGTTTTCTAGACCTGCTGCTGGACAGCCTCCTCCATTACCTTCAGAAGTTAGACCACCTCATATATTAAAGTATACATTAGATTTTTTAGTCGAGAATATTCTTGGACAATTACCGGAAGCTCATTCATTTATATGGGATAGAACTAGATCAATTAGACAAGATTTTACCTATCAGAATAGTTTTGGACCTGAAGCGATAGATTGTAATGAAAGAATTGTTAGAATTCACTTACTTTCCTTACATATTATGGCGGGGAGTGAAATTGAATATTCACAACAACAAGAATTAGAACAATTTAATAAAGCCCTTCAAACGTTAATGGAAATTTATCAAGATGTTAGAAATAATGGTGGGAAATGTCCTAATGAAGCAGAATTTAGAGCATATCATTTATTAAGTCATTTACGAGATCCTGAATTAGAACGAGAAATTCAAAATTTACCAAATGTAATCTTTCAAGATCCAAAAGTTCAATTGGCATTAAAATTACGTAGTATAATATCTCAAAATAATATTGTGGAAAGAGGATTTATCAATACTGTGGGGGCACTTAATTTATTTGTCGAATTTTTCAGAATTGTATATAGTGAAGAAACTCCATTTTTGATGGCATGTTTGTTAGAAACTCATTTTAATGAAATTAGATTCTATGCTTTGAAATCAATGGCTAGAAGTTATCATACTAAGGGAAGACCATATGCTGCTGAAAGTTTAGCTGAAATTCTCGGATTTGATTCAATTGAAAAATTAATTAAATTTGTAAAATATTATGAAATTGATATTATTAATGAACATGGGGTATTATATGTGGATTTATTTAATAAAGAAAAATTGGAATCGGTTTATAAATTGAATTCATATAATGAAAAACCTAAATTATCCCCACCATATTCCACACAATTGGATGTTAAAATACAGGGACAAACATTGAAATCATTTGTTAATAGTGGTCTTCCTAATATATCTTTGAATTTGAGAGATCAACCTAAAATTATCACTCAAGAAATGATTGAAAAGACTATTAAGCAACCCATTAGAGCTTTTGTTCAGCCAACCAAACCACCAACAGCAACTGGGATTTTCAATCAACAACAGAATATTAAACCACAACCAGTATTTCTGTCATTGACTTCGGCGGGACAGGGAATTAAGCCGAATACAATCTCATTTGGGACATCTATGCCGACGAGTAAACCTTCACTCCAACCTACACAAATCAAATTTGGAACGAAACCAGTTGAAACGCCTACATTTGGGTTTCAACCCCCAGCAGCTACTACAATTGCTAACAATATTCCTCAACAAACTAACAAAGCCATGTTTGCGACTCCACCCACGACCACTTCTGCAACATTTCCAACGGGCGGAAGTTCTTTTGGCAAACCTGCTCAGATCAGTTCAGTTCCAAAATTCGGTTCTCAACAAGCAAATATACCAAAAATTGATTTTTCATTCAGTAAACCACCAGAAGCAGTGGCAGCTCCACCAAAGCCAACCTTAGAGATAAAGCTGACAATTCCTTCATTTGCACCTCCTCCTGTTGGCATCAAACCATCTGAGGTCGCAAAGCCAATCATCCCATCATTTGCTCCACCACCACAACCCACGAAATTGGTATTTAAACCTAAGGAGAATGTCACGGTAGTGCCTACAATTAAAGTACAAGCTCCGACTCCGGTACCCAAATACCTTTCAGATTCTCCATATTTCAATCAAGCTATTAAAGAAACATTTTCGGAGATTTTACAAGATACGATCAATACGGAATTACGAATCGTACTTTCGAAAACGATTCGGAATCATTCGATCCAAACTGAAAGACTGAGGATTATTCAAGCGTTATCTGGAGAATTATATGATGCATTCTTATCAGAAGTGATTTATGAAACTACGATGACTGCAAAAGCGGTGGCATTTGATGAATTAAGATTGAAGAAAAAAGTTATTGGCCAATTGAAGAATTGTGCTTCGAAATTGATTAAGAAACGAAAACAGAAGAAACAAACTTTGGATGAATTGAGTTCGGTTTCATTTTCGAATAAATTGAAGAGACGTCATTCAATTAATAATAATAGTAGTAATGAATCGAATATTAGTAATATATCGATTCTGAAACGAAGACATGTGGATGCGGAGACTTCATTTATGGCAATTGAAGAAAGACAACAACAAATCCAACAATTATGGGCTCCGATTGATCTTAAGCACTTCTTATCTATTTGTGCAACTCATGATTTGAAGAAGAACAATGATGATGAGGTAATAGATTTGAAGTTTTTATTGGTGGTTGAGAATTGGAATAGTGTATATTCAAAATGGTTAAATTCTAAATTACAATTAAAACCAAATTTAAAAGAAATGATTTATGAAAATCATATTAATAATATGAAAATAAATCTTAATTTAACAAGTTTACCAAGCAAGGATTATTTAAATAAGGATTTCTTTTCTGATGCTGCATTTGTTTTATTTGAATGTGGATTAACAATGATGAAGGAAGAGAATGGGGGTGGTGAAGGATCACAATCAATTGAGAAGAAATTGACAAGAGATAAGGGTATACTCAAGAAAATCGTCTCATTAGCTGATAAATATGGATATTATAAGGTTCATGTATTGATTTTATTTTGGGATATAAGTGAATCAGGAATTTCAAGTGAACAAGTTTCAGAACTTTTAGATTTAAAAAGTTATATTACATGTACTAATTTGAAAAATTTGATATTATGTGATATGACACTTAAAGATGGGAATACTGGTTCAGTTATTTCAAGAGCATTTGACAAGATTTCTCGTGATTTTGATGGAGAATTGACACCAAGGGGGTTGAAGAAGATGGCCAAATCATCGCAACTCATAACTACTAAAGCAACAGAGGAATCAACCCCTGTTGAGAGTGGTACCGAAAACACTACAGTTCTAGAGCAGTATGAATCAAAATTACTTTCAAAAGCAAAGAAGTTGAGGAAATATGAGTATTTGAATAAGCATATGAATGCTGTTAGTCAACCAAGGAGACAACATAATCCACATCATCAAGCAAATACTTCGTTTAACAATAATAATACCAGTGCTATTATAAGTGCCCATAATAAATCACTTTTACCATATTTAGCTACGAGGAATAGAACCATGAATCATACCAACAATTCAACATTTCTTAATTTCAATAATACTACTACAACCATGAATAATAATACGATTGGGAATGAAACTTCAATATTGCGTGGGTTTGGTCAAGGTATGATAGCAGAGAGTACCCCATCTGGATCTCCCACGAATAGATCTAGAGTTGTTGATAGAGTTGGTAAACCTTCATTAACTACAAGTTTAAGTCAATTAAGAGAATTAACTGCTGGTGTTAAGAAAAAGTATCCAAATAAGAAGTAAAGGTTGTAAGATGTATGTATAAAATGGTAGTGATAATTTATTTTATAGAAATGTTAATATATTCGTAATGATCTTTTATAAGTTTACCGGCTGTAGTTCTTCTATAGTGTCTTAATCATTCTCTTTATCAACCCTCTCTTTTTGTATGTGCCTGTATATAATAAACCATTGGTTAATTTGATTGATAACCAAATTTGGTAGTTCCCAGATTTCTTTTTTTTTTTCGTTGAACTTTAAATCTTTCAGCTCCCATTTCAAAATACGTCACCATCAAACAGACGAATTAGAAACCAGATAGCATTTTACAAAACAGTTAGGATACAATGGATCTTCTTAAGGATGCAGCAAAGAACTTAAACCTTTATGAGGTTAAGGCTTATGTTCGTAAAGCCCAAAATGGTATGTCCACTTTGTGATTATGATAAAAGAAACCACCGGAATCATTCGGCAAACTTATCAATTTTTGATCTTGTACTAACGAAATGAATCTCTTAGTTGCAATGAATTTAACTGAAATGGAAGCCAAAGTGCGTGAAGCAACTAATAATGAACCATGGGGAGCACCAACTTCATTAATGCAACAAATTGCTGCTGGTACTTATAATTATCGAGAAAGAGAAGAAATCATTGGATTTATCTTTCGTCGATTTACTGAAAAAGCAGCTAATGAATGGAGACAAATCTATAAATCATTACAATTATTGGATTATTTGATTAAGAATGGTGCTGAACGAATTATTGATGATATACGTGCCAATATGTCATTAATTCAAATGTTGAAATCTTTCCATTATATAGATTCAAAGGGAAGAGATCAAGGTATAAATGTTAGAAATAGAGCCAAAAATTTAATTGGATTATTAAATGATGATAATATGATAAGAACTGAACGTAAGAAATCAAGAGCAAATTCTAAAAAATTCGGGGGAGTTTCATCAGCAGCTTTTGGAGGTGCTTCTTCAATTACAACTGGTCCTAGTTATGACGATGATTTCACTAATAGAGTTTATGGTGATGGTGGTGTATATGGAGAAAGATATGATGACCCTGCATCGTCTTATGACAATGGACACACTGGAAGTAACAATTTTGAAGAATATGATGTTACTCCAGCTTCAAATTCTTCATCTAGAGCAACTACTAGTTCTTCAAATATTAATGCTACTGCATCCAAATCTAAATCAAAATCTGAACCAAAGAAACAACAGCAACAACCAGAACAAGATTTATTAGGTGATTTACTTTCATTCGATGGACCTTCATCTAGTAGTGGTGCCACTGCTGTGCCTGCTGCCAATGATGATGACGATGATGACGACTTTGATGACTTCCAACATGCACCATCACAGACTCATACCCCATCTAATCTCGCAACTAATTTATCCAACTTATATCAACCCCAACAAACCCAACAGCCAATGTATGGTCAACCACAACAACCCCAACAACAACAACAACAACAACGTGTCCCATCATTCAGCTCAGGTCCAAATTATCATGTCAACACATCTACCGGACCAGCCAAACCAGCAGCTACCAGTGATGCATTCTCATCCTTATTCTTAACCGCAAAGACAAACGCGCCAGCTTCAAGTATCACTCCAACCCAGAAACAACCTTTGAATCAACAACAAGCTAGACCAGTGGATGATGATTTCTTTGGTAATTTCAGTAGTAATAATAATAACCAAAGTACTTCCAAGCCTTCCAATACGAACAATAGTGGGGATATTGACTTGTTGAGTTTTTAAAAAAGAGCATTAAGTGGAGGCATATATATATATAATTAGTGGTAGTTGATGTGTTTTCTTTCAGTAGTTTTCTTTTTTATAGTTTTCTCTTTTTGTTGTAATTTATATTTCCTTCTGCTTTGTGTTGAATCTGCAATTGTTACTACTGTAGTCTACGTAAAGTTTCGATATTAGATATTGAGAGTGTCGAGTAAATTTTCTATCAAGAGTTCCGACTGCACCTAATTATTGTACCTTAGAGATATCACAATAGAACCGACAGAAAGAAGTCCAATACTCCAGGGCACTACAATTGATGAATTACTACGTTTAGAGAGTAGAAATTAGGTTATCAGTACGTGCTTAACCTAGGATATGTACAGGATGAAAGAAACTAACCAGATCTATGAAGAGGAGATATGGGAAAAACCTTTTCTGTAGAAATTGATACTTAATTTTGCAGTAATTAAATTTGTAAATCTTACTTAACCATACATTGAGACTTATACATGTATGAATCCCCGATACATACATACATTGGGATCAAAAAGAGTCAAATCAGAGAGAACATTGGGTTGGTATATACCAGAGTCATATTACGCCAAAGAGAGGGGGGTAGATTGAATTCCTGTACATAAACCCATGCCCCCCGAACAAAGGGATTAATCCCCATCTTCCATTCTTCCTTCCAACACCAACCAGAAATAACACCCAGCGAAAAAAGAATGAGCATTGAAAATTTCTTTAAATCTTCTTTTCCTTTCTTTCTTTTCCTATTCATAAAAGTCAATTGACCTCCTCAAATTAACCTTACGTAAAACAATGTTCAAAACCACATTAGCTCAAGTCGCCAAGTTCAATACCAGAACTTTTGCCACCACTCCAAGAGTTTTAGGTACTAAAGTTTTCTTTAAAGTTTCAATTGATGGTGCCTTACAAGACCCAATTAAATTCGAATTATATGATGATGTCACTCCTAAATGTGCCGAAAACTTTAGAGCCTTATGTACCGGTGAAAAAGGGTTCGGATATGCTGGTTCAATTTTCCATAGAGTAATTCCTGGATTTATGTTACAAGGTGGTGATTTTGAAACTGGGAAAGGATATGGTGGGAAATCTATTTATGGTAAGAAATTCCCGGATGAAAATTTCATTAAGAAACATAACAAAGAAGGGTTATTGAGTATGGCTAATGCTGGTCCAAATACTAATGGATCTCAATTTTTCATTACTACTGTTCCATGTCCTTGGTTGGATGGGAAACATACTGTTTTTGGTGAAGTTATTGATGGATATGATGTTGTTAAGAAGATTGAAGGTTATGGTTCTCAATCGGGTCAAACTAGAGCCAAGATTGTTATTGAAGAAAGTGGTCAATTGTAGATATCCCAGATATCCCCTACACCTTTTTGTGAATAGTTCTTTTAAGTACTTTGTATCGAAATTGTTTATAGTTACAAATGCATTTTTTTTAAAGTAAATTAAGATAATAAAGGAAGAATATGAAAACGATATATAAACAGACGGAAACTAAAGCAACAGCAAACAAAAGCCAATTGAAATTTACAAAATGAAGATAATGACCATGAGTATAGTTCTCTCTTTCTTTCTCTCTCATTTCTTAATCTAACATATTATCTGTATGGAACAAAGTCGTTAAACATTTTTCAACAAACCATTATATTATGGCAGTTGGAAAAGCATGTATGGAAATAAATAAATGTATGAAGGGTTTTAAATCTTAAAGATAGGATCAACATCACGTTTAATCTTTGGCATTTTCTTAGTTAATTCAGATAATTTATCATAATCACCACCTAAAATCTTTGCAATAACCAAATCATCTCTTTCTCTAATTTCCTTCTTTGACTTTCCTTCATTACTTAAGAATTCAATAGCTTTAGCAGTGTCACCATTGAAATGATCTTCCATTGCTCTTAATCTAATTTCTCTTTCTGCCCAATCAGGACCATTAAGATCTCTTTGTATAGATTGTTGAACATATTTAGCATAAGCAATATAAGCAACAATAGGTAAAACAATATAAAAATATGGAATTTCCCAACCTTCAGCACCTTCAGTTTCACGAATAATTCTCCATTTTAATTCATTGGTAGCTTCATCTCTATAAGGAATTTTATCAATGATTTTACCAGCATCTTTAGTTACAAATTGAAAATGAGTTAAATCTTCTGAATTATCGTTATATAAATTCCATTGTTCCTGGGGGATAGTTTTTAAAACATTATAAATAGAATGATTTCTTTGATAATATAAGTTTTGTAAATCTGCTATAATTTTAAATTCTTCTTCTGTTGGAACTCTTGGGGTTCCATCAGGATTAGTATAAATTTTGGTAATTGATGGTAATGAATCTAATTTAGTACGAATTTCCCTCTCTAAATTGATACTAAATTTAGCTGGTTTATATTTAAACAAAGCCAGTAATGGCATCTTAAATGAGAACTTCATCTTATCCTGTTTACTCTTTACTTTTTGAAGTTGTGTTCCAAGGGTTGGGAATATCTCTTCTCCTAGTTCTGTGTCTATTTTTCGAGTTTAAGTCCAGTGAGACTGAATAAACAATTTTCAAATAAATTTTATTGGTTGGGAAGAAAAGAGATTTTTTTTTACATTTTTCACTATAAACTGTAAAATAGATATAACCTGTAGAATTAACACTTACACCCTATCTATCTATCTCTATCTACTATCAGTACTTACTACTACACTATGGAACTGCTATCTCTTACTTGATCCAAAATTAGAGAATCCCATAAATGATGACATTTCATCATTGGTCTCTCCTTGTTGTTGCTGATCATTCTCAATCAATTTCTGTTTCTTTCTTCTTCGTTGTCTCTTCTCTTGACGTTTAAGTCGTTTATCTTGTTCAAATTTCCTTCTTCTTTCAACCCTTTCAGTAAATGACAATCCACCATTATTCTTATTAGATAATTCATCCTTCAGTCTAATACTCTTATTCACTAACCTTTCAATCATCTTCACAACTTCTCCCAAATCAGCCCGTCGTATCCCTCCATCCAACTCACCTACTTCTTCTTCTTCCCCCTCCTCACCCTCTCCCATACCTTGCTTCGCCCTTCGCAGTTCTCGACTGACTTGATTCACTTTCTGAACATGTTGAGGACTGTTCAAATGATCAATCAATGCCAAATTATCCCGAAATGATAAATCACAAACCGGACAAAAAAAACCAAATCTCTTATTTGATCCATATGTCTTACTACTACTACCACTAGTTGGAGATATTAGATTATATGTCTTAACTGCACCCAACAGGTCTTTTAATAATTTGTTTCTATGTTTAATGAATTCCAGTGAGGAGGATTCATCTTGGATTAGGGGAGATGTGTTAGTTGTAGTGGGTTGGGTGGTGTGTTTTGATTTTGCTTGTTGTTCGTAGATTTCGATATTCCATTTCTTACGTCCATATTGATCTGTCGTTGTTAGTTTGTCACTTTCTTCTGACATAATTCTGGGGGTTCACTTGTATTAAGAAAATCTATCTGTGTAGCTTGCCCCAGGCTTTATTTTGATTTTTTCGATGGGGCCGTTTGATGAGACTATGAGATTATATTGAACGGTAGAAAAAGAAGCCAACACTTGCTGTTAGAAAACTATAACTATAAAGAGATTAGTCAAAGCTATAGTTATACTCATATCATTGATAAGTAGTATATGATAATACAAACATCACTTATACCAAAGAGAACAATTTGGCAAAAAGTACTTACAACTCGAACCCAAACAATCCATTCTTCATATCATCGTTTCATTTCCCAACAACAAATCATGTCACCACCAAAAGATATAACCTCAATGTTTAAATCCCGACAACTGACAGGTCCCACAAAGGTCACCAAGCCAGAAACTCCAAACCCTTCACCCAAATTCAACTCCACATCCAAGACCGCAGATCGTCTCAAAGACGACCTCAATAAAGATTTATCCCAACCCAGCAACAAACCTTTCAAGGACCGCTGGGAAATTATTGGAACTCATCTAATAACAAACATCCCCAAAACCCTTCCCAACACCAATACCGCCCCATCCTCCGGCCCCCAATTGATCAAAATTGCCGGATTTGACCTAGACGGAACATTAATAGAAACAAAATCAGGCAACACCTTCTCCCGTGGTCCCAATGATTGGAAATGGTGGGGCAAAAACCCAAAAGCAGTAGTTGATAGATTGAAGAAATATAGAAATGACGGATATTTGATTGTTGTGTTTACGAATCAAGGTGCGGTGATTGCGAAGGGTGGGAGTAAATCATACATCAACCTCACCAATAAATTGAATAACATTGAAGAAGATTTCCGACTGAAGTTGGATGATGACGATGGTGATAAGGATGTGGGATTATTAGTATTTGTGAGTCCGAAGAGACCAGCTAAGGGTCATCCGAAATTGAGTTCGGAAGAAACTCATCGATTAATGAGAAAACCCGAGGTGGGGATGTGGAGATATTTTGAGAGTTTGCTTAAATTACGAGGTTCGTTTTTGATTGATTACGAGAATAGTATATATATTGGAGATGCGGCGGGAAGAGACGGGGATTTCCTGGATAGTGATTTGAAATTTGCTGAGAAGTTAGGTATACAATTTAAAACTCCAGAAGATGTATTCACATAGATAATCTCTAAAAATGGTATTGATATATATATATACAAGGTGGTGGTTAGATTTTTTTGAATTAGAAATCTTCAGATATAACCTTTTTCAACTCCGATTCTAATTTGTTAGATTTATTTACAAGTGTTTTTGTTTTCCCAACTGATCCAAAATATCCATCGACATTCTTAATTGCTCTAACTGTCTCATCATCCTTTTCTTGAGGCAACTGATTCTCAATATCATCATTTAAAACAATACATTGATTAATATCACATACATCATTTTCAAACTTAATAGCTTCGGCAGTATGTTGAGGATAATTCTTAATAATAAACGTGGTATCAAAAGTTCCATCCCTAGTATTCATAAAGAATGAAATATATTGCTTAATCAACGCAGTTATCAACCCTGCAGGATATTCCTTATGACCATCATCTAAATCTTGTAAAAGATAACAATATTTATTCCGTTCATCCTCTTTCTCAGTCTTAATCAATTCAGCAGGATCAATAACTCTAACCTTCCTACCCAATTCTTCTACTCGCTTAACAATCTTATCAATCGCTTGGTTGTCATGGACATAAGGAACAACATAAAATTGATATTTTTCATTTAAATCATGACTAATCAATTTATGTCTTCTTCTTAATCCCGTTTCTTGTTCATATTGTTTAAATTCACCTTCTGAAAATGATTTCTTGACATTTCGTTTATCGACACTATGGGAAACATAATACATTGCTCCGAATGAAACTAAGACCATATAGAATATATATCTTAATCTTGCCTGCCTTTTACGTTTTATTGGAAGATATACGGCATAATTTCTGGATATGATTTTTGTAGGGGAAAACACTGAAGTAGTAGTGCCAATTCGAGGAATTGCTAATCCTCTGGATATTGATAATCTACTCGAGAATAAGCGAGAACTAAACATGTTTGTGTAGGATTTGTCAATGGGTTTGGAGGAAGGAAGTCTAGAAAGAAAGGGAGTGGGAATATGAAAAATCGTCTCATGGGAAAATCCCATAAAAATTTCAAACTCCATATCACGTGACAGATTTAGAATTTTTTTTTTTTGGTGTTTTGCGGCTCTCAAAAATTTTTTCATTTTCTCAGTGGAAAGCGAAACCTCCAAAAGAGAGAGTTGTAGAATCTTCTAGAGAGAGAAAGTCTTTGATTGATTGGTATTAGATCCCCTTGATTGCATTAACTACTAAACAAAAAAATGTCATTAATTCACTTGGCCAACTATTGTGCCCATTTAAGGAATTGTATAAATGCCACTCATGCCAAAACATCAATCCCATATACTCGTTTATTATTACAAGCATCCCTTGGATTATATAAACAAGGTTTCATATCTAGTATTCAAAAAGGATCAGTTCAAGGACCAGATCAAGTCCCAACAGATGTAACTTCTGATAATATCTCCACTAGAAGACTATGGTTAGATTTGAAGTATAGAAATAATGTTCCTGTGATTAGAGGGATTAATGTGATATCTAAACCTGGGAGAAAGATATATTTAAGAAGTGATGAGATTAAGGCTTTAGCTTCGGGTTTCCCAGTTAGAAAGATTAGTGCATTGGAACCGGCTGAAAGTATTTTTATTAGATGTGGTACTGAAGTATTGGAAGTTCAAGATGCGGCAAAGAGAAATCTTGACGGTGAACCATTATTTAGAGTTAAGTAAGAGTTTGAGTGTTTCCTTGTAAATAGACTTTGTACAAAAACCTCCTTAGTTCTCTCTGTATATCAGGAAGAACTTTATTCCATATCAAAATTATGATTAACATTTCTTAAAAAAATATAGACATATATATTTCGTAAGCACATTATTATTTAAATAGCTACTTTCTGAGCACCTGAACCTTCCCAATTGGTCATATCCACTTGCCAACCTTTCCAAATCATAAGTTTCTCTCTGAAATCTTCCGTTGCTCCCTTAAATGATTCTGAGACAACACTCTGTCTCCGTATAAGTAAAGATCTAACAGTAGGCTTTGCGGGTTTTACAACTGTTGGAGCCGAAGGAGGTTGATATAATACTGGAATCTGTGTAATTGGAGCAGCAGGAGTAGCTGCAGTGGTAGTTGATTTAGTCAATGCTGATAAATTCTTATTATCTATTTCCAAATCAGAAATCAATAGAAAATTAAGGTAAGCTTCATTAAAATTTAGTCATAAAAGTAGAGCATTAATCTTAATTGTTTTATCTTGTTGTTCAATGGTCTTTTTCAATTCTTCAATCTCTTGTTGAAGAGAACCAACATCAATTCCAGGTGTTTGTTCAACTGCTTGTTGTGGTGGTGTTAAGGTTATATCTGCTACTTGTTCCACAACATCAGGACTACTACTACTTATAGGGAGCTGACCAGCAGCGGGAACAGGAACAGGAGTACCAACGGATCCTTCTTTTGATACAGAACTTCTACTTTCATAATTAGACAATTGATAATCTACCGAACTCCTCCCTTCTAGATCAGGAGTACCTTCAATGGATATACTACCACTGTCTTTACTATCTAAACTAACTCTTCCTGTTGTTCCTAATACTTTTGCTTTATTTTTGTGTTTTTTAAGTTTCTTCTTTTTTAATTCTTCAAATCTTCTACGAGCAGCTTCTAATCTTTCTTCAGTTGATTGTTCTTGATCCAATCCAACATCAACATCGATTAATTCTTTGTCTTCTGACATGATCGTGAATTGGGGGNAGATTGTTCCTGATCCAATCCAACATCAACATCGATTAATTCTTTGTCTTCTGACATGATCGTGAATTGGGGGTGGGGGGACGATGGGTTCTTAAATATTATGGGAAGGAATTAGAGGGCAATCAATTTTGACTCGTTTTTATTTTTTTCCCCTTGGTGCACAATTTCAATCTCTGGTCATATTCCAAGGAAAGAAACTGTTAAAGCAATTCCTTCAATGTCAATGGAGAGGGACAGAGTCTAGTACCATCTATTCTGATGGTTGCTCAAGTAGGTAACTATATATCCAAAGGTATATAGTGATGAATCAACAGTGGTTCAATACTAAGTAACTCAAAAGAGGCATTGAAAAATGGTTTGAATTTCTGGCTAAAGAAAGTCCGGGCTCATACATCCAATCAGATTCTTAAGATCTTAAAGATCGATGTCAATACTAACAAGTGTATACATGTCGTATGATCCCAACCCCACCTTCTTAACGGAAACTGGAGCCCGTTGGTTTCATTGTTCAAGAATGATTAGTCACAATCAAACTGCCAGTAGTAAATTTGATTGTTCTTTGTTTTTTTTGCAACGGGTACCCAATCCCGACAATAATAATGAAGAATTTTTTTTTGGAGGTTTTGCATCAAATGAAATAAGTTTTACCCCAAAGTTGCAATCTTAATTTTAAATAAAAAGCGACTAATTTCCCGCCAGAATCCTTATCCCTGACTTTTGTTTCATCAAAGAGGTTCAAACCATGTCCGCATCAATAAAATCCATTGCAAACACAATCATTATCCCCGAAAGAATCCTCACTCGTGATGAAATCCATCCCACCACTCCCCACCACCAAGAACAATTCGAACTCACAGACCTCCCAAACAAAGACGAAGTAGTCATCATCGAATATGATTCCGACGCCGAATCACCAACCGCTCAAGACACATCCATGCGTAGAAGAAACACCCATGGTGGTGCTGGCGCACCTAGTCAGCACTCCATGGAATCACGGGCATTAATGTATGGATCTGAATCTAATCCCAATACATTCCCCGACGGAGGTCTAGAGGCAAACTTAGTCCTCTTGGGAAGTTTTATTGGCTTGATTGCCGATTTCGGAATTGCGAATTCCCTAGGAGCGATTGAATCATATGTTTCATATCATCAATTAAGTAATATTTCAAAAACTGATGTCGGTTGGGTATTTGCATTACATTTAGGGGTGATGTATCTTGGTGGTGTATTCTTTGGGGAGGTTTTCGATCGATTTGGTGCTAAGAGACCCTTGATTGTGGGCACGTTGTTTATGTGTCTGGGATTATTTTGTACTGCCGAAAGTAAGACTTTATATCAATTTGTATTGAGTTTTTCGATATTGACGGCGATTGGGACAAGTGTGGCGATGTCGCCGTTGATTGGGGCTTTGAGCCATTGGTATTTGAAAAAAAGGGCGATGGCATGTTCGATAGCTACAATTGGGGGATTGGTTGGTGCTTCTGTGTTTGCGGTTATGTTACAGAGATTATATGAAACTGTGGGGTTTAAATGGGCCATTAGGATTTTAAGTTTTATTTGTTTGGCTTGTATGTCAGTTTCGATAGTTTTGGTTAAGGAGAGAAGAGCTAATGATGAGCTGCCCACATCTTCAGATGATGAACAAGAACTTGAATATCAAATTGTTGATCCAGAAGAAGTCGAAACAAAATCCCGAATTCGACATTGTATTCATTTTCTAAAAGGGGCATTAGATTTTTCAATATTAAAAGATTCAAGATTTGTTCTGTTAACATTAGGAGTGTTTTTAATTGAAATCGTATCAATGACAACCTTAACCTATCTAGCATCCTACGCATTAGCATATAATATCAGTGACACTAGAGCTTATCTATTATTAACAATAGTCAACCTATGTGGAATCCCATCTCGATTGATCTCCGGTATATTAGCTGATAAATATGGTAGATTCAATGTCATGATTGTTACATCAATCTTGACCACATTAATCATCTTTGCAACTTGGTTACCGGCAAAGGGAAATATATCATTATTATACATATTTGGAGTATTATTCGGTATATCTACATCAGCAGTCATATCGTTAATTCCAGCATGTACGGGTCAAATTTGTTCTCTGGAACAATTTGGTAAAGTTTATGGAACTTTGTATTTCTTTTTGGGATTTTTGACTATTTTAGGGATGTATTTTGCTTCATTGGTAATTGGAACGGGGTCACAAGATCATTTTCGAAAATTTGTGGTGTTTGAAGGTGGGTTGTCTGCTACTAGTATTGTAGTTTGGTTATATGCTAGATATGCTGCTGTTGGATGGAGATGGTGTAAGTTTTAGATCCACTTGTATATTTGTGTTTTTAAATAGTAATAGTAATATTTATTTGTCCTTTTTCATGAGCCTAGCCAAATTTTAGTAAGAATGAAACTGGCCCCGAGTCAGCATACTTTAGAATATTTCTATCGTGTAGCGGGGGACCACTAAGGTAGTAGTTGAATTGTAGAAATTGTATCCAGAGCAACACGTTGAACAATGATATTTTTTTTGCAATCAATTTAGTTACTACCAAGGTGAATATTTTGATCTCCTAATTGATGTAGCAAGTGCTTACAAATCTTTGAGAATGCTTAACAAATAGGCTTTTCTTTATCATTGTCACGACACAACCACCAATTGTAGGAAGAACCGGACTTTGTCACAAAATTGGTTTAACGTTCTTTATGTTTATAAGTTTAATTTAAAGCCTCTCTCATAAATCTAAGTGTAAAATATCAATAGTCACGGAGTCAACGAGCGAATTAATATTGCTAATCTAAAAATAATATTAATACTACCAAGGTTGAATTGTAATAACGTTGTATATTAATTCTTTTACGAAGGGGCTTTCTAGTAAACACATGTCCTTAAGCCATTTTGGAAATTTTGCAATCATGATCCAAGAGATTTTCTGAACAGCAGAAGAAATGGGTTATATTTATATCTCCTCCTTCTTCTTAATTCTAATGCCAAGAACATTTAACAACTTGCATAACCATTGGAGTTGACAGAAGTCAAACTTTATTTGAAGTTAAGCGAATTACATATTAAATGGGGGAAAGATTTAGAGAGAACAACATATGTAACCTAGTATCTAAATATAACTACAGTACAGTACCTCTCGTAAACAACAAAAATGAAAAATTGAAAAAGGAGGGGTGCAATATGCAGGATACAATATCAGATGATCTCGTTTCTTAATTCGTATATAATGATGATAACTTACGATAATGCAACCATGGAACAGTAGTGGTTATTATTAGTAAGAAGTAGTAAATGACTGGCTTCTTGTCAATTGGATGTAAATAAATTTAGGGGGTTAAGAACCAGCAGTTATTTTTATCCCCCCTCTAGTACATATTCAATCACAAAAACAAACAAACCCAAGAGAAGTTTTATTTCTAATAACCTTGGTGGTTTTTTGCAATTGAAACTTAAAAAATAATTCTAAAAAATAATTTCAATTTTTCCATTTTTCCCTTCTTCATCATCATCGTGCCTTTCGATAATTCTTAAATTAACTTTTTACACTCCTTTTTTTTTGATAATTACGATTAATAATACAGAAATAGGTTGATCTTCTAGAAGTATAAATATACATTGAAAGTACCCTTCTGAATATCATTGACAATAAATTATTTATTTTCATTTTCAATTCAACAACAATTATAATTGAATATTAAAATTAAGTTTCAACAGGAACAAAAATTTCAAATTTAAACCTTATTTTCAATTAACAATAAGTAAGGTCTCTTATTTATTCAATAACTCCAATTGGTTCTACCTTGCTCATCGCATTAGAAAACATTTTTCAATTTCAGTATTCTTATATCAAGTTTAATCCGTATCAAAAGCAATTCAATAGATAATAACAGCAACAAACCATGAATGAACAATTATATCAAGTATTTGAATACTTAAACAAAAGAGATGAATGTGAAACCGGTAATGATTATAATGGTTTAGATTTCGGTGCCCGTATCTCATCAATCTTTGTCATATTAATAACAGGTGCATTTGGATGTTTCTTTCCTGTATTATCCTCAAGATATTCATTTATAAAATTACCTAGTTGGTGTTTCTTTTTAGCTAAATATTTTGGTTCAGGGGTAATTGTTGCCACGGCTTTTATCCATTTATTAGAACCTGCATCTGATGCATTGGGTAATGAATGTTTAACTGGGGTAATTGCTGAATATCCTTGGGCGTTTGGAATTTGTTTAATGACTTTGATGGGTAATAAGAAGAAACTTAACCAACGTATATTATACTAACTAGTTTTTCAATTAAGCGACTCCAGCCATCAACAATCACATTCTCATTTTGGTGATGAATCAAACTATGTCAAGAAAGATATTGAATCTAATATCGAAGATGATCAAGATGACGACAACGATCATGTCACCACCACCACCCCCAAACCAAATCCCTATCCTTCCCATTTCCAACATTCAATGGACCACCAAGACCCACAATCCGATCCGTGGGGGTAGTTGCTGGTGCTGTTTCTTGTTATGATGCCTGTTAATGAGTACGTCTTTGTATTAGAATTCGGTATAATCTTCCATTCAATATTTATCGGGCTCGCATTAGCAGTTTCCGGAGAAGAATTCAAATCATTATACATTGTCCTCTGTTTTCATCAAATGTTTGAAGGTTTGGGATTGGGTACCCGGATAGCAACCACCAATTGGACCAAGCAATATCGTTGGACCCCTTGGATATTATGTTCGGCATTTGCCCTCTGTACTCCAATAGCTATTGCTATTGGATTAGGGATTAGAAATACATATCCTCCAGGATCGAGAAGGGCATTGATTACTAATGGGGTGTTTGATTCTATGTCGGCGGGGATATTGGTATATACTGGATTAGTGGAGTTGATGGCGCATGAGTTTTTGTATTCCGGGGAATTTAAAGGACCTGGGGGGTTTAAAAAGATGTTGATTGCATATTTTGTTATGTGTTGGGGTGCTGGATTGATGGCGTTGTTAGGAAAGTGGGCGTAAGCACATTGGATCCGAAGGATCTAAAAAAGGGCCTAGGCTTTTATACTGCTGCGAAGCAGCAGCAGCAGGACTATACTTCAATGGATTCAATAGGCGTAGCCTTTAATACTGCTGCGAAGCAGCATATATACATATATTATGAATCCAATACCTTTTTATGTAAATCTGCCTTCGGCAGATTTTATTAGCTGCGTCGCAGCGTATACTTTTGGAACCTCCCTTGGTCTGCCTTTGGTATATGTGTAAGCTGCTTGGCAGCATATGATTTGGTTTCCTTCCTTGGTTTTTTTAAATACATTTTAATTCGGTATTTTGATATAATATTTTTAGTGTTTTTTATATATTTTTATTTATTGATTGATTGAGCTTTAGATATGTCCTGAAATATGATAAAACAGGTTTTTAATATTTATATAATTTTAATAAAAGTTATAATTTATGAATGTATTTTTTGGTTGCAAATTTCTCTAACCATTGTAGAACAAGGAATCTATAGAAGCGAGGTAGACTATACCTTCCGGATTCTTTAGACAGTAGTAGAAAGGTTTATGTGCTTACGGGGATTCACAATCAGTGTGTCTATGGGGTATGAGGATGAAGAGGAATGCCTGTTCCTATAGCAGGGGTGGTGCCATTCCAGACAATATTTATTTGGTTGTAAAGAAAGTACCACTCTCCCCAATGAAAGACCGCAAATCAAATATTCTTCATATTCTCCGATGGCAAACAAACAAAAAGAGGAATTAAATAGAGGACACATGATCATAAGAGAGTGGTATTGTCTCGATACTTTTCACCTCAGAATTCTTTCATAGTGAAGTGGTTGTCTCCTTACAGTATATGAACATAGTCATCAAGGTTTACCTTTTTTTTAATAGAGGGGGTGAAACCAATTGAGCTGGAGGGGTTCCAAAGAAGAAACCCGAGTCTTAGATTTATGCAATTTAAGACCAGATTTCTTCTCTAATAAACGTAGTTGTTCCGTTAACCAAATGATTCTCTTGTAATGTGTAATGCATATGATGATGTCTGTACTTTTTTTACAGTTATACGGAATATTTCTTAGTAAATGCAGACCTGTTTGCTTGGAATTTATCTTCTTAAGAACCTTTTCTTAAGAAGATAAATTCCGAGCTAACAGGACTACATTTGCTAGAAACACCCCGAATAACAGTAAAATATACTGCTTATGCGGATGACATCATCATCTACATGGATACACCACAAGAACACCAATTCGTAACGGAACAACCTAGTTGCTTTGAGACACAATCTGGTCTTAAATTACATAAATCAAAGACTAGGGTTTTCTTCTTTGGAACCACTCCAGTTGGTTTTGTTTCACTCTACTCCATCAGCAAAATAAACCTTGACGACTATGTTCATTTAGGCATTTCATTTCACCATCCAAATACAGAATATGACCCGTGAGAAAATTTTTTCGAAAGCCTCATTCATCAGATTAAAGAAACCCCTCTCCTGGATCTTCCTTTCATCTTAATAATACAACTTATTAACATATTCATATTTTCAAAATTATATTACGGAGATCTTCACCATCCAATCCCTGCTAAATACTATGGCCAAGTGCACAAGGCCGTCGGTGATTTGCTTACCCCAAGAATATCCCTCATTAGACTACAAACTCCCAAGCACTTGGGTGGTTTTGGATTATTAAATATTTATTCACAAGTTCTCGGCAGACGGGCAAAAGAAATATTCCAATTGTTTACCCAGGAGGATACCCTCAATCACATATACCTCAGAATCAAACTCCAAATAGCAACATTTAGCTATGGTACGAGGCACATTCCGGGCTGGGAAGTCTCGTACAATCTCATCAAAGTATACCCTTGGTACCGTTTTCTACAACATCAATCATATCATCCATCTATTCCTTTTGAATAAGTGAAACGGGACATTCTTGACACATTTGAACAACCTGAAAAATCCTGGTTTGAAGCCCGGTTCCTACTCACCAAATATATCGGCCCCCCACCTGATGAATTATCCGGATACAAGATACTCCACCAATCTCATATCCCAGTCGAAGCTCGTGAACCAAATGAGTTAGGAAAATTAGTGGACATCAACAAAAAGGAACCACTTAATTTCGACTCGTTCGGCCAAATATCAAAGAAATTAGCCACCACCTGTCCCATCATACCCAACTCATATATATCTGATGTAATACTTAAACTAAACAGATGGTCTCAACTAGACTATCTTGCACAAACACACCGTAAAGTGTGAATTTTGGAATCAGATGCATAAAAACAGACAATCTGTTCCCGATTACCTATAACACTTTCGCCTTTTCTCACTTGGCTCTCTTAACCATCAACCACGCTACCAACAAGCCGGAAATTGTCCTCTATGTCAGCGGACTAAATCCAACACCGTGATCCATCATTTCTTCTACTATCCCATATCAACCTCCCAATGGATTGCTAAACCTAATCTACACCCCACCCATTACAAGACCATTAATGAATACATTAAACATGTCATGATCTATCTAGATTGACGACATTGCTGAATCATCTAACCAATATAATTTTGCATTTTGATTTGTTTGTATTTACATTAATGGCCACCCCTCCAGAATTTTAATCAACACCACCATCCCAAATTCATCTTCACCTAGCGCTATTCAACGCGTAACCCCATCCTAACTATTGTTGCTTCTGTTAATGCTCTTAAGTGCCTATAAAAGGTTTTTACCATGTCTACAGAAGGTTATGCCCTGTATGTATCAGAGAGTCAGTATGAGTTTATATATTTTAGTTTATAATTTCAGTGTAAAATTTAATCGATACCCGTTTAAAGAAAATAAAAGTTAATTAATCCCCGGAGATCGGAATATCACGCAAAGACGAGAGCAAAAAAAAAAAATAAGATTTAAAAATCAATTCTAATTCCCATCTCTTTCTTTTATCAACTTAATTTATCAAGAACATCCAAACCATGATCACTCCAATAATAAAAAGATCAATCGTGACTAAAGTCTTCATCCCATCAACAGCAACAAGATCATTCCGTTTTTATTCCAGTCTTCCCAAATTCGGTACTGATTATCAACCAGGTCCACCAAAACTTCCAAAAGATCAACAAGAAGAATTTGAAAGATTACAAAATATAGCTAATTCCCAAATAGCAATCGAAGAATATAATGAACAGATAAATACAACAGGTGCTTCTAGTAGTGATGTTGAAACTCCAATTAAACCTGCCCCTGCTTTGAAGTCAGAAACAGATATGGGGAATTTTTCATATTTGAAACCTATACCTGACTTTGAAGGGGATGTGAACCCCAAGACTGGAGAAAGGGGGGGTCCTAAACAGGATCCTTTGAAGCATGCTGATGAATGGACTTATAATGGAAGAGTCATTGATTTTTAGGGAACCTCAACAGGGGAGGGGAGACAATTATTCTTGCGGGAAGCATAAGATGAGTCTTAATGCGATGTTTCCAAAGTTTTGAATTAGGTTTAGTTAGGGTTAATAGTAAAAGATAATAAATGAAATTTTCATATTTAATTTCATAAATCTATTTCCCATAAGAAGTAATTAAGTAATGATGAATGTCATGTGTCAAAAGTTTATTTATTTCTTTCTAATTTTTTTTCGCAGTTAAAAAACAATAAAACGGTTTTCTATCAATTTTTTTCATTTTATCCGTTAATATTTCTTGTTATCAATTAATCCATTATAGACATCACCATGGACTTTGATCCTCTATCATTATTCACAGCTCCACCTGAAAGAGAAGATGAAGTTAATTATATAGAAAAGCTTCAAGAAATCAAATTTAAACAAGAAGTAATTCATAACCAAGAAACTACAAAAGAATGCGATGAGACCGATGAATCAGACGATGATTCTTATCTTCAACCACTTCATATTCTTGAATTCCCCATCCTACAACTCAAGCCAACATATGAAGTCTTAATAACTATCCTTAAATTACTTTCACTTGACGAAATATTCAATTTTTCCAATAGTCCTGACTCTACATCCACCACCAACACTGAAGTTATCAATCCCTTGTCAATATTCGAAGAAAAGAACCTTGACATAATAACAATAGACATCGCATTGGAATGGCTTCTGAAATATTGTCCAAGATTCAATTCATATGAAAAACTAGCCCATTTACCTCATTTATCAAACTCATTAAAGAAGAACAATACAACTGAATATAATGCATATCTTACCCGAATAATATCAAACCCGTTGAGTTGGATACATAACCAAGATCATATTCATGAAATCCATACTCAGGCTTCACTTCGTATCTCTGAAAATTGTGGTCGTACTGCCCAGCCTGAAATCATCCGAAAGATTGTCATACCGAATTTATCCAAACTTTTGAACAATAATGAAGAATCATATATAAGATTGAAAGAGCCGAGTTTGACAAGTGATAATTTGGGTTTAAAGACATGGGGATCTTCTTTGATCTTGAGTAATCGATTGATTAATAACGATGACCATCGGAAATATTTGCATGGAAATGTACTTGAATTAGGGTCAGGTACTGGATTAGTAGGGATGATTTGTTCAATATTGAAATATAATACAATTTTAACTGATTTGAAAGAAATTATCCCCAATCTTAAAACAAATTTAAAACTAAATAACCTTGATGCAAAAGCTTATGAATTAGACTGGTCAAATCCGAAATCATTCTTGGATATTCATGGACAAGATAAGAAATTTGATACGATTGTGATTAGTGATCCGATTTATTCTTCACAACATCCTTACTGGGTGGTGGATATGATAAATCAATTCTTAAGTAAGGAGCCGGGTTCAAGAGTATTGATTCAAATTCCATTACGTCCAAAATATGAACAAGAACGACAATTATTATGGGATTTATTAAGAGATAATACAAATCTCATACAAAGAGAACATGAAATTGAAGATGGGTTTGATGATTTTGGAGAAATGAAGTTTTGCTTTAAATTATATTCTAAATAAGTTTGTAAGTAGTGTCTCTATAAGTAATCTTTTAATTTTCTTAATTTTTCAATAGCATCTTGTAAAATTGTATCATCTTTACAAACAGCAAATCTTAAACAATTCTCCAATCCATTTCCTTTTCTATTCCCTTCAGTAATGAATTCAGTTGGTGGAATACCAACTACTCCAATCTCTCTAATTAACCAATATGCCAATTTAAAATCTAAAGTTCCTCTAACGGCAATATCATGTGGGAATTCATAATCTTCTGGGATCTTAACCTTCAGTAAATTAACCAATAAGAAATATCCTCCTTGAGCAACAGTATATGGTAATCCTAATTCATCAAATACTTTTGTAAATAATTCATATTTCTTAATGTATTGTTGTCTTGTCAATTCAAAATAATTCAATTTATCAGCTTGAGCAAAACCTTGGGCAACAGCTTGTTGTAATGGAGCTGGAGAAGAGAAACAAATTCGAGTATGTGCCGCCGTTACGAATTTGATCAAATTGGCGGGACCTTGGATAAATCCAACTCTCCAACCAGTTGCAGCAAATGATTTTCCTGCCGAGCCAACAGTGAGTGTTCTTTGAGCTAATTCAGGTAATTGTTTCAATGCAGCTGGACGAGGGAATTTATCTTGATAATACAAGTTTTCATAAACTTCATCACTGACTAAGATTAAATTATGTTTGATTGCGATTTTTCCAATTCTAATCAATTCATCTTCAGTGAAAACTTTCCCAATTGGATTATGGGGAGTATTGATAACAATTAATTTAGTTCTTTCAGTAATTGCATCTTCTAAACCTTCCCAATCAATAGTCCAATCATCACCAGTGACAGTTTCATTATCAAATTTCTTAGGATAATTAATCCCCACGTATTTAATACTAGCACCAGTCATTTCAATATTTGAAATATATTGATCAAAAAATGGTTCAAAAACAACAACTTCATCTCCCTTTGTCAAAAATCCAAAAAAGATAGAAAACATCCCTTCATTAGCCCCAGTGGTGATTTGTACCTCACTAATATCAACCTCACGTCCATATGATCTCGAATAATGGTCAGCAACTTGTTTCAATAAATTGGGATTTCCTCTAGCTGGCGCATATTGATTGAATTGTGGACTTGAAATCGCATCTTTAATAGCATCAATTGCAAAATCAGGTGGATTGTATGAAAAAAACCCTTGACCTAAATTTGCCAATGGTTTACCTGATTCTGCTTGGGCTTGGGCGGCAGTTTCATTGATAAGGGTCCAAATATCTTTTTGACCGGGTTTGATGTCAAAATATGGATTATGTAATGTGGTTGGATCGGATGAAGAGGTTGGGCTTGTCATGCTGAAGTAACGTATTCTTGGAATTAGTTTGTTGGAAAGAAAGTGTCTTCTAATATTAGTAATCAACATTTAGAACCCTCTCGAGGAACAGAATCTGATCTTAAAGAAAAATGGAGAAAATTTTCAAAACTGTGGATTTTAATATTTTTTTGTGTTATCTTTGTTGATTACGAGTCAAAATTGCGAGTCTATAATTATTTAATCACGTGAATTTAGATCATGAGTGGTTAGCGGATAATTCCTGATTAAATCTCTTCTATTATGTAATAAATTCTATAATGTCTATAAACTTATCAGCACGTACCAAATCGACAGAATGAATAGCTTGTAATGTACCTACTGTCAATAATGAAAGTGATCCAGGAACCTGAACCAACTAATCTAAGTGAGCCTCTCTTTGTAATCTCTCCTATTTTTCCTTGCTTTTTTTTTTGTTTTTTGGTAAGCTTGTTTTGCTTCTGGTGAACGCACGCACTTACTCCTAAAAGTTTTGCAACAATTTGTTGCCAAAGTTTGATCAATTTCTTTCGTTTATAAATATCCTTCTAATTTACTCTTCAGGTCTTATCGATATCAGTTTAGATTAGAATTAGTTAATTCAAACTAACCAAATAACTAAAATTAATAAATCACATCAATTGTGATAACAAAATTGGAATTTTCAGTTGGATTACTAGTAGTTTCTTTATCTACTATTTTGAAATCCATTTCACCGCGAAATGTTCAATTCATTACAGCATTGGCTATGGTTGGTCTGTTTATTTTTATCTATTTTGATTTTGATGTGGCATAATCAGACGTGGGCTTATGTTAATTCCAAAGTCACGTTGGAATTAGCAGGGTTTATCATACTGTGTTGGATTCTATTGGGGTTAAAATTAATGGGGTTTGAGTTTATTATGAGTATCAGATCTTTGATAGTGAAATTAATGAGGTTCGGGAACGCTTGTCTGAGGAAATGCGAGGATGCTAGACTAAAGTTGATAATTTGGCTTAATGATTCCATTTTAGAGTCATCGTATGAATTGCTGTGCCAACGAAAAATCTATGTTTGTTCTGGAGAGTGTATTCGTCCAGGAAGAGGTTGGATTGAACATACTAGAATTTCTTTTGTAGAACTTACAAGGATAGTCCAATGTTGTATAAGAAAAAAGAAAAAGACTGGCTGAGTTTTAATTCGATTGAGGAGATAGTTTTTGAAGATAATCTGGACCTTTCGTTGAAGCTTTTAGAAAGGTTGCTTAGTAAAGTTACCGTCCTCCACAAAGTTGCACAATATACTTCTGCAAGACAACCCAACAAGAAATAATTGATTATTTAAAAGGTAAGGCCTGGGTCGGGGGTTGTCCTGTCTACTCCAATGATGGTTTTTCCGATAAAATTACCAAATCTACTAGTTTGCAACTCGGACCAGGCTTCACTGCATTCAGTGAAGTTTCTAAGCTCCAACTCTTACAGTCCCTAATTATCGTCAACCCGCTGCTAACCTTTACTAAGTCCAAAAAGTGGTGCTTGGGCAACCTTTATGTAGGAATGCCAGCCAATAATGACATACAGATTTTGGCCAACATATTTAATGGCCTTAATGTAACCCATTTAATATCATTGCTGATTCAGCTGCTACCTACACGTTGGGGGAATATGAGTTCCAACTTTAGTATCAATTAAAGAAATTGAAACCCCTGGAACTATTCGTAGTATCCCAGATAGAACCTTAGAAGAAATTTAATATCTTGGGTATTAACTACTCAAACACAAATATAGCAAATTGGCTAGGAGTTTATTAATGGGGGCTTACTTTTACCCATTTTCCCATTTCCACACTAAATTGGTTACCTCCTATTTTGATTCACTTTAGTGTCGGAATCTTCAATAACCATCTGTCGTATTCAGAAGGGTGGTGATCAATTTGATCGGTGGGATTAAAAGAAATGAGTCTTACCGGGTGCGCCATTATGGCTTCGAAATCCCTCTTGGGAATAGCATTAACATAATAGATTTCTCGTAAGGTTCTACCTGGGATACTACGAATAGTTCCAACTTAGTATCAATTAAAGAAATTGAAACCCCTGGAACTATTCGTAGTATCCCAGATAGAACCTTAGAAGAAATTTATTATGTTAATGATGTTCCTACGGGGGATTTCGAAGCCGTAATGGAGAACCCGGTAAGACTCATTTCTTTTAATCCGCCTGATCAAATTCATCACCACCCATCTGCAGACGACAGGTGGTTATTGAAGATTCCGACACTAAAGAGAATCAAAATACGAGCCAACCAATTTAGTTTGGAAAGGAGAAGATGGGTTGAAATACTTATTAATCAACTCCTAGCCAATTGGCTATGTTTGTGCTTGAGTAGTTACTTAGCAAATTAATACCCGAGAAATCACTTTCTTGAAATACGAAAAAGCCCTAAAGAAGAAGAGTATTCTTACCTGTTTTCGGTAAATACCTAAGCGATAAAATATTAAGTTTAGCTCATTTCAGATTACCTTTCATTTTCTCGGAAGATGGAGTCTATAGAAGTCTTAAGCTTCATTCTGTTATTGCTAATTTATAATTATTTTAATGATTCAATTATTAGATTTTAAATTGTTTTCTATAGTTCAAGTAGTTTATTCCGAGTAAAATTATACTACTAACTCCAGACACAACTAAATTGGAGTCAAAGCCTATAACTTATTATTGAACGAGCCTTATTCCAATAGTAACTTCCACTCGTAATGTGGTTGGATCGGATGAAGAGGTTGGGCTGGTCATGTTGAAGTAGTGTATTCTTGGAATTAGTTTGTTGGAAAGAAAGTGTCTTTTAATATTAGTAACCAACGTTTAGATACCTCGAAGAACAGGAATCTGATCTAAATGAAGAAAAAGTGTGGATCTTTAATATTTTTTGTGGTATCTTTTTGATTGATGAGTCAAAACTAGCGGATAATTCCTAATTAACTCTCTTCTATTAATTAATTAATAAATTCTATAATGTCTATAAACTTCCATCTATTAATATATACTCAATGGTTCAGTAGTAGAAGGAATACTTGCAGATTCCTGTTCAGTCTTAACGGTTGCAAACTTAATTATCGATTCAAACGATTCATCAAATTGGCAGTCACACCCTTCTTCCACAATCCATGGTTTATCTCTATTAGAATCATCCTTCTTGAAAATGACCTCACAAGCATACCCTGTAACTAATAATCCTGGAGGTCTTGATCCGCAATCTTCTACTGCTAAAGCAACTTTACTCAACGTAGTTCTGATTACTCTCTGATCAGGACATGATGCTCGTTCAATAATTGCAACAGGTAAATTTGGATCCGAATTCTTTTCTTCAATCAATTTTGGAATAAATTCAACTACACGATGTAATGTCATCAAGAAAACAGTGGTTCTACTTGGGACAAATTCTGGTAAATTAGGAACAGCCCCTCGTCTGCCCGTACCAGTACAGATTAAAACTTGATCAGCTACATCTCTATGAGTAGCAGGAATATTAGATAACACTGGTGCAGCTAATGCAGAAGTAATTCCTGGGATCACTTGAGGAACAAAGCCCTTTTCTTTAAAATAATTAAATTCTTCACCTCCTCTACCGAAAATATATGGATCACCTTGTTTTAATCTTATAACATTCTCACCACGATTTAAGGCTTCTAATCCAAGATTCAATAATTCCTCTTGTGCCTTTTCGGCATTTCCTGGGAATTTACGAGCAATGAATAAGTTTGTTCTTTTTGGTATTATATCAAGAACTTGTTGAGGTACTAATTTATCAGCAAGTACCAAATCAGCAGAATGAATAGCTTGTAATGCGCCTATTGTCAATAATGAAACTGATCCAGGACCTGAACCAACTAATGTAAGTGAACCCCTCTTTGCAATCTTTCTTTTCTTAGATCCTGGTTCAAATTTAATGTCCATTTGTTTATGGTTTTGGTATGCTTGACTCAAATCTTCAATTGATAAATTGGCTAATGTTTTCAACGGATAATATTCAACAATTTGTGAAAGCCATCTAGTTCTTTGTAATTTAAGTTCATCCTCAGACATACCAAATTCAGGTACAAATGTATTAAGTTTACTTGAATTTATAGCATCATCATCATGTTCTCCAATACTTTCCACCGTGGTTGATAACTTATCTTCTTGTTGGATCTTTTTCCTAAGATCACCTATTTTATTACAGATATCACCAATATTCAAAGGTAATGAACTAACCAACTCTCTTTTTATTCTCAGGGCTAATTTACAGCCTTTTCCAGATGTAGTTACACCCATTTGGAAATCCCCAGAAACATACGTTGACAATAATGTAAATGTACAAAATTCAGGAGAATCAGATGTATTTAGTGGAATCCTTAGTTTCTTACACTTACTAAAGATTTGCTGCTTTAATTCATGTGATGATATTGGTAATGAGACAAAGACTCTGTCAACTATTTGATCAACTTCATCACGACCTAACTTAGTCAAATAAGTTGAAATTATATCAATATTTAATTCAGTAAATATTACTCTTAATTTATTATTATCTTGATATTGTAACAAAGTTGAAGGAAGTATTTCTCGAGTTTTATCAGTAATTAAAATTGGAATTGCACCGGAATCTATGATTGAGTTAATTCTGGTAGTAGCAACATGTGAAAATCCAATTACCAAATGGATTTCATTAGTTGTTATTAATGAGGCTAATAAATTAGGCATGATGTGTGAATATGATGTTTTCTAAAATCGAACGATGAAGAAGAAGTAGAAGTAGAAGAAGAAGTTAAACTTGCAAAGATCGATGGATGGAAATTGATGATTGCAAATCAAATCAAATTCCAAGTTTTTCTGTGATTACTCAATGTCACGTGAACTTATCAAAAACGTACTGCATATTATTTGCTTATCTAAAAAATATTTTTTTGGTTGCAAATGTACGAAAGTTGTTTCTTTCTATCCAAATTCATATTTACTGCAGATTGTGTGTTACTCAGGGAACAAATTCAACGTGCTTTTAAGTTTCCATTTTAAAAACTTACATTCAAGTGTTTGAGAGTTGAGATGTTTGTCAAATCAGGACTAATCATAACCAACAACTTCAGTAGCCTCACACAAAGCAGCAGTCACACATGTCACCTTTTTTCAAACACAGGTTATATTCATTAAAAAAAGTATATATTTCTGTACATAATTAAATAATAAGAGTCGTTCTTAGGGCAAAGTACAAGACCGAAACCTCTTAAGTCTTTGATCTGGTTGAAGGAGCTTTGAACATAAGTATATATAGTGTTGAATCCATCTTTTTATTCTTCAATAGTTCAATGAATGGAAACTTCAAAATACAAATACCTCCTCGGCAGAAACACTCTCCATTTCAAGACACTTCTGAGACGATCAGTAATTTTGGTATAATTGTTACCAAGTAGAGATTTAACAACTTGATATTTTGTATCTCTTCTCCTCAAGCTTCTTAAAATAGTCATACCTCTCAATTTCATCATGCAACTTATTTCAATACTCATTATATCCCAACTATCCCTTGCATATAGAAGTATGGGTCAGAGTGATAAATAGTTTATTGGGGAGCATGTACTTGAAGTCTCTCTCGGGCATGCCACAATGGCAAAGTAGCTCCCTGAGAGTGTGATATGGTAAATATTGTGTTGTATAATTAAAGCGGGTCGACCTGATTGAGAAAAGCGCCCGGTATTCAGTATTCCGTGTGATATAAGTCCTAGATGTAACCATATCGAGGTCAGAAAGTCATAAATCCATCGACACAACATTCAACCGAATAGAATATTCAACTGCATATATTGTATATTGTGCTAGTCAGCGGATACCTTTTTTGAAAGTTCAAATTCCTACATTTGCTCTTGAAAAATAAATCTTATAATTAAGTGTATGAATAGAGAAGTGTCTAGGAAGACAAATAGGAATTCTTAGTACAGCAGACCATAATAAAATTTAAACTAGAAAATTTTACTCTACTTCATTTATTTCCTCAATATATAGTTCAACTTTGGTACATCACCTTTTTATTTTATATGACGCTCTAAACGAGTTCTATAACCAACCAGCAATTTTAGTGTAATCGTCGCTACTACCTCATTGAGCAAATCGAAATGTCGTTTTTCTAATCCGTAAGGTTCTTAAAGTGGTCATACCTTTCAATTCTTTCATAACACTTATTGCCTCTTTCTTTTCCTCAGTCTCATCTTTAACAAAGGGGTTCAGTGACAAATATGTTATCGGATGACGGAGTATGTAACTGAAATCTCCCCAAGGAATATCCTCGCTGTAGTGAAGCTCCCGGAGTGTATAATATGGTAAGTACAATATTGTATCTGTAATGCTGATGTTGCTTATTAAGAAAAGCTCCTGACTTACTGTCCCCCAAGTCGGTAGGAGCAGCCCAAGATGTAACGATTTCAATGTCAGAAAGTCAAAAATACGACCAACATATACAAGATATTCAAACTTATCGACATATAAATTAACTAACCTAATTTTTCTCTCAATACTCACAGGTTTTAGTTCTACAATGTGAAGGGATTGTAGCAGCGTCATGTTAGATATCCAATTATGAAAAAAATTCTGGTCAGCACGGGGCATCTTGAGACTTTTGATTAGGTGGAGATCGGGGAAGCCATCCAATTTCCCCCCTAAACGGGCATCGAGATATCCGAGTTCTCTCCACCAAAACAACTGTTCTGAAGAGTTATTAAAAATTGTCAACCCTTTAAATAGCTTCTGGTTACCAATATGATCGATAGCAATAGAACATCCCCCAAGGCCCGTCGCTAAACTTTGGAACCACTTCAAGGAAAAGCAGTCTCGTTCAAATACTAATCTTTTCATAAGTTTAGTTTTAAGCTTCTTAGACGTTGACATTTCGATAAATATATCTTCGGATATCTTACAGTAATTTGCCCAGGGTTCACCTATATTGTTGACATCAGAGGGAGCATACACAAAAATGGAATGCCATATTAACGGTTCAATAAGACGATTGAATCTTTTGCAAGCCATTCGCATCATCAAATGTTCATATGTTTCCAAGTACTCGAATATTTCCTGAAGTAGTTCATCAGGAAAATCAACAATACGAATGTGTTCTTCTGGTTGATGATCTTCAGGGTCTTCTTTATGGTTCTTGAATGGACGACAATACCAAATGATAATCAATGAAAGAATTTCCAGAAAGAATATCCCTACTACCAATAACATGACGATCTTGACGGTTAGGCCCATAATTCATAAAATGGGTAGAGGGTTACAGATGTTTGAAGATTAATAGTTTCAAAAACAAGTTTATTTATGAAAACTTGATATGATCCAGGAATAGTTAGGTCCAGAAAGGGAAATTATTGTAATTTCCTTATATTCTTATTTTTTTTTTTTGAACTAGGCTACTACAGACTTACATTCTAAACTAGCCGTTCAAGCATTCCAACTACTTTAAAAGAGGTTTGCTAATTGGTATTTACCGGGAAAATTGATCCATGGTCAAAGAGTACTAAAAACACATTTATTGGTTCAAAATGATTGTACACACGGTAATATTGTTCGCTGACAAGAGAAGGGGATTATTTTGTATTATTCTCTTAAACATGAGATAAATTCGCTTGCCAATTAAAATTCAAGCTATTATCATTATACACATTCTTTGTGCAAACTCTGACAACACCCAGAACTCAAATTCTGTTATATTGGGTCCCTCTCCATGACTTTTCAACCCGGTATGTAGTATGATTTACCCTCAATTCCTTTAGAGTACTCAACCTCTTCAATTTATTCATTAATCGAAGCTCTGAAGACTCACTATCCCTGATAGTATTCACTGTCAAATATGTTATGGAATGAAAGAATAGGTACTCGAAATCTTCGTCTGGGATGTCACGAATGTAGTTCATCTCTCGGAGAGAGTTGTATGGTAGATGTTGTATTGTGCCATCAATTTCAAGCATGGTGATCGAAGTAAGCATTTTGCTTATTGTATTCCAGTTTGAAGGGGTATCCCAAAGCAGCAACCACCTCAATTTCAGAAGGTCAAAAATCTCAGAAATTTCATTTACAAGTCCACGAGAATCACTTGATATACTTTGTCTGATAAATCTGTTCTCTGAAATGCGTAGGCTATGTATGACAAATCTGTTCTGTACTTGAACATTCTCAATTGTATCAATATCGAGATACTCCAACAGTGTCATGCGAGGTAACCAATTTTCAAAGAAATCTTGGTCAGCATATACGACCTTTACAGTATCGATACTATTGACATCTGAATCTGGAACATAAAATCTTCTTGAATGAAAATCCGCCCCTCTCATATAATCGACAAACTCCTGTTGCGTAATCTCAGAGACGGCTATTGAACACCTCGTAAGTTTCTCCTGCAAATGTTGCAACCATACCAAGTTCAAGCATCTATCGTTGGAGAATGTCAATCTCTTAATAAGATGTGTTTTAAGCTCTCTTGACCTTGACAATTCCATAAATACATTCCAGTGCATCCTTCTATAACCCATCCATGGCATATCATAATAGAAATTATGGTGGTAAACGTATATGGAATGCCATACCAATGGGTCAACCAAAAGTCTCAATCGTCTACATAGGACTTGAATTTTCAATAGATCATCGAACGACAAGTATTTGAATAGCTCCTCGTAAAGCACTTTATCGGGAAGGTCGAAAACTGATTTGCGGTCTTTCGATAGACCCGATGCTTGAATGATTGTATTAGTGATTGATTTTCTAAAATACCAAATGAGAGCCGTCGAAGGTACTAAACAATCCAATATCAATATCACATTTATGAGCCACATACTGCTGTTAATCGTTATTTCAAACTACGGTGTTGTATAAACTGAAAGAATATAGTTCCCTATTCAGAAAATTTTTAAAACTTGAGAGTTCAGAAACGGATTGACTTTTTGTTATGCCAAGTTGATTTATTGGGAACCCAAGTATATATCTACTGTTCCATTAAACGTCCCATGCCCCTTTTCGTCAAAACGATATGGTGATCTCTCCCAAATCTTATTCCGGACTAGAAATGAATTATGCCAGTAATGTCCTCTAAACTACAGAATAAATTATTACAAATATATACAAGCAATTGTCCTCAATAAACCGCTAAGTTCATCCAAATAGCCATATAAATAGATCGTAAACATAAATGGAATGCCATATTAGGGGAGAAACTAAACGGTACATTCGCTTACTTAGCATTCGAATCTTCAGAAGATCGGTAGGCGATAAGTATTTGAATATCTGCATTAACACATCATCAGGTAGACACTGGAGGTAATTGGAAGCCTTGTTGGCTCTATAATTAACGGACTCCATACAAAGGTTGATAATTCTGCAATTGGGTTCCTAGAACACTTTTACTGGAAACTTAATAGTCTCCTTTAAAAACAAAATGGAGCTTTCATCTCCTTAAATAATCGGAACATATCACTCCCAATAGAGTCCAATACGGTGCCAAAAGTTTAACTTCCAATTCATAATTTCAAACAATACCAGGGGTTATTGTATTTCTCCTCAGGACCCAAGTAGCTCACTTTCATGAATTTCTTGGATCTTATTCGTTGCTCAGATAAAAATATTGATTTGTTCCAAACTTTATTGCAGTTGAAATCTTATTTTGAAACCGACATCATCAAAGTCGCAGCACGCTCCTAGCAATGTTGAGGTTGAAAGGTTTCACATGAACTTCCATGTCATTACTCCTCGAACAGCTGGAACTTAAATCAATTGACAAGAGTCTTGTTAACTTATTTTCACAAGTGATACTTCAGTATATATCGGTATATATTGTTACAATTCTGCGGACTCTCTCATAAGAGGGGATACTGTTCTCCACTTTAGATATGGGGGGATTCGAAGTCTATTTCTATCTCAAATTTTCTTGAAATTAAAAGCTAATTTTTTAGCAATCCTGATTAATACATTTCTGAAAGAGGGGTGTTAATGGTGGAGTAGTTTTGGTCAAAGTAAGGTTTCTGATCCAATTACAGTGTTGCTTCGATTGATCCTTGCGTGTCCTTTCTGGATATGAGGTGTACTTTATACACACTTGGCGTAGCAAGAAAGGACTAAAACATCTCAATTGAGAAGGATAAGAGCAGACCATTTCTGATAATCAAAAGCCTATACTCCCTCATGGAAGGCGTTAATTAAATGCAGCATTCCTGAACAAATAGATGAACCGATATATGAAGCAAACGATATCCTACAGTTTTTTGAGTCCGTTAAGGAAATCCATGTCATGTTAATTATATTAAATCATTGATTTACATTTTAAACTTATCTAAAAGAATATATAGACCGACTTCGTTCTATGACTTGAAGCTATCGATGTGTACTCAACAGTGACCCAATTTCTCGATTACGTGAAAACTGCTGCTAAATAATGAATTAATTGAGCGCTACCATCGAAAAACAACATCAGCATATCGTGAAATTCGACCTGCAAAAAAAAATATGGCCCCATTCTGAATTTTGGTAGCCCCACCATCATCTCCATCTCTTGCAAGTCTTCGAGTTGAGAAATTTTTCAAAATCAAAATAGAAGTTCCAAATTAACCAAGTTCCCAACCCCAAAACAACTTTCGCAACCTTAGACAAATGGCAAAAAGACCTTTAGGACTCGGCAAAGCAGCCAAAGCAAAAAAACAAAAGAAATCTTCTACTGACCCTAGCACCACCACCACTAGCACCATTGATGAACAACCTGAAGCATCAAATGAACTCACAGTAGAATTATCAGAAGAAGTAGACCCCAATGATGAATTCGCGCAATTGAAAGCACTTCATGCCACCTATGCCAAATCAGATAAGGATAATCAATTAGTATTAAATGGCATCATACATGAATGTGATCGACTTTTAAGAAACACTAAAGAAGATATTTCCAAAATTCCTGATTATTTTCATGCGATTTATGCAATAAGTTTGAGTGAATTAGCTAGATTTCATACTGATGAGATTGATAAGGTGAAGGAATTCTTTGGGGCTGGGTTGGAAAGAGTTGAATTAGGATTGGAGAAGTATAAGGATTCAATTGCGTTGGCATTTGCAAAAGCGAGGATATTACTTAATCGTTTACCTTTGGAGTTTGTTTCCCAATTGGAAGTAGACTCCACTGGTGAAGGATTGGATAAATTGTTAGATGAAGCTTTGGATGTTTATGAACAGGGAGAACAAAAGGCTGATGAATTAAAGGAATATGATTTATTTAATGAAGACAATTTGGATTTTTTGAGTGCGTTGGATGATTTCTTGGATATTGTTGATAATTTTGGAAAGGATATTATGGAAGGAGAAGATGATGACGATGAAGATGATGAGGAAGATGAGGTTGAATTATCCCCTGAGCATCCATTGTATAATATTCGTAATGAAGACAAATATAATCAATGGTGGAGAGATCATACTGAAACTTATTTGAAAAATATTGATAAGCAAACAAAGAAAGAAGAAGTTGAAGTATTAAGACGTGAAGTTTGTAAAAGATTAGGACAATCTTATTTACAAGAAGCTGAAATTCCAAGTTCAGTATTTACGACATTAACATATGATGAAGGATTTCAAGATGAAGAAGAATTACATGGATTAACAAAAGATGAAGCAGGGAAGATTTCCAAAGAATTGATCTCAAAAGCGTTAGAATACCTCAAACAGGCTGAAGATAAAGAAGAACCTCAATCTTGGGTAGATATTGCTGAAGCCATGATTTCATTGGGTAATTTATATGAATTGGATAGTGAAGAACAAGAAAACTTATACACTGAAGCTGAAAAGATCTTAAACAAGGCAAACAATATTACCAATGGAAAATATACCGATGTCTTAGAGAATTTATTACAATAAACCTTTATGTACATAATCAATCATGTCTATTAAGTAAAAATAAACTAAAATATTAAAATAAGGGAGAACTAAGGAACTAAAAATAAACACATAAAAAACCAAACCGTAAAAAAAAAGGCACTAAGGGGAACCAGTGATGCAAAATGATACTTCGCTTTTTGCGAAAGCGAAAGCATAACGGTAAGCGCAATTATCATACTCTACTGGTAAGAGTACTTTCACTTTGTAATTTCATGGCATTTCTTTCATGAGCATTGTCTTTACAAGATTGTAATCCAGTACATAAATGATCTTCCAATAATCTATGTTTAGCACAGAATTTACCTTGACAATGACTACAAGTTCCAACCATCCTCAATGGGGCTGAGGTACACGCCTTAAAAGAACACTTATTCTTCTTCTTTGGTTTCTTAATGGGCGAGCTGGTTGTTGTTGTTGCGGTTGGCGATGAAATATTGGAATTTGAGGTTCTTGGGGATAATGTAGGAGTGTCGGAACCATTATTCATTAAGATAACCGTTACATCATCCTGCTGAATACCAAAAGACAGTAATGGTTGATAACGAGGTTGTAGTTTTTCTCCATTAAAGATTAATTTGAAATCTTTTGGTAAAGTTGACGTTATAGGACAACCTACTTTAGCTGAGTTCTTTAAGTCTTCAACTGTTGAGTTATCAGGAATGGTTATCGTATAAGAAGTTTCGGTTGATAATCTAATAGTGACTTTCATTATGCTCTATTGTTACGTGTTAAGTTACTCTTTTTCTTCTTCTTTGATATTGGAAATTTCTATATTGGCGCTTCTTCAGGATAGCTGTTTTTAGTTTGAAGTGTGAAGTGGAAGTGGAAGTTGATAATGTTATATAAAGTGTGTAAATTGAATTGGTTGGTTTGTAAATGACTAATAAATCAATCCTATTTAAAGAAGAAAAAAAAAGAAGTGGCAAAACTTTACACTTTTGAGTTTCAAATCAGACAGACAGACAAAAAAAAAGCAAATAAAAAAAATAAAAAGCAATTTGCACACAAATTGATTTTCTTTTGTGGGCTAAAATTATGCAGGTTCTACTTATCGACAACCATACACATACAATCTCACTCTTAACAAACAACCGGTGATCACCACACGATAACTAAGGGGAAAGGGTAAGCATTTCATATAATTCCAAACAAATGACCATATTTTCTTTGCAACTGATAACCTAAGGGATGCAATATAATTTGTGATGCTACGTGTATTTTTAAAGTTAGAATGAAACGCAAAATTCAAATGACCCATATTGAAAAACGCAAATCAACTGATTTCATTCCATTCATAACCAAAAAAAAAAAAAAATAAGGGGGGGGGGGGAAAAGAGAAGCGCAATTTGTGTAATCTTGATGAAGTAGTAGAAACAAGCATTGATACTCAATATGAATGTTATATTAGAGAAAGCATTTGCCAAAGCTATACTAATCCAAACTTCACTTGCTCCCCGTGAAGAGGTAGCCACTAGATGGAACAATTACAAAGCAGAAGCTACAAATGATCCAGAGAAAGCATTTGTACTTGCCGTAGGAGAACCTTTCTGGTGGATGTACTTTCGTGAGTCGAAAGCTAAAAATGCTAAGATTTTCATTAAAGTCATAAAGAGATATTATGAGCAATGGTGTGATGATAAATTGGGATTTCAGATTCCAGTTGTAGAGACTATAAATGATGAACTTTCAGTCTATGATAAGGTGGGAATTGAGAACAAACCAATGGATATTAAGACAACTAGAAAGTACTGGAAACGGATTGTTACACAAAACGAGTTGGATACCGAACGTCCTCGTCTATTCAATCCGAGCAAGAGAAGAAGACTTAAAAGAACAAGATCATCGGTGCAGACATGCACCTATTTGGTGTATCCATTTGGCATTCAAATTATGAAACTAGCTTTCTAATTATGGTAGTTATAGAAGAGTATCATGTGATCGTAACATCCAACATGGGGATCCTTCCATCAATGCATTTTATTGAATATTATTTGCGTTTTGTAAATATGAAGAAGGCGCGACTAGTGGAAGAATTTTAGCTTATCCTTGGATTATGCCAATAGTAGATAGGATGATTTTTCTAGTACATATACCAAAAGCAATTCAGCTATACATATATTCTCCCTTTCACATGTTCAATCACTATCACTTTCATAAGAGTCATTCTCAGCTTCTTCTTCTTCAGGTTCCGATTCATCTGAATCGATTTCAACCTTACTTGTTTCTTGAATATGATATTTCCTTGGTGGAAGTATATCCTGTTGAACGAAAACGATTCTCGGTATAAGTCTAGGAAGAATTATATCAATCACTCTTTCCTTGGTCAATAAATGATCCACCCATTCATCCATATGCGTCAACTTATACCTAACAGGAAGTCCACTCTTTTCATCAAAAATCGGTGATTTCAATTTCATCCTAAGTTTTCTTGAATCTTTGAAATATCCATCAAATATTTCATATATCTCTTGACTAGGATAAACCAATCGGATATATATCAATGATAACGCTGTTAAGTATTTAAATTCATTATATCCCATTTGAGTCAAATATGCACCAATTATTTCTTTTTTAGGTTCTAATTCCAACAATCGCAATAGACAACATAAGAAAGGACTAGGTCTTCCATTCGATTCAGTACCAAAGATATATTTCACTTGGTCGATGATTATCGGTAAGATGGTGGATTCATTGGATAAGAATAGATATTGTTTGTAGAATATAGAATCTTGGATTCTGTGTCGTATAATTGGCTCTATTAGATGGGCTTTGTTGAGGATGTTTCGTTTATCATGATATGATGCTTGCTTCTTATGATATACCGTGTCTTTCTTCGATTCCATTGGGCCACCTGGTGGAAGAGATTGAAATATTGTAGAGATGAAATGGATCTAGATTCGCACGACCTTTTTTATTGTTACCAGGAATGAAATTCTAGATTTACTTGTGCGGCTGTTTTGCAATACAAGCTATGGCCTCACAAAAATACATTTGAACAATAGTAAACTCTTCGAGGATCAAGTTACTCCTGGAAAGATGATGTTGTATTCGATCTATGTGGCATTTAAGTACACATACAATTGAGGTCAATAGTTCTTATCAGGGGTTTATTGAGCACAATCAAATCACGTGCTCCATTTTTCCCAATTGGGAAATTGATTTTTCGAAGAGTTCGATTTTCTTTATCTCACACTCCCTCACTCCCACGCCATTTTTCTAAATCAAAAATACATAACCACACATTCTATTTCTCTTTCCTTCAATTATAAATCAACCGCCAAACATGTCATTTTTTTCATCATTTGATTTAAAATCTATTCAAGATTCATTACCATCAGTTGGTCAAGTCAGAGACACCTTTTCAGAATCATTAGCTAAAGTCAATGCTGGTAAAACTGTTGAACAATTCAAAGAATCAATTCAACCATTCACTTCCAAAACTACTCAATTGATTTCAGAACAAGTTAAACAAGTTCAACAATTAGCCAATAATACTAATCCTAATGTTGAAGTTAGTGAATTACCTGAAGATTATTTACAATTAGAAGCTAATTGTGATTTATTATTGAAATTATATACTGATTTAATTCAATTTACAAATGAAACTTATGGGAAATTAAGTTATGATTATCCTCCAGGTAACTATGCAATTAATAAGATTAAAGATGCCAATGTTGGTGGTGTGATTGGTGCTAAGTTTAATCAATTAAGAAATGCTTCTTCTCCTCAAGAATTAGAAAAGATCTTACTTGGTGGCAATAATAATGGTCAACAGCAACAACAACAGCAAGCTACTGAAGGTGGTGTTTCTATTCAACCTACTTCTCCAGATCTTGCTAAGACTTTATTTGGTCAATTATCAGCTATTACAATTAAGCATAGTGAAGAATTAAAAGCTTCTGAAAATCCACTTTCATTTGCTCTTTTACAAGTATCTTCAATCTATCATGAAATCGGAGTTGCAAGATTAGATCAAGATAAGAAGATAATGTCTGATGTTAATCAAGCTTTAGTTGTTATTTTAAATGAACAATTTATTAAAGTTAATGAATTACGTAAGAGAGTATATGCCGCCAGAAGTTCATTTGATGTAATTAGAGCTAAATATGAAGATGATCCAGAAAATGAAGATTTAATTGCTAAAGAAGATGAATTAGTTAATGCTACTGAAGTTGCAGTATTGGAAATGAAGAAATTATTAAGACCTTCTAAGAATATTGATTTATTGAAAGTATTTGTTAAAGCACAAAAGGAATATTTTGAATTGAATGCAAAGAAATTGGCAGAATTATTAAATAGTTTAAATAAGATTCCTGTTGAAGATGAAGTAGATGAAGAAGAAGAATAAGTCTAGGGTTATCAGTTATTTAGATATTAGTGATTTTTTATAGAATATTTTTATGTCTTTATTTCTCTCCCATACAAATAAACAATTCAACTCTCGAGGCAGACCCTACGCAGCAGGCAAAAAAAAGTACGCATAAGAATTTTTCAAAGTAAGTGTTTGACAATCACACATTGCAAGCTATTTATAGAACAACAAAGACTTCCAAGATGTCGACTACTGCAGCAGATGAACAGAAATCTCAAGCATTACAACAAGAATACAATAGATTCAAAGAATTAATTAGTGAGTTAGAATCACAATTATCAAGTGTAACAGCACAATTACAAGAACATGGAATTGTTGATAATACATTATCTTCAATAGAACCAGAAAAGAGAACAGGTAGAAAATGTTTTAAGATGATTGGTGGAGTGTTGGTGGAGAAATCAGTTGATGAAGTGATAAACATTTTAACTGAAGAAATAAATACATTAAAAGATCAACGATCAAAATTGGATGAACAATTAACCAAGAATAGAAAGGAATTGGAAAGTTGGATGAAGAAGCATAATGTTAAAGTTGTTCAAGGAAATCAATAGATAGATAATTACTAGCATATATCACTAGAGTTGGGAGTTAGGTTACTTGTATAAATATATCAAATATCAATTTATAAACCAGTACAAAATTTAGAAATAAGTTAAAAACAATAGAAATGACATCACACAGCAATGCTTTCTGTGTATGCTTTACGAGCATCAGATTCTCTTCCAGTATCACGATTAATTGCTTCCCATTTAGGTTCATCCTTAAACAATCTAACAGCAGTAACTTGTTTCAATTCATCAGTCAAAGTAAAACGATGATAAATACCAGCAGGTAAGATCAATAAATCATTTGGAGATAATTTAGCTCTAATCCATCTATCTTGCTTATCTCTAACATCAAAATATCCTTCACCATCAACAATATATCTAATTTCTTCATCTTCATGATAATGTTCTTTGTAGAATTGTTGCATTTTGGCATTATAAGCTTCTAAATCATTATTAAACGCTTCTAAGTTTAAATTAACAACATCTCTATTCTTATAATTTCTTTGTTTAGCTAATTCGTTTAAATCATTCATATTAGTAACACATTTATAAAAGACCCCAATTTCTGCTAATTTTTCTAAAGAAACTGATTCTCCAGAATTGTGAGCTTGAGTGAAATCTTCTAAAGTATCTTTATTATCATGATAATATACTTCAACCATTTTTGCACTTGTTAACTTGTAGATCTAGACTATAACTATAAAAGGGGGGATAGAGAGGAAGATTATGATTTTTTTTTCACTATAATTTATTTGAGGCGCACAAAAGCATTGGGGGACCAATCCGCCTCTTGATCTTACTAATTGTCAGAATACAAGGGTAGGTACTAAGCGACCGCGGAATTCTGGGCTGCTCGGTTGTCTCAAATACTCAACTGTATTTTAGTCAGGTGAGTGTTGACAATACAAATTTATAACAGAGTAAATCACTTTAGTCCCACGTTTTCTTTCGTGTGGTTTACTACAAAAACTGTGGCATCAACCATAGTGCGACATTTGTAGCTTGCATTGCGACACTTGGTTTTTTAGGGTCAATTTATTTTGCAACCAAACTTAGGTGGGATTTGGTACGAGTAATAGTATTGCTGAGTAGTACGTCGATTATTTATGTCATTCCACTTACTTTAAGGTTATATCAAATTAGTTTGTATTGGTGATAGTGCAACAAAGGTAGTCGTTGTTTATGTTACTTATACTCGTCAGGTATTGGTCGTTGTTTTGAAGATTCTTCCTAACAATGGTCAAGCTCCACTTCGTTTCCATGGTAATTTTATTTAGATAATCAAGTCTAATATTTCTTTGAGTTTCAGTGAGATCAGTTTTACCATCAAGAGTAATACACAAGCTCTTTGCCACATCTGTAAGAAGTGTTTTAGTTTTTTTTGATGATTTATATAGTACTGGATGAATCCTTTGGGCAGTTTCATTAATTCAAATGAAAAGGTAATACGAATACGGCACAATGGTTTAGTATCGTATATAAAGCGAGGAGTGCACTCTATGTATTAAGGTTCAATCGGCTATTTGTCACGTCCCCCAACTGCCTTTACTCTACATGAAGCTGTTTTTTTAATTTGATACAGGTATACAGCTAACACAAAAAGAAGTAACAGAACTCGTTTAAACAAATAAAAAGAATATATTCAATGTATAACTATGAGAAATAAATAATCTATGGGATTGTATTCTAAACCTTTTCACTAGCGGACTTTTGTTTGTCTTCGTCTTCAACGTGATCAAAAGAACCCTTCGTCAGTTCATCTTTATCATCAAACACAGCAAAAAATTCTTCTCTTTCAATACCCAAGTCAGCATTTCTATTCTCTGGCCCTAATAAAACAACAAAAAACAAATAAGCAACTAGAACAGCAACAAAGATAGACATGGATTTAGAATAATCATGTGAGCCATCTGGAAGAAGGAATTTTTCACTAAGAGTAGATTCGATAGTTGCAGAAGCAGACGAAACCAAATTACCTAATTGATAAGATACACCCATAACGAAGGCTCTAAATTGTGGTGGAGACAATTCAGAAAGATGAATAGGAACAACAGCCCAAGCACCTTGAACACCAAATTGCAACATGAATGCAGTGATCCACAGTGGCTTATATGCCCAGAGATAGATGAATGATAAACACCAGAGGTTTGCAAAAAGGATTGCAGTTCTTCTACCAATAATAGTAGAAGCATGGCCAATAATAATCCCCCCCGTTAAGGCACCTAATTTGGCACATACTAATACAACTGTTCTTTTATCGGCACCAAAGAAATATTGTTGTTCTAATAAAGTAGCGTATAAATCTTGAGATCCATGGGAAGAAAAGTTGAATCCACTCATCATGAAAACTAAATAAATGATAATCAACCAATAGTCCTTTATAGCGTTCTTAGCGTCAAATTTGAAATTAGCAAACCTAGATTGTTTTTGATCATCAACAGCTCTTTTTGCAGCAATGTGTTGAAAAGTATCCGTTTCTGGAGTGAAAAATCTCCAAATGATCAAAACAACTGGGGGACCGGCACTAAACCAAAACAACGATCTCCAACCATGGGGAGTAGTATCAGTAATCGCACGTTGGAACACGATAGCTAATAAGAATCCCATAGCGTAACCTTCTTGAAACAACCCCGAAAGGACACCTCTTGCAGCAACGGGAGCATCTGAAAGTGCTTCCGCACAAGAAATCCCATAAAGACCACCCATAGCAATACCAAAAAGAGCTCTTGTTACGAGAAACTGTTGGAAAGTTTGAACGAACCCAGTACCACATTGAATAACAACCAAAAGCAGCAAGTTGATCATATAAGGCCATTTTCTACCCTTCAAATCACCCATAGCACCAAAAATAAGAGCACCGACAGTTCTTAACATTAACACAATAGTCATACCCCAAGACACTTCTGTGACCGTAACATCAAACTCTCTAGCAATATTGGAAACATTCAAGGAAGTAGTAAAGAAATCAAAAGCATCCCAAGTCCAAGCTAAGAAACCAATGAAGAAAAAATTCCATTGATGAAGGTTAACATGAACCAATGGCTGGAACGGATTAAGGATTTCATTCCAGGAATGTTGAGAAAGTTCTTCTTTTCCGACCCAAAGACTACTAATTCTGGTAGCAAAATAATGCCTAATGACTGGCCAAGTAAAGGTTGGAGCTTGAATGATGTGCTTATTGTGTTCTTCAGCGACAATTACTGAATCCACACGACGGATTGAATGCATTGATTCTGGCATTGTTGGATGTTGTCTGTTTGAGTTTGGTTGATAAAAAAAGATATTTCAAAAGTATTCAAAAGAAAAGAACGAATATTGCGGTATTTATTTATACTCCGGCTTTAGGTTGTTTTACAATGCAATGAACTAAACCCCCACAATGAGTGCTATAGGCAATGAAAGCTTATTTCAATGACATACCTCGTTTGTAATGTCTTTTTGATGATAAATCATATAACTCTATTATTAGGTTATTTGATTTTTGCAGCAATATGGGCTACCCCACATTGTCCCCCACCTAAAGGATTATTTTTTTGTTGTCTTCGTTTAAAAGTTTAATCTATCAATTATTTTTTTGAATGAAATATTTTTTAGGATATTTTGCGCGTTTGCGCACGTAATGTAGAACCTTTTCGACTTCGTTTTTGAATATTCGCTTTAGACATATTGTTGTCTTCACGAATGAATTGCAGACACGGCAATTGATAGATTGATACATTCGCACAACCGTTATTGAGGGGTGGAATATAAGGCGTTGTATTTTTGGAATCATATGTTTTTAGAACACCAGCTTGATGAAGTAGTAATGATTCCCACACAGCAATTAAGCTTTGCAAGGCTATTCAAAAGGGATAAGCTTTTTAATGATCAATGTTGTAGAAAGACCTCCGGGTCCCGGAGTAAAAGGCCCCTTACTCTTCTAATTGGACAAAAATACCACATTGTTCTTGGTACTATAGAGAGAAGGATGCTCTGAAGTTGCGGTATTATTTCTGGTGAGTACTCCCGCACGATTGGGACCAAACTGGGTGTAGTAGTTTTTGAAAAGCTGTACCATCAAACATAGAAAAAGATTACTGGATTCAATTGTCTCTCCTGGGTTCGACAGTCCTCTTCCGAATCAGTCATAGCCTCCCGGAATATTCATATAAGTTTTCAAGGTTTTGTGAATTGTTCTGTTTCAAAAGTTCGTTTGCTGCAAAAACAAAAACCATTAATTAAATGTATTAGCTTGGTATGTGCACATCCAGCACGAAGCATAATAATCTAAAAATAAAGTCTAATGACTATAGATTCAACTTGTCTATTGACATTGGTCTGTAGCTCCTCGAAGAATAAATAGCGAGCATGGACACCACCTCTGGGAACACCTGGGCAGTCAATTGTCGCAATGCTTCGCACCCATTTAGTTTCCATCAATAACCTTTATTTTCTAAAGAAGAAATCCTTCTCTATCAAACTTGCGGTGCAGCATCTAAAGTCAGTGATGCTTTTCTTGGTATTTTCTAAACGCCGTTTTTCCAAGCAAAAACGGTAATTCTCGGAATAGATAATATCCCCGTGGCCTATATATCCCTGGAAAACCACTTGACGGTCGTGATTTAAAAAATAGAAAATCTATAATCCTCTAGAAAACCCCGCAATCTCGCATGGTTCTGCACATGGAAACCGATAAGGTTCAATATTATGACGCCATTAGATTTTGACTGCATCTTGCAAAACCGACAAGCTTCTCCAAACTCCGGATCCCGGAGTTCTATCTAGGGAAGACCCAGTAGCACAAAGATCCTTCTACCAAAACTAAGAAAACAGTCTTGGGCAATTTAATGTTCTGTATGAGTCCTTTGGAATACTATAGGGATGGGTTCAGCTATGTCTCAGCCAGTATGCAGAACGACAGAATGGGGCTTAATAATAGAATTATTTGTACTGCATCAAGCTGAATACTCCCTTTTTGTGGTTGCATTAGCATAAAAAGAACAATTACTGAGCAATTGTTGATAAACGTCGACATAAGTATCGTTCTGATGACATGTTTGACCGATGATAGCCAGTAAATGAAGCACGAAGTGTCTATAGAGACTTTCCTTAGCAAATAAGGCTTGTTGGGATATTGTGGGGTGGCAGTGATAGCGTGAGTAATTGCCAAGCTAAGCGAATTCGAGATGAATTTGGTGGAGTTGTTCAGTTGCCGTGCGTATTGCTTGTTTTCCGTTTCAATAGAGCAATACCAATTCTATGAACTAATCAGACCAAAGCTGATAGCGATGGCTTTCATCTTAGTCAAAACGATTATGCATCCTAATCTCTCACTGGACATTGATGTGAATGAATGATGCACCATTGGTTCATGTCAAAAACATTTGAATGTGTAGTCAGAGTAGTGCAAAGCAATGAAGCTGCATGTCATTTCGATCTCTTCCGTGTCTTCCATTAAATGAAATGATGTACCCAACGTTTTACTCCAAACAATTCTTGACCACGTACATGTGCCGGCACCGAATGTCCAGAAAATCACTATCTGTAACAACATTCTTTATCAGCAAAAGAAGGGAAGATTCATAAAATTCTTACTGGTCTGATTGGCCACCGAAAACATTAAATGTACTGAACGATATAACCCAATGACTATCAGAAAATTGAGGGAATCCTCGAATTTAAGAATCAAATGGAAAGCATGACGAGTTGAAAAGAATGATTATTTCCGAGATAACTTCAGAAATGAAGTACACGGTGGTTTTTCCTGCCTAGCTCAATCCCTTGACAACAAAACCATGAGAAGTTACGCCAACTCCATGTCATTCAAGTTCCATTTGAGTTAACCATTTTATCAGAGGTGTACCTATTTTGCTTGCTTGAGAGATTCCACCTACAGGCTCTCATATCTGCATTTGCCCAATTCTAAACCCTCTTCTGAAGGTGAAAAACGTTAAAATATCTAGTCGTTGAGGTTGAGTAAGATTTCATTCCATTGCCAACCAGTCTAGCTAAGCATTGATCTATCGGCTTCTAGCTTGATGTTTTACGATCTAATTGTTTCATCATAATCCCCCATTCAAAGTAGAGCTTCTCTCACTGGTCTTCTTCCATCTCATAAAGGAGTAGGCAACCAATTGGGGGCTGAAAAGTTTCTCAATTTGCTAGCAACAGCAAGAAAGTACTGTCACTCTTCTTTCAGAATCTTCATCACAGATTATTAGCTAATCCCGTACAATGCAATAGGATTAGTAGAGCAGTGAGATTCTTCAAAAAATCGACAAAAATCTAAATTAAATACATTGCAGAGTATATCTAAACCTCTAAAGAATTCATATATAAGATTTATTTGATTATGTGGATTGAAAAAATACGTAAGCAACTAACTGAATTATATCCCTATGAAAAGTTATTATCAAACTGTTACAGGCTTGAATGCCCATTCAGTTGTTTCTCTCTCGATGCCCCGTCAAATTTCCTTAGACTATGCCCAGGATTATTCTTGAAGTTGGTAGAGTTAACAAGTTTAAGTAAAGCTAGTAATAAGTTTTATTCAAGTAAATAAAAGAATATAATCAATATATCTAGATAAAACAAAAGCTAAAACAATAGGATCTAAACCTTTTCAATAACGGGCTTTTCTTTGTCTACAACTTCAATGTGATCAAAAGATTCCTTGCTCAGTTCATCTTTGGCATCCAAGACATAAACTTCTTCTCTTTCAATACCCAAATCAGCATTTCTATTCTCTGGTCCCAAGAAAACAACCACAAACAAATAAACAACGACAGCAGCAACAAAGATAGACATGGATTTAGAATAATCATGTGAGCCATCTGGAAGAAGGAATTTTTCACTAAGGGTAGATTCAATAGTTGCAGAAGCAGAAGAAACTAAATTACCTAGCTGATAAGATACACCCATAACGAAGGCTCTAAATTGAGGTGGAGACAATTCAGATAGATGAATAGGAACAACAGACCAAGCACCTTGAACGCCGAATTGCAACATGAAAGCAGTGATCCACAGTGGCTTATATGCCCAAAGATAGATGAATGATAAGCACCAGATGTTTGAAAACATAATGGCTGTTCTTCTGCCAATAATACTTGAAGCGTGACCCACAATAAGACCACCAAGTAATGCACCTAATTTGGCACATACTAAAGCAACTGTTCTCTTATCTGGACCAAAGTAATATTGTTGTTCCAACAAGGTAGCGTACAAATCTTGAGATCCATGGGAAGAAAAGTTGAAACCACTCATCATCAAAACCAAATAAATGATAATCAACCAATAATGCTTCAAAGCATTCTTGACGTCAGATTTGAAATTAGCAAACCTGGATTGCTTTTCATCGTCAACAGCTCTTTTGGCAGCAATGCGTTGGTAAGTGTCCGTTTCAGGGGTGAAAAATCTCCAAATGATTAAGATAACTGGTGGGCCCGCACTAAACCAAAATAAAGATCTCCACCCATGCGGGGTAGTATCAGTAATTGCACGTTGGAATACAGTAGCTAATAAGTAACCCATAGCATAGCCTTCTTGAAACATCCCAGAAAGAACACCTCTTGCAGCAACGGGAGCATCTGAAAGTGCTTCCGCACAAGCAATCCCATAAAGACCACCCATAGCAATACCAAAAACAGCTCTTGTAGCGATAAACTGTTGGAAAGTTTGAACGAACCCAGTACCACATTGAATAACAACCAAAAGCAGCAAGTTGATCATATAAGGCCATTTTCTACCCTTCAAATCACCCATAGCACCAAAAATAAGAGCACCGACAGTTCTTAACATTAACACAATAGTCATACCCCAAGACACTTCTGTGACCGTAACATCAAACTCTCTAGCAATATTGGAAACATTCAAGGAAGTAGTAAAGAAATCAAGAGCATCCCAAGTCCAAGCTAAGAAACCAAGTAGGAAAAAATTCCATTGACGAAGGTTGACATGAACCAATGGTTGGAACGGATTAAGGATTTCATTCCAGGAATGTTGAGAAAGTTCTTCTTTCCCGACCCAAAGACTACTAATTCTGGTAGCAAAATAATGCCTAATAGCTGGCCAAGTGAATGTTGGAGCTTGAATGATGTGCTTGTTGTGTTCTTCAGCAGCATTTACCGAGTCAACTTGACGGACTGAACGAATTGATTCTGGCATTGTTGGATGTGCGTGTTTGAAGCTGCTTGATAAAAAAAGATTGCAAAAGTTTTTAGGCAACAAGAACGTACGTTGGTGAATTATTTATAGTTCAATTCCAGGATGTTATACAATGGTCTACACCCCCGCTTCAGTTTGTAGATGAATGAAAGGTTGTCTCGATGATACTTAGTGATTGCGTCTTATTTGTTTTACAATAGTATAGCTCTAATAGAAGTTGGGCCACTTTTTTTTGCAGCCTCTTATCGGCTCCCCACTTGATAGACCAGATTATTTTTTTCTTTGCTTAAAATATTTTTTTTTCTGCGAAAACTTTATTTATCAATTATTTTTTAACAAATGCTTATTATTTTAAAAATAAATATAGATCAACGCATGTATATGTGCGCTTTTGCGCGAACGACAATGGAGATCTGGAATGCCCTCTTTATTCATATTTACATCATCGAAGTAAAAGTCAAACGGATAGCAAATTAATTATCGAATTGTCAGTATTCTAGCTTTACTCATAAGTCAACCCATTTTTTATTCAGATTTGCAATAGCCCCAACTTGAAGGTCTAGTCGCGATTACTTACTCCATGGGGTTAAATTTTGCTTGGACGATAAAAACACGGGACAACTTTTGGTCAAACTCTACATTTCTTGTAGAAACCAAGTGCGGTCCCAAACTTATAGGAGACTGAGTGGTGCTAAACCTTCGATTTTGGAAAGGACCCCACAATGTATCACGTATGGCCCTACAATCTTGGTAAAGGCGGTCAAGAGAATGGAGATACGTACTACATCATTTGCTTCTCACTTCTTGATGAGAGCAGAGTGATAGTTATGAAAGAGAACCAAGAAGGTTTTTTTTGAAGGTTCAGAGCAAATTGAGAATATGGCTTGTCTCCCGGCGAGGTTTGGTACTCCTTATCGGAAAGCTCTAATTTTCGAAGCATATTGAGTTTGTAACTTTCTTTATTTTTGAATTCTTCGGTGTCAAAAGACGTTCGCGGTAAAAGTTATTTAATGACTTCTATCTCTTTTGCATATGTGTAAGTTTTGTGACCTATGTGGCATCGAAATATTCTTATTAAAAATTCCACAGCATTTCATTGTCATAAACTATTGATGTATTGCTGTTGCCTGTAATTTACGGAGACAAAATTAACAAACCTGGGCAGCAAAGTGCTTTTGTACCATCTAATATCAAAATTGTTTTTCTTGGAATACCAAAACGCCGTTTTCCAAGCAAAGCTTCCTGACTCTCGGAGTGGATAACATCCCCGCCATCTAAGTTCCTTGGAATATTGCCAAAGCAAACGGAGGTAATTTATTTACAGAATAGAAACCTATCATTTTGGTTCTTGGTTGCAATCAGATACACCACTATCTCCCCCCACATACACACACAGTTATGACAAGCATTACACATAGCTCTTAGGTAGTACCCCATAGGGATCAGTTTCGTTGAAGGTGTGTGCTACATATTTGGCGAAAGAGTCAAGTAATCCCCTCTCCAGATCCGGGATTTATGCTATTTCTTGAAATATCAAGGGACGAGAGAAAAATGCAAAATTCATTTGTATCTAAGAAAAATACATGAGCGATTGAGATTTCTATACGAGTCATCTATGTATCAACTAGTGAAGAAGGTCAAAATGACGGCCGTGACCATGCACGTTCGTGAATGACTTTGCGCAACGGTTATGGATTTGAAGAATACAGGATGGTGAAACCAAGAATGGTCTAGTACTAGTCATATACGGTCAAATTGGATTTAAATTTCATTCTCGTGATGCGCCTGAGCTACAATGTCCGCAAAATGTAAAGAGTACTAGCGACAACTAGTTCCAAGCTCTGCAAAGTGACTTGAATGGATAACGTGTTCCGAAGGCTCTTAGAGAATAATATAATGAATATATTGCGGGGTGGAACTGGTAGCATGGGTATTGCCAAGGTGGGTGACTCCGAAACATAGTCTTAGTTCCCGTGGATATTGAAATTCTTATTTTTAGTAGGCAAATCCTTAAAAATTTTGAACATACCAACGCTGGTATCGACGGTATTCATACTAGTCAGAATGAATTTGTTCTATTATGTATTAGAAACATCTGAATGGTGGGTATATAATTTACATAGGACAAATTGCTTGAATGCGCTTTCAGATTAGTACAATGTAATGAAGTTCATATCATTTCCAACACCTCCTTGTCTTTTTCAACGCAACCATTGATACACCCACCGGTTTATTCCGAACAATTCTTGACAATTTCCATGTACAGGAATAGAAGGTCCAACAAATCGCTGTCCTGTATCTTATCAACAATGGAGGGGAGACTCCTATGATTTTTATGTCTCGATTTAGCAGCCACTGGGCAAATAAAATGTGTTGTATGACATAACCCAACAACTCTCATAAATGAGGAGAATCATCAAATTAACCAAGCAAAAGGAATCAAGAGTTGCAAATAATGATTGCTTTCAAGAGAGTTCCAGAAATGAAGTACACGCCGGTACTTCTGTGTCTAGCTCAAACAACCTTTGGCAACATAATCGTGAAAAGGAGTTTCAATCTTATTCAAGATCCGATCCCTTTGACATCACAAAACTCTCAGAAGTGTAGCTATTTTCCTTGCACAGAGATTCGACAAACGCACTTGTCATAGATGTACTTGCCCAGTTTCTGAATTTGAAAAGCGGTAGAAAACTTTAGTGGTGAGGATGACTCAGATGTCATTCCAATGCCAGCCAGTGGAACTAGACCTTTTCTATCTGATTCTCCCTTTCTGTTTTCCAATTTGATTGTTTCTTCAGTAACAGCCCATTGCACAATTCCGTTCATTCGAAATAGAACTTGTCGGACTGGTGTTCTACCTTTTCATAGAAAATTTTTGCAACCACTGTCACAGTACTGACTAAACTTAGGCTATTTGTCTATATAAAAGTCAGTTCTACGATATCACGACATGGATTTGGCCGCTTTAGGGGTTAAGAATTTTAGGATAAATCTGGGAATATTCTATTGAGGCTCGTAATTTATTGATATATATTCATCTGTATTTGGATCGCAAGTGGTATCCCCGGTCCTTAGTGAATATCATTAAATTCATTTTATTTTAATTTTCAAATTTGCAGTTAAAAAACGTGGGATACTTAACTGTTTGTTATAGTTCAACTTTAGAAGACACTGCTCTAAACACCCGCTTCAGTTTCTTGATCGACGAGAAGTTGTCCCGAAGATACTTAATGACTTGATCTTATCCGTTAAAGAGTATATCTCTAAATGATGATGGGCCATTTCTTTTTTTTTCAGCCTCTTATCGTCTCCAAGAATTTCATCTTTATTCATATATACTTCATCGAAATAAAAGTGGAACAGATAACAAATTAGTGATAGAATTGTCAGTATTCTAACTATTATTCATAGGACAACTATGTTTTAGGCAGGTTTGTAGCACTCCCAACTTGAAGGTCTTGTACTTACCCCATGTGGTTAAACTTTGCTTGGAGGTTAAAAAATGGGAAAATCTCTCATTCAAACCCTATATTTCTTATAGACAGCAAGTCCGACCCCAAACTTATAAGAAACTGAGTGCTGCTTAAGCTGCGCTTCCATTTTGTGCTACAAATGAGGAGGGTTGTCAAATTGACCAACCAAATTATATCATTGGAGGAAGTTCAACTGATTGCACAGAATAATATCACTCGACAGAATAGAATTCACAAATGAAAGTATAATCTGGTTATTTTTTGTATATTTCAAACAACTGTCGTAGACAAATCATGACCGGCTAACTCAATATGATTCAGGGCCAGAATTGAAATTCGTCTCACTCATCAAAGATTGATCTATCTAACTCTCATCAAATAGCTTCGGATCCAATCTATGCCCATTTGCATAGCTGTTCTCGTTGTTCTTTAAGAAGAACTTCGCATTTCCTCCTTTTCATACAAAGTTTTTGGCAAATTCTTGGGGCTACCAAATTCTTAATTTTCCAGAAGGGAAAAAAAATACCATCACTCTTCTTTTAGCAGCACATCTGAATTTCATCCTTTACAAAGTAATCAATGATATAACCAAGAGCCAATATGTATAATTCGCGCAATTCATATGGTTCATCATCCTCGATGAACAGCACCCCTCAGCCATCGTCATATCAGAACAATAACAACTACAGAGATCGACAATCTCGAGGTAATCGAGACACAAGAACATCCGAAAGACACCAAGGATACAATCCTCAACAAGTCGATCAACAACTCGCCTCACAAGATAAAAAACAAGGATATAGAAGAATTGCCGACCATGGTAACAATATGGGCCGATGGTATATTCATAAATCTTTGGGATTGACTAATAAACGACAACAACGAATCGGGGTAATACGACCAGAATCTAGTTTTTTAATCGATTTAATGCCCTCGTTGGCATATTCATCTTCTATGAATTTAGATAGGAGGAATAATGGGAATAATTTGGCCGTGATGGATATACAAACGAAATTTGTCCATTTATCGCTGAATAAATTAAAACATAGTATTAATGCTGTGAAATGGACACCGGAGGGGAGAAGATTGTTGGTTGCTTCACATAGTGGAGAATTTACACTTTGGAATGGGATGACTTTTAATTTTGAAACGATTATGCAAGCTCATGATTCTCCAATATTGGCATTGAAATATTCATATAATGATGAATGGTTATTAAGTGGAGATCAAAGTGGACAAATCAAATATTGGCAATCCAATTTTAATAATGTTAATAATATATCAGGACATTCAAGTGGGATTCGAGATATTGCATTTTCACCAAATGATTCCAAATTCTTAACTGGTGCTGATGATTCAACTTTAAAAATTTGGAATTTTAATAATGGGAAAGAAGAAAGAACTTTAACTGGTCATCATTGGGAAGTTAAATCAGCAGATTGGCATCCTGATTTAGGTTTAATAGTAAGTGGATCCAAAGATAATTTAGTGAAATTATGGGATCCTCGTGTTTCATCTTGTATAACAACTTTACATGGTTTTAAACATACTGTAAATAAAACTAGATTTCAACCAGCAGGTACTAAAAGATTATTAGCTTCTGTTTCTCGTGATAGATCATGTAGGATATTTGATTTAAGAACAATGAAGGATATCTTAATCCTAAGAGATCATGAAACTGATTTATCTTGTGTTGCATGGCATCCAATGCATGCATCAATGATAACCACTGCCGCATATAATGGATCAATGAATACATATTTATTAGATTCTTATATTCCAGATTCAAATTCTTCCATACCCAAAAGAAATACTAGTGGATTTAATACTGCAAGCCTGGTGGATTCTGTACATAAGATTCCCTATGCTCATGAGAAAGCAATCCATGCTTTGGAATATCATCCAATGGGTCATTTATTATGTTCGGCAGGTTCTGATAAGACTGCGAGATTTTGGTCTCGTGCTAGACCCAATGATCCAATGGCATGGAAGGATGCATTGTATACTGATGAAAAACATGGTGCATGGTATTATGCTGTGAATAATAATGTCAATGCTGTGATAGAAGATCCAACTGTTGTCGCCGCTGCTGCTGCGACTGCGGCTTCTACTGAGACAGGCACTACTACGACGGATGCTACTAGTGGTGATGGAACAAGTGTTACTAATGCAGAAACAGCAGAAAAATCAACCGGTATGAGAATTCCTGGATTAAGTAGTATACCTGGATTGAATAGTTTAGAAGATAGTCTGATAACTACAAATGGAAATACAATTCCAGGTTTAGGAGGACACTAGAAAGAAAGAAAAGTAAATAATTAAGTAAAGTATATTATTAATTACTCTATATAACCGATATTCTATCAAAGAAGAATAAAATTAAAAAAAATATCCCAAAATTAAACCCAAATTCAACGTAAACCAATCCGTATAAACAAAAGCAAAAACCCAAAATTGCCCTAAATCTAAACGCTATCTCTTTTCATACCATTTATTAACCAAATCTAAATAACGTTTCCCTTCCGTTTCATAATAACTATCTTTAAACTCACTTAATATTTTAAACCAATGAGAATTCTGTTTGAATTTTGGATCGACATGATTAAATTCAAATGATTCACCAGCATTAACAACCTTCATATACATAGCCAAAGAAGGTTGATTATTTAATTCTTGTTCCAGTATTGGTTGATACACTTTATAATAATGTTGAGTACGTTTCTTAAAATCTTCAATTGCTGATTTATATTCTTTACCCTTATAATCATTATTATCTGCTTTTTCATTAATATTAAAATTTAATAATCTTGAATCATTACATTGAATATCAAATATTACAATTTTAACATTTCCAATTGCTTCTTGTTTAATAGTTTTCATCATTCGTTGTCTTCTTTCTAAAGTAGTATTAGTTGCATCTAAGAATCCAACATCTATTATATTTGAATTTAAAGATTGGATTAAACTATTGACAGTTATAGTTGCATATAATTCTCTTGCTTCTTTACCTTCTTGATTATTTGGACTAAAGAAATCAGAATCATTAAATGAAATAGAATTTCTTCTTCTTACATCTCCAGCATTGAATACTTCTGGCTTATAGGGAGTTGTCTTATTTATAAATTGTTTTAATTGATGACATGTAGTTGATTTCCCAGAGGCGGGTAACCCTACTAATATTATTACTAATTTTTCTTGTTGCGATTGTTGTGATTGATGTTGAGTTAATTTATTGGAAATAATGCTTGAAAATTCCAATTCTGTTAAAGGTTTAATATCATTTCTTGATATTACTGGTGTTATAGTTGTTGTTTGTGCAAAAGAAGGTGTTGGACCTGGAGTATCGAATATTGAATTTATCGATGATGAGGAATTTATAAATTTAATATCCGTGGGACTTCCTTCATCAGAATCTCGATAAAATGGTGTATTGTAGTTGTTAGGTTTATTCATTATATTGCTGGTATTGTTATGTTGTTGTTCTGGATAATATCTATTATCAGTAAATGAATAATTATCAAATAAATCAAATGTCGTTTTATGTTTATTGCTACACATAGTTAAGTGTGTCTATGTCTATGTCTCGTCTTTTTTTTGCAGTAATTCTTTAATTGTTGAGGATAACAAAAAAAAAGAATAAATTGTAGTCTGTGATTTTTCTTTAATGAATGAACTTAGCTTTAATATATATATAGCTTAAAAGGGGGGGGAGGTTGGAAGTTTAAATATAAAATTAATGACGAATCATATAAATATAAAAGTGTAAATATATAATAAGGCTATGTATATTTTTAAACCACCTGATGATTATTCCCACGATTATTTATATTTATTACAATTAGAGTAAAGGAAAAACTTTTTTTATTTGCTTAGTCATTAGGTGATTATTTTTTAATGTATGATTGTGAAACAATAATGAAAAGAAACAAAATAAAGCCACGATGTTCGGATAAACTTTTTTTAATGACTGCATAGATCACCCTTTTCTTTTTTTCTCTCTTGGAAATGACTGCTCCGTACGAACGAATTTATTATGTAAGAATGGATGTATTACACTATCTATTTCCTAATTTGGAAGTCCAATCAATTAGTAACAAGGGGAGAGGGGGGTCTTAGACATTACACATGCTATCTATTGCCATAATACTACCAGAGATTTTAAATTATTGCTTCCTGCACAGGCTAAGGCGATTACAAAATTTTATTCAACGTGTATTGCTATTGGCTTCTTCAATATGAGATGCGATGACATGAATAAAATGGAATGACATCATGAGCTGTTTTTTTTTAGTTGTTGTAGTTAGACTTAGGATTGCTAAAAAGTTTTTTGCGCACGTTATGACGAAGGGACTGCATATCTCCCTTGTTCTCAAAATCATTCATCATCGTCATTTGACATTATTTTCAAACAATATAGGTTTCACGCTTGTACGGAAAATTTTTTCTTCGGCAGAACAGCTTAAAATTTTTGTTTACTCCGTTTTACAATGTGCACTCCGTTTTACCGAGAGAGAGAGAAAATTTTGAAATTTCATTTTTCTGATAAGCGGAATCTTCATATGACTCAATATGGACCAATGGAACTCATATAGTCCCCCCTCTTACCTGTTTGATAAGACTGTGGATAGAAGTATACCCCGGACTTACGCTTCGGTTAAATATATGACTCATCTGAATAATGCAATGTGTCTCTAACTAACTAATAAATTTTCGTGCCCTCTCCCCCCCCCCCCAGGCGAATCAGGTCTATCATTGTAAGGCAATTAGAATCCGTAAAAGCTTTTTTTTTAGGCTCAACCCCATGGAACAGGAGGTGGTTCCACAACCACATTTCAGGATTCATCACACTGAAAAAAAATATACATATAAATGTACACACACGGAAGTATCACAGATGTATAACATGACAAAAAGTTTATTCACGTGTCACACGACGACTACATGAAACATAAAAACTTATTTTAACTCAATTTTATGTTTAAAATATGCTAAATCTATTTACAATATTTACAGTTATTTAGTACTTGGGTTTATAAATAATTACTCCCTTTTGTTTCTCCAAATGACCCCAATGTCTAGTTCTAGTTGCACCCAATCTTGTATAATATTTACGATTCTGTTCTTTTGGACTTAGAGGATTTGAAGTTCCAGCAAATTTCAACGAATCAGGACCCATTTCAACTAATCTCGAATACATACGTACCATCTCATTATCTGCATCTAATCTAGTAATTTTATAACACATTGCCCATGGGCTTTCTTTGTGAGGTAATGATTGATAGACTCGTTTTATATCTTTACCAATTTCAGCTCCAACGATTTCAATATCGAATACTTTAAGACTCTGTTTCTTTGATTCAAGTAATTTTTCGTTATAACGTTTCAATTGCTCACCATGTCTACGCATATTAGCCAATTTCTTGGAAGGTGCCATATCAAATCTAGTATCATATTGATCGGGGAATTCTTGAAGTTTTAAAACTTCCTCGTCTGTTACTGGAAGAACAAAGGCTCGAAGTTTTGTCCTACCGCCTTGATTCATCTTTTGGAATGTTAATCTAAATGCACCCTTTTCATCCTTTTTCAATTGTTGAAGAATATTATCTCTTAATAATGTTTCCCAAATCTCTAATGAAAACTTAAATTGAGATTCAGCAACAAATGAAGCCGTATGTTCAGGAAGAAGGCTTGTACTCACATTAGGGGCTGCATTGTCTGACGCGATCTTATTTGAATAGAAAATTTCATCAAGCTCAGATAATGGTATATATTCAAATCCAAACATACTATTAATATTATGATATGCAATAAAAATACCATCCATCTGACCAATTCTGGCTTGGAACATATATTTCATCATTGCACCAGTCCTAATCAAATCTTCACGTTCTCTTGCAAACGATTCATATTCTCCCTTTAATTTCCAAACTTGATAAGTATTTTGTTCCAATTTAGGATTCTGTTGATCATGTCTAATAGACAATGATGCACGGGTCTTTAAATCAAATGTACCATTACCGGGTAATCTTTCATCATAACAATCCAATTGTGATCTCAATAAAAATCCGTTATATCCAGCATAATTATATTGATTTGGAGGCGCTTTAGTATCTTTAATACCACTATCTTTACGATATTTAACAAACTCATCTTCAGGATTAGTCAATAACACTTCTAAACAATTCCCCATAGCACTTAATAAAATTTCGGTATCACAGGATTTATCCGACTCTATAGAATAAATAGTTTCACCTTCATCATTAACTCCTTGTCCTCTGACAAATACACTAGAAGGTGACAGGAATGACATACCTGAAAATGGAACATCTCCAAATCTCGACACAAGGGCAGGACTATAATTATTTAATAACAAATAGAATTTCGTAAGAACCCCGGTCATTGACGATGTAGATGAATAAAAGACTTTGGAAAATTCTTTAGCCTTTTCCAATAATGTTGTATCTTTAGACACTCTTTGGAAAGTTTCAATTGTATCAAAATTAAAATCCTTATGACTTATAACTTTCTTCAAAAATGGATCGAAATTATATACTCTTGTTCTTGGATCCTGAAGGAAATGTACCCCCGGAGAAAACAAGACTCGATCAAGATTATGAGCCAATACTGGGATCTTTTTAGGATCAGGTGGAACACATTGTGTGATTTCGGTACTTAGGGCGTCAGCAGTCCAATAGCTATGCACATTTTCTCCTTTGGAGGTAGCCGTTAATTGGTCTCGGGATAGGGTTGAAGTTTCAACTGCCTCATTTTCCTTTGACTCTGGCTCCTTTTTGTTTTTGAAGAGTCCACTGGTATTTGAATTTGATTTAGCATTTTTCGCATTTGCAGCTCTAGCTTGCTTCTCTGCAAGAATTTTGTTGACTTGCTTATCTAATGCCTCTGCCAAAGTTCCCGATTGCTTCTTCTTGTTTGATTTTTCTTCAACCGGGCCCTTATTTGAATTATTATTCTTATTGTTTGGTTTGTTTTGAGACGTCTGATTGTTCTTTGGTTGTTCCTTCGTTTCCCTGTTGGGTATCTCCTTCACCGCCATCCGCGAAACCACAAATTTCTTACCTGATTTAGATGTACCCATAGTTGCATTCCGTGTTTCTACGTGTCCTGCCCTATGAGAACGTCCGCCATTCGATTTCGTGCTGGTCGATGTCGGGCGGTTGGCCTTCTTTTGTGCTTTTGCGAATATTCCTTCAACTTTTGAATCCATACCTTGATTCAGGTCGCCTGTATCCTTGATGTTGTCTTTTTGGGAAACGGTCTTCTTATCTTTATCTCTCCCCTTCTGGTCCAGCTTCTTCTCAACTTGAGATTTGTTAGAAGTGTCTGATACGCCAGTCACTGTCTTCTGGTTACCATTAGCAGGTTTACTCAGTTCACCTTTGACCGAGTTCGTGGTGGGTATTTGCTGATTTATAACATCTTTAGCCTTCTGGAATATAGAATGCAACTTCTTTGAACCTTCCAGCTCTTGACTTGCGATATCCAGTTGCGTATTTTGATTCTGATTATTTGGAGTACCAGCATATTTTCTTATGAAAATAGGCAGTATTCTATAAGAGCAAACTGCGCTTTGAAGAATGACTGAACGTCGAGATATGGCCAACATGTAATGTATGGATAACGATGGATGGATACGTTTTGACGTAGGATTAATTTAGTAGGGCATCGCATTCTCTATTTTGAATCAACGAAGTTTTTTCGAATAGTCTAAGAATTTGTATGCAGTACAGTACACATTAATATATGGCAAGGCCAATGATTCCTCTTTTAATACAACAGTAATACTTGGCAAGATTGTCCCTAGGATAGATATACTGTTGGTATGAGATTTCAGTTGGTCGGGCACCTTAAGTTTTGAATTATTACAGTAAAGGCTAAAACTGAAGTGGGGCGGCCAACAAAAATGAAATAACTTTATCACTAACTTTTGCTTTTGACGACAGGTTAAGGCGAGGAATTCAACACACTCTGGTAAGTAAAACTGGATGTTAGCGTGCCTGAGCAACTCAATAATTAGATGGCTTGGCAAAATTAGACGTATGGTGCGATCTGAATGGGTATACCCTCTCAAGTGCGATTTTTGCAACCAATTCATACACTTACAATTTCCTCCTTTACTATGAGCAGTTCTGGTTACCTCTTCTATTTCACTTGATTATCCATTATATATATTGGCACGTGGATTTGTATACGTGTATTGGGTATATCGATCAACATGTTTCTCATTGAAGTATAGTTTAATAAGTTACAAACAGATTCAATTTTTTTGTGCGATTTTGCAGCAAATTATCGACTATATTACGTATCCGACTTAGATTGGATACAATTTGATTGTCAGAATTTACGACTAAGTAAAGAATGCTTTCAAAGTACTCACAAAATATGAAGGAACTTAATTAACCTTCTTTTGAAACCGAATGCCGAGTTACTAGAACACTTACGGACTGACGTCCTCTTACTTCATTTTAATTTCAACTAATAGGAATATTTAAAAACGGCCATATTAACATTCGACAGATCACAAACTATAGCTACGTGTACAGTAGCTGAAATTTCTTTGTATTTTAGAAGTAGCCTTTGTAGTTGTGTTCGTTTCCTATGGGTGTCTCTTGTTTGCACCAAGTTGCATTCCATTTACAACTGGTCCCCCACATTTTATTAGCGTAAATATAGTCACGTGCTAAAGATAAAATTTAGGGTTCCAACCCTGCTAATCTGATATTTTCCTACATATAAAATATTCCTAACAAAACTTTTACAGGTTGAGAAAGCACACTGAAAAAAAAGTTTCTCATTGAGCTGCTATCAATTTTGTACTGCGAAAAATTAACTAGGAACAGTCTCACTAACCAAACACCTCAGATTGGAAAAGAAAAATTTCAGTTTTTATTAGAAAAAATTTTAATACCTTTCTTGAAAGAACGTAATTAAACCGATCACTAAACAATGGGTATGTGACGACGATACCATATAGATCACCGAACCCTTACAGTAGTTCAGATAGAGATTAGCGCGATTGTGGGAAAGCAAGGGAATCAAATTTGATTAAATAGTGGAGTCGATGGATATTGAGATTGAATATATGTAAAATATGAAAAATCATCAATAACAACCACATTTATGATACTCAAAAGAGAGAGGAATATTCATGAGGATCAGCTTGAAATAGACGACTTCGAGTTTAATAAAAAAGAAGGAAATATTACCTCTTCGAAGAAAATATTTAAATCATCTAACAAATACAGTGCAATACATCTCAGAACAAAGGAAGGAATCTCACGATCATTTCGATTAAAGGACCAATATACTAACATCTTCATATAGGTAGAGTCATTCGTAACCAAAGAAAAGGTGCTGGTTCCATTTTCACTTCTCACACCAGATTAAGAAAAGGTGCTGCTAAGTTAAGAACCTTAGATTATGCTGAACGTCACGGTTACATTCGTGGTGTTGTTAAGCAAATCATCCACGACCCAGGAAGAGGTGCTCCATTAGCCAAGGTTGTCTTCCGTGACCCATACAAGTACAAATTAAGAGAAGAAACTTTCATTGCTAACGAAGGTGTCTACACCGGTCAATTTATTTACGCCGGTAAGAAGGCTTCTTTAAATGTTGGTAACATCTTACCATTAGGTGCTTGTCCAGAAGGTACCATCGTCTCCAACGTTGAAGAAAAGGTTGGTGACAGAGGTGCTTTAGGTAGAACTTCTGGTAACTACGTTATCATTATCGGACACAACCCAGATGAAGGTAAGACCAGAGTCAAGTTACCATCTGGTGCTAAGAAGGTTATCTCTTCTGATGCCAGAGGTGTTATCGGTGTTGTCGCCGGTGGTGGTAGAATTGATAAACCATTATTAAAGGCTGGTAGAGCTTTCCACAAATACAAGGTCAAGAGAAACTCATGGCCAAAGACCAGAGGTGTTGCCATGAACCCAGTTGATCACCCTCATGGTGGTGGTAACCATCAACATATTGGTAAGGCTTCTACTATTTCTAGAGGTGCTGTTGCTGGTCAAAAGGCTGGTTTAATCGCCGCCAGAAGAACCGGTTTATTACGTGGTACTCAAAAAACTCAAGATTAATTTATTTAATTTGATTGTACATTTACATAGGTCAATAATAATGATGAATTTATAAATACTGTTGGGTTTAATTTCTTGTTTTAATAATAAAAAGCATAAAAAATATTTAAACATTTCAACCATTTGTAATCACATTCTATCTAGCTATACATTTTTTACTCTAAACTATTAAACTAACTAACTTCTTGAGTAGCAGAGGACGATTCTTCAACCATGGTCACCTCTTCAGAAGGTGGTTCAACAACAACCTTCGATTCTTTTGAAGCTTTCCTATCATTAGTGGGAGGACCGCCCGAAGTAAGAAGCAAAGGCTTCAATCTGCTTGCAGCAAGAGATGCCTCTTCCACCTTTGATTTCAACGCAGGTTGAAGTTCCACATGTCTTCCATTAAGCTTCTGAGCCTTCAAATTGGAAATAATATCCTCAAGTTTGATTTGTGAAGAGTCAACTTTCGCCAAAACACTAACATAATTCCCCTTTAAGTTAATAGGACCACGCTTTGGTTTATCTCTAAAAATATAAATTTGAGCAGGACGATAATCTTTAAAGAAATCCCTAATAGCTTCATCGGTGATTTTACCATGTGCCTTTGGAATATATACAGTATCAATAGAGAGCTCGGAATTTGCAATAGAGACAAGGGACTTTTGTTCATCATTGTTATTACTAGGAACTACTTCAATTGCTCTAGTTACAACTGGTTTGTTATCTTTCTTAACAATAGCTTTTGTGGAGTCTTGAGGTTTTTCAGTTTCATTTGGTTTCTGATTGGTGTCGTTTCTTTTAAACATATTACGACGCTTTGGATTATAGGGATAATGTTTCTTAACACTCATTTTTCTATTCTTAAGCATGATTCCATCAAATTCTTTTACAACAGCATCTATCTGATCAGGAGTTTTAAATTCAGCATAAGCAATACCCAATGGTCTCTGTCTATCTTTTCTACTAAACCTGATAGTATAACTTGGAATTAATACACTTACTCTAAAGTTTGGATGTTGTTAGTATCTTCTAATAATTCTTTTTGCAACAAATTTGTTTTGGCGGGAAATAACTTACGGTTCATATTTCTTAAACAATTCTTCTAAATCTTCTTCACAAGTGAAGTAACTAAGATTCTTAATATAAACACGGTGATATTTGGATGATGTGGATTGCATTTGTTCTTTTAGGGTAACTTGATGTTGTTGTTCTGAATTGAATGAAGGAGAAGATTTACAAATTAGGGGCAAGTTTCAGAGGTTTTTGCAACACACGATTTTTTCTTAGTCGCACCAAAAAGGGAATGGCTGCAAAGTCAACACAAACACATTCAAAGAATGATGCGAACAAGCAGTGTTGGATTATCAGAATATTTGTTTGGGTGTCTATGCTAAGGTTAGTTTCCAAGTCAAACTGAAAGGAGCATACTAGCCTTTGGAATACTCGTCTTCAACTTCATCCTCTACGCAAATTCGAATGCAATGGATCGATAGAGTGCATTGAATGCAGTTATCCTCTCTAGCAAATATACCACCAAATCACCAACTCGAGAGCCGGAAATCAGATTTAAAATACCAAAGATAGGTGAACAAGGAATGGTCCATTCACTACCAGCCCTTTGACATGCCATAATTTAAATGTGATAAAAATTAAACACTAATTACCGTTGGGTGGCTAATCTTAAGTATTTGAAATCTGAATCTCGGATCTCAGGTGGATCATTGAGAGGTGGGAGCCTGAACGCAATGTTATATTGCTCTTCTATGTAGTTATGTAAATGCTTATGTCAGGTGGATTTTTCCAGACACCCAAACAAATGTTCTCCTAGTTCTTCCCAAACAAGCAATGTTCTCCATGCTGGCAAATGTCATCGCTATTGTTATATTATAATAATGACCAACCATTGGAGCCTCAGGTTCAAATCATTCTGTACCGAAACCATTTTACCAAAGAACCAGGTTGAAATGCTACCATTACTTAGTTACTAAGTTGATTTGACTCTAGATAGCTGGAAACGTTACAAGTGCAGACACAGAACGTTAAAGGTTCAATATCCCAGGGAAGTTACACGGAATTCACCCGGTTACCACCCTCGCCTTATCTCGATTTCCCTTGTGCAGGATTAGGTTATCTAGTGTAGCCAACATAGTGCCAACAATCCTACCGTTTCTACCTTGACTCGCAAATATCAGAAGCAATGGTGAGCTAATACATCAGTTACCAATGACGAGGCATCGTTTCAAATATCAAGCCACTAGTTCATTGTAAAGCTGTTACGATAGTCACACAACGAACACATTTCTAAAGTTTGAAGTCAACCTTGGCTCTCTAAATATCCAAAACAAGATAATTGACGGTAATCAAAGCCAGTAATGAAGAGATTGTTAACTTCTTTGGGTCTTACCCTATAACAGCTTGTAAATCTATGCAGCTTTCAATTGTGATGGTAGATCTTTCTTTTAGCAATTCTCAAAGCGCATATTTCAGTCTGCCTGGGAGTGGGTCTTCTACTCTCCTAGCTTAGATATACACATTAGGAGACCACATTATGCTTACACCTTTCAGCAGTCTTGGTTGCTATCATGGGAGCCTCCTAATGGTCTTTATTTATAGAGAATATTGCCAGAAAGCAACAGTTAATTTACATTCCATTTTTGGCAGTGTGCATTTACCCCCATCTGATACGTAGAGAAGGAATTATGGTCAAACGTTTACAAGTTATATTGTTACAAGTATAACAGTTTTAAATTAGCTTTAATTAATACCTAACAAACCCGTACATAAATATGCATCATCCTTTCAATGTTAAAAAAGATCAAGACGTAAAACTTATGATATTATATATATATATTATAACGTACAATTAATTTAAGATCATTTGGAACTAGAATATATCCCTCTCTATCTTATATTTAAGCGGATTTTTCAGCTCTGGCCTTAGCTAAAGCTTTAGCAGTACCGTGTAAAGCGTATCTGTGGTTTCTCTTGAACTTAGCGTCAACACCCTTTAAAGATGGGTACTTGTAGGTCTTAGGCTTCTTGATACCGTTTCTGTGAGCCTTCTTGGTTTGGTTGTGGGCGGTATGGTTCTTAGATTTAGACATCTTTCTAAATATGCAATGTTAGTATTTCCTGAATTGAATGTATATAGATTTTCTGACCTCTAAAGTGTGTGCCTTGTAATGAACATGAATAACCCGTTTGTTTATTCGTTTGAAATCGTGTTTCACATCCTCTTATTCTTATAGTCATGCAGACTTCGTTATTTCATTTCGTAGTCAAATGGTGAGAATTTCATTAAAATTATTTTCATATCTCTATCTTGGCCAATATTCGTCGTATCTGATTTAGCGTGCTCTTATTCCACATCGGTGTTTATTATACATGGCCACAGACTCTATAGAAGGTACGTATTCACTCAAACATACACTTATTAACAATTGACTTGCAGTACTGAAACGAAAAGAACCGTCTGAATGCTTTGAAAAAATAGATGCCTATATTAAATTTGATTGACCATTCGCACTGGCTGTACGGTACGCACTCACACTAAGAAAAAAAAAATAAGCGTCTGAACAAAGAAAATTTTTCAAAAGGTTCATTCACGTGATATCCTTAGGGCTGAGCCCTAACTCTACCACACAAAGAAATCAAGTCAAATTGTATGCACAACAACTGTAACTATGCACACGTCTACAATCATAAGAATACCTTCAAAGTATGGAACGATGTATTAAATAAACCTGACTAAATATACAATAGAAGAAAGAAAACAATCAAATAATTAAACTAAAAGGTTAAATCTAAGCAGCAGTTTGAGCAGCTTTAGCTCTCTTGGCAATCTTATCATTGGCTTTAGAACCCATAATACCACCACCCCAGTGTCTTCTGTTGTCTTCATACTTTTCAATGAAGTTAGCGTTGATGGTAGAAACTAATTTAGATAATTCAGCTTCATCAGCAGCATTAACTTCAGTTAAAGCAGCAACGGCAGAGTTCTTCTTGTGGACTAAGGTTCCTAATCTAGCCTTACCTTTCACAATGGCGTAAGGAACACCCATCTTCTTACATAAAGCTGGTAAGAAGACAACTAATTCAATTGGATCAACATCGTTGGCAATTAAAACTAATTTAGCCTTTTTGTTTTCAATTAAAGAAACAACGTGGTTCAAACCATATTTAACTACGACTGGCTTTGGAGAGACATCCTTAGCTGATTTACCTTCAGCAATAGCTGCGGCTTCCTTAGTCAATCTTTCCTTCTTTTCAGCAGCAGTTTCTGGTCTGTACTTGTTGAATAATTTGAAAGCTTGGGCAGCAGTGTTCTTATCCAAAGTGTTGGAAAATTGCGCAATAGTTGGAGGAACCTTTAATCTCAAGGATAAGATTTTCTTTTGTCTTTGTAATCTGACATATTCTGGCCATTTAACAAATCTTGATAAGTTTCTCTTTGGTTGAACGGCTTGTCCAATACCGAAGTTCTTTGGAGTAGAATCAATTAAAGGATTCTTTGGGGCAGCAGATTGTTTAGATCTGGTGGCTAATGGAGCTGGAGCAACTTTCTTAGAAGAAGGCTGTGTCATTGAGTAATTGTTAGTTCTAAAAAGTGTTCTCTCATCAAAATGTCAACGAACATTCCTTTTTATAAAACCCAAATACTCTACAGTATCATAAAAGATACTCAGCCTGTGCATCAAGAAGTGATGACACTTATTTCATAAACCTTTAAATCTAACCAGAATGATATATTCATGGAAAGATCATCACTAGGTGAAAGAAAATAAATAAAACGACCATCACTCCCCAATGCACAACCTTTTGTCTTTATTTGATAAAGAGAGGATGTAGCATATAAGGAGGATGTTGTTCCAACTTTGAAAAATTAAGTACTTACCATTGTGATATTGGTTATTATTATGTTTTGGTGTTTGGTGTTTTAGAAAGAAAGAAAAGAAAGATGAATAAAAAAAATTTTCAACCTGAAAACTTTGAAATTATGTTAAGCGAAGAATGAAATAAAAAATTTATTGGTATAAAATATACGCATAGACTTAAAATTACTTAAACCGAATTATTTTTATTAGCAGCCAAAACCGAAAATAGTTGCAAAAAACTAAATTCCAAAGAATTGACCATTTATTAATAAATAAAAATGAACCACACTTACCAACCTTCAATAACTTCAAACAAATCGATTCTCTTTGTTTGTACATTTTTTATAATATCAACAACAGCTACCCTAGAATCATCTACCATACACGGACTAGCGCAGGTAGCAAATACAATATTTGCGCTACATTCATTCACTTCATTTGCTATAATTTCTTGTATATTGGGTCTTCCTTCACGGAATTCCACAAAGGAAAGTTTTTCCTTTAGATTCAGAACTTGGGATTCATCTGCCTTAGACTCGGGAACTTCTGCAACAATTGGTCTAATATTATCCTTTTCTTTCAAATTAGTTCCATCACTTTCTGAATCCGATTTTCCTAGACTAACTGGGGAGTATATTTCAATATCAGAACATAAGTCAGGATGACACACACAAATAACAGGTTCAATGTTAGTACCCTTGAATTTCATCAATTCATTATAGAACCATCCAACCGATTTATAATGATGAACTACCCAATAAAACTTTATATGTCTGGTAGAATCCGAATTGCGGATAAGATCAAGTGCTTGGTAATAGAGTCCCAGGACTCCGTTAAAAAGACCACCCTTTCAAATTTATGAAGTGGAAGGTATTGACCATATGGACCTTCAACCAAAACCTTTATATTAAGGACTGGCGTGGGTAACTTGGACAACTCATTACTTAATCGACCAGTGATTCCGTTCTTTACTTTCATGAAAAATGTGATTGTATTTTCTTCATCAATTGAATCAGTTATGGAAAAAGGATGTGATTGCCAGAAGAACCTTGGTTCAAGGAAATAGACAAAAGCATGACACCCAGGACGAGGTTTCCACCAACTAGGTCTGACTACAGTAAGTCTCAAAGTCTCATCAGAAGTTAGCTCTACTGTAGCTTCCCTCACACCAAACAGAACTACACGGACCAACCTAAGGAATTTATCAAAAGCCCATACTGCAGTTGCAGCAAAGAACAATTGAATTGCACCAACAACCTTTGTATGGTGCCATCCACCAATAATAAAGAAAAGCACAAAAAGGTTATGAAGAATCACAAATATCTCATAATTTGCATTTCTGAATACCTGCAAAGAATGGAATAGTAAAAGACCAGCACAAGTCGCAGCTACAACACCCCAAATCATATAATCAAGTTTCATATGTTCCGAGTAATTGGATAACTTTTTAACTGTGATTGTTTTGGAAGCAACATGAGCCATTAACATCAAAAACATTGATCTTGCAATATATCTATGGAAAATAAGGAAACGACAATAGTTCCAACCTGTTAACCATTGGGTGAAATTGTTTCTTCCGGCAAACAAGATTAGTAATGGAATAGTGAAACTCACCAAAGCCCCAGTTCTTGAGCCAATAGAAAGAGCAATGAAACCATAGCTTGACATAAACACATTAGTGGAACAGAAGAGAATACAAAGTATAAAATGGCCAATTATAACCAACACTTCAAACCTCAATGGGATTATCCATATAAATATCTTCCTCCATGCTTGGCGACTAAGATGGGCATGTTTGATAAAGGGAGGAAGGGTAAAGTGTCTTCTGATTGAATTTATAACATTACCATGCATAGATTGAACCACTGTTGGAAAAAGGAAATAACTCCAATATTGGATCCCACTTATGAGCATAATCAAACCCCAGTATGATAGCAATGCAGTTCCATACCAAATACTCCAATTGTCAGTTAGGGCCATTCGATATGACACATTCCAAATATGAATTACTGCTTCCGGATAAGTTCTAATAGGGAAAGGAGGATCATAATTCTCACCAAACTTTTCACCATGACCATCTCTTATGTAAAAGCTAGCATTGTGATAAGAGTCAACAAATTCGTCCCTGGTAAGATGCTTGCAAAATGACAAGAATCCTTGAATATACTTATCATCCTCAATGCCAAAAGTATCCACTAAGCAATTTGCCATCGAACCTAATGCTGGTTGATTTTCAACTTCACAGAACATAAATAATTCTTCAGGATTGCTTGCAAGTACCGTTCCGCAGGCAACATAAGCCAAATCTGGTTTATGTGTAACACTTAATTCACCTCTCTTGGCAAGTACGAAATCAACAAGGAAAAATACAGTTAACAATGGCTTTAGTATCAACATCCTTAATGCATTTCTAAGTGAAGAAAGTGAGACAAGAAAAGTTTTGGAAAGAAGGTATTCATGGATGGTTATTTATATATTTGGAGATCTCTTTGGTGAAGAAAGATTGAAACTTTTGATAGGTAATCATGTCAAAGCACATATCTGCACGTCTATCCTTGTTGAACATATGGAAGGAGGCTGAGTCTGACTGAGCCCAATATATACCTTATAAATTTGTAAAGGGTTAGTCATAGTATATGTACGATAAGGTGCATGGAAGGAATATGAGCCACTTACGTTTAAAATGTTAAAGTTACTTTCCTTTTCTTTTTTGCAGTCAATGTAGAATTGATTACGAACCCAAATTTACGTGGATTAAGTCCTGGTTGATGAGTAATATTAAGCTCGATAATTGATACTGGTGGGTTATCAATTAAGATGCAAAAGTATGTAACAGATTCTAGAAGAAATTTGATTTTGAAAGGGGAACTATTTTTTGGCAGCCATTTATTCTTCAGGCATATTATTCAGCAGATGATACCAACAAAAGTATTGGAATCAAATTTCACTAGACATCAGCGTAATGGCCAACCCAAGCCTCAATGATAAAGTTAATCTATGCAGGTTAAAGAATCTATCTGTACTCCTTGACGTAGAATTGATAGGCACGATGAATGTCAAAGATTTCTTGGCTGAAATCAAACCGGGGTTTATACTTGTTGGGCATAACACTTTCAAACGAGGGGATATCTTAAACCTGAAGATTGTAGACCAGTTTCTTTTAACACTCATTATTATACTTATTGAGGAGTGAATTATTTACCAAAGGGGATAGCATAGCCTACTGGATCCATTGATTGGTGTTTCTAGGATAACAATTTCAAAATGCTAACAATTGGTAGCACTCTTTTCTTTTTTAGGTGAACCACAACTAAGAATTTTTCCCCACTATCAACAACAGGTTTTTTCACATGAACATTTTGTCAAAAGTGATTAGAATTTCCACATTAATCCGAGAGTTCTTTTTAGATATTTTATGTCCCCGTATATGATTAAGACGCCTTGTTCCTAGTACTAAAACGTTATGGCTAAATCATATCATCGACACTTACGGGCAGCATTTGAACCCAGTGATGTCAAATTATTAACAGCAACCCCCACAGCAAAATTACTTACCGAGAATCCAACCTTGGTATCGGCATTATCACAAATCTTTCCTTATTTATTATTAATTGATAATCTATTGTCTATATTGACATGGACTAATGATGATCATTATGAGAATTTCTTGTATATGATAATCTATTCGTTTATTGTTATGTATTGGAATTGGGTGAGTCATTTTATATTACCATTACTAATCGCATCAACTTTTGCAAGTGTAGTTTGGACAATATCATCAGTGGTTCATGCTTGCAAATGGGAAGACCCTCCTACAATTGATGAGGTCTTATATACATTACATAATATAACGGTGAGGTGTGAAATGTTATTTCAACCATTGAAACATCTTCCATTTAAATTGGAGAATTATATCCGAATGTTTCTCACAGTATCACTTCTTACTCCATTGCATTTAATTTTTACGAAATATAACATAATCACTCCTCAGAAGTATCTATGGCTAGTGGGATTAAGTATGTTTAGTTTTCATGCGCCTTGGGCATTTGCAATCAGACGATTACTTTGGCGATCAACATATGTTAGAATTGCAGCTATATATATTACTGGATTTGATATCAAACTTAAGAAAAGTCTGTATAGTGCTCGTTCAATAATATCCAATCCTTCTACTACTGATGTGGAAGACTTGTCAACCAGTTTGTCATCGGCTGCAATTCTTGGAGATTTCAAGATTGTTCAAAAATCAGTTGTTTCCCCCACACAAATCAAACAATTGGTTTTATTTGAAATTCTTGAGAATGAAAGAAGATGGATTGGAATGGGATGGTCAAGTTTGTTATATCCTACAGAAAGATCAAACTTCTGTTATGAAGGTTCATATAATTCTGCACCTAATATTAATGAAACTAAAGAATTCCCATTCCCAATTTTTGAAAATGATATATATTCATATAGATGGGAATGGCTAGATACTGAATGGAAGTTAGATCCTGAGTTTAGTAAGTCTAAATCTAAAGAAGGTTGGGTATTTTATGATTCTAGTTGGAAGGATGGCCGTGGGAGAGATGGGTTTTCTCGTTTTACAAGATCTAGAAAATGGACAAGACGAGCAAACTTATTGATTGATAAACAAAAGACTGTATATGATGAGTAAATTTTATGTATTTATATTATTTATATATCAAAATATTGTATGAATTGCAATCATAAAATTGGTTGCAATATTTTTTGTATGACTGCTAAGACTTTCCATATTTCTTCTCAACCATTTTTTCGCTTCACATCAAATGTAAAGAGAGAAAAAATTTTCTCTACAAACTTTCCTATTAAATTTGCTTCGCCTTTTCCACTTCACTAGATTAACGTCACTATTAGAAACACTATGAGTTCATCAGGTAACTTACCATACAACGATATACCTAAGAAATACATTGATCCTATTCCTGTGAAGGATAAAGGAGAAGGTTCAAGAGTAAATGGTAAAGATTGGAAAATGAAGAAGGATGCGTTTAGAGTCAAGACCTTGGGTGTCACTAAAGTCACCAAACCAAGTTCATTCAAAGATAGACAACAAAAGAAGCTACAAGAAGAACAATATAAAACTAGATTGAAAGAATTAAAGGAAGAAAAAGAAAATACTAGAAAGCAACGAATAGAAGATTTGAAACGTAGAAGAGAAATCAAGGCTGAGAAGGAAAGATATGAAAGAATGGCTGCTACTATGCATGCTAAGAAGGTTGAAAGGATGAGAAAGAGAGAAAAGAGAAATAAGTTGTTAAAGGAACGTTAGGTACGGGGTTTGCACTTTGTATACTACTTTTTTTAAGTCATACCACGAAAGAGATCACTTCGCCCATAATGTTGGTGTTCACGATGAGGGGAAAAGAAAAATTATAAAGACTACGAGTTGGTTACATTAAATCAAACAACGCTATAGAACATAGATTATAGAATTATAAGGACGAATTAGCATAAAAGGACTCAACGTTTATCAGAAGCAATGCTTGCTCATATTTCCGAGATGAGCATTTTTCACATAAAAAATAATTGATAAACAATGAAACTAAAAAAAAAAGAAATCCAAAGGGGAGATAACAAATGGGAGAATACGGAAACCAACTCTCCTTCAAACTTAATAGAGAATTACAATATTTGTATATTATTAGAATATATGATATCCATTGCATATACACAAATCATGTTTGAAATATCAATAATGAAGAAGTTTACATTTTGTTATGGGGGAAAGGGCTGAGAGACTATGAATTTTTCATAGATGAATTAATTTTTTTTTTTTATTTCTTGAATTCTTTTTTTCTTCTTTTGTAACATTTTTCTTTTGCCATCGTAAGTAACAAAATGAGTGGTTACCCGGATTTTGTTCACTAGTATAAATAGGACACGATCCCCCGAAGTTTTTTTCTGTTTGAAATTTTTCCGTTTTCGTCATCTTTTTCGCTCTCCTGCATATTAACAGGTTTTTTTTTGTTGTTGTTACGATTGCAAAAAAAATCACAAGTTCATTTTATCACCCTTCTATTCCGTTTATACAAAGCTTTCAAATAGTTTTTGAAACCAAAAGGAAAGAAGCTGTACAATCCTTCAAATTGAAGAGGAGTTACTACTACTATATATAGAATACATTCAAAGTCACTTTTTAGTTGAAGAAGAATTATCATTCCCCATCTAAAGTTTTAAAGTGGTATCTATTTATAGGATTTTTTCAATAGACAAAGAATTACACACACCACAAACTTAATATCATAAAGATCTATTTGTGGAATTCTTGAATTATCGAATTTCGTTTTTTTTTGTTTTTGTTTTTTTCTTTGGGATACATTTGTTTGTTAATCTCAAAAATAATACTAATCCATCCTTGTAATATATAATTCAATCAAGAATATTATAATATTTCATTATGGACTCTTTAAAGTTACCAACTACTGCTGCTCAAGCCAAGGCATTCACTGCTCCAAATTCATTATTATTCCCTAAAGGTATAGATGGTGAAAAGAAAGAACAAGATGGTTCTGAAGGCATAGTTAAAAAAGAACCAACTGAAGATGTAATTGAACCAAAGCAAGATGAAGATGATGGTGCTACATCCGGTATTGTTCCAACATTACAAAATATCGTTGCTACTGTCAATTTAGATTGTCGTTTAGATTTGAAAACTATTGCGTTACATGCCCGTAATGCCGAATATAATCCAAAACGTTTTGCTGCCGTCATTATGAGAATCAGAGATCCAAAAACTACCGCATTAATCTTTGCTTCTGGTAAGATGGTTGTTACTGGTGCAAAATCTGAAGATGATTCCAAATTAGCTTCAAGAAAATATGCCAGAATTATTCAAAAACTAGGATTCAATGCCAAATTTACTGATTTTAAGATTCAAAATATTGTGGGATCATGTGATGTTAAATTCCCAATTAGATTGGAAGGATTGGCATTTTCACATGGTACTTTCTCGTCATATGAACCTGAATTATTCCCAGGGTTGATTTATAGAATGGTTAAACCTAAGATTGTGTTGTTGATTTTCGTATCGGGTAAGATTGTTTTAACTGGTGCAAAACAAAGAGAAGAGATTTATGCAGCTTTTGAAGCTATTTATCCGGTGTTGAGTGAATTCCGAAAATCATAATCATATTCCACACCACCTCCAATTTTAGCATTTTAATTTTTTTTATAAATATTTTATTCATTCAGTTTTCCCCCCAGATTTGTATTATTATGATTTTATTTTGTGTATATTAGAAAAAGATTTATTTTTTAAAAAAAAGATTCAAACAAAGAGATGATGATTATATATAATTCTTCTCCTTTGAACGCATACAAAAAAAGTTAAATGGGTTTTGTTGTTTATACAAGTTGTGTTTTTTAGTTTTGTTGGTTTTTTTCAGTTAGAATGGATGCCCGAAGTGGCAGGTTGTTTCAGTTTATAAATATCCTATGTTAATATTTAGCATTTTACCCAAGAGTATTTCAGTATGAATCCATGCTTTTTACTTATCTATAAATTAAATAATAATCAAAAACACATAAAAAAAGAGAAGAGAAATTCATAATTGAGTATTAGATTGCCTTAGATCAGTTTTTTTTTTGATTAATAAGTAATTAATACATAATAGTTACAAATTTATTCTATTATCTCTATAGGGAAAGGTTTTATTTAAAGAATCCGCTTATAGGCTTTTGATTTGTTTGTTTCTGTTGCGTCTTTCTACTTGTATATTGCAATTTAGGTTTCTTCGCTGGTGGTTGAGAACTTTCAATTGACCTTTGAGATGACGATGCTGAATTTGGAGTTGATTCACGCGATGTCAGTTCTGAGGGTGTCTTTTTTGATCCAAATAATGTTGAGATATCTCTTGATTTGCTTAATTTGTAATGATATTTAGCTTCAAAATTAAGTTTTGTTGGTACCACTTCAGCATGCTCTTGATGTTCTTCATCTATATCCTGATCTTCATCCAATTCAACATCAAAATCAGTAAATACAGGACAATGATCCGATCCAAGTATGAATGGCCATATATCAGCCTTTGAAATTCTTTTTACCATATTATAACAACTACATAAGATCAAATCAATTCTTGATCCATGATTAATTTGTCTTGCACCAGTTAAAGTATTCCAAACGGTATAGATATTCATTTTTCGACCTTGAATGAATCGAGTTGAATCATATAAGAATTGCGTATCGACAGCTTTCTGGGTATTTGTGTCAAGGATTAGATCATGCCATAGACCAGGGATGGTATATTTATTTAATAATTCCCGTGCCTTGGTTGATGATTTAAATTTCCAACATTCTTCATAATTTATGATTTCAAAATTATATCCATCTGAAGTCAAAGAAGGTCGGATTAGATTTTCATTTATTCTATCTTTCATTCCTTCTGCATTATCAATTAAGTCCGGGCTAACATTTATATCACCCATTATTATAACTTCTTTACCTAATTTGAATTTTAATTCATAAGCCCGTTCAAATAATATTTGTAAGAATTTCAATCTAAATTTCTCACCTTCTTCGGTGCCTTGGGAATTTGCAGGACAATATAATGCAAATACTACTAGGCTGTTAGCTAGTTCAATACAGACACATCTTCCTTCACTATCAATTGCTAATCCTTCTAATTCATCGATATCAGGATATCCTCCAATATTGTTATCAGTTTGATCTCGATATGGCGATGGCCGCAGCGGTATTGTATCTCCATTGGTTAGTTTACTAGATAGCCAACCAGTTATACCTTCTTCCGCTCGTATGACTGTTAAATTTCTTTTAACATTTTTCGATTCTGAAGAATCAGGAATTCGAACAAATAATCCAACACCAGAATATCCTTTTTTGGAAATAGGCAAACTTATAAATGATTTATAATTTCGAAGATGTCCAATATCTTTAATAGTTGGTAATGTTTGATTGGATAATTTTAATTCTTGTAAGGTTATTATATCTGCTTGTAACAGTTGAAATAGGGCGTTATAATCTTGATTGAATTTATTCCAGGGATGGTAATTGAATAAAGTATTTGCTCCGTTGATATTAAAAGTTACATATCTTAGAGTAGATGATTTGTTTGATTTGGGATGGATTTTATTTAGGGGTTCTTCAGTTAATAGGGAAGAAATCTCGTTGTTGTTGCTGTTCATTAGAAGAGTCCTATTGGATGGATGATCTCATCTCGGAATTATTCACTGCATAATTTCCTTATTAAAGTTTTCTGGAGTTATGAAATTTGTGAACCAAAAAAAAAATATGCAAAAAAAAATAATGACGCGTGTTTTTTTTTTTTTTTCGTCCCCAAGAAAGAAAGTTAAATTATTTTCTTAAAGTATTTATTTCCCTTTATTTTATAGAAACGTTAGACAATTGTTGATGTACAAATGAAAGTTAAATGATTCCAAAATAGGGAATAATAATGTGTAATTGGGTCTTTGTAAACAATACAAATGCCCATCCGGATATATAACCAGCATTATGGAAACGTATTTGAATAGAACAATCAAATACTTGGACCAAGTTTAACCGATAAAAGGTTTAACCGATGATTTAAAGAAAGGGGGTGGAATATACAGCACATGGACACCGGAGAATGGACAGAAACGTTGTTATTCGTAAATATGTTGAACGAGTTGTTGTCTGATCTGGAAACCTTTGGATCTATTTGGGATTCCAATCAAAATAAAGGGATCGAAGTACGATTTGCTCTTGCTTAGATTGATTTCTTGGTGTAGAGAGAATACCTAAGAAAATACAAAGTAAACAATTACTGTGTTAGTTGGATCCTTAGATGGCTTCTAGAAATGAAATTTACTGTCTTAACAATGAAGTGCATTTCCGATATTTCCACTGCAAGCTCCTTTAAATTGTTAAGTTTGTGTTTATTCATGTATACTGTCAATTTAAGGTGAAATTTAAAAATCTTTTTGACACGCGTATTTGTAATACTTTTTGTGGCACTACCAGATGTACTTATTTTTTAGCCATTCGGTTGTTGTTAAAAATCAAGATTTTTTTTTTTTTTTCCTTTCTTTAAAAAAAATTGACGAAAGTTGACGATTTGAAACATAAAACAACATAAACTTTTTCTTAACTTTCAGATTTCGTTAATTTTGAAAAGAGAAGAACATTCTGTATTGCAAAGGTTACTTTCATTGGAAGAATATCACACCTGAAAGAAAAGAGGTAAAGAAGTAGTCATATCCTTACATACCCTTGTTTACCACACACATTCATTTAACAATAATCAACTCAGCCCCACGGTAAACTTTATTTAGAAACACGAACAAGCAAAAATCTGATTGATCATTTTCAATCGAAACGTTCTCATCGTTTGATTATCTTTATTTATTATCCCCATAGAAGAGCCATTACACAAGTATGATTGATTCAGAATCATTTATAAAACGATCTCCATTCAAATTAACTCAAAATGATTCAAATGGGAAATATAATTTAACCAATACAACTCCAGATCTATTGAAGTTTCAATTGCAACAACAGTATAGATCAAAAATATCAGAAATAAACAAAGATCAACCAAAGAATTATAATTCTAGTACCACCAATGAAGATGATGAGGATGATGATGATGTTAATCATAATAATTCACTTGATTCACAGGCGTTACAAGATTCATTTAATATTTATTTACAATCCAAGTTTGAACTGGGTGATATAAAAATACAACATTCTACACGTGTTGGTGATTCTCAAACATCGCCATCTACTCCAGAAAGTGTATTTTCCAAATTAGGTTCAGATTCATCAAGTGATGAAGAAGAAGAATATAAAGAAGATGAAATTCCAAAAGATCTTCTCGAAAGAATAAATCATAATCAAACAAATTATTTAAATTTGAAAATATTAATTGAAAATTCAGTATTTGATACTAATAAAATTAATGGAGATTCTATACTATCCTTACCTGAGGTTATAAAATTAAAAGAATCAATTGAAGAAAAGCGTCATCTACAACAATATCTAACATCTAAACTATCGGTTGTTCAGGAATTCATTAACGATGTGATAATAAGGCCATTTGAAATTATAGACGAACATGGAGAAGAAGAAGACGAAGAAGATCCTTCAACAGGAATTGATTCAAAGACATTAGTTAAACTCATGAAACAAAATTCATCTTTACAATCACATTTATTATCCACCACAACCGAATTAGAACAACTAACTACAAGATTAAATAATCATAACTTATCCTGTTTGGTATTAGGGTATATTGAGGATGTTAACATCTCGGTGAGTGGTGAGAATGGTTTAACTACTCCTGAAACTCCCAATGACACAAGTTTCTTGATATCTGCATTGAATTCATCTTCCCCGAAGAAAGATAATACACATAATAAGATATTTGATTCACTTTTCTCCCATGTTGCAAGTGTGGCAGCTCAAAGAAGTATAACCTTACCAAACCCTCCAAATGATCCAGAACTGATTGATTCCAAAATTCAATGGGTCCAAAGTTGTATAGATAGTATACTTTCCAATTCAAAGGTAAGCAGTGGTGATGATGCTGATGAGTCGGCCGCAGATATCACATCTAATTCAATGCATATGACTAACAATTCAATTACTTCCAATGATTATTCGTTAACTGGTGTAACTTCGAATGGACCAGCAAGTCCGGAAAGATCAATCACTGAATATAGAACTGCTTTGAATGATTTACGATTTTCATATCAATATCTTACTAAAGAATATGAACATTCACGAGAATCATATTCAAAATTAGTACAAGATTATAGAAAGAAGATTAAACAATTAGAAAATGAATTGAAACGAAATAAAGATGGATCACCAATATCGTTATCTTCATATACTCCTACCCCACTGCCAACAACTTCGAGTCGTGATTCGCTTGAAAGTAAAGATCGAGAGATTGCAAAACTTCGTAAAGAATTGAATCAATTACGAGTTGATAAAATTGCAAAATCAACCACTCCTCCTACTACTACTAATCAAACTACCAGTAATTCATCATTAGCTACTTCTCCAAGAAGTCCTCCGTTGGAATTAGCAAAAGTTAGATCTCCAATCACTGGCGAAATGTTACTACATGATGATTCATCAGAAGATGAAAAGAATTCAATCCATTCAACTAACAATAATAATAGTAGCAATACCAGACCAACTTCAATGAATGGTGGGTTTAGTAGTGGGATTCTAAGAAAAGAGTTTAAGAAGATTGTGGGTGATATACATGATCAATATGAACTTGAATTGACAGAAGAAAGATTGAAAAGAAGACAATTACAAGAAGAATTGGATTATTTGAAGACAACAACTGCGCATATCAATAGGCGGCAGTAGTAATAGTAGTAGTAGTAGTAGTAGTAGTAGTAGTAGTAGATGACTCTCTTTATGTATTTTTAATAGAAATTTTAACCCGTTTTGCGTCAGTCTCGTTCCAGTGTAAATTATTGGCCCTGATCTTTGATTGTAAAATAAGCTTTCTGATGACCCACATTTGTTGTTGCCAAATTTATTGGTTGTAACAAAAAAAAAAATTAACCAAGGATTATTGAATTCAATAGGACCCTGCTACTGAAAGAACGCGTCAGAATAATTAGGATAGAGCAGAAGACTTAAGAGCTAATAGTAATCAGCAGAAGCAAGAGGTCATGCTGAACAATCCGAATCAACCTCCGCAAGGATTTCGCAATGTGTCAGATTTGGAAAACTTGGTTGGGAATGCATTTTTTTTAAACAAGGAATATCAAAGGCAATATGATCCCAACTATATTGAGAATCAAAGTACTGCTCCGAATCAAGGGTTGCAACAACGTCCATATGTAAACCCTAATCAACAAGCATTTACTCCAATAATACAAGGCAATCAAGTAGGAGATACCTACGACCAAGCATGGCAAAATCAAGCTAATTCAGTACCAATGCCGCCATATCCACGACCACTATCAGGTGTAGACTATTATGGACCTACGCCACAATCTAGGCTTAATGGTGCTGTCCCAATGCTGCAGCTGCAATCACTGCCGTCATTTGTGCAAGTCTCCCAACGTCGATCAAGACAACTAGTCTATGCACCACATGCTGTTCTTCAACAAATTATTCAATCACTGTACAACAAGCATCAGACTACCGACAGGGGAGCAATGCAATCTACGCCTTCAGTGCAATCATTGTCTTCTTTTCAGCAAGTCTCCCACCGTCGATCAAATCAGCCAATTTATTCGCAAGACGCCGTTCTTCAAGAAATTATTCACTCACTGTATGAAAAGTATCAAACTACCAATAATGAAGCAATACAATCTACGCCTTCAGTGCAATCGCTGTCATCTTTTCTGCAACGTCAATCAAAGCAACCAATTAATTCAAAAGACGCTGCTATTCAAGAAATTATTCAATCACGGTATAAGAATCTTGAAACTTTCAACAGGGGAGCGACGCAATCTACGTCTTCAGTATCCTCACAACAGTCGGAATTCTCAAGAAATAATTCTGGAAGCACGGGAGCATNCAGTATCCTCACAACAGTCGGAATTCTCAAGAAATAATTCTGGAAGCACGGGAGCATCAGTCAGAATGTTGGGACAAAATGGATCTAATGAACATTCTCATCTTGTTCAACAATCATCATCAGTCATGGATACAACATCTCCAAGGATTCCTGAAAATACATATCCAATGATATATCGTGCGAGTGGCCACATACAACGAGCAGTCATTCAGCAACAAGCATTCACTCCGCAACAACACCAACCACTCCAACGGCAACTACTTCAACAGCTGCCATCGCAGCAGCAACCACTCCAGCAGCAGCAACCACTTCAACAACAGCAGCGTCAACAGCAACCACTTCAACAACAGCCGCTTCAACAACAGCCACCCCCGCAACAAATATTCACTCCACAACAGCAGCAACCGACACAATTATTTACTACACAAAGCCAGTCATCACAACATGCATTCACTCCACAACAGAACCAACCACTGCAACAACAACCATCAGCGGTGGCTATTCGAAGCTTACCGGGAAATTTCTCCCCTACAGTTCAAGAACCATATGCACAAAACCAATATATTCCACCTTCTCTGTCCTCATCTGAAGAAGTTATATCTACTGGACCTAAAGATTTACCGCCGCAGGTTTCACCGATGCAAGGCGAAGATATAGTTGCCAAGTATCATCTAATAAAACAGTCACAATCACAATCACAGCAGGCTTTGATACAGTCAGAAACACAGGGAGATGATAAGCAACGTACTATGAATTCTGAAAATGATGCGAAAATTCAAGAAATAATCTCGAGGTTGCAACAAAAGTCCGATAGTTGGGTTAATACTAGAAGATTGATAAATCTGGATTGGGATGAAAAGGATGAAGTTCTGCAAGGAATGCGGACTGCCAAGCGTGGGAATCCAGATGCCGTATATCGTGAACGAAGCAAGGTTCCAAGAACGGAAAATTCGAATATGGATGATGCTGAGAAGAATCAAGGAGATGAACAAGGCAATGATGACGATTGTCAGATAGTGTATATTGTTGAGCATCAGAGAGAGAAGCAGAAGGAAAATGGAGAGTCGAGTATCGTTGACAAGGAGGAATCAAAGCTCCAAGAGGCAAATGAAAGTGTGCTTCAATCCAGCACAGTAAAGGGAAATGAAATGCCTACAACCAATACCAGTTCCAATATTAATAGTAACGGTACCACCTCGCCACTGTTGGATGAGAAACCAGAGAGCGAAGGTGCTAATAAAAGTGAATTTCAACCCGGTACAATAAACAAAATGGAAAGCCCAACAACTAGCATTCCTCGTGATGTTGAATCTCCTGGTGAAGAATCCAGGCCCACCGAAGATGAGCAAGTGAAAGAAGAATATGATGCAAATGACCCAATTATTAAATGTTTAAACTTTTCTGATCATTTGGTGAAAAAAGCATACAGACATGCCAAAGAAACCAGTACCGAAAAAGGTATGGAAGAATATTATAAATTAGTTGACCTCGCAATCCGAGTTTTGTTGCGCTTTCATTCCAGGTATCAATATCGATTGAGTGCACGTCAGCAAGTGTTGATTTATCGCAAATTAGCCAAGTTATGTTTCAAAGACGCCGATAATATGGACCTCGCTGAAGAATATATCACAAAAGCCATTAATTTTGCATCACGAGAAACTTCCCTGATCAAGGATCGATTTGTATGTGAATTATTGTATGCTGATATCCTAGAGAAGAGTAATCCAAAATTAGTAACCAGTTATATAAAGGCATTGATTCAACGTTATACCGAAATGCAATATCCTAAACTTGCACAAATACTTCAATTATTGAAAATGAAGAATCTTTTCCTTGTAGATTATTCAACAGGTTTGGTAATATTACAAAGTTTGATCCAAGATCCGAAACTAGATGAAGTTTTAAAGACACTTTGCTTGATTTATTATGCCAATTTGCATAATAATAGAGGATCCCCATCGAAGGCTCTTGAGTTGATCTCAGAAGCGGAAGCGATGATTAAGCAAAGTTTTGCATTACGAATCCGGGTCCCCGTTCAACTTGTGTCCATGCTCTATTTGGTGAAATTAGGTGCGAGTATGAGTTTAGGTAATGTTTCACAGTGCAAGAGTGTTTTGGAATATTTAGTAAGCTATATGCGTATGCAAAAGAAACTTGATTGGAAGACTTGGAAATCCAATGGAGATATAAGTATTAGAATAGGGATAGAGGAAAATGGTGATGAATTAACATTTGAATTCCCTTGGTTGTCAGTTGATGAGTTTATTATTATGGTATATTTCTTAAAGGGTATGTATAAGATATCACATTCTAGTGATGATTCGACACAGGCCTTCAAAGTGTGTCTAGAATTGATCCAGAAGAATTGCAGAAAGCTTATGGGTGGTACGGAGTCAACGGTCTCACTTTCCATTCATGATGTTCGGAAACGAATTATCAAGATGTCATATTTCAAGTTCTTGATTGACTATTATCAAACATGGAATAGATTTACTAGAGATGATTTTGATGCAATTAGTAATATGAATGACTATATGAATGCAAACAATAATGGATTTGCCAGTATCGAATACCCATATATGAAAAAATTCTTTCCTGGAATTAATTATATGTTTGGGGTGTATTATCATCATAAAGGGGATATCCAGGCTGCAAAATATTATTATCTTAAAGTTAGAAATATGACGCTGAAGGCTGATGGTCCCGACTTTCAAGTTTCTTTGGAACAATTAGAGATGGGTGTTGGAGCTGATTCGATGAATCCTGAATCTCAATATAGTGAATTGTTTGTGTTTGCAACCCTTCATTTATTAGTATTGCTTGAAATTGAAAGTGAACTAATCTCTCATTCGAATATAAATTCCAAAGATGGAAAATTGAAATCAGATGATAGTAAATTGAAGCTGGAATTATATCATGATTTAGAAATTGTATTCAAACCAAAATCGAAAACATCAGATAGTTTCATGTTGAATTTCACCGAGAACAACCCAGTTGTCAGGACTACATACAAGTTGATCATTGATATTCTCCGTCGATCTAGTGTCAACATGGATAAGGATGGATCTGGTCCGAATATTATGGAGGATCTACATGTTGCTTCTCGGTTGATTGACGGGAAAACATCCTTAAGATTTGTGTATTTTTTGATTCATTACTTCATCATATCAAAAACTACGAATATAGAGGAACAAGATGCTTCACTTAAAAAATTGAATGATTTATTGAATCATACAAAGTCAGAATCTGATAAAATGATTTGTCTTTTTATTTTGAAACATATGTTGGCACGGTTTAATAGTACGGGAGACTTAGATAAGGCACAAATGGTGGAACTGCAGATACAATTCCATTATAGTGGTCTTCAAGAGAAATTCAAGTTTTTGAGAAATAATACTCTTATTGACAAGGAAGGTACCCCAATGACACGAGAATCCACAGTGGATTTTCCAAAATGATCAAAGATTTAAAATTTAAATGTACAAATATATAGAGTCATGAATATAAAAGAGTTTTATACAGCAAGTATGCGTACTTACTTTTTAGATTTCTTCTTCTTTTCAGACTTTACTTCACCATCGTCTTCAGCCTTTCTCTTCTTTTCCTTCTTTTCTTTCTTGTCTTTCTTTTCCTTCTTATCTTTCTTTTCCTTCTTTTCTTTCTTTACTTCATCAGTCTTTTCCTTCTTTACTTTGACTTCTTTAGCTTCTGGAACTTCTTCAATCAAAGTCTTCTTTGGTAATTGAACTTCTGGAGCAGCTAATTTTGATTCTGGAACTGGTGGAGCAGGAGTTTCATCATGGTCCTTGTATTCACTCTTCCAGTTTTCTGGAGTGTTTTCATTGACTCTACCGAATTTATCTAATTTACCATCAGCCTTTAATTGTTTCTTCTTTTGAGCAACTGGACCTAATCCCCATCTTCTTGGGTAAGTGTCTCTTTCCATAATACATCTCTTAACCTTGGCAACAATACCGTGGTCACAAGATTGTAAATCGACAGTGGTCATTTGGGCAATACCAATAGCAATAGCTTCACCCTTGGTAGTGATCAAGACAACTTCATCATATAATTCAATACCTTCTTCATATCTTAATAAACCAGGAATCATTAATTTAGCACCATAACAAACAGAATTGACTGCGGAATCCTTAACCACAATTCTCTTGTAACCAACCAATAAAGATTCTAAAGGTTGAATGATTTTTCTCAAATAAGATTCATCTCTAGTGTTATCATAAACGTATTGAGCATCTAAAACGTCATGTAAAGTAACCATGTTATCAGCTTCACTCATTGCTCCTGAACGAACACGACGTAATTCTTGCATATGACCACCAACACCTAATAACATACCTAAATGAACACATAAAGTTCTCATATAAGTACCAGCTTCACAAGAAGCCCAGAAAACACCTAAACCTCTCTTATTATCGAATTCGATTAATTTAGAATCATAAATGGTTCTAACTCTTAATTGTCTCTTAACAGCAGAAATTAATGGTGGTCTTTGGAATAAAGCACCAGTTAAGTTTTCTAAAGATCTACCTAAATCTTTGGCATCTTTTAATTCTTCATGTAATCTAACAATACATACATATTCTTTACCAGCACCTTGTTGGGATTTAACTAATCTAGTAGCACGATCAATACAAACAATTAAACAACCAGTAACTTTTGGATCTAAAGTACCTGAATGACCAGTTTTTTCAGCTCTTAAAATTCTTTTAATCCAAGCAACAACTTCATGAGAAGATGGGTTGGATGGTTTGTCTAAATTAATTACACCGGTAGAAATATATGATTTAATGTCTCTTTTTAATGGAGATGCCCCAGCTGGAATTGGGGTATAATGACCAGATCTAACTAATAATTTGTCAAAGTTTTTTAACAACAATGGCCACTCAGAAGTGTCATTGGTTGGAGTAACCTTTTCTGGTTTGATAACGAATTCTTCAGACATAATAACTCCTATGTATGTTGCTTCTGTCGTTTACGTCTTCTCTTAAAAAGGTCAGAAGAGAGAAAATTTTATGTGAAAAAAAAAGTTGCGAAGAGGAAAGGAAAAAAACTGGGATTACATCGTGCGGCGAGCACCATTTCCTAATTGGGAAACATCTGTCTCTAGCTTGTTTTGGTTCTATTAAACAATTATAAATACGTATACCAAAGAGGTCTCTAACGAGTTGATTCAGAATTAATTGTATTTCCCATCATGGGGCAATCTAGGCAATGAATTAGTGCTGACGTAAATGCATAATATTATCAGCAATTTCATTCTTTGTTAATTCCAACCAAAACAATTCTCTACCCAAATTTCTCACCGTCTTAACACAAATCTCCAACCTCGAATCATTAATAATTTCAGACTGATTATGAAATCCTCCTGAGATCAAAGCAATAGTGTCCTTAATCGACTTAATCTCCAGCACAGTTTCATACAATTGCTTAACTAATGGCAGATCAGGTATGACCAATTCGTCTAACTTAATCTTACTCTGTAACCCCGTTGATACAGTATCTCTAGAATTACTATTCAATTCATCCAATTTTGATAAATCGCGATTTAAATTGGTTAAATTAGTTAATTGGGATGTAAGATATCCTAAATGATCATCTAAATTCTGACTATTTCTAAGACCTTGTTGATAATGATGACTTAATTGATTATACAATGCTTCAACTTTGTTACTTTGTTCATTTATAATAGGGACTTCATTATTGATTGATTGACTAGTAGGATCAGTTAGGAATGAATTTATCTTGATTGAAAGTTGTTGTAACATCTCTTGACGTTTGGTGTCTATTGGAGAAATTTGTCTCTCCGAGCTTTCTGCATCCATCAAATCAATCGGTTCTGGCTTTGGAACTGGCGCATGCTGAGCTTGGTTCATGCTATTTCCTGTATAGTGCTGTGGATGTTTGTATTGTTGTTCGTGTTGTTGGTATTGCTGGTATTGCTGCATCCCTTGGGTATGCTCATAAGCCATGGGACGCTGTGCTTGCAAATTTGCAGGAGGAGCCGGAGGTGGTGGGGGTGGTGGCTGTTGACGACCTTGGAAACCTATAGGAGGAAGTGGCGAAGCCGAGGAATCTCTAGGATATTGAAAATTCTCTGACAGTGGACGTCTAATGGGAACGGGCCCAGGTTCTGGTCCCTGATTTGGTAATGGTAACGGAGCTTGATATTTCAACGGGATGGTATTGCTGGTAGTACCATTCCCAGTATGGTGGGGTGATTGGATCTTTGGTGGTTTCGCAGGAAGTGGTGGAGGGCCCGTAGTTTGTTGTGGTACGACTGGGGTAATTCTGGAAGTAGATAAGCTTGGAGATCTTGTCGGAAATGCGGGGGCTTGGACCGGAGATATCCTTGTAGGTGGTGATTGGACAGTAGGTATTCTTGCAGGCTTTGGTGGTAATTGTGGTCCTGTTAGGTTTGGTGGTAACTGTGAACCTGTTAAGTTTGGTGAAACCATTGCTGGAAGTTGTGAACAGATTGGAGGTTCAGCAATAACTGTTTGATAGGTTATATTAATCAATTCTAATAAATTAAATCTTCTTAAAGAATCTTGATTATTTGCCATACATTCTCGATACCATGCCGATAAATAAGGATGATAGAATCTTCCTTGACTATCTACCTGATTTCCTGGTTTTAAATACCAATTTTTGGAATGATCAGGGATAATAAATACTCGAGGTACACCTTTATCAACAGGATTGTCAATAAATGGATAAGTTAATGGAATCCAAATTTCTATAGGTACACTGATTTCATCATTTATTTTAATCGTACCGAATAAATTGATTAATAGATCAGATTGACCTGTTTCACTTGATGTATAAACTTTGGTTCTTATTTTGAAGTTAAGATTCTTCTTTAAGTGGAATTGTAAGAATTGATAGACATGACCATATACTATTTGTTTATAAATATATTGGGGCTGGATTACATTAAACAACCAATTGGATACTTGTTCCGAAAGTGGAGCCTGTTGATCCATTGGCAAACTATCCTTATTTGGTGAATCAGAGTCTACTGTACAACTGTCTCGTCTGGTTTTGCCGTTCTAAATTTTGTTCCGTATCGCCAATCTCGACCAACCGAAAAAATGCCCATAGAATAATCTCATTTCACTTAACCAACCTTCCTCCATCTGACAATTTAGAGGACTCCCCAAGAAGAAGAGATTAGATAGCAATGAGTGGGTATGTTATATGTTTCACTACTGGAGGATTCATTCGATCAATTGATTGATTGAGTCTAGATGAAAACCAACTGTTTTGTATCTGATACATCTGAAGAACAATTGACAACTAACGCTAAACATTATAGATATACTGTTATATTAGTATTTATAGTCACAGTTGCTTTATCCTGCTTAGCATGGACATTTGCTCCTAAGGAAAATACTACAGTTTTTAGATCCTCTGTTATATTAGGTTTAGCTATGTGTTATTTGATGTGGGCAATTACATATTTGGCACAATTACATCCGTTGGAAGCACCAAGAAGATCAGATTTAAGACCAGAATAGACTTAGATACATGTGGTTTATATTTTCCATATAGAGAAAATTATTCAGGATTATTCATACTCACGAAGAGTACTTTTTGTGTGAAAAGTGTGTGTCACTCATATGGTGACAAACTGTCATATTTAAATTGCAATTCATCAAGAATAAAAAGGTGGGTGCATCATATTTCCAACGAGTTGATTCTAGGAGGGCGGTTGAATCCATATATATATAGCTATTTCATTTCAGTTCATTTATTTGGTTTTGTTTTTAATAAATATTTTTGAGGGATTGATCACATAAATTACCTCCAGTTTGTTTAACTTGAGTACATATATGTTAACTTCCCTTCATCACAATAGTAAGGCATATTCTAAATATAAAAGGAGATATTGTGGCAATTGTTGAAGGGTGGTGTAAAAGGTTATGTCAAGTTGCGCTGCACACTCTCTGTAGTAAATTGCCTTTTTGATAATCGTATGCTCAGAACGATATAACTTAAAGGTCATTTACATCCACACTTCCTATCTCTGTGCTTCCATCCCCTCATTCATCAGCTAGAGGGGAGATATATACAATCTGTAATGGGTTAGGGTTCTTCAAAAATACATGGTTTGTCCGGGTAATCCAGTTTCATTTAATTTTTCTTGGTGTAAAGTTTTTAAATTTCATGGGGGATAAAAAATTTTGAAAAATTTTTCGATGTTTGATTTTCCTTCTTTTTTAATCACCATACATATTCAACAATAATAAGTCATATATAGTTCAATAAACGTAGTATTATATCAAGATAATGTTTATATACGAAAAAGTAGTCGTCCCCTCAACAAGAGTCATCATTTTCATGGGGTTAGCTCCTAAAAATAATGGCTGTTGTTTGAAAGATAAGCTAAGACACACTCCTGTTTCTGCCCCAAATTCATTTACATTTCCTTAGAATTATGGGTTCTAATTATGGAGAAGATCAAGCCATAGAATGGACATTTCACTACTTTTGATACATCCTGTGTTATGTCTGTTGTATGGATCGTGTGGTGTACTTTTTCCTTAGTGTGGTTGACATTACTTTATTGTGTAATGAAACCTGAAGGGTCCCACTATATTCCTTTCTTATGTAAAATTTTTTTCTTAGTAACGTATGTCGTAACCTTCCTAGGAATGACAGAAGAGCTTCTTTGTTTATGCGATGTAACGTTGTGCTGTGGCATTTCCGTAAATTGATTCATGGCTTTCGTAAAGGTGTTTAGTCCATTGATTTCCGTTGGTGAGACACAAAGACATAATAAATAAATTACTGTGGTTCATCTGAAACAATGGAAATGCGCAATCCATAATAAATTAATAATAAATTAACTAATCCCATGTGACGTCAACGTATTTCCAAAAAAACAGTAATAAGATGAGAGAGAGGCAGGATGCTTATCAGCCCCCCTTCTTTGCTCTTCTCTCTTCTTTCAGACTTGATAAATAAATTTTTTTATTTAATATAAATATTTCATTTATCCTCCTTTTCATGTCAAGTTTTGAATATCATTTGCTTCCTTTTCTTACCAATAATTAAGCCTTTTTTTGACAGTTGCAGCATCTTGCTTACTTAAAGAAAATTACGCAAAGATATCCTATCAAAGATAAGTCATCATCAGTACATTACATCTAGGTACTTATTCACACATCACCCCACAGAAGAGCCGCTTAACTTTAACATCACCAAGCAAAGTAACACTGCCAAAAAATGGTTATGGAAGTTGAAAAAAATAAAGATTTAGTCTCTGAACATTTTTCAGTTGATGAAACATTAACAGAAGATAGTCATACCCATTTAAAACATTCCCTTAAAAATCGACATATCTCCCTTATCGCTCTAGCAGGTATCATTGGTCCTGGTATTCTTATCGGTGCCTCTTTGGCATTAGCTAATGGTCCAGCATCACTTATTATCGGATTTGGTATTATTGGTATTATTGCCTTTTGTATGATGCAATCATTAGGTGAATTGGCTACATTATACCCTACTGGAGGCACATTCTCAACATTGGGTAATAAACTTGTTGATCATGCTTGGGGTTGTGCTGTGGGTTGGAATTATGTGATTATTTGGATTGCGGTGTTGGCTAATGAATATAATACAGTGGCTGCAATTATGCAATTCTGGGGACCACAAGTTCCTTTATATGGATATATTTTAATATTTTGGACTTTTTTTATGGCATTCCAATTCTTGGGAGTTCGTGCATTTGGAGAAGCGGAATTTTGGTTAGCATTAATGAAAATTGTTGGATTGGTTGCATTTTATTTATTTGCAATCATTTATTGTGCTGGTGGTGTTAAAGGTACTCCAGCATTTGGATTCCATTATTGGAATGATCCAGGTGCTTTTAATCATGGATTCAAAGGAGTGGTGAATACTTTTGTATTTGCAAGTACTTTCTATAGTGGAACTGAAATTGTTGCTGTTTCAGCTGCAGAAGCTAAAAATCCAAGTGTAGCTGTCCCAACTGCTATTCGTCAGACTTTTTGGAGAATCTTGATTATATATATGGGTATTGCAATCAGTTATGGTTTAACAGTTCCTTTTAATGAATCAGCATTAGCTGCTGGAACTAAAACTTTAAGATCTCCAATGACAATCGCAATCCAAAGAGCTGGTTGGGAAGGTGGTGCCCATTTAGTTAATGCCTTCATTTTATTAACATGTGTCCTGGCAATCAATTCGTCGATTTATATTGGATCAAGAACAATGGTTAATTTAGCTCATGAAGGAAGTGCACCTCGTATTCTTAGAAGAGTTAATAAACGTGGGGTTCCATATGCCGCAGTCATCTTAATGAACTGTTGTGGGTTCCTTTCCATGATGAATGTAAGTACTGGTGCTGCTAATGCTTATGGTTATATTGTTAATTTATCCGGTGTTGCTGTTTTTATTGTTTGGGGTAATGTTTGTTACTATCATATTAGATTTAGAAAAGCATGGAAATTACAAGGTAAATCAGTTGATGAATTACCCTACAAAGGATTATGGTATCCTATCTTACCTATTATCGGTATTGTGCTTAATATTTTCTTGGCATTAATTCAAGGTTGGTCATATTTCAAACCATTTGATGCTGCTAATTGGGTTGATGCTTATATCTTATTGCCATTCTTCTTTGTGATTTATTTTGGATATAAATTCTGGAATAAAACTAAATGGATCAAATTGGATCAAGTTAACTTGGATGAAGGACGAAGAAAAGATGTGGATATACCTGATGAAGCAAACAAACTTTCTTGGATTCCGTAAAGAAGCTTTATATACACTAATAATATTCTTAATTCTAATTTAATATACAATAATATCGCCACGTTACATATAGCCTTGGCCAGAATGAAAGTCAATTGAATTTTATTTTGTACGTTTTGCAACAACGAAGTAATAGCTTATTTAACATACTGATAAGATACACACTATCCATACTCTGCTAGAGATTCTAGTCTATTACCATTCCTTCTTTAAACTATTTTGATTTTATTTTCTAAGTTTATGACGATAACGAGTTGATTGGCCATCGATTGGTTCGGGGAGTGGTCTATATGGACTCGTCGGGAAATTCTTTAAGTATCCGCCTATTTTTTTTGTTGGAATTGTTTTTATTGAAATTTAGGTTAGCAAGTATAAGATTATCAAGAAGGTTATAGAAACTGGTCACGCTTAATTGTGTTTGTTGAGCCAAATCAGTGGCAATAGAGGTTTACAAAAAAAGCTTACTTTTCTCAAGACCCAACAAAATCTAGTGGTAAAATTCTAGTGGTAGAAGTCTGGTGGTACTGTTTGACATCACCTTCCGCCTGGTTGTCCCCTATTATTCGTTTACATAGCAGCCTTTTTTTTCCTTCACTTATCTCCTTGGTATCATCTATGGGTTGCACCAAATGATTGATTCTGGGGTTTGACAATTTGATATCGCCAGAGTTCCAAACTCCGTAGCCGTCAAAAGAAGCTTTGCACGTTTAAACTTTCGAAGAAAGGTTATTCACCTTTAATGCACAAAAAAAAGAAATTCCTCGGTTATCTTCAACCTATGTCCGTTTATCGGTGGACTATCTTTCTAAACAATAAACATAATGGCCTGATTCTTACATATGAATCATATGTACGTCGTAATTAAAGCGCAATTATACTTCTGGAAACTGCCTTGAGGCGTGGAAAAATTATTCCGAATAGAATACCCTATTCACTAACAAAAAAAAGCTTGTTCTTAGAGTTTCCGAATTTTTCCGAAATTGATCTTCTAAAAGAAGGTGGGGTTTATAAATGAAAGTATCAGGTGTGAATCAGTCCATAAAAAGAAGGCGACATCATTATTTAAGAACCCCCCTCCCTCTGGTCTATTTTTGGGTTGCTAAGAAAAACAAGCTTTTTCGGCTGCATTTTGACATTCTGAAACTTGGCAGAACCTTATGCACCCCGTATCTTCTTGGATCAACATATCATGATGCAAGGAAAACAACCCTTGACTCGGACATGACTCACTTCCAGGTCTTGTCTGCCTTGTCTGGTTTAGTTTCAGGGTATCAATATATTCTACAAATGGAAAATGAATTAAAATATGAAAAGTTTTTGTATATTTTTAATAATTAAAACTAAATAATAAATGTCAACAAGAGAGAAGTGAAAAGGTTTATTTGCAAGTAAGTAAAAAATAGTTTAGCTTTATCTCTAATAAAGAAACCAATCAATAAAAGCAACAATAAAGTAAATAAAAACAATAATAAAAAGCAATAGCAGCTGCGAAAACAAAAATATATAATTATTCCTCTTTTAAAAAGCATACACCGAGTGTATGTTCATTGAATATATCTATCAATAACCCAAAAAGAAGAATCCCCAAGAAATCAACAAAATTAAAGCAAGAAATGAAAGCAACTAAGGAAGAAAGGAAACTTTGACACCAGGTCAAAAACCATGTATTCACTTCTCTAAAGCTTCTTCTTCTTTCTTCTCTTTTCAGCGTTTTCTAATTTCTTTCTTTGGTTGAATACATTAGGCTCCCCATTGTGTACTAACTTAATATGTCTAGTTAAGGAATCACGACGATAGAAACCTTTACCACAAAGATCATCATGACAGACATAGATAATACTCTTTAACTCTTGACAATAGTCCAAGCATTCATCAATCACTTTACCCTTCTTGAAATGATCAATGACAACATGATGTCTCAAGTCAGCCTTCTTGTCGAATCCGATCATGTTCATTGGACATTCACGAACTGGACATTTAAACCCTCTGAATTCAAATGTAGAAAGTTTGAATTCTTCAAAATGATCAATCAATTGTAAATAATTTGAAAAGGTAGCATTACAATGAGCACGACATTTGGTATCAGTTTCAGCAAGCTTAACCTTCGAAACTTGTTCTTCAGTATATTTAGCAAATAATTCTGGCTTGATTGGTTTTGGGGGAGTAGTTCTGCGAAGTTGTTGATGAAGACGGGAATGATAATGAGAACGTGGAGAAGTCCCATGACCATTCAATGAACTCAGGGAATGAGTTCTGGTAACACCGTTGGATGCTTCACTGAATGACATCCTAGCCATGGCTGATCTAACGTCAAAGGCGGAATTCAATCTGCCAGCAGTTTCATATCTGGTAGCCTTTGGACTATGTTCAGCACTTTGGGAAGCTAACACAACGGAATTACGAGTGTTCATCATGCTTGGTAAGTCAGGGTATGACATTTCTGGACGTAACATGTTAAACTTACTTTGAGCACTTTGTTTTGGAGAAACTTCAAAATCATATAAGAGTGGAGTATTTGGATCGGTGTTGTAATGATAAAGCAAGGCTTCAACTTCACTTTCTTGTATTGGACGGTGATGGTGATGGTGGTGATGAATTGGGAGAGGATGAGCTTGATGTGGGATGGAACAGTACTCATCGCTGTGATTGTGAAGGTGGGTACATTGCTGTTGTTGTTGTTGGTTATCGTAAGGGTGTAACATTTGTTGACCAAGACTGAAATAATCACCACTGTTGTTCTTAGCATCAAACATAAGATATGGAACTGGAGAAATAGGAGCAGCAGCAATTGGTTGTTCGCTAGTATAGTCACTTGGATTTATGGTGGAACCATTAGCAGTGTTAGCAACTGGGAATGTATTATGATGATTATAAGCCTTCATAGTCAACATGGTAGACTCGTCATAATTGTTGGTGTTGTTGTTGTTTGAAACATCAACTACATCGTCTAATTTAACCAGCAAGTCAAGGCTATCATTCAAAGGATAGGATGTCATTGATGGAGTTGTTGTGGTAGTGTTTGTAGCTGAAGTGCTTGTGGAATTGAGTAAAGAATCAGTACCACTTACGGAAGTGTCATTCAAAAACACATCGTCAGCAAAGTTGGTCTTAAAGATTACTTTGTCATTCTGATGGTGTGGAAGGTGTTGATGTTGATGTTGAATTGGTTGTGGTTGGATCAATGATTCAAAGGTCGTTGACTGTATGTTATTGTCTAATCCATACATATGATAGTTGGAACCTTCCGTTGGGAAGTCATTTAAGTTAAACATTGATAGTGGTATGAAAATGTCTTAAATGTCTGAATGTAAAATAGTAAAATGTAAAATGTTTATTAAGAGAAATTAATGTCTGACTGACTGATCTTGTTCCTTATAGTTGGTATAATTTTTGTGTCCGGTTTTAATGGGTTTCTTATCGTTCTTTTTTGTTTCTTTTGATAGTCTATATCAAATAGGAAATTTTATATGATTATAATGTTGTTGTAGTTGTTGAAGTGAAGTGAGGTTAATTGTTGATATCAAATCAGACAAGTCTAAAGAGTAATAATGGAAAAGTAATAAAATTGAAAATTCTGAAAAGGAAAAACCCGAACAGAAGAACGAGATTATTGATTTGTATTTATATCTAAAATCCCAAAAAAAAGACCATTTTATTTTTTAAGAGGTTTTGCTATTTCAAAATAAATAATTATTGAATTATTTTTTTATTTTTTTCAATTTATCTTTTTCAAAAAAAAAAAAGAAATAAAAAATATTTTAATCACAGTACTGATACAAAATATTTTTTAACCTGTACATTACGTTTTTAAAAAATATTTTATTTTAAAACCTAGAATTATTTTTTGGGTCTGAGTTCTTAAATTATAGAAAATATTTTATTTTTTATAATATGCTTCAACGTTGTTTTGTGTAACGTTTTGGTTTCTATCATTTATTCAGTTGTTACTGAATTATTTGTGGTTTTGAGTCAGAAATGATTTTCAAGCACCGGCCTTGACCAAAGAGTTGAAGCTGCCTTTAATCGTGCCTGTTAGATGATCTCGGAAGTGTACCGCAGTGGAGAAAGAGAGTTGGTCTTGTGCATAAAAGTACAAAACATAAAGAATTGAAATATACTTTGCAGGAATGGTGAGTAGGGCCGTCTTTAGTGTTTTGGCAAAGTTTCGCATCAACCTAAGTTTGAAAATTATTCCCATGCACCTCTGCAACATGTCGAAGAAATATTAGAGCCATGACAGTTCGCAGGGTCACAATTTTTCTTCTCTGTCGAGTTTTCTGGTCTCGGGTTTACTCGGGCCGTTGATTCATGTTGTAGAGGTCTCTTCTTTGATAGGAAAAGGTGGGATTTCTTTGAATAACGATGGGTACGGAGTTATAATCTGATTCTATAAACATTTACAATCATTTTCTTCTGCATAACGTTTAATTAGTTTATACATGCAGATAACCAGAGCCGTTGAAATTTCGTGGGGGATACAGTATTTCGTAAGGCTTTTTTTTTTTGGTTTGGCAAGCTGATTATTTTTCCATCATAAATCTTTGCGAGCTTCTGACGTTGCTGCCCTGGGCACAAGACCGTAGTATATTAGCCATAATTTTTAGGGCCGGCTTCTACGTGACTATGATTGATGACCACTAATCACCATCAGAAAGCCTTGGCATTGGCGGATTTATTCATCCAACCCTTCATCCTGATTGACAACTGTTGTAATTCTAGTTTTGTCAGGCAATACGATTCGTTGGCGGATTTGACTTTTGTTTTCGTTTTAAAGTTATTACACAACTTTTTTAGTTGCAGTTTCGGTTTGGTTTTCCTTTAATTTCTTGGTTTCGGTGGGTTCTTGCCTTCCGTGGAATGATGTTTCATTGCCGGATTTTTTGCGCAATGGCTATCCCTAAAAAGCTTATTATTATTTTAACCAAATTAAATTTTAGGTGATTCATCTCCCAGTGTGTCACATCCCAGTATTACTCATGCATGCTCATCGATGGTTAATTAGGTAGGAAAACAATGAAGAAAAGAAATACTTTAATTAGTTCCGTGATGTTGCACTGTTCGGAAAAGATAAAATATTTCCAACCAGCATTATGGTTACCCTAACCTGTAAATCCAAGGACAAATTTTTCTACAATTCGGATATTAAACTGCGCAATTTTGACTTCTCCTTGACACTCACATTTCTTTTACATAGGGACCTAATGACCCGCAATATAGAAATTTTTAGTGAAAATACAACCTCGTGTCCCCTGAGACACACCATGGAACATCACCTCAGGGCTTGATGTTCTAATCTGGCACGAAAAAGGGGATAGTAATGTCTCGCACGTCCTCAGGCGAGGTTGGGCATGAGACTCCTCTCATCGAGGCTACGTAAATGTTACCATGATGTTTCAGACAGAATCAAATCAAGTGATAATTTTCGCAACCCTTATGAGTGTTTCTTTTTATGCATGCCTTCGTTCGTTTGTCATTTGTAATACTGCGGCAACGTTTTGAATGGGGGGGCTACGACATGGCAAAGCATGTACCTTTCCCGTTAGCCGTGTTTGTGTCCCGACCAGATTTCGTTTGTGGATGGAGGGGTGGGGGTTCGGAAAGATTTTTAAATTACCTGCCAGTCAATATTATGGGGAAAGCGAACAAATACAAGTTTTCTTAAAAGAAGGTGAATGCTTAATCAGAAACGAATATCGAACGTTGCACAAAACAATTTTAGTGTGAAAAAATATTATTTTTCTAGCTATGTCAACTAGTCAACATCAACTTCTCCATTTTCCCTCGACTGGGCTTGCCATTTGAAAGACGTGGAGGGTCTGTCGTGTTGAAAAACATGTGATTCTTATGTAACTCTGGTGATAGCATAGGTTAATAAATGATGACCTTGATGAAAATCTGAAACAAAAGAATCCTCATCCGATTCGGATAGTTTATTTTTTGTCAGTATAAACAGTAATTAATATACCTGCAGATTTGATATGTCATTATGCATGGTCCCTACCTGGTTACATCGACAATAATATTATTCATGTTGTTCAAATTAAAACGTATGGGCTTTTCCGATTTGCCCTAGTTGGATGTATCAAGTATTAAAGGTTGGATATGCTTACTTTCTTAAACTGTATGTTAATAAAACCTTAATTATGATGCTTGAACGGGTAACAACGCGCAATATACTAACTAAACCTAGAGTCTAGTCTTTCAAACTAATTCAACCATTTTCAACAAAAAGCCGTTTCTTTTACTTGAATAGATATTTTTTTAATTTTGCAGCTTTTTTTTTATTTTTGATGCAAATATTGCACCTTCTATGAGAAATTATTTTGTTGCGTACAAGGGAATAAATTATTCGATGCTGGCAAAGCCTCTTAATTAGTTGGGGGCGCTAAATCCGTTCCAATGATGGCCGGGTCACAACAAAGGTTTTTTTCACACTGATAATGTAAAGGAACATCTTTAAAGCAAAAGAAAAAAACCAGGCGTACTTGTTCCAAATTGCCATAAAATAAATTAAACTGTTTCTTCAGTTGAGAATCTGGCAATATCGTGCTGCACTAAAAATGATATTAACTGATTCTAACCCGCCTTTAATAATATAATAAGCAGAATGACCAGATGTCATAGAAAGTACTCGCTATATTTTTAAGTCGCGATTTCCTCCGCGACAATAGATTGGTCTGCATTTCCGGTATTTTCTGTTTTTGTCCGTCTCCACTTTCTCCACCATTTTGATGCCACGCCCTCGTGGAGATATCCGTTTTGCCTCTCCATCTATGCCACCAGACATTATGAAGTTGCATACTTCCCAACAGTTAAACTATTAGGTAGACGCACTGGTATGGCAGTTTTCCGTTTCACGTTTATTGGATTTGGAAGTCGCGCATGAATTCAGATAAGTATTGCTTTTTTATGCAACTTTTACCGCCTCACTTTTCCAACTATAATGGTCTTTTGTTTACAAAAGTTCATGAGGGGACTGTGAATCTGAATTACTATAATAGGTTGAAGTCATGCGTGCATGAAATTCGCTTTAGTTGGAGAACGAGGATATCAATTTCGCTTTCAAGATATCCAAGAATGATAGTGCAATCTTAGGTAAAGATCCCACGAACAACAACAATGAGTTTTAAGCTTTCTGAAAGTCGTTAAAAAGGTTAATCTTTAACCGATAGGATAAAGTTCTAGATCTTTCAGTATAGATGAGATCTACGAGGGTTAAGAACAATTCTAAAAAGAATGCCCGTATTTCACAACTGCAACATGTCACTATTTCACAAGCACCTAGATTTTCAAATCCGCGTTTGTGATTATTGATGGAGGACAAGGAAAGAGCCTAGTCCTGTTGTTGGAATGGGCTGGGGTTGTCCTTCCATTTAGGAGAAAATGGCTCTTCCTTCCATTTAGGAGAAAATGACTTTTCTCTTTTCAAGTTTGATTGTCATGGGCCTCGCTGTGGAATTCCAAAGAAAAACAATGACCTATGCCGAGGTTGAAGTTTTCTATTCCTGGGCTTGCCTTTATGCAATTTGGCAACTTTTGTCTATCCCCAATAAGAACTGTGCTAAAACTTGCCTGCTCTAATAGGCTCAGATTTATGTTAGTTATTTCCGCAACTTGAGCCTCCCAAAAATAATATCGATCCCCATTCTCAATTCCTTCACTTGCAACCAAGAACAACTAAAATCGAAGAGAATAACTGGAGAATTTACTTGTTCTACATTGTGCATATATGCAGTCGAAGAAATGCAAAAAGGTTGCAATTCCTAGAAGGATGTGTTACGTTGCATCGTTTTTTCGACAACACGAAGTCGAGATAGTATCGATTACTGTGAATGAAACATGAAAAGAAAGTTGGATATTTCACAAAATTGTTTTAGTATGAATTTTATGGCTTAGAAATATTTGATAGCAAAAGCGCAAACTTCAATTATAAGCCTGGGGTCTTGTTGTTTTCAAAGGTTCAAAGCTGGCCATACTATGCAAGAATATGCAAATGGTCAGATTAAGTCATTTGTAACCTTCTTAAGATTCGCTTTTCTTTTACTTGAGATAATTCTTACTTAATTAGCCACGACAAATTGGGTTAGTCCATTCTATTCTTTATAAAATAATATTATTTTTTGAACTTAAGATACAACAATACCAACATTATAAAAAATAATCACCCAGATTGAGGCTTGTTAAGAATTTTGAGTCTTTTATTGTCCAATTTCCCATTCAAATTTTTTACAACCAAAGATAATCAATTAGCAATTAATTTGAACAAGGCTGTTCAATAAGCTACAGCCAATACCTTCCTTGTACATAAAGAATCGGTTCAATGAACTTTTTGTTTCTTCAATTCCATAGTAATATTGCATGCTGCATGCACGGAATTATATTATAGGAATTATCGGTTCTAACGTGTAAGTAAATGAATAGTTTAGTTTAGTTGATTATAAGAACTATTTTAGAATATTTTTTATCGATGATTCAGATTATTTTAATTCACCTGGTTCCTTTTTTGGGATATTTCTAAAAAATATTTTTCGTATTTATGAATTGTACCAGTTGTTGTTCCTCTCGTTGAATCTGGAAAATATGCCAGCCAACCCAGAGTTATATGCCTAATTTGTAGTAGTAATTACCTCTTGTTACCAAAACGAGACGCGTACAAAACTTGTTTGTAATTTATTCTAACCTGGTAACCACAAAGAGGAGTTCTTGCTCGAGCCACTTTACGAGGCTAAACCACATTTCTGTTCCTGCACCTTTCCTTTCTATTTCCAAGAATCTAACAATAAAATCTAAAACATTCTCACATATAGAGAACATCAAGCCAAATTGTAACAACAAAGTCAAATAAGCTGGAACAATAGTTGTGTTATTTTTTTTGCTTGACCATACATCAGACAGACCAATTGAAGCCACTATAGAGTCAAATTATAAAAATCAGGAGCTTTTTGTGTCGTATACTCCATATGGTTCCCCCATGATCTCCAAACTCTCCCGCCCTTCCATTCGATTGTTTATCCATATTTAGTTGAAACAAACATCCCTGGTTCAACCTTACTTAGCACATGTCATCAGATTGATTCCAAAGGGGTGCAAAAACTTGGGTCCTCTTGAACCTTACTTCCTATTGATTACCTTCATCCTTAAAAGAATTATCCAATTTGAACCACAAAATCATCAATTACGATTGTTTATTGGTTTGACAAGAAATTGTTCCTCTCGGACCTGGTTGCGACACAAATCTGGACTAAGAATTATTCCGAAATTAGAAACAATAAATATGAACAATAAAAAGAGGAGGGGTATTTGAAGTTTACTTCGATTTTTTAAACAATTAGATAATTTTTTTGGGAATTATAATTATTTTTTTAAATGAGTTATTTTTTAACTGAGGGAATATTTTTTTAACTTTTGTCTTACGTTTTGTGCATATCTTATCTTTACGCCTTTTCTCTTTCTCTCTCTCCTTTTAAGAAGCTTTTAGCAATCTTGCAGAAGGGAGCAATCTAAGAAGCAGATACGATCTAACAATATAATTAGGGGTATCTTGTAGGGTTCCATTTACGGGTTCGATTTCTAATGTCGGCTCTTTAAAACCAAGTTACCAAAATCTCTCGAGTTTGTCAAACTTTATTTTAGGGAAGCCTGCTATATTTGTTTCTTCAACGGGTTCTGCGTCCGACAATATTGTTCGATTTATTTGTTCCCTCCTCTGTTTGCTTTTCATAAACCAGTAAGATTGAACGAGGGTTAGAGAACGCAAGAAATAAAAAAAAATAATTCATGTTCCCTGTGGCTAATATTTTCTTGATCTGCATGCCTGCATAATTAAACAATTTTTAACCCTCCATTATGCATGAATTATTAGTATCGAGGCTTAGTGATGTACTTTTATTCTTGCCATTCAATTTTGTGATCTTTAGTGTTAAAAAATAATATAGAGAGAAGAAAAAGGGACTAGGGAACAAGAACCCATCTACATAGTAATGAGTTAAAGCCATTGGAAGAAATATAACTGGGAAATAGGTCATTTTGGATGATCCCCCAACGGCCCTGAAAAAGAAATGAAATTAGGTTTGATTAGATCAAGTTTCTCATCGTATTTCATCATATTTTTTCAGGGTAGCGTGGACCCCCAAGTAGCCCCCCAATCTTGTTGGTTTCTTTTTTTTTTGTAGTAAATGAATTTAACAGGCGGCGGTAAAACAAACGGATTCTCGATAAACTTTAAAGTTTTGTAGCAAAACTTCTTTGAATGTGCAGAAGTAGAGATAGCTTGACCTAAATGTGGATTTGACACTGAAATTGAAACTAGAAAAGCTTGCTGTTGGGAATAATAGGATTTCAATTCCGCCTTTGGTACTACTTTTGATGATCCTGGTGTGTCTAGCTCTTTTTTTTTTTTTGCTTGGATCTGGTCCCCTTTTTGTTTTGCTTAAATAATAATTATATTTTTTTATCTTAAGTATTTTTTGAGATATTTTTTAAAATATTATTTTTTCAATCTTATAAAATATGAAATATTTTAATTAATTATTGAAGGGTGGGGTTCATTGAGTGGGGCAAGCTTTTCCTAACAATGTAAGGACCTAATTAATTAATTTGTAAAAAATTTTGTTATGATACATGTACTTAATTTCAAAAGTTGTCAAGCCGATGCTTCATTCGGAAAATCTAGAAGACGATGGGAAAACGACTAACATATTGGATGAACCGTTAGATATATCTATTAATAGATCAGATTTTTTTACTATTACGAAGGGCGCGCAATTTCACGGTTGTTTATGCAATATTTAGTTTAGTAGCACTTCTTTGGAAGTATAACTCCGTAGCATGAACTTTTCTTGTCTTGGCGAAACTCATAATTGACTGCTTTGTTTTGATCAGGCGAAGACACAAAATCGGGGAAAAAGAACTCAAAATCATAATTTGACGACAGGACAACTTTCGGAGCGGTATTCCACATGATACGCCTGTCCCGGCCACTTAATCTTTTGCTTAAAGATACTTGGTGGTAACCTTAATCACGTTGGAGTAACCGGTCCAAGTTTCTCTAATTTCATGCATGGGACCTTGCAGCCCGAAAAAAAAATGAAAACAAGCCGTATAACAAATGTCTTTGTTTAGTAATGAAATTATGCTCTTATGATGATCTAATTTCACCTGACTTATCTATAAGAAAATTTTACGGACGTCTGTGATAAAAACTTCGTAAATTCACATTTAGTTGGCATTTAGTCTTCTTATCAAGTCTATCCAAGCCATATTTCAAGGGCACAACTTTATATACGGCAGCAGGGCAAATCTAATTTAAATTAGTCATCGTACACGACCCACGGCGAAATGTTCAATAGGCTGCAAAAAGTTTTCCAAATGGTAGTCAAAAAACGCCTTTCAATGATACTGAACCTGCGTAGACTATAGTCCTACGTACTTGAATACACCAAGATAAGACATTACCCTTTGAAACGGATACAATGGAGTATAATTATGAACGTATGATTTGATTCTTGGGTTTCATTGTTCTTTGAACTCATTGAGTTAATTTCATCTTTGCAGTAATTAAGATCTTGCCTATAAGGCAAATTAGTTACATGCTCAGAACCCCTCTAAAGAGGCTGTAAATTAGTCAACCTAGTTGAAAACTTTTAAACGAGTCAAATTTTCCAACCTGCATGAAGAACTTATTTCAAAGGATAACACAAGAGGTCACCCCCTCACAAGTTTCCGGGTAAATAAGTAGTTTACCCAGAGCTACAGAGGAGGCAAACTGCTGTTAGTTGATGCTATTTTATTTTCGCAGCTGGATCACCTATTTTGTGCAATAAAAAAGGGCCAGTGTTTTGTTTTCAGAAAGCTTTATCCGCGGAAGCTACAGAGCTGAGTTTCATGTTTCCAGAGGAACTGCCTGATTGAGCAAATCTGGAAGTGTTCCCTGCACGTCTCACGGTGTCTGCTGGGTATCTTAGTTCGAGATACGTTCTTAAAAGAATTAAAATTCTAGTATATAAAACAAGAACTTTATTTTCTATGAACTTGAACCTCGAGTCTTCCGATTACAAAACGGCTGCTTCACGGTGTACCGTCTAGAGTGCAACAACCCAGACTATACATCTTAGATAGAAGCCTGCTACTAAGCTGAACAGTACTCCAATCGACAGCACGTAATGAAAGTGTCTGGTTTCTGATTATATTTATATGTGTGTCTCCTGGTATATATGTTGCTGACTATCTTTCCAACTTGTGGTTGGGAGTATTACTACACGTCAGAGTTGTCCTGTCAAGCTTCAGCTTTGGGTTCTTACTGCCCCTAACATATGCCTAATATTTTCGGGCTTGCCCATCACTCAAACCGTATCTCCTTCGTTCAATAAGTGGCTGCACGCAGCTTAAGACTTATTTCCCATACACTAGATCCCTCTCCTCGTCTTTTTTTTTGCCATCTCTGTTTTTTTACTTTGTATTTATGTATAATAATTTTACTTCTTGGCTGAAGTCTTGAGATCTGCAACCACCATTACAAAAATGTATCTTACACCATTTCATACAAACAAAAATCGGTATTCTCAATAAAGTGAGGAATTATTATGCTTCCAATAGCATTACGATATTACAATCTGTTATATTTACAAGTTGTGACTTAGAAGGGTGTTCAATATGCGTTTCCCTATCAATCACTTAACGCTGAGAGAAAGAAACACGTCTACTTGAGAATTGTGCGACACGCTTTTTTCTTATAACAAACAAACAATGTCACCTTTTTCAACTGAAAAAAAAATCATCATCAATTTTGACATCTTTGTTTTTTTTTACAACACAATTTCATTTTCATCATCAATTGACCAAAGAAGATGAATACGCCATCGATGAGTTCAATCGAAACAGTATGTATTAAAACTACATTACCCCAATCCCATTAAGCATTAATATTAACCCCGTTTCTTATAGACTCCTTCATTGGATTTGAATGAAATCCTAAGAGATAATAATGGAGATGAAATAGAATTTCAATCTAATCAAAGTAAATATTTCACCAAGACTGAAAAACAACAAGTAGACATTGAAAAGACAAGTAATAGATTCAAGTATTTATTAGGTCTCACTGGTTTATTCCGTCATTTCATTGAAGCAAAAGCGAATAAAGATCCGTTATTTAGAAAGATTGTTGATGATATTCATGATTCAGAAATTAAACATCAACAAGCAAAACTTGCATCTGCAAGAAGAAGAAAGACAGAAAAGGAAGAAGATATGGAATTGCTTAATGATGAAAGATCAACTAGTTCAATTTTGGAATTTGTTGAATCTCCAGGATATGTTCATAATGGGAAATTAAGACCTTATCAAATTCAAGGTTTAAATTGGTTAATTTCATTATATGAAAATAATTTATCAGGTATTTTAGCTGATGAAATGGGTTTAGGTAAAACATTACAAACAATTTCATTTTTAGGATATCTTAGATTTATAAGAAAAATTAATGGACCTCATATTGTTATAACTCCAAAATCAACTTTAGATAACTGGGCAAGAGAATTTAATAGATGGATTCCAGATATAAAAGTCCTTGTATTACAAGGGGATAAAGATGAAAGAGCTAATTTGATTAAAAATAGAGTAATGACTTGTGATTTCGATGTTATTATTGCCTCGTATGAAATTGTCATTAGAGAAAAATCAACATTCAAGAAATTTGATTGGGAATATATTATAATTGATGAAGCTCATCGTATTAAGAATGAAGAATCTTTGTTATCACAAATTATTAGAATGTTTCATTCAAAAAATCGATTATTAATTACTGGTACTCCTTTACAAAATAATTTACGTGAATTATGGGCTTTATTGAATTTCATATTGCCTGATGTTTTTGCTGATACTGAATCATTTGATGAATGGTTTCATAATAAAGATAGTACTGAATCAGAAGAAAAAGTCGTAACTCAATTACATAAAGTTTTAAAACCTTTCTTATTAAGAAGAATTAAGGCAGATGTTGAAAAATCATTATTACCTAAAAAGGAACTTAATATTTATGTTAAAATGAGTGATATGCAAAAACAATGGTATCAAAAGATTTTAGAAAAAGATATTGATGCAGTTAATGGAGCTAATGGTAAAAAGGAATCCAAAACAAGATTATTAAACATTGTAATGCAATTAAGAAAATGTTGTAATCATCCATATCTTTTCGAAGGGGCGGAACCAGGACCTCCATATACAACTGATGAACATTTAGTGTTTAATTCCCAAAAAATGGTTATCTTGGATAAATTATTAAAAAAATTTCAAGCTGAAGGTTCTCGAGTATTAATTTTTTCACAAATGAGTAGAATGTTGGATATTTTAGAAGATTATTGTTTTTTCCGAGATTATCAATATTGTAGAATTGATGGACAAACTGAACATACTGATAGAATTAATGCAATTGATGAATATAATCGACCAGGAAGTGAAAAGTTTGTATTTTTATTGACAACCAGAGCTGGGGGTTTAGGTATTAATTTAACCACGGCTGATGTTGTTATTTTATTTGATTCTGATTGGAATCCTCAAGCTGATTTACAAGCCATGGATCGTGCTCATAGAATTGGACAAACTAAACAAGTTAAAGTATTTAGATTTGTTACTGAAAATGCAATTGAAGAAAAAGTTTTAGAAAGAGCCACTCAGAAATTAAGATTGGATCAATTGGTTATTCAACAAGGGAGAAATACTGCCGGATTGGATGGACAACAAAGTAGTAAAGCGGCATCTAAGAATGAATTATTGGATATGATTCAATTTGGTGCTGCTGATATGTTTAAGAAAGATGGAACTGAAGAAAAAGATGATACTATTGATATTGAAGATCTTTTGAAACGTTCAGAAGCTAAATCTCAAGAATTAGCTCAAAAATATGCTGGTTTAAATTTAAATGCATTACAAAATTTCACTAATGATGAGTCAGTATATGAATGGAATGGAGAAAATTTCAAAAAGAAAGAACCTACAGCAATTACCAATATTGGTCATGCTTGGATTAATCCGGGGAAACGTGAACGTAAAGAAAATTATTCAATTGATATGTATTATAAAGATGTTTTAAATACTGGTGGTAGAACTGCCAATTCAAATGCTAGTAAGTCTGGTCCAAGACCTCCAAAACAATTAAATCTTTATGATCATCAATTCTATCCTGCAAAAGTACTTGAATTACATGAATTAGAAAAGAATTATTATAAGAAACAAATTCATTATAAAGTTCCATTAAAAGCGGGTGATTCAGCTAGTTTAAAACAACGAGAATTGGAACAAAAATTAGAACAACAAGAAATTGATAATTCACGTCCATTAACTGATGAAGAAAAAGAATTGAAGGAGGAATTATTACAACAAGGATATAGTAATTGGAATCGACGTGATTTTATTCATTTTATTCTGGTTTGTTCAAAATATGGTCGGAATTCAATTTCATTAATTGCTCAAGAATTTGAAGATAAATCAGAAGATGAAGTTCGAGAATATGCTCAAGCTTTTTGGAAAAATTATGAAGAAATTGAAGGTCATGAAAGATATATTAATCAAATTGAATTAGGTGAAGAAAAGATCCTAAAATTAAAATTACAAAAAGAAGCCTTGAGAAGAAAATTATCTCAATATAAATATCCATTACAAGAATTAGTATTAAAATATCCTCCTGCTTCTACTAATAAACGAGTATTCAGTGATGAAGAAGATCGATTCTTAATGGTTCAATTATATCGATTTGGATTAGATCTGCCTGATTTATATGAAAGGATTAAATTGGCTATTCGACAATCACCATTATTTCAATTTGATTTCTTTTTCCAAAGTAGAAATTCAAGTGAATTATCAAGAAGATGTACTACATTATTAGGATGTATACTTAAAGAAGTTCATCCTGATTTACAAAATGGGACAAATACTCCAAGTGGGAAGAGATCTAAAGAAGCAACTCCAGAAGTTAAATCTAAGAAACCAAGAAAGAAATAAACAAACGGACAATAATGTGTTTTTACTTTTTATTATTATGTGTATTTCTATGTATATTTTTTGCAATCATAAAATTCGTTAAAAGAGCATGTGCCCTTACTGATTCAATAATGCCACTATGTATTGTTCAAATTGTAGTGGCGTTACCATTGAATTAAATCTATTAACAACATTTCCCAGTCTATCAACAATAAACTTCTCAAAATTCCATTTTATCCCTCTAAACCCCAACGTTCCCAGCCTTTTTGATTTCAAATATGTATATAATTCAGATTCATCATCACCATTCACATCAACTTTTTTCATAATTGGAAACAGAATTCCAAATTTCCGTTGGGTGAATTCTACAATATGTTCTTCATCTAATGGTTCTTGATTTCCGAATTGATTACAAGGGAATCCCAAAATTTCTAATCCCTGGGAATGATATTTCGAATATAATAATTGAAGTTCTTTATATTGAGGAGTAAACCCGCAATATGAAGCTACGTTGACTATAATGATGACTTTGTTTTGGAATTTGGAGAAATCTATAATGTGGTTGTTTCCATCTAATAATTTGAATTTATAAATATGTCGTATATCGTTGTTGTTTGACATTATGATTGGTTTGGGTTGAAGGGGGAATAACTTTTTGTGATTGAATCAGTGTACTGATGGGATTTATATATATATTGTATATTCCGGATAAATAAATTATTAATCTATTAATCATAACTCCGATTGAACCTGTACTATGTGATTTAATTGATTATTTTTTTTTCTTCTAGAAAAACGCATCGGTTTTTCTGTGCAGGATAATGAGGGGAGTGAGTGTCGCGGCGATTTTTTCAGGTTTGCGACAAATGTTTGGCATGGAGACCACTGCTGGGATTGGTAATCTCTCAAATCTGATTGGATGAATAGCCAACTGCGACTTAATTCTTGTTTGAATATCTTTATTGAGACAGTCATGATAGTCTAAAGTTTGAATAATTTGTTGGAAATCTTTTATGCACATAGTTGATCTAAAGTTCTTAACCGAAAGTTCCATCGCAGGGCTGAAATTTAAAGGATGTCAGCGAGTGGATTTATAATCAGGGGATATTCGGATTAAAAGTAATTCAAATAAGTGAGGTCTAGAAGCATACTGGTTTAGATCTACTTTTATGTCATTTTACTGCAATTTGTTTTATCATCATTTGGTTATTTCTTCTATTTGTAAAAATTTGTAAAAAATTGGTGGTAAAAAAATATTGTTCAAAAATTTTGCACCCAATTTATTTGTATTAGGGCAACATTTAGTAACTTGAAGCAATAGTCGTCAGGTTACGATATTTATCTACCTACGACACCCTGCTACTTCCAAATCAGATAAAAGAAATAGAAAATAGGAGTCTTATGGCCTAATTCGAGCCCTGAGTTTACGCTAGGATAGCCATTCAAAATCTGTAACCTATGATCAGTTAGACCTAAAATGGGTCAACTCATCCTATTTATTAAGTAATTAATCATAAATGCAACAATTATAGACAATTCCACTAGTGCTCTATGGCCGAGATATATGTGTGAATTGATACTACTTTCATTTTATGTTGCAACATATTCGCAAGTATTCTTGGCTGCAAAAAAAAAATCAACACATTTTTTGAAACATATTCATAGAAAAGAGCCACCACAACTTCTGCTGCAACACCCCCCTTTTCAGAAAAATTGCAAAAGGTTGCATTCCATGAAGATTTTGGAAAGTTGTATTTTATCAACCGAAACACAAGAATTCAATTGGTCACGAGAGCTCTACAATATGAAATCTGATTATAAAATATTACGGTTGTTCAAAATTTCAGATAATGAAAAAAAAAATCTTTTTGCCTTTGTTGCATATTACTAAGATTAACCCCTATATCGTTAATTGAAAACCCCCTTTAAATTTCTATGGTTACCAATGTGGTGTAGATCCACTGAAATATGGTTCGATTTTATTTTATTTAAAATTCTGGGGAAAACCCGGACACAAGTTTTCTCACGCGATAGTATGATATACGACCCAGAACCCGGTATTTTGTCGGTCAATTCACGTGATTATTTTTATATGGGAGAAAAAAAAAATTTATTAGTGCGCTGGTACCGGATCCGAAAGGAAAAAAAAAAACAGGAGATTAATTGCAACGAAATGCAAAAAATAATATGATTATTTGCCCTGACCGGTTAGAAAAAATCCCCGGGGGGAAGGAACGCATTAAAAAAAAAAAGAAAAGGCTGAATTTTTTTAAGTGTAGCAGAAGAATATGTAGTCATTTAGAAATACCGGGAATTAAAAGACAAAAGAGCAGATGTCATTTTATTTTAATTTTCGGTTAAAATGATTTAAATTAAATGATGAATTGATAGATGTATATCTTGAAGGCTTTCCTAAATTGCTTACATCAGCACAAGCTGCAGAATTAGAACAAGATATCACTCTTGATGAATTGAAACTAGCGTTATCCAAGAGCTCAAATCAATCAGCACCTGGTGAAGATGGAGTAGGATATCGGTTGTATAAGATGCTTTGGGATAAAATCGGTCCGTTATTGGTTATGTCGGCAAACGAAATTATGGCAACGGGCCAATTACCTTCATATTTTCAGACAGTCATTATTTCTTTAATACCTAAACCGGAGAAAGATGATACATTCATTCAAAACTACAGACCAATCTCTTTGATCAATTGCGGATTACGCCTCATTTCTGGGGTGTTAAATAATAGATTACAGAAGGCATTAGCTGACATCATTACATATGAACAAGTTGGATTTATGAGTGGACGTCACATTGATAACAATATTCAGAAATTGAAATATGTATATGAAGATATATTAGTCCGAAAAAATAAACATGCTCACATTCTTCTCCTTGACTTTGAGAAGGCGTTTGATAGAGTCTCACATCGTTATATGGAAAAGGTCTTAAAGAAGATTAGGGTTGGTCCTCGGATGCGAAATATCTTAATGCTGATCACTACACAGCAAAGGGCAAAACTTCGAATTAACAATTTTTACTCGCGGCTGTTTCCATTACATCAGGGCACCCGTCAGGGTAATCCAGTTTCTCCTTTACTTTTTAATATTTGTCTCGAACCATTCTTATACTATTTGACGCAGCATATTCGGGGTTATCCTTTATCTTTCCTACCTGTATTTAAGAATGTCCAATTATTATCTTACGCTGATGACCTTACGGTTTTCATTAATGACACGACCGAGGATGTGGACATATTCTGGAACTTACTTTGTGACTATGAAAAGGTATCAAATGCGCGAATTAATGTTGATAAAACGATGGATTATAGTCTTTCGTCAGATCTTAATAAACTACCATTCCCCCACAAAACTATTGGAGTCAATGACCTTCGTTATTTGGGGGTGGATATGCAATCCTTCTCATGGAAAACTTTTACTGATTCAATCCTCAAAGGTTTGTGGAATACAGAGTTAACGGAGGCACCAATACATCTAAGGGCTCTTGGGTTCAATACTTATATTTTTTCTAAATTATATTTCAGAGATATTCACTGTGCAATGGCAAGTCACGATATAAAATATTTGAAAACTCGAATCAAAACATTTTTTAAAGGAATTGGTTATAATACTTTAACAGCCCTTCCTACTCAGGGAGGTTTTGGTCTACTTGACTTAGGGCAGCAACTTAAAGGCCGCCGGGCCAAATATGTGTGGGAATCTTTATCTAATGTTACTGATTGGAATTTCCTTGTATTCAGATCTAAATTACAACAGTTTGTAAATGAACAGTCAGATTCTTATAACAACAACTCCATTCGGATCCTCACTATTCCATGGTTTTCATTTCTCACTCGCTTGACAATTAACTACAAAGGTCAAGACATTGCTCAGTACATTCGGAACTCCCTGATATTTAACTCCACTGAAAAAGCGTATTTGTCGGCTTGGTTTGAACTTGTACGCCCAATTCGCGATCAATTTGTGGCTCAACCAATCAGTTATCCACATTTTGACTATTTGAATCTTATTAATCCATCGATAGCTCCCCCTTTACCGAAGC